GTGCTGTACACGACGGTATACCGCCGCTTTGGAATCGACACAGACGACGGCTTTGTCGTTTGCAAAATGGGGCTGTCGCATGGCTCGCCCAATCTTACGGGCCTTACTCCGGATTAGCTCAAGCCAATCCCTTCACGGGCCAGCCCTCCTAAGTCCTCGACAGACACCACACTTAGCGAGTCTCGAATATTACCGCCCCCGTTTTGTAAGCCGCCGAGCGAGACATGTCCTAACTCGGCGCAGTCAGCCGCACAATGTTGAATCTCTCGGCCGCAGCGGGCCTTTGGCTTCCGTGTCCTCGCCCCTTTGAGCCTTGCACCTTGCACCGCGCGAACTCGGCCGTCCGAGCAAGTCGACCCCGGTGTCGGACGGTGAGCTACCACATCTCCCAACCCGAGTACTTGCAGATGAGCCACGCCCACGCATTCTTCGGGTGCGGTGGGGAAGAGACGCGTCTTTGGGTCCGTCGGTCTGCTTGGCATTGCCTCGATTTTCTTCTGTGGATGCTTGGTTCTGGTGTATTGCCGCTGCCTCACTAGTCGATCGCAGCGATCTTGTGCTGCGGGAGAGCCTCGGGACTCTTGGCCTTTCCAAACGTTACGCATGCACAGCACAGTCTTGTTGTTTATACCTATCCATGGCCGTTTTGCGAATTGCAATGCATATGTCATGCGAGCTTTCAGAGACGCTGTCAGTTTGCCCAGCCGCCGAAGACTAACAAACATAAGACGCCCTCTTCGCAATCTCATAGAGTACTGTACCTATGCATGGCTACGGTAGCCCAGGGACGTCAAGGTCCTCCCCGAGCGGTGAGCCGTGGTTGCTCACCGCAACTCATTCCAAAGTTCAGCTACTTACCTAGTGTAGACACTCACCGGACGAAGGCCCAATAGCCGCACGCCAGACCTAGCTTGTGTAACGCGACTAATAAGACCAACTCACAGATTACCCAGCTGCATTGCTTGGGTCCCATCGCCCTCGGACTTTGCAACGGCATGAATCTGTCACAACTCTCTTGTCGAGACTAATGAATGACGGTCGAGTCGAGGGTCGCATTGCTAACGTGAGGGAAGGTCACCTGAGACTACAACTAATGAGATGGTTCCCTTCACTCTGTTGGTACGCTTCGATTGCTTCCAATCCCATCTCTCGGCACCGTCACAGTCTGACTGCGTCAACATGATGTATCGCCCAGAAGCTGCACGCTGCTGAGCCTTGTCGGCCTGCAGATGCACACGCAAAAGCATTGCCCCAAACTCAAACGGGCCCTAGGCTTGTGTTCTTTTGGGAAAGGGGACCATTCGCAATGCCACCCTGCTATCAGTGTCCCCTTCGACGTCAATAGCCGGGCTCAACTCTCTGCCAATAAGGGGCTAAGGGGAGGGGTGGGGAAATGCAAAGGCCTAGGCACCTTGCTTCTGTTGGTAGAGACCGTTATAGGCCTTTGCCTGGTAGAGGATGGTATGCACGGGTACCTCACCCTTCTCGGTACCCAGGAAGGGGGTGTCATCCACACTTTGCCTGGGGTTGGTCGGTGGGGGGGGCAGCTTGGGGGTGCGCGGTAGTATCAGCATCAACCTGCGGATCGGATGATGATGATATGGCAGGCTCCTCCTGAAAAAAAAAGATTCCAATGCAATAACTAACTAGGTGACCAGACAGGCAATATGCTGGCTTGATCAAGCCATGTCATGTCACACACACGCGCGCACACTATCATGATACACTTTGCAACTGTGTGGCTGCCTTGTCATATTCTGACAACTTCAATCTCATACGCTTTCGCCAAGTGTGGCCTGCCCTTCGTCCCACGGGGCACCCACGATCGGCTGCTTCCGAGACGGCCATACCTACCTTACCTACCTTAGCAATCACCGTCACGGCACTTAACCCCATCTATTTGTTACCAATACCGCTCAGGGCTGGGACCGCTCAATTCTGGAGCTCGTCGGTGGCGACATATGGTACATCAAGGGGGAGATAACACCATGCACCCCAATGTGGGTTATTTCCGTAGTGTAGTGGCTTTTTCATAATGCATGACGGCCAGCAGCTACTGTCCTGGGGTTGGTGGATCCAAGATCACATCACCACTACCTTAACTAAGTACCCTACTACTCGACGTAGGATGGCGGATGAGAGGGAGCGAGATGTGACAAGCTGCACAGTCTTTGCAGAACGCGTCGTCTGATGGGACGGAATGACCGAGTGGGAGACATGACCTTTGTGTCCTCTCCCGAGGGTGGTCCGTTTGTCTATCAGCCTCCCTCTACCTCAATCTACTTCTCTCTCCTTGCCCCGATAGGTGGTCTCACTGTCCCACACCGCAGTTCTGTAGAGATGTTCTTCGTAACGCCGGTGAAGGCCGAGTCCGGATCCGAGTGCCAGTTGACGAGCGGTCTGGCATATCACATGTGAGCGTGGATGGATGGATGGATGTATAAGAAGGCGTCATGTCACACTGCGTTGACGCCTGCATGAGCTTGGACTGCCCGGCTGTAGCTACCCGTCGTTGTCCTCCCCCATCCCCTGGCGCTCATTCGTGCTGTGGGTCGGACGGGGTGGCTTGCGGAAAGAGAGGATAGAAAATAACTAAGGACAGAAACTGAGGAGAGTGTGAAAAAAAGGGGGGACACAAAAAGAAGGGAGCAGATGCCAAGCACTCCTCAGCTGGCTTGGCTTGTTGGAGGCTTGGTTGCCTTGTCTTGTTGACCCCCTGGCCTTCCTGGCGGCGGCATCGTCCTCTGGAGTTTACGAGGATCGGTATGACCCGGTGCTAACTCTGAGCCGTTACTCGCCAAATAGGGCCGCGCTTCTGCATCAAAGTGGACAAAACGGCTCAATGAAGGTCAGTCGAGTAGCCGACTACTGTACCTAAGTACCATATATAAATAAACTGAAGTTGAGGCCATTTACACACCCGGGCCGCTAACGGGAGGATATCTGCTGTCCATGCGTAGCCCCGGGCACTGTCCTAGCTTGACTACCTAAGCGGGAAGCCAGGAGACACGAGACAACGGTCTATACAACGTCTTGCGGGGTTTAGCAGCATTGACACAACGGTACCAGTGGTACAGCGTCGTCTGAGTTTTCACGTTCCGCGAACGGTGTCAAGGTCGAACGAGTTGCACGACGTCTGCTCCTCTGAGCCCTGCCCTGCGTACTACTACCTACCACAGTACATAGGTACACCGCTTTGTGCCTTAATAATGCACTCATTGTGTAACATCAGTGGTAAAGACGCTGTGATGACCCCAAAAAAGGCTGCTGATGCAGGCTGTGGACGCGTTGTCCTGCAGTCTGCCGTGGCCAAGTCTAAATCGAGGTAGCATATTGGGAAGCCAGGCAAGGAATGAGAATGGGGGAGACTAAGACATGAGGCGGACATGTAATAATTCCCTCTCTTACGACGCAGATGCAAGACACGGCAGCAAAGACGACTGCAGTGTCTCACGCGACATCAGGTCGTGGCGTGGAGCATAGCATACCATCATTAGCCCAGTCGGGCCGCTTCCCTGGAGACTGAGAGACTGGCGTGTGGCTGGATGATGCTGCATAATATGTCTTTTTTTTTTGTCTGCATGTTTCATCCAAGTACAAAAGCAATTGCCTGTTGACGTGTCGTTTCGCGGGCAGGCAAAACGACGCAGAACGAGCGCTTTCGTGTTGCTGCAGCTCTTCATATCTCGCACTTCCCAATCAAGAGCTCTGCATTGCGGTCTTGTCTCGGGTAACACAAAGCTTGGCTAGAGAGGGACTAGCCTGGACATATCTGTTGGGTGTGGCTTGCTGATCGACAGCTTGGACGTTGAAGACACTCTTTGACTGATCCAATTAGAGATTTAGAAGAGGAACAGACACGAGGCAGCGCATTGTCTGAATCTTCTTTGATTCCTTCCTGTGAGTCGGACTGATGAGAGAGAGAGCCCAGGCAAGATGGAGCAAACATCCCACCCATGCTCTGTTTTGTCCCTTCCCTCCCCTCCCCCTGCCCAGCACCCACGTTCTGGACTAAACAGCCACCTCATCTCCCACGCCTTGTCACCGACTTACGGCAGCAAGGCAATCACGCCGAGCCCATCACCGTGGCCACCGATACGTTGTCCAATCCGAGCAAACGCAGCTAAGACAAGCCTTGCATCTCTCATTACGAGTTTGGCTTTTGCTTCTTCGCCGGCCCGATGAGCAGATGCAAGCCCTGTCTCGCATTGTCTCACTCTTGCAGTACGGTGGCTTCTGAGCAGGGGAGCTGGTAAGCACAGAGTAACTAGCGCACTGTACTGTATATCACATACATTCACTACCTGTACCCCAAAGGCACAATACATGCCTGGACTAGTTGCTACGGCGGGCAAGGCAGAGCAGGAAGGCCCAGACAGACACATGCATGTGCATGCTGGGCCGGTCGCCCTAGTGGCGGGCAGGGCATGTCAGGACAGGCCAGGCAGGGAGACAGCGACACGACAATGCTCTCTCCGTTGGTTTGTTGGCCCTTTACTTTGGCTATGACATGCACAGCAAGCGAGGGGAAGGACACCAGGGCGGCTGCCCTCTGACATCTCCGAGGACCCGAGGAGACAAGAAAGGACTAACTAAGGGGTGTCGTTGACTGGATTTTACCGCAAATCAGATAGTCATGCAAAGTTGCACGAAAACTGTGTGTGCTGTCTGCATGACAACCTTTTCCTGTGTGGTCCCCGAGTCGGACCGTTGTTGACGAGCTAATTGCATTGTAGCAGTGCAAGAAATCCCTCTGCAGAAACACTTGGCTGGTTGGACTGGGAGCGGAGAGGGTTAATGCACCTGAGAGTTGCGGTGGATGGGAACTATGTGCTTCGCAAAATCTCCTGTTGGGCCAGCTGCAAAACAAGTTGAGCTGGATTCAGGGGCAAGTAAACAATCGGCGCAAGCACTAGTTACCTGTAATGTTGGCAGAGACCCCACTCACTCTACACCGTAGGTAGACACGGCAACGTTACCAAAGAGGCAATAGCAAGTGTCAAGATGAAGCCGTAATCAAACAATAAATCTCCCTTGGTCCTGATGTCAGGAGGAGTTATTCGGGCAGGCTACCCAGGTACTTTTGCGCGGAAAATGGGCCGCACCACGAGGAGCTACATACCAGCCGCTCGATGGACCAACTTGCCAGGGGGATGCTATGAGTTCAGACAACGCGTCCGACTCCTTCTCTGTGCCTCACCATCCATGAGCCTTGTCCAACATAGGCCGCTCCCGCTCTCGTCCCCACCTACTCTCGCCTGTGCGGACTCATCCCCTCCCCTCTCCCAAAGGCCGCTCATTCCCGCGGATCTCTCGTATGACCTCTCTCGTGCGCGCATTATCCTCAAAGCTGGCGTTGACCAGATCCACAACCTCCTCGGCAGTGAAATACAAGCTCAGCTCCCCTTCCACCCACAAGAACCTCACATCCCTCAGATTGCTCTGCAGCACCTCGCTCAGGTACTTCAGCCTGAGCCAGTTGCCCGCAAACTGTGCCGTAACCGGCACCTCGACGGCATCGCCCTCTTCCTCCTTCTCGGTTCCTCTTCCTCCTCCTCTTCTTTCTCCCTGGAGTCGGCTGGGCAGGAACAGGTCATCCAGCTCTTCGACAGAGGCGATAAGCTTGGCGATGTTGTACGCCTCGTCCTGTCCAATCGACGGCAGGTCCATGACGTCGGCGATGATCTTGGCCGCGACCGCGTCGACCAGCGATCCGACGGCTTGCTGCCAGACGGAGCGCGCCAGGATGTCTTCCCAGGCCGCGGCAAGGGAGCGCACACGGGTGACGGCGGCTGAGACAGAGGATGCGGTGTCGTCTTGCTGCATCAAGTTTTGTTCACCTAGGAGGGGGTGTTGAGCTAAGCACGAATCTCTGGCTGTGGCGGAGAAGTGAAAAGGCTTACCACCTAGCAGGTCGCGCAAGACCGTCTTTTGGATGCTCAGCTCGTTGGTGTAGGCGCGGTTGGCAAAGTTTTGGAGGGTTTTGACGTCATTATCTAGCCGGAGCATGTTCTGCGCTCGCGGAGTGATGCCGTCGCGTGTCTTCCAAGATGTGGCGAAGTTTGAGAGCTGCTCTGCGAGGTAGGTAGAGTCGTTGTAGAGGTACCTGGACGGGTTAGGACGGCTCGGCTTGCGTAGAAGCACGACTTACATATTGCCGCCGATTTCCGGAGCATAGTAGTGAGGTGAAACCGCCCTGAACATGGCCAGGACAAGGGTGGGAAGACTGAATAAGCCCGCTGCTTGCGTCGCGACTGGGCTTTGTGTGAAGTGCTCTTGGGTCAGCGTGGCACCGTCTTCGACGAGGGCGTAGATTAGATCGAGGACTGGCTGAGGCATGGAAGAGATGCTGTATGATTCTCTCAATATCAACTCCCTGGTCTGCGATTCTGGCTGCGCCGTCGCTTGTGGCCTCTCCGGAGCTTTGACATCGTCGTCGTTGGTTTCATCGCCCCATCCCCACGCCGCTGAGGGGTCCTCTTCATCGTCTGGTTTGCTCTCCTTTGGCTCCTCTCCAGGGGCTTCTTCCTCGCCCCAGCCCCACGCATCAGTCCCATCATCGTCCCCCTCTCCCGCTTGTTTATCCGTGCCGCGGCCTGCTGCATCCTCAGCCGCTCCCTGATCCCCGTCATCCCACGCGTCCCAACCGTGGTCGTCACTGGAGGTCACGGCACCATTGGCGAGTAGTTGTTGACGCTCCAATCTCGAAACCATCTGCTTTTCGACCTTCTCGACCCGCTTCGATGCCCCGAGACCGCTTGAAAGCTTGGTCCGAACCGATTCCAGCGCTGCCTCTCTGCATTTCGAAAGCCATACCCTGGGCGCATTCTCCGTCCATTCTCGCAGACCGCCGAGGTTTGAGAACCCAAGGGCTTTCAACCTCGCGCAGAAGTCCCTAGTAGCTGTGATCACGTCCTGAAACCTCTCCATGTCCTGAAGAGAGGATGGAACGGCTGCATCAAGCCAAACACTCGTGATGCTGTGCATCGTTCCAGGCAGTAGTGTGGACGAAATGGTCTCGACAAGATCCGGCGGGAGTTGCTGTACCAGGAAAGAGAAGACCTGTTCGAGATCTGCGAACAAAGACTGGACCGTTTTGTCTGCTGAGCCTCGCACTTCTAAGATGCCCTGTGTTGCGTGTTACTAAAGGTACTCTGTAAAAGATCGAATAGACTCACGTCTTGTGCATGAAGGGCTGGCAATGTGTCTCTGGTAATCTTCATCCTCGGAAGGAGGATGGCTTTGTTGATATCCTGCCAGAGTCGATCCATCCGTTGGTCGACCTCCTTGTACGCTTTCAAGCCAACCACGACGTCCTCGAGGCTCATGGGCTCATCTATTCCAGTTCAGAACATCATGATGTTACAAGGAGACCCGGGTTGGGGGGACCCACCTTCCCTAGTCCTGCTTATCGAGACTCTCTGGTTCTCGGTGTCAACATTGATAAGCGTGGTCCACACACGTTCCAGGACCTCATGAACGTCCGACTTCAGTTCGAACGCTCTGATGTCGAGCAGTTTGACGGCACGGCATGCCTTAGTTACTGGGAGGGCATCCAACTCCTTCCACGATCCTGACAAGTTAGCGGGACTCGTCGGGGCTCGTGGGCGCGGCGCTTACTTTCAAGGAGGCGTAGCGCATCCAGTATGCGCCGTTCGTCCCGGGCCTGCTCGACCTCGTCCAGAGTGCGATTCACGGTCTTGATGCCTCTGAGCGTCTCCTGGACCTGGGCGTTGTAATTCAGCTCGCGTATCAAGAAGTCGGCTCTCGCTTCGATCTCATGTACGGTCGCCCCGGGCACGGTAGGAGCTTCAGATGCCCTGATGATCTCCGCCGCAAGAGCCTTGGACCGGAGGATGTCCTCCTGGACAGATTGCGCATTCGCTTGCCATGACCTCACATCGTCGGCTGTCTCTTCGTTGATCGCATGGATCTCTGCCTACGAATCAGTTGCGCTTAGCAGGCGCGCAATACCCGGTTGGTGTAGGCTCGTACCTGGAGCTTTGCCCTGGCCTCTGCAAGCGCTTGGATGGCTGTCGGTAACGATTCGGCGTTGACTGGCAATGAGGAGATTTCGTCTTCAGGGAAGGAGCCATGGACAGAGAAATCGACAAGCGCTCGAGCGAGCTGCGCCGGGGAAGAGTCTAGGGTAGCCATGGCTTATGTGGTAGGCAACTTGATCGCAACGCGGCCTGGACGAAGCTCGATGGAGATGCTAGTGTACCGATCCGTATCTGAGGCCCGCTCGTTGTTGCCGTGGCGCTAGCACTCCCGACAAGGTCAACTACTACGAGGGTCCCGCATACCAATCGAAACCTCGAGGATATGCCCGTCGAGAGTTGAATGTTTGGTATCCGATTTGAACTGATGTTGGCTAGCTCCCCAACTTAAAGTTGGCTATTGTCACAAGACGCTGTCTCGAATCGGAAGCTGATCAGTTCAAGCTCCCGGGGCTTGGTCGATTGCAGACCCACATCTAGCAGCTGTGGGCAGCTGCCACATATCCGTAGCTATCAAGCTCCACCCGCAACAGAACTTTTGCCCTGCACGCACAAACTCTCGCCGAATTTTCCTTTCCTCTTTCTGTTCAACGTCACGACGACAAGACCACGGCATCATCAGTCGCAATGGCCTCCACCAAGACCGAGAAAACCGGCCTGGCTGCCGTAAGTTTTAGACTGTCTCCCTCACTGATGCAAGTTGCGCGATCGTGCGGTGTTGTAATCGCCTCGCGCAACTCCGGCGAGCTTCGAACTGAATGAACAAAACCGCTGACTTTGTACTTCGCAGGGTCTTAACAAGGGCCACGTAAGATAAGCCTTTCTGTCTCACCTCGTGGAGGATCTCCGCTCTTGCTTCATCCTCGAACGGGATACATCGAAGCATATCCGCGGATGATGGACTCTTGGCTGACTTATGTCTGCTCTTCCCCCATTGCAGAAGACCACCGCCCGCGTGAGCAAGCCGCGCGTGAGCCGCACCAAGGGCCACCTCAGCAAGCGGACCGCCTTTGTTCGTGACCTCGTCAAGGAGGTTGCCGGGTACGTTTTCCTGCGCGCTTACAGTGTCTGATGTGGATCGGTGAGGTTCTAACGACGGCATGAAACAGCCTTGCTCCCTACGAGCGCCGCATCATCGAACTTCTCCGCAACAGCAAGGACAAGCGCGCCCGTAAGCTCGCCAAGAAGAAGGTAGGAATCATTGATCAATGGTCTTCTGGGGATATCTGCTGACAATCGACCAGCTTGGCACTTTCGGCCGCGCCAAGGCGAAGGTCGAGGACATGACCCGTGTCATTGCCGAGTCTCGTCGTGCCCACTAAGCGCCGCATCGCTTGGGGCAGATGCCGGGGTGGACATCGAGGGATCTGATGACGGATTCTGGGGATATGATGGCTATATGGAAGGTTGTTACCCTTCCGGCATCGTTTTCACATCGCTCCTAGAGCAGGATAGCTATGGGCCAGAATCGACCTCGCGGTTGCCTTCGGTGAAGTGGTTTTAACTTGGTTGGCCCTTGTGACCTGATGATCCATACTGTGAACCCAGTATTAGGTAGCTCGCCAAAGTGAGTTCGCTAAGTATCTGACCACAATTCTCGACGTAAGTCTAAGTCGGCCATTATGATTGCTCGTAAGAAAGCAGTCATCAACAGAGTACATCACCCCCTTTTACAGGTAGTAGTAGTGCACACTCTCTGGTATAACATGGAGCTCTCATATCGGCGTGGGCTGCCCGTCAGGGTCCACACTCAATGCCGACTCCGTGGATCCTCACTTTTGGCGGGGCTCACTACCGCGGCTGCTGTATGTGGTATTCCATTGCCCCGCCATCAAGAGCTCACAATTGCCAACTTGGGTCCAGTTGAAGTGTTGTATCTGTAGGACGAATGTTCCCACTCGTCTCTGTCTCCAACTGCCCGTGTGTCCCAGGAGACACGTATAGAGAAATTCTAAGTCGTTCTTTTATCTTCATAGTCTTTCGCCCTCCTGGTTACGTTACTTCAGACAGGCCCTCCCCGCCTCCACCCCATATCAACCCATAAACAGAAAAAAAGGAAGAGGGACATCACACGCCTCAAGAACGGGTTTACTGCTTGCCTACCTCTCAACACCTGCATTCAGGTCACTCCTGCGCGCGCCTCGCAGGCCGATTAGCTGGGAAGCAGGTAGCTCAAGCGCCATTGGCCTCCAGCTCTGCGGCCAGGCAGCAAGGCGACGTCTTACTTGTCGCGTGCATTCACAAGTCCGGTATGTGCGTTTGCTAGCATCGAGCGAGGCTTCAACGATGCCCCTTCTTTACTCGCTTTAGACAGACGACAACTCGCTTTCGCAAGCTCAGCCGATCTCATCAACTACACCCTCAGACTCAACGACCTTTGCCCATCGCTCAAGGCATTGGACTTTGTCTTCGCTCCTCTCCCGCTTCCCTTACAATCCCCTGTTCTCCCATGAGCATCCTGTGTGCCAGCACGAACATCACGACAACATGTCTCGGTGTTGTATATCGCATATCCTCCTCTATTGGGTCGTTGTGGTACTCATCACCTCTGCCGCAGCCCAACATACCGCGCATCCGACCTTGGACCACGGGTACGCGTGGTTCACTTGCATTCACCCAAGACTCTCCTAGTTCAGGTTCCCGCCCCTGCTTGCAGGTTACGGGCCCATTGTTGTCAGCACGTTAACAACCTGGTCTTTATCCTGCCACTGCCTGATGCTGTTTCATCCTACTCAGCGGGACAAGCCAGTGGCTTTCCGAACCACTCTCTCTTATAGGGCCAACCTTGATCTCGCTTAATCATTCCGACTAATACCATGATTAAGACATGCTTGCACTCATATCCGCCGCTAATCATGTACCAGTTACCTCCAAGGCCTGATGCAAAGCATAACCGGCCGAAACATGACGACCCAGTCACAGAGGCCCCGGTTCCGCAAGGTCCAGAGTTTCCGCACCGACTATGCCCCGACCACCATCACCCAGTATGAGTCGGAGAGGAGTGGCATGCAGGTCATTGTGGCGGACCGCCAGGGACCCAAGGTCAATGGCTACTTCACCCTGGCTACCGAGATCTTCGATGATTCGGGGGCTCCCCACACACTAGAGCACCTCGTCTTCATGGGATCCAAGAGCTACCGGTACAAGGGCTTGCTGGACAAGTTGGCCGGCCGAGCTTACTCGAACACCAACGCCTGGACCGCCGTCGACCACACGGCCTACACGCTCGAGACGGCTGGCTGGGAAGGCTTTGCCCAGATCCTGCCCGTATATCTTGAGCACGTCATTGTGCCCAACATCACCGACGATGCCTGCGTGACCGAAGTCCACCATATCGACGGCGAGGGCAACGACGCCGGCGTGGTCTACTCCGAGATGCAAGCGCTCCAATACAGCAGCAACGAGCTCATGGATCTGCGCGCCCGGCGACTGCTCTACCCAGAGAACATCGGCTTCCGATACGAGACCGGGGGCATGATGGAAGCGCTCAGAGTCCTGACGCCTCAGCGGATCCGAGAATTCCACAAAGCCATGTATCAGCCCCAGAACTTGGCCATCGTGATCATTGGCGAGGCCGACCATGACAACCTCCTGCGAATCCTGGACGACTTCGAAGAGAGCATCAAGGATGACATTCCACCGCCGAACCCCCAGTTCAAGCGCCCCTTTGTGGACTCGCCTCAGCCACCACCGCTGGAGAAGACGGTTGTGGAGACGGTCGAGTTCCCCGAGGAGGACGAGTCGACTGGTGAGATCGTGGTTGCTTTCTTTGGCCCAAGCTGCATCGATCAGGTCCAGGCTTCGGCCGTGAACATCCTCCTGACGTACCTGTGTGGCTCTTCGGTGTCGGTTATCGAAAACACCATGGTCGAGAAGGAGCACCTGGCGAGCTCCGTGTCGTACTGGTGGGACAGCAGGCCCGACATGGTCATCTGGTTCCAGCCAACTGGTGTTGCCGCCGACAAGCTCGCCTTCGTCGAGCAGCGTCTGATCTCCCTCCTGAAGGAGGTTGCTTCGAAGCCCCTCGACATGAGCTACATCAAGGAGTGCATACAGCGGGAGCAACGGCAGATCAAACTCCATGCCGAAAGCTCGGAGCAGTTCTATGCCACCAACATTATCACCGACTACCTCTTTGGAAAGCGTGACGGTACTACGTTGAAAGACCTGGGCTCATTGAGTGAATACGACGTTCTCGAGACCTGGAGCGAGGAGCAGTGGAGAGACTTTCTGAAGAAATGGATCTCTGATGCCCACCACATCTCGATCCTGGGGAAGCCGTCGATGGAGCTCGCCAAGACCCTCAAGGAAAACGAAGAAGCACGGTTGGCCAAGAGAAGAGAGGAGCTTGGGAAGGATGGCCTGGAGCGCCTGAGGGAGCGGCTCGATACCGCAAAGAAGAACAACGACAAGCCGATCCCGCCAGAGGTGCTGGATCAGTGGCCTGTCCCTGGCACCTCTTCCATCCACTTCATCGAGTCCGCAACCGCAAGATCAGGCAAAGCCCGGGCTCTGGGCGTGTTGGACAACGCCGCGCAGAAGGCCATTGACGCAGCGCCCCAAGGCCTGCCACTATTTGTGCAGTTCGAAGACGTCCTCACGAACTTTGTGCACCTCACGGTTCATGTAGGCATGGCGCAGACACCCATCAGGTACAAGCCGCTCGTGGGTCTGTTCGCGGACAACTTCTTTAACTCTCCGGTGTTGCGAGATGGCAAGCGGATCGAGTTCGAAGAAGTTGTCAAACAGCTCGAGAAGGACACCATCAGCTACCAGATCACATCGGCCGTCCGTCTGGGCGACTACGAAGGCGTGGCCATCCAGTTCCAGGTGGACCGGGAGAAATACTCCACCATCATCAGCTGGCTGCGGACGCTCATGTTTGACATCGTCTTCGATCCTATTCGCATCAAGGCAGCCATTGTTAAGGCGCTCGCGGACATCCCCGAGGCGAAGCGAGATGGACGGGTCATGGCTCAGGAAGTCGATATGGCCATTCATTTTAAGCCCGAGTCATACCTTGCGGCGAAGCGGACGCTGGTCAAGGCCGTGTATCTGCGCCGCCTCAAGAAACTGATCGAGGAGGAACCTGAGACGGTAGTGTCATGGTTCGAGGAGCTTCGCAAGAGCCTGTTCACCTCCGACAACATCCGCGTCCTCGTTACGGCAGACGTTGCCAAACTCGCCAACCCGGTCGCGGCATGGGACGATCTCACCAAAGCCCTCGGTCCAGACCCTGCCAAGGATATCCTCCCCATCACCAAGCTCTCCTCGATGCTGAACGCCGAGGGCCAATCGCCCGGTTCCTTCGGTAGCGTCATCATCCCCATGACAACGCTGGACAGCTCCTACAGCGTTAGCACGGCAACGGGCCTGCAATCGTATGCCGACCCCCGCCTGCCCGCCTACCTGGTCGCGCTCGGCTACCTCGAGGCGGTGGAGGGCCCGCTCTGGAACGCGGTCCGCGGCAACGGTCTCGCCTACGGCGTCTCCTTCTCGCGCGAGGTCGACGGCGGCTACATCCAGTTCAAGGTCTACCGCTCGCCGGACGCCAGCAAGGCCATCGAGGCGAGCCGCGCCACGGTCGCGAGGCTGGCCTCGGGCGAGGTGCTGCTGGACCGGCACCTGGTCGAGGGTGCCGTCAGCGGCGTCGTCTTTGGCGCGGCCGACGAGCAGGAGACCATGTCGGCTGCCGCGCAGCAGAACTATGTTGTCAGCGTCGTGCGCGGGCTGGAGCCAGGGTGGAACAAGAAGATCCTGGCGCGCGTCCGCGAGGTGAAGGAGGACGAGATCCGTGCCGTCATGCGCGAGGTCATCATGCCCGTGTTTGAGCCTGGTAAGAGCAACGTTGTGGTGACGTGTGCCCCGATCATGGAGGAGGTAAGTGTTTCCCCGTCCCTAGGTCCAAAAACAAAGAGGCTAACGGAAATCGAACAGAACATGGTCAAGGCGCTTGCTGCGGCCGGCTACAAGACGCAGGTGCAGCCGCTGTCGCATTTCTATGACGACTATGGGCTGAAGGCGGGTGACGATGACGGTGAGGAAGAGGACGAGGACGAGGACGAGGATGAGGAAGACGAGAATGAGGATATGGAAGATGGATCCTACACGTCAGAGTCCGATGAGGACATGGACTGAGCGTGGATGGACTCGGGTAGAAAGGAACCAGGTTATGCATGTCGTAGACGTTGTTGCATGTTTAGAAACTGGCAATGCGCAATCCGAGGGCGGCACTTTGGTTGGAGTCAGCTCCCAGTTTTGGCTCTTCACTTAGCGGTATGATGTTCACACCCCCTTCGACCACAACTCCAAGAGAGCAATCCTGGAGACGGACTGGCCCCAAACTGATCACAAGAGAAGGCATGGAGTCGTATTATTTCCATTTACTAACCCGTTCTATGCCACTGTCGCTTTGAAACCCATACCTCGACAACTTAAGAGGCCATCGCTTCTATGCCAACCGTCATATTCCGGGAGGGACATCGCTTCAAAGCAGCAGTCCTCTGTCCCCTCTCGCATCCCTCCTTGGACGCCGTCAGTGAGAGATGTATATATAATGTATGATGGTAAAATCATGGTATTATTTCCGCCATAATATGCGTCGGACACACCGCATAAAACCAACCCAACCCAAGTCTAAAAACACTCGTACCTCCCCCCAAACATTCTCTCTCCCGCACTTCTCTTTGACCGCGCCCCCTGCCTTAGGTGCCCAGAGTCAAAAAAAACCAAAGCTACTAGTAGAGCTAGGCTATGCCTGCGACGACTCGGCGAGCGCTTTTAACCTCTCGCGCCAGGACTCGCAGACCTCCTCGAAGCCGCCGACGACCTCGCCGCAGACGTGCGCGCACTCGCGCCGGGCGAGCCGCTCGCCCCAGTTGCCGCGCGCCAGCCAGCGCTCGCCCTCCTCGCGCAGCTCCTCGTCGCGGCGCATCTCGGCCACCAGGTCGCGCGCGCTCTTGAGCCGCCGCGTCGCCGTCGTCGTCGTCTGCCGCGACATGTGCAACGCGTCCGACAGGTAGTTGAGCGTCTGCACCAGGTCGGCCGTGAGCGCGTGCAGCGAGGCGAGCGACTGGAAGGCCGCGGTGGAAGGGCGCGGCATGAGGTCCGACAGGGAGAGGAGCATCGGCAGGAGGCTGTCGATTGTTTCCGGGTCCGGGGGCGCGACCAGCGGGGAGAGCAGGGGGAAGGTAAGGTTGTGCAGCTGGCGGGTTTGGTGGGCGAGGTGGGTTGTTAGCGCCGAATGCGCGGTTATTAACCTGTGGGTTGTGTTACTCAGTTTGCGTTCCAAAGGAGTGAAAGGGGGGAAGAAGGGGAGGGGGGTATAGTTACCTTGTAGCGCCTCCCTCGATGCCGCCCTGAGAACCCAGGTCCCGCAGCCCTTCGGTAACTCGCTTGAATGCCCCGTCTGCCGCTGAGCCGTTCTTCTCCGTTCCCCTCCGCGCCAGGGATTCGACCTCGTCCATCTTGTCGACCAGCCTGGGCGGCCACCCAGGCGATTCTAGGTCGGATTCACTGCCGTACTCGCTCCCATCGTACTCACTTCCCTTCCGCCGATGACCCCGCCCACTCGGTGTCGGCAGCCCGAGGCTCGCCTTGTCGTTACTTCCTCTCCCCGCCTTCGAGGGACTCCCCACATCCACGCCGCTATCCCTGACCACTTCGTCTTTCCGTTCCCCTGTGGTATCCTCCAAGCTGATCCCCGGCGCCCTTTGTTCTCCGTTCGCTTCCTGCTCCTCGTCGCCATAGTCGCCCTCTTCATACGCATCGTCGTAATCTTCCTCGTCCGAGAAGGCGCCAGCCAGTTCATCCGCTAAATTCCCGAGTCCACTTTCCCCTCCGCCACCGCCTGTCACGCTGGAGATGCCTGCATCCATGGACGAGTCGTTGAAGGAGGACGCTTTGGACAGGCGACGCTCTTGTTGTGGAGAGTATGAGGCGTAGGAGGCGGCGGAGTAGTCGAGCGAGCCATGCCGGGAGTGGCCCGGCGTTCGAGGCGATGACATCTCGTCTAGGCTGTAACGTTATGACCGGAGGTTTGTGCTGGTTTGTTCGACCCCGTTTCCCTATCTGTTACGCTGTGTATCGGCACTCCGCAGGTTGTTGTAAGGGTTTGAAACCTGTCTGGGTGCTGCCAGTGGCTCAGACCATTCGTCGCTCTTGATGGCTCCACGCGAATGACAGATGGTTCCAATAGTTAGACGTGGAGCTGCAGGCTGCGTCACTTGATCCGGTGGTTACCGTGGTTTCCAGGAAGAATGCTCTCCGTCGGTCGCGGAGGAACAGCGTCGCAAAAGGGTGCAAGGTATAATAGCGGACTGTGCGGCCTATAACTGACCGCCTGGATCCAATCGGAGCGCGCCGATGCTGGGGGGAAGAAACAGATGGTTGATGTCACAGGTCAACCCGGGCTTGTTTCAATATCCAGAGAGCGATCGAGCATTGAGGGTTGCTACCGTAGTGAAAAGGCACTGATGTAGAAGATATTTGTGCCTCGCAGCTCGAGTCTTTTATTAGCGGTCTTTATTAGGCCGCATTTGAGCATTCAAGCCCAGCCGCCGCTGTATGCCAACTGTCCCACCGCAACGCCCAGGCACCGTTTTCGAAGTCGGCATCAACGGGCATGCGCAGGGTGGGGCCAATGGTGGGATTGCAGGACCGCGCATGGAGTCGCTGCGGTACTACTTCTTTAGCATCAGACACCTGATGGTGCGCGTACAAATTGTTAGACACTAGCGTACTGGCTTGTCACTTGTCATATACCCTGTGAGATACCTTATCTCACTTTATGCACGGAAAATAAATGAACATCCCTAGGTTACGCTTGATGGAACTTCGTTCATGATGACGGCGATGAGCATCTGCTTTAAGTTGTCTCAATGTCTACTGGGTCTGACTTCCCTACGGATAGAGCCTTCAGGTTTCCTGACGGGAAGTGAGGACAAATGGTGGGAGCATCCATGAGGCGGGGCAGCGGCAGGGTTGAAGCAGGGGACCAGTTCCCCTCCGAACTTTAACTTGGACCCATCCATCTCAACTTCAACAACCCCTCCTGGAAACCTGCCGTGAAGCGACTTGGGCCGACAACTCCCACCAGCACAGCCCGCCTGCTCGTGCCATGGCCAACTTCCGCAGGTTTCGGCCTGGCGATCTGAACAAACTCTCAAAATGCAATCTCGATCCTTTCACCGAGACATATGAGCTTGGGTTCTACCTTCAGTACTATGCGACATGGCCGTCACTCTTCCAGGTCGCCGAGGACCAGCACGGCAACATCATAGGCTACAGTATTTGACCACGGCTCGCTTCTCATGTTTTGTGGCCCTGGCGCGCTGACGACGCTCTGTAGTCATGGGTAAGCTCGAGTCGTCGCCCGACGTGTACCGTTTCTCGGAGCACTACTTGCCCTGGCACGCCCACATCACGGCCGTCACCGTGGCCCCGGAAGCCCGCCGGCTAGGTATCGGCAAGCTGCTCACGGAGCAGCTCGAGATGGCGGCCGACGCCAACAACGCCTGGTTCGTCGACCTGTTCGTGCGCGTCAGCAATCATAAGGCCATTGCCTTCTACAAGAGCATGGGGTACAGCGTCTTTAGGGTGGTCAAGGATTACTATGGCGAGCATTCGAGTGATCCTACCCTCTCGAGCGAGGACGCCTACGACATGCGAAAGCCCATGAAGAGGGATGTCAAGAAGGAGCATATCAGGGAGGATGGCGAGAAGCACGAGGTCACTCCCGCCGATGTGTGGTGAAACGGCCCTGCGAAAATGCCCGCACGGGGCTTACCATGATCGAGATCCGCCTGTCAATGAGGATGTAGCCGGGCTGTATCATGACGTCCAGCTCTCACTTTCCATGTCCGGGGAACTCCAGGATACTCGGCCATGTTTTGGCAGGCGTACCCCAACACGATACCTGCACAGGACGACCGAGCATGTCGCAAGCCGCGAAAATTACGGCGGTGTCCTGCGGAGTGGAGAGTACCTGGCATAGTGCCATGATGTCTTAACGAAGGGCGTTGCATAGGCACCATTGCTGGTATCGACGGCAGACGGGTCCCGCTTGGGGTCCGTTAGTGGGGCATCGCCTACTGTCTCCGTCGCCGGCAAGCCCTGGATACCCATTCCCCAGCGATGCGAAGAACTGGCCCGTTGGCGGGGAGTGACTCCAATGGTACGGTTCTTGCCTGCTTAGTTTCGGATTTGCTGCATCTTCAGCAAGCCAGGTGATCCCATGGATGAATGTTTTGGATACAAATTACAATCAGATACCTCACACAACCATGATCCAAGCCTCACATCATGGTGGGTTACCTAGTCCAGCAGCACCTGCTCCCATAGACCTCCTGCGATGGCAATCGGCTTGGCCAAGCCATCCCCTGATATTGAGATTACAGCTTGCTCTCCTTGTTTGCGCCGAGATATGTATTGGCCAGCTTCAGCATCTCAACCGCCTCGGCGACCATCTCGTCGACGATCTCTCCCGCCGGCTGCACCTCCTTGATTGCGCCGGCCACTTGGCCCATGAGATGCGGCACGTCAATCTCATTGCCCTGCTCCAGATCATGCTCGATCGGCACGATGCCCTTGCTGCACAGCTCCTGAATCTTGTCCGGCTGCGCATGCCACTTCCGGATGTACTCGTTCGTCTTCATCCGCAGCGGCCGCCCGCTTAACACCAGCGTCCGCTCCGTGCCGTCAAACCCACAACTCACCACTTCCCGCTTATGTTCCTCGCTGCACCCGGCCTCGACACTCGCCACGAACCTCGTGCCAACCCACACGCCGGCCGCGCCCTGCATCAACGAGCTCGCCAGCCCCCGCCCGTTCGAGATCCCGCCTGCCGCCACCACAAGCGCCGTCTGCTCGCCCCCAAGCATCCGCGGCCGATACTGCCTCGCGACATCCACCACGGCCGGAATGAGCACGCTATTCGCGATATCCCCCGTATGGCCGCCGCCCTCCCCTCCCTGCGCGCAAACCAGATCCACGCCCAGCTCAAGCGCCTTGACGGCGTGTTTCGGATGTCCCACCATGTTCATCACGAGTATCCCCGCGCCATGCAACCGGTCAATCACCCGCTTGGGCGGCACCCCGACGGCACTGACAAACAACTTGGCTCCCGACTCGATCGTGATGTCGATCAGCTCGTCCAGCTTGCCCCCCGTGTAATCGTGGTTGGTCTTGCGCGCCGACCCCCCGAGCTGCGGCAGGGCCAGGTCAATGCCGAACGGCAGGTCCGGGGATCGCAGGTGGGTTTTCAGCTCGGCGATGATCTCGCGGAGCTGTGCGGGCGTGTACATGAAGCCGCCGATCACGCCGAGGCCGCCGGCGTTGGACACGGCTGCGGCGAGGCGGGCGCCTGAGGTGCGTGCCATACCGGCCAGGAGGATGGGGTCTGTTGAAGGAGTTAGACTCAGTTAGTGGCTTATTTCTTTTGTCGATCTACCAACCAGATGGGTCGAGGCGACGGGTGCCATGTCCACAAAGTAGTACTTACGGCGAATCCCGAGAAGGGTGGTCAAGGGGGTAGTAATCGGGCCTGTTGGGGAAGACATTTTTCGGGGGAACCCAGGGTAGCAGGCGTGATGAGAATGATCTAAGTGAAAGACGTTGGTGAAGACAGTTGTAGCCGACCTCGAGATCCTTCATGAAACGACGTCACTCAGCGGCCTATAAGTGGGTGGTGAATGGATAGGGAACAAGCTGGTGAAGACAAGGGAGGTGTTTACAGCAAGATGAAGAGCGATGATGATAAGTCAAAGTCAACCGTTCATCGCAAGAACCAGAACCTTGCTATCATCTCATGGTTTCGCAGCTCTCACTCCCAACAAAGCAGGGGAAGACAGGGGAGACTAACCCCTGATGCTCCGCCAGCCGGGCCCGGACCCGGCAGCCAAGATGCGGGGAGCGGGCGGGAGCCGAGGCATGTGTAACGCCACTTTGAATTGAAGATTGGCTACGAGTTCTGGGGTCTGCTGGATAAAACTCCGGTCCTATATGTACCTTAAGAAGTTCTTAGTAGTGGTCAAGAGACGGAAGTGTACAAGCAGTGACAAGGTCGGTAACAAGGTCTAGTTTGAACAAATGCAACTCTAACATCCAAATGATCATCATGCGGGAGATTACACAGTAGACGCAGGTAGCAGCCATAATCATGCATCATCTATCATGGCTCGTAGGGGCGTTCAAGAAGCACCAATATCAATCCGACTCGAAGTATAAATAGCGTCTGGCGGGTATCATTTGGTCTCCTTTCTCCCCTGAAATAACTACTGTACTATCCTTTGGCCTGCGGCTCTTCGTGCACTCTACCTTCGAGGACTCTTGCAAATGATGTGTGAATGTCCTGCCACAGCCCCATCATCCGTTAGGGCATCATGACAAGTACGATTCCCCGTTCTCGTGTCCGGGTTACTCTGTACCGGGCGTTAGCTAAAGTGAGGCAACCGCGCAGGCACAAATGTGCTTTCTTTCCGCGGCTGCGCATCCGTTTTATCCGTTTGTGACGGTGTAGGTTCTGGAGGCGCAGTCGTGTGAGGCTTCGGTTCTTCTACCCTTGCGGCCTCCCCATCGTCCAATATCGATCCGTTCGCTTTCGGCATAGACTCTTCCGGCGGCGCCCCTTCATCGTGGAACGAGCTAACCTTTGTCTCTTCAACCGTCTCCCTAGTGCCGGGAATATCATTCTGACTCAGACCACGCTCTGCCGCCAAGCGTGAGGCAGCCCTCCGTCTCCGCTCAATTTCCTGGTGTTCTTCTCTCTCGGCTTCTTCTTCTTCACGCTGGAGGTCTTCTAGCGACGGTTCCAGTATCCCATCCCCCACTTCTCGTGAGGCGGACAGAGGGTTGCTCTCGCTCCTGTAACTTCCACGTGTGTTCGTTGACGATATTGTAGTCCGTGAAACTGACCTTGACAGGCCTTTATCCCTTTCCCTATCGGCGGGACGCTTCCCTTTGCTGCTTCGTGTTTTGGTGCTGCCCCGGTCATCAACCCGTTCCAATGCCATCGTAAACTCATCATCCAGTGGCACCGCGTCCTCGTCTCCCTCGCCATCGCTTGGGAACAGATCCCCTCTTGATCGATAGGAACTAGACGTGTCCCCCGAAAGGGTGGTATTGCTCCTCGGTCTCTGTCGCGGCGAGCCCTTTGAGTAGCGCCCTGTATCTCCCTCATCGCTAGTGCCCAGGAGCGGCTCATTCTCCTCTCCCCTGCCTCCACTAGCACGATACTCCTGGGCGGTCCCCACTCCAGTAGGATGTTCCTTTAGATTAGCCGCCGACGGCTTATACCTTAACGAACCCACGATCTTGAAGGGCAACCGCCCCAGAAATCCCAACGGTGCCGTCCGCGGAATCACATTCGGATCTTCTTCGCCGGACACCTTCCGCCTCACTCCTCCTCTCGTCCCATAACTCATCCCCCTCTTTCTCTTCGGTTGGTCCACCACCGTCACATCCCCGCCAACCCCGTGCGCCCGCCCTCTATGCCCGGACCCGGTTCCCGCGAGCAGCCGATCCCAGTTCAAGCCACCACCACCGCCGCCCCCGCTAGAACTCCCGCCAACACCACCAACGACCCCGTCCTCGTAGTCATTGTCATACCCAGGGAACCCATCCCCGAAATCCAAGTCCTCCTCCCAGTCGTCGTAGAAATCAAAACTATACTCCGGCGCCTGGGTCCGCGCCCTGGACCGGCGGGCACCCCTGTCACGCTCGCGCGCGCGGCGAGCGCGCTCCTCGCGGTCGCCGCCCAGGCAGATGCCGGTGCACGAGTCGGCGGCCGCCGCCAAGGAGGCGAGGCAGGGGTTGACGTAGCGGTGGCCGAAGGTCCAGATCTCGGCGGCGGCGTTCTCGGTCACGGCCTCGGTGGTGTGGGAGATCTGGTTCCAGCGCTGGCGGAGGCGGGGGTCTTGGATGAATGCCATTCTTCTTTCCCTTGATCTATTTCCGGCTCAGGGTGGTTGAGAAAGACAGCGATGGTTGGACGTCGGAAGCAGGTATGGCGGCAAAAGGGGGCGGCGTGACCGGGGTCGGTATAGATGCAGACATTCAGTCCGGGGGCATCCGTTTGGACAATCGTTCTCAATCGGTCGAGGTACGATGCTTTGTTCACATCAGACTGCAAGGGAGGTGCGACCCGTGTCAGGCATCTGCCAGAACAAGAGCAATTTGGTCATCTGAGGTGCGCAGACGCTTGCGTTGTCCTCAGATGAATCTGGGCCGACGGACGCGGTGGCTGGGCGCCAGCATCAAGGAGTCGCGACGAGTACCAGTGCTCGACGAGTGCAAGCGCAGAAGAGAAAGATAGGGATACTGAGTCGTACGAGACAGGCGACGGTGTACGTCTAGATCTTTGTTTCAGGGCGCCCGCATTATGTCGCAGCAACCGGGGCAGGGACGGTAAGACTGCGGTAACTGTGGTAGTTATGATTGATTGACGCAACAACGCAGCACCTTCGTACGGAACCCCGTGTTGCGACTTGAGGTCCAAATGATGGATTGATGCATAACGGGAGCTAACTAGGGCGTGCTACTGTAGGTGGAACCGAGGACGCCAAGTGGGTCTGATGCCCCGCACTTTCCATGGCAGCAGGCTCTCGTTAACTGCATCGGCTGCACGCCCATTCGCGGTCGATGAGATCATCGAGCTCAGGAGAAGTCAACACTAATAATAAAAACCACTGGCAGGCAACCCACCTATGAGCTTCCACACCGTCCTGTTGCTTACTGTAAGCTCGCACGGGGTAAAGAATAAGTCTGTACAGATTTGCTGGTTTTGTGCATTTAATAACACAGCACACGGCCAAAGCAGGGGTAGCTCGATGAATTGCATGGAGGCAGAACTTGCAGGATGTACTGAATCACGCTATGGAAGGAAGTGTGTCAACGATCCAACCTACACCGCCATCCATATTCAACGATGGCCATTGGTTGTCGCCGCGACTGGCGCCGCAGGCGGACGTTCGGGGCCGTAGGGTTGCGGCTGCGCCTGGTGGTGGAGCTCGTCCTCGGTCTCGTCATCGTACTCGTCGCCCTCGTCGCTAACCTCATCGTCTTCGCCTTCATCGTACTCGTCGTCCTCGTACTCGCTCTCGTCCCCGTCGAGTTCTCCTTCGGCGTACCCGTTCTCAACCGTGCCCGTTAACCCCTGCGGAATGCCCCGGCCCTGCTGCTGCATCTGCTTGATGATGCCGTTCAGTTTCTCCAGCTTCTTTTTCAGTTCGTCGATCTCGGCCAGGTTCTTGTTTCGTTCTTCCGCCATCTTCAGGATGTTCCCGTTCACCTGGTCGTGCTTTCGCTTGAGGATCTCGTTCTCCCGCTCCAGTCGTTTCGTCTTCTTGGACATGTCTTCCATCTCCTTGCGGAACGTCATGAACAAATCGTTACTGTTATTCAGAGTGTCCTCGACCTGTGCCCCCCGGTCAGTCCGTGCGCTCGACCGGTGTGGGGGGACGGGGCTGACCTGTTTGAACTTGTCGACGTAAACGTTGAGTTGCTGACGCAAGTCTGCCTCCGTCTTGGAGAAGGTCTGTACTTGTGCGTTGAGCTGCCTCGAGCGCGCCAGCTCCGCCTCGTAATTCTTCTTCTCGCGTTCATACCGGGCCAGGTTGAACTGGACCTCGAGCTCTTTAGTGCGCATCTGTGAGTGGAAATGCAACTCTCGTAGCTCGTACTGGTCGATGAAGGACTTGAACCGCTGGGAAAATCTGGGAGCCATGAGTATGGGTAGCCATGAAGGATTGGAACGGTCCTACGTACAGCTCCTCTACCTCCATATCCACCACCTGCTTGCGGGGGTTGTCCTTTTCTTCCTGATAGTCGTCCATTCGTCTGAGAAGCCCAGAGTACCTCTCGTCCCAAGAGTTCTGACTTCTGACCTGCGTGTCGGAGAGCGTCTTGTTCTCGTTCTACCCGAGCCATTTCCATCAGCACACCGTTCTCCAAGCTCAGCTGGCAATAGAAAGGACGCAGACCTTCAGCTTGTTGTTTTCCTTTTGCAGCTCACGGCAGAGCTTCTCAAGCTTCTCCTTGAGGGACACGGTCTTGTTGAGCTCGTTCCTGCTGTTGTCTTTGTCCTTTTGTAGCTGGTCGCCGCGTTTCTTATTCTTGATGCTTTCGCGCTCGTGCCGTTTCATCTCGGATAGGAGGTCGGAACAGCGTTTTGTGAGATGTTCGATTTTCTGGATATCGCTCATCTTCGACGTCTGGCTGTGCAGCTCCCTGTTTGCCTTCCTGACTTCCCGCTCTACAGCCCAAGTCAGTCGTCAGGTACACGATCGCACTCTTTGGTCCAACGTTTCTCAAGCTTCGAAAGGCCGACACCATATCCCAACCCAATGGCCCCGAGGGATGGTGGCGGCTCTCTTTGCCTTGCCGTCTCAGAGAAAATAATGCCAAGCACCCACCAATTTCAGCCTCCTGGTCCTTCTCCCCGGCAGCATCGAGCTCCAGCTGCGAGATCCGTTGAGCTATGAGCTTGGACGCTTCGGTGGGCTCCGGCGTCTTTTTATGTTTCCCTTTCTTCCCCGCAGCAGCGGCGGGTGGCGCCGAGACCGGTCGGTTGTCATGGTTGTCATGGTTGTCATGGCTGTCGGCGGACTGCCCGTTCGCCTGGGCTGCGTCGTGAGCGGACTGGCTCGGGGGTCCATTGGCGAGGGGTGTCGCGGGTCGGGGTACCGCAGTCGCTGAAGCCATTTTGGGATTGGCCTTTGACATCGGATAGTACCGCTGAGCCGAAGGCCCCGGCGACGGGGGGCGAAATCCTGAAGTCTGCGCGTGTGCACACGGCAACCTAGTATTGTTCTCCGCCGCACTGCGGTCTTTGCAGGTCACTTAGGCAAGCCACTTGGCGGCACAAACTGTCATGCGCCCAGATGACGGCAGGAGCGAGATTCACCTCTGCGCAGTATTGTAACTCGGAGCGACTGGGAATGCGGAACTGATGACCAAGCAACGAAAGCGTGCACCACTGTGCCCTCTATGAGCGACCAGGATCCGGATAATAATGTGGTGTTCTCGAGCAAGGTTGTACAGGATGCTGGTGGTTGAGCAGACGAGCAGCTGCAGAGATTGCTCCCGTGTCTCCAGAATGTCGTCGCAATTGCATTAGCCTCACCCAGCCCCGGGAGACATGGAACCGCCAGCTGTGGGGCAGGAATCGGGACGTCCATCCGCCCCGATTCAGCAAGCGGGCGGGTGTGTCGCCTTCTCGTGCGAGGCGCTGCTTGGCTACATGGAGACAGCAGACCCACTTGCTGCCAGCCCCGCTGCGGATTCAAAAACTCGCAGAGCTGGAATTTTTTCACGCCGTCCTCCCACTTTCCTTTCCTGTCTGCAAAACCTTGCAGTTCACATGGAAAGATGCGCTGGAGTTGCGTCGCAACAAACGCAGTTCAATGATCTGCGGCTCTGCTAGCTGCTTCTCATAGGGCGCGCTAACTCTATTCACACAAGACTCAGCCCACCATGACCGTGGAGACTGAAAGCCGTGCGCTCGTCGCGGGCGATGTCCAGACGGACACCCAAGACAAGCTTGCCACTGCAATTTCCTCGCTCGAAATAGCGCAGGAGAAGCAGCAGTCCGAGGTGCCTCCTCATCGGTCACACGATCCCCAGCACAACCAGAAGAGGAGCGACCCGTTCCAATTTGGATCCCGCTATCTGGGAGAGGAGGACGACGTTTTCGAGTTCAATGCATGGGACCATGTCGAGACTGACGAAGCATACAAGGAGTATGCTGAGCAACAGTACGCCATGCAGCGTCAGGCCCCTGTGTCCGACTTTGACAAGAGTAAGTTCAACCTTTCTGCTTTCTCCTCTGTGACAGGCCGAAAGGCCTGGCGCTTATGATGATTTACAATTATAAGCATAGTTCATCTGAATATTCTATGAAGACACCTATGTATTTTATAGTCTTTCGCTCCCATCTGACGCGCCCTATGCACTCCCTGTCAGCACTGGCCTTCAAAAGTTGGTGGATGATCGGCTAACTCTTAGCAGCGCGATTCAATTCGGATCCTGCCAAGTGGTGGAACCTGTTCTACAAAAACAACACGGCCAATTTCTTTAAGGACCGGAAGTGGCTTCAGCAGGAGTTCCCAATTTTAGACAAGGTGACCCAAGAGGACGCCGGACCGGTCACAGTACTGGAGATAGGAGCTGGTGCCGGCAACACGGCGTTTCCCATCGTGACGAAGAACAAGAACCCGAAGCTGAAGGTTCACGCTTGTGACTTCTCCAAGAAGGCTGTTGAGGTCATGCGCAATCATGAATCCTACAACCCTGAGGTGATGCAAGCCGACGTATGGGATGTTGCTGGAGATGAGCTGCCGCCGGGCCTTGGAGAAGGATCCGTAGACGTCGCAATCATGGTGTTTATCTTCTCTGCGCTTTCCCCGTCGCAGTGGAAGAAGGCGGTGGCGAACGTCTACAGAGTGCTGAAGCCGGGTGGCGAGGTCTGCTTCCGCGACTATGGAAGAGGAGACCTGGCCCAGGTCCGGTTCAGGAAGGGGCGGTATCTGGACGAGAATTTCTACATTCGGGGCGATGGTACGCGCGTCTATTTCTTCGAGAAGGAGGAGCTAGCCGACATCTGGAGCGGGAAGCTCAGCACGCCTGCCGAGGGCGAGTCAGATAGACTCGAGCCAAGCTTCGAGGTCGAGGAGCTTGGGGTTGATCGCAGACTACTGGTCAATCGTGCCCAGAAACTCAAGATGTACCGTTGCTGGCTTCAGGGCCGGTTTAGAAAGAAATAGAGAAGATGCAGTAAACCAAACAACCGGAATTCTGGCTCCCCTCGAAAGGCTGACATGCAGAAGGAAGTGCCGAAGACGTAGATTGTTAGATGCGCCATGTATTAGAAGTTTGGTGAGTTGTACAAGGTTGGACTGGGAGACTTTACTCGCCTCTGCCTGAAGTGTTTGCTAGGGAGTATTTTCAAATTGGTAACAATTCTGTTTTTGCTGAATAGCTGTCTACCTTACCTATTCTGCTGATTTGCTGCCTGCCATATTGTATCGAGGCCTTGGTCGGGCAATACGTACCGTGGTAGCAAGCATGATCTGAATGGCGGATCGCCCCACAAGGTCCAACCTTCATGATGGTTCGGGAGCTGATAGGCTGTTCACCGCCCAACTCCAAAGGGCAGAATTCCTTCCATTCCAAGTTCAAATGCGACAAAGCCGGCCGTGCAGTGAATGCTAAATGCCACGCGCGGGCTTGCAGCCATCGTGGTGGACCGGCAGTCTCTCTGCCGACTTCAAATCACTCCATCCTCCACACAGCAATTCATCTCATGTGGCTTCAATCCTGTCCACCTCGCTTGGCAACATAGAGCTGTGCAACTCGTCGGGCGTGCTCACGCGCCGCGATCCGCGATCCGACACGCCGCTGCATCCTCGGCCGACTCTTTTCTGGTAAATCCACAACTCATCCCAATCCGCGCCTACGCCAACGGCCGTGCTGTGCATCCGAAGTCGCATCGTCCTAGTATTCCTATCCTTGACGTCCAGCGCCCCTTGCGACTCCCGCAGATCCTCTTCCGTCCATCCTTCCTTGGACGTCCATCGCCAATGCTTTGTCTCCATCACCATGGCGGCGCCGGCTAACAACCCCTTCGGGGCGCCTCCTCGACAGGTCTTCAACAATCCGTTTGGTCCACCAGCGGCTCACTCAAGCTCCCTAACTGCTCCGGCCACTAATCCCTTTGCCGCACCCGTCAACAACCCGTTCGGCGCACCTGCTCCCACAAACCGGCCGTCCTCCTCCGAAAGCCCATTTCTCACCCCGTCCAGCCAGACGTCTTTGTTCGGGGGCTTATCAGCTGCCCCGCCAACGTCTAGCCGACAGTCATCACCGTCGGTAGCGCAAAATCCGTTCGCAAAAACCCTGGCGCAAGCCAAACCTAGCGCACCCTTTGGAGCACCGCAAAGTGGCCCTGGCAGCACTCAGAATCCCTTCGGTTCCCAGACACTACCCTCCAGCTCGTCCAAGAGATCGCCGGCTGTTGGGCCCACCGATGCCAGTGCGATGGCCCGCAGAGTGAGGTTCGCCGATGGCAAACCGCCGGTGCCGAATAACAACGAAAAATTCGGGGGCCGAGGAGGGCAAGCTCGGAGCTCACCACGCACCGCAGCGTCAAACCCGTTCGCACAGAAACCGAACGGCCCCGCGACGGAGGCGGACACGAAGACCCGGCGAGGCGGCCGGAACAAGCAGCCTGAGCGTCAGGAACGCTATCAACCCTCTCAGAGCCGGCAAGGCACGCAGCACGCAGCCGCGGCGGGAGCGCCCAGTGAACGGACCAAGCAGCTATCGCCGTTTGCTTTCGACTATGCAAACAAGCTATATGACCAACTAAGAAAGGAGAACATCAACCCTCCACAATGGCCGGCGGAACCCGGCAACCCCAACAAGCGCGCCGCGGTCGAGAGCTTCAAGGAAGCGTACAAGAAGTTCCGCACCAAGGTCTACGCTTCGTTGAGGAAAGCCGATCTGATCGATGACCCGGAGAAGAGACGGAAGCTCGAGGATGCGCTTCCCTTCAAGGGTATCTGCGAAGACATGTGCCCACAGTTTGAGCAGGTCTCACGCATTGCCGAGTACGATGTCAAGACGGAAGAGAAGGAGACGCGCCCGGATGGGTTGACGATGTGGCCCGACCCGTCCCGGATGGTCAAGAAGTTCGGGCGGTCGGCCGCCGGCCAAGACGCGCCGCTACCCATGGACGTCCGCACCGTGGACGCGCTGCGGCGGACGACCGACTATCTTTTCAACGATCTACTCCAGTCGGAAAGCAACTTGCCTTCGATGCACAACTTCTTGTGGGACCGGACCAGAGCGGTGCGTAAGGACTTCACCTTCCATTCGCAGAAAACGGGCGAAGAGATGAAAGAGATGGTCTACTGTTTTGAGGCCATCACCCGATTTCACGCCACCGCTCTGCATTTGCTGTCGAGGAAAGGCTTCGCAAACGAAGACTTCGACCAGAAGCAGGAGATCGAGCAGCTGGGCAGGACTATCTTGTCACTCATGGAGGCTTATGATGTCTGTCGTGACAAACGAGTCCGATGTGAGAACGAGCCCGAGTTTCGAGCCTACTATCTCCTCCTCAACGCACACGATCCTGCCATAGCACGGAGGATCCCTACGTGGGGGAAGGAGTCTTGGTTTGAGTCTGAGGAGGTCCAGACGGCCCTGTCCTTGATACACGCCATGGATGATGTCCGAGAGCTCAAGGGACCCATCAAGCCGCGGCGGCCGACAGCATTGTCTGACACGTCTTTTACCAACTATTTTTCGATTGTCGAAGACCCGCGTGTGTCCTACACGATGGCCTGCGTCGCCGAAGTACACTTCACGACGGTGCGCCAGGGCATTCTCAGGAGTTTGGTCCGGGCTTATGCGCGGTACCGTGATGCGCCTCGTACCATCACAGCGTCTGATCTCAACGCATTGCTGAGATTCGACACAACCGAAGAGGCGGTCGAATTCGCAGAGCTTCACGATTTCGAGTTCTCGACATGGGTACCAGAGGGGAGGGCTGCTGTGACCGAGCCCTATTTGCTTCTCAACAACAAGAAGAAGCATGTACCATCGCCGAGAGTCCGGCAATCGTTTTCGGGGAAGTTGGTGGAGCGGAAGCGTACGACACAATCACTCCCCTATGTTATATACAACACCATCTATGAGGAGCCGGCGGCCAAACCGTCAGGCGCCGAGGACGACACGGACGATCTATTCGTCAGCCAGACTAAGCCGTCTGAGAGGCCCTCGGCACCTATACAGCCAGCCAAGCCATCGACAGCAACCGCAGCCACCCCATTTTCATTCGGTACTGCGGCCCAGAGCACGCCTTGGACAAATGGGGTTCCTCCTTCTACTGGAGCACCGGCCGGGACGCCAGCACCACCGTTCCCGAGTCTGCAGGGCTCACAGCCCTCTTTGCCAACTATATCCAATCCCTTTGCAATCCAGGGCCAACTTCAGGCGGAGGCTCTCGCAGCAAAGAGTCCCTTTGTGTCTCTGAGCCAGCCACAATCCGCGCCGGCACCCGGAACACCGTCCAAGCCAACTTCACTTCTCGGGCAGTCGGCTCAGCCTGGGCAAGCCACTACCTCACCTCTCGCTTCCCTGAACCCGTTACGCTCAGGAACTTCGGCGCCATTCACCTTCCCGAGCTCGACCCCAGCGCCCTCCGTCTCAAACGACAATCAACAAACTACCTCAGCGTTACCGCCTGCGCCCTCACTTTTTGGCAGCGCTACTTCTAAACCGATCACCGCTCCCCCATCGTCACAAAACACAGGTTCTACCCAGTCAGACGCCACGTCGTCTTCTCTGTTGGGGTCAGTTCCTCCAGCCGGCGCGCCTCTATTCTCAACGGCCTCCTTCGCAAAACCAACAGAACGGCAACCTAGCCCAGCTCCGCCCGCCGTCCCTTCAATATTTGTCTCTCCACGTTCCGCTACGGGGCAGCCTACGGGGCAGCCTACGGGGCAGCCTACGGCACAGGAAACACAGCCTACCCTTTTCCCTTCCGCTTCCCAGCTACCTGGAGCATCACCCTTATCTGCTTCCACATCGCCTACTGCGGCTATTTCCGCCTCGCCCAAGCCCCAGAAACTGCCCAAGCGAGATCTGATAGGCGACTTTACGAAATGGTTCGTTAAGGGCGACGATGGTATCATGGAGCACTTCACGGAAGAAACCTTGCGGATCATGCTCTGGGATGTCTGGCAAGACTTCCAGAGAGAGGAAGCTGAACGGAAACGGAGGGCTGAGGACGAGGAATCTTGGCGGATCGCTCGCGAACATCTCAGGCACCGCCTACAAACCAAGTACTTCTACAAGTGGCGCAACAACGCTCGGTCTCTAGCCACGAAACGCATCCTCCGTGAAGGCAAAGAAAAGATGCGCTTGTATCGCGAGCAACAGCAAGCCCTCCTGAGACAGCAACAGGCAGAAAAGGAGAAGGCGGAGAAAGAAGCCAAACGAGCCGCTAAGAGACAGCTCATGGACGACACTCAACGCATTAGCCTGCTCGCTGCATCGACGCGCCGTCGTGGCAGCATCGCCTACAGCGCCGACCACAACCCCGAAGAGCAGCTCCTCGCAAGCGGCGTGCTCTCCGGCCTGCGCGACGATCCACGCTCTGTCGCCCGCCGCGTAGTCCGAGAAGCCGGTGACGCGTGGGCGGTGGCCAGCGCCCCGCGCTCCTTCGGATACGCCGAGTCGGAGCTCGAGCTCGAACCGGCGCCATCAACCCGGGCCTCTCCTGACGCCAGTAGCGTTGGCGGCAGACGCGAGGGTTGGAAGACGCGCTCGCTGCGCGAGAAGTTCGGCATCGAGCCTCGCAGGAGCCTCTCGGCGAGCGGGTCTGTCGTCAACGGCGATTCCTTTCGATCGTCTTCCACGTCCCGCTTCCGGCAGTCGCTTCCTGGGAACGGGGCGAGCAAGATGACGAATTTCTCGAGGAAGAGATCCGCCGAGCATGACGAAGGCGATGACGCGCATGGAGCCAACAAGAAGCACTCTGTTTACGTCAACGGCTCAGCAAAGCCGACTGGGCTCGCCAAGTCGCGACACTGGGAATTGCGCGTCCGGGGCTTCGTCCCCATGCCGGATGGAAATTGGTTACCCGAGGCCATTGCCAAGTCTGCGAAGGAAAAGAAGGCATCCGGGTCGCCGCCGGATGACGCGTACGAACACTCGCCCCCGCTGGAGGATATCGACATGGCGAGCGGCGGCGCAGACAGCCGCGCAGCGTCGCCCACGCCATCGGACCTGCGTCTGCGCCTGGCGAGGCTGATCAAGAAACCTCCTCGTCCGTCATTCTACGGTCACGGGTCGAGGCACAGCGTAGACCTGCCAACCGCCACCTCGACGGCCGGGTTCGCGGCAACGAACGGCTTGCTGTCTACTTCGCCGCCGCACCCGCCCTTTGGTGTCCCCGGGAGGAGCCACAGCGGAGATGGGCAGTCTGGGTTAACGGGCAAGAGAAAACGTGCGTCGGGCGTGGACGGAGAGGATGGTCACGTGGGAGATGAGGAAACCGAGATGTCGCCCTTGGCTAGGAAGAAGGCGAATCTGGTTGATGTTGCGACGCCGGGCAGGGAGGAGACGAGCGCCATCGTGGAGAACACGAGGAAGATGCTGCGGGATCTGAGGGAGTTTATGGATCGGGTGGACCGGGAAGAGGGTATCAAGACGTGAATTTGGGAGAGGGGGAGGATTAAAGTCAGTAAGAAAGCACCGAAGGAGATCTAGGAAGCTGTTGAATGGCTTCGGCATCACGCAAGGTCAGGCATAAGATGCCCGGGTGCAACGGGGAGGGACTTTCAAGGGGAGGGGGTGCTGGTGCATGGAATGTGAACACAAACAAAGCATATACTGGCGTTTCTGGGATGGGGAAACTGGGAAACCCTGGATCACGCATTAGCCGTTTGCTTATCTGCCTAGCTTTCAAGACAATGGCGTTCCCTGGGTGTCATATTTCATCGTATCTTGTGTTTGACTTTCTTCCGGTGGTGTATTGTATGTATTGTATTGTACAGTCAGGGTTCAAAAGTCTGTCACACCACATCAAAATCCCCCGCCACCCGTTTTCTAGGTCACCACAACCATCAACATATCTCTACATAACGCAGCACCACCAACATTCCTAGCAAAATAGATATATACAGATAGAAGCCCTGGTTCTAGCCATCAATATTTTGTATACCAACCCCTAGCTTTCTGGACTGCAGCTAATCGCCGGGGCATTGAGTTAATGAGACCATCAATTTGAGCCTGGTCAATTGCCCACCAACATGCCCGAAGACATCGAGTAAACTCAGCTATATCTAGCTGGTTTTTCTTGAGTAACCAGACATCTGGATATAGCTACTTCATCCTCCGTTTTAATAGAGCCTATATATGCTCGATTGGATTAAGATCTGGGCTATAGGCTGGCCAGTCGGATAGGACCTCGATCATATGCTTCATCAGCCACTCGGTCGAGGATGCAGATGTATATACTCGGGCATTATCCTGCTGGAAGTGCCGAGTACCATCGTAAATTAGAAGAAGACCCTTTTCCAATGCCTGCTGATAACTCCAAGAGCTATATCCTCCTTTTTACGGTGGTTGGTAGTCACGTTCTATGATAATAAGGTCGGTCCTCCCCCTTTTCCAAATGCCACCCCAAATTATAATTGAAATCGTGCCTTTGCTATAGCTCTGGAGGTTAACGAAGCTCTTATCCTATTTTTAAGAAGGGAACCGGAAGACCTAAGTTATTGGGTTACTCGAATTATTTTGGCAAGACAATTCGTCGGTGAAGATAGACTAGAGGTTAGTTAGTAAAATTCAAGGTTGACTTCCAAGTCACTTACTCGGATTAAGATCTCGATATCCTTTAACCAAAGGCACGCAAATTGATATCTATCCTTTGCTACTGCCTTCGTCAATAGGATTCTCTTTTGTATACGCCACTTGCGTATCCGATGATGGCGAAGAACCTGGTGTATCGTTGATCGGGAGATACGGCCGTCTATAGTATTGATCAGCATCTGGGTTATAAGCTAGGGACGCCGTTTAGCCAATTGTAGAATATACCGCTTTTCCCGACATATAAGAATCTCTGGCCGGCCTGTTCGAGGCTTGGACTCAACAGTGGTGGATGATTCGAACCGTTGAAGGATGCGGTAGACAGCCGTCCTATCGATGCGAAACGCGCGGGCAACGGCTGACTGGCTAGCCCCGGCTGCAACGGCACCTATAATAGCTGCACGTGCAGTCGGTGATAGTTCCTGGCCAGGTTGACGGCCGGCCGTCAATTTGGCCCCGATTTCGGCCAAATTGACCATGGTGGGCTAAAGTTGGGTTGGTTAGAAGATGGAAGATGGTGCGTGTCATGTCGCGACGCGCGTTTAATTGATGTGGGGTGTGACAGACTTTTGAACCCTGACTGTACATACTACGGTATTATTTAAAGCATTGCATGGCCGGGCCACGGAAGTCCTGGATGGTTGTGGACCGCGACCACGATGGATTGGCACCTTCCCTTATTCCTGGGGAAATATCTTCCTGCTAGTATGATACATAATAGTAAGAAAGAAGTGCAAGCGAGTGACACGCCCAGCAGCTGTAACCGGTCTCCAACTCGTGTGTCTGTAATTGTATTTGCAGCCGAGCGAGCGTATCAGCCTCGGGCCCCTGATGTGCCACGACAGTGATGCTCGTTAGGAGGCTCGGGATGAGGCATAGGTAGGAGAGATATGATGAGGGCATAATGATCCGGTACTAATAGTTATGGCATGTGTAGCGGCCTGGCCCTGTCCTAACGGGCAACATTTCCAAAAAATTGTATGTAGCAGCACCCCCCATCCCCCAGTTAAGCGCCCCCGGAATCAACATCTCGCGACTGGCGCCTTGAACTCCTATTCCGCGTGTTCAGCAGTTTGTAGCCCCATCATGAATGCTATCCAACCCGGGTCCTGGATGAACAAAGGGAAGCATAGGTGTCCTGGGTGTGACCGAGCCCTCAAACGCCCAACAAGCCCAACAAGCTTGGATTATATATTATTACATAGTGATGCGTATGCACTAAAATCACCGCTTCGGCGGCGCGGGGAACGCAGTCTGAATCTCCCACGACTCGACGGGGCTCCCTTGTCCCAAATTCTTGGGGCTCTTCCTCCCCAACATTCCACTGCTTCGTTTGGTCTTCAACGGCGGTGGTGGCGGCGGCGGCGGAACAGCGTTGGGGTTGCTCAGTCGGATGATGCGCTTCTCCGCCTGTTCCTGCTTCTTCTGGTCGGGGAGCGGCCAGCCGTGGCTTTTGAGCAGCGGAGTCATGCCCGTCATCCCTGTGTTGTCCGGAATGATACCCGTCCCAATCTCCGTGGTGGCCGATGTTGGACTGCCCGCCTGGACGTGCACGCCGTGCTCGGCGGGGATGTAGGGTTTCACGGGCGGGAAGAGGGCCGATGTGCTGCGGACTGACTCGGCGGAGAGTGGAGATCTGTAGTCGTGGTACGAGCCGCCGCCCGACGACGGAGAGGCGTAGGCTTGGGGAGGAGCGGCGGGCGGCATGCTAGTGCTAATTTGAAGCGGAAGGCCAGCCATGGTGGCCTTTCTGGAGTCGTGAGGGGTGTTCTCTCCTTGGTTGTAGAGGAAGTTTGGGTCGTGAGGTTTCCACATGGACGATCGTTGGACTGGACCATCGGGACTGTAGGCTGCCGGTGTGGACACGCCTTCTTCGGCACCGGGCCAGAAGCGGGGCGATACCATGTGCGTTTGGCACTGGAAGGACATGGAAGAGTGGTGACGGCGGTTGATGCCGCTGTAGAACTCGGTCTCGGCGCTGGCGCGTGTATGCCTGTTTCTCCGCCTGCGAACGCAGACGAAGCTGATGGCGGCGACGAGGAGGAGGAAAGCTACAGCGCCGACGGCGATGCCGATGATCACTGGCGTTGCCAGGCTCGGCTTTGAGTCACGGTCGTCATCAAGCGTCTTCGGGTCGACAATGCCGATCTGCGTGTCAGAAAAGATGGTGTCGTTCAAGCCAAGCACCGCGCCTGGGGCGGGCTGTTGCAGGCAGCCGGCTTGCAGGGCCACAAAGTCTAGCAGAGTATGGTCAGCACGCGCACCCTTTCCGTTGGATTCTCCGGCTCTTACAGTTGGCCAGATACTCGGTCGTTCCCATAGCAGAGAGGCAAGGTATACACATATCAAAATTGGCAGAGTCCAAGGCGGCGCTACCTCCAGCCGAGCAGTAAGAGTAGGCCGTCGTGTTTCCCGGGCTTGGGATACCATGCTCCACGCTGGCCTGCAGATTACCGCAGGCCCGGCTCGTGCTGCATGGTGTCGAACCGACGTCGGTTGCATTGGGATAGCCGAAGACGCAGTACGCAGCTGTGTACCTCAAGTTATCTAGTTCATAGGTTAGCAGCCGGTTCGATTGGCGGACTGGGAAAGACGTACAGAGAAACCACTTAGTATCACTCTCACTCCCCTGCGAGAAGGTGCTGGACTGCAGGCAAGTCATGCAATCCTTGAACTTGGTGCCGGCGGCAGTCGAGTAGTCGGCATCCTGGCACGAGATGTCGGAATTCTTGGTATTGGAAGAATTGGGATCCGAGGTGTCGAGATCGAGCGAGTCGCGGCATACGGACGAACACGGGGAGTTTGGCGTTACTTGAAGTGCTGAAGAGAGCCGTGGCACTGAACATAGGGCGAGAAGTGTGAATAGGCTTGATCGTGGTATCCACTGGTAAGGAGCCATGTTGCTGTCGGACGGGCCAAGTCGAGGTCCGCAAAAGTATTAGGAGTAGTCGAAGTCCGGTTCCAGCCGGGAAGTCTTCAGGGACGTCAAAGAGGTTAAGGTATTTTTACACAAAGTTCCCCTATTATAGACGGAGATCGACGAAGAGAAGTCCGGACGCTAGCAATCTAGCAGTGGCAAACAAGCAGCACAGAAAAGGAATGCAAACAAAGAACAGGAAGCCCATCAGGAACACAGACTTGGAGCAAGGGGGAGGAGAGGTAGAGCTAAGTTTCAAATGGCCAACTGCATCTGCACAGCTGGAGCACTGGTTCTTTGGCGAGCACTTCCGTGCCGCCCGTGAATGCTTGATCAAGGAGGTGTAGGGCAGGTGAATGTGACGGCGCTGCATGCAACCTCTGAGACCTGAGCAGAACCGGCAACCTAGTGGGGTCCATACCTGGTATCACGGCAGCGGGTGAGACTGCTCAGGTACGGCACCGTCAAGCTGACCTAGGCTGGATCGGGGTGTGACAGGAAGCTGTGCTGCCGCTTGTCATCCTGGCGCGGTCCCTTCAGCAGGGGCTGCCCAATCATCACGCATCTGTCAACCATCGGCAGCGCAACCATGGTCGATCGCTGATCCCGATGTGGCGTCGATATCATATCGGCAACAACGGCTTGACTTCCAGCCAATAATTGCTTAGCAGTCGACAAAGCGTCGTCGAGGACTCATCTGTTTGTTGGCAGTGTGGTGTGGTTAAAGGGCAAGCTGCAACATTACGCGCGCTTCATTCAACTGACGGTTTGCACTGCCGCGCTTCTCCGGCCGAAGCTGAGCTCACAATGGGCCAAGCTGAGCAAACATCAGATGACAGACCGGAAGATGTCCCAGCAGTATGGTTGATTGCTTGCCTCTCGAGCGGCCGCAGTGGGCTTTGACATCCTGTTCCAGGGTCAATGTTTCTTCGAATGGTCGAAGTGAGGCGTGGTGGGGCCAACTCTTGGCGGGCGCTTCTAGGACCTGCCAAGACACGCTATGCCAGATCGGCACGGAGATCGGAGCTTAAACCAACAGCAACCGCTGCCGAGATCTCATTGGCCTTTTCCCCTGCAAACAGCTTCTGCATCTCATCACCCAACATCACATGGCCTCACTAGTGTAGATACATGCAGAATGTGAAAATCATCACCGTGTGAAGCGCTAAGCAGAGTAAGAACCTGTGAAGTCCCAGACACGCGATATCATAACGATCCACCTCCTTTCTAGAGCCTCCCAGCTCCAATGCGCTACTGCAAGAGCCCGCAGTGAATGGCAGACATCCAGCTGCCGGGTACGGCAAGGAGCTGTTACCTAACTCGTTCTTCGGCGTGCTCGCTCTTTTGGTTGCGGGTAAGCATGACGCCAGTGGGAAAAGGTATTGTGAGATGTTAGCCGAGAGACAATTCTCTGTTTGCCGCATAACTACTACGCAGTCCGCTTGGTTGCGTGTTGGACAGACGCCCGCTACCCATTAAGATGAGCACTGCCGCTAGCCAGACCGCTTGAGTACATGTACGAGTTTCACTCGCAAGCTGCTGGGCACTTCAGTCTTTTTAAGGTTTTTCCATTTCTATCAGCCTCTTTACCGTACTTCTCCACATCAGTAGTCCTTCCTCTCTCAACGGAGTGAGAGTTGATATCGTTGTGATTTCACTTAGTCAATAATGCCAGAGGCGCGTCGCCTACTATATAGTAACTAAGGTCTATCTCAAACAGTGAATGACCAAGACGACACAGAATGTTGCGAATACCTGCTTACTGGGTTCACCGACTGTACTATGATCCTGACTATTACCAGGTACTGGTTGGCACCAGGTAAGAGGAAACCCTACTGTCGACGGTGCTTTGCCCGGGAACCTAAGCGGTTCACCCTTCTGCATACCACACCCGGCTCTTCGGGTGTGACGCATCTCACCCGCATGCCAGCGCGCCATAGGACCTTCAGATGACCTGAACTCTCATTTATTTACTCTGACAGAAGCCTGGAACGTTATTAACAACTAAATTCCACCATTATTCCGACAGAAACCGCCTATAACGCCAGTCATATTTTCCATGTAGCCACAGCCAACAGCCAGCAGAACGCCCCTTTGACCCAGACAGGAGAGACACAGAGAAGGCTTAGTAATCGGGGCTCGCACGGGACTCGGCAGAGTCGGGGGAGTCGCTGGAGTCGCCAGGAACCCGGTAGACGCGCGGGACCCGATGGACACGGGAGTCGCGGGGAATCCGGGAACGGAAACCGCGAGAGTCCTTGGAGTCGTCAGGGATCCGGGAGTCGCGAGGAATCCGGGAGTCGCGAGGAATCCGGGAGTCATGAGGGATCCTGGAGACACGGGAGTCGCGAGAGTCACGGGCGCCCCGGGACTCGCGAGGGTCGCGGAAGTCGTGTGGAATGCGGAAGCCGCGGTCGTGGGGAATGAGGGAACGCGGGGAGACGCGGTACTAATCGCTGTCGTCCTCCTTGTCCGCCTCCTTTCCCTTGTGACCCTTCTTCTCCTTCTTCTCCTTCTTCTGGCGCTTTCGCTCCGCCTTCTCCTCGGGCGTCTCGCCCTCGTGCTTCTTCCGCTTCTTCTTCGTGTTCGCGTCAGCCTTCTCCTCTGTGGCCGGCTCAGGCAGGGCATCAGGCTTCTTCTTCTCCGGTAGGGCGGCCTCGGGCTGCTCGGGAGCAGGAAGAGCGGTAGGGGTAGCAACAGCCTCGGCCGCTACGCCGTAGTCAGTGTAGCTCTGCTTCCAGTTGGCCGGGGTAGCGTCGTTTGGCCGGCCGAACTTGTCGAGCTTTCCATCCGCCTTGAGCTTCTTCTTCTCAAGCGCAACAGGACCGAGACCCCAGCGGCGGGGGTAGAGATCGCGCTCCATGATGCAGCGCTTAACCTTGGCAACGACGCCGTGGTCGCAAGTAGACATCCTGTGCAACAGTCAGCGAATCCTTGTTCCCGATGTTACCTCGGGCCGGTCAACATACTCAACAGTGCTCATCAAGGCGATACCAATGGCGATAGCCTCGCCTTTGGTCGTCATGAGGACAACCTCCTCATGAGCGTCAATGCCAGGGTCATAGCGGAGCAGACCCGGTAGCATGAGCTTCGCACCATAGCAAACGGCATTGACAGCCGAGTCCTTGACAACAAGACGCTTGTATGTGCAGAGCAGCGTCTCAAGCGGCTGGATGACCCTGCGCAGGTACGACTCATCCCCGCAATTGTCATACTGCCACTGGGCATCGAGGACATCGTGCAAAGTAACCAGCGAGCCATTGTCCTCCGACATGACACCACTACGAACACGGCGCAGCTCCTGCATGTGCGCGCCAACGCCGAGCAGCAGACCCAGGTGCACGCAGAGCGTCCGGATGTAAGTGCCGGCCTCGCAGGATACCCAGAAGACGCCGAGATGGCGATCGTTGTCAAACTCGAGGAGCTTGCTCTCATGGATCGTACGAATACGGAGCTGTCGCTTGACGGCCGAGATAAGAGGCGGGCGCTGGAACAGGGCACCAGTGAGGGTCTCGAGAGCCTTGGCGAAGGCGGGCTCACCGCCGGGGACTGTGGCGTGGAACCGGATGACAGCAACGTACTCCTTGCCTGCTCCCTGCTGGGCCTTAACGAGGCGTGTGGCGCGATCTATGCAGACAACTGTTCGGGGTTAGCAAGACCATGATGTATCACCGGCGTATGATGCCGAGTTCACGACGGATCACGTACTCAAACAACCGGTGACCTTGGGGTCAAGAGTGCCGGAGTGACCAGTCTTTTCCACACTGCAGCAATCGCGTTAGCAATACTCGTTCATTATCACCTTTGTGCACGACCATACATACCGAAGCATCCGCTTCAGCCAAGCGACAACCTCGTGCGACGAGGGGTTAGACGGCTTGTCAAGGTTGATAACTCCGCTAGAGACATAAGACTTGATGTCGCGCTTGTAGGGCGATGAACCGTTGGGAATCGGCGTGAAGTGGCCGGAGCGCACAAGCATCCGGTCGTAGTTCTTGAGCAGCAGGGGCCAGGTGCTCGTGTCCAGTGACGGCACCGTGTTTTCAGGCTTGATGACCCACTGGCCATCATCCTCCTTACCCTCCTTCCTCACGACTGCCATTGAGTCCGCCATTGGAAATCTATGATATGTTGATGTGGCGCTGTGTTGGTTTCGTATGCCAAAGCGTCCCCCCACTCAGATCTCGAACCGATTGAGCCAAGCACAAACGAGCTCGAGTCTGCGCGCGCAGTCGAGAAACTAATCGAGTCCTAGTATAGCCTGTGCACTTATAGGTGGACCGTGAGGAGATTCCACGCGTCGGCCGGCGAGCTGGGTCGAGTAGTCGGACAGTCGCCGTACGAGTTTCCACCGTTGTGGTTCAAGTTGGTGTCAACTCCAAGAGCTTTCATCCAGAAGGTCCCGAATTTTTTTTGAGCCGAAGGCATTGTGGGGAAGGATTGGCCAGAGGCGCTAACCTGTTATGGTACTCGGCTATGGTGATATCTGCTTAAGCGAGCGTCTCGAAGCCGAGGTTTAACCGGTGTGATGGTCCGTGAATCGAGAGTTCCCAAAGCCGAGAGAGCTTTCAAGGTCTATATCCCACTGGGAATAGGTGACTTTATGCATCACATTGTCAGGCAGCTTGGCTAGTGCATGGGCAGATCAGGAATTGGATGGGCATTCACGATTGCTGAGCACTGTAGGATGAGGCGGTTCCGCAAGTTAGCCATTGACACAGTTCGGATTCCTGTGTTTAGTGTTTCCTGTTTAGTGTTTCCCGTGAAGATAGGTTGCGCCTCGTCCTCCTCAACTATAGAGCGGCATTCTCCAATAATATACGATGCAACAAAGCAACGGATTGCTATGAGGTGGCTTTCACGAATGTCTCCAACTCCGACTCCATATCCTGGGTATTATGTATAAAAGCGAAACAAAGAACCAGACACGGGCTCACGACAGTCAGCCTTCAAACTCCTCGGGTGAGATCGTCCTATGACACGGTGGTTTCTCTGATGTTGTGTGCAGACCAGCCCTCTCCCATGCCAAGTCCAACACCGCCGCTCGCAGGGCCCCCTGTGCCACCCGAGCCGGGCCGCGACCCGTGATGCCTCCCATAGCCGGGGTGATGCAGCACCGGCGCCTGCGGCTCAGCCGGCAACCTGGCAACATAGCCGTAGTTCTGAGCATCCCCATTCCCATTCCCATTATCGTACGGACTCTGTACCTCGTGCATCTCGTATGCCTCGTCGCGCTCCTTACCCTTGGATTCGATGGGGTACCCGTTCAGATTCAGATTCGATGCTTTGGACCGCAGGCTCGCATCGTCCCCACCCAAGGCGATTCCAATTGCAAGCTCATTCTGTCTTTGCTCGTGATGTGCATGCACCTGCATCAGCATCTTCTCCTGCGTCGCAGTTGGCCACTGCGAAAAGGCAGGCGGTGGTGAGCTGTGAGCCGGCGACTGAGTCTGTATCAGCTGGTTAAGCTGCTGTTGGGACGGGAATGAAGGCCAGTTGGCGGTACTGGGACCGGGTCCTTCAGGCCCCGTCACAGGGCTGGTGTACTGGCTCGAATAGGGGCTGAAGTAGCGCTGGTGTGGCGTGCCAGACGGCGCGCTCACGGGGCTCTCATTGTCCCATCCACGCAGCGGCTTCTGGCTGACGGGCGTCTCGAACATGTCCTCGCCGCTGCCGCCACCGTACCGGGTCTTCGGGTGCGGCCAACCCTGTGCGCCCTGACGCCGCTCCAGTTCGCGTAAAAAGGCGCGTCTCCTCCGCTTGCCGTTGCACACGATGCAGAAACCGGCTATGGCGAGGAGAAAGGCTAGGCCGCCGAAGGCGATGCCGACACGCGCGCCGAGGGAGACAGGGCCGTAGTCTGGTGTTGGCACTGTTGAATAGGCTGGTTGCGGCGCGACGATGGTAATATTGGTGGTACTGCTGAAGACATCGCCGTTGATCGAGACAGTGGAACCGGGTGCAGGCTTCTGCTCACACGCTGCTTCTAGAACCGTCATGTAGTTGTTCAGGTACATGCCGCCCCATTCATCTCCGAGATTGACGAGACATGGCAAGCATTGGTGAAAAACGACGTCTCCTGACCAGGCCCGGCAATAGTCGTAGGCACCCACAGCGGTGGTCATATTTTGGTAATTGACGGCACCCTCAAGCGGCTCGCATGCCCGACTTCGTCCGCCGTTAGCCCCTGCCTATTGACCCAATAAGCTAGGAACCGGCGACTCACCCGGTTATACATGGGTTGGCATCACCCTCAAATAGGCAGTGGTCGACATTGAACCGCAGATTATCTGGGAGTCTCACGGTGAGCCAGAAAGCACAGCTGGGTAAGTCAATGGAATACATACAGAGAAGCGCTTGCATATCTGACTGGTTTCCAGAGATATGAGTGCTGGTGAGCAGACAGCCAATACATTGCTCCCACACGGCGCCTTTCGACGTCTTTGCAAGAGTTCCAGTGTCACAGGCCATCTCCTCTACTTGTGTTGAGGACAGGGTAGTGCCGCAGAATTTTGAACAAGGGGAGTCGGGCGCGACCAGCAGCGACGCCGCCAGCGGCGCCGACGCGACCGTCGCGATCGAGAGGCGAGCGGTGTTGATCCGCATCGTAATGGTGCTTTCGGCGCTTTCTACGTTAGGGGATCTCCAGGTGTGTGGTCGACAGGGAATGGTAGGCTGCGGCCCTTCGGCCTTGTGAATCCGGGTCGTCGGTTACCTTCACCTGGTCGTGATTGCGGGGACGCAGCACGACAGCTCGGGAAGGACAATCACTGTCGCACAAACCGTTTGTGCAACATTATCGACGATAGCTTTTCAGATTTTGGGTTCCGGTGAACCAGGTCGAGGAGATGGAATGGAAGTGGTAGCGTTGGGAGATAATAGGTTTGGCCCGACTGGAACGACATAGACTGAGGGCAGGTTGACTGACAATGATATCAACTAAGCGCGCACATTCTTCCGCTGTGAGATGTTTGTTGGTGCTCGCAGACGGCAGCAACGCCTGCAGGTGTGACAGTGACGAGGTGAGAAGAAAGACAGTGAGAGCCCGAAATCTGCCGGACCCGGTCCGAACCAACACAGCTGCTCGGCCCCTATGGCTGCGCGCGGGGAGGCCATGGGTGTGATTGGGGGCCCGGAACAGGCCGTGGATGCACAATGGGAAATGTTGATTGCCTCCAATCGCCCCGATTTTCGCCATGGCTGCGTACAGGTTCCAACCCCAGCGACCACAGCTGCACGGCTACGAAGGGGGAGAGGTATGCCGCTGGATGGCACGGTCGACGGCTAGCAATGCATGTCTTCACAGCATTGACCAGTCGCAGCGCAAAGACCAGGTGCTTGCTGCAAGGGCCGTGCACCTTCACAGACCCCACCTGGATCCGTCATTCTTATTGGCTGTCACTCCGTTACCCGTGACCCACGACTTGCCCAATCTGGCAGAAGCTGAGCAGGGACAGTCCAACGGCTTGCGGAGCACCTCATCCTCACCTTCGCAAACCAGGACTCTTCTGAAGTTCCGACACTGGCCCCCAATGTGGCGGCCATGGCTTCTGGCCAGGGGCTTGAGAACCAACATCGGGTTTCACTGCATTACATACATGTAGGTATTCTGCTCGTCTTCCATGTTCTGTTGGGGACTTCTGCCCCCGAGTTCCATCCGTTCGCCCCTTCTTCAGCCCCCCGCAAGGGAAAGAGACTCGGACATTGGAAGTCCACAACGGCAGAATCGAGATTCCGAAAAGCTTGTGTCCTCGGCCGCTGCGGAGACTGTATTCATAGTACTAGTACCTACTCACCTGCTACTGTCAGAACTGAGCAAAACTCCCAAGATGACCTGGATATGCAAGAATCAAGCACTCCCAAGCGCCAGGAATGGTTGATGTGCCCAGCCTAGAGCTTACTGCTTTGTACCAGAGACCATTTACCCAGACTCTTTACTTGCCTTGGGTCTTCCCTTCACCAAACAGGCAAGTGTCCATGATAAAGGGCCGGTCACATAATGCTGCATATTGCTCGACCATCACATTATGCCTCCCCCTGCAACTCCCCATCCAATAAGACAGCATACCTAAGGTACGGTAAGTAGGTAACTCGGGCACTGGCATCGCGCTCATGCCTGAGAGACCGAGGCACTCATGTCACGGCGGTAACCCAGACTGCTGGGACCTCTGCTGTTGCAACGCCGAGGCGACTAGCACCTACACGGTCAAGATCGTCCCGTCCAGGGTCATTATGCATCCAGCTGCTTTGCGTCTTAGGGATAAAGTTTACGATAAAACGCTGACACTATGCTGATGAGGTCCTCTTTTGGTAGAAAGCAATATAGTCTCAGCGCTTACGGATACTGTGAGGAGGTTGTTGACGTTGCTATCTGACGCATGGCTGCGTGTGGCTGATGGCGGCGATCACAAGCAATGAACCAAACCAAGACAAAAAGGCGAGCAGTGGGTGATGAGCACACCTGATACGAACTGGGAAATCATGAGTATCACCAAGAAACAGCCTAACCAACAAAATGAAGCCAACCAACATTCCAGGACTGCCGACTACTAGTACCCCTTTTGCCACGCCCCGCCCCCCTCAGGGGTAATCCTAAACTTATGGCAAGCGCATGAATCTCCTTCCACGAGAAGAATACAATGTTTGATGAGAAATGAAACGGGTTGCAGTACACACTAAGGGGCAAGACATAATTGCCACCTCTCCTTGCCCCTGAACTCACTATCTTACCTAGTACTAACTCCTCTATTCCCATTTCCACCTTGGTCGTCCTATGCCAAATAACTCGTTTCAGACATGCCGGTTATCATAAACTCGTAAATCATCAGGCAACAATGTAGCCACGGCAACCGCGCATCCACAACACTAAGGTACGCATCAGAAGCTGCCAGCTCCTGTCCAGTGCCTTTGCCTCAGACGTCAACTTTCGTCCTCTCTTTCTCCAGGTGGGCTCGATTGTCCTTCGAACGTTGACAAATATGTAGCCGATGTGGCCGTTGGGGTCGAGCAAAGGCCTCAAGTCTGTTGTTGTCGCCTTCAATGGAAAGCCACGAGGGCTGTTTTCTCTCTCCCTCCCTCTCCCTCTCTCCCTCCCTCTCTCTCTTGCTCTCTCGCTCGCTCCCGCTCCCTCCCGCTCCCTCTCTCCCCTCTCGACGGTTGAAAGAAAACGCGTTGTCGTCGTATATTGAGGATGGATATATTTCGTGATGCCTCAGTTTGCCACTGCTGCGCCACCACTCAAGCCAAGACCTTTCCTCCACGGGCCAGGTTGCCCGCCACGTTTTACACCCCAAGGGCTGTACTCATCTTCAAACGGCTGTTTGTCTGCGCGACAAACGGGGATTCGGCTCGCCCTCTGCATGGTCCGAGAAGGACACGGCGTGCCGTAGGGCGGATGGTTGTCGTTGATGCGACCGCCCACTGTGTCTATTCCCCCGAATGACTCCATCGAAAGAATTACTCCTTTGGAGGAGTTTGTTGCCGGTCGTGCTCGGTGACGCGGGGAGGATGCCAGACGGCGAGACATGACCGCCCCTTCCCCAGTCGTTTCTGGACGCTGGCCGGTAGAGGTCCGATTCATACGCAGCTGGGGCCTCCGGGTCCGATTCGTCGAAGGCTAGGTCCGAGCAGCCGGTGTTCCGGGCCAGATTCTGAAACTTGGGTGAGCTCGGCCGATCGTCCCGCGATGACCTGAAGTCGAGTGCCGAGCCAGGGCGTGTTCTCAGTTCGTCCAGGACGTGTGCTAGATCGGCCCAGTCATTGCTGAGCGGCCCGGAGTAGGGGACATCTTCCGGCTCGTCCGCCTGCTGTTCGGGTTGTCCAATGCCATCATCACGATGACCAGGAGCCTCTTGCATTTCGAGAGATAACGCACTTTGCACCCCTCCCGCCGTGGCGCGTCGGGGCTGAGTCTCTGGCGATTCCCTGGTCTCTTCCTTCTCATCTTCCTCCTCTTCCTCCTCCACAATCGATTCCTTCAAAGCGGACAAGGTTGGCTCGTGTCTCCAAAACCAGCCGGGTGCCTTCGCATCTATGGGGGTAGCGCTCCATCCGTCCTCGTCAAACGGCGTGATAGGGGTCATCGTTGCCCCTCCACCGAAAACGGCCGAGTGTGAGCCATCGGGGTGGTGCCAGGGATACGGGCTTGGTTTGTTTTGGGACCTCGAGGGGGAGGTCGGAATTGCCATGCTTGTTTGTTGCGGACGCCGCGTAAACCCTGGAGTATCCGGGAACTCTGTGTCGATGACGATGTCGTCGGTGACGGCGCTGTCGATCGCGATGTATTCGTCATGCTGCGGCCGGGTGGGGATCTGAAGACGTGTTGGTGACCGGCTGTCTGTTGGTGTTCCGCCCGGTTTGACAGGCTGTGCCAGCCATGGCAGCCGCGGAGACGATACTTTCCGGGGGCTACCAAACCCGATCGCGATTCCGGACTCAGAAAGATGGCACTGGCGTACTTGGTCCTCTTCCGGGGAGATGTCGCCCGGAATTTCCAGCTTTAACCTGCCATCCACTTTGACTTTGGTGTCCAGGGCGGGCTTGGCCTCGAAATAGTCGTCCGTCTCCCCTGCGTCGGCATCGGTCAACTTGCTCCGGGGCGGCTGATTCGTGTCGACAACCAAAAGTTCATTCACCCCACGCCCAAGAACGCCGTAAACAAAGACCTCGCCCTTCTTGATGCCGATCACAGCGCTTGTACCAGTATACGTGGCTTCGTCTTCGGCACCGATCCGGTTGCAGAAAACGACGATGATTTCCTCCTCCTGTTCTGCGCGGATGAGCGGCTCGAGGCGCTGGACCCAGTAGACTAGTGTCTCAAGATCAGGTTCCGCAGGGTTGAGAGTGAAGAGACTGGCGTCTTGATGGGTCTGCCACGCCATGGTCAATATCACCACGTTTGCCTGTGCTTCGAGGACATGATAGCCGAACTCGAAGGCGTCCCAGGGGGCTTCGAGCTTGTAGGGGCTGCTGGGGGTGTCAGCGGCACTCCGTCGGAATTGACAAGCAAGAGACGAGCAAAGCATACTTCAGATCTGTGCAGATGCCCAAAGCGACACTACCAAGCCTGGGTATCTCGCCACTGAAGAAGCCGTCGGCGCCTTCTAGAGCCCAAGTCTCATCGGTGTAATACAGGAAAGACTTCCTGTAGTTGCCAATGCTATCTCCGTCGCCGTTGACAACGATGGCCGAGTTGTAAAACTCAGGAGAGGCCGGCCATTTCGCTGAGACGTCTACCTGCTCAGGGTAGCCCACCACGACGGTGCAGTCGTACTTGAGGGCAGTGGTTCGCGCCCACAAAGACGTGATGCCGGAGTCTGCCTCTTCGAAGAAAGGGGAGATGTGCTTCAATGACTTGAAGTTGTAGCCTGTGGCTCACATGTTAGGGCTTCCACGCGAGGACATTGGAATCTTGGATGGGCTGGATGCCGTTGCCAATGTTGGGGCCCTGAGAAAAAAGACCGTACCGGTGAAGGCGAGCTCCGGGAGGACGAGCAAGTCCAGACCGTCAAGCTCGTCTGCGTTTGCTTTATGGAGGACAGCATCGGCGCGGTCGAGGTTATTCTCAATGTCGCCGACGCGCGGGGCGAATTGTAAGCAGGCAATCCTCATGGTGTCCAACTGCTTGGCTCAGCCTTATACACGGTATGGAATAAATCAGGTTACCCGGTTTACAGCACCGGCAATAATGGCCATGCCCATGATGTACAATACGACGGGATGAGGGAATCCAGGGGCTTGAACTCCGGTGGGAATCAACTGCGAAACCAGGGGTAAACTATCCCCGTGCGAAGCGGGGGGCGGGCACAAGTGTTTCCCGGACATACCTACTGTCCGTCCGTGTGTATGTACAACACACAAACCGTTACCTTGTAGATCTAAGTTTAGGTAGTAAGTAGTAGTAGCGTATGAAGACTGACCGGCAACGGACCCATGAAAAACGGCCAGGCCGGCTGATTGATTGGCAGCGCGACCAGCAGTGCCATACCAAGACCGCTAAGCGCCGACCGCCAGTGTGAGCGTGTGACAGGCCCGGGCCAGTGTCACGCTAAATAAGTTACCGGCAGGGAGTTTCTCTTCGATGTTTGCTGCCGGATAGGCCCGGAAGCCCAGCTGCAGGGGCCCATACCTACATACGGCACTGCCGGGACGGAAAGGATTTAGGTGAGCCTCGGGCTGCATGTTCTGCATGCAGAATCTGTCTAGCGGGGACGGCTGGAGTGCGTCGTCTAATGCCTCCTGGACCAACTGCGTAAGGCGAGGGAAGGATGAATCATGAGCTCCCAAGAGGTAAGCATATTCCTGATCAGTTCTTGGAGTTCTCGTCCCGTCGCCTAGAAAGGCATCGTTCTTGGTCCGATGCTGTGTTCCCTGGGCTCTCTCGAATGGTCATGCTCAGCTGACTCGGATACTTTGCGGATACTTTGTGGCCCTAGCGTATTATCTGTGTCGCTATCCCGGTCGTGCATTCTGCAATCGAGCGGCCAGTGCCGGCCGCAGGTGACAGGTCTGATGCGTGTCTTGGCAAGCTGGAGATCAGCCACTGAGAAGGCTGGATGCTTGAAACAAACGGCGGGCTGGTGCTTTGATTGGTCCAAGTGCCATGCGGGGGTGAAACGGAGGGACCAGGGGCTGGCTCAGGACGGTGCGATACTGCATTCTCGGTCAGTTTTGGTCAAGTTGTACAGTTCCATCACTGCGAGTCCCCACGGTCTGCCAGGTCTGAGAAGCACAATGTCTCGTGCTTCTTGCTTCTGATACACGCTTAGCTGAAAAGGGCCACTGCTGGAGAAAACCTGGAACCGGTCGCAGATGCGGATAAGGTACTGTCGGGCACTACGGGGCGACGCCGTTTCCCAACGCCTGCGCAGATCTTCACATCAGCCAGAACCGGGACCAGCAATGTTGTTGTCACGGTTGCGCTGCTGAAGCTCGGCACCTCGAAATTCCATTGCACCACCCCAAGAGCGGAATGGGAACTAGGTAGGTAGAAAGCAGGTCAGAACATCAAGGAACGCAGAACGAACAGAGAGCCTTCTCCCTTAGCCTCCGTTTCTGTCCCGTCCCTGAAATACACCAGATCTCCAGAACCTAACGGCTGGCTGGTCCAAGACATCTGCGGCCACAGCCCCCTCAACCCCCCCCAAAATCCTACCATGTAGTTTTGGCCTCCAAGTGAGGCGTCTCTGCTTGTGCCCCCTCAACCGACAACTGCAAACCTTCAGCGCGACAGCCACCAACAGTTACACGGGGCTAATTAGGGCATCTGCTCTCACCGCAGAATCCCCTTAATTAGGTAAGGTACTTAGTAAGGAGTCTGCAACGCTGGCCAGCCCTCTCAGGCGAGCCTGTGGTCTGCCCCTCCTCGCGCCCGTCCCATTACATACTTCCGGAGCTTCCATGCATGGATAATAAAGGCATCTACCAGTATTCCTCCGGCGACGTGGCTGCCACGAGCGCTCGGCGTGAATAAGCGCCGACACCCTCGCAAATCGCTCCGGGCAGTCTGGAATGGGAATGTCAACGAGGCTTTCTTTTACCTTTTCTGGCACCATTGTCTTCCGTTTTCGGTCAGGATTTTACGCCTCTGCTTGTTGGCTTTCCGGATGGCTGAGCTCTTTGTTGAATACAGTATGGGCGGAAAGAAATCTCCCGTCGCATCCACGCATCCATTGCACCGTGCAACCGACCATAATAACCCTTTCGTACCTACATGCCAGTGCTGTAGGTTTCTCATCCACGCCTTGGTCGGGTACGTTTATGATGTCGGACTATCGGCGAGAAAAGATCCTCAGGCGGCACAGTTGCGAACGTCTGATAGCCGTGCCCCTATTTACCCCTGAGTCACTTAGAGTGTTAGAAGTGCTGGTACTTCGCATTACTCAGTACCATCTGCTACCTATACCTATCTACACTGAGCCTACTATTTCTCTGTGTTCTTCCAACTACGCGTCAGACATAGCAAAAGCGAGTTTGGTCGCTACCTTACTCACCACGTTGTCTAAGCGCGGTATGGAAGTACGGCGGCAGCGCTTAAAGTTAGCACCAACACATGCCGGATTTGGCATGAAGGGTGACATCCATGGTGCTCGCATCGGATTGCGTCCCACACGTTCGTTACCGATCTCCCTGTGCCGCAACTTGGTCAGCGGGACCACCCTCCCCGTCCTATTCCTGCCCCTGGCCTCATAGTGTCGGCCGGATCAGGCATCGCCTCCCAGAACGCCGCGTGCGGAACAGCAAGTTGGCATGAGGAAGGCAGAATGTTCCTGAAGAGTGTGCTCATGCTACTGGGGGTTCGACTGGCTCCGCCGTCATGCGGCTCGGCTCGCCATGTTCTCACTTATACTCCTTCCCGCATCCGCGCGGGGCCGGTTGACCAGAGTCGGTCCTCTTTCTTCGGTCCCAACGCCCTGGGAAGCCTACGATGCATGGCGTGCTCCGGTTGAGATCTCGGTTGACATCGAATCCTGAACGGCGGGAACCAACCGCGGCTCTCACGGCTTTCCCTCCCGTTGAGATCACCAGCACTATCTTGACGATAGCCGTCAGCCCGTGTTGTGGACCGCAGACGAAGGCGCCATCTGTTGAACCTAGCAACGTCTCGTCCGGCTCCACGTCTGATTCCAGGCAAACCCCGACTCCTACCCCGTCCGGCCGGTCACTCCCCGCAGTCGCAATCCTAGCTATCACTATAGGTGGAGCTCTGTTCGTCTTCGGTGCATTCTGCCTTCTCTTCGCCTTCCGTCGCCGGGCGAGAAAGTGTAGGAAAGTAGCTACAATGTATCCCGATACGGGAGGGTATCGCACCGCGCAGGCTATCAGACCGGATACTCCGCCAACCCGTCCCTCGTCACCATCGGGATCATCCTCCCTCTCTACGCAGGCGTTGCTCGATCTAGGATTCAGTCCAGACGCCGATGAACCTGTATGCCTCCCCCAGCAGGCTCAACATCAGGCCAGGACCCAGACACCCGTGGACCGTCGAAGCGTCGATACACTATTTGCGCTCCGCTATTACTACAACCATGAGGCCAGCCGCCATTTACTTGTCTCGTCTCCCGCAGAGCTGCCCGCAACACCCCTTGTTCGACCAGTTCCGGCTCCACTCCCTACACCGCCGCCATCAACATCACCCACCCCAAACCGACGTCCATTTCCAAAACGAACGTCCTCCCGAAGGAGGGAAGGAGTGTACCTCAACCCGGCGGGCGAGCCATGGGTTAATGTCCCGCCTCCCGCGATACCGTTGCCGGCACCCCCTGCGACAGCACCGAAGTCCGCTCCCCGACCTCCTCAAAGCCGTCCACAGCCTAGGTTCTCGCTGTTCCCCCCTCCGTCCAAGCCCCCCATGATACCATCGCTTCGGCCGCCACACAGACTCGGCCGGAGTCAAGCTTCGGTTCCATCTACCCGTCCGGAGCAGCGCCAAGCAAGTAAACACCAGAGCCAAGGACGGGCGCAACAAGAACAAGGGAGACAGAAACGGAACTTTTCTCGGCCGACCCCGATCAGCACCTGCCCGGCAAACATCCCATTACCGACTCGCGCTCCGGCAAGTGCGCCGGCTTCCAGCTCTGGCTCCGGTTCCGGATCCAAACTGAAGGAGGAGGGCCTTCCCAAGAGCGGAACCCCGTCTTTGGCGGCGGCTGCAGTTGTAACTGCGTACTCCCCACCGCCACTTGACCCGCCGGCCTCGAGTTCACGGAAGTCATTGCCATCTCGGCTTTGGAGTTGGGGGTGGGGAAACGAGACAGCGATGGGGCGTGGAATGGGGACGGCGTGGGTAGGGCGGTGGTCGCCTGATCTTCATGCTGCGAACCAGGAAGGCTGAGAAGGGACAGACCCCATGAACCTAGATCAGGGCTGGGAGTTGCATTCTGGTGGGTTGTAGTATGTATATTCGTGATGACTGCGATGATCAGTACATGGGGTACACTATGGTTAATGAAGCAATGCATAGATGTATGACTGATGAATAAGAGTATGTATGGGTCAGGGAAGGGTTGCACTCACGGTTACAGTTATGACCTTAACTTGAAGCGTCACGGTACATACAGGGGGGTACTGGGTAGGGGAGGGGTGCAAGATCCGGATTAACGGCGCCAGATTCAGTTGAATCTGAGCACATATGACTACCTCTCCCATTCCGTCCCTGCTAGATACATAGATCTAAGTGCCTATCATACTTCTCCTCATGAACTGCATCAAAGCAACTGAACGACTTCCTCATGCTTTGAAACGAAACTGTTCGGTATGTGTGTAATCCGTAGTCCGTACGTGGCTACGGAATAAGGTTGTAGGTCCCCGATCTAAATCCGATGGCGGCCCCACCTAGCGGTCGGTTTGGCGGCCTTGGCCAAGTCTTTCACCGCGCACCAAGCCCGCACGGGCCCCGCCGGATTAAGAGATTTTCAACATTATGATCCACCTTTGCTTTGCCCTTCCTTAACGAACTCATCAGACGAGAGGAAGCAAGCTGCGTAGCTAAGCGGAATAGCGCCGGGCTCATAACCCGGAGGTCACTCGATCGAAACGAGTCGCAGCTAAGAGTCTTTTTGTTTTTTGTTCTTCTGATTTCTAGGCTCACTTAATCTTGCAACCTGACCGGGTCGGCGAAGTCCCGATGCCCGGTCTCATCAACGGTCACATGCCACAACAACGCGGCAGAACTACCTACCTTACCTACGCAGACTGTGGTCTTATTGTGGCTTGACATCCCAAATGCGTGTCAATGACATGTACCACCTGCACTAATAAGTACACTCTTTCCCGCAGACGGAACCTGAATAGCTACAGGTACCTAGGTAGGTAGTTAATGGACCTGTGCAATTCTCATTCCCATTCCTCCTTTATTATTTCTGTCTGCTTTGTGGTACTTTTTCTTCTTTTCAGCCCGGCACATCCCCGACCTAAGAAAACACAATACCATCCCAGTAAAAAGTCACCACCCTCTCCCAGATACTACTAGCAGTGGCAGCAATTGTGGTCCTCGTCCTGCCGCAGCTTGAAGAACCAGAAACCAGGGGCGAAGACGACGCAACTGTGGATGCCGGTCGACTTGGGACCACAGTCCTGCTGCACGGCATCAACGAAGCGTCATCGTGCGTGTGTACGTCCAAGACGATGGGTATTGCCGAGGGCAGTAGGTCCCAAAGGCTGCCCGCATATCGATGAGCAGACCAGTTTTCTGCTGGCAGGGAGGCCGATGGCAGGGGGATGCCGGTAGCTGTTTCCGGGCTTAGTCGGTGATATTGGCTAGCAAACGTCGACTGTTGCGGTGGCTGTCAGAATTGACCTCTTGGGCCGTGGCGCTTGGGGGTTTGCGGTGCTCTTCGTGCTGTGGGATGATTGCGGGCGTGTTGTCTGCTCTTTGCTAGTGCTTGTCGGACTTGGACTGCTATGTTGTGTTCGTCCTCGTTGTGGAAGAGGCCGGAGGTTGGCGGTTGCTTAGGGGAGAGTCGGCGAGTCCGCCGGTCCGGAACCTGTCCATGAAGTTGAGGATTTTGAAGGCTCGTGTCCTTCCGAGCGGTCTGCAGGCTCGGCTGGCGGGGCACTAGGCTCACCATCCACCGCGTGTGAAGGGTCAACGAGTTTAGCAAATGGCGGCTTGTCGGTGTCGACTACCAGTAACTCCTCGACTCCGCGTCCGAGGATCCCGTAGAGAGATACCTCACCATCTTTGATTCCCAGAACTGTACTGGTGCCGGTATATGTAGCCTCGTCCTCGGTGCCGCACCGGTTGGCGAAGACAATGATGGTTTCCTCTGGGCGTCCAGCCTGGACAATCGGCTCCAACCTGCGAACCCAGTAGGTGAGGGTGCTAAGGTCAGGCGCATCGGGGCGGGACGTGAAGACGGTTTGTTCATCATTGGTGAGCCACGCGGTGGATAGAATGACCAGGTTCGCCCTTGCGCGGAGGATGTGGAAGCCAAACTCGTAGGCATCCCACGGAGCCTCAAACTTGTACGGGCTTCGTCTCCACTGTTAGTCCCGACACCGGTGCGATTTTGGGACTGCCGGGTGCTTACTTGATATCCATGCCTGGGAAGGAATGTCAGAGGAAGCACGCCGGTGAAATCCAGGAAGCCCAGGCACCTACAGATCCCCATGGCCACTTGCCCAAAGGTTCCCCCCAGCTCTCCTCGGTAGAACCCTTGGCCCTCGCGGGCCCAGGTGGCGTCTGTATAGTAAAGAAAGGACTTGCGATAGTTGGCCAACTTCTCGCCGTCGCTGTTGACAACAATGAGGGAGTTGTAGCGCTCTGCCTCCGCAGCATCTGCCGCGACTTTTTCCGGGTACCCGACGGCAACAGTACAGCCGTACTTGCGTGCGGCGCTTTTCGCCCACTGTGAGCTGACGCCAGACCCGGAGGGTTCGAGGTAAGGGGTGATGTGCTCCAGGGACTTGAAGTTGTACCCTTGAACCGGTTAGTCATAGAACTACCTGGTAAACACACCGTACCCTCCTGACGCTCTAAAGTAAGGTACGTACCGCTCAGAGCCATCTCGGGAAGGACCAGAAGGTCCAGTTTCTCCAAATCCTGCGGGTCGGCCCTCGAGAGAACGGCTTCAGCGCGGGTGATGTTGCCGGAGACATCGCCCACCTGGGGTGCAAACTGGAGGCACCCGATCCGCATGCTGCTGGCCTATTCCACTGCAATGTGATGTCAGTGTGAAGCAGAAGACTTGGGTTGTTTGCCTCGTGTCGGAGTCGTGAGAAGAGTTGCCGGCAGCTGCAGTCTTCCCCACGGCTATTCTGCTGAGAATCGGCACGACAAAGAAGCGAACACCCTTATTAGAAATACAGACATGAAGTATTTTATGTACTAGTATGCCACTTTGAGAGGTGCCAACAGTGTACGTGAGGCGCGGCTTCCCCGCATGAGAACAAGATCAGACGATGTAGTAAGGATGAACGTTAGTGTGCGGCACTGGCAGGATAAATAAAAACTGGGGCTTGAGTTGACGTTCTAGAACTCCGAGTCCTCCAAACACCGTCAACATCATTCTTCCTGGCCCGTCTTGATCCTCGGCCACGGCGGCCATCGCCAGTCCAATCTCAATGTGTCTCACACCCATCAGTTATTTAGAACACAATACGGATCCTTTGTACCTGGTGTTGCGAGGGTACCAGCAAGGTAGACTGTTGTGATTGCTGCGTCTATGCGTAATCGAGGAGTATATCGCATAACAACGGTCAAGCACAACACGATTTCCAGTGGCTTCTGTGGATGGTACTTTAACAGTATCTCCGAATCGCGACAGCCCAACAAGAGTCCTCCAACCAGGTACGAAACTAGGCGACGGCCAACTGCCTCCTCAGCGACAGCCGGTCTTCCAAACAGGCTCTTTCACCGAGTCCCCGAAACTTGTCGTGTTGCTGATCTTCTCATATCCAAACCAGGCGGCCGTCCCGTTAGAGACGCTAGACAGACGACTGGTCAGCTTCGCCCGCAAAGAAAGGGGAAGAAAAAAAAAAAAAGAACTCACTAGCACACCGTCATGACAGCGCTATCGGCATCGCTGTTGTATCCCCACGAGATGCTCCAACGGAAATCCAGCCCGCAGGGCTTCCCATACCAACTGGCTGTCAGGCCCTGGTTGAGGAGATTGACCGTGCAGTTCGTTTGTGTGCCAGCGTCGACGTCCGCAATGGAGAATTCGACCATCTCGGTCTTTGTCGTGTTGGACTGGATAACCGGAGCTGTTTCCAGGGCTCAGGGTCAGTTCCAACAATGACATATAGGTAAGGTAGTCATGGGCAAGGATTCAGGACGACACCGTGTAGTGTACTACTTAGTACTAGTAGTTGGTACTACTTACTGCGCGTCAGTCTGCGAACCTCCCACCACGATTCCGGGTCCTCTTCTGCCGCTCCGACAACACCAGCACCCCTTTTCATCACTGCCACCTCCTTCACCTCCCTCCCATCAGAAGCAGCAAAGCCCAGCTGGCCATCATCCCACTCGTCGTCGCCGAACGTCCCAACCCTGTACGCATCCACCGTCCTCGGCCCAACCTCGCCCGCTTCCATCTCGCTGTCCGAGTACCCAAAGAAGGCATACGTGCCCGCGACGGTGTCGGTCGGCACGAGGGTCAGGAACCCGCCCGTGACGTTGAAGCCGCCGTTGAACCGGTACCGTTCGTCCTCGTCGCAGGTCACGTTCTTGAAGTTGGTGATGTTGGCCGCGAGCAGGGGCGAGACGGCGCGGACCGTGAAGGTGCAGTTTGTCTGGTCGTTCTCGGTGGCGTCGACTTCGGTGCTGTTGTTGTACGCGACCTCGAGCGCCAACCTGTAGGTGCAAGCGTCCGCCGTGCAGTTCCGCGCGAAGGTGGGGATGGTGTATGAGCCGAGAACCTCGGCCGAGGCCAGGGGAAGGAGGAGGGCCAGAAGGCAGATGGTCCGAGGGATCATTGCGTCTGTTGTCGGAGGCGAGTAGGAGGTGCACTGTTGATGTAGATGAGAGATGCGGTGGTTTGGGTGTGGGCGTGAACCGTTGATGGTTTGACAGGACAGTATGGATGAAATCCGGCTGCTCACTTCGCCCTGGATCACGGCCACCCGAGTTGAGTTTATAGTTCTGTGGGAAAAGGTAACAGGGTTTGCATCGTGACTCGTTAGACAATCGAGGAGCGGACCGAAGCGGGCAACCGGTAATTCAGATCCCGTGCTTGTATGGACGACGCGACTATGTATCGCAAGGCTTCACACAGTCGTGCCTCGTATCGACGGGTGGAACGGACAAACATGAGCACAGATCGGGGTTTGTGACCGGCAATGTACAAGCACACACCATCGCCATCGCTGTATCTTCAGTTCGTTCGAGACTACCCGAGACTGTGAGACAGGAGGGCAGAAAGTCTCGGAACGTGCCCGGCGTCTGGCCAGTGCCCGTCTTATAGGGCTATTATGCCAGGCTCGGGTCTCGGTGCTTGACCTCTATGGCACATTGCGAAGTCGTGTTTACCGGGCGTTTAGGTCGAGAGTGTCTCAGAATCTCAGACCTGCTACACTAACTGAGTACGAGACTCTCTGCGAACGGTTTCGCGTAGCGGGAGTCTTCCTTGGAGCATTCTGTCAACTGGTACATCCTGGCAACGAGCTGGAAAGAATATGCCGCTGTCAGGCAAGCAGGGACAACTAAATTAAATGCTCAACGCGGACCATCGTGGGATGTGTATGGTACTTTGATCAACTGAGACATCAGACATGAGGCTCTTGGCGTTGCGTACATTCATGCATGTACGGATATGCTTGGGCGTTTCCACGGCTGACGATCATGGATCGTAAACTGTCAAGGCGAAACATGGTCTTACCAGGGGCCACTATGTGTAGGACAAAGCCGTTCGCCAATAGTCGTACTGATATTCGCCACTGGATGTTAGCAACAGGCACTTCACACCTTTCCTTGACCGCCGATCCCGCCATATTCGTTCTCGGGTTGCAAAGCCAGGTTCTCGACGATTTCCTGTTCGGTCCCAATGGAAACGACAAATACTTTCTTTGGCTTGACATGGCAGTATAAGGTGTTCGTTGGCATCCAGGTTTCAGATAGAGACAACCTATCCGAAGGTGACTCCTTTTCGCTCGAGACGCGCTTGCTGGTGTCTTGCTATGTATGTGCTGTACCAAACCGCCAACTGAGTCCTCGTGTAATAAAGATGGAAGGAGAACCATGTCCGTACTTCCAGAACGATGTCACGCATGACCAAGCATGGCGGGCGTTATGACTCAGGGCAGGAGCCTGAGCATCGTCTTTTGCATTGAGCGGGCTCATCCAGTGAGATTCCATAGGCGACCCATGCACAGAGGATGCCATAAAGGCAGATTTTGGCGTTACACCGGTACTACTGTGGATGCTGCCGCACCAACGCATTGACTGCCAATATCGCCGGCCTGGATGGTGTAGATGGTGCACATACGGCCGCATGTCGTGCTCATCGCCATATCCCAGCTGCCTCGGACCCCCAGCCGCCGGAGGTCGCTCCTACTCACTAGTATATCGGGGACGTGCCGACAGGAGAGCTATCTGCATGTCCTCAGCAACTTGTGTTGGCCTAAAGCGGCGGGGAGCGCTGGGGAACCGCCGGCCTGCAAAACCAGGCAAGGCAGATTCGGCGGCGAAGCTTGGTCGCTGCTCCGCTGTCGGGCGGGGAAGACGGGAAGGACGTCCCGACAGACTGGTTCGTAGCGCTGGGCGCCACCCCTCCCTCATGCATCGCGGTTGATCACCTTCCCACAGGAGGAAAGCTGGCCTTTTCCCATTCCCACGTCAATCCTGGATCCATCAGGAAGGCGGAGCAATGTTGTGCTGTTATGTTTTTCGAACGCGACGATCGACCAATGCGGAGAAACCAACGCGAAAGTGAAAAAGTCCAGAACGCCAGAAGGAACCGTTCCACGATGGGACCGTCAAGTGGTCCCCACTTGGGCGCGTGCGGGAATTTCCTAGCGTTGTCCGGATAGTGCACGATATCCGGGGGGCCAACCAGGAAGTGTTCGCTCAACCCTCTAGGAATCAGAAGTACACCGCTCGAGTTCTCATGTAACATGCATACAGCCACCATCACAGTTAGATAGCCGTTTTCTGTTCGGACGAGAGAGCAGAACGGGACAAGGTGAGGAACACGGTGTGAAGCTTATTTACCTAGCTTGACCAGCAGGCTCATCCGATTGGCCAGAGCTACTTCAGGTGGGCCATGAGATCTGCGCAAGGCATCGCTTGTCCGACCACTCAGAGCGAGCCGGATTATCCCGTGTGATCCACACCTTAGCTTACGCGCCCAGCAAACGAAACATCGACATGCCGCCATTGGTTGCATCAACCCGTCTTGCCCACCATCTTCTCAACTGGATGCTACTTGCTCGCATGCAGTCGCGTCTGTCTACGGGACATGATTGGGTTGCCGCTTGATCCCCCGCTACCGCGCCTGAACGGCGCAGCCTGCCCGACGGTCCTCCGATGGACATCCAGCAAGGCTGCCTCTGCAGAGTGCAGACGACCCAGTGCGACCAGCAACCGTCGGACGGCGGCCGTCTGGTCGTCCGGCATGAGGTGTGCGAGAATGGGAGCGACTTCAAGGTCTATAGCTACGGCTGAAATGCGATGAGCTGGCGCCCGTGCGGCTCTATCTCTCCTTCGCATCTTGCAGAATCGCTTTCCTTCTTCGAGATGTGCTAGTATGGCTTGAACTATGCAAGATTTTGGTGCAGACAGCCCGGTCCCGTTGGGTTCTTGCAGTACTGTGCAACAGGCTAGGCCCCCAACAGGTGCGGTGGCAACCAGCACCAACTGCATACAGACACCGGCACCTACAGTCCTCGCCCAGCCTAGCTGAGTGCCCTTGTTTTCGCTCTTCCGGCCCCTCTTATATCAGACAAAACCGCCCTATTCTCCTTTCGATCCCTATGCCTATTACTCTGGGATTTCTCGGCGATCGATTGCGGTGCTTGGCACCGAGTAGTTCGAGACATCTGGGCCGGAGTGGCCTCGGATAGTCAGCCTTCTAGCCTTTGGCGAGGAGTTTGTTTATATTTGCAGAATGGCCCCCGCCGGGTCTCCCATCCTCCCGCGGGAGTCAGAGTTGGGCACCAGTGGAGATCTCACAACAGGGGCCATCGCGGGCATCGCCTGCGGCGCCGGTGCACTGTTCTTGGGCGCCGGTAGCTTGTTCCTCGTCTACTGGCGGCGACAACGGCGCTTCGACAGGGAAGACAGCCTTTACGAGGAGGCCCTGGATGAGAGAAGGCCACCAGGTGCCATGGCCCCAGCCGTCACTTACACGTTGGACTACAAGATGGACGATCCACACCACCACGAAGGCGACCATGGCTCGTCATACACCTACTCACCGCAAAAGTCGTCTCACCCCGTCTCCACGCTGGGCGCCGTAGAAACCCCTAGCGCAATGCCCACTCACCCAGCCTACATCCCTCGGGCTTTTGTCAGGGGCAGCTCTGCACGAGGTGGGTCGACACCCAGCAACCGCTCGACGGCGACAACCTCGCCACCACCATTCCCAAGTCCACCATATCCCGCCTCCTGGACTTCCAAAACCCAGCCGGACGACACCGTGATCCAGGCGTACCTCAACGTGGCCGCAGCCGCACAGGGTCCCGTCACCGATTCGACGTCCGGAACCCAGCACCAGGAAAACCTCCCCCCGGAATCCGACTCATCCTTCTCCGGCGGTCTGCCCGTCCAACCCCATCCCTCCAGGACGCGGCAGTCCCCGACCCAGATACCCGCCGTGGTCATCCCCTCCTTCGCCTCGCCACCACATTCAGCCTCCTCCACAGATGCCACCAGCCACAGCCAAAGCCGAAGAAAACCCCGCGCCTACCTGCCGCCACGGCTCAACCTCCCCGGCGGCGGGCAACAAGACAAGCCGCTGTCAGGGAGAGAGAACACCACCATCAGCGGGCCGCTGGCCTTCCCGCAGCACTACCAGCGCCCACCACGGGGACGTGGCAGATCGGGCTGGACACGCGAGGACGGCGGCGACGATGACGAAGACGTCGACGGTGACGACGCCGGGGTGGGGACGCAGTCGGATAGCCGACGCACATTCAGGAGTCGTGCTCTCAGCGGTCGGAACCAAGGAGGAGGAGGTGGTGGTGGTGGAGGAGGTGACGGGAGGGGCGAGAAAGGAAAGAAGCATGGCCGGAAGAGATCGGATAAGCGGAACAGTGGTGGCAATCGGCAGTATGCTGAAATTGAAATTGGACGGGATAGTGATATTTGGTAGCTCCTCTTTCCCCTATCTTGGCCTCTTCTCGCATTCTGTGCGCCCTCCTTTGGTGGAGGTATAAGGTTGAGATTGGTTTCTGGGTTGGGTTCGTTCCAAGTTAGGTCAGGCTAGGTTTGGTTGGTTACGGCCGCCGGCGTATTGGGATGGTTCCATGTTTTAGCTCGTTAGGATTCAGGGTGCAGTACCGGGTGTGAACTTCCACGGTCGCAAGCTGGCTTCTTCTCTGGAGTTCAAGGGCTACACCACTGGATCTAACTGGCACGCATACATTCTGTCCTCTGGGTAGACTACCTGTCTCTCCCTCTATTAAGACATAGCTCAGCAACGCCTAGCAGATAAATGTAAACCTGGGTAGCGTGCAGTACCGGGTGTGAACTTCCACGGTCGCAAGCTGGCTTCTTCTCTGGAGTTCAAGGGCCACACCACTGGATCTAACTGGCACGCATACATTCTGTCCTCTGGGTAGACTACCTGTCTCTCCCTCTATTAAGACATAGCTCAGCAACGCCTAGCAGATAAATGTAAACCTGGGTAGCGTGCAGATCAACTGTGCTGGAAACTCCAGCTAACATTACATTTAAAGTACCTTATGTTATACATGGACCATTTTCCCGGCCGTCCATCAGTCGCCGCCCAGACGACGCCCGGTGCCTCTTGTTTTCCACGAGTCGGGGAGTACCGAGCCCGTCGCCGCTCCCGTAGTGCTGCCCGATGCCTGGGCACTCGGCGGGCGGATAGCGGTGCCGTACTCGCGCTGGAAAACCCTGGGAGTCTGGACAAGCCGCGAAATCAAACTAGGTGTTGGCAGCAAGTTCCAGCCGCCTCCAAACTCGGGCCATAGCCGTGTCAGGAAGTCGTGCAGATGGGCTGATACTATACCGCTGATCTGCAGAGGGATTACACCGGGGCTCATGAGTAGCGATGCTACGAGCATGCAGTACGGGACTGTCTGCGCCGGCACGGTGAAGAAGAAAAAACTGGTCTTCACGCCGCGCGCGTCCTGTGTGGCCGTGTAGGTCAACGCCATGATGAGTCCAGGCAGGTAAAAGACGCCGTTTAGGACAGTACGGTTAATGAGCTGTGCTTGTCGTTAGCTTTCTTGTACTTCACGACAAGTTGCCCCCAGTTTGGCGTTGAAATGTAGGGAGCTAGATAACCACCCGAGCAAATGGTAAAGAGGTCACCCGAGTCATCCATAAGACATCCCACCATGCCCGCACCCCGACCGACCCTTTTTGCGAATGATGGGTCGGCCGACATACGGGGGTAATCTTCCTCGTTTCCAGGAACCGCGATAGTTGGGAGAGCATGCACTATGCGGGCAGATATACGAGGTGCTGTGTTTCGAGATTGTGCTCATGCTGGCGGGAAAAATAATGAGAAGGACCTACAATGATGAAGCCGCCGACCGTCATCAAGTACCAGAGGACGTCCTCCTTCCTCGGAAACTTGGGGTTCTGCGTCTCCAATTGCTTCAGGTACTGGTAGGCTGTTTCTCGCAGAGTCAGACAACACTCGTCGCCATAAGAGTTCTGCAGAGCCCATCATACCGAAGTATGGGTCCAAGAGGATGCCGAGTTGTGGACCGCTCAACAAGAAGCTCGTGGCCAAGCGCCAAATCTCAGGCGGCAGCCGGAAGAGCCTGTCTTCCGTGAAGTATATCCACGAGGTAGACAGCAAGCCGAAGTACACGGAAACCGACGTGATCAAGATGGCGGTTGCTAATGTTCGGGCCATTGGCGGCGCCGCCCAGTAGGCGTCCATGATTTCCGACGACATTGTGCTGGCGCGGGTGGGAATGAAAAAGGTGATGAGAAAGTGGTTTCTTGCTTTCGGTCCGTTGTGGTATGCCTCGAAATTTTCACGAGAAGCTCCCAGGTTCAGAACGCGAATTCAAGAAGGCATGTTTGGGAAGGTTAGGAAGGAAGGGCAGCACGAGGCTTCAAACGGGCATATCAAGGAAATGCGGCTCCCACAATCACCGATGGTGATTCGTGTTCTTTTGGGAGCTTGTCAGAAGGATGGAAGAAAGAAGAAAATTGCACCAAAACAGGAATGATTTTATGGAGGCGGGCTGGTGGGGTAAACGGGCTTTGAGCCACATCTGGCCGCCGCATTTTGGAAGCCAAGACCCGACAGCCGCTGTGGCTTGGTGCCTGCGAGTCGTATCTTCCGAGTCATTGACCAACCGGATTCTCTTGTGGAAAGTATCTGCTACGACTGTTTTGCCAATGGAGAGATATTATATGACTCAACCCAGCCATGAGAGCGTATAAATGTGTGGTTGGAGGACGTAATGAATAGGACGTCTGGTTGCGTACGTCTGGACAAGGGACTGCCTTCCAGGTTAAGCTCCGGTACCGCTAACAGTCGCCATAAAATAGGCCGTTCTCTTGCTCGGTGTCTAGGTTGTTGCTGCCGCCTGTGACTCAACTCCCACTTCGCATCCAAAACCTTAACGCCCCGGACGGTGAGTCTTTAGGAGGCCATGACGGGCTTCAATGGGTGTCTGCTGAGCCCATTGAGGCAATCGCGGGTTCAATTGGCCCGGCACGTCGGTCGACCGTCTTTGCGGTTCTACTCGGCGCCTTCTAACGGCTCGATTCCGGCGGCCAAAAAGAAATATGTCCCAACCCAGGGCACTTACCCTCTTGGCTTCAGGACTTCCGGCACAGTAGTCGGAGTCAAGCCGGGGAACAAGACGAAACCGGACCTGGCCTTGCTGACGTCGGATGTGCCCTGTGCTGCCGCAGCGGTCTTCACCAAGAACAAGTTCCAGGCGGCGCCCGTCACATTCAGCCGGGCCCTCCTTCAGAAAAAGAGCAACCGGGGCATCCAGGGTGTTATCATCAACTCGGGATGCGCCAACGCAGTCACGGGCAAGGGCGGTCTGGAGGACGCCGCCAAGATGGCCCACGAGGCCGATAGGTGCATCGGCCAGAGCGATAGCACCATCGTCATGAGCACGGGCGTGATCGGCCAGCGGTTGCCCATCGACAAGATTCTCGAAAAGGTGCCGGCAGCGCACGAGGCTTTGGGCGGGTCCCACGAGCATTGGCTGACGGCGGCCAAGGCTATCTGCACTACCGACACATTCCCCAAGCTCATGTCCCGTACGTTCAACCTGCCTTCCTCCCCAGGTGTCGAGTATAGGGTAGCGGGCATGACGAAGGGCGCCGGCATGATCCACCCCAACATGGCCACTCTACTGGGCGTCATCGCCACCGACGCGCCCATTTCGTCGGCCGCCCTGCCCTCGGTGCTCAAGCACGCCGTCGACCGCTCGTTCAACAGCATCACCATCGACGGTGATACGTCGACTAATGACACCATGGCGCTGTTGGCCAACGGCCAAGCGGGCGGCAAGGAGGTGGTGGAAGGCACGGCGGATTATGACGCCTTCCGTGCCGTGTTGACAGACTTTGCGGCCGAGCTGGCTCAACTCGTCGTGCGCGACGGCGAAGGTGCTACCAAGTTTGTCACCATCCGGGTGACGGAGTCTGCTAGCGAGGAGGCCGCACGCAGGATTGCCAGCACGATTGCCCGGTCGCCGCTGGTCAAGACGGCGCTTTACGGCAAGGACGCAAACTGGTAACGCGCTATCCTATCAATAGGTATGAGGATACCAGGTCTTACTGACAGCTTGCAGGGGCCGCATCTTGTGCGCGACAGGATACTCGCTTATTTCTGAGCCCGGTCAGCCGGTCAACGAGGTCCCTATCGACCCGGAAAAGACAAACGTGTCATTCATCCCCACTGACGGCACGGCGGAGCTGAAACTTCTGGTGAACGGAGAGCCGGAAAAGGTCGATGAGGTAAGACAATCCCCGGGAGCATGCTTACCTGGGAGGGTTGTTGACTCGGTTACAGGCGAGAGCTGCCGAGATCCTCGAGCTTGAAGACCTTGAGATCCTGGTTAGGCTCGGCATGGGCGATAAGCAGGCCACGTACTGGACGTGCGACTACAGCCACGAGTATATGTGAGTAAACGACACTGGATCTCGTAGTTGCAAGTTCTGTTGCTGACTGGGCTATAACTACAGAACTATCAATGGTGATTACCGCACATAAAACAGTAGATGAAGAGTTAGAATAGAAGTGATCTTTGATTATATGATGCCAAGTGCTGCGGCCACGTCATCTGTTGTTCAATCATTCTTGATAGTCGCTACCTGACTAGTACTAAGTACCTACGAGTATCAGAGTAGTCCCTTAGTCGACGACTGACGGGTCGACCGTCGAACACTCATGAACCATGCAAGCAGGGGTTAGGGTTGGCGGACGTTCACAAACCACTTTAACTCTCTGGCCCCATAAAAACACGCCTTGACGCGTCTCACTTCGTGACCTTGCACATTACGAGCGAACCTGCGAGGCAACCTTCCCGTCACATACTCTCTCGCCCATTTGGCTGCCAAATAACCACCCAGTCACATTCGCAATGCCGTCGCCAGCAGCCAAGCCAGAAGAAAAAGGGGAGTCGTCAACAGCCGCCTACAAGGCCGCCATGGCGAATCCTAGCGGTAGCCCAGCATACGAGCTGCCATGGTGAGTGCCTCGTGGGTCCTGCCTTGCAACGCGAAGTCGCTGACGTCGGGCGTCAGGGTTGAGAAGTACAGACCCGTCTTCCTCGACGACATTGTCGGTAACACGGAGACGATTGAGCGGCTCAAGATCATCGCCCGTGATGGCAACATGCCACACCTCATCATCTTGGGCATGCCCGGTATCGGCAAGACCACGAGCGTCTTGTGCTTGGCGAGACAATTACTCGGCGACTCGTATAAAGAGGCGGTGTTGGAGTTGAATGCCAGCGATGAGAGAGGTGAGCTTTCTTCCCCAACCGCTCCCCTCTCCAACAGCACACCTCTGACATCGACGGGCAGGCATCGAAGTGGTCCGGCAGCGGATCAAGGGGTTCGCCCAGAAGAAGGTCACCCTCCCGACCGGGCGGCACAAGATCGTGATCCTGGACGAAGCCGACAGCATGACCTCAGGCGCACAGCAGGCCCTGCGGAGAACGATGGAGATCTATTCCAACACCACGCGTTTTGCCTTTGCGTGCAATCAGTCCAACAAGATCATTGAGCCACTTCAATCCCGATGTGCCATCCTGCGATACGCCAAGCTCACGGACGCCCAGGTGGTGAAGCGGCTATTGCAGATCATCGAGGCGGAAAAGGTTGAATACAGCGATGACGGACTGGCGGCGCTCGTCTTCAGCGCCGAGGGCGACATGCGTCAGGCCATCAACAACCTGCAGTCGACGTACGCTGGGTTTGGCTTCGTGTCCGGCGACAACGTCTTCAAGGTGGTTGACTCGCCGCACCCGATCAAGGTGCAGGCGATACTCAAGGCATGCTACGAAGGGAACATCGATTCGGCGCTCGACACGCTGCGAGAGTTGTGGGATCTGGGGTACTCGAGCCACGACATCATCAGCACCATGTTTAAGGTGACCAAGACGATCCCGACGCTGAGCGAGCACGCCAAGTTGGAATTCATCAAGGAAATTGGCTTCACGCATATGAAGATCCTGGAGGGTGTGCAGACGCTGCTGCAACTAAGCGGGTGCGTGGCTCGCCTGTGCAAGCTGAATATGGATCCGAAGAAGTTTGAGTTGCCGAAGAAGTGACGAGCTAGACGAGGAAATCAAAGATACCCCCATTTGGAACCGTTGTGTTGCCAGACCCTGGACCGACGCTCAGAAGAGACGTATATACAATAGCCAACGTATCCTACACGCACCTTCGAATCTCGCCCCATCCAAATCCCCGGCCTACTCCTCCTCGTCCTTCCCATACTCCCTCTCAAAGCTCTGCCAATAAGCCTGCTCCCTCGCCAGTCGCTTCTGCATCCTCACCCTCGCCTCATACTGCCGTAACCTGTGGTCTGCCTCAATCATACTCCCCAGCACCATCCCTGACATCTGGAGGTACCTGCCCATTCAAGCATCCATGTCAGCTTTCTTCAACCGACTTTAGCCCAGTCACAGTGACAGTCGGTTTTGCAAAGGGGAGTAGAGAAAATATTAAAATGAATTGAGTGTATACACTTTGAACTGGATAGTCAGCCCCCTGTATACGGGCGAGACAGCGTAGCCGAGCCCGCCGAGCAGCGCAGTCGGGAGGCCCCATTTGAACGCCCCGTAGACGGCGCCACGCATGGCTTCCCATGAAGCTTCGTCTGCCTCCTGTTGTCTGCTGTCGTTGATACTCGGCATTTTAGGGAGTAGAAGAAATTCTTAGACGGTTCCGCCGAAGGGGGAGATATGGGTGTTGGCTTCGGGACACCCTCGGTTTTCTCGGGATCTGGGCTCTCCGGCGACTGGGTTCTCACGCGGAATGGGGTCGCCAGCAAACAATTTGATGCAGTGTGTACTTAGTCAAATCGTTGACTTCCGATTATGCCAGGCGGTCAACCATGCTTTGCACTTCACAAATGCGTCAACATGGGCTCGGTTCTGTGATCAAGGATTGAGCTAAGTTGTCGTTTAGAGACCTTCCGGGGGTTGAATGATTGAGACGTCATGCCACTGTGGGGTCGCCGTCTCATCAATGGCTCAGTGTTCAACGACGACAGTTGAGACTGCCGCTTCAAGATGGGATCTTCGTTAGGTGCCTACTAGTAGTTGTGAGAACTTCAAAGCAACACAAGACTTTGACACCTCATTTCTTCATGGTGTGGTCATCTCTACATTTGCCCCTTCTTTTTCCAAAGTTGGTCGGCTCTCAGCAGTCAGCCAGCCGCCGTAAGCCTCTCCGGTCGGCGGTGAGAGATCAGGATGATATCTAGCACACGCAACCCCATTCTAAACGCCTTTGCATGCAGCTTCAAAGACTCATAAATGACTTATAGCCTACCTTTTCCATACCTTCCCGCTACACACTCAGCGTCCCCTTGGTACTTGGCACCTCCCCTTCCCTCCCGGCAACCCTGCTCGTCGCCTGCCGAACCGCTACCGCAAGCGCCTTGAACGCGCTCTCGGCCCGATGGTGGTCGTTGTCCCCGCGCAGGCAGTCCACGTGCAGCGTCACGCGCGCCGCCTGCGCAAAGCTCTGCAGGCAGTGCGGGATCATCTCGGTGCTGAGGTCCCCGATCTTCTCGCGCTTCAGCCCGAGAGCGATCACGCTATAGGGGCGATTGGATAGGTCGACGACCGCGCGGCTGAGGGCCTCGTCGAGCGGCGCGTAGGCGTATCCGAAGCGGGCGAGGCCCGTGGGCGTACCGAGGGCGCGCGCGAAGGCGTATCCGAGCGCGATGCAGACGTCTTCTGCTGTGTGGTGGTCGTCGACTGGGGTAGGAGAGATAGAGATGTCAGATTTGAGATTGAAGGGCTGCTGGGGAGCGGACAAGGAGCACTGACTGTGTAGATCGCCCTTGCAGGCCAGCGCCAGACTCCAGCCTGCGTGCTTGGCTAGCGCATGGAGCATGTGGTCGAGGAAGCCGATGCCGGTGTTGATGCTAATTGTTTGTGACTTGCTTGATTGCGAGGCATGGCCGTCGGCGCCGCTTACTTGCAAGCGGGCATCGGTGTCTGGCGGGAAGGCACCGCCGTCGAGGTTGATGGCGATCTGGATTTTGGTTTCGTTCGTGTCCCGAGCGAAAGCCGCCCACCGGGTCGCGGGCTCAGAGGAGCTCATTTTGGGTGAGCTCTCTACTATGCGGTCTTTGACCGGACTGAATGTACACAGCGCCTTGTTGGTATTCCTCTCCAGAGAATTCAAGGTTTCTGCCCCGCGATCGGCGCGGCAAGGTTCAGGCAATTGGGGACCCCGCGCTAGCCTTAAAAGGCTGCCTGCCGGCCTTCAATCCCAGACCACTTCGGTAGCTCGATAACGGTCGCGATAAGGAAATTGTCCCGAATTTTTCGAGCTCACGCAGACACCGAACGCCAACAGCTCTGCCGCCATAGCGATCACCTACGATGGCACCCACACGCACAGTGAAGAACAAGCATGCCGCACCAAAAGCCGGGTCCGTGGGGGGAAAGGACTCGAAAAAGTCCTCCTCGGGCGGCGTTCCCAAAACCAAGGGTCGATCTGGCTCCAAAGCAAAAGCTCCCGCAGTACAAGTCAAAGGCAGACCCAACCTGCCAGGCCTTGACAAGAGCAAGAAAAAGAAGCAACGCATCTACACAGATAAGGAGCTCGGCATCCCGGAGCTGAATATGGTTACCCCTGTAGGCGTGACCAAACCGCGGGGGAAGAAGAAGGGGAAGGTGTTTGTCGACGACAAGGTTCGTCCCGGTCTGCTCCGCCACGATTCTCCTCACGACTCCTTCTGACCTTCGCACCCTGTATTTAGGAAAGCATGGCCACGATTCTCGCGCTCGTGCAAGCCGAAAAGGAAGGGCAGATCGAGTCAAAATTGATGCGGGCGCGTCAGATGGAGGAGATCCGTGAGGCGCGGCGGATTGAGGCGGAGAAGAAGGAAGCCGAGCGGAAGGCCAAGCTAGAGGACACCAAGGAGTCGCTGCGGAGGAAGAGGAAGCGAAATAAGCAAGGGGACGGCAAGACTCAGGATGAGGACGAGAACATCAAAGATGTTATCGCTACCGGGACGAACGCAATTAAGTCGAAGAAGAAGAGGGTTTCATTTGCGCCGGAGTGAGGTCGAAAGCTTGTACAGGGTTTCGTTTAGTACGGTCCTTTCTATGCATGGCAGGCGTCTGGAGTTGTTGGTCTTTGTGGGTATAAATATCAGGATTGTCTGGGGGCGAAGATACCAACAGGGAGGTTGTACGACGGTTTTGCCCGGCTACGGCAGTTGTCTCTATATACCTGAAGTATTTGATATGAGACTATATCAGCTCCACTGGCGTACATATCGAATCCAGCTCGTAGTCTGCACTCCTGCACCCCTGTCTATCTGCTTGTGTGTACAATACAATTACATGTGTTCTAAACATCAGATCCTACACCACTGCTTCTATGAGAGCCCGGTCTAATCTATCCGAAGCGTAAGCTCTAGATTTATACAACATATGAGAACTCAAGAAGCTTCCTCAATCACTGAGGATCTGCAGTTTCCGCCTCATGGGGTTGAAGTCCGTCTTGAACTGGGTTTGTGTCTGGTTCCCATTGATGTTCGGGCTGATGGAGTCGAGGTTGATCTCGGTAGCCATATGCTTAAGGAAACTGCAGATCTGTTGAACGTCAGCGGGAATACCTGGCAGGAAGAAAGAACGGTCCTAATTACCGGTCGAGCGTGCCATCTTCCCCCACCCATCTCAAACCATGAAAGGTGCCCGCCTAGAGATGTCGTCAGGAGAACCGTGTATGGGTTCTGCGTGAATTCTTGGAAGGGGATCGCTTCGCGAACAGCGATCTGTGAGAAACGTAAGTAATAATGTGGTCCAATTCCGGGGCGAGGCTCCTACTCACCGGGTCGTCCAGAGCAGATATCGCAAGGAAGGGAATCCTAATTGCTAGAACCGCGTCTGAAGATGAGGCATCGCGGTAGTATGCGTTCTCTGTGGGATAGCCCCATGTCACGGTCCTACGGGCGGTTTGATTAACCTCCTTGCCGCCGCCCAGAGGGTTTTGGATAGACTTACTGAACCTCCCGGTCAAACTCGTGCAGATACGTCACCGTTTGTATCTTGTCGAAGTCAAGGTTTGTGTGCTTCAGCACTGCGTCCTTGTGCGTGTTGATGAGCCGCTTCATGTTCGCTGTGGCGTTTGTTAGAGCCCGATGCGAGGATGGAGTTGCTGAGGCCCAACTTACACCCCATTACGCGCGAATACAGCCTGCCCAGGGCTGTCCGCTGGAGAGCTTTGTTGGCTATTTCCAGGTCGAATGGGTTGCCCACAGCGATGGCCGCTTTCAGCGGGCAATTCGCACCCTCTTCGCCCACATACTGTCATTCAGGCATCAGCAGGATGTTGTAGGATATCTTAGGACACCTTAGGAGCGACATCTTACATTAGTCAGGATGTTCGCACCGAGCGAGAAGCCAACGCCGAACAGAGGGCGATTGGGGAAAGTGACTCTCGCCCAGTTTATCACCTGCATTGCATCATGTCAGGGGTTCTCTTTCACAATCGATGGATAGGACCATACAGACCTGTCGAACGTCCCAGGTCGCCCTTGCGTTGAAGAGAACTCCACTCGTAACCTTGCTGTTGGCGCACCCACGAGCGTTGACAACACACACCTCCCAGTCGTCCCCGTCCATGACAAGAGGCGCAATAGCGTGCCGGAGGTAGACCTCGTGCGAGCCACCGGATAGACCGTGAAGCACGACCAGCATAGGCCGGCTGTCCTGCGAACCGATGTTGGCGAATTGCTCCTCCGAGAAGAAGGCGGTCCTTGGAGGAAGCGATTCGTCCACGTCTTGGTGCGGGTCTACCGCAAAGTCGACGGAGAAGGTGCCGGTGTAAGTCTTGTGATCTGCGTTGAATATCTTCCTCCGGTAGTAGATGGGCGGGCCATGGTCCTTGACGGCAGTCCACATAGTCTGGACATCGCCATTGAAGAGCAACGGGTTGAGTTGGCAAGAAGGAGTGGTCGCTTCGCAGACCTTCAACAAATCCGTTACGCTGCCATCTCTTCTCTGCAACGTCAACGGCGAAGGAGAATGAGTGAAGGCGATTTTCGCCCGGCCGAACCAGTCCATGGCTCTGAACAGGCGGCTACCAAGGCGGAAGGCTGTTGGATGAGACAGCGTGTTGGAAGGCGGGTCCTGATGATGTAGACAATCTAGTTTAAGGGGGAGGATAGACAGATTCGTCGAATATTAGGGACAGCCGAAGTTCCCTATCATTACCTTAACCTGTCGAACAAAGATGCTTTCAATCGAAAACCGGAGCGGATTTCAGGAGTTGGCAATACCGCCGGACAAGAGTGTGGAGTCTTCACATGAAAGGTGGTAGCCGCAATGTGTTGCTGTCTGTATATACTGTCCCACAAGGAAAAGGGGCCCGAAGTCAACAAAGCAACGAAAGAGGATAACGACAACGCAGAATGCCCGCCAGCGATGGATTGGTTAACTATGAAGTGGTAAAACAACGCTATGCGAGACGCAAAAGACATGATGAGAAGTGGAAATCAGACGAATGGTCAGGATCATGACCAGAAAACAGGGTCACATCCCTAGCAGGCACGGCAGGCAGGCTAGAATCTCAAGTCCCCAGTCCGATTGCGTCGCGAACTTTGTGCCTGCCGAGGCACACCGGGGCGTAGTGGAGCAGGTCGGTGCCGGCATCACCGTTACCGCCGACGGCCCGCAATATGCCAAGCCATTCGACCTTGTAGTATGTGATACAGTATCTTACCAGTGTGTAATTGTTACTACCTATGTACCGTAACAATACCGACCAACCGGTGGCCCGTGCGAGATAGTGTGAGATTAACGTTAGCGCTTTCCCAACGAGCTTCGCTGCATGCAGCCTGGAGGTTGCTCATGTGGCGGCGCGCGTCCCAACGCGGGCAATTCCGTCCTTTTGACAACCACCCATGCCTCTCTTTTCGTTGGCGGCCGGGCTGCTCCGACAAATTCGGGACGTCACTTGGCCGGCCGACAGAATGCCTCCAGGCGAGGCATACGGCAGCCAGGGCCAGCTACAGCATCAACAGCCGCAGCAACGGCAGCAACAGTTCCAGCAGGTGCACCAAGTCCAGCAACTGCAGTATCCTTCGCTGCCAACGCTGCAGCCTGGCCCGCAAGCCCCACCACCACCACCCCTCTCACCACACCCGCAATACGCGAACTCATATCAGAACTCATATCATAACGGCAACCAACAGTACCAACATCAGAATCAACATGTCCAATATGCCCCTTCCCCGTATACCCAGCAGCCTACACAGTTCTATCCTAGCATCGCTCCGCCGTCACAACAGCACCACCCGCAGCAGCAGTATCCGAACTACAATGGCTCCTTTCACCAAACCGTACCGGCCACACAGTCAGTTTCCATGCCGGCGTCCGCACCTATGCCCGGGTCCATGCAGTTCGTCGATCCCGCCTACCTCCAGCAGGCCCCCACGCCGCAACCTTCCAGTACTGTCTTCTCGTCGCGGCAGCCATCAGCGTCGCCGCTGAGCGTCAATATGCCTGCCCTAGTCCAAACTCAACAACAGCGGCAGCCGCAGTCTCAGACTTATATTCACCAGCCCACGCCTGTGAAAGCGAGTCCGAAGATGGATGGGAGACTGCCACCATCCCGGGGCACGCCTAAACTGCTTACGAAGGAAGCAAGGCGATCAAGTTCGAGCGCCGGGGTTGCAAAATCGCCCGCCACACCGCAGACCTCCTCTCATATAGAGACTCTCCCGCTCTTGCTTCATGTTGCGGAGGACTGCTTCGCAAAGGCCAATGCCGGGGCGCACCAAGTTGCGACGTCTATGGATGCGAGTGAGGTCGCAGAGCATCACAAACTGGTAGCGACCGGGTTAGGATGCTTGAACATCGCGCTGAAATCGAACAAGCTGTGGCCGCGGCTTGAGGCCAGGTTATGTCTGCGATACGCCAGCATCCTCGTCGAGGAGACCACCAACATCATGGAAGCCGAGACGACCTTAACGAGGGGGATCTCGATTTGCGAGACGGTAATACAGTCAGATCTACCCACGTTCACGCGTTTCCTAGCTAATTCTGGCTTCAGCATCGCTTCCTCGATCTCAAGTATAGCTCACAGTTTCTACTAATGAAGACGCTCTTCCAGCGGAATCAGAAGGCGGCTTTCAAGTCAATAGAAGGTCACATTACTGACTCTACAACGTACGTCTACCGGATTGACACCGCATGAAGTTCTACTGACATCTTCCCAGACATAAGCATGTTCCTTGGATCTATGCCTTCCGATTCTTGAAAGCGGCATTCCACCTGCAGTCTGGCACGGCCGCCGACAACCACTCTGTGGAGAACCTCCGCAAAATCGCGGGCATCGCGCATCAACGCGGAGATAAGGCTATATTCGTCCTAGCCATGCTGCTCGAGGGTCTCGCGCACCTCAACACTATGAAGGACGACTGGGCTACGCGCGTGCAGATGTGTATCGCCCAAGCCTCCAAGTTGCAGCTCGATGAATCCATCCGCACTCCCCAGAGCGATGTTTTATTACTACTACTGGATTTGGCATGCAGCCTCCATCAGAAAACCCACCAGATATCGGCACAGAAGATGGCCAGCCTCCAGAGAAAACTGGAGGAGTTGAAGCAGTCGTCAGACTGGTCCGCACATTCAGGAGAGATGTTGCTGCCCGTTACTCGGATGCAGAACGCGCACCATATTGTCAGCCATGATACAAGGGCAATCCTGCGGCCCGGTGATGATCGTATCGACTATCTGGTCATATCTACCCTAGGGAAGCAAGAAGCATGGGCGTTAGCGTCAGTTTCTCCGTTTGTGCTCCATCTTCAATGGTCTAACGGACTCTAGTTATGTGTTCAATGGCATCGTGGCTCACTACAAAGCTTCGACCCTAGGCCGTAGCTCGGGCATGTGGGGAGAGGCGATAAGGTTATTGGAAGGTAGGTTCTTTGAACCCATCACTGTATGCTCCTGCTAAGCGGTCCGCAGACAACAAGCATTTACTACCAGCGCAGAGCCTTCCAGATGCGCTCAGCCAAGTGGAGTGGACAAGGGAGCTCGTCTGCTACGCACACCTCCTCACAGGGCTTCAGGCCTCGACTCTTTGTGACTGGAGAAAAGTCAAGACCTGTCTCAACACGGTCAAGGGAAGCCAACCTCGATCGGATTTCCTCGACATCTTGACGCTGTACCTGGAAGGTGTTTTCTACCAGGGCACAGCATCGCTCCACAGGGCGATGGAGATTTGGAAGGATGGGAAATTTGAAATGGACCGCAGCGGAGCGCCAAAGGCGAACGGCGGCCGCATTGCAACGGAGTTATCTATCCTCGCTCTCCTTAACCGGCTCTGGATCATGCAGGAGCCGGAGTTTGTGGATCTTGACGAAACGGCGGAGCTTGTCGACCTGCTGCGCCCTATCTGCGAAGACAACCCAGACCAGGAGATTCGCACTGTCTACAACCTCGTCCTATCCTCCATCCGCACAAAGCCGCCGCTCTCTGTAAACCAGGTCAAACGGCACATCCAGCAATCGCTGAGCGGTGCCCAGCAGACGAGCAACACGCAATACCTGTCGATAGCTCTCAACATTATGCGTTGCAAGCTGTTTGAGAATGTGGTGGGCGAGCAGGCGCTAAAGAGCGCCAAGGCCGGGTCTGCGCAGGCGAGGAAGAGCGGGAACGTGCTGTGGATGAGTGTGGCAGATGGCATGCTCGCGCAGTCGTTTGAAATGCAGGGCGCCTTGGCTGAGGCCAGGGCGGCGCATGAGGCTGCCGTCAGGTTGGCGAACGACGCATTTGAGAAGACACAGATATGGGAGACTCAGTAGGTCCGAGTTGTGAGGTCTCTGTGACGGGGGAGGTATAGAAGGGGTCTTGAATCTGGTTCTGATATTGCTTGGCGCGCGGATGACACCACAGATGGGGACAAGAGGGATGTCAGCGTCCATTTACAACATATACCCTGTGATATTTGCCTGATGGGGTTTGCTAGTCTTTTTAATTGATGGCTCCATAGTGAGGATTTGCGACATCGGGATATCTCACTCCTGTACACTATTGATGTTGCTGATCAAAGGGGGGATTGTCGCACCTAGCGATAGTCTTATCGATAATGAATTTATTGGAGTCCGCGCCGCGATCATTAAGACCTTTTCTCACCAACCACCGAGCTACAAGTCTAGCACTGCCCTAGCCTGAACAGCTCGAACCGTAAATGCTCCTTCCTGTGCTCCGGCGATCAATCCACGACTTCAAGCTCCGACTCCTCCCGCTTCCCAAACAGAAGCCTGCTCCTCATCAATAGCCAAGATGCCCTCTGAGAACCCGCAACAACCGCCAGCTTCCCCTCCGACCTCCTCCACCAACCAACCGGAAGAAACCTCCGTCCCGGAACGGAACCCAATAACCCACAACGCTGCCATCGCAGCGGCCATCCTATGCCCCATCGCGCTCCTCCTCCCGACGCGCGGCGGTGCAGGGAAATCCATGCTCCAGAACTCAGTCCTCGGCGGCGCATCATTCTGGGGCTTCAACCAGCTCGCGCACGACTACACGGGGAAATCCATCACAGCGCGGTCCAGCGAGCGGTGGGGCGCCCTGCTAGGGAGATCTCCCCAGGAACAGCAACAAGGGCAAGAACACAAAACGGGGACGGGGCTGGTGCTGGCTGGCTTGCCGACGGAGCGAGCGGCGCGGAATCGGGAGCTCATGGAAGCTGAGCGGCGGAGGCGGGCGGAGGCGGAGGGGAGGGAGTATAAGGGGAAGGATCACCGCGGGCTTTGGGAGAGGATGTGGATGGGTGGTGAGAAGGAGGGGTGGAAGGAGAAGAGGTTGGAGGAGGAGCGCAAGGCGATCGAGAGTGGGAAGGGGTATGGCGGGTTGATTATGGATCAGATTTCCGAGGTCTGGCGCGGGAGGGGGAAAGAGAAAGGAAAAGGGGATGGCGAGGAGGATAAGAGCAACGGGGAAGGGGAGGGAGAGGGGAAGCGGTAATTTCCATGCCGTCTGTCAGTAGGAAGGAGAAACTCCGGCAAAGGACTTGAGAGGATTGCCAGAGTAACGAGTGGGTTGGTAGTATACGTACATTGTATAGTGGTTGTACTATTAGGAACCCCCTAGACTGGGATGTGTGTATACTATATGAAATGCTATACCCAAGTACGCAACAACAACCGGAGAGAGTTCCAAGCTCGTCACAACGAGTATAGAAGGTATAGGAATTTCGCTGGCTATAGTTTAGTTTACTTCTTCCTTGTCCGTTTCTTTCTCATTTTCCCCCCTTTCCTTTCGCCAGATTTCCTTCTTTCCTCCGCGTGTAACCACGGATCTGAGCGATAACGGTCATCTCTTGTCCTCCACGATTCCGTGCCCCTCAATGCAACAGCGGCTGTGCCTCGGCGGGGCTGTCCGGCGAACAGAGTGCTGACATGGTAGTCCTATCCGAACAATTCAACATGTGGCTAGAGCCAGTCATGTTTGCCCTGCGCATATCAACGAAGGTAAGGTTATCTGGTCCGGCGGGCGAGAGGGTTGCAGCCTGCAAGCCGCGTCATCTCTGCGGCTTATTGAGGTGGTTTGGTTCCTTACTACTAGTACCTAGGTACTTTCCACTTGCCGGTTTCGTCCTTATTTGGGGTTCGCAACATGAAACCGCCACCGTCCGTCCGGCCCCGGCCATGGCAAGTTTCCAAAAACAGAAACATGCAAGGCTCCATTCTGGATTACTATGAGAGGCCATCGCGGATTCTGACATGACATAAACACAACAGCAGGTGGTCTTCAACTTGGGTCTTACACGTACCGTAGAGCCAAACCTGGTTCTTGATCTCGGCGCCACAAGCGGCGGCCTCACTTGGCTCATCGCAACACTTGTGACCGGACACAGCCCGCCGTGATCTCCACTGATCTTCCGGTCCCGCCTCAGCATTCAGTGGTCGGCTGGTAAACGCTGACCTCACGAGCCACAGCACCCCAGTGCAATTACAGGTGGTTCTGCAGTGAAGTGGGACTGAAGTCGTCAGCTGTGGCTAGTGCGCATTGCCAGCTAACCTGGAACGTAAGCTATCGTTTTCTCAGCCACCAGAACAGGGAAGGATACCCGATCTGCGTGCCCTAGGCGCGTCCATGCTCTCTGGAATTAAGATGCATCTGAACTCTCTGCTCTCGACTTTGACTCTTTCACTTCACCCTTCGATTTCACATCTTACAGGTAGGCAGTGTGACCGCCAAGCGAGAAGCGCTGCGGCAGTCAAGGCGCACTTACTCCGTCTGTCTGACCTCCTGATTTACACATAATCCACTTGCGCACCCGGGCAGTTCCAAGGTCGGTTCTTGACTTCAAGTTCTTTCCACATCACCACTGTATTTCCAGGTTGTTAGGGGCCATCGGGTTACCCCACATGCAATTGGAAGTCACGTACGGCGTGGTACCCATACAGTGACACGCATACCCGACTCGGAACTTGAACGGTGCCCCGTGCCCAGTGTCTGCGACAGTGCGACCCACGCCGAAACGTCAAATCCACGGCCCTCCATTTCTGACTGGGTCTTGCTGGATTTGCGCCAGGCCCGGTCGTCGACTTCAGCTCTCTACCGATAACTACTGCAACTCCCTGGCTGGATCTGATTTGCATGGTCGGGCGGTTTTTTCTCCCGGACTTCAGGTTGTGGTTGTACTCTGCTCGCCGTTCGATCTGCACAGTAGCCGACACGACAAGCGCTTGAGATTCGACGTTCAGCCCCGAGCCGCCGACAAAATGGCGGCCAACGAATACTACTCCCAAAAGCCGCTACCCGATGCGACAACCCCCCAGTATCAAGGGCACTACGCCGACCTGCACGGCGGCTCGTCTTCCTCATCTTACTCTACACCTGCTCCCCCCTACAGCTCCCAACCCCACCTGGCTCCCGGTGACCGGCGATCGCAAGGTCCTACTGGGCTATCTCCCTCACCCTTCGAGACAGTCTTCGACGACCATGTGTATCCTGCGAGCACATACCAGCCAACGCCGGCCTCGAGCACCCACGCATTGAGCCGCCAAGATACGAGCTACCACGGCCATTCGCCCGTCTCGCCCGACGATATGGCTTACAACCACCCTCCAGACGACATTCCCCTCCGGGACCACGCTCAGCGGGTGCCGTCCAAGGACGCCGAGATGCAGGATCACGTCTACGACGCGTCACAGTCGAGAAAGCCGCGCAGGGGTCGCGTACGGTTCGGCGAGCTGGGAATGATGGGATCGGGGCGCAAGAAGATTCCGCTTGTCGTCTACTTTTTCACCCTCGTCCAGGTGGCTGTCTTCATTGGCGAGATCGTCAAGAATGGTGAGTGTTCTCTGCTTCCTGAGCGAGCTGGGTTGCCGTGCGAGACTGACAGGGGCTGCGCAGCGACCGCAACGGGCTCCCCCATCCAGATCCACCCTTCCGTCAACCCCATGATCGGCCCATCGCCCTACATCCTCATCAACATGGGCGCCAGGTTTGTCCCCTGCATGCACAATATCGATGGAGTCCAGAACGCAAAGGAGCAATTCCCCTGGCCCTGCCCGAATTCTACGTCGAATGATCCAGACCTCGCTGAGAACAAGTGCACCCTCTCGGAGCTGTGCGGCTTCGGCGGCGTCCCGGAGCCCGCCTACCAGCCGAACACGCCTCTCGACACCAAACCCGAGCCCAACCAATGGTTCCGCTTCATTACCCCGATCTTCTTGCACGCTGGCATTATCCACATTGGCTTCAACATGCTGCTCCAGCTGACCCTGGGCCGGGACATGGAGAGGTCGATCGGCTCGATCCGCTTCTTCCTGGTCTACATGAGCGCGGGCATCTTCGGCTTCGTTATGGGCGGCAACTTCGCCGCGACGGGCATCGCCTCGACGGGCGCGTCGGGTTCGCTGTTCGGCGTTATCGCTCTGACCCTGCTCGACCTGCTCTACTCGTGGAAGGACCGTCTGAACCCGATCAAAGACCTCGCCTTCATCGTCCTCGACGTCGCTATCTCCTTCGTCCTGGGCCTGCTCCCCGGCCTCGACAACTTCTCCCACATTGGTGGTTTCCTCATGGGCCTCGCCCTCGGCATCTGCGTGCTGCACTCACCCAACTCGCTCCGCCGCCGCATCGGCGTCGACGACGTCCCCTACGCCAGCTCCCAGGTCAGCGGCGGTTTTGCCGCCCAGGGTACGCCGCCTTCCTTCTTCAAGAACCCGGTCGGCTTCTTTAAGGGCCGCAAGCCGCTGTGGTGGGCTTGGTGGCTGATCCGGGCCGGCGCGCTCGTGGTCGTCATGGTCGTCTTCATCCTGCTGCTGAACAACTTTTACGTCTACCGCCAAACCTGCTCATGGTGCAAGTATTTGAGCTGCCTGGTGAGTCCCGCTCGTGGCGCCCACCCATCTTTATTTGATTGGGTTGCTCGGGAAATTGACAAGTTCTCGGTGCAATCATCTAGGACGTGAGCAACTGGTGCGACATTGGCAACTTACAGCTGCCGAGCTAAAAAGGAACACGCTTCTTCACCATGGGCGACAGCAGCTTGCATCGAGAGGTCGCAGCATGGCGAGAAGATTATTCCTTATCGAACTTAACTTGCTAAGTTTCATTGTTTGGCTACGGCGAAAACGGGGGGTACGGACGGGGAGGACAAAGAATGGGAAGGGGAGGAGGCATAATACTTCCTGAACTTATGCATTGCATCGGCGTTTGGGTCTCTCTTACCTGACTCGGACTTTCTTCGGCAGATTCATCAAGGGGGTCCTGGGTGGTAAACCGGGGTGGCGGCGGCGGCTTGGAGACCCGATATACAGCCTTTTTTCTGTGAAGTCATCAATTTCATAGTTGACGACACCGCCTGCTTTGCTATTTCTATTGCGTTGTGTACTTGTATTGCTGGATGGGAAAAAAGCGGAGTTGGGCAGACAGCTCAACAAGCGTTAAGACAGGCGAGGAGAACTCGGGTAATTTCAAACCACATGCTCCTCTAAAGAGTAGTACTAGTAGTAGTGAAATATTACGGTAGATTCACCGTCATCGACCGATCGCAATATTCCTTAAGTATTGCGGAAGTCTCAGCATGGCACGTCCGAGGTCCCAGTCCAAGACGGTCATGCCACCTAATAAGCGAAGAACGGCGCGGTATATCTATGATACAGTAGTAGTACAAGCAATAGTACAAGACAGATCTCTATCGGACATCCAAGAAAGGAAACCAACCCGTACTAGATTTACATACATCCCCTTGCACCTCTGCTCAATATACCAAACGAGACGCAGGTTTATGTCCCCTCACGCTTCACTCTTACTTCTATTGCTCTTCTCGCTTCTCCGGAGTCTCAGAATCGTTGTGGCCTGACGCTTCGCCCTCCTCCTCCTCCCCCTCCTCACTCGGGGGCTGCCACTCGGTATACGGTTTCACGCCGTTCTCCTCGCCGTTGTCAAACACGGAATCCCAGGTGTACGGCTTGTCGGAACCGTAGATGTAGACCGGCCTCTCGCGCATGCGCTTCTCCTCCCTGCGGCGGAAACTTCGTCCCCGCATGCTGTACCGCTTCAGCCGGCCCTGGAACATGGAGGCCCATTTGTCGCTCTCTCCCTCTCCGCTGTCATCGGGGTACAGCAGCTTCTTGCGGCGATTGAGGACGGCCTTGTACAAGTTCCGGGCGCGGTCCGGTTTCATCTCCTCAAAGGCGTACTCAACGGTCCAACGTTGCTTGCGCTTCAGCTTGTCCGGGCGCTCCACGTACTGCCCGTCGACCTTGTTCCGCACCGTGAGGATCAGGCCGTACAGTTCGGTGTCCTCGTGAACCTCTTCCACAAAGCCATTGGCGACAGCGCTCTCGTCAGCAGCGCTGGACGAGGAAGTGGCCGCGGCCGGCTCTGCAGGAGTGGACCCTTCTAATGGTGTGGACGGCGTCTCTCCCGTTTCCGCGGCGTGTTCCACCTTCTCCTCGCCCTGCTTTGCGTGCTCCGCAAGCTCCGTAGGCTCCTCGGGTTCGATGGATATGGAACCTCTCTCGGTTGCCCCGGTTTCTTCACCTTCCTCAGTTTCCTTCTCTCCCTGGGGAAGATCCGTGAGCTCCGAGAGAAGCCTCTCGATCTTCCGAAGCTTCGAGGTATATGTCGGCACATCGTCCTCGATTTCTTGCTCGCCGACAGAGCGTTTCCCGCTCGGGATCGAACGGATCTGAGCAGCGAGCTTGACTATCAGGTCTTTCAGCGTCGGCTCTTCAGAAGGCGAGTCGCCAGTCGCAGGCGGCTGAGCGTTGTCCCAAGCTTCCTCGGTCGTATCTTTGACGTCAGGCGTCGTTGCGGGGACGTTGCCAGGCGTCCTGTCGGTGTCGGACAAGCCCTCGCTTGGCTCGATCGGTGACTCGGCCTCAGATGGCTTCTCGGTCGGGCCCTGAACTGCATCCGAAGATTCCGGTCTCGTTGCGGCGGCCTGGCCGTTACTTGTCAACGCTTCGAGGAAAGCATCGACGTAGCGCTGAGTCTCGTCCGGAGCCGTCATCCGTAGAAGTCCGCTCTCCTGGAGAGCATCCTCGATCGCTTCCCGGACAAACGTCACGCCGTGCTCCTCGTCCTCGAGTTCATCTTCAACTTTGTCCATCACGTCTTCCCAAACGGCCAAGCTGGTTAGGTCCTCGCCTTCGGTATCGTCGACATCCTCATCATCAAACTCGTCAACACCCTCCTCTCCATCTTCGTCCTCTTCCAGTGCACGGTCCTTCTCGCGAGCGATGCCCATCATGTGGCGCTCAAACTCCTCAATCTTCGCCTGCGTGGCGCCTTGGATTTGGTCGATCTCCACCGGCGTGACGGGCTTGGCGAAGATGTACATGAACGGGGTGTCGTCTCCTCTGGTCTCAAGGTGAAGACGCAGCGATCGCCCGGGATACTTTGCCGTCACCTTATCCAAAACTTTGTTGAGCAGGTAGACGCTTAGCTTGAACTCGCGGTCGCCGAGGGTCGTGTCGGCCTGGCCGTGGATGGAAAGGTCCATCTCTTGCAAGGGGATGTACTGGAAGCCGAAAACGCGCCTGGTGTTGTGGTAGGCGACGAAGATGCCATCCATGCGGCCCATGCGGACTTGCAGTGAGTACTTGAGGAAAGCAGACCGGATCATGTCATAGTACTCGCGCTCGTACGACTCCCACTGTCCAAAGCGGTCGCGGATCTCGTAACCGACGCCCTTCATCACATCTCTGGCGTCCATACGGATCGAGATAACGGCCCTGGTCTTGAGGTCGAACATGCCGGTCCCCGGCAGCCTGGGATCGTACGCGTCGAGCTGTGACCGCATCATGAAATCCCCCAAGGTGGTATAGTGGTACGACTCGGGGCCGTTCCGCTCCTCCTCCGTCAGCTGGTCCGAGTTCGACCTCCGGTACTTTTCGAATTCCTCCTTGGGCAGGGTGAAGAATTTCTCCATGGACTTGCCCAGCATGCTGAGCACGTTTGCCGTGTCGAATTCCTTGTCAGCGTCGATGGCGTAGGTGCCGTCTTTCCAATGGAGGAAAGTGGCGGCGGGCGCACGCATTATGCGGGTGAAGCTGTGCGAATCGACCTCGAAGCTTCGGGACATCATGGCGGGGTTGATGGGACGCCATGCCGAGAGAAGGTAGTGAAAGTGGGACAAGGTGGACGTCATGCTCGAGGTCGAGCCCGTGTACTTCTTTCCGTGCCCAGCTGCTGTTCCGATAAGGGTGTTGTCTTTGGAGGACGTGATGTAGCGCTTGAGCGCATTGTAGTCGAACTGCTCGATAGGCATGATGCGGGCGAGGTAGGGATCAAAGTTGAAGACGCGCGACCGGGGATCCTGCAGATGGTAGACCCCGGGGTTGAAGAGCACGCGATCCAGGCCATAGGCTAGTCTAGGCACCGGCGGTTGTGGCTTCTCAACGGGGGCCAGTTCGATCTTGGACACGTCGATGCGGCCAATGGTGAAGTTGCGCCGCGCCTTCTTGGACGACGGGACAAGTGCACCAAGCGGTTTTGAGGGTAGTGACAACGGGCTGGGCTTGGCCTTGGCCGGCTTCCCTGCCAGTTTCTCAACCAGCTTTTCAGCCGGCTTCTCGTCCGCCGCCGAGTCTGTCGATGCTCTCTTTCCCTTCTCTTCCTTTGCTTTTGATGCGGGAGACACCGGACGCTTCTTACCCGACGCAGGATCTGGCCGAGGGGCAGTCTCTTCCAATTCTTGATGGAGAACTTCCTTCAGGGCGGCAAGGGTGTCCTCGAGAAGTTTTGTATCACCGAGCGACTTCTCGTCGGTCTTCTTTGAAGATGCACGCCGCTTTGCCTTTCCGGACCCTGCCTTTTCGGACCCGGACTTCTGATCAGCCTCCTGCAGTTCTTCGGAGTCATGGTTGGCCTTCGAACGTAATGATGCCTTTTGGTCGGCTTGTATATCCATTAATATGCTAAGCGTTTTCCGCCACAAGTGGGGTTCCGGTGACGGCGTGTTGGCCTTGGCCCTCCGGAGGCGGCCTCGGGCCGTTCGCTTCTTCACGCTTTGCGAAGGATCCTTCTGCGTTTGCTCTGACGCGGCGGATTTGTTTGGTTTGCTCCGGGGCTTCTTCTCGGATTTTTCGCCGCGTTTCCCTTTCGGTTTCGTGTCGGATTCCCCCGTCTTCTGCTCCTGCTTCGGCTGCTCAGTAGAGTAGTAGTGGCGTGCTGCACAGAGCCTTGCGACGGCGCCCGGAAGCCTGGGGGCCCCGCGGGCAAGCAGCGCGCGACATGACGTGCAAATGAACCGAGAAGTCAGTGCGCTGCGTCCTGCTCTGCTCAATTGCAACATGGCAGTTGCACTCGACCGCGATCATGTGTCGGGGTCAAGGGCGAGAGCGAGGGTCAAAGGCCAACCTGTCGTCTCAGAATGCGACGGCGAAGTTCTCTCGTCTCGACGGGTCCCGATCTTTTTTGCCTTGGCGGATTTGAACCTTATCGGTTTTTATCCCCGCTCCACTGTGCCGTGATTTGTCGAATTATCGGCCCCACTCGGGCCGGTTTCCCTGGCCGCCGGGCTGGGTCTTCGGCCCGATGTGTCCCCACTTCGGCAGGTCAGCACAGTCAGGTACTAAGGTAAGAGAAATGACAGGTATGAGTATGCGGAGCCAATCTTCCAGATGGTTAAAGCCCAGTTGAATTGATGGAGGCCAGCCGGCTGGCCATGGTTTAGTGATAGCTCTGGTAACAAACAGATTGAAAAGGTTGATGGTTCCCGTGAATCCCGTCCCTGCTCTGGCTTTCCCGACAGCTGTTTTATACCACACGCCGGTGTAGCTCCTTTCCGACCTAGCAGTAAGACAATTGTCACCAACGAGCTCCCGAGACACCCGAAGTTGCTCTGGAATTCTGACAAGACTCGGTCAATCTTTGTTAACGAGACGTTCAGGGCACCAGGCCGAGGAGCTGGGTAACTACTAAGATGCCCAAGCCGGCCAACGGAACTTGTCTCTGAGCGCCAAGGAGGGAGTCGGGAGTCAACCTTCATCGATTCTGTACTCCCAATACGATAGGCCCCGGTTTCGACTGCCTGTTACTTGAATTCAAGTTCCAGATTTGGGAAAAGGCTCTGCCTGCCCGGGCTGTTTGAGTTGCGGTCCCGCAATCGTGCTGCAAATGACGAAAGCCTTGCCCAGAAATCGGCGTTCTATTACTACTATGGCCTTCGTTGGCCCAGCACCGTATCAAGTAGTAGTAGGTATACCTGTCCTGCAGAGCGACCGGGCAGGTGCTGCCAGTGTCTGTGTGTGCGGATCAGAATGCCAGGCCTGTTTCCAACCTTCCAGTCCAACTCATTCCAGTACGGTACATGCATGTTAAGTGATACTGCAGGCCCCGTCTCCGTTCTCATAACTCAATCGTTTTCTCGCCGTCAAACCCCTCGCTCTGAGCAAAGTAATATCCCCTCTGGTTCGCTACAAGCCTCAGTAGACCAGCGCCATCCTCCCTCTCGACGGTGAAGTCGCAATTGTAATGCGTGTGCCCAAATGCCCATACTTTGACCCTGTCACTCTTGAAGCACTTTTCTCCGGACAAGTCGGTCGAAAAGGCACTTGCGACTGGACTCCGGAAGTGCCTTGGTTCGATGGAGCGGGGGTCTCGAGTCGGCGTCCAGTGCGTGAGAATCACGATTTTGACGTCAGAGTCCTCCAGTTCCGCAACCTGCGTGTTCAACCACTCCAGATCCCGCTTGTGCGCGTCGTTGTGCGTGTCCACGTCCCACCCGCTAGTTTGATAGAAGTCGTTCAGCCCCAAGCTGACACCCCCGCGGCTCTCGGGCGGGACATGGGAGAAGAGACTGCAGCCAAGGATAACGACGTTGGAGCTGGGCAACCGGAAGGCAGTGCGGTCTAGCAAGACGAACTCCCCGAGCGACCCGTCCTTGCGTACGTCCTCTTGAAAAGCGCGGAGGATGCCGAGCGTCTCGGGCCAGTTGGAATGATACGCTTCGTGGTTCCCAGGGACGAAGAGTACGGCTTGGAATTGCCGCAGTTGCCGAGTCAAAAAACCGAGGAAATCGTCTTTGTGTGCGGCAACGTTGCCGATGTCGCCAAGCAAGGCCAGGTGCGGTGCCTTGGGCACAATCTCAAAGGTATCATAGGCCTTTGGGGCCTCTAAGTGAAGGTCCGAGAGTATCTGAACCGCCATGAGAGGACAATGTGGTCGAAGGTTCTGAAGGAGAGTGGACTGTTGATGGTCTGATGTTGCGCGTGGCCTTGTCGTTGACAGTACTAGTATTTACCTCCCGATACGTAAAAGTAGGTAAATGATACCGCCTGTTATCATGCCACATTACCGTCGCGGCAGTGGTAAACTACCTAAAGCCACTTGGGCAGATTCGGTTGTTCATTTCTCAGGCTCTGTAACTTACACTCGTACTCCAGACAAAGCTTCCTCAGATTCTTCCGTTCCATGGGTGTGGTTCATGTAGGGAACCCGCTGCCGGGTCTTGACTCTTGAATCCCTTCGGTTAGCTTGTATCCGTAATGAATTCAACTCCCTCCACTAAGGTACCTTACCTTACACGACACTCCAATTCACTTCGCAGCGTTCGAATTTCAAAACTCACCTGTCCCAAAAGTTCGAGAAGTGACGAGCCAGCCACCTCAGATGAGACCGAGCAGAGATCTGGATTATGCTCTTCTAGTGCCCTCGCCTTGCGTATCTCGCCTCCAGAGAGGAGACTACAAACTCCTACTGCAATGCAACTCGAGCAGGCACGGAGCTATATCCAGCGGTAAACAGCGATCACCTTGGTGTTTCCTCGCTGTGCACCATCATTATCATGTAGAAGATACCGATACGCAAACAACGATGGCGAACTCCTTCCGAGCCCGATATTTCCCACCCACGCGGCGTGCCTCTTTTGTACGACCCCCTTATCTCACGTATGATGACGGGATGAGCACATCATTACAGCAGCACCCCCGGACCCCTGGGACTTGTGCTGCCATGCTCCCCGTCCTGCCGGTTTGCCCTGTCAAGAGACGGGAAGTGCGGTGAGACAGGTCGTTTGTGGTTCAACATAGAGGCGAGATGGTATGGCCGATAATGACTCGTGGAAGGCTCATAAGGTATTGTACATACCTAACACAGTATGACCGCCCAGGACGGAGGTGTGTGGTTGTAGTTTATCTGGCATAAGAGTGCCGGCAGGCAAATGAGTGGCTGCCCCTTAGTGTTGTTAATGCAGAGGCCCGCGTGTTCCAACCAGAGGGCAACTGCGCCTCGAAGATTGATTCCGCCATATCGCGTGCTCTGCGTACTGTTTCTCTCAGTCACGATGTCCTGGGCCGGGAATCGCAAATCCAGGCTGTGTGACCACTCACAACATCCCTGGTTATCAACTGTTCCAAAGTGGCCTCGCGAATCACATTTGAGAAATCTTTGAATCCCCGTGTCACGTATGCCAGGCCGAAACCGACGAGCCAACGGCCGAGCATTCTTTATCTCGCATTACGCGAGCGCCTAGCCATGTCATCTCGCACCGCCGGATATGGACCGACTGACTGCTGGGGGGCTGGTAACCTGTGCCTTTGCGTCACTCGGAGAAGTATGACTACCATTCGAATCAGCAAGATATATGCGAGCCGCACCTAACTTATGGCCCCGAATCCCACGTCACTCTATACACGGGAGCACCCGGTGTGCTAGGCTGCCCTCGGTGACTGAAGTAGGCAGGGGAGCACGTGTACCTGAAGGTGTCCCTCTGCGAGCGCACCGGCTTGGAGCAACAGAGCCAATGTAGAACGCAGATCTCCTGGTACTGCGGCCTGTCTAATGCTTCGGGGATGCTTCTTGGACGGGTCCTGTCAATTCTGGAAAGGTTTCGGGCAACCAAGTCGCGCACCGGTCATGCCTCAGCCCTTTTGGTGTGTACAATAACTACACACTAGGGCAAAGTATAGACGGTTCCGTACCGCTCGGAACGCGCGGGAGTTGCCTTGATAGGTACCGGCGCCAATCGGACCCCTTCCTTTCGGTCTAGGCAAAGTGCCTGAAAGTCGGGCTGGGATGACGTGATTTGGCGCAGGAAGCTGACCTCAGGGGCCGGCGTAAGATAGGGCTGAAGCAATGTCCAGATTGGTACCTGAGCGAGACAATTTCACGACCTAGGATGGAGATAGGTACCTAGGTAGGAAACGTAGCTCTTGTTGCTGGCCTCAAGTTGGGCTCCCTGGGCACACATGCATCCTTTGGCTCTGTGCCGATGTACATATGACACAGTAGGTAGGCGCTTGCCGCGGCTGGTACATGCCTATTGTAAGCAACCGAGCGGCGTCGAGCATCGCCGTGGATAGGTACCTAGACTGCAGACCGGCATTTGACTGCACGTGCATTGCTCAGACACGGTGTAACGCAGATACACGTACACGTGTATGCATGTACTTTATGTACGTACATCCATTATAGACCGCGGCAGCCAGAGCGTCGCGTCCTGGAAGTTCGGTTATCGTTGCTGGCCATCGTTGGATTTCACGAAAACGCCATTGGATCTGGTCTGGTGCGAGCATGTGACGACTCAACGCGATGCCATTTGCCTGCCACTGCCTGCTTGTCGCAACCCCACGACAAGGGTTAGACTTCTATTACCTAATAGGTTCAAGCCACAACGCCCGCCAAGGCGAGGCGGCGGGATGTAGCCGTTCGAGGCTGAATCCAATTTGTCTCCACGTTATTCCCTCCGGTGAGCCGACTCATCATTTAATAAGAATCTTCTGAATCTTGACACAGACCGTGGCAATATCCCTATTTCGAGAGCCACGATCTGCTCACCGAGAACGCCACATCTAGGAAAGAGGAGGTAGTTCGGAAGACTTCCGTTGTGCTAGCGCAAAGATCTTGAGCGCGGGCCTTCCGAGGAAGACACGCTTCACTGAGAACACGGATACGGTAGCCTTATTATGACACCATGAGTATTATGCTGCGTAGCATCTTGATTTCCCGTCCTGTGGTACTCCATAAACGCAGCCCGTCTCCCTTCGTAATGCCTCCCTGTTGAATGTTACGATTGGCCGGTTAGACAGGTTACTCTGCGCTGGTTGATGGCGACCAAAGCCTCGCAAATCACGAAACCGGCAGAGCGCAGCCCCCTTGAGCACGTTATCTGTATGGTCGAAGGCGTGCACGCGGTGATGCGTGCCGTGCAGCGTATCGGCCTCGCAGGGATCACACTTGATTAGCCACGCGACTGGCAATCGACCGTCCCGAAAAACTGCCGGGTCCAACCGCTTTTCTGGGATTGTATCAAGGGCAGCATCCCAAAACAGACAAGTGAGCGAGTCCCTTGCGCACGCCTTATCTTGCAGCTGCTGTCAACGGCAGCACCAGTGCTGTAGAGCTGACGGAAAGGTTGTACATACCTACCGTATGTAATGGATGTATTCCGTGCATACCTCGTTACCGTCCTGCAGTACGACGAAGGAGGCGTTCGGTGAAAGGTGAGGGTGCCGGATCGCGGCCGAATGGGAAGAATTCCATTCTACCAAGTACCTTAGCTACCAAAGAGTCGAGCACTAGGACAAACCATAGAACGCTAACCTTGAATGCATAACTACAGGTAGAGGCTCCGCGATCCATTTGGAGCTTCTAAAACCCTAAACCATGCCTGATATCTCATTTCATCGTTGCCCTTTCCCTGGGGTTGATTTCCCAGCGAGAGAAATGAGTCCAACCATGAAGGTGCTCGCTCAGCGGGCTTGCGCGGGAGGTCGCAGACTCGCAGCCGAGAGACAACTTGAACGGAATCTCTTATCTTTTGGACCCCCACTGACCGATCTGATGATTGTCCATGCTTGCACTCAGGGGTTCCACTCAAGACCCCTGTCCCCATGCGCGGACAGGATGCTCAGGGATTCTGATCCACAGTTCGTTCGAGAGTGGAGAACACAATGTTTGTTGGCCCATTTTGGACTCCCAAGCATGCGGCGGACGGACCCTCCGGGGCAGCGACAGGATGTCTGGCAACAGGCAAAAAGACCTGGAGCAGGCCTGCTCGTCCACAGAGCTCGGCCATGTGCAACGGCAGGGCCGTCTCCTTCGACGTTTGTTTCTGAGAGTGCAACTTCCCAGTTCTGCCGCCCACGCCCGCATGCACCTAATCTCCACGTCCACCCACGCTTTGGGAAAAAAGGCTGTTCAATGTGTGTGCACCGGTTCCCACTCGATCAGCAACGTATTACACACAACATACTACGGTAGAATATCCACCTCGGGCCTCGACCATACCGCCGTCGCCTTCTCTCTCAGTATGCGCAGCAACCGTCGGCCAGGGGCGCTGCGTGCGCGAGTTGCTGTTATGTAGGTAGGTAGGTATGATGCGGCGGGACGGGCTGGCAAGCGATATGGCATGGACAGGACGGCCCGGGCTTGCAGAAGACAATTGTCACCTCACCTGTCGCAATCGCAGCGTCAAAGAGGGCCAAGTACGGCAACATGGATGTCGTGGAGGGGCTCTGTAGTGCCACATAAGATGGAACCTCCCCACATAGGGTCTCGTGCCGCGGAGGCCCCGTACCTCGCTAGCGGTGAAGACCCGCCATTGCCGCGAGCCGGAATGACTGGTACCTTCCAAATCCTCCCCGGGGCAGGCAATTTATCTTGCTCAAATCCTAGCCGCGGCACTATCTCTCGTCGACCTGCCCGCCCTCTCCTCTGTTCTTCCATTACCTCACCAGGCAGCGTGCGGCCTTTCTTCGCTCTTCTTACACTCTCTGCGTCCTATCCCAGCACCACTGGACATGCAAGTCTTCGTCAAGGCCTCTTAGGCATTTTCGCTAACCCGCCTGAGACGCTGCGCACCCATCTCGGCTGGCCGTTATCGGGAGTGTCCGTCTCTCCGCAAACCACTAAACGTTATCTACCGTGTATCCGGACAGACGCTACACCGGGACGCAACCGCCCTGCCACAGTGGGCTCTATCAGACCTGGGGGACACGCACCGCCCCCCTTCTTTATCAGCCATCCAGATTCCTGAGAGCACAGCTGCACCCGCGGTATCAGATACCGCCAGATTTGGGGACGCTGCGCCAGAAACTCGCCGAAAGCGCCCCGTTTCTCCAAGCCAACCCCTGCCTGCCGTCCTGCTCGTTTATCAGCCGGCCGCTCCTCCATCCCTTGAAAACCATTTGCCCTGTTTCGGGCCCTGATCGCATCATCGCAGATTGGCGCCTGATAACCGGTCTATTCCCACCGGCCTCTTGGTAGCACAGCATATCAGCTTGCACAGAGCCGCTAGGGGTATCCTGACGACCGGACTCTTATCTCGCACATAAGGGCCTCCGGGTTCCCTTCCCGCCGCTAGTCTGGAGCCAAAGTGTGTTTGTTCAGCTCTTCCGGAACTGGGGTCAGCCGTCGACGACACGCGACCAACTTCAACTGCTGTTCCATGGATAACCGCCAGCCAGTCGATGCCCTGACTGCCATGTGTGATTTCCGATAGGACTTTGCTGCTGGGTTGTCGCTCCCCTCCTAGTCTCCTTCATCCTATTCCACCTCACGTACTCGGACATCCAAGAGCCGCGACTCGTGTGTGCCTGTCGCCAACCCAGCGTGCGGCTCTCAGCGGTGCCGCAGGACAAGCACCCCTCGCCACCTTGGCGGTAATCTCTCTACTACTCTCGATGTCAGTTCACTCAGCCTCTCCGTCACCGCTGCAGGTGGCAGCCACCGACCTGGCCGACGAAACCAAGATGCCCAAGGGACATTGCCGGTACATCCTGCTGCACCCCGAGATCAAAGGCCTGCGCTGCGCGTGTGCCAGCTTCTCGCTCAACAAGGGCGTACCTGGCGCAACCTGTGATTGTGGCCATCTCGCATGCTTCCACAACATGGAGCCCGACGCCTCGACGGACCAGAAGCTGGAGTTGGAGCTATTGAAGAAGCGGTTGCAACAACTCGAAGACCAACTCTCCAGAGGGCACGAGGACGTCCTGGACAGCGTCGTCAGCAGGCTGAACGAGGTGGAGGACCACCTGGAGAAGAGCAGGGAAGAGTTCAGTGAGCAGATCAAGGGTGCTTACCGGAATGTCAGCATAAGCTGGCGGTCCATAGAACAGGCGGAGCGTAAGAGCCAACAACATGACGTTCAACTCCGACAAATATACGAAAAGCTTCAAAATCACGACGAGAGGCTCGACATGCTGCATGCCGGGCAACTGGAGCTCAGAGATGCCGACCTGAGCCTAGAGGAACGGATCGAGAACCTGACCGAAACCCTCGAAGAAGAGGAGGAACTCCGCCTATCAGCCGCCATCGGTGCCGCGCCCTCACGGAGGAGATCCACGTCCGACACGTCTCGCTCAAACGTCCTGCTGGCCCCTTTAGGGGCAGGGGCCGCCCCAATCGACGCGCGCCGCGGACATCCGCCAGCGGGCGGCCCCACCAACAGCAAGCCAGGACATGGCGACGGCAGCGCCAGCGACGGCGGACAATCGACGCAACGGACGACTCAGCACGGCTCGCTCCCGCGGCCCCGTCTCCCCGCGTCTGCCCAGCCCACGGGCGCATGGACGGTGCACATCTCCCTGCTGCCCCATGCCTATGTGCCCATGCCCTTCGAGCGCAACACGAATGCCTACCAGCGCTGCCTGTCGCGGGGCCTGCACCAGATGGTGGCCGTGCAGGGCCGCGACGCGGCGTCGTTCCGCATGGCGGTGGAGAAAGCCTTCGGCCAGTTTCTCCGCGGCCGCGACTGGATGCCGCTGCAGGCCAAGCTGTGCGACGCCGAGTCCCTCCTGGGCCTGCCCATGCTGCGCCTCCTCGACGAACACCTCCTGCGTGATGTCGACGCGGGGCTGTACGACCACGAGTTCCTGAGACGCCACTGTGCTGTTCTGGATGGCAACGGCGTCATCGACTCGCTGTACATCGCCATGCGGAAGCACACCATCTCGTGGCACACCCTGCGCCGTTCGCCCGTATTCATGGAGGGGCTGGACGAGTGCTGGAAGTATGACCCGCAGTTGGACACGCGGCCGTATGATGGCGACGCGGACGCCATTGACGACGAGGATTGGCCCGCCGCCGGCGATGTCATGGCTGCCGTGCAGACGCCGCGGCCCGCCGCGGGGCTCAAGAGGTCATTGACCGAGATGTCGCGCTCGAACAGCTTCAGCTCGGGAGCCCCGATGTCGGTCACCCCACCTGAGGGCGACGAGACTAGGGTAAAAAGGACGTGTCCCGCGCCGCCGCAGGGGCCGATCGTGGAGATCCGGAGGAGGGATATCAAGACGGCTTGAGAGTCCGTGTTCCGAGATATTTGATTGACTGTGGTCATGTCGCGTTTCCCGATTGCCCTCTTGATCCAGGCAAGAAATGTTCGGGGAACCTGGTAGGGCGGCACGAAATGATAGACTATGCTTACATTGTGCGCGGTTAATGTTATAGACTCGGGCCGACGGGTGATGGGCGTTAAACGGAGATGAGGCGTATATTGGATACAGCGCGGTGTCGGTTCTTGGTTGGATTGGCTTAACCATCAGATCAGGAGGCGTCGTGCCTTCTCATCCATTGTTTATTTCTCCTGTCTGTTACCCCTCTCCGAAATGTTGCATTATTACCTCGATTTACTCTTCGTCCGACGAAGAGGAAAGGCGTCTCACAGGATTTCGGGAAACTTCCGTGGTCCGCGTGGTCCGCGTGGTGGTCCATGAATGCCGATTTCGGGACTTGAGACGAGACAGAAGTCGAGCTGCTGCTGACAGCGGTTCGCCCTGTTGAGAGGGTGCAATTTGATCCAAATAGGCTTCAGTTGTCTGCAATTCCTTGTGCGGGCTCTGCAAACCGGTGGGAACCTGATCGAGCTTCTGCGTTACTTGACTTCGTCCCCCTCCATTGTGCTGGCTGCCTGATGTGATACAGGACGGGGCCTTATGATTGACTTCAGGTTGAGCTGTTTACAGTGATACCCCAAGGCAAGCAATGCTTCTGCGACAATGCCTGGCGTTACCCGCTCGGAACGTGATGCTGCCTTTGCTTTCATTATACCTTATGTACTGTACGTAGTGTGTGCTGTGTAGACTGGAATCTTGTCCCATGGCGGCTCGGATGTTAATCCGCACCCAGCAACTTCACGTTGCGCGGATCAATATTGCGTTCTGAGAGGTGTGAGCTCCAACGCTTCACCGCCAATCACAGCAGAGAGCCGTTCGTTACGGGCTCAGAAGAAGGTGCGTACACACCACACAGTAGTACAGACATCAGATGCAATCCTGCCTCCATTCGTTCAAGCAGTTCGATTGAATGGTTCTGCCAAGGCTTAATTCTCTGGAGGCTCATATAATTCGGAACTTTCGTAACGGAATACGATTGAACAGGCCAGACTGTCTTGATCACTCCGAGTCGTAAAAAAGATCCTGTACTGGTCACGACACAGTACGAATTACCTGAGTGGCACAAGGGTCGGGTCCTCAGCTGGTTCTCTCTGGTTCAGCCCTATGGCGTTGCCCCGGTAATCCTCGGTCACTTTGCATGCAATACAAATACCTGCCGGGAATACGGATACGTACCCCCATAATCGCATTCCGACTGCACACATCGTCAATACCCAGCGCAGCAAATTGGAAGTCAAGCTGCACCATGGAAGCCTCGTTACATCGAACAGCCGTACACCGCAGCTTGCAACGGAAATCCCAAGTCCAACAACAACCACAGCCGCCAGACCAACAGTGGGTTTCTTCCTCGCAGGGCTTGCACCTGGGCCAGTTCGAGATCGGCCGACCCCTCGGCAAGGGCAAGTTCGGGCGTGTCTATCTGGTGCGACATCGGCAGTCCGGCTTCATTTGCGCACTGAAGGTGCTGGACAAAGCACAGATCGCACGGGAGAGGGCAGAGGTGCATGTGCGGCGGGAGATCGAGGTACACAGCAACTTGAGGAGTCCGGGCATCTTGGGGTTTTACAACTGGTTCCATGACGAGAAGCGGATATTCCTTGTGTTGGAGTATGCGGCTGGTGGCGAACTGGTAACTTCCCAACATCCATCTGCCCCCTTGCCCCAAGCTCTATAATGTGATGACTGGAAGAGGGGAATGTCGGGAGTAACAAGGGGGGAAAAGGATAGAAGGAATTGCTGACTCTGGGCTCTGTGAGTGCAGTACAAGCATCTCCGGCGAGCAGGCCGCTTCCCCGAGAAGCGCGCAGCGCGGTACTCGGCGCAGGTCGCCGCGGCGTTGCGATACCTGCACAGCAAGAACGTGATGCATCGCGACATCAAACCCGAGAACATCCTGGTGGGCCTGTACGGAGAACTTAAGCTGGCTGACTTCGGGTACAGCGTCCACGCGCCGAGCAACAGGCGCGACACGCTGTGCGGCACGCTCGACTACCTGCCGCCCGAGATGGTTGCGTCCAAGCGGACCAAGTATTCCCGCGCGGTGGACCAGTGGACACTAGGCGTGCTGACGTACGAGTTCCTAACAGGAGAGGCGCCCTTTGAGGATACTCCTGCTCTGACAACGAGGAGGATCGAAAGGGGGGATTTGAAGCCGCTACCGGCGTCGGTTTCTGCTGAGGCAAAGCACTACGTGCATTCGGTAAGACTGTTTCTTTGGCTGCTATCCGTCACCAGGTTGACAATTCGGTGCTAGCTGCTTGTTCTCAACCCAACGAAAAGGCTGTCATTTGATGATGCACTCGCCCATCCGTGGATTGTAAAACACTGCGGCCCCAGGTGACAACTCGAGGGCGGGGCCGGGGCGAGGGCCGAACAAGAGAGGGATATCCGTACACGTCATAGCCTCCTCCGTTGGAGTTTCGGGCACGGCGTGGGAGGAGAGGGGTTCAATCTGCTAGCGGTTAGGCGTTATCGGTCTCGTGCCGGCTTCAGGGTTTATTATTGCGTTCCTAGGGTTGAAGCTCGATCTCTGAGCGCCCAAGATATCGATTTCGGGCGGCACTTGGAGTTAGGTTGCCCCATGCCGGTGGTCCAGCTTCATATGTGCATGCTGTATGACCGCGTCCCGCATGCAATGGCTCCGGTTGTGGGTTGTGTCAGTTTCGTCAGCTGAATCACACAGTGTACGATACTACCCCGACGACACATCCTGTCATGGGGATGCCTTACATATACCGTGTAGGTATTACCTAGGCCGCATTATTGTGGTCTTCCAACCTCGTTTTATCGGTACAGTTCAACCCTGAATGATTGTTAGCGCGGAACAAGCGACAGAGGCTGAAACACTGGGGCTTTTCTCTGGTTGTTCAAGTCAGGCGCTAACAATCATTCAAGGGTCGAACTGTAACTACCTGAAGGTAGGAATGTGAAGCAACCCGGTCTCCAGACCATATGGACTTCCACAACAAACCGATAATGAATGTTTTGCACTCCTCTCCCTCGCTTTCGTTAATAAGTTAGAATCCCCATCTGCTTTGATACCACTGGCATTAGCATGCAAGGATGATTAGAAAGGGAGCCTTGCTGTAAACTGAATAAACCGACAGTAGCACCCTCTAGTTTTACTGTGTAAAATGGGGTAGTCAGACTGGTCCCTGAGTGGATCCACAACAGCAAGGCATCGGCCGCAAGGCTGATTTCCTTTCGCATGGCCAACTGCATCCATACTGTGGTATGGTAGTAGATGACATAAAAAGCCTACCTCCGTCGGCATCACCTGCCACTCTCTGATTTCGGATCTGACAAGTTGCATCAAAACCATCGCCCCACGCTTTTTAGACAACGCCCCGATCCTACGTGTTTCCACATAGCCAACCATTACCACACCCGACGATTGCCTGCCGTCGCATCCTCACACTACTATTTGAGCTGGCCTTTGCACACTGCGTAATCAGTCGGGCCCGACCAAACCGGAATCGAAAACGCAATCTCAAGTCTTGGCTTACCATACCCTGCCGGCGCGCATCAACAATCCCCAATCATGGATCTAGATATCGAAATGGACGTTGACGACGTCCAGGACCAGACAGTTCCCCGGCTTCAGCAAGCCGACGATATCATCACCGGTGAAGAGCAGGTTCGAATGAGCGAGTGTGGTCCGATTGTGCCCGGCATAAAACGCTAACAAGTGTCTAGGAACCTGGCGAGGTGGAGGAGACACCCATAAGTCAAGAAAACGGCGAGGTTGGAGATCAGGATCTCGTGCCGTACAAAGTACATGTCAGAGGGCTAGATACGTTCAACCCGGATGACGTCAAAACCTATCTCGCGCAGCACTACACCACCAGTCAACTCACTCGGGTCGAGTGGATCGACGACAGTTCCGCCAACTACGTCTTCAAGTCCGAAGGTAGTGCCCAAGAAGCGCTGGTAGCGCTAGCGGCAGTAGAGATCGCAGACGCGACGCAGCTGCCTCCTCTAGAAGAGATCGCTGCGAAGGGTTATGCGCAGAAGCCAGAATGCATACTCCGGGTCCGCTTTGCCGTCGTCGGGGATAAGAAACCTCCCCGTGCTGCTGAGCGGAGCCGATACTATCTACTTCATCCCGAATACGACCCGGAGGAGCGTCGACGGAGGGGTGGATTTAACAGAGGCAAGTACCGTGATCGCGACGATCGGTACCGGAGAGACAGACGAAATGACAGGCGGAGGGATTCCCGTGGGGACGATGATCCGGAACCATTCGATGTCAACCTCTATGACGACACCTCAGCTCCATCGAAACCGACACGGATACGCTCACGGTCAAGACGTCGCTCAGTTTCCAACTCTTCTGACGCTAGAAGGCTGCCTTCGCGTGGTCCGCGGAACCGGGAGAGGGAGCTGTTTCCAGAACGGCTATCCGGAGGCGGGTACAGCTTACGCGATCGATCTGCCTCGCCGGTCAGAGACCGTGACGGTGATGCCGAGATGGGCCTGGACGAGGACGCACGAGCAGCTGCCGTGTTGCGCAGTCGGGAGAAGGGACGGTCGATCAAAGAGCGCCTATCACGGAAGAGCAGCGTCAAAGAGCTCTTCCCGCTGAAAGACAATAAGCCGAAGGAGCTATTCCCGACCAAAGTCAACTCCAGCTCCGTGAGTAAGGCGCAGATGGATCAAATCAGCGACACGACGGTCCTGTCAAGCGGTATGTTAAAGCTTTCAATCACAGGGAGGCTAACGCGCTTGCGTTAGCCTCGCAAACTAGCCAGTCATCTTTCAAGGTCATCCGCCATATTCTTTTTTGAGTTCGATCATTGACACACACTTCAGCAAGTCTTGCAGATCGGATTACACCACGACTCAACACGTCGAGCCCGAGTGGGTTCAGCATACGCGGGATAGCAAGCAAACGCGGAACAGACCAAGGTATTGCCATCAAAGGCATAGGAACCACCGTCAAGGAGTTGTTCCCCGAGAAGTTCGGGAACACCGGCAAGGAGCTTTTTTCAGAGAAGCTTGAGGGCAGGGGCCGGAGGAGACAGCGAGCTGAAGACATGTTCCACTGATTGTACTGGTACAAGTACAACTTTGGCAACATCGTCCAGCATCGCCGACATGGGTTTTGATGGTTTCCCGGGCAGGACGTTGTCGTTTATATAATCTACTGGCACTTCCCTGCGGAAGATGCAACTGGGCAATGGAGGCCCTCACATCTCGTGAAGCTATTTCGGGACGACGTTACAAGGATTACTAGTAATAGGTACTGAGCCATATACTGACAATGGAGACTCTTGCTGAGGCAAACTCGAAGCCTTAGTTGCATTTACTTGCCACGGTTTCCCACCGAAGATCCGTCCACGAGCGCTCCAAAGCAATGAGAAGTAAACCTGCTGCCCTAGGCACCAGGTATACCTCCTCACAGCGATGATCGAGCAATGCGTCACTTGGTCCAGCCTAGTGCACGGAGTCAAGCACCGAGAACAGCTCTGCGCAATGTTAGTGATGGCATGTCAACGATAGGGATCCTGCCAGCTCGAGCGAACGAAGTCGCACCTTCCATCGCAGTTGAATACCATTTAGCTCGTCTGCTTTACCGTCGTTCGCCAGCGGTCCTTTCTTCGCCTTTTGCACCTACACCCGTTCTATACCACCTGATGCTATTTTGAAGGCTTCATTCAAACCTCGCCTTCCCTTCCCCCAACTGCTCCTCAGCATTCCAGGACACCAACGATACCCAACCAACGACTATCGACCAGCCTGCTGCTTCATGAACAGGTGGATTTTATTCCGACCTTACCCACCTCACATAGAGTCAGCCTGTTAACACCAGCCCCTACCAGCCCAGCATGGCTGACAATGCAATCTGGCACCGCGCCTTCGGTCGCTCGCGCAGCAGCACGCCGATGATGCCGGCGGCACAATACAACGACCCAGGTCACAAGTCACCGACGGGCGAATCCCCTCCCCGCCACCGCAAGTCGGCGAGTGCGACCCTCAAGACCGTCTCGAGCTTCCTAAGCCTCAAAGGCGGCATCAGCAAGGGCGGCCGTGTCTCGTCATCGGACCCGGAGCGGATCGATGCACCCGCGGCTCTTGCCATGCTGCCTCTCACTGAGACGCATTACGATCATGACTCTGACAAGAGCGAACGAACACGGACAGAGAGGGGCGCAGAGGGGACGTGGCACAATCCGAATGTCATGCAGATGGCTGAGCTGTTGACCACGGTCATGATGACGGGGGCTGCGAAGGATGGGTTGCCTGTTGTGTAAGTCGGTTTCTACCCTTCTGTTGTTGGTATTGTATTGTACAGCTAACTCTTGTGCTTCACAGCTACAACTCCTGCGTCCTGGCCGTTCTCGAGGCCTTCTACCGCCTCACCCGGCAGCTGCGCGACACCCAAAAAGCACTTATCGAGCTCAAGAACCTCCGGGAGATGGAGCTCGAGCAGTTCCGCAGCATGACAGAGGAATGGATGGAAAAAGGGGAGGCATATGCGGCGGAGATCAAGCGCCTCGAGCTCGCGCTGGCCAAAGAAAGCAAAGACGGCATAGCCTGTGTGGCCCTCATGAGGCACGGAAGCCTCGTAGACCGAGCCGGGAGTAGGAGGTTTCAAGCCAGGTTGAAGCGGATCAGCAGCTCACAAGATGAAGAAGGTATGCTGACACTTCCCTCTTCCCCCGCAATGGTGGCTATGGAAATGCAGGAAATAGGGTTGATTAAGGTGCGACAGGGAGTACTGATGCCGACAAAAAGAGGATGGTGCAGCCTGGAACAGAATCACTTGACCGAGCCGAAGCCACATCTCGACATAGAACGTTTGGTTCGGAAAGCCTTGAATTTCCTCCATTTTTCTCCCCGCTGACCCTAACCAGGGGCGGTCCCTCGAATTCTCGACACCCAAAACGATGTCTTGGTGAGCCGCTTTTTCGAAGAGCGCGACAGACAAGAACAACGAGCGCGCCAACAACAGGGCCGAGTCAGGGCCGCTCCGGTCCTTGTCCATCAACGTGGTGGCCGGGAATCCCGCAATGCGGGCGACGGGTTTCCGAGACGCGGAGAAGACTCTGATCATAGAATGCATCGGAATGCCTCCAGCGGAACTCAGCGGACAGGCGCAACCAGAGGCAGTTGCGCCCAGGCGGATGATACTCCACGGCCCAGAGCGCAGTCGCAGATATCCACAGATAATGAATCTAGCTCGTCAGACTCTGAGACTACTCGTAGCCAGGAGGCGTCGTCGGGCGGGCTTACCCTCAGAACACGGGTAAGACAGGTCGACAAGAAGCTCAGTCAGTGGCCAGCGGGACACGCCGGCAAAGAGGGCCTGCGTCCGGAGGGGGCTGCAGGAAAGGAATACCCGAGGTCTGCCTTGTCCGGCTCTCGACAGGAAGACGAAGTCGCTCACTCCCGCGACGGTGATCTGACCCCAAAGCCGGTGCATAGGCGGCCAAATGTAACGGCGGTCAACCCGGACGACGCCGGGCAAAGGAGCACATCGTCCTGGGAGGGCGGGCAGCTCTCGCTTCCAGAGCCCTCACATCAACAACAGCGCCGGAGAAGGTACTCATTTGAGAAAGGCGATGACGAGGTTTTGCCTGTTTCTCCTGCCTGGAAGCCAGACGCCCATTCCCAGCTCGGGCCTCCTACTTCGGCGCATTCGGCAGGTCATCGCGAGACTACGCCATCGTCGGAGGTTAGCCGCGGCTCAATCAGGTCTTCTGCCTCCACTGGCACTGTCAAATGGACTGGCGACGACAACGCTGAGGCCAGAGGAGGGCTGCGGCAGGGGAAGCAGGATTGATGGGAGGGAAACAGGTGATGTCGTGTAAGTGGGCTTTCCATGGAGAATGTCAATAGCTCGTGTATGCGGTAGCAGAATGACAAGTTTTTGAGTTGAGTCCCGCTCCTTTTCCCCTTTCGTGACTCGATGGTCCACTACTGTCCGAGATGCCAGCGGCGACGGCTTATGTGCCCAGATAATATACGACAGGAAGTTGATGTACAGCTTTGTTCTCTCCCGATCAGTGTTCTGCTGCCTTCCGTGACCAGGCCGTCAGACTGTGCCTGTTGTAGATGAATTTCTGATGCCAAAGGACTCGGAGTCGATATGGTGGCATGTTCTACCGATGCGTTGTCGTGCCTTGACTTGTCTAGTCGAGAAGAAGAAGGGGACTTGATCTCGGCTGTTGCTTGCTATGGTTTTCATAGTTGCTTCCGGCGAGTGATTAGCATGACAGTCCTCGGTTGATGCACGGAGCTCCGTAGGCGGCGGAGCACGGTGGTGGAAAGACTCCTGATGTCGGGGGGTTGGGAAGCTGCTTACACCAGTCGATGCTCTCACTTGATCTCAGCATCCAAACGGCGATATAAGTCGGTGAATGGGTGCCACATCGTCCCTGGGTACGTGGCCACTGCTCGACACGGCAAAGGTTGAGCAACTGGGAAAAGGGCACTGCGATGTCTCCTCTGGTTAAAACGCAGATGGGTGTTTGCTCAGGGTTTTCCATGGGAGGCGTGGTAAGTGTGTGAGTTCGCTACATGCTTAACTACCTACCTTACCTACACGACAAGAACCAAACCTTCAAGTGCACCCTCTCTTCTCATGATGAGTTTCCCAGGCTGTTCCCACGAGCTACCGCATCAGGGGAGGCAGGCAGAACCAGCATGCGTGGCATTCCCTCAGACAGCTTCACCCTTGGGTCACTCCCAGGCCATTCTTGGCGTTGCTCTTCCCTTCTGCCATTGACCATAGGTGACAAACTGGCCGTTTGCGCGGGATCCCGTGAGCCAGTAAAGCCTTCGTCCATTGCCGCCAGCTCAGGGGCAAGTGTGGAATGCAGATGGTCCATGGCTTAGGGCCCCTTCCAGTCGTCAACCGTACGGGATGGCAAAGAGAGGGAGCATGGCCCCATCGTCCCTGGCAAGCCAGTCGATGTCCAAACCGGCACCACCTCCTTCCTGGTAAACCATCGGTCTCCAGGAGAACTTTCATGCAAGTGAGTGGTCGCCGGCCGGGCTATCCTGCTACTCCAGCCTATGTTGTTATGTTTGCTGCTGCAATCCTACCCATCTACGAAGTACGCCTACCGCTTCCGCCCCGGCCCAGCTGAAGCGCAATGTCTTCCTGCCCAACCATAATCGGCGGCTGATACCCAGGCATGAGCGTCCTCGTCACATCCCGGGGGGCCCGACGCTCGAATGTTGCGGCGTGTGGTATGACAATGTTGATAGATGACAGTTGACATATAGTTTGTCAGCAAGCATTACCAGCAACAGCAACGGGATCAGGAATCCGATAGCGGGCGAACGGCAGCGTTCCCCCTCCCCCTACACGCCCCCCTCTTCCCTCCCGTACCGTCTGTAGGATAGAACGGGGAAAGAAGCTGGATGGTCAAGGAACGAGATGCTTTCCCGCGGATAGAGCCTTGCCACCGGATGACTGTCCGTCTTTCCCCGGCAGCCTCGCGACGCGGGGGGAGGGGAGGGGGAAGGGGGAGATACGTACGGCACAGCGAGCCAAGTCCAGCAGACGCGCATATCAAACCACACACAAAACTCTCATAGCCGGCACATCGCAACAACACTGTTGCCGCCCGTCTCACCCAGATGCCACCACATCGGAAAAAGCAACCAAGGGGCACACGCAGAGTAGCATACGAAGCTGAGACACGGCAGCGTTTTGGCGTCGATGGCTGCCGGTGCGGGAGTTGTGTGATCCCCGGTTGGCCAGAAGGAGGAGAGAAAAAGGGCGGGGGGTTTGTGTAAGTGAGACATACAGACATGCCATCGCGGCAGACGTCTCCAAGGAGGGCTCTCGGCGGTGGATTCAACGTTGATCCAAGTACAGTACAGTACAATGCCGTTCTGGTGTTCTGTCCTCCTCGAGCGGGGATCCGATCGATCCTGGAAGCCCCGTGTCCTTGCCCGTTGGGGGAAACGTCCACTAGCCGCCCTCGACTAACCCAGACAACGCGACGGTTTTATGGTGATGGGTGCCCCCATACACGTCGATCTATGGATATGGCGACGAGGTCTCCCCCTGCTGATCTTTGGTAGTTCAGCAGACTCCCCCGCCCCGGGGATGCACTCCTCTCTCTTGCTCCTTCACAGCAAGATTCGCAAGGCAGCTAATAAGTCAGGGGAAGGCGGGCGACCCGGGGGGGGGGGGGGGGGGGGGGGGGGGAGGGGACAATGCGCCCTCTCTCCCAGCTCGCCATTGCTAGTCCACTGACGAACCTCAGCTCAGCCAAACAACCGATGTCAGAGTCGTTGGACGGGAACTGTCCCATCCCCTTCCTCAAGCCTTCTTCTCACGTCTTCCCCTGTGGTTTCGTCCATTGGACGAAGTGGGTATGCCTGCATCTATCTACTTCCCAATGTCTCACCCACCGCACAACGGGGCCTTGCCCCTCCAACACAATCAGTTCGCCATTGCGGGACCGTGGCACAGTCGCGCGGTTCCAGCGGAGGACAAAAGCCCCAGTGCGGACGAAGCTAAGGACGTCACAACGATGAATGGCCAGCCACTTGGGGAAGAAGACGAGAGACATGCAGGAGGCCAGCAAGGGGGACGACCTTGGATACATGCCCTCTTTGGAGGACAAGCTGAGATCAAGGAAGCAAAGCGGAGTTGCGATAAGTAGCTCGCTGAATCTGGGAATGTCACGCTGACCGCTCCGGGCGGGCCCGTTCCCCTTTCGTGCTGCGGTTCGACAAGTCATCTCAACAAGGCACTGGAAAATAGCCTTGCTGGGCATCATCGTCTCTCTCTCTCTCCTCTTCTCTTACCAGAACATGGCTGTAAACTTGCAAATAGTAGACGATATGACGGCGTACCCCCCGTGGGCCCCTTTTGGTTCACACCGCATGGGCCACGTCAGAGTTCAGCCGGGTCGACGGTCGTAAGGCCACGAATAGGTAGTTACCACAACCCGCCCGAGCTGGCATACATAGTTAGACCCCAGCGGTCGAGGAGGCTTACCAAAAGGTTGGCGTCGTGCCGTGTGATGGGCAAATCGCAATTCTGCCGCGCCTGTTTGAGGAAACTGCTCCAGGACCATAGGCAGCTGAGGTCGCCGAGGAGACATGGGTCAACAAGCACGCTGGCTGCCCGCCGCATCCACCAGAGTCAGCCGCGCCGAGAGAGGTCGGATTTTCCTCCACCTCCCTTCATCAGCCTCCTCTCGGTGTACGATACCGAGGTTGGTACGTGGGAATGAATCCACCGACCGTAGATGAAAGACGACATTTTCCCCTCCGGTATCTGAGCGCTGAAGCTGGCGGTGAGACCTGGACGACTGTATACAGTACTACAGTACTGATGAGCCAGAGCTCGAGAGAAAGCGCCCTCTCTGCCAATGAGAAAAGAAGGCGGCCGCCCGTTCCACACATTCAACGGCCACGATCTCGGAGCGCCAACAGCAAGCCGATCGGGCAAGGTGATAGATCGGCCGCGGGGGGCGTGCCCGGAGTTACACCATGCGTGTATCATCATCCAGACCACATACGTACAGTACTGGTACAGTAAACAGACGGGGAAACGGCGGGTAAAGCTGCTGGCATGTCGGCCTCGCGGGTTTCGGCGGCGCGGGAATTTTCCTGTTGCAGCTGCATGCTCTTCTCCAGGTGGCATCTGGGTTTGAGCTGGACAGGGGTCCGTGGTGTTAGGTATGGATCCAATCGAGTGGTCGGAACGGTGGGCAACTTTTTGTTGCGTGTGTGTGTGTGTGTGTGTGTGTGTGTGTGTGTGTGTGAAGAAGTGGCATTGGCGCTTGCATCGGCCAGTTTGTGGCTTCCTCAAAAGTGGACAACCCAGCTGATCACCACCAGAAAGGAGCGATCCATCATATTTGATGAATGGCTCGTTTCGACGACCAATATGGTTTTGAGCCGGGTGTTATCCCTATCTCCAGACGGGACGATGAGATCAGAGATCGAATGCCGGGGTTTCTATTTTGAGCATAGATCGATATTGGGCATGTCAATCCCATGGAATTTTGCTTCGGGGGAATTTTACCAGTTTACCTAAGGCAGTGTACACTAGGTACGTACAGTACTGGGTACGTATTGCGTATCACTCACCCATTCTCACATTACCTACGCAGATCCCGCTCCCGCGCAGCTGGAAAGGGCGGCGAGGGTCGCATCGCGTCGTTCTTTTTGCTGCAGCTCACCAAAGGGGGGTTGCATCAACTGTCTGGGAGGATCGGCAGAAAAAAGGCATCCTTCCAGAGCTTCAGGGCATCCCGTTTGGGGCTCTGGGGCCGTCGAGGAAGCAGCTGAACAATTCGCTAGATTTCGCCAGGAACGGTTAACGACTCGCCCTGGATACTTTTAACAAACCTGCATGGGCCCCGGCCAACGGATGGTCAGCGCCACTGGACGATCTGACTTGTCTGATTGGATCCCCTCGGCCCGGTGCTCGTGCGACCAGGGCCTTTTGCGTCAACGCTAACGGCTGACCCCCAGTCCAGGTCGCCGATTCGGGCTTTAAAAAAGCACATGTGGTGCCCGAGCCGTTGGCATGCCGCATGACAAGTGTTTTTTGCAAGACATGCCTCTCAACGTCTCCCCAACGGTACCTCAGAGCGCCGGGTGAAACCCGGCTACCATCAACGGCTCGTGCAAAGTCTATCGTTAGCTAGGTGAGGCTTGTGTAGGCTACGGTGATAGGCGGTCGATGGTGGATCAGGTCCAAACGCATGCAGAGCACCCAATCGCTCCTGGAATCTCTCACTGGATGATCCGCGCGCCGTTTCCCGATCTGGCTTTGGAGCCGCCTGGCAATGTTGACACCGGGACGAGGGACGAAGACGTGTGGGCCGGCTATTCGCTGCACGTTTTCGAGCGTCGCTGGTGCCCCCATGTCGGGTATTGAGATCAACTATGGGCATGGGGAAGCGGCGGCGACGGTGCGAAGCAGGTACACAAGACCGCGGATAAGTGTGCTGCTGAAGCTGTGGGCCATGTTGAGGATCGTTGGATCTACAGTCCAACTGCGGTAGTGTAGACTGGTAGCAGCGGCCAAAAAGGGTAAGCATGGAACATGGGGATTCCAAACCCAGGTAGCAGAGGATCCAGGGAACCAGATGACCGCCATGGAGGATCAGCGTCCCAAACGGTAATCCAAGGAGACGCGAGTTAACCAGAACCTCAATGCCTTCAGCAAGGAAACAGCGCGACTCATCAGTCAGTGCACTCTCACGTTATGTACGTACATACATACAATACGAGGTATTGGGCAGTAGTGTGGTGTCTCCAGCAAGCTGCCCCAGCCAGGAAGGAGCGGTCGTTGAAGTGAGACATTTCGGCAGGTTTCGCCCGGCGGCACGAGGAGGAAAGACGCCCTGCTCTCCACCGCAATTGATGAGACCGTCCGCGAACTCGGAGAAAACTATAGTGTATGTATACACACTGCCATCGGTAACGGCCGCCTTTGCCGAAAACATCTTGCTAGCGTTGAGAGGTGTCGCCCAATTCATCGGTGACCGTTGGGGCAACGCTTACCTACTAGTACTCTACAGTTGACTTTTAAAACTACTAGTCTGTAGCCTGATGATATTGTGAGGCGACCCCCAATCCCCAAACGGTCCTTGGATCAAGCACCAACCGCATCATTACCTAACGTTATCTTGTTACTTCAGAACCGATCTTCTATTCGAATTTGGGGTGTCGAGGCTGCGGGCTGGGGTCGTGGAAACCAACAGCTCAACCACGAGCGCGCAGTCGGGAGCATGCCGCGGCTGCTGTCCACCTCCGTCTGACTGCGTGATGTAACCTCATATGTAAGGATAGGTCCTCGTTGTCCTCGGGTTGGAGGCTCAATGCACCGCACAGTCGCAGAACCTCGCCGCCCGCACACGGAACAGAGCCGCTCTGGGCAGAGGTATCCTGGAAGAACCCGTTGTTCGACGTACCCCGGAACATGCACTTTTTAGTCGGCTGTGGATCCCAAGTGGATGGGCCCACTTGAAGCCACCGGCAAGGGTAAGCATGGACCGGCTCGCTGGGCCCCTGATGAACCCCATTGTTCATGGAGGGAGACCGACGAAAAAATCCCATCCAGCTTCAGATCTCGAAAGCGCCCGGCTCGCCGATTTCGCTTTCACCACAAAGTCACAGAGCAGTGTAGACGATCTCGTGCATCGGGAGATCCACGAGTTGGGTCAATACATTCGCAGGTTCAAACCTGCACAACGTGGAGGGTTTATTGACTCTCCGCCGACCGGCGGACAGTGTATCACAAACGTCTGAGCTGGGCTCATCTGACCGGGAGCTAATCAACGATATGCGAGGGAAGATCCGCGGGGGTGACCGCCAGGCCGGTACGCGATTGATGAGGAAGATGCGACCCGACAGCGTGTTTTCGCTTGTCGTTGCCATCTCTGTGGTTGCTCCAAGCAAGGTTGAAACAGCTACCCCCGGGCTTAACGTACGTCTTAAGACATGGGTGCGAACATCAGAACATCAGCTCGAGGCCGACGACGACATGGTCCCTGAAAGTGCCGTACAGTAGCGAGTAGTTACTCTGCGTGCCGTCTTTCATGCGATGCTCGGCCTCGCATAGGTACGAAAGTGTTTCAGCGCTGCTGACGTCTACCATACTATAGTGTCGGCTGGATTGTTTACTTCCCTTATTAAGTCATGGTCATCAATCCGGATGGTAAGGTCCAAACCGCCCAGACTGGTATGAGTACGGATTACGGATTCCGGAGTATCTAATTGTGGTTTCACAGTGGCAGCGGAAGGGCGCCAGAACAACAACCTCAGTACTACTGCAGGTAGCCTCGCGCAGCCTGTCCAAGATACCTACCTACTTTCCGTACTCGTCCGACTCGCTTTGGCCAGCGATCGACCTCCCATGGCTGTTGATCCATTTAGTTGTTGGCCGCCTATTCCCAGCATGCTGATTCAAAGTTTGGGCTTTTCACAGTCACAGCCATGGGCCGCCGTTACTCATAGTGTCGAGATGGCCACGAAAATGTGCCGTCCGTCTTGTGCTCCATCTCATCCGCCTGTGCAAGCAAAGGCCCAATTCGGCACGCGTGATGCTGTTCACCAAAGTATAGGTCAAGGGCAATGCGTTTGTACGTGTCGTATGTAGGTATGTACCGTCGGGACGCTAAGATTACGAGCAATCCAGGGGGGGCGTTGCTTGGCGGGACTTGGGCTGGGTCCCAGCACTCAGGCCGGCCCACAGATGCCCACTGATGAAGAAGGCTAGTGTACCAAGGCAGGAGGACATGGCCCCTGGCTAACGTTAACCTGACGCCCCTGATGGGCTGAGACACCCCTTGGGCGCACACCCCAGCAGCCGATCGTCTGTATTGTGACTGTACACTATCTCCCCACGCCGCGCAGAATTCCTATCTGGATTACTCGGTATTAATATTAGCCTTTCCCCGCGGCCCTTCACCCTTCACCCTGGTCTGTCCCGTCAACTTCATCACCTTCACCGCGGGCCACACAAGCATCCCACCAGCTTCATCAAAGACGTCGGCCTAACTCGACGGTGGCCTTGATTCACCACAGTAGGCCTCTCAGCCCGATGGTGCCGTGCGCAGCAGACCACACAGCAACAACAGCCATGTCCTCAGAGCAGGCCCTCAACAAGAAGGGGTGGGAGGAAGAGGAGGACGTCCGCCTTCTGGAACTCCACGCATCTTTTGGCCCGAATTGGACACACATCGCAAGGGGCATGGGCACAAAATCGGCCAAGCAATGCCGGGAGAGGTACACCCAGCAGCTGCGGCCGGGGCTCAACCGCTCTCCCATCTCGGAGGACGAGGGCCGGCGGATCATGGAGATGGTCCAGGAGTCGGGCCAGCGGTGGGCGCAGATCGCCAGGGCGCTCGGCACCAACCGCAGCGACAACCAGGTGAAGAACTGGTGGAACGGCGCCAAGCGGAAGGAGACGTCCAAGAGACAAGACGCAGCCCAGAAGCAGAGCCAGCGGCACCCCCTGGACCACTCCCCATCCCCAGCATTCGCCGGCCTCCCCGAGCGGCGAGGCATCCTCCCCCCGGTCCCCCTCGATCTTCCCTTCGCGCATGACAGCCTCAGCGTCAGCCTCGAGGCGCGGTCTCGGTCCTCATCCGCTCGTTCTTACGACTCGGAGCGGCCACCTTCGCTCGTGTCCGATACCGGGTCATCCTGGAGCATCTCACAGCCGGCATCCGCATCAGGGTCCCCGACGTCCTCCCTAGCTCGCCCGCTTCTGTCTTTCCAGCATCCGGACGCCTACGCTAGCTGCCGCATGCCCGGCCAAGGCTCTGAGCCGGGTCGCTGGCCCTCCACGGTCCCACAGCCGAGTGTTTACTACGCCAGCACAACTCCCACCCCGCCACTCGGCCCCATGTACTCAGCCGCCGCGACTTTCCCTCCCGACCGCCCCGTTGCCTTACCGCCACTCCAATTACCCCCGGCCCATTCGGACAGTGGCTACTTTGAAGCCCACAACAACAACAGCAAGCCGGGCTGCTTCGGGCCAGTTCGCCGTTCTTCCGAGGTCTTGCAGCCCGGGGGCCTCTCGCCCCAGAGTCCCTACGCCAGGACCGCACCAACCACTCCCACCGTCCGCGCTACATCCTCTCGTTGGGAGCCATACCCGACACGCCGGCCCAGCGCCACAGCATCATACCAGCCACAGCTGGACAACGGGATGAGTGCTAAAGGCTCGCTTTCTTTCCTGCTTAATTGAGGATGGAATGGCTCTCGCTACGGTCTACCTGCAGATGGTATCAGAATTTCCTTGGAAGGTTCATTAACAGCGGTATACTGGTGTGCATTCTTCTGGTGTTCTCGGCTGGCATGGGCGGATACCTGGGAGCAGTTTATTATTATATAACAAGCGGGCGGCGTTTTGGTTAGGCCTTGCTACTGAACTTGGATACCCCTTTTCCTCTTCCGTTCTCTTCTGTTCCTTTTCCTTTTCTTTTCTCTCTCTTCCTTTTGGTCTCCACACGGTTGTTTCTCTTTCCTCGTTATACCACCTACAAAAACCTTTCCTTTGTGCGTCATGCGTGACGAATTCCTCCTAGGTAGGCCCGCAGCATCTGGAGCAAGCGGGCAGCAACGCGAAAACCAAGGAAATCTCGGCTTATTGGGCATGGTTATGTATGTAATAGGTCAAGCCTGGATGGTCTCAGTTTGGCCATTCTGGGATGTCGCCGTACAATTTACGGCCGAAAACTCGTTGTGAGAGAAATCAACAATCGAAGTCATCACGACCTTGTCTTCCGGCCCTTCTTTGCGGCCGCCTACGCTACCTACTCTGCCTGAGCCTGTCGAGACGAGCGTTTTCGTCGGCAGTAACACATAGATCGCACTGCTCATCTGGTAGTATATTCGCTCGGCACACAGCGTTAGAGCCAAACTAGCGAGCGGATTGGGTTTCTGTAGACTCGCACTGCAGATTGGCTCGCCAACCCCAACTCCCGTCCCCCTGCCTTTGCTTCCCATGGAGCCAGGGAAAAGGTGAGACCCCTAAGTGGATCGAACTATGGAAACAGAAATTAAGCTTGCCCGTTGGCGCCGGATCATGCAACTCCTTGAGACGGACGTGCTCCGGCGCTTGGACCGGCGGCCAAGGATCATCCATCTCAACAGCGCAGTCTCACGAGGATACGATACTAGCGATACAAGTAGTCTACGCACAGGAACTCTCTTCTGTATGGTAATGCACAGTATCCGGCGACTGCTGGTTAATAGCTATCCATCACCGAGTTGGGATGTTCTAGCCCCTACTCCTAGTAGTAACTTGCACAGTAAATCCAACTTTTCAGGACTAGTAGTCGGTGGTAAGTGTATGGGATATGCAGGCATCCGCTGGCTCCCCATAAGCGCGGCATCAGAGCATCCGTCTGGCGGGCGCCCGGGAAGTACAAACCATTTTTTACACTGCTTTCTACCAATGTAACGTCGGCACGTCAGGTCGGCGACCTCGCGATTCAATAGCCGTGTCTGTCCAACCTGAGGGCGCAGATCTCACGATTGCGACGGCACGCTCTGCTACACCAGGTGCGACACTGCTCTTGGCCCATTTACCGGCAGAGCGTAAGAATGCGGAGGGCTGGCGGGGTCTTCAAAAGGGACTCCGACCAATGTTCACCTTTGGAATCAAATTGTTAAGCTTGGATCCTACCTCGACGAGTGCGGAATCTTGCGCCGATCGTTCTTCCCCTAACGTTAATGGTGAATCTTGGGTCGCCCTCAAAAAATACAGTGTGATGATCGGCATCCCCCAGCCGATCGACAACATTAAAACTTATTGCATCAGCATCCTAGGAATCGCACCGGTCAAGCCAGGTATTGCACCAGATTTTGTCATGCGGCAAGTTCCGCGCCGTACCTCATCATCTCCGCGGGCTAAAACTCGGCTTTCACATTGTGGTCCACGGCTCACCGAAAACTGGTTGATACCGAAGGTCGTAGAATAGGTACTAGTAATCGTCAAGCAGAACTTATTTAATGGTTGCTTGCTCACTCAACATTCGAGTCCTTATGGCATATTGGCCATGGTGCGTAGGTAGCTAACTGTAGTAGGCACATACATGCAAAGGAGGTAAGCATGTGCCGTACTAGTACTGTACATACGGTAGGTAGGTACCTACATACATTCACGAGCGTCCCACGACAGCTGAACGCACCCCCAACAGAAACCGGCAAGACAGTCGTAGTACAGAGTAGCGCACTAGTAGTGCAAGTACTTCGCGATCTTCATCATAGGATTACCGACTCTTTACCCGGCAGCCAACCGTTGGTTGATATACGAATATAACATTAAGGAAATCTGCTTCCCTGGGTCATATCAGCCATCAACATCCCCGTCGCCATGTGCTCCCCTGAGACCAACGGTAGACCCACTGTTTGGCCTCCCTCTTGCTTCAACCCCACCTCGGCATGCCGTTTTCTTCAATAGCGCCGCGATAGTGCGTCCCGGGCCGGGGTTCGACCCAGCGCATGGACGGTTACGGTAAGACCGTTGACCGATCCAGGCCCTGTCAGTTCCGTTCCTGACCCACCCACACTTTTTTGCATATCGAGTTCCAACGGCGGGAGAACATCCCAACTTCGGCGCTTCGGCGCTTCAGCGCAGCAGGGGCCTCACAGTAACGGCCCCCAACAGGATTTACGAGATGGAGTTAAGCGCAAACAGTGGAACCTCTCTCTTGGCGATCACTAGCTGTGGAGCTTGTCACCATTTCCCTCGGGCCTGCACTGCGGGGGGAAACGCACAAGCCTCATCAGAAAGTTCCACTCTGGAACGCTATCCAATGTTAGCTCCCGGCGCCAGCTCCGATGATGACTTGCCACTCGGGTGCTCCGGGGCTACAAACCTACCTACATAGATGGCAGGACGGCGGGGGTACCCGATCAGCTGGTCGGTGTTCAGCCACAACAAACACTACCACGGAGTAATGTAGTACTGTGCACTAGCTCCGGATATACATAGTACATACATGACCCTCTAGATCCTTCCCGGGGTTGGCGAAAAGGCCCGACCTGTGAGGCAGCTATCTCGGTATGCGCATGGTGGCTCGAATCTCGGGTCTCAGGGTGATAGATAGCTCCTTCGATCAAGGGTTTTGGTGAGCCGTTCGCCCGAGAAAAGCGTTGATGAGAAACACAGCAGTGGAGAGACTGCTACCTTACCTCGGTGTATGTGTCGTATTCAATTCACGCTGGAGCCATCATGGATACCTACTGTAGTAATCCGTACACAAGTCATGCTCCCCGCCCACTCAAAAGACCTCGAACATTACCGCCCTGGCTGATGACTGCAAACCCATCCCAGCAGTCGTGCTCCGGACGATTGCAGTTGTCAGAACATACCTACGCCTATACATACAGGGAACGTGTCTCCTAAAGGCGGGAATAGTTTAAGTCCGAGGTATGCTCCTGCCTTCAAACCTTACAACTCCGCTCCCACCCAAGGGAGGAAAGGGGAAGCCGCTCAGTGGAGGCGAAAGTGAGAGGGGCTGGTATAAGAAGACCTAGATGAGGATGGAAGGACTTCAAACAGCAGGCCGAAACAACAGGTATCATATCCAGCCACCACAACCAATTAAATAAAGTCAAGGCCGCCATCTCTGACCCGACGATCTGGGCCCAACGGGAAAGAGAAAGCTTTCCAGCCTATCGGGCCTACCAGGCGCCGATCTGGTTGTACAATACACCTACCTCTTCCGGCTAGTCGACAGCAAAGTCAGTCAGCCAGTCACTCCTCTGTTGTTTTTTGTTCTAATGTACTACTAGTAGTAGTCTGTACAGAGGAGGTATAGCATATGTATTACCGACTATGCGCCGTGTTCTGTGCTTGTAGGAGCGGACAAATTACCGGCATGCGACAGTCGTAAGGATGTAATTACATATTCTTGCGCCTGTTGCGTTTCTACACTACAGTACGTGCGGATTACTTACACCTCTGACCTCGAGATGCTTGTACAGTACAACACCTTTGTACCGAGAACTGTGATTTCTCTATCAGCTTAGTCATTGCGCTTTGTGCGATGTAACTTTCAGACGCATGTTTTGTTTACTTGTCGTTTTTGGCCATCTACAACTGCTGTGCTAAGTAGGTAGGCTACCTCTGCCTGCCTTATTGCCGTGTTATATGCTATGTGCTGAGTGTCTTGCAAGCAGAGTTTGAGATGCATACGGTAGTATTTTATTCCTTGTTCTGGGACAGACGGCTTGCTGGTTCTGCTAATTGTTCATGTCAGGCTATTCTGGAACCCCCGGTCAGGAGCAGAAGTTGGAATAGATATCGGAGCAGACACCCATCTGGCACAGAATTTACGACGGGAATGCCAAACTTGTTGTCATGTACTAGTACTACTGTGCACGATAGGACGAGCAGTGTTCAAGCCACTGCAAGCTGCTAGTGTATAGGGGTATCGGTGAAGCCCACCCGTTTGTTTACGGCTAGTTATCTCTAGGTTGGTAGTACAGCAAGGAGCAAGAACATAGAAGATTATCTGATGGAACGATCAATACCCATCCTAGTTTAAGGCGGGTAGTGTGCCGTGATCATGATATCGCTCCTTCCGTTTTTTTTTGGTCAGCTATTACCAGTTCGAGCCGGTGGCAGCTACAGGAGTCGAACTCTTAACACCCAGCCATGAACCTGGCGAGACAGCTCGAGAATCAGCCAGGGGGGTACAAGTGTCTTCCGCCCTTCTAGCGGAAGGAAGGTGGCCACTCAACTGGGTTGGTCAGGCCGGAAATTGCGCTGCTACCACTTCGCAGCTGAAGAGTGGGTGATGTTGAGAGGACCTTTATGAGAAGACTTGGGACAGTTAGATCCGATTCGTGTCTACAATTGTGCAATCCGAGGGACGACCCCTGGTACTATTTCGTCACCTGTCCGCCTTGGTTGCCATGTCGGTGCAGTACCAGTAGTACTAGTACTTATGGCAGAACTCGCCAGTGCAGCGACCACTGGAACTCAGCTGAGCTGGTGGGCCCCTCAACCCAAGACAGTTTTGCGCGTAGGTACTTAGCCTCGGTCGGGGCCTGAGCAATAGAGAAGCCGAACCGGTAATCGTCTCTAAAGGCTGCAGTGTACTAGAGTAGCTAAGGTACCTAACCCCCATCGCCACGGATACTAGTACTACTAAAAGCCTCAACCGCACTAGTATGTACCAAACAAAGCCGAGGTTGGAAGTAGAACACTTTGCCCCTATTATACCATGCCGTAGCATTCCATGTATCGCGCAATTCGATCTGACAAAGCTGTAGCAACGCTCTCAAAACAACGAAATTCCGAGCCGGCGTCGACGACGGCAGACAGAGACGCTTGGTTCATAGAGACAAGTTGGTTATGTGCTTTCCATCGCCATGCTGAGAGCTCGAAGGGGACAAAACCCGCTCGTAGCAAGAAGACGCCGACTTTATCGTTATATCGCCCTGAACGCCAAGTAGATCATGAGGTAGCTAAGGGAGCAACCGAAGAAACACGGTGTATAGAAACAGAAGCAGGAGGAAGAGGAGGTATGACACACATGCAGAACCGTAGCTTGCGCCCGATTAGAGAAGCTTTGCGGAACATGGCAATGCACAACATGAACAAAGGATTGCAACAGGCCGGAGGATCGCGAAATGGAACGCAAGTCTAAATGAGTAATCCGGTACCGCGGATGCCGGCGGAATCCCCCCATGTACGCCATTTTCTCGCGCCATTCTGATACCATTCCCACCATGCCCAGAAAGTACAGAGGAAAGACTGAAAAAAAATCAAAAGAAAAACAAGCTCAGAGGTATATGTCCCCGCCTTCACCACGCACCCATCTTCCCCAAGCAATCTCATACGCCTCCTCTAGATCCCTAACCCACCGCCGCGTATCAAACAGTGCACAAGTCCACTTGCTGTCAAATAGCAGCTTCCTCAGCTCCCCCAGCCTGCCCACCGCCTCGCCGTATATCTTCCCAGTGGGGTGGTGCCGGCGAGGACGGTACGAAAGCCCGTTGGCCAAGGTGATGGCAAACTCCTCGTATTCGCTCTCGTCCCCCGCAATCAGCTCCCTCGCGGCTTGCTCGCCCGCCTCACCCTTCGGGAGCGCGCCCTTCAATATCGACGCCGCCATCCGCGAGCACATCTTGTACTCATACCTCGGCAGCGTGAGAAGCGGCGTGTTCGACCAGAGGATGTCGGCCGCCGTGGTGTGGGCGTTGCACTCGGGAGTATCGAGGAACAGGTCGCATACGCGGGCGCGCGAGATGTGTTGCTGCTTGGGTGCGACATCGGTGAAGATGATGCGGCTGGCGACCCCCTCGCTACTCCAGTCCCGTGCAGTACGGCGAAGGTGGGTCTCTCCGAGTTCGGGGAAGCGGAGCAGCCAGAGGTAGGCTTTGGGAGCGGCGGCGAGGATGCGCAGCCAGGTGCGGAAGGTGGTTGGGTCGATCTGACAACAACTGTCAGCGAGGACGTTGAGAGAGCTGGACATGAGCGACATGGAACTCACCTTGTATAGCTGATTGAAATTCCCTAGGATGACGGCATCGTCTGGAAGGTTGGGAAACAGCTCCTTGCGCATCTCCCACCGTCTCCGCTGGTCCTCTTCCCATGTCATATCCCTCTCGTTGCACCCGTCGGCCGACTGCGCGTGGTCGCAGCAGAAGAAGGTGTCGCGACAGAAAATGATGTTCTCCGAATAGATCCAATCCTCCGCGTCGGCATCAGCTTCGTCGCGGAACACGTCCTCTAGCGTCAGGTTCTGGCGGTGGGGGCGAAGGGTCGACGGGGGAATGGCTGTCGAGTCGGCCAACAGGTAATCGCACCACTCGGCTCCTAGCGTCCCTGCAAAACCCATGAACGACATCTGGATCGGAGCCGGTCGAGCGGCGAAGATCTCGTTCCGGGCTCCGCGCGTGTAACCGTTGAGGTTGACCAATATGTGGATTTTGTCCTTGACGATCTGTTCAACCAGCCTGTCGGGGGACCAGGTGCTCACATCGCGGAACACCGGCGCCTCGCGCTCGATCTGTTGGCGGTGGATCGACCTGTCACTTGCTGTTGTCGCGTAGCAAAACGCCCTGACGCGCCTCGGATTGTGCATGCCAAAAACGGATTGCATCCTGCGGTGGTCAGAGACGGACGCACTTACCGAGGGGGGTGGCTATACTCACAAGTGTGCTAGGGGATGATTATTGAAGTCGGAAGAGACGTAGCCCACGTTGAGATGAGGGCTCGGCGGATCTGGAGGCTCATACACGGTGGCCGGGATCCACGGGGACCGGAGGGTCGAGAACGATATTCTCAGTGCGTTCCTCTGCGAAATCTGTCGGACGTCCTTGGCCGGTACGGGACATGTGAAAGTGTGGAAGGGTAGCACTGTCGGCGCTGAGGGGACTGGAAGACTTCTCGGTGGCTTCGGCCGGCGATACCCGGGCGACTGGATGCCCCTGATGTGCTTATCTTGGTACCAGCAACGCATAGCAGCAACCGTCGAACGCTCTACAAGGCGTAGGATCCGATAGCCCTCGCCAGGTCTTCCGGCCCATTTCCGAAGCTCAGCCTCCAGGTCAAGGGAAGGATCCGTGATGCCGGCCCCAGCATCCCTGAGCTGTGCTATCAACTGCAGCATAGAGCGTCCCTGCAGGATCCCCACACCCCAAGATGAGGACTCCTTCAGTTGGCGGCGGACAATGTCGACGACGCGCTTCATCAGCCCACTACCCTTGCCCAGGCTCTTGACGTCTTGAAGCATGCCCTTCTCGTCAACGTGCCACCTATCATACTTGCCACCTGCAAGCAAGACACCGCCACGGCCCCTCCAGTCACATACCGAACCGAGCGCAGTGGAGAGACCGCAGACAGCCTCGGCAAAGTCGGGGTTCGCAGCCACAGCTCTCTGGTAGTATTTGATGGCGTCACCGACCCGACCCCTGTCTTTGACCGCATTGGCGAGGTTTGTCAGGGCGATGTCGAAGGTACCGTCGCAGGCCACGGCTTGCTCGTACATTGAGATCGCCATGTCCAGTTGGCCAATGTCCTTGAGCAGACTCCCCAAGTTCGTGTGCAGGTGCACATGTTTGGGGTCCAATGTGAGGCCGTATTGATAATATGCGAGGGCCAGCGACAGTCCGCTGCCAGGGACGATTCCTGGAATGCTCGTGGCATAGCCCATGTCAGAGATTGAGATGATATGCGCCGGCGCAGCCTGCTGGACGCCCGCGAGCAGGATCCCAACGTTGTTGGCCGTCGAAGGGCTCTCTTGCAACGACAAGGACAGATAATACAGGGCGAGAATGTCCCCGACCCCGGCGGGCTGGCGGATGAGGCCAGTGCTGGAACCGCCATTCGACATTGCGTCCTGATAGATTTTGGCGAGGGAGAGGAGCGCGTTGCTCGTCGTCGCCACCACCGATTTCTTGTGAGACCCCTCAGAAACATGCTGCAGTCCGGGCAGTTGGCCGCCGGTGGGAGCGAAGACGAATTGAGCTGTAAGCTTCGCTCTATCTGGAGCAAGGAGCAAAGGGGGATACGGGTTTCCGATGACGGAGCCCCGTTGTTGGCCTAAGCGAGGGTCCCTGGGGGCCAGTACGGTTTGTATCCTTCGGATGAGCGATTGGACGCCTTGGATCTGCCTGCCAGCACTGATCAATACAACCTCTTCAAACGCCTCCGAGGCACGATCAATCTCTTTGAGCGAGTACAACATGTTCCCTTTGGCGTGAATAAGCAGAACCATCCGACCATTCTCGCTGCCTGGGATGCGATAGCCGCTGGAGCCAAATCCAGGTGCCTTGCTATCCTCCGCCATGGAAGCAAAGCGCTGCTCTGGACTGTCTGCGCTCTCCGAATCCAGCAGGTATGTGTCCGGGCTGGATTCGGGGAACGTAGTTGTCGAGGCCGTATCTGCCTCGCTGGCAGTCTCGCTGGCTTGATCACGCGGCGCATCGGATCCTCGTATTCGCAACGACCGCTGGATGAACTCAATGGCTTTCACCGCCGCGCTGTTCCTGTGTACTGAGCAGAGGAAGCTGACGAGATGCTCGACTGCTTCGAGATAGCTCGGTCGTAGCTTGATGGCTCGCACCCACTGTTGTTCTGCTTCGTCATGCCTGTTCAGACAGTACAGTGTCGCTGCGATATTAGAGATGGCTTCCACGTGGCTGGCAGACCTGTTAGCATATTGCGTATTGCGGTCACCGAGGAACAAGGGCTCTGTTCCCCCCACCTTTGGTCTAGGTTCACGATCCGCTTGAACCATTCCAATGCCTCCTCATAGCGCTCCAGACCATAATGCAGACACCCTCCCAGCAGCATTCCCTCCACCCACTTCCAGCCACTCTGCTCACATAATGTCGATAGCATATCTAGGGAAGCCTTGGCGTTGAGAATGGGCGAGCCCATTTCATGGAATGGTCGTTGATGGTGACCACTGGCAAATGCTCGAAGAGCCGCCTCCCTGCGAGCTATCTGCTGCGAATAGCCTTCTGTAAGCTCACCAAAGGTGGATAATGCCGGTACTCTGTTGCCGCTACCGCCGGGTGTGGTGGAGGGCTTCGGGTACACCATCATCTTCGAAGATGCTCGCGCGCTGGAGCCACTGCGTGCATGGTTCGCCTTCTTAGCACTGGTGAGATAAAGAAGTAGGTCATTGTATGCCTTGTGCGCGCTTTGCAACGCCCGCTCCCTGAAGCGAGCTGGTGAGCCCAATTCCCCTGAGGCAACGGCGTTGGCAAATCCGGCGCCGGGCGTTATCGAGACGGAATTTTGTCCAGGGTGAGCCGCTTGATGCACTAAGTGATTCTGGCCGTAGCGAACGAAGCCATCATTGGGGGGTTGTCCAGGTAGCGGCAGGCCTAAATGGTGTGTTTGCCCTAGTCCCGGAGCATTGGCCAGGCCATGGTGCATCGTGGATGCCATGAACGCACTGTCAACTGAGTTCTGTGGTGTGTAGTTGTTTGCCAGCGGGATGAAGGTGCGGTAACCAAGGTTTCCATCTCTCCATACCGCAGGCTGCTGGAAGCCGCCGGGACTGTATGCCGTTTGTGACGACGACTGCTGCTGATACGGTGGCCCGAGGAGAGGCTGCAAGCCGGGCACATGATAATTATGTTGCGGCGCAGCCTGCACGAAGGTTGCACCGTCTGCTGCGCCTGGGCCTAACGCCGGGCCTGGCGACCCCATTCCCCATCCCCTCGCCGTGCCGTGTAAGCCGTTCACTGCCTCCATTCCTGGATCGAAGCTGGCCGTTGGCATCGCCGCTGGATACGGCCAAGCACCCGCCGGGACCTGTTGCTGAAGCACACCACCAGCCGATGGGTTAGACGCCCCCTGCACCACAGCAGTAGGGAAGATTCTGGAGGAAGCCGACAGAATCATATGCTTCACCGGCGGGGGACCTGAAGCTAGATGGGCCAACGACCCGTCGTACCCGTTGTCAATGGTTCCACTCGGGGTTTTTCGCCGCAGATAGTACGGCTCGCCTTGATCGTGCTCGTGGGCGTGCAACCGCGAGAAGGTTGCCGTGATGCGTTGCAAGCCTGGTACATGCTGGGCACTGTGAAAAGCGAGCGCACGGGGTGTTGAGTTGGTGCTACGGAGCGACAGTGACGCCTGTGAGAGGTGGGACCCATGATGGTGCTGTGAGTATTCCGGCTTCAGCTGGCTCTGGTAATAGCTCAGAGGGTCGATCTGCGGCTGCACCATATGGTGCACCTGAGCTAGCGGCATCATGGTGAGATGTTCATCAGGTTCGTTGAAGAGGTTGTGGGAGTAGAAACGCCAGGTTAACCGCAGTCCGGGAGAGAGGGTCGATAATCCAAAGTAATGAGCGACTGAAAGTACAGTGACGACCTCAAGATCAGGTTGGACTCATCGTTGCCCTGTGCTGGTCAGAGCATTGTCGTGGTGGTCCGTCGTGGTCGGTCGCTGGTCGAAGGACTCATCGAGCGCTCAGCCGTTGACATACCAATACTCCATGTCCGGGCAGGAGCATGGAAACAAGCAAGGCTAGGACTGAGGCAACGCGCGTGTCAAGTCGCGAACTTGTAATCCGTGGTCGCTCGTCGATTCGCCAAACCCACACACAGGTCGTCCTCGTCCTTGACACTTCTGCTCAGTCGCCGACAGGAGCCTTGAACAGAACACTAAATTGTCCAGCTCTACCTCTCGTTGACTGAGATGTCCTTTGTTTGTCGTGGGATGCGATTGGGAAAACACTGCAGTCGGTCGGGTTCGAAGGAAGGAAGGAAGGAGTCAATCGAGGAGGGGCGTAAGCGCGGGGAGGTCGCAATGCTGTTCGAACCCTAGATTTGTTTTGCCCTTGAAAGTTGCGACGGCAATTTCTCCCCCATCCGAACCAATGTTCAAAGTTCGTCCTGTCTCTTTGTTGACTCTGTGCAGCTGCCCGCGCTTCTAGCGTCCCCGCTTTGAAGATCTAATGCTCGGCGATTTTTGAGCGCAGGCGTTTGATGAAATGGAGAATCGGACCATAAAGTGGAACGGCCACCGATCAAACTAGGTAAACATCAGGTACGGAGTATAAGCCTTATTGAAGACAGGCGGTAACAGTACATGACAGCACTTGCGCGCCGGCCGGGGCCCAACATCCGTGCAAGGCAGGCACGGGGCAAGCTGCCTGTTATACCTTCATATTGTATACCGCATGCCGCCACACACCGTACCCAGGCCCGTGGGGTGACACCTTTCCATGCTGCAGGATGCTGCAGCATTCGCAGGCTTGCAGCGTCAAGTGGCTCCCGGCCGAGCAGTCACAACTTTTGCTTCCCCGGGCCAGCCTTGGGGTGTGTCAAAAGCCCCCCAGTTAAAGCGTGCTGGGCAACGCCATGTCACCCTCCCAGGCAAGGAGGGCAAGGGTTGCGTTCCAGGGTGTCCTTCCTTTCATTAATATCGGTGCGACCAAAGCAAGTGATAAACTTGATCCGACCCTGCGTGTCCGGTTACAAACTGCAAGCGATAGGCTGACAGCGAGAAGAAGAAAGCAAAGCCAGTATGATGCGGTCTGCCTGCCACGCCAGCTGGAACCTACTGTACGACTCGGCGAGGCAGATAATGGTGGCATTCAGCTTGGGTGCTGCTTGCGTGTCTGCCACCATTTTACGCGGCATGGCGCTGCCGCCGATTCATGTCGGTCCCTGATTGAGAACAAACAAGGGTCAGAGTCTGACGGTCAGACATGCAGTAGTACAGTACTGTACATATAAGTACTACATACAACACACTGGGTGTGAGAGTCCGCCCAGAGCAGAAACCCAGCTCATCAAGATGTCTTATGCTCCCTTGTCAAATCTTCTCTATCAGTTCTTTTTTCTCTGATGTCTGACACTATAAAACCCTCATGTTTATCACAGTTCTTGTCGACACTGGCGAGACGGAATGCACACAGCACTGTTGCATGGATAGATCACCGCAGCAGCTCGACCAGAAGAAACATCCATGGATGCATTGCATGGGGCCCGAGGCCGAGCCTGACCAGTCACCTCGCAAATCGCCCGATTAGCACGCCCACTGGCTCAAGCCACTTGCTCGACGACCCCGTCAAGACCTAAAGCACACCATCCATCTGCATGGAGTGTGATAGGAAGGCAATGCAGCCAGCCAGCCGGTCAGGTATGTAACATGGGAAAAGAGTCATCAAACAAGCAAGCAAGCAAGCAAGCAAGCAAGCACTGTTGGGGGTGGTGTGTGAGGAGAAGCGAGAGACGAGTGACAGGCCCGACATGCATGTCCTGGCTGGCCGAACGGTTAGCCGGCATGAGGCATAACGACCAAGTTACTTACATACACTAGGTGGTGCCGCCCGCCTCCTGCTGGCCCCATCCCATTCCGTCCTCCCTTGCATTGTCTCTTCCCGTGCCGCATCTGTCTTCGCGGCATGAGGTGCGAGCAAGACGAGCGGTATATCTAAATCAAAACAGCCATAGACGGGAAGAGGGGTGAGAGGAGGCAGTCGGTCCAGTCCTTCAAGGCCACGGTCTTTGCAGCTTACCACGTTGTGCGATGCCATCGCCCTCACCATCGAAACGAGACCCCAAGGAAGACCCGCCTGGTGCGGGCGGGAAGGCAGGCGTGTGGGGACGAAAACGGCTACAGGTTACAACACCGCAGGCCAAGCGGCGGCCAAGCAGCCTTCAGCAAGATGAAGATCTTGCGTGAGTGAGATGCATCAAGGGAAGACAGCATCTGTTGCCCGTTCCTCGATCGCCAACCACATCCATCCGCAGCTCTCCCCATCATCCATATCACGATCATGGAACTGTGCTTACGAACTACTTATACGTGTAATGTATCCGTATCACTCCGAGAACTTGAGAAAAGATCTGCACTCCTATGGAGGGGCAGATGGGCGTGCCGAGCGACGATCTTTCAGACCCCAAACCCTCTCCTGCCACTCCACATTGCGTGCCCATGCCCAACGGCCCCGATGGCTGCATAATAAATCACAAGCGCCCAAAAAAGGCGAAACTCGCAACTCATCACCAACAGCAAGTAAAAGGGAAACCTACAGTAGCCGGCGTCTCGTCTTTTGTGTAAGTAGACAGCACAACCGCAGATCTATTTCTGGATAGTCAAGGACCCGGTACATACGAACGATCAACCTCTGTAAATACCCGTCCTTATTCATGCGTCAGCCAGTTGCTCGTCCCTCGAACTGCTGGCTCGAGCCCATAGAACAATGCAAATACCGGATCGCCGTTCACAGCCCGCCAGCCTCAGACGGCTGACGACGCACAAACAGAATAAGCGGAGCCATGTCGGCTCGACTTTTCTCGCTACCCACTGTGTACTCGGTCTCCCGCTTACATGCTGTGCCGCGGAATGGGACCGAGACATTACACCGTCATATGTCGTACAAGTATGACAGGCAGCCCAAAGTTAGGGAAGAGGAGGATGCGTCGAATCCAGGAAATCCCGTCAGCAACCTTTACCCGCTATGAACCGTAACTAACGAAAGGACTGGTGAAACTTCCGGTCCTGCAGCAGCCTGTTTCCCGTTAAAATGATAGAACACACATTCACTGGCCGCGAGAGATACGGCAAGATGTCCGATGCGAACCCCTGGATAAAGGCCTAATCCATACAGCTTAGAGCCTGCGACTCATCGGGACTCTTGAAATTACTCGTCCGACGGAAGGTTTCACTTGCCAGATCCCGATTTCTAAAATCATGGCATATGTGTCGTACCACAGCCGGTAAAGAGTGAAAAGGGAATGTCGACCTGAAATATGGACCTTGACTTCCACAGCACTGAGTGCCCACGAAAACCATGGTGAGTAATAGGACGCCAGACGTCGATCTTCCTGAGCACAAAGAGCCGAAAGGACCATGGGGGAGCGGTCATTCTCGGAGTGAACAGCCAGGGACAACTCGGTTGAGGGTCATTGTTTGGAGAGGGGGGAGATGGGGAACCTGTGGGGAAAGCGCAGCAGAACTCTTCGTGGCACGGACCCGAGAACTGGCAAGACAGCCACACTCGGCCATGAAATCGTTCTTTTGATTTGATTTGCCGTTGTCTGGCAAGCCTGGTGTAAAGCAAGCCCTGAACTCCTAAACACATGCCAAGAATCCCCAAAACCGACCTTCATTGACGATGAGTTTACTCCTCAGGAACTGTGACAAGAGTCAGTTGAGCCGTTTCCCTCTCCTAGCAACCGTAGTGCAGCCTCGCAACCCAGAAAGGCCGCCTGCTTCGGGGGGGGGGGGGAAGGGAGTAAACATACTGTCGATCTCGCCCGCCTCAATCGCATCACTGACCGCCTTCGGGCTCTTGCCATCCACCTGGCAGCCGACGCTGAAGGCGGTTCCCAGAATCTCCTTGACGCCCCCCTTCAGGTCCTTGGAGAAGGACTTGAACCTCATTGTCCTTGCGATTTCAATAATCTCGTCGAGGGAAACCGACTTGTTGTGCTTGATGTTCTTTTCCTTCTTCCGGTCGCGGGGGGGCTCCTTGAGCGCCCGGATGATGAGTGATGACGCGGAAGGGACGACCGACACTTGGGCTTGGCGGTTTTGGATCGTGAGCTTGACCGTCACGCGGAGACCCTTCTGTATAAACCGCGGCGAGGTGGATACGCCTTTCGTCAACCAACTTTCCTCCCCAGATCATAAGCGCGGACGGAGTTCTTCATACCCAGTCACCAGTGGCCTTCGCAATATCTTCACCGACCTTCTTCGGCGACAGACCCAGGGGACCGATCTTGGGGGCAAGAGCCGAAGAGGCACCGACCTCACCACCGGTCGCCCGGAGGTGGCTGTAAGGAGCATCGCCGTCAGTTTTGGAAGGTTCTTCTTTATCCAGGGGAGCGTTCTCTGCACAGGCGAATCGGAACTGGGAAGCGTTGGGGCATATGGTGGCCTTACATGACCTTAACCTCATTGGGGTCGAACTTGGGAGCTGTACATTGCGCAAGTTAGCAATTCCACGAATGCTTCAAGCGTGAGTATCATGCAATCATCGACTTACGCATGGTGACGGCTGTTATGTGAAGGACGGACTCGGTTGGTGTTGGTTGGAGGGGGTTGCAGCCGTGCCGAAGTCAAGACGACGAAATCAAAAAAATCGCAGTTGTGGGTTCCCCCTGCCTGCCCTAAGATTTTGGAGTGTGTGTGGCTGAGATTCCCGAAAAGGAGCGGGGCAGCAGCAGGCAAAGCCACAGCCAGATTGTAGTTGATTGGTTTGAGCCACACTGTGGTCCCACCTCTTCCGTCTTAAGTTCCATCCATCGTGGACGCCCCGTCTTGTCAACTCTTCACTCAGAGTCCCAGCTGCAACAGGCATGAGGACAGAGGAAGGAACTCTTTCTAAGCAAATCGGTTGCCATATAAGATTGACGCTAGACAATCACACACAAAGCCCTTTACTCTATAAAGATGAGCGCCCACAGGCGCATCACATCTTTCCCCAACCTGCCGGTCCCACCAGACTCTACACCCGCACGTCTCGCAGTTCCCGGAACTCGATCTAGACCATCTAGTTCGTTCCACTAACCGCCAACTTCATGAGATGCTCCATGAATGTTTGTAGGGACACATCGTCTGTGAAGATGGTTTGCGCGCTCTGTACGCCAACGCCACCATAGGCTCCGGCGCCCGAAGTATGTGTCGTGGACGGGTTGAGCTTGGAGAGCAAGAACCGCGCCTGGGAGCCACCCTGATCACAGACAATGAAGCGCGGTAGCGGGAAGCGATCCGTGATAAGTTCCTACATAAGCCAATGGTCAGCGTGGGGGTGTGAGAGTAGTTGGGTTTTACGGGAACGACTTACCCTGGCATCCTCCTTTGGTTGCTCCAGGAGGGCTGCAAAGTTCTCGTAGCCTTCTTGGTCCTGGTAACCGGCTTTTCTCCACTCTGCAATCGTCTCGCCATGGAAGATGAGGATGTGGAAGAAGGTATCGAGGAGGAGGATATGGGTCGGCTGGATAGATGTAGAATCCAGGAGCACCGGCTGTCCGCCTTCCTGGTCAAACGTGTATGAGTCGAGGGTAGGCTGGATCATGATGAGTGAGTTGCTGACATCCTCGTGGTTGAGGACATGCCGATAGAAGGCCGTCTCATCGGGCGAATTGTTGAAGACCTGCAGGAACTGACTCCTCCGCAGATGGAACATGAACTGTGGGTAAAGCGTGAAGTTCTTTTCCAGGCGGAAGGACGATGGGTCGTCCTTTCGATAGTCTGCGAATCTAGAGCACAGCCTGATGAGCATCCGGTCCACCCAGCGAAGGACGTCCGGCCCATCGTCCACTTCAGCCTTGAAGACGGCAATCCTGGACATCAGCACAGCTGCGGCTTCTTGGTCGAAGGACTGCGCAATTGCCGGATCTCCAGCAGGGCCGCTTAGATTACGGGCAATCGTGGTGACGCGGAGGTGGAATTGACCGGAAGAGTGCTGATAGTAGGTCAGGAACTGTATCATCCCCTTCTGGCTCTGCTGGTGCTGTGACGGACCCCCTTGGGCGATTTCGAAGTAGATGCCGTAGCTGGACTTCGGGTCGATGCCGCACATCTTCCAAGAGCACGTGTTTCCGATGCCACACTCTGTTTCGCCCACCGATGTTGACTTTTTGTTCAACGAAACGGCATGGCCGATGAGCCCAGTAACCTTGAGCTCCTTGGTCGTCAGAACCTCGAGGACAGCATTGAAGCCCATCAAGAGGTTGTCGTCCCCGTCCTTTTCAAAGATGCGGATAAACGACTGCTTGAACATGGACGAAGTGAAACTGTCTGTCAAGATCATGTGCCCACCCGTCGAGTTGCAGAGGCCTTTCATTTCCAGGAGACCGACTTGGTCTAGACAGCCAGCGAAAATGTCGATGGTATGGCCGTTGTGAGCAGTTCTCTTGGCTAGGTTATCGTAAAACTGCCGCCACATCAGCTACTAGCCCCCGTTTCGCTCACCCGACTGCCGCGGTTTCCACATACCTTAAGCGCCTTCTTGTAATACTTGGCATTGTCACGGTCAATATCATGATGTGACCGGATAGGCTCCCTCAGCTCGGGGCCAACGACCATACCAGGACCCTCCGTAGCTGGACCACCAGCGAAGAGCATGATACGTCCTCCGGCATTTTGGAAAGAGGTCTCGAGCAGGCCAACGGCAACGGAGAGGGCCACTCCGGTGCAGCGCAGGTTTCTGCGGTCGCTGGAAACAGGCCAAGGGTCCTTCTGGAGTTGCTCGAGCGCCTTCGTCAACTGGAACTCGGCCTGCGCAACTGGGAGCAGGAAGCGAGAGGCAGGTCCCATAGGCATAGGTCGCCCGGGCTGGGCGGGAGGCATTCCCGGGCGCAAGGCTGGTTGTATGAGGCCAAGCATTTCCTGGACCTGCTTGGCGGTATATTCCTTACTGCCCCGGAAGACGTACGATTTGGCGCACTCAGTGTAGCCGATCTCGTGGACCTGAGCCATCGTCCCATACGTAATCAGACCAACCAGCGCATGCTCAGGCAGCAGGCTGAGACTCATGATGAGCGACTCTTTAAGGGCCGCCAAGCTGTCCTCTTCCTGGCACGTGTCCACAACATAGAGGAAAATGGGCGGGCTGGGGGCCGGTCGTGATAGCCTATACTCAATGGTCGTGTTGGAAGGGTGCAACTCGGGAGGGATCGCATTGGCGGTGATATCCTTGTAATGCGGCGGCAGGGGGTTCCTCGACAGGCAGAACGGGCAGATCCAGAGGCGAGCGCGCACATCGACCTGGCTGATGGGAGTGTGAGCGTCATTCGTCTCGTGATCATCGGCGGGGTTATAAGCTCCTACCAAAAGGGGTTCAGGACCGAGCGGCATGGCTGCTTGCAGGTGACGGGCTCGAAATGAAGTAGGGGAGTGTCGGGTTTCTCCTTCAGGGGAGTGTAGAGGGCACCGATTGGGACGACCAATCTCGACGCTTCCTAGAAGCGCATCAGCTTCCGCAACAATGAATCGCAACGAGGCAAAGAGCTAACCATGCGAGTACTTGGGAAGACGTTCCAGCTCAGGCGGACGCCATCGCGATCCTCGACCTCACCCCACTGCTCCTTGAGGGCGTCGTAATCCATGTTGTCCGACGGGCTGATGTCTTGTTGATGATAGCTGAGGTGAGGGATGGGCCACTTTTTACCTGCGAGAAAGATATGCCTGGTTAGCTATGTGCAAAGTGTCCTCCGCATCGTCGAGCGAATGGGCCGGGCGCGAGAGCTACCCACCTCAGGCAAGGACCGGCCGGGTTGGAGTCCGGCGTCACCAGCTTGCTGTTTGCTGATAATAATCCTGTAAATGGAGGAATCAATCGAGTGCAGCTACAGCCTCGCCGAGTAGCTCAGCCTCTGCAGCGCAAAATGACTCCCGAAATTGCGGCGGACTGAGCTGAGGATGATGCGCCGCTTCTTTTCGCACGAGCTCGGCGGCCAGATTGTTGTCCCCTCACTGAAAAGGACAAGTTCCAGGTCCAAATCCCGGTCGTTCTAACCCGACAATGTGGCGCTAATGTGGCTACGACACTCACCAGCCACACGAGTATGCTTAGCGCCGCTTCAGCTTGTGATTCGGCTTGGCATTCAAAAACTGAGGTCATCCCCGACAGAGTATTTCGTAGACAGCACGGCTCCGATTCTGTAACTGACCTTCAACATACATCTGCAAAGTCAATGGATTGCTTTTGTAATGGGGTGAATCTCACCACGTTAGGCGCTTTACCCTAAGATAGGTATATCTGAGCACTTTGCTTCTGCCTTCTTGCTGGTATTATGTCACCCGCCTAGCCCGATTTTAATCTCCCCATTTCAATCTCCCATCCTTACCAAACGTTCTTCCTATTCCATCCCTCGTAGTCATTGAATAATAACTGGTAGCTACCGGTATTGAGGAAACTTCGTTCATGATTCAGAGGCTTCCAGCGCCAAGGATCAATTCTCTTCGCCTCGCAGCTAGCTAGTCCTTGAAGTACAGTGACGTAGAAACGTGGCAGCTCTTGATGAAGGATGCTTCACGTACACTACGTGGTCTTACGCGTGCCACATGTGACCAAATTCACCTTAGACAGAGGACGACTCGGCATGTGGCTCTTGTAAAGCCATGAGGTTGATGATAACATCGAACTCACACGTGCCTTGAACATTCATTGTCCTTCTTCCTATCCTACAATCTCACTGATTTTGAGAGAGAAACCAATGCTATCACTGCCCCCATCCAGACCCCCTGTCCAGTCTCGTGCCTCTCCGTTCCCTTTCACCAACCCAGCGCAAAGCTCAGGCTAGTATATGCAGCCATCAACTTGAGAATGAGGTCGCTGATCGAAGCAGGGTAGCCACCGCTTCATTGGTTTTGACCAAGGTCAGCCAACTGCAGCGAGAAAAAAAAATGCAGAGGGAAAGAGACGAAGAAGAGGGGCGAAACGTACGTCGTCCGGCCCTGAGGGCCTGCTCTCACATAGCCTAGCGCAAAGAAGACTCTGCTGACGGACCAGACGGCACCCAGGCCCGCCGCGTAGACGGGGTACTTCAGGCCCGAGATAAGCAGGGCGCCGAGGAACGGAGTGAGGTTCTCTGTGAAGTTTGCGTGGGCACGCTGGGCTGTTGGTTGCAATTTGATTATCAGCATCATCTGGGCACACAACTTCCGTCCTCCCCGCCCTCCTTCGAATATGGGCCTCGTCTGCCTTGGTTTTGGCGCTTCTCTGTGATGAACCAACATGACGGATCGAGGGGTGAACAGAGATGGGAAGGCAAGGAAGGGGAGGCCAAAGAGAATGCATGGAAATCCGTACCGCAGTTGAAGGCATACGCCTTGGGGTCCTTCTCAGCTTGCTCGGCGCTCGCATAGGTAGTGGGGTACTTGATGTTCGCGGTTCTGCGTCTGCTGGAGGTCAAGATGCCGTGGAATGTGTTTACGAAAAATGTCGACGAGGCCGCCAGGAGGACATAACTGCTCAAATCAGTATTGGTCCAAGCTTGACTCAAAGGTATGGGGCGGTATCGGGGATGCTTACCCGTATTCATTGGGGAGGGTGAATAAGGCCATTTTGAAGGTGTTTTGGTTTGCTTGCTGTTGATTACAGTAGTAGATAAGGTACGTAGAGTGTAATGCTCGCTTAGTGTATAATCACATAGATTCTCCTGAAGGAAGATCTTGATATCAATGTGCTTCTTTTCCTGACGAGTTGATGAGAAATCCCGAGCTTCAAATAACAGAAACGCTGATCATGCCACGCTCTTCTGTTAGTTTCCGTGCCGGATCGTTGCTACGTAAACCGAGACTTCTCCTTGAGCTTGTCGGGGCCAGGACGATTGTTCGACCAATGAAGGGGCATTCCGCGGAGCTTAGATCACCCGACGCCGACCCAAAAGTTTCCGCAGGTGTTGGAGTGGAGGCCGGAATTGAGCCGAGACGGCCACGGCCTTAGAAAACTTCCATGCCCCTCGCTCTCCGTCTGGCCGAATCCGCCTAAATTATCAGCTTAATGAGGCGTTGGCGATGTTGAGGAATTCAAGGCCATGGAGGAGGGCTACATGCTGACATGTGCCGGACTCGTGCAGCAGCCGGGCGGCTGATCCCGCTCCGACACAGCGGGTCTCACCCGAGCCTTAGGATCCGGGGCCGCAGCCCCCTGTCTCTTGCGATTCGCCAGCGCTGACAGCCAACCGTTAGGATCGCGATATGCGGCCTATGATCACGCCATCGTCGCCACATCGATACCATGCACGTGCTGTGCAAAATGTCGGATACAACCATTTTCCAATTCGGAACATACCTTAGATGTACATAAGGTATCCAATCCAAACAACCCCTTCAGCCGGTACACCGTTCCTCTGGCGGTCTCCATTCCAGCCCCAGCCCAGCGAACACCCTCCGTTCCGCAGTCAGCATATCCGGCGCCGGCTTCCCATCCGGCCCGCTCTCCAAGTCGACCCACGACCCGTCCTTCCGGCTGCGTATCCCGCTGCTGTCAAACTTGAGCGACAGCTCCTTCTTGCAGTACCTCCTCAGGTCCCGCTGGAATGTGGTCCCGCTCGTCCACCCGAGCACAGCGCACCCGGCTGTCCTCCAGGGACTGATGATGATATCCACGCGGCGGTGCGGGTTGGGATTCCTGGCCTCGCCCGTCGTCCACCGGGGTTCCTGCCAGACCACGAGTGCCTTGTCAAGTGTGTCGAATCCGGTCCCGGCTTTCTTCTCGTTGCCCTTCCAGCTGACGGGCACCTGGCCCCGTTCCGAGTTGGTTGTGCTGAGGGAGAGCGTGTGCGTGATGTACCTGTCCCGTTCCAGGCTGACGACGATGCGCTCGACAAAGTTCTGCGTGGCTTTCTCGTCCGGGTGGCTTAGGACCACGTCAACGTCGCCGCTCTCCTTCTTGCCTCTCCGATAGCCGCCGACGATGACCATCTGGAAGCCCCTGTGGATTTTGTTGGCGTGCGCTAGGATTATGTTGGAGATGGACTCGACTTCCGCGCGGGGGATCTTGATCTGGAACTCGTCGTAGTATTTGACGCCGATCTGCTGCACCCGCGAGAGTGTGTCCCAGCCGTACTCGACGATGTCATCGAGGTCGCGCCAGCCCCGGTTGTAGAAGTCACGCGCAGTAGTCTCGGCCACGCCCCAGATTTCGTAGAATAGTTTGAGCACGGCAAGCCTGGGGTCGGCCTCATCCTCTCGAGCCTCCTTGATCTGGCCGGTGTCTCTGAATTCCTGAAAGAGCAGGGCGATCTTATTGCCGCATCCCGGGAGCCTGGCTACTTCTGTGGGCTCGCTTTAGCGGAGAAGACTTGCCTTACGTGCCATGAGAGCTCTTACCTTGTGCAGTCTGAAACGTATAAGGATAGGCAGCAATGGTGGCGATTGCGCTGGAGTAGGCGCGCACCCCTATCTTGTCACCGCTCAGCGTCCTGGCTGTCTTGATCTTGGTGAGCTCCTCTATGAAGGCCTCGTTTGGCGGATGAACGGGGGTCGGGCGTTGACAAGAATACGTAGTGTGAAGATAATCCGGGATCGGCGGCAACCGAGTGTCTATTTCATGCTCTGAAGTTGTCTGTCTGAGCAGAGAGGGTTTGACCGCCGGGTGGCTGTTGTAAGTCTCGCCAGCTCTCCCATGTGAGGACCTTGGCCGCGGGATTCTGGGCGAACTGCCTGCATCGGCGACAGCGCGTTTCAAGACCTCGGCTGCCTTCTCCGCAGGCAAAGACCGCGGGGGCTTCACCGGTGTTCTGAGCATCTTGCGGCCTTCGTACACAACATAATCGTCTATCGGGAGTACTTCCCCGGCCTTTACCGAGTCAGTAAACCATGTAAGCTTCACCACCTTGACAGTCGGCTCGACAAGGGGGTTCCCTATCAAGCGCCGCTGGATCTCGCCTTCGGATGCCGTGTCCGAGTCTATATCAGAACTGGCGAGCGAAGGGGCCGTCAGCTTGACACGTTTCGGCGCTGGAGTCGCAGATGGAGAACGCTCTAGCGGATCGATTTCCTCCGTGATAAGCTTGTGCTTCCTAAGCTCGAAGAGTGCGCGCTCCTTGCGAAACACCTTTCCGAGGACGACCTCAGCCTCATTGATGTCGTAGGTGAGAGTGGGTATTTGCTCCTCTAGGTCCTGGAGCTCTTTCGACCGGAGATTCGTGGAAAGGAGGAATATGACGGGGAAGCTGAGGGTTACATTGCTGGCTGATTTGCGTCGGGGGGGAACATCCATGGCCATTTTCACCTTTGCATGCAGTTGGAGTCTTCTTAGGAGTACTTCGGATGGAGCAAATCCCTCGACGAAGCTGAAGCCATGCAGGAACAGCTAAAAGCCACTTAGGGATGATTAGGCATTCCGCGGTCATCTGGGGAAAAGGCAATACTGGCAAAACGGTGCTGGAAACCAAGGAAATCTACTTGTTATCCAGGCGGATGATAGATTAACTATAGGAGGAGGAGTCCGCCCGGGACTCCCCGTGCGAAATCCGGCGACGTCCAATGCGAGCGTGCGAAAGACGGTTGGAGCCGCATTGGGTTGTTGGGGTCTTCCAGAATACCGGTATGAGTAAACCTGCACGAACTTTCAAGTTGAGGTGGTGAGCCCGCGCATGTTCACCTCGGAGGCACTTCGCGGAGGTATGACGAAGTTTGGTCCGGAAGAGGAAAGCGGTTTTGTAACGCTTGTAACGGCTTGCAGATCTGCGTCGTGTGTTAATTACGTCTGTACAAACTGTACGCGACTAGCATCTGTCCTTGTGCTGAGCTATTCCCAGTTCTCTCTACGACAGTGTTCAAAATACTGTGTGTGTAATGAACTTCAGTTGGTCTTGATCAAGTTTCCCAGCCGCCCCACACCCATGCATGTCCAGGTGGTGGAGAATTGTCAAACTACCCGGTGCTTACGTTGATAAGATGATCCTCAACTGCGCAGCGTAGGCTTTGATGATGAATCGCATTTCTGAATTGGGGAGAGGGTCGCGTCCGACTACTTCAGATGAGAGCCGTTGCCCTGAGTGACGCAGGCCTTTGTCACTTCGACACGCAACGGTCTCAAAAGGTCCGCGTTCTGGAGCATCAAACAGTGAATTTCTTCCTCCTTCCACAGACGAGGCGGACAAAATACAAGAACACGTCCCGGACAGGCCTTACGCCCATACGTCTCGTCTGAACGTTCACTCGCAACTGCACTTTCACGAACCATCCATAACAGTCTTTCATCTTGTGGCCCTTCAAGAATTTCGCCGTGGGAACTCAAACCAGAGCTGACTTCTCACTCACGTCTGTTCCTCGCACTTCGCCCCTCGACTTGTGACAACCGCCCACCACAGATCGGCCAAGGGAACAATCGCCCTGCGAAATGGAAGTTATCCAGACTCTCGTCCGCTCGGTCGCCCGAGCCTTCTACACGACCCAAGAGATCCTCGTCGTCGACGCCCTAGTGATGCACTCGGCGCTGCGCGACGACGAGTTGGCCTACCTCATGAAGATGAATCTGAAGGACCTGCATCGCCTTTGCGCAGGTCTTCGCGATGCACGCTTTCTGGTCGTGCACACGCAGCCGGAGATAGTGGAGGGTAGAGGCCGACCAATCAACCGGACGTATTACTTCATCGACTACCGCGGGACCATCGACGCCATCAAGTGGCGCGTCTACAGGACCGACAAAGACATGCAGGGCAGTATCCAGCCCACGGAGGAGTCGAAGGACTACTCGTGCCCGCGCTGCCGCGCCCAATGGACCCAGCTGGAGGTACTCGACTCGGTGTCGGCCGCGGGCTTCACTTGCCAGCGCTGCGGCACCGTGCTGGAGCGGATCACGGAGCGCGACGCACCCGGCCACGCGCAGTTGTCGCGCATGAACAATCAGTTCAAATTCATGACAGACATGCTGCAGCAGGTCGACCAGGTGGTGGTGCCCGAGTGCACCTTCGACAAGGCCATCCAGACGGCTCGCCCCGTCGTCCGCGAGGCCACCTACGAGGCGCCCACCAGCGTGCCCCTCGAGACGGGCCTCAACAAGCCATCGGCCGTCAAAGGGCTGGCCAATGTGGGGCCCAAGACGATGCAGATCACGATTTCCGACGGCGACGACGCGCAGGAGAAACTCGAGGAGCGGAAACGCAAGGAGCAGCGGCTGAAGGAAAACGCACTGCCGTCGTGGATGTTGGACAGCGCCGTGCCAACCACCATGTCCACGACCACGGCGGGGGCAACGCGGTCATTTGAGATGATGGACGCCGGCGCGGATGATGAAGACCCTACGCGGACCAAGAGGGTAAAGCTGGAGACCACGTCGGCGGCCGATGACAAGGACGGCGTCATGATGAGCTTCAAGAACGAGGATGACGACGAAGACGAATTCGAATTCGAAGACGTGGTCTGATCCGGCCATCGGGGGAGCTGCTTGGTGTTCGAACCAGGAAGCGTGTCGGGACTGGTCCACCGGACAAACTCGAGGGCAGAGGAGGGTGATACCTCAGTTAGCCCAAAATGACCGGGTTGTTTTGGTTGACTAGTATAACGGAGATGGCTCTCGCGGATCGCCCCAGAATGGGAGCATGTGGATGGCTGCGATTTGCTTGCGAGCGTACCGATACCACCATCTACCGGTGGCACACTACGAGCCAGTCTGCTCGTCTACAACGGGAACGGGCGGCCGTCGATCGAGTTGAGACCCCGGGATTTGGCTGTCTTTCTGCAAGACACTACGCTGAACTTCTGGAACTCTGAGGACCCGAACAGAGTTGGGATGGAGGCAACGGCCTTGGCGGACACGGTGGAAAGTGTCAGCACGCCAGATGGCCGTAGCAACGGACAAGCGATTTTGGGCAGGCATATATATGGTTAAGGGATTACTTCACGTTTAATTGTCTGGGGGCAAAACAAAAGCAGGACTCTGTCCGGACGCGGCAGGCCTAGATAGAGATGGAAGAATAAAGCCATTAGGTCCAAACCAGTCCCAATTCGCCGTTTCGAAGCGTCGTTGGTTCGTGAAGTCAAAGCACTGCCTCCCTTCATGCCACTCGGATTCCTCTCTCCAAGACAGTGATTGCTGCTAGCCACCCGCGGCGAACAATGCGTCATCACACATACTTTCGAAGCTGCGTATTGTCAGTGGAGTCGTCCTTAAGAAAGGTCAATGGGAGGATAACTCACATCCAACGTCAACGTCCGCGAACTATTCATCTCCTGATCGCGATACACCCCGACCAAGCTCTCACTGTCCTGGAAGAGCGTCGGCTTGAGACTGATGACAATGAACTGCATGCCCGGCCCAGCATGTTCGCGGATATACTTTTTGATCTTCTCGACGTTCGCATTATCGAGCGCGGCATCCACCTCGTCCAGCACAAAGAAAGGACTTGGCTGGTAAGAGTGGATCGCGAACAGCAACGCTAGCGCGGCCATCGTCTTCTCGCCTCCGGACAGGTGCTCCATGTCGCGGAATCGCTTGAGCGGCGGCATGGCGTGGTATTTGATCCCGGACAGGTAAGGCGTGTCGGTATCTTCTTCGATGTCTAGGTAGGCTTGGCCGCCGAGGGGATAGGCGTCGGACCGGGTCAGGTCTTTGTAGACGTGTGTGATCTGCTCCTGGATGTGTGTGAATGCGCGGTTGAAGAGCTCGAAGCGCTTCTGCTTGACTTCGTTGAAGGCTTCCCGCGCAGCGCGGAGGGCGGCCCGGGAGTCCTCGAAGTCCTTTTCGGTGGCTTCGAGGCGCGACTTCACGGACTCCAGGCGCTCCATGGCGCGCATGTTGGGATTGAGCTTTTCAAGCTCGGCTGTGAGTGAGTTTATTCTTTCTTGCAGTTTGTCTTCGTGGTCGTCATCGGGCTAAGGATGGTTAGTGTATCTGAAAGGGTCGGGAAGGGAATAGACGAGCCTACATTCTTGAGATCATCGTCCAGGCCGTCAAAGTCAATCTCAATGCCGTAGTCGTCCATTGCCGCCTCCAGCACCTCGTGCTCGTCCTCCTCGCCGTCCACATCCATTGCATCCTGGTCTTTTTGGAGCAGGACATCCTCGTTCGGGATGTTGTCGAGAGAACCCTCCTGCAGCGGTAATTGGACCTGCTCCAGCTTGCACCGCCTAAGTAAGGCGAATTTCTGACCGCTGTTCTTCTGCACTGTTGCCTCGAGGTTGCTGATTTCCTTCAACCTGGACTCAATCTCCTTGGTCTTCTTCTGCAGGTCCTGTTTCGCATCGGCCACCTTCTTGGACTTTTCGGCGTGACTGGCCTTGATCTCTTCGAGCGATTCTTGGAGAGCTTCCAGCTCGTCCTGGTCTTGTGCCATCGCTTCCTCGATTTTTTCTTTCTCCTGCTGGTAGGCCTCGACGTCCTTCTGGTGCCGTTGCAAGGCTGCCTCCATAGCTCGCAGCCGATCGCTAGCCACGTCATGTTGCGACGATTCCCAAGACAGGTTGTTTTGGATGCGTTGCTTCTGCAGGTCGAAGTCCTGGCGTTTCTGAGCCGCCTCCTGCTCGAGACTGCCCTGCTGAGCTTCATAGGCACGGATGTTCTCGTATCCGAGTCTCTTGCAGAAGCTGGTGAAGATCTTGTCCTCGACATCTGAGATGGCCTTTTCGAACTTCTCGACGGTAGCGCGTGTCCGCTGGAGCTCGGCTTCCTTCTCCACATACTTTGGCTCGTATCCCTTGAGCTCTCGTTTCGCATGATCAAGCTCCTTCTGCTTGCTCTTGAGGTTCTTCTCGAAGGCAGCGAGCTCGCTCTGCTGCAGACGGAGCCGTTGTTCCAGCGCGCCGATCTCGTTCTGCAAAGACTCCTCAGCCGCGCCTCGTCTTCCTGGCCTGGGCAGCTTTGCGATCTCGTCCCGGAACTTCTCAGCCAACCGCTGCAGATTTTGAACGTCGTGTTCTTCGAACCGTCGCTTCGATCCTTTGTCCTCTGGCAAACGACCGCCCGACATAGTGCCGGCCTTGTGGATCACATAGCCCTGTAGGGTCACAGCCTTCACTTGGATTTTCCTGTTGTACACGATGTCTTTGGCAACATCCAGACTGTCGCAGACCACAGAATCGCCGCAGGCGTATGCAACAGCCCGCTCCACAGAAGGATCGAAATCGATGGTGTCAATGGTGAGTCGCGCGCCCGAGATCCCTTTGACGGCTGGGTTGGACGTGTTGACCTTGATGTTGTCGAGCGGGATAAAGGTAAGGGGAGAGAAGCGCTGGTCTTTCAGGTATTGAACGCAATCTACAGCGGTCTTGTCGGTGTCGACCACGACTGCGTCAAAGTCGCGGCCCAGCGCAGTGATGACAGCTTCGTCATATTTCTTTTGCTTCGGCTTGCAGAGCTCTCCGACCCGCCCGCGGACGCCCGGATAGATGCGCTTGAGATCGCTTACCATGTTTCTCATTCTGGCCTCCTTCTCGTTCTGTCTCCGCCCCATATCCGCGTCGTCCAGTTTCCTCAGCACGTCGCGGAGCTTCTCTTCCAACTCTGTATGAGTGTTGTTGATCCGAATCCGCTCAGACTGGACGCTATTAAACTCCTTCTTCTTCGCATCAATCTCGCTGGTAATCTGGCGGACTGCATCTTGGCTGGCGTTCCTGCGATCCTTAACCGCTTGGACCTCGCTCTGGAGCTTCTCGACAGCCACCTGGAAATAGTCGATCTTACCCTTGAGGCTGTATACTGTAGCCTCATCGCCCTTGAGTTGGCGCTCCAGATTCGCTAGCTTTGTCTTGTTTTCCGATGTCTTCCTCATGGCCTCGGCCTGCAGAGTGGTGTACTCCTTGCGGTCTGCGTCGCTCAACTCTTTGCCCTGTTTCTTTAATGTCTCGGCCCATTGCTTCTCGAACTGTTGATGTGCTTTCTCGAACGTGGCCAAATCCTTTTTCAGCTTCTGTATGTTGGTCGCTTTGTCGTCGCGGTCCTTCTTGACATCGCCCATCCTTTTCCGGAGCACGCCCATGTCATCCGAGCTCTGCTTGATTTTCTCAACAATCGGGACAAGGCTATTCTCCCTGTCTTCGATGCTCTTCTCCTTGCCCTTGATGCTCTTCTCTACTTTGTTGACCTCGCGGCCCACGGCGGCCTGCTCCTTCCGCGCAGCTTCGAGCTTCTTCTCAAAAGCGTCAACATTGCGGCGAAATTCCTTCAAGTGCTCCTGATGCTCCTGGATTTTCGCGCTGGACTCGTCCATAACACGTTGGAAGTGATAAAGCTTCCACAATATGTGAGTAATGACTGCCTCGTCCCGCTCCTGTGTCTTCTTTTGGAAGTTCTCTGCCTCCTTTTTCTGCTCCTGGTACTGCTTGATTTCCGAATTTATGCCCCGTCTCCTGTGCAACTGGAAATTCTGGTTCTCTGCGGCCTGGTCGGCCTCGGCTTGGAGCCTCTCATACTCGGCCTTGTACTCCAGGCTCCCTGAGATCTGTTCAATCAGGCGCGTCAGATCCTGGGGGATTGGGAGGCAATGGCCTCGACGTCTCCTTGGAAGACCAGAAAATTCCGCGCCTTGATCAGGATGTTCTCCTCCTCGAGAGCTTCGTTGTACTGTTGCGCGGTGACAACACGGTCGTTGATGCGGTACTCGCTGGTGCCGTTGCTCGTGATGGTTCGTTTCCACCGTTGCTCGTCCCCCGCGTCATCCTCATACACCGCCATGACCCACGCCGTTTTCGGGTCGTTTCGCGATGCGCGCTGAGAGGAATCTTCATCGTCACCGTTCACGTGGCCGCTGGTTTCCCCGTTTGTCGTTGGCGCCGCAGTCCCGTCATCTTGGATCTTGGACGTCTTCATTACCCGGCCGCGGTAGACTAATTCGCGAAGATGGGACGATCGAAGGTGCGACGACTTGATGCCCAACACGAACGAGATGGCGTCCATGCTAAGCAAAGAGCACGTAAGTGAGCGCCGAGAGCTGTGATGCTTTTGTCCAGGATGCACAACTTACGAGTTAGATTTTCCCGAGCCATTTGGGCCGATAATGGATGTGAAATATGAGTCGCCGAATAGCAGGGTGTGGTGGCCCTTGTAGGACTTAAAATCTAATATCCGAATGAGTCTCTGGGCTGCGCGATTGAGATCATCTGGTGGGACTCACTGAAGAGCTCGAGACGGATGAGCTTCCCCATGATTATGACTGCTTCTGCTCACGGAGCTCGTGATCCGTTCAATGCCGCGATTTGATATCGAGAGTTGCAACTGAATAACGCGGTAGTTGGCACTCACAGGTACGTGGCGCAGTGTAGGGAGGGAAACGCGCGTGGGTTCAAAGCGCCGAGTCAATGTTGGCCTGTCTGCCTCATCAGTCGCGTCCGCTCCCGACCTAGCTGTTATCGCGACAACCCCGAATTTCCATTTCCAGCGCGACGAGGGCGGCGGATCAAGCCGATCTGGTGGGGTGACTGCACGGACCCCCACTGCGGCACTGTGACTGCGGGCATCACAGATCAGGGTTAGGGCTATGTACTGTAAAGCACTACTGTATTGTTTGTGCATGTACTACTCGGTACTCATCTCGGCCAAGCTGCCTGGATCTTGTTCCGAGTCCACTAAATATGGACCTTTGCTGTGTCTTGATTACCGTAGACATGTGCCTTGAACGAGGCAGCAGCCTGCATGCAGGAGATTCTATCCAAACTCTTGGGTGTGTACATACACATATTACCTAGGTCGTTTGTACAGTTGCCACATATTTAGGAGTATCTGGAGTGCTGACAAACCCGGCAACGCACTTATGTATGCCTCCCTCCCATCAATTCGTGAGCTTGGAAGCATCATTCTATGCCAAATGCAGGCGTTGTAAAAGCACACGACCGGAGGAATATACGCAGGGTCTCAGGAAATCGAGTGTGTCAGCTGGACCCCTGACTTAGTCACTCAATAGGCAACTAGAAGTCAATCGCCGTCTCTATATAAACGTGTGCGACTTCCCCAGTTTCTGGCTGCCATATTCGTCCACTCAGAGAGGGGGATCGTGGCACGCCAAATGCTGAGCCAGTCGCAAGGGTCCTAGCTGTGGGACGTTGGAGCTGCAGCACTAACGTTAGACGTCAACCACTGGCACCTAGGTATTCCTTGGTTCGCGGTCAGATGGGCGTCCCATGCCTTCTCATCACAAGCTTCGGTATCCGCTGTCGCATTTTCCCAAGGTGCACACTACGGCCCAAAGCTCTAACAAACCACAGATACCCGCTGACCTTCTGGTGTAGCCCTCCCACCGTCTTCCCCTCAATTCTAGCCTCGCGGACCTCAAACACCACAGCTGCCTTGCACCTTCAGAGACAGCATCGACATCTTGGCCAAAGCCTGCCAAGTTCCAACACCAGGACCTATAAATCATTCGGGATACCGCTCACATTATCTGGAGCCTGGGATAGGCGATACCCGAAACACAGACGCATTTGCCAACTCCCTCACTGAGCGCACTCTCCCTTGATCCCATCGCCTATTGTTGCAGCTTTGTGTAAGTCGACCAGGTTTGACCGCCTGCTAGATGTGTCGCCGGGGCCCTCTATGACGTTGGATACCCACCGGTTTATCGCCCATCTTTGTTTCTCATTTATCAGTTACTGTCAACGTAGTTGTCTGACACCTTACTTCTTCAGCTCAGCTTCCGTCGTATCTACTTACCAGGTAGCTAGACCGGCCCAGACGAACCAAGACCACGGCACGTTGAGATGGCGGAACCAGAAAGTAGCAGCAAACCCATACCAACCCCCCGCGGTAGCAACAACAACGGCAACAACAAGTGGGAGGGCGCATCCACCGACAGCGAAGCGATCCTGACGCCAGACATGAGCGGAACGCCGCCTGACGACAACTCGCTGCACGAACATGCCGTTGAGACACCGACCCTGGGTCCGACGGTTCCCAAGAGCCCCGGGCTCTCGCGCAACCCGTCCTTCTCGGGCAGCAGTTCCTACCAAGAAGACTGGGACCCGTTTCCGCCGCTGGACCGACTGACCGTGCTCGACATCCTCGACAATTTCGCGTTGTCGCAGCAGATCGAGAAGCTCCAGAAGGGCATCTCGGCACAGACGGAGAAGGTGCGCAAGTCGCGCGAGGCCCTCGGCAATAGGAGTCGCATGGCCCGCGAGCGCATGGTGGACGAATGGCGGCGTCGGGTGCCCTCGGCCGAGGAGCAGCTCGACCGGTACCGCAGGCGCATGCGCAACAGCGTGGAAAAGCTGGGGGCGCGGTGGAACGACACCAAGGCCATCACACTGCGCGAGAAGATCTCGTTCATTTGCGGCGTCATGAACATCTTCGTGAGCGGCTACCTGATCGGCGGCTACCCCGAGTGGTTCCACCTGTGGTACACCGTCCAAGTGCTCTACTTCATGCCCATCCGCTTCTACACGTACCACAAGCGCGGCTATCACTACTTCCTCGCCGACCTGTGTTACTTTGTCAACGCGCTCCTCATGCTCAGCATCTGGGCCTTCCCCACCTCCAAACGTCTCTTCACTGCCGTGTACTGCCTCGCATACGGCAACAACGCCGTCGCCATCATCATGTGGCGCAACTCGCTCGTCTTCCACTCCTTCGACAAGGTCACCTCGCTCTTTATCCACATCATGCCCTGCGCAACCCTGCACTGCATCGTCCACCTCCTCGATCCGGCCGAGCAACGCGCGCGCTTCCCCGCCATCTGGACCATCAAGAACTCCCCGCCGGGCTCTGCCACCGCCTACGCCAACCTCTTCTCCATGCTCGCCTGGTCCTCCATCCCCTATGCTGTCTGGCAGCTCAGCTACTACTTCTTCATCACGGTGCGGCGGCGCGAGAAGATCGCCGCTGGCCGCCCCACCTCCTTCACCTGGCTGCGCAAGTCCTACAGCAAGGTCTGGATCGGCAAGATCGTGCTCGCCCTCCCCGATGCCCTGCAGGAGCCGGCCTTCATGCTGATCCAGTACACCTACGCCGTCCTGACCATGCTGCCCTGCCCGCTTTGGTTCTTCAGCCGCTGGGCGTCGGGCACCTTCCTCATGGTCGTCTTCGCCTGGTCCGTCTACAACGGCAGCACTTACTACATTGACGTGTTCGGCAAGCGCTTCCAGAAGGAGCTCGAGGCCATGAAGGCCGAGGTCGCCAAGTGGCAGCAGAGTCCGGATTACATGATGGGCGGGCTGGCGAGTCCCACGCTTGGCCCGCACGAGGAGCTTGGTACACCTGGATTAGGCGGCATTGCGTCTGCTGCTGGTGGCGGTAAGGGCGACGGTTGGGAGAAGAAGAACAACAATATTGGGGATGGCATCTCGGGCAAGGCACTGGATGATAATGCGGGCGGTGTGAGCGGCGTGGATAATATTCCGCTGCTGAACGACGAGCGGCCGGCTGCGGTCATTGCGACGGGTATGGATATGGATGGTGGGGCGATGGATGTGGCGCGGGAGAGGAGAGCTAATGCCGGGCCTGGCGGCTCTTCATGATTTGGGGATTTTCAACTTTGATTTGTTCTCAGTGTTCTAATGAGGAGCAGGCGATTTCAACTTGGCCGGCGCTGGATAATAGAGGTCACCGAGATCGAGCCGTCGTCCATATTAATGACTCAGAATGCTCTGGCGGATAGAGACCTCGAAGAATTCGAGGTAGGGGAGCTTGGGCGGAGGATCGGATTGGATTCATTCTTTTATGATGATACCCCTGCCATAGCACAGCTCAAATCGGTTTCATTGTTTGTCCTTTCCCCCCTGTTTCGGTGTAGTTCCTGGGTCCGTTCTCAGTACCCGTTTTCATACCAAGGAGCGCAGGTAACGGTAGAAGGCATATAGGGGAATAGTTTAGTATATGTGTCAAGTCCCATAGGGGGGCATTTCTCGGATTAGAGAGGTCAATGTCGAAATACCAAACAAGAGAACCAGGCACGAATGGGGAGTGCAGACAATGTGTGTCAACAGATTGGCATTAACAAGTCTGAACCTTCAGACGTAGCTCAAGCCCGCGTACATATCATCATAATAAGCAACGATTAGACGACGCTTGGCTTGACCCAAACCACCAACGCCAATCCTGCACCAAGCCCATCTGCCCGTTTCAAATGTCACCGCCCGTGCGCAAGAGAAGCATAACCAACGCCAGCCCAGTTCCATGCACAGGCAAATCTCCCAAAGTCATCTCTCTGTATCATTGATCCTTGCCCGCTGTACTAGGCAACGCGCAACGCCATCCGAGATCCCATGGGGAACCAAGCACTCCCGCTGCCCGTCCTAAGCCGATGATGCACACGCATTGCCGTCACCAGATACGAAAAGAAAATGCAAAAGCAGATGCAGCTGGGGCAGTCCCTTGCCCACAACATTGTGAGTTGCCCTTCAGCGAATGACCGGGAGATCGATGCTTCCCCCTAGCAGCCTTATTGGTTGCTTCGGCTTGAAAACCTCCCAGAATCTCAACGTCTCGTCCCCGGCCCCTGTAACGACCTGTGTCCCATCCGGGCTCATTGCCAGATAGAGCACCCGATAAGTATGACCCGTAAGGCTGGCAACGCGCGTCATGGATGGGTACTTCCAGATCACAAGGTTATTTTGAATGTATCCGTGGGTCGAAATGAGCTCGTTCGAGTTCTTCGACCACATGAGGTTGCACACCTGGCTTCCCGTGTCGATCTCGTTGCGGACAACACCGCGAACAGTATCGTGGAAGATGATCCGGCGGTCGGCCGTACCGCCACCGGAGGCCAGCAATCCACGCTGATGAGGCGACCAGGCGAGTGCCTTGACCGCGGCGATGTGCTCTGTGAAGGCCCAGAGCGGCTTATGGTCTTGAACCTTGTCCCAGACCAGGACTGTGTTGTCATTTGAACCGCTGGCCAACTGCCCGTCCTGGCAGTTCCATTTCAACCCGCACACTTCCTGCTTATGCCCAAGCAGCTGCTTCACCCACTGGTCTGGAGCCCTGACGTCGCGATGCAATATTGACCGATCCCGTGAGCCTGTGGAGAGAATGTGGGCGTTCCAGGCTAGCGAGCCGACGCGCGCAGTGTGGCCCGTCATGGTCCGCAGCCGCTTAAACTTTTGAGCATCCCATATTTGAACCAAGCCCCTCTTGGTGCCCACGGCGATGTGTGTCCCCTTCTGGATCCAGGACACGCTGGTGACTTTGTCGTCCTCGAGTGTGCACAGCTTGGCAACCTTGCCATTCTGTGCGTTATACATGAAGACGCCGGTACCAAGGCCGACGGCTAGAACATCCGAGCTGCCCCAATCCATCAGGTTGAGATAGAAGTCCTCGGCAAGATTCGGCGCATCCAGGACTTTGAAGGGCACTTTGCTGACTGTTCTGTGCTGTCGCCGCGGTGCGAGGAGCATCTGTTGACTGTTGTAAGTGATAGGAGTTGTGCTGTACGTGTCTAGGCGCGGATCCGGAACTAAGCTATGTGCTCTCTGAGGCGTCTTCCTGGGCGTGGAAAGGCCAACGAGATGCTGATGGCGCGGAGACACATATGAGAACAGGTTCTTCTGAGGGGTTGAAGGTGTCAATGTCGTCGGCAGTGATGGTTCTGTAACCCTGGGAGGCGTGCGCATCCGGTCGTGCTCTGGAGTCCACCTTGGCGAAGTCTGGGGAATAGTATCCTCGAAGAGCTCTGCACGCAGCAAATCCCTAAAAGTCTGATCGGCTTCCTCACCTGCAACGGGGTATTAGCACGGCGTAGAGTATGAGGTCAGCAAGATGCACACGCACTCCGCTGCGAGCGATATCCCCTTGGGGGACTCCTTGGTCTTCCTCTCTCCGGAGCAGGCCGCGGTGGGGGTGGTATCAACTGAAACCCAGACTGCAAATCGCGGCCGGACCGAGCTGGAATAAAGCTGAAATTTGAAGTCAATATGACTTTGCACCAGGAAAAAAAAAGATTCGGTTCATTTTCGCATACCGATCGGCATCTATCCTCTGCCGTTTCCTACGCGGGCTCCCCTGCAAACTTTCCCTCTGCTGGCCCGATGCTTCCGATACCTGCAACGCTCTTGAAGGGCCTTCGCCGCTTCCACCTGGCAATGATGAACGCGCTTGGCCGACAATCGAGTCGCGTCTCGACGACGGTCGCTCATGACGTGGGCCAACCGAACTCGGTGTCGCACCGGACATGCCGCCGCCCTTGAGCGACATTTTGTTCCCCCTGAGAAATTGATGCCGAAGTAGTCCACGGAATCTAGGCGACCGTAACGCTAGAAAAGGCGCACTGATTTTGCTGGAGCGAGCCAAATGCGGGCTACTGCTAGGCTTTGAGTCGTATTCTAAGCCAGCGCGTCGACGGTGAAGAATGAGCCCACGCCGAGTAAAATCCAGAAACAAAGCGTTTCTATCTGTTCGCGTAACGATGCTGTGTGGAGCGCTGGGCAGCACGATGTCGCGGCAGGTACACAATGTTGAGCGCAGGAGGCTAAGGTCGGGTCGTTGACTTTGTCGCTGGTTCGGCGGGGCAACGGTGGCAGGGGGCGAACGCAACACTTGCGTGGTGGTGGTAACAGGCGCCCAAGCAATCAGGAAGTCATGGCAATCGCGCTTTGTTCTCCAAAGTTGCGCACCCGATATCACGATTCGCGCTATGTCGACGGCGCCTATGATGATGTGTCGCAAGATCGAGGTGTGCAGTCGAGCAAAGGACGGGGTTGGAAGCGGCAAGGAGGGCCTGTAGGGTAGCCAAGTGGGCTCCGTTGGTGCAATAGTACAGTGAATCTGAATTTCTTTGTATTGTTGTTAACTGTATTGACGGTATCTCTCTCAATATTATTGTCATTCCTATTCATCCTCCGGCATTATTAAGTGTCATTACCTAATAATACAATATCTTACATGCTCATACCAGTTACGCACGCCAACCGCGAAAACAAACCGTCGCGGTCCACCGCTCATTCGCCCTGCGGCCCTGCCGGCCATCGTGGAATGCACGGGCCATCAAAACAACGGTGGTGGGTGTCGTGCACCGGGATCTCAACCCAGACTGACGTTCAATAAAGTTATTGCTCTGGTCTCCATTGTGCATAAGTAAGTGAAACATTATCAATACCTTTCACCTAAATTCTGGACTCTTTACAGAGTACTATTTGGTTCTTGTTGTCAGTGGACTCATTTTTGATTGTTAATCTGGCTACAACTGCTTTCCAAGGTCCCAAGATGTAACGGCCTTGCGTAAGGTACACTGCACAGGTTGGATTGTGACGTTGAGGTGGACACTTCTTTCTGCCGATCCGGTGTCAAAACCCAGCTCCTCCGGTTACCTATGAGAGCCGATTATCACGTAGGAACTACCGTATATGAAGTAGGTACCGTAGGCAAGGTGCCTGGTGCCCATCTTCTAGGTGTACCTTGCCTGAGGGCTTCGTGCCGTGGAACCTGCCAGAAAATAGTGATCTAGGTCCCCCTAAGAACCGCCGTGAGCAAGATAGCGTCTCCTTCCAATCAATCTCGGTGTTATTTTCCTCCTGCGGTGGTGGTTCGCGATATTTGTTATCACATCGCGACTGGTGCTCTCCCTTACACTTCCTCTCCAATTCAGCCGGGCACGTGTACCCGCCAACTCACTCTCGGATTTGCCAGATCGGGATTTGTTGTTGTTATGTTTCTATCCACGCTGCAGCTGCAGCACCTGTCGCGCTCCGGGGCGAGCTGAGTGGCTGAGAAGCCCGGCTCGGCAGAAGGCGACAGTGCCGCTAGGCCTGTCCGCGCGGCCCGCCAATGGCGAGCGCGTCTGCAGAACCCCCACAACGCGTTGAGTTCGCGTGTCACTCATTGCAATACCTGGCCTTCACCCCGCATGCAACCGTTCAACAATTCACATGCATTTCCTGATCTTGTCGCACACACCAGGATCAAGCGGGTAATGCCAGGGATTGTCTGTCTGATGGAACATGCACAACGGCAACTCCACCCTTGAATGCAATGATCTCCTAACACAAGATTTCCCTGACCGGGCGGGCAGCCGGGAAACCTTGGCAGGCGCCATGCGGCACGCTTCGTCCCACGGCCCTGGAACCTTAAATTCTCCCTGAACTTTACCGTCTATCATGTCAGGTAAGTACCATACACATCTCGAACTAGTAGTTGAAGTGAACGTCTTTTCCTGCATCATGCTCCCTTGAGCCGGTAAGGCTGCCGTCATAGTCCCAGCCTGCGCCAAATGTCATTTCCCATGTCTGTCTACCTTGGTACTAATACTAGGTATCCAATGGATTCTTTATGCTGAGCCGCACTGTCATGATCTGGCCGAGAGAGGTTTGAGAGACTGAGAGAATACAATTCGCTATCTAAGTACTATTGCCGGATGGGTATCATGGCAACCTGGCGATGCTCTGTTCCTTTCCTCCTGAATGAAGCCAGCAACTATCCCTCGTAACACAACATCTACCTTTACGTAAGGTATCCAAGCTAACCAGGGATCATGAGGGGACAACGATAGTAATGGAAAAACATATCCCACACCGATAGCCTCGCCAGCACGAAAGAAATGAACGACAATACCCGAGGTAGGTACTATCAGGCATCTACATAGGAATACAGCTTTGCCCCAGATCTTTGACGAGACAAGGCGCTCTAGACCGGGCAGGCCAACCCGCACCTCCGTTATCCCAACGGCGCATACCACTCATTCATGAAACAGCATACTGATGCTCTCACCATGGTGCACCCTCCTTATCGCCTCGGCAAACGTTGCACTGATATCCAGCACCTCCAGCTTATCACACGCGGCCCGGTGCGCTTCCTGCGCAACGGTATTTGTCACCACGATCCTGTCCAGCGCAGAGGCGTTGATCCTAGCAATGGCGTCGCCGCTTAGCACGCCGTGCGTCAGCAGCGCAACGACTCTGACGGCGCCCTCCCGCTTCAGCAGCTTGGCAGCGCGCGTGATGGTGTTTCCCGTGTCGACCAGGTCGTCGATTAGGATGCACACGCGCGACGCGACGTCGCCGACTAGCATCATTGTTGCTTTGGGGCCGTCAGAGATCTTCGGCGAGCGGCGTTCTAGACACAGCGGGCATGAAGATATTAGAAACCCTGGGGCCAAAGAGCAGGATCAAGGAGACCGGCCGGGGATGGAAAAGATGGGAATACTTACCCTTGTGGATGAGGGCAAAAGCGAGCCTGAGACTGTCAGCTATTGCGGTGGCACGTTTAGCACCGCCTGCGTCGGGACTGACTATCACAGCATCACGGTAGTTAGGGATATTTAACTGAATGTAGCGTTTCAGGAGCGGGCGAGCACAGAGATTATCAACTAGGAAGACCATGGTCAGCCCAACGGGGTCGCTTCAGTAGGCTTCCTAGGGATAAAAGAGAAAACATACCGGGGATGTCGAAGAAGCCCTGGTATGAACTCTCATGGAGGTCGCAGGTCAGAATCCGGTCCGCGCCAGCGCAAGTCAACAAGTCCGCCACCAGCGACCCGGCTTGGGCCATGAGCATCTTGTGTCCGGACCTGGCGTGCAACGCCATCATCAGCGCCGGGTTCTCGTAGTCGTGCGTCGTATAGCTGCCGGGACGCGACGGAGCGGCCTGTCCATTCCCTCCCGCTGTCCCGGTCCCATTTGTCGGTAACTGTTCCTCCCTGTTCCCCGAAGGAGGAAGCCCTGCCATCACCTCGCCCACATCCAACCCCGCGCTCATCATCAACCCCGCCGTCCTCGGGATATTCGGGCCCGGCGTAACAGGCACGCTCTCGAACGTGTAGTAGCCATCGCCCTTCTCGCCACGGCGCGTCCTCCCGGCGCCGGCAACCAGCGGGGCGCCGGCCTTGGAGAACGGCAGATCCGGCTGCCTCGAATAGGGAAACAGCGGCAGCACGGCCGTGACCCTCCTCGCGCTACCAGTCTTGCAAGCCGAGATCATGATGCAGAGCTCAACGAAGTAGTCGTTGACCGTGTGGGCCCCTTCCACCTCCCCGTCCGAATCCCCATTGCGTCCGCCGGGCCCGACCCCAAAGGTCTGGACGATGTACACGTCCTTGCCTCTCACCGAGTTCTTGATCTCGCAGCGGGTCTCGCCGCTCGAGAACTTGGCGAGTACGCGGCTCGAGGGCGAGATGCCGAGGATGGAGGCAACCGAGTCGACAAAGCCCGGGTGGGAAGTGCCGGAGAGGAGGACCATGTTACGGACCATCTTGGAGGTTGCTTCTTTATTGATGGGGGTCTTTGTACTTTAGGCGGGCAGATATGGATTGGTCGTTGCTTGCACGGAACCCGGGCGAGTTACTAAGTGACAGGCGGCAACGGGACATCAGGGGACTTCAGTCGCAAGGTGAAGGTTTCTTTCATATAGATGTCAAGGTTGGCAAAGGCAAAAAAAGAAAGGCATGTAACGCGCAGCAAACGCCCTTCGGCCGGATACACAATTCCTCTCCAAACCAAACTCGAGGTTGAGAGTGACTGACCAAGTGAGTAAAGTAGAAACCGCAAGAGAGTTTGGGGAGGAACAGCACAATCGCGTCTAAGGTACCTGTTAGGAATGATTGGGCACCGAGACAGTTTGTCACCTGAAAAGGAACAGAGGGGAAGTGGTGTGGTACCGGTCCGCGTAGTACAAAGCGAGGGGGGAGATCTCTCATAGCAAGTTCAGACCATGACAGGAAAGACTGGATTGACACAATTAAAACAGAAAGAGGAAAAAAGGCACACACGCCAACGTATGAAAAATAAAAGCAGAAGAAAGAAGAGAAGGAGAGAGAAGAAGGAGAGTCCCGCGTTCAAATCCAGAGCCTCCGGCGTGGTATGCATCTTCGGTGCCGAAAAAGGAAGGGGATGTGTAACGGTCACCTAATGTAGAATGACGCGGGACTAGGCGTCCCCGTGGGTTTTACCTTCCATCCTTCATGCATTAACTACCGAGGTACCTATACATACCTTACCATATAGATGGTCCTTCGGCTTCCATACCGTGACCTTTCCATCGTATCTCTTCATAAGAGAAGTGACACTACCGTCAACACACGGGATAACGCGATACGCGATCGCACACAGAAGGCAACACAATATAAGCCTAACAGTCTATTAGACTTAACTTAGCTATCTCTGACAAATACTGTTCAAAAGCATCAGGTCCCAAATTAGGGGACACCATTTTCTGTCCATATAGCCAGTCCCCATATCAAGGGGACAGGATTACTGTAAAACTGACTCGACATCAACCACCCTTTTTGCCTCATCTAGAAGTGAAACTGAACGAAACAAAACTCGACTGCGAAAGGGACATTGCAGCCCTCCGGCAAAGACGTCCATGGACCCGAAGCTAATGCAGGTCCAGCAATGCCTTCGCACCCGGCTCACTGCACACGTAAATGACATCGTGGTTGTTTGTGAAGCCATTGAACGTGGTCGCCGAGCACATCGTGTACGCACCCATGTCCTCGAAGTAAAGCCAGTCTCCGACGTCCAAGAGCACAGAGAAGCGGATGCTCTCGGTGATGCGGTCGATGCCGTCGCAGGTCGGGCCCCAGATGCTGTACTCGATGCCGTCGACTACGTCGGTGGCCTCGGCGGCCGATGTGTTGTACAGGGTCCGGCCTCTGGCACGCAACACCTTCGCGACTGGGTGCTGGTGGTCGAACATCATGCTGCTGAAATTGCCGTACAGGCCGTCGTTCACGTACACCATGTAGCTGGTGGCGGACACGTCCTCGATGGTACGGCGGGCGATGATGTTACAGGCCAGAGTGAAGGCCGAGGAGGCGTAGTAGCGGCCGGGCTCCGCGATGACGTTGATGCCCGAGTGGGCCGGGAAATACTCGTCAAGGGCGCTGCGCAGGACGCCAGCCATCTGTTCAAAGCTGTTGTCACTGCAGAAGCCACCTCCAACGTCCAAGGTCCTGAGACAGAATCCATGGGCAGCAGCCTGCTGAAAGACCACATGGGCATCCTGGACCGCCTTCAGGAACGCACCGGGATCAGAGGCGCCCGACCCGACGTGGAAGCTGACGCCCACCACATTCAGCCCAAGCTCGCGTGCCAGGGCCAGAAGGTTGTCCGTCGAATCGAGGGATGCGCCAAACTTCAGGCTCAGACGGCACAGAGACGAGGAATCGTCAGTGAGGATCCGCAGGAAGAGCTCCGCTTCGGGGTAGAGACGCGCGATCTTGCGGAGCTCGTCGGCGTTATCAAAGGTCATCTGGCGCACACCCTGGCTGGCGACATAGCGCACATACGAGTTGGTCTTGCACGGTTGCGCATAGATGATGCGGGAAGGGTCGACTCCCAAACCCAGAACCTGCTCGATCTCGTTTTTCGAGGCGCAGTCAAAGCCCGTGCCAAGGGCGGACAGCAGCTCCAGGAGCTTTGGGTCCGGATTGCATTTGACGGCTAGATAATAAGTTGTCAGCGGGACTGTCCGGTTCGAACTTATTAGATAAAAGCGATTAGGTTAATGTTGACTCACCATAGAACGGCCTCACGCGCGGCAGATTCATCTTCCAGCGAAGGTGCTGCCGGTAGACCTCGCCGAGGTCGGCCACGAAGAACGTATCTTCATCTCCGGGCTCGCAGAACTCATAGTCAATGGACTCGACCCGCTCTCGGAGAGCGTTGCCGATCAACTGCTTCGCCGCATCGTGACCGCGCCTGTCTTGGTGGTGGACATGTTGGCTAACGTTGTCCAAAAACACATTGTTGCGGTTTTTTATGAAGACATGATGATTCGTGTCTTCCGGATAATCGAGTGATGCAAATCGATCCGTGACAAGCGTCGGCATAACCATATCCCAAAATTTGTAAGGAGGCGAAAAGTATCAAGCGGAGATGCGCGGGGATGGAATAGGCGTGGACGACTTAGTCGGTCGGAGCGCGATGGCGGGGACGCGTTGAGGATGGCGAGATCGTAGTTACCGTCGGAAGAACGACAAGAAGGTTACAGCTCGTGCTCGAGCGGGTGTTAGGGGGGTCGGTGGCGAAAGCAGACTGATCCCTGGACGGTCTGACGAGACTTCGTCGACTCTTCCTCGGTTAGAGGAAGAACCGCACAACTCGTCCTATGCGGCAGCTGGTTGTGGGGGTCGAACTCGGAGTTCTGGTTCAGGGAGAAGTCGAACAAGGAAAACACGATTTCCTTAGGCGACCTCAGCAGGTGGCGGACGCGAGTTGATGATATGGAAGGTTTTTCGAACGCTGAAATCTTGGTCTGAGACAAGGGTCACGGCCGGGAAAGCCGTAGTAATGGTTGTGCCTTTGAGAAGACCAAAGGCAGTCGAGGGTGTATTGGAAGGGGTTGGCCTTTTTAAAAGCGACGTCAGAACCGTGCAGTCAATCTGCTCCAGATGGCTCTCTTGATTCGCATTAGCCCTGCCAGGCGACTTCGATCCTAGCAAGGCCGTGGGAGAGTGCACGCCACATAACGCTACGGCTGCGTAATGCCGTTCCGGGTCGTACCTCGGGTGGCATTGCACAAGCTTCGGACGGGAAAATGCTGATTGGTGCGTTGACTTACGAATGATTCAGCACAGAGCACGTAGCAAGTGCAACGACGGTACGACCCGGATGGGATGGATAATGTGGCGACGTGAGGGTTGTCGTTGTAGGCAATGTGTGTGTGGAAAGTTGAGAAGTCTTGAAGTTGGGTTGAAGCTTCTTTATAAATTGAGGGGCTCGTTAACGGGTGGGTGTGCAATCAATGTGGGGTCCGAGGGTTCAATTTTTTCTTGATTTCAAGCTTGTGAGAAGCTGGGGCCATCAACATGACCCACTACGAACCATTTGTGACCGAAAGTTTACACTGTGTTATCGAGCGCAAAGCACTACCTAATAACTACCTTACCTACCTACCTAGAGATCTATACGCATCGCGCAGTCAAAACTATTATAGCAATTCATGGTGCCTCGCTTTTTATTCAGGGCTGTCACAATAGGATCTATTCATCTGAGAGAAACATAGCGAATGATGATATATCCCGACCATTAGAGGGTCCGGCCCGAAACATCCAGGGCCGTATCGGTACTCAGTAAGGTTAGGTATCCGCACTCTGCCACAGGTCAACTGTGTCGCAAACATCGCGGGGCATATTACGGGGTCAACGATGAAGAGACCAACCCGGGTCATGAGGCCGCCGACGGCCTCCGCATCCGGGTCGCTGTGGCGGAGGGTATTCCTGCGGACGATGGTCTGTTCGTTTCAAGCCGCAACTTGCGGTCAGCACCATTTCGTGGCATTCTCCACTCCTGCCTCCCCTTCGGATCTCGATTTCGCCTGCTTGGCGGTACATAGGGAGCCGAGTCCTTGACTAAGATCCCTTAATGCGAAAACCGCCGATACCTTGACGGGTTGTCGACGACTCGACACAGCGATTAGGAAATAAAATCGCGCACCAACGTCGTCTTCCCAAGATTAGCCTGTTTTCCTGTCATGCCCTAGAGGTGCGATACGACCGTTTAGCAGTAACTAGCTGATGGAAATTGATCAACCATCACACCATCAAGATGAGTGATTATGACTTATGACTTGGGGCATGTGATGATTTGAGTGCCGGTTTACAGCTGCAGTTCGAAGCTCGTTTGCCGTGTCGACGCTACTACTCCGTACTCCGTGATCTCAGCGGCATATTAGCACCAGCCGCATAAACCGCTCACAGCATGTAGGAAGGTAGGCATGTAGGCCAGACGGCATATGCATCGACGCATGTGCTTCGCGACATATCAAACTCTGACGTCCGGATTTGAATGCGGCACTTGCGGCTGTTCCTGCGCCGATACGTTGCACCACCGTTGCCGATTGCTGCAAGGGGTCTGGCAGCCCCTCAGATCTACATACCTCTAGACTGCAGAGCTGTTGGCTACCGTAGTTGTGCCTGCCGTGTACCGTAACTATTGTACCACATTCTGTATGGAGTAAGCGTGCCGACACATCGAGTGATGGGAAGAGATATTGCGCGATGGAGGCAAAACAAAACGGTCCGTAAAAATGCATGCAAAATCCGAAAAGTATGTACTCTGTTCTTTAGTCCGCAAGCCCAAAGCTGTGGGAGGCGGCTCTGAGAGAACGAGCCCAGGCCTGGCGAGGCCAGCACTCGGTGTCCTTGATCTCGCGTCGTGCAGTGGTCTCAAAGCTATAGTGTGAAGCAGTGAGACGTATCGTATCCGGACGCTGCGATGAAGGTGGTAAACGGGGACGGGGGACAATGAGAGCCTGGTATCGGTCATTCCGATGCTAAACATCTCGGGATCGCGCCCAGTGCTGCAAGTTCCGACGAGATGCCGTGCCCGTGGATTAGAGAAGGGTATCATCTGTATGTGTTGTACATGTGTTAATATACATTGTGACTACGTGTAGCCAACGAGCAGGCATTGCGGTTAAGCACTTCCGTTGATGTCCATGTTGTTGATGGTCCAGGACTCATCGACAAAATCCCGCTTCTCGCCCAGGAAGACAAGATGATCCTCTTGCTTGTTCAGCGCATTGACGATGTACTTCTGCGCAGCCTCGCGGACCTGATCCTTGGTGACATCGAGGAGCTGTTCCCTACGCCGCTGCTTCATCTCCTCGGTGATGCCGTAGACGAAGTTGCTCATGCCTTCTTCGTTGACCGCCCGAGGCGCGTCGACACCCTGGAACACCGAGATCTTCGCATCTTCGAGGTCACGGTCAGACCATTTTTTGTCAACAGCCCAGCGGCCAGCGTCCCGCATGATCTTGATAGTGTTGACTGGATTCGGGTCGCGGTACGAGTAGAAGCCAAAGATACCGTCGACGGCGCGTGAGTATGCGCCGCCGCCGTACGCACCGCCTTTCTCGCGGATCTCGTGATGTAAGTGCTTGTGGGTCAGAAGAGAGGCCAGGATTTGGAGAGGAGCCTGGTCAGGCGACGTGTACGACACGGTCGGCAAGGCAAGCGCGCCATAGTATACCTGATACGGCAGGGGGTAGAACGACTTGATGTTCCTCGCGAAGCTCCGTGGAGTCTGTCGTGGCGGGGAGATGACGTTGCGCGAGGAGATGGAGTCCAGGAAGCTGCAAAGCGCCTTGGTGTTGTTGGCAACGTTCTCACTATCGCAAGTGATGGCGGCTCGCATGGTGCCCGCAAAGGCGAATTGCTGGATCGTCTTCAGCTTCGCAATAACGTCTTCTAGGAGATCGGATTCGGGCCGGCTTGCCAGACTCGTCACTAGCTTCACCTGGGTCAGACCGCTGACCTGCTCCTTGAGAAAGGCCTCGCGGGTCAGGCCGGCTTCCGCAGCCCTCCGAGCATAGGCATGTCCGGACGAGGCAATGTCGTTGACGACGCCATCAGCAGCCGCTTGCAGAAGCTGCCGAATCTGCTGGGCAGCCTCCGGGCTGTCAAAGTTCGTTTCGACGATCAGTTTGCGCAGCAGGTCGAACATGACCGATACGTTGCGGTCCAGCGCCATCCCAGAGAAGGAAAGGCCCTCGTCTGCCTGCCGGAAGTCTGTCGGGCGCGATGCCGAGTGGTAGCCGACAGATACACCGCCGGTCTTGAGCTTGATGAGATCTTCGAGCTGCTCCATGCTCATGTCCTTTGTGCCGAGGCGCATGATGGAGTCGGTGAAGAGGGGAATGAGAGAGCGAAGTTCATCGGGAAGATTGTCCAACGTGTTGATGGCGCGGAAATAGGTCAGCCCGTTGGTGGGCGCTTCGCGCAACTGGAGCTTGACGTCGCCCACCGTCTCCCTCCGCAGAACCACTGGCTCCTTTTGGCGCGGAATGTCCTCAACGTGCACGCTGGGTAGGCAGCTGAGGTCCTCAGTGTTAGACTTGCCCTGTTCGGCCAGCAGGGCCAACTCCCGTGCTTCGAACGCAGCGCGAGCCTGCTCCTCGCCGCCCGCGGTTTCGACGGCCTTTGCAATCTTGCTGTTCAGGCGGGCTTCCTCTTCTCTTGCAAGCTCCTGCACATATTCGGGAGACGGAGCCATGGTGAAGGTCAACGTGTTGTCGTTCAACAAGTACTTATCCATCAGCCCCTCGAGATAGCCGCCCTTGGCGTACTCGGTCTCGAAGGTAGTTAGCGTGTCATTCCACGCAAGCGAGTCGAACGGATCGACGCCCGTGAACCATTTCGGTTTTAGGCGGTGTAGCAGGGACATGCCGAAGTTCGCCGTCTTGTGCTTGAGGCTGAGCTCGAGCTGGTGCAGGTAGCCGTCAATCTTGGACCGGTCGAAGCCCTTCTCGCGCACGCTGCGGAGGATTTCTTGCACAGCGGGCTTCACCTTGGCGACATCCTCCTCTTGGACGCCAGTCAGCCCGATCGAGAATATCCCCACTTTGCCGGAGCTATCATAGCCCGCGTTGGGGCTCCAGTCGGTGCCGAGACCGGTCTCGATGAGCCCCTTATACATGGGCGAGCCATAGCCATCCGTCAAGAGGGCGGATACCAGGGCGAGTGAAAATGACTCGACGACGTTGGACGTATCCCCAAGAACCCAAGACACAGAGGTCTTGAACTGCTTGTTCAAGTCAACCAGCGGGTCAACGGGACCCACCAGCCGGACCTCCCTCGGGCCGCTGCTGAGATCGATGGGTCGATGGATGGCCATGTCGCGACCGATCCTCTCAAAGGCACTGAGCTGGGCATCCACTTCGCGCAGGTGATCCGCCAGCGGCATGTCGCCATAGGTGAACACCTTGGCGTTGCTGGGATGATAGTGCTCGGCATGGAACTTCCTGAGCTGCTCGTAAGTGAGGTCGGTGATCTTCTGGGGGTCGCCGCCCGAGTTGTTGATGTCTGGGAAGATGTGATCTTGGAATCGGATATAGAACAGGTAGCCAGCATCCGACATCTGCCCCTTCATCTCGTTGTAGACGACGCCCTTGAAGACGAGCTTCCGGTCTTCGGGCTTGGCGTCGGCTCCCGCGGTAAGAGCTTGGGGGTTCTCGGGCCCGATACGCCATCCTTCCTGGGTGAAGTCGGATTCCTTTAGCAAGGGTCGGAGCGTCGCGTCGAGGTACACGGCCATGAGGTTCTTGAAGTCCTGGGCGTTGGTGGTCGCGAAGGGATAGAAGGTATGGTCCGAGGCGGTAAAGGCATTCATGAAGTTGGACAGGGTCCGCGGCAGCATCTTGAAGAACGGATCCCGAATCGGGTACCTGCAGATGGTTTGGTTAGGATCGCGGAAGTAATGCGGCGGGATGGGGACGGGTCGTGACTGACTTCTCGCTGCCACATAGTGTGGTGTGCTCCAGGATATGAGGCACGCCCGTATCGTCCGGTGGGTTGGTCTTGAAGCCGATCGAGAAGACATTGTTGCTATCCTCACGAGCGATGTGCAGGTGTTCGGCGCCCGTCTTGTCATGGCGCAAGTGAAGCGCCGTCAGCTCGAGCTCGGGCACATGCTTCGACCGCAGAAGTGTGAAGCCATGCAGCTTCTCGCCAACTTTCGGATACTGCGAGAGGTCTGTCGCAGCTCTCGCAGCTCGCTTGGCCGTACCGCGGAGCATCGTTGGGCGGAGAAGTACCGAGAAGTAAACCGAGTCAATGCGGCTCGCCTGCCGCTGACTTCAGATGTTCATGGAAACCGCGAAGTTTTGTGAATAGGCCCACTCTTCCAAGACGTTAAAATATGTCTATTCTAACCCTAACCCAGCACAACTACGTAAAGCCTTCATGATGACAACGTCAACAGTTGTTGACCTTGGTCTTTCACCTTGCGTATTATCGACTGGACTGTAATTGGCACACGCCAGGCCATTTTGCCCCACCACACGGGAATGACCAGCTCACGCCTTCTTACTCGCCTGCTTCTTCTCAATCCTCTCAAGCTCCATATCAATCCGCTTGAAGCTCCAGCTTTTCCAAAACGGCGGGTATAAAAATGGCCTAAGGTCGAAGCGGTTGTCATCAGGTGCTACGTCTATCAGTCCCCTTTTCTTATGTTTAGTTGGTGAAAAGGTCACCCACAGTAGTCATTACAATGCAACGCTGGAGTGAGGGTAGTCATCTTGTGCCCTGCAAATGGTCAGTGCCACCGACTCCCCGGAACATTGGGGAGGGCGCTGAACATACTGTTGATGGCGTAGAAGTGGAAGAACTTCTTGACCTTCTCTGCAACCTGGGCCGGCGTATAATATGGGGCATCGTCATCCTGCTTGCGCTCGCGGTCAATGCTCCAGTCGTGCACCAGCCGCTGGAACATGCCAAACGGGCCGAGCTTGTTAAGTTTGCGCAGCCGGCCAAAGATAGTTAGTTCCTGATAGGTCATGCCCATGTCTTCGGCCCAGTCAGCCTCTTCCGGTCGTAAGTAGTGAGTTGGGCTTGGAAAGCACGCACCTGCTTCGTCACTCTGCACATAATCTTGCGTGATGGGCTCCTAAAAAGGGTGTCACAGTCAGCACGGTGATCGGACAATGAAACGGCGAAGTCCAGGAGACCGCTAAATGCAGCAGGACTGGCTCAGCCACCTACAAGCTCTGCAGTTGGCACAGCGGTCAAGAACTCATGGAGACACGGCAAGTCAAAGTTCTTCTCGGCCCATGCGATGAAACGCTTCAAGTCCGCCTTGTCGATGGAGCCGATGGGATTCTGCGGTGGGCTGGTGAGCACTTTTCTGTACTACGACCACAGCGTAACACGAGTGACGTACGATATCTGCGCTCTAGCAGAACATTAGCTGCTGTTGTGGAAGCATCCAGGAGGGGTAGCGCCGAGGGCTGAGATGGCACTTACCGAGCAGTCATACTTGGTCAGATAGCCCCTTAGACCTGCAGGATGTATTAGCACCTGTCTTTCTCCCTAAGGTACCTTACGCAAGCTCTCTTCGGAAGTGTAAACCACATACTCTGCTTTTGCGTTAGTGCGAACAGTGCGGTCTATCTCGTTCTGTCTATTACTTACCTCGCCGACATTAGCACTCCCCAAGACCAGCAGGCTTCCACCTCCAGGCCTGTTCCTGGCCGTTGGGAGAATCTGCCCGAACTCCTGCTCGCAAGTTAGCAGACATTCTTAGTACCTCTGAGCACTACTAATATTGCAACTCACATAAGCGGTGACCATTCTGATCCTGGCCTGCAAACATTGCAATGTCAGATTCTCCTGCACTGTTCCGCCCTCTACCTTGAACTTTGGATCAAATCCGACGGTGCTGACGACGAGCTTCTTTTGAGCCTCGTAGACGTCGTCAATGTCGAGGTTGACGTGGTAGCTGCCAATGGCCTCAGAGAGGTCCTTTGCACGCTGACGGGTCTCGCGCGAGCTCTGCTTCTTCATGCCCATGTACAGGGTCGTGAACACTTGGTTGCAGAGCTCCTGTGGCGTCTTGGGCAGCACACCCTCACCACCATATCTTGCGATCCGCTTGACGTCCTCAATGACCTGGCGGTTCCCTTCCTTGACCGCTTTCATGACGATGCGACACATCGAGTAGACAATAACTAGAAGATGATGAGTATAAGGCTGGGCGGAAAACGTAGTGGCACAACCTGGGCGTACCGGCAGTGGCACAGGAGTCGATGCCTCCACTCAGGGGGACCAGATAGCCCGCGGTCCCGGACCTGCGGAGGTACTGTCACCACCAATAGGTCAGCCCGATCCACACTGACGACTTGTGTCCCCACTTACATCCCAGAGGTAGCAGCCACCGCAGAGGGCGATTTCCTCCTCCACGGAATGGAACCTCGGTTGGATCGGGAGCGTCGGCGCCTTGGTGACATCTGCGTCGTCTTCCTCGGAGCTGAGCTCAAAGGGCGTCTGGATCCTCTGATACTTGGCCGTGGACGCTGCCGCCTGGAGACCGCGCGAGATGGCAGCACGGTAGGACCGGACTTCCTCCAGGTCGACTGTGGCAGTCACCACCTCGACGTCGTTGAGACTGAACTGGGACCCCTGAGCGACGACATCGCCGTTCACAATGATCATGGCGCAGCCGTCAAAGTACAGACGTTCGCCGTCGCACCCTTGCTGATTTGCGTAGAGGTAGACCCCGCCCGACTTCCGGGTCGCTTCCGTGATCAGCTGGAGGCGCGTGTCGAGTTTCCGTAGGGTGAAGTGGCTGCCGCTGGAGTTGGTGATGATCTCGACGCCGTCCAGGGCCATGTCAATATGCGGGGCCTTGGGCGTGAACAGCTCCTCGCAGGTCTCGGCGCCAAACGCTGTCTCGGGGGTCGAGATGACGGCATCGCCGAAGAGAACATGCGTCTCGCCCTGTACCTCGGCCAGCATCTTGGGCAGATGGAAGAGCTCCGTCTCCCTAGGCCGCATCCACGGGGTGAAGTGTCTCATCTCGCGGTAGTTCCCGTCGTTGGCAAGCCACATCTTGGGCCTCTGCGCAGACAATGCGTGTTAGCGGCTAGCCATTTCCCCATGTTCATGTTTATCAGCGAGCTGCTCTCACGATGAGGAGTATCTTCCCATCCAAGCCTAGGACGTACGGGTTAGCAGTAGTTTCGCCAGCCGCCACACACGTTCGCTTACAGATGACCCGGCAGTTGTACCTCAGGTTCCTGTGGAGGATCGGCATGCCGACATCGAGTAGGATGCCATGCGTGCTCTCGTCCAGCAGCAGCCGGCGGAGCATTTCCAGGCTGTGTGTATATACATCGAGCTCATGGAAATGGTCCAGGCTGGAGTACCCGCAGATTTCCAGTTCCTGCCCGTGTCAGCATTTTCAATCCACGGGCAGCTATTCAGAGCTTCTCCTTCAACTGCGAAGGGCATCCTTACAGGACCAACACGCAGACGTGCACCGGCTGCTTTCGCCTGGTGGATGCTCTCAATAATCCGCCCGAGGTTTCCTTCCCAGTCGAGAACCCATTGGTTCAAGCTGCACGTTGCCACCGTCACCAGATGGCCCATGGTTGAGAGCGATCCTAGTTCCTCGATGGGTTAGGTAATGAATGACCTAGAAGCACCGTTCCGGGCGACCCCTGACCGAGCTGCAAGAGTTGTTTCTTTTTACCTTAAATTGGTATGCACTGCGGTCTGCGGCACGTCTTACAAGTTACAAGTTACAACGGCGGGGGGATCGGGATGGAGGGGTGATAAAAGCTCAATGATAGCACTCAGCTCGGCAAGCTCCACCCCTAACCCTTATGGGTACATGAACGTTCTCGCAGATCCGATCCGAAAAGACGAACTTCTGTTCATCGGACCTCGATCTTGTAAGGTTAGACCAGCAACACCGAGGATAGACACAAACAGAAATGGAGTCCCAATGACAGCGCCGACCACTGCGCAAGCCATTCTCCTCCATCTTGCACGAGTATTGAGACAATGAGCTCTTCTGTGGAACCACGACAAATAGACCTGGGACAGCTCTCGCGGATCTGAGCGCGCACGTCCCCGTACGAATCCGAGAAGCGCCCTCCCTCGTCCTGAAAACATCCACCCTAGCCTCCTCTCCTAAAATGGCGCCGAACATCCCAGGAACGATGCGCCGGGCAGGCCCCCGCCTTCTCGCGACGCGCGCACCCCTCTGGCGTATACCAACCCCGCCGCCATCCGCACTCCCACTCTGCGCCTCATCCCCAGCGCAGCCGCCGAACTCCTTCCTCCCACAGCTCGACCACATCCGGAGGGCGATAACAACCACCACGCCGCGCCGCTCGCTGGGCCCGGCCTCATGGCTCCTCTCCGCGCTCCCCAACTTCTCGCCGAACCCGTCGCCCCCACAACCACAGCCCCCGCCGCCCAAAACCCTCCGCGCCCGGCGCCTGCTCCCATACCCGCCCGCCCAGATCTACACGCTCATCGCCGACATCGATTCGTACGCAGACTTCCTCCCGCACTGCACACACTCGCGCGTAACCCGGTGGACAACCACCAGCAGCAGCAGCAGCGCCAGCAAACCATCACCACCACCAGAGACACCAGCGGGACAACGAGCCGTCGTTGGGGAGCGATACCCGGCTCTGGCAGACCTAACCGTAGGCTGGGGCCCCTTTACTCAGACGTACACGTCCCGGGTGTACTGCGTTCCGGGGGAAGTGGTGGAGGCCGTGTCGGGCCGAGCCGAGACCAGTATCTCGCCCGAGGTTCTCCGGCGCGTCGGGTACGAGACCATACTACAGGAGGATGGACGCGAGAAGTTGGAGGGCGGGATATTTGAGAGTCTGATCACACGGTGGGCGGTCAAGCCTGCTACGGGACCTGGGGGAGGCAAAGAGGGAAGGGAGGAGTGGACGGAGGTTATGCTCAGCGTGACCTTTCAGTTTGCGAACCCTGCGCTGGGGTTTGCCGTGGGCCAGTTGGCTGATGATAAGGTGGATGAGATGGTGGAGGCGTTTGAAGGGAGGGCAAGGAAGCTTTATGGGAGGTGACACATCGGGGCAGAAGCTTACGATGTGACATGGCAAGGGGTCGCGGTCATGGAGGTGCGCGTGCCACCAGCGCCATTACATGTGCGCTGTACACTACGTGTATGTATGTGTATGTATACGATTTCTGCTATTTTGGTCTGGTTTTCCGTTTTATCTAGATGCAAGGCCCTGCATATAGGAGATAGAACCGCTCATGATAGACCATAAATCGCCGGGTAAATGCATATCAAAATAACTTTAAAAGACAAGACGCAAGACCAAAACAGAAAGCCGTCTAATAGCAAGCAAACAATAAGGAGACGCTTCCCTCCCCCACAGACGACAGCTAACTGACATTGACTCTTTTTGCGCCGGAACCAGGCAACACTCGCCACAGCGCCGTGCTTCCCGATAGAGAAAACTTGCAGACGACGCCAACCCATCCACAATGTCCGCCCGCTTGATCATCCCTCCGCCGTCTCTCCCCTTCCACCCATCGCTGTCATGTCGGATCGATCGTGCTTCATTCCTCATGCTTCATCCTTCATCCCTCATACCGTAGCGGCAACGGACCAACTATACTAATTCTTGACTAGGTAGATAGTTAAGTCTCCCGCCCGCTGCGCAACTATTCCAAAGCTGACCAAAAACAAGAAGAGGGGATATCCAATCCACCAAACGCATGAAACCAGAAGGATGGAATAAAAACCAGGCGACAAGGTATCAAAAGCCAAAAGTGACGAACACGCTTGCAAGACGTCTACCGAGAAAAAAGGGGACGAAGAGGGAAAAAAAGAGGGGAAAGTTCGGCGGGATTGCCGCGTTGATTAACGATCCGTCGTGGCCCTGTTTGCTGAGGTGATCTGGGAACTTTCATCGGCGGTTTATCAATGCGTCTGCAAAGACTCGGTGTTTTGGCTTAGTGCTTCTTCCTACATACAACACACAATCGTTAGCACACCCAATTCCGCTATTAATACATCACATACGCAAGCGACGATTACGACGAAGGAGATCCGACAGACTTGGTTGGGGGCATCCGTTGTCGGCCAGGGAAGAACGGGTGCAAGGTGCAGTGGTGGGAACGGTGTCTGGGCTTGGGATTGGACGTGGGAAGGGGGATAGGGGTAGGAGCAGGAGACACCGGGCGAACGTACTTCTTTCCGCTGCTTTTCGGTTTGCCGCCAGCCATCCACCCAAGCACAGACGATGGGGCCGCTGCCTTCTTGTCCTTCTTAGAGTGCTTGGGTGCGACTGTCACGACGTGAGGCCGAACGCCTGGCCCACCAGGCACTGGCATGCCGCCGGGCCAGCCTTGTGGCGGAGGCGGGGGCGGCGGGATGCCGTGGCCGCCGGTCGGCCGGCTTGGCGGGCGGAAAAAGGGATGCAAGCCGGGACGGGGCACTTGTTGCGCGTGCTGCGCGTGCTGCGCGTGCTGTGCGTGCTGCCCGTGGTGGGCTGGGCGGGGGATGCCGCCTGGGGGGATGCCGGGGTGGCCCGGCATCTGCTGGGGGTGGTTGCGGAGAGGCGACTTATCCAAGGGCCACATCTGCATGGTGATGGTCCAGTCGGGCTCAACTACCTTCTCCCAGACGGCCGGGAGGATGATCTCGCCGTTAGGGCCGATCAGGTCGTAGTGGCCTTCGAGGACATGAGGTCCGATGACATCGACGTGTAAGAAGGCTTGCTTGATGAGCTCCTCCATACCCTGGAAACGGAAAAAGGATCTATCAGCAAACCGACACGAAAGGATCTCGAGGGATGCGTGTCAACTTACCTGCCATGTTTGGCACAGATGGAACGGGAAGTTGAACTTGCGGCCAACGGCATCCTTGAACTTGATGGGCGGCTTCTCCTTGTTTTGGGCTTCCTTCTCCAGATTCTCCTTAGTTTCCTCGAGTAGCCTCTTCTTCAGGGCTTCCTCCTCCTTCTTCTTTGCCGCTTCAGCTGCCTTGGCAGCCTCGGCCGCCTCCTGCTCTGCCTTAAGCTTCTCTCGGGCTTCGTTCTCTGCCTTCAGCTTCGCCTCGGCCTCGAGCTGCTTCCGCCATTCGGCTTCCTCGGCCGCCTTCTTGGCCGCGGCGGCTTTGGCTTCCTCCTCAGCCTTTTGGGCAGCCTCCATTTTTTCGCGCTCGGCTTTGATGGCGGCCGCCAGCTTCTCTTCTTGCTCCTTGATGGCCGCCTCCAGCTTCCTCTTGGCTTCCTCTTCGATCCTCTTCAGGCGCTCCGCCTCCTCGGCGGCTTTTGCGGCGGCGGCGGCTTTGGCCTCTTCTTCGGCCTTGATCCGGGCATGGATTCTTTCCTGCTCCTCCCTGATGGCCAGCTCGATCCTCGCCTTGGCTTGGGCCTCGGCCAAAGCTTGAGCCTCCGCCTCACGCTTTTTGCGCTCCTCGGCCGCTTTGATTTCGGCCTCGAGCTTCACGCGTGCCTCGTGTTCCAGTCGCTTTAGTGCTTCTTCCTGTTCCCTTTTCCTCTGCTCGGCCGCCTTCATCTCGGCTTCGAGCCTCTCTCGTGCTTCGCGCTCGAGCCGCCTCAGCGCCTCTTCCTGTTCCTTCTTCCGTTCCTCCTCCGCCTTCTTCTCAGCCTCCAGCCGCTCGCGTGCTTCCTTCTCCGCCTGGACTCTCGCGCGTTCCATCTCCAACTTTGCCTGCTCTCGTTCTGTTTTCAGCTTCTCTAGTTCCTTTTCAAAGTTCTCTCGGGCTTGCCTCTCGGCCTCCGCTTTGATCCTTGCTTGCTCTTCTTCCTCTCTTTTCCTCTTCTCCTCCTCTTCGTACTTCGCAAGCCGTTTTTTGATCTCTTCCATCTCCGGATTTGGCTTCTCCGGAGCCGGCGGGGCGGGGGTCGGAGGGCCGGGCGCGGGTGCTTCCGTGGGTGGTGGCGGCGGGGCACTGAACATATAGGGTTGCAAGTGCGGCGCAACTCCTCCATATCCCGGCGGTCCACCGCCGCCATAAAAGCCGGGCGCGCTCGGGTGGTGGTATGGCATCAAGTCATAATCACCGTGGCCGCGAAGGTGGGGGGCGCCAAAGTAATTGGTGCCATTGGTGGCCGGCGCGAAGGGATTCCGGTAGTCACTAGTACCGTAGGGAACCATTTGGCCGCTGTAGTGACTCGGCATGTAGCCGACGTGGCTCTGCGCGTAACCGGCCGGTTGGTGGCCGGCTCTGGTGCCGAAGAAGGCGCCTTGGTTCTGCGGGGGAGGTGGGCCGCCGCCGTAGCCGCGCCCGTACGACGGACCGTATTCCTCGGAAGGGTCAAGACTCATTGGCGGGGCCGACGGCGCTTGGTATTGGAGCGAAGTCTGGCGCCCAGCGGGAATCCTGTGGCGACGCGGATTACCACGTAGAGGGCCTGGGCTGTGGGATGTTCGGCGCAGAGTGGGCTTGTACTCTTGACTTATCGAGGCGGAATCCGATGGTTCAAGCTCGTCGTATTCGTCTTCCCACGATTCTTCCTCGTCTTCCTCGTCAGCCAGCGACTCGTCGTACTCGTCCTGGGTGAGCGATGACGATTCGTATGAACTGGATGAACTTGACGTTGTGTGTTGAGGGTTGTGTGTCACAGGCCGTCTTCTAAATGAAAGGAGCAGGCGATTGGCAGATCGGGTCAGCTAGGTCTATACTACTCAAACCGCGAGGGGAGAAAGGACACTGCAGGGGCCGTGCGGCGCAGCCGACTCCAAGACGGAAGGGCAGCCGAGGTCCAATGGCGGGGGACACTTACGACGACATTGGTGATGCTTGTATCTGTCACACTTCGCTGGCGCCAATCCGTTGGGAGGGAGCCGGCGCAAAGGCGACCTGCTTTGAGCTTGTCGTCGACCAAATCGGAATTTATTGTCTACCGAACCAAGGGTTGGCGGTGTGTTGTTATTGAGGTGTGCAGGGATGTGGTGGCTTGGGAATGCGCGAGCTGGAGGGGAAGGTGTGTGTGCGTCAAGAACCGGAAGCTTGTCGCTAGAAAGCTATGGCAGGCCTTATTGACTCCAAAACACGTCGTCCTCAGGGAAAAAGTGTCGAAGCACTAGCACTGTCACTACTTCCGTAGATGTTTGGGTTATTAGGCGCGAAAACAGGAACGAGGAGGTCGGGCTTCGAAAGTCTGGACTGCTGGGTCAGTGAAAGTGGACGGGGATGCGTAAAAAAAGGCTGGGCCGCTCAGGTCCACTCGCTGGGCTGCGGAGAGGGACAGGGGTGAGGTTAAAAGGGCGACTGCAACCCAGGTGCGGCGGGATTAGACCTTTATTAGCCCATCCCGGCCGCCATGGTGAAGAAGTGCGGTGTGGACTGGACAGCACGCTCACAAGTATGGACGAAATCGGGTGAGGGAGCTGACTTTTATGAGGGAGGGGCACAACGCGGGGCCAACAACTTGCCTCTGCGCTTAATAAAGGCTGTGAGCCTGGCCGAAGTGACACTCGTGACCACAGGGATGCAGCAGCTGGGAGGGATGAGAGTCGGAAGCGTCCGGCCAGGATGGAAGCTTGTCAGAGCACAGGGGCACTAAATGGATAAGCCTCAGTATTAGCATAGCGTCACTCAGGAGGGGCGCTTGTAACTTGATGGAACGTGGAAACCCCGCGATTGCAGTGGAAGCATCAGCCCAGCAAGACAGGGAGCACTGGCTTCCAGCTCAGGTTCATTGGGCCTTAGGTCTGTAAGTACAGCCAACACTGGGTCGGGTGACGATGAGGCAAATGCCCAATTGTATGCCGACGATAACTACCGCCTAGGCTGACCGACAGGATCCGGGCGATCATGAACACCACGATGCCATCACAGTGTTGAGGGATCAAAGGCCGAACCTCTTTTATTACCCCGCATGCCTCCTATGATTGCCACTTTCCCTCCATTGTGTTGGGTGGGCGTGTGCGTTGTGCGTGAGGGTTACAAGTGTGAGTGCCTAGGTAGGCAAGTTGGGACCAACTGCCAAGCTGGATGGATAGGCATTACTCCGTACCGCGCACCGCTTCGGGAGGATCCAGCGACGGGACTGGCCCGAGCCTGAACGGTATATGTAGAAGTATATGTCCCCGGATCTGGCCACAGGCGGCAAGGGACAGGGCATGGAGGTGGCAAGATTCGAGATAAGGAGAAATTCCGTCATACCACGGGTTTGGTCGTCGCGGGCTTTGTATCTGCCCAGCAAGGCCGATGTAAATATACTGCGTCGATCTCGGTGAGAGATGGGACGAACCGCTGGGCCGTCCGATGACCAGGTGTGGTGGGGAACCCTGCTACCTGTCTTGTCGGAATAGGTATGTGGATAAGATTCCAGGGCTGTGTGGTTTTGTGCGGCTCTTCACTTGCGTGCTCATGCGCAGGGCGTCCGATTCAGAAGTTGGCGTGCAAATCTCGGTTGCGATTTCAAGTTGTTAGCAAAGTTAAAGTTGGAGTGTATGTGCTGTGGTTGTGTTGTGTCCAGGTTGGGCTTCAGGGTTGTGTTGCCAGAGCACGGTGATTCAAGAAGAGTGAAAAAAGTGAATATCGTAGGGCTGGCCCAGAGGAACACACAAGGTGGCTGTTATTATACAGCTACTAGTTTGCAGTGCTCCGGGTCTCGTTGGACAAGGTGCCAGGGAATGCTGCTGTGCATGTGGTAACTAATGTAGCGGCGCAGTCGGGAATGAGATGCAGATTCCGGGTGCCGCAAAACTATTAACTGCAGCAGTGCCTGGTAACTAGGCGGAGTCTTGCTGTGCGGACAGGAAAAACATCCAAATGGAAGTTCTGTAAATTACGATTCTGACGCACCTTGAACAATTGCAACCAATCCCGTCTCTTGTTGACGCCCGACACAAATTATGGATCACCGTGACTGACCGAGACACGCGATGATTTCGTGGCTTGGTGTCAGCGCGCGATAGCAACCCAAGAAGCGGATTTTGTTGGAGCTGAGCTTCCCTCTCCAGTTACGGCTCGGGACAAAAGACGTCGGACAAAGATGTTGGCGCTGGCAGTCCGTGAAGACACCTAGAGAGTTGCGGATGCCACCTCTCAGTCTCCTCAACCCAGGCAGGTTTCCATCGAGTCATGACGAATACAATGCCTCCTCTGCACCTTCACCGGCTTCTCGTGGCCACGCCGTGGATGGGAAGTTCGAACATCCCTATGGTCTCCCTTTCCTCCTTGGTCGAGACGTGATATCAAAGCGTGGGGCTGTGAACCCAGAGAGATGGAATCTGATGATGTGGCACAAGAACGTGAATCACCAAGAGGCTGCGATGGGTTGGAACATGGGCGCAGGACCATGGATCTGAATTCGGCGAGAGCGAACAGAAAGCTGTGGAGATGTAAGACGAGAACTAGCGGACGCTTGAGGTCTCAAATATACGCTCGCGCCTTGCCATCCTGACAACCGTCTCCATGTATGTAGTTAGACATCTGCTAACCCGTGGAGACGAGAGGGCTGTCTCGAAACTTCAGTCCCTTGACACAAGTCAACCCCCAACTTTGAAGCTTGCAGAGCAACCCAGGCTACCGCTCAAGCTAAGAGACAGTTCCAGATCCCGCTAACATCTGCAACCCCTAACTAGGCCATCAAGCAGCCATTGAGTTGCCTCAAATTAGACAACTGCAAATAGGATATGATCCATATGGGGGATGTGCAAGTCGTGTTGGTGGGCCGCCGATCAAGGCCATGCCATCCCATCGAGCGAACCGACAAACCCCGATTTTGTTCGTGCCCAAAGAGATTCGGAAGGCTTCGTAAGGGGAAGCTCAACCAGGCAGCATGGCCATTGAATTGAAGTTCCGGTTGGGCTGCGAGGCCCGCTCTGCCCATTCCGACCCACTCCTTCCGTCTTCTTTACTGGAGCCACGTTCAGCCGCCTGTCTGTCTTTTCATCTTTCTGCCCAAGACCCACAGTTTGGCTCGCATGGGAGTCATGGCAGCGGACGCAACAGGGCACCCATGAGAAGACCCATAGTCTTCGCGGATCTGGAAACTATCGAGAACGCGAACGCGATTTTGAGAATTCGCGACTATCATGCGTGACTTTGGCGACGACCTCTCCGAGCAGTCGCCTCCACCACCATTCACGGTGTTCCGGAGCCCTCGGTGCCGCTGCAGGAATCCCAGGGGCTAGTTATCTCTTGATCCCGGACGCGGCAGATTCGTCCTCAGAGAGCAACTCTTGAGCTGCTGCAATTTCCGCTTGGCTGTAGCCCCGCCAGCCGCGGTCATGCGCCGTACTATGTCGAACGATCTCGACCAGCTTGGCCGTGGCCAGCTCATTGAGTCGCTCAATGGTTTTCGTGTCGGGGAAGGAGACCTCACCGTCCTCGGGTAGCTTTGTCGCCTTGGCGCCATCGCTAAGCAGCTTCTTGGAGACCTAGGGGGCGTCAGCGGCCATGTCAGCGCTCAGCCTCGACTGTCTCACCAGCTTTAAGCCATAGTATCCGCGGAGATAATCGTCGCAGAGCTCGATGCTGCGCGAGAAACGCTTGATAGCCTCAGCCATGTACTTCTGGTATGACCCATGGGCCACACCGGGAGCAGTGGCGGCCATGTACTGCAGTTCGCCCAGTCGCGCATGTATCTGGGACAGGTGCATTAGCATAGGGCTTAGTCTCCGGGTTGTGGTTGGATTGCTCACATTCCATGCATTTGGCGCCAATACCAGAACCTCTTCCATGGCGTAGATCGCCTGTGGGTACAGGCCCTGGGACAGGTAGATATCCGACAGCTCAGACCACGCTTCGGCATCTGTGGGTGAGAACTCGAGCAGCTGTACAAGGGCTGACGTTGCGTCGGAAACGCGCCCCATGGACCGCAAGAGCGCGATCCGCCTCTTCACAATAGGCTGCACTCGTGGTAAGCCGCTGGGCGCTCGATAAGCAAACGGGAGGAGGGGCGGCGAAGACGAGGTTACGGACGATGTTGGTGTCACTCTCGCTGAGTATCTGATCGTATTCCTTCAAGATACCCTCCAAAGCGCTGTTGCTCTTGGCCTCGGCCTCCTTCACCAGGCCGCTAAGGGCTTGCACCCGCTCGTTGTCCTCTCCGAAGCGGGCGACAAGGCGCTGGAGGCATTGGCGCGCGGCATTCTCATCCCCCGTCCTCAAACATGAGAGAATAAGGTTCTCGTATTGTAACCACAGCTCCGACTTCTCGGAGCCTGCAAACAAGGCGCTGAAGGGTGATGAGGACACGGTCGACGGTGAGCTCCTTAGGATTGTGGGAGCGCGCTGGGACAATGCCAGCGCGGCGGCCGGGGACAGCTGGGTTGGCGGATAGAGCACTGGCTGCGCCATCGATGGTAATGTTCCGATCGTAGACAGAGAGAAGCCGGTTCGTTGCGCTGTGGTCGCGTCAATGATAAGGTGGACACCGTGCGGACAGAGCAACTGCATCCATTATTATTACCGTCAATGCCCAAAAAGGAAAGTAGCTGACCAGACCACGTGATTCTCGAGTGCACGGATCAAGCTGGACACAGTGTCAGACTCCCCAGCAGAAACTGTACGGTGACGTCCATCCTGTGTGCCAGCATCCCTGGCTCCCCCAAACCATTCGCACGCGATCGTCAAGTTCGGGCAGTTGAGGGAGAGGCACAGCAGATTCTAGCGTTCGACATCACATCCAAGATTAGGGGTCTTCGATCGCCCGCGGCAAGATGCGTTTCATCGCCGCATATCCCATTTTCAATACCGTTAGAGCTCTCCGTCGCCCATGAACCCCGCCGCCGTCTGATGTCCATGGTCCACCATCAACACACATCGAGCATCAGGTATCTGGAATCTAGGGCAACCGAGTGCGCAGGGGGGACTTTGGCATACAGACAATACCGAGAACATTACACAGCTTCCCGCCATGTGCGCCGTCCGCTCACTTTCCCCCACGCCCTCGAACACCGTGCTGATGCCGACCAGGTTCGAGAAGTCGCTGTACGACCTCATCCGAGGTCTGCGCAATCACAAGGGTAACGAGAAGGAGTACATACAGAACTGCCTGAAAGAATGTCGCTCCGAGATCCGCAGTCAGGATATGGGTTGGTCCATCGCAGCTCCCCTCCGCCGGCTTGCCAAGCTGACGCTCTCGACCAGACGTCAAGGCGACGGCCCTCCTCAAGCTCGTCTACCTCGAGATGGTCGGACACGACATGTCCTGGGCTTCGTTTCATGTTCTCGAAGTCATGTCGTCCCAGAAGTACCATCAAAAGCGTGCTGGATATCTCGCTGCTGTTCAGAGCTTCCGTCCTGATACCGATGTGCTCATGATGGCAACAAACCTCCTTAAAAAGGTGGGCCGACACGAGGTTCTCCTGGAAAAGGGCTTCCACTGACATATGCAAGGACCTGGGCGCCTCGTTACCGACCATAATCTCGCTCCCGATCGCCGCTCTCCCCCATATCGTCACCCCGTCCCTGGCCATGTCACTCCTGGGTGATTTGCTGCCACGCCTGGGCCACTCGCATGCCGCCATCCGGAAGAAGACCGTCGTCACTCTCTATCGGTTAGCGCTGGTGTACCCCGAAGCGCTCCGTGCGGCATGGCCGAAGATCAAAGAACGCCTGATGGACGGGGACGAGGACTCGAGCGTGACGGCAGCCATTGTGAATGTTGTCTGCGAGTTGGGCTGGCGGAGACCGCACGACTTCCTTCCATTGGCGCCGCGGCTGTTCGAGCTGTTGGTCGATGGCGGCAACAACTGGATGGCGATAAAGTTGATCAAACTTGTAAGACGACGGTCAATACTCAACTCGCATAGCGTGACCCTGACCGTGCTGTAGTTTGCCACCTTGACTCCCCTCGAACCGCGCCTGGTCCGCAAGCTGCTACCGCCTTTGACCAACCTCATTCGGACGACCCCGGCGATGTCCCTCCTGTACGAGTGTATTAATGGCATCATCCAGGGCGGCATCCTCGGGGACGGAGAAGATTTCTCGGCCAGGGAAGAGATAGCCTCGCTCTGCGTCAACAAGCTACGGGGCATGGTATCCGTGAACAGTGATCCTAACCGTACGTTTGACGCCTCTTGGTTTGGCGGTCCTCAGGACTGACACGGCGTTTCTAGTCAAATACGTGGCACTCTTGGCATTCAACCGGATCGTCGTCACTCATCCCTTCCTCGTTGCGCAGCAGGAGGATGTGATCCTGGAGTGCATCGACAGCGAGGACATAACCATCAGGATCAAGGCCCTCGACTTGGTGCAGGGCATGGTCAGCAGCGACAATCTCGTGTCAATCGTCAGCCGCCTGATGAGGCAGCTTAAGGCGTCTTCCGCTGCGCTCAGCGAACAGCAGAACAGCCTTGACGGCCAAGATCTCGAAACCGATTCGAGTGATGAGACGATGACGGATTCTAGACGTCGCCGCCGCAAGACACAAGAACAGGCTCCACCTCTGCCGGACGATTACACTGTGGACATTATCGGTCGGATCGTGAGGATGTGCTCTCAGAACAACTATGCTAACATGGTTGACTTTGACTGGTACATCGGCGTTCTATCTCAGCTGGTCCGAATTGCGCCCCCATCTCGAGCGAGGGACCCCGGCCTTGATTCGCTCCCATCAAAGCTGCCGATTGACGTCTCCGAGAAGGTTGGCGACGAGATCAGGAATGTGGCCGTGAAGGTCAAGGCTATCAGGTCTGCCGCTGTTCAAGCTGCTGGCCTCGTGATATCTCGAATGAGTTCAGAATTGTCGCCTTCACGACCAGTGATATCAGGGGCACTGAAGCCCGTCGCGTGGGTGGTCGGCGAGTATGCTGAGCTCTCCTCCGCTGAGGATACGTTACGGCACTTGTTGGACCTTGTTCCTCGGATCGAATACCCGGAAGTTCTGGCAACGTGCCTGCAAGCCATCATGAAGCTGTTTGCCTATGTTGCTGGAGACGAACGGGCCCTCTGGACCGCGGAAAGAAAGTCAAGCATGTCACTGCTTATGGCCCGTGTCATCCACGTCTTGGAGCCATATGCCTTGCACCCATATTTAGAAGTGCAGGAGCGCGCGGTTGAGTTTGTCGAGCTCCTAAAGCTGACGGCTGAAGCCACGGCCGGCCAAGCTGCGTCAACAGACGAAGTCCAGCAGGACCCGCCATTGCTGCTTACACAAGCCGTCCCGTCCCTGTTTAGTGGATGGGAGCTCAATTCCGTCGCGGCGGGGACACAACATAACGTGCCCATGCCCGACGATATTGACCTAGACGAACCCATCCATGCTAACCTCGACGGCCTCCTGGCACAGGCAGACTCACTGATGCTGCCGGTGCAGGGCGATGACGAGTTCGAGGTTTACTACAACCAGAAACCGCCTCCCACGAGCATGTCCAGTGAACCAGCGATAAACAGGCTCCTGGACGCCCCTGAGGAGGTCTCGGGCTCATACCAACATGCCGAGGAGAGCTACCTCGACCCGGACATCGTCGCAAGACGAAAGGCCGAACGAATGGAGCGTTACCGTGATGATCCCTTCTACATCCCTGATTCCAACCGATCCGGCGGCACATCGACACCCATCCACAAAATTCTCCAGAAAGAGAATGGCCCGGACCTCGACATAGATTCCATCCCCATCATGCAGCTCGACCTCGAAAAACTCTCCCTCTCCGGCCGAGCCACCCCGACTTCTACAGAAAAGCAACAGCAACAACAACGCCCGAAACCTGCACCCAGGCAACGCATCGTCGTCGCAGCGGACGAAACCCTCGGAGGTTTCAGCGGCAACGGCAATGGCAGCGGCCGCTCCACGCCACGGGCGATGGGGTACGACTCGGAGAACAACAACTCGGCAGACAACCTCGCCGCCGGCAGGCCCAGTAGCAGCGCTGGCAAGACGGCCTCCTCCGTCAAGAGACTCAAGCAGCAGGCCCTGCTGAAAGTTGACTCCAGCAACCTCAACGACCTGAGCCTCGACGACAGCGACCGGGCGGATGCGGCCGGGTTCGACCCGGAGCGGCAGCAGCGGGAGGAGGCCGAGATGGCACAAGCGTTGCGGGAGGTGCAGCGGTTGCGCCTGGAGATGCAGCGGGCGAATGAACGGATCCAGGTCGCGCAGGGCGTGCCGGTGGAGGGAGTGCCTGTTGTGAAGAAGAAGAAAAAGAAGGTGAAGAATGATACAGAGGGGGGAGGGGAAGAAGCTGCAGGTGGAGAGGAGGGGAGTGGGAGTGGAATTAAGCCTAAGGTGAAGAAGAAGAAAAAGACTGCGGCTACTTCTGCCGCTGCTGATGCTGATGGGGAAGGCCAAGGGGAGGGAGGTGGCGAACCCGGCGTTGTGAAAGCCAAGAAGAAGAAGGTGAAGAAGAGAGTGGTTCAGTTAGATGATGGTGATGGGGCTGCTCCTGTGGTATAGAGACCAGAGAGCGGCAGCGTATTAGACAGTAAGCACGCAGTCAAGCCTTGCACGACCGCTTGTTATACTTCCGTCAGTGGACCGACTTCCAGTGTGAACGATCCCAGTTACTACAACCAGGCCGCCTTATGCAGAAAAGGATGTGTGTAAACCGTGTCCTATGGGAGCGTGTGTCAAAGTTGGCGGCGGTTGTACATACTTATACAAGTCCCCGAGGTTTGGTTTGGTTTAAAGCGCTGTTGGAAAGCCAAGGACCCTGGAGCGGTTATATACACCCCCTTCACCTTGTGGGGGCCAAGAGAAGGGTAGTTACTTGTGCGAGCGTTTGGGATTCTAGGGTATAGCGTGTAATGTACATACACAGGTCCCAGGCTGGCTGTGCCTTTATTATCCCTTCTATTGTTGTTCTCTTTTCTTTTCCTTTTTACTTCCTCTTCTCCCACTATATTTCGTCTTGTTTCTATCGGGCAAAGGAGCTCTACATTCCCGTCTTCTATACTCAGCTCATCATTATCTTAAAACCATACCTACCCAAAAACAAAACGACACTCCTCACGCCCCTTCCTCCTTCGTCCCTCTTTCCTCATCTTGATCCTTAGCCTCCAATTTCCCCCAAGCGGGTTTATTCCTCTTCCCTTCCCCACCACCGACGCTCTTGTACTGGTAACCCCTCGCCCTGGGCCTCTGCGCCGTGCCCTCGGGGAACTCGGGCTCGTATACCCTCCCGAACTGCGCCGCTGCCCCCTCGAACGCTTCCGGGCCCCGCGCGAGCGTCGCCCGCACGCCGGCGAAGAACGCCGACACGACGGCGTGGTTGTGGATCTGCAGCAGCGTCCACCCGAGCATCTCGCGCGCCGACAGCAGGTGGTGGATGTAGGCCCTGTGGTGGGACGCGCAGGCGTAGCAGCTGCAGTCCGGCGACAGCGGGGCGAGGGAGGTGGCGTTGTGCGGCAGGGAGAGGTCTGTTGCTAGGGGCAGGAGCGGTGCTGATGAGCCGCTGCCGTCGAGCTGGCGAGAAGTGAGAGGCGGAGGAGGGAAGGAGAAGTCGAGCGCGAGCCCGGCGTCGGATATGGTGTTGATAAAGGGCAGCGTGAAGACGTCTATGCCGAGGGCGATGTGTCGCAGGATGTGGTGCGGTGTCGGCGGGTGGGAGAGGGCGAGACGAGGGAGCGGGAGGAGGGACGCGCAATGCTCGGCGAGGTCGGGCAACAGATCCGGGTCGTAGATGGCCAGGCCGGAGAGCTGCGATGAGGGCAGGTAGTCCTCGGCCAGGCGCGAGACGTACTCCCACTGGATAGAGTAGGAGATCGGCAGGACGGGCGCGAAGGTGGATATCCTGCTGTCGGCGGGGAGCTTGGAGAACCACTCGACGACCCACTCGTCGGTGCGCTCGGCCATGCGCAAAGCCCGTTTCGAATTGGGAGTGATGGCGCTGTGCGTGAGGTCTGCGGGCGGAATGGCGATGTCCGGACGGAGTGTTTGGACGGCCGACAAGTACTCGTTCGTAGTGAGTACCTGGAATCCTGTTGAGGTGAAAACGGAAATGGACACGTTGGTGTTGCCCATGGGCGATGGCACGGCGGGGAGGCGGCGGGCGCTCAGGACTGTGGTCACTGATGATGGCATGGCGGTGAAGCTGTGAAGGCGCGTGTTGTGTTTCAAGGTCGTCGGAGTCTCAAAGATAGGGGGTATCCTCTTAGAGTATGCCTGAGGGCGCTCAATGACTGAGGGGATTGGGTTTTTAAGATTTGATTAGCTTCATAACTCATGAAGTTTCGATATGAGATTGATGGTTGAACTCACAGTCCTCCAGAGCCAAATATGCGCCAGAGACTTGCAGGTGTTTGTCAACATTGTCGGGGGTGAGATGCGGCAGGGTGCCTCTTGACGTTACGGCGATGAAGTTCGGCGTGTCGATGGGAAGACGGCCTGCAAAGGCCAGACGGCCCAACCGGGCTGTCGCACCGCCACCATCTTTCAGGGCGGTTTTGAGAATCTCAAATCTCATGGTTTCCGACTCCAAGTCTTGGCCGTCAACCGTCATCTTGCGGGCTGGTGGTCTACACACGCCACCCTTCTTGCCCTGACCTGTGCGATGATGGGCGGACTTGATTCACCCCTGACTGCCGTGGAACTCAAGGCAGATAGATACTGGCGCCTTTTTCCGCCAGCGTTGACTGCACTTGGTACTGCAAAGGGCCAACGTAGACCCTAGAGAATATCTGAATACTGCCGTTGATAGATTCCTTGGGTTTATAGATCTTGGGTCTTCGAGCCCAACCCTCGGTGAAGGTTCAGAACAAGTACCTGCAAAATTACGATCTTACTGGTATCACGATACGACAGGTATGTATCTAATGTAAACGAAAATTTCCTTACAGACTGTTACCGACGTATCGGAGCCTGGGCTCTACCCCGGGATCGACAGGGCTGAGCGAGACCCACTGTTTCGAGTTCCCCCTCCCTGCCAAGGCTTGTTCCAGCCTCCCGGCAGGAACAGGGGTCTGGATCAACGGCAACACCGTCCCTTCTTCGGCTTTGACTGCCTTGTGCTGCACCATTCCCAGCAAGTCCATTGTCCTTCTCCCGCATCCCGCTTGTGATCATGAATTGATCGCTCCCCTGTGAAGAAGTGCAACGCTTCGCTCTCCTTTTGCCCTCCGCACCGGCATGTTCAGGTAGTTAGGCAGAGTCGGGCTTAACTCGGTGGTGTTGCGCTGAGGCATTCGCAACCCTTCCCCATCTCAACCCAATTGACTCTCGCATCATGGTCCAAAGCAGCCGGCAACCTCACAGCGAAGTCCGCGAGACGGAACGACAACATGGCACTTTTTCGGATGCCACTGTGATCGGCGCCGACCATCCCGACGCCCCCATTCGAGAGTCCCCGCTAGTCGAGGACCTTGAGGAGGACAGCTCGCCGCCTACACCGCGCTTCATACAGGACGAGGGCTCGTGGAAGCGCTTTAGATGGGTGCCGTACCCCGTCCGCCGCGTGATTAAGGCTACCGCACAGTGGGCTAGGGGCCCGTCTCCGCCGCATCGCTACCGGATCGAGCCGCTCTTCCCCCTGGTCCAGCATGCGCCCATCACACTGCTCGACAAGTACCTACCGCGGAAGCGGCACAGGGCTCTCGCCGCGTTTGGCTACTTTGCCGTGTGGCTCGTCACTTTTGCTCTGGTCATGCGCGATGGCCAATTTGCGGCCGAGATCCCGGAATGGGGAATCCCCACCCACATAGGCTGCGGGTCGACCTACTGGGTTTCCGGCAACGGGTGCGGCCTGGATGGCGTCGACTGCCGGCCCTTCACCGACGGCGGGTACCCGTTCCGGTGTCCGGCAAACTGTGCGAGCTACCAACCGCTGAACCCGCGTGCCGTCGGCGACCAGGAGATTATCTACAGGCCGCTTGTGATCGGAGGTCCACCCGAGGCAGGCGACCGGCCGGCCGTGTACCGCGGCGACTCGTATATCTGCGGCTCGGCGGTCCATGCGGGGGTCATCTCGAATACCAATGGCGGCTGCGGCGTAGTCAGGCTCGTGGGAAGACAGGCCGGTTTCAACAGCACGGCGAGGCACGGCATCACGAGCATCGGGTTTGATTCTTACTTTCCGTTGTCCTTTACCTTCGAGCCGGGCATAGAATGTGAGGCTCGCGATGTGATATGGTCACTGCTCGCCGTCTCGGTCGTCTTCACCGCCGTCTTCTCCCTCTTTGTAACCTCTCCAGCGCTGTTTTTCTTCCCGGTCTTCACCATGCTCTACTGGACCGTCGGCATGGCCACTGACGCCCCTAACCACTCGGACATACCCTCTCTTTTCTCTACTGAGATCGGACGATTCCTACCTGCCATGTTCGTTGCCTGGGTCGTGTACGATAAGATGGGCGTCAAGCGGACGCTCAAGGGCCTCACAGCGCAGGTCGAGAAAACGGTCCTCTGGCTCGGCGCAGCCTGGGTCGGCGCCCTGACCAACTACACGCTCGATTTCATCCCCATCCAGCGTCTCACGCCGCACGACCTGAACCAGCAACCCGGGGCCCGCGCAGCCCTCGCCATCATCGTCGGCATCCTGCTCGTCATCGCCTCCGCACAGGTGTGGTTCTTCCGCCAAGAAGCACGCCTCATCCGCTACCTCAAACTCTACGCCCTCTTCGGCCTGGCGCTCATCATCTGCTTCGCGCTCCCCTCCCTCAACCTGCGCATCCACCACTACATCCTCGCGCTGCTCCTGCTACCGGGCACGAGCATCCAGATCCGCCCGTCGCTGCTCTATCAGGGCCTCCTCATCGGCCTGTTCATCAACGGCATCGCCCGCTGGGGCTTCGACCCGATCTTGCAGACCGACTACGCTCTGCTGGGCGACGCCCCCATGGACACGGCGCTGCCCTCCATGCTGGCCCCGACCATCACGGCGAACCACAGCATCACCTTCACCTGGGAGCCGCCGCCGGGGACGTACGACGGGATCAGCGTGCTCGTGAACGACGTCGAGCGGTTCCGCAAGTACTTCTACGACAGCAACAGTGGCACTGCCGAGATCACCAATGTGACGTGGGTGAGAGAGCCCGACTTGCACGTGAACGAGTACTTCCGGTTCGCCTGGATGAGAGGCAACTCCAGGGGGGACTATACCAAGGCCGGGAAGTGGGATGCGATGGGGCAGTGGACTACCATGGCGCCTGGACCGTCAAGGCTGAGGGCAAGGGATGATGAGGGGGATAGTATGAGGGTATGAGGATATGAATCTGTCGCATAATGCGTATTAGTCTCTGTATTAGTCTCTGTGATACGTACAAGCTCCTTTCTTTATCTTCGTAGCCTGCCGTGATATGTCTTGCTTGCATTTTGCATGCATCAAAATCGACGAGACGAGACTATCTTACATAAACAATCACTGAATATCGGCAATGTCTTCTCATATCTCCTGAGTCACTAGCTCATACTTCCACCTGAACTCTCATGTAAGGGTGAAAATCATTCCATGCGATAATCAACAGAGCATCGAGAAAGCATAGGCTCCCCACTCTGTAGACTGGACTCGCACAATGCTAGACTGGAAGCCAGTCTCTCATCCCAGCTTTGTCACGACCTCCCTCACCGCCCTCCCGGTTCCTTGAAGTAAGAGATTCGAGAGCACCTGTGTCCTGCGCAAAAGCCCTGTTCACCAGGCGCCCTGCCATGAGCCGGTTCGAACCCAAGGGAAGCCATTCCTTGTGATGTTCTAGGACTTTGTGAATATCTGGTGTTGAGGGTCACCGTGATCTTCGGAAGAGCAGAGGGCCACTGAGAGAGCTTCTTGATCTTCCCAAACGACTCTGCTGCCCATTTCATGAGCTTCATCTTGTAGAACCAAAGGCTTAGTGACAAGATATGCGATGATATACCGCTCCAGTGGGTCGATAGCCGAGGTTGCCACCCTGGAAACAACGTGGATGGAATGAGTGTATTTTGTGGGTTAGTGGGTTGGTTCGTAAGCAAAGAGGAGTTGATTCTGGAGATGTCGGTTGCTTGTAATCGAAGTACTCGTAAGCAGCTTCGTGTGGGCCGAGGATCGGCAGTAGCCAGCAGTAGCATCTTCGGGGTCGTACTCAGTGCCCGCAATGTCTTCGTAAGGCACCACGGGTCGTCCTTTCTGAGGGTTACTCGCCTGGGGCTTGGGCTTCTCCGCTTCCTTGGGGGCAGGCTCGAAGTTGCTCTCGGAATCGGTCTCATGGTCTGTGAGGTCATCCCAGTGGGTCGCAAGGTCTGGGCTCTCGGAACGGGCGTCATCTCCCATGTTCGCGCCGGCAGAAAGGTCTTCGGCTGGTGCGACGGATTCTGCGACAGGGCTCTCGAGGATGGCGCGAATCTTAGAAGGCATGAGCGGTGCAGGCGTGCTGGTCCGGATTGACGCGAATTGACCCGTGTCGAACTGCCTCATTCGGGGTTGCAAGGGCGACCTGGTCGAATTTCGCCAGAATGACGATTTTAACATCGTGGTTTGATGTCTGAAACCACCACCGCATGTCGTTATGAAGCTCGCCTAATGTTTCCCCTCTCCCACAATCCCAGCCCGCCGCGCCTGCGGCTGAGCCTACTGCTGCCGCCGCCAGCAGTCCCAGAGACGCCACCACAAGACGGTAACGAGGGGGGGAGCTACTTCGTCAACTCCAGAGCTTGCCATCAGTTCGCCAGCGTATCGAGAACGCAAACGTCGACCCCGTCGCCCCCGCCGTGGCCGTAGCGGTCTCCGTAGCGGTGGTGGTAATGGTGATGGTGATAGTGGCGACGACGACGGCGGTGATGTTGGCGGTGTCGTTGACGGCTGAGATGATGAAGGTGAGGTCGGAGGGGTCCATAGCTTTTTTTTCCTACTTGTAAGTCAATATGTTAGTGTGTGTGGCCGACCTCTTAAGATGCTGCCCGCGCGTCGGGGCGAGTAGTCGATACTTATACCCGATCTCCCCTCGACCGCCGGTCGTAGCTCCTACTGCAGAGACCCGTCTGCTCCCATCATGAGGGCCGGAGACTCGATGACTAGTGTTGGCCACTTGCCTATTCCTACACGTTCCGGCTCTGGACCGCCTGTCGAATCGCCTTCTCCGCCGTCTTCTCCAGGATAGCCTTGTTATCGAAGTATCGTAGGACCTATTGATATCCAACTTCTCCCCTTACCATTCTGGACAAGCTGTTCACGATACTGATCATATAGTCCTAGATGAAGGGCCTCGTGTAGTGCGGTTGGGATCGTGATGATTAAGATCCCGGAATTGTTATTATAGCGGCGAAAACGGAACTTGCGGCGTTTCTTCTCTCGCTCACGCTCAATTTCGGTAAAATGACTAGGAGCACGTAGGAGAGCGAGGGCGACCGCGCACGCGAAAACAAGTTGGCGACAGGGCGAGCCGGGGCAGGAGCCGGGGCGGGAGCGCGGCGGCGGGCAGAGGGGTTCAGCAATGCAGCAACCAGCTGCGCGTTCGTTGTTCGCTATGGTCTGGAATGCCTCCTGCATGGCGGTGGCGTTGCGCAGCGCCGCGCCGGCTGAGGAATTTTTCGTTGCCTTGCCTCGTTGCTCAAACATTTGAAGTCGACGTAGGCACCAAAGTCCAGTGCCTGGAATGTCTCCCTGTCTTCGCTTCGATGAATACGGGTGTCCGAGTGTCAGTTTTGATTCGCTTTAGCGTATGCTATACTATGAAGTGTACGTCAATATCGTAAGGATAGGATCTTTTACGGCTTGTTTAAGAACTAGTCGCGACAATTCCGCTCGCATTTGGACGGCGCTGTTGTATGGACCGTGGACGTCACAAAACTCGACAATGAGAAGACATAACTGGACAAGTTACGATCCTGTAGGCTGCAGTACGACCAGCTTGGACGTTGGCATCGTGTAGGCTCACAAGGCGAAGGTAATCGACTTCCCGGCGCGTGTAGGGGTCGACACTGCCGCTCTTCCCTGCCTCTTGCATGTCGTTGTTGAGATTCTCTACCATCTCCTTCATGTACTTCGGGACGACCTTCGCCCGCATACACTGGCTCGCCTTGGCCCGTTGCTGACCAGGCTTTTCGTATTTGACCGCTCAGTGGCGGCTACGAATACAACCCTGGGGGTCCCCGATGTCATCGTCTCGAAGACCATCTTCTGGCACTGCCGCAGCTTGACATCGCTGGTGCGGTACATCCGTTGGAGCTGCGTGTCGTTGATGGAGATGGCGCAGCCCTCCATCCCTCATGACGTTCTGAAGGTCAGCAGCATCGGTACCTTCCGCATTGCCCTTTTCCATAATAACGGGGATCTCCCGGACTCCGTCGGCGTCTCTGCTGGGAGATCCCGCATCTCCCTAATGGCGGCAACGGCGATGTTTCCCCGGTTTACGGCTTCTGCCACGACGATCCCCGGGTCTCTCCGTTGCTGCTGTCTCTGCTGTTGCTGGACCCCGCGGTGCCGCCAGACGAGATTGAGAAGGCTGGTCGTCCAACCCGGGATATCTGCTTGCAACAGGGCTTGCGCCCAAGTTCCTAGCAGGTCTAGGGGCGATGTGGTCGACGAACCCGAGAGTATTTGGTAGTATTTGTTGAAATTCACAGCCGAAATACCCTGGAACGAGAGCGTCCTGGTCTCGAGCGTTGCTGGAAGAAACCGCTTCATGAATGCCAGCTGTTCCTCGCACAGGCGCCAGCCTGCTGGATCTGAATGTGCGTCATTCCGGCTTGGAGATATCCGACCAACGAACATCACAACGTCGAACTGCTGCAGGATCCTGGCACAGACGACTACCTCCCCGTGAGCGTGGGCGTAATTCTCGTAAGGGAGCCGGAGACGCCATTGGGCGTAATACTGACGCCCTTTGGTAGTGAACTGGCCGGCTTTCTCGTCCGGGGGAAACAAGAAGCTGGGCGCCATTTTGACGCCGACATGTCACGATGACAGAGACAAACACGCAGAACAAGAAACATTAGCAGCACAGAAAACCGGGCAGTGAGGGAGCCGGAGTGCTCTGGTCTTGGCGACGGCATCCTCGGCTTCTTTTTACAGCGCGGCGAACTGGACGGACAGCGGGGGGGAGCGCCCGCGACAGACTTTCTGCCATTGATGGCAATGGCGAAGCCCTCGAGACATGGTCTGATGAAGTAGTAGCTGGTAACCGCCATTTTCACCCACCCTTCCTGGCCTTCGATCTGGATCTCGACCCAGAACCCCATTGTACCCACGACGGGGCAGAATTTTCTTCCACCCGGGGTATCAATGTAGCGGGCAGCGCCAATATCTGCTCCGGTACGGACTCTTGTATATGGCTCCCTGGCGCGATAGTTTTAGTCTCGGATTCTGATTAGCCTCTCTTCCTCGGTCAGGTAGCGCGTTGTGGGCTTCCTGGGCCTTAGACGCTTGACGCTACAGCCGTCCCAGCTCCTTCTCCGTGGTGTCATGGCGGTCCTGGAACCCTCGGATCTGCGCCTCGAGGCTGTCGGCGGCACTAGTCACCGCTCGGAAGGCGGCGGTGGTCTGCGCTCGGCTGACTTTTTCCCCCACGGCCTGCTCGAGGACGGCGACGCGCTTGCGCAGTTCCTGGATCTCGTGGGCCTGGGCGGCGTTGGTCTGGCGATCCTTGACGACGGAAGCGGCGTGGCGCATCCAACCCCTGAGCAAGGGATGCGATCCGATGTTCTCAAATGGCGGCGTCCTGGTCCACGGCGATGTCTGTGCCGGCAATGACGGCGTAAGCGAAGCCGTGCCGTTGCTTTTCGTCCTTAATGAAGCCGTATGCCAGTTTCAGACGCGGGATCCGAACGCCATCACCCATAAGATCTTCGGACTTCCAGACAAAGTTCTCCTAGTTGTTCGGTCCGATCTCTTGGGCGAAGTGCGGCTTTTCATCGCACCACTGAACCAGCCGATAGTCATACGTAGCTTCTGCGCGGTTTGCGCACTCCCGGATCTGCCTCACTTCCAGGAGAGGGGTGACAATTGCGACATTGCCGTCAAGTTTCCAGGTGACGTTACCGACGGCGGGACTCATGGTCATTAGCGGCTGCTCTCTCTGGCCGAAGATGTGCTGCTGCTGTCCGGCCAAGCGGCGCCACCAGAGGAATGTGAAGCTGGCTCCGCGATAAGCATGGGGCGAGCCTTGATGGTGCATTAGTGTCGCCGTGTTCTTGGCGATCTCCAGTTCCGCCGCAAGGGCGACTGAGAAGATGTAAGTAAACGTCTTCCCTGTACCGACCTCGTTCATGCATACCTAGCCATGTCCTGAAGGGCATGCTGTAGCCTCTCCCAAGCCTTGAAGATGTTGTCGGCAATCTCGGGAAGAAAGCCACAAAACTCCAAGGTCTCCAGTATTTGCCGGTGTGGTTGTTTGGGACCGGGTGTGCAGTAGCCATAGGTTACGCAGCGAGCTTCCTTTTGATGTTGCTGCCTAAATCCTGTAGCTTGTCGACGGGGGGCTTGAAGGATGAACCATGACCTCTATGACCATCCAGTACCGGCAATCGTACCAAATATACTGGATAGTACATGTATTGTACAGCTCAGGGTCCATTCCCGCTATGGCTCTGAGGGATGGCATTAGTCCTGATGATGGCACTAATAATGTGGTGCGATAAACTTGAGGTCGAATATATGAATTTTGACACCAGAATTTCAGACTTTGCTTTTGGGTAAGTGTGCGGTGCTGGTTGTGGAGGAGAGATATCCGGGCCCATGGCGCAGTCCTAGACCCTATGCCAACAGGCAGGTACCTAGGCACCTTCCACACAGTCACATACGCCCTGGAAAGCTCCTTCCTAGCTCGTCACCACTTGTGGTTGTTTGGGAAAGAGCGATCCCCTTCCAGCCGGTGGTCCAGGCGAGGTTAGGGCAGTTCCATTGTGAGGCAGTCCATCATGATCTGCCACTGCCGACATGGTTGGACTCTTCAGACTGGCTGATAGGCAGGCATCAACAGCGGCATGTGCAGCTTCCCAATGCCTTATGTAATAGAAGTGAGCTAATCAAAGGCACTTCAAGTTCCGCGGGACATCTGTCATCATTTCCCAGGAAATCGGGACCCAGCATACTACGACAGTACGGATCGGGTATGCCAAGCAGAATCATCAAATGATCAACTGCGTACGGCTTTGTGGCCGTATCACCTCCTTGTTGTCGGACGAGAGGTTGAAGTGCCGCGCGTCCGCGCCTTAGGTAAGTTGCATAATAAGGTAGCTTGTTGCAAGGAACCTTTGTTGTGCATTTGGGGGGTAATATAGTTATTGGCATAGAACACAAAAATTTCGATGACAACTTGAAATCAGATCAGGATGCGCAGTCGCCTCAAGCAGACATTTTCCTCAATTCTCCGATGTCCGGCCGGGAACCGCCTCCACCCGGGCCCGGCCTGGCCCCGGTCGCCAAGCCTTTTCCGGCCGTACAGTCGTACACAGGAAGCAGCGCAAAGTAACCTCACATCAGCTCCATTCAGCTCCTCAACTCACAGTGGAGATTTGCCTTACTTATCACGACCATTGATACCAATACTACGGACTGTATACTAGGAGTTCCCGTCCATGTGAAACCCAACTCACCAAGGCATCATCTGGAGGTCCAAACAGCATCAGGGCACAGGGTCCCATCCTCGATCCGAACCTGAAATCAGCTCCACCCCAACTCTGATCCCGCAGAGGAGCAGAAGTTAAAAGCCAAAACGCCCGCCACACAAAGAAACAGAGAAAACGACGAAATGCCAACTCGCATCCCATCCGAGGCAGATTTCCTCCCCATCCTGCCTTCCCACCCCGCCTCTTCCGCAAATTCAAGCCCATCTTCACCCTCAAACAACCCTCTATCTCTAGTCTACCCCTCGCCGCGCGAGTCCACAACCTCGATCCTACTCCTCTTCCACGGCCTCGGGGATTCCGAGGTCCCCTTCGCCACCTTCGCCCGCAATCTCGCCCTGCCAGGAGTGCTAGCGATCTCAGTCCGGGGCATAGCGCCACTCCCCGCGCTGATTGCGCCCGAGGGCGGCAACGCCGGGTTTCACTGGGGGGATGATCTCCGCTTCGACGAGAGCGAGGGTGCGCTGGATCCTGACCCCGGGTTCGAGCGTGCGCGGGCGTGGGTGATGGATCGGTTGATCGGGGAGGTGTTGGTGGGCAAGTGTGGGTGGGAGCTGGAAGATGTGATGCTCTTTGGGTTTGGGCAGGGGGGAGCTTTTGCGCTGGGGCTGGCGAGTGCTTTGAGGGCAGGGCCTAGGGTGGAGGAGGTTGCTGGCGAAGATACAGGGAGAATGCGCGCAGGAAAGGAGTTTAAGGGCGTTGTCTCAGTCGGTGGCGGGCTGCCGGCCTCGATGGTGCCCACTGTGAGCGGGCTGGGGAAAGCTCAGACGCCGGTATTGGTGTGTTGTGGAAGGGAAAGTGAGATGGTCGACGAGGATGCTGTGGATCTGTTGGAGAGGGAGTTTGAGCGGGTCAAGATTGTCAGGTGGAAGAGGGCGGACGATGGAATGCCGAGAAACCGCGACGAGGTATTGCCTATGATGGAGTTCTTTGCAGAGAGGTTGAAGAGCGGGTGGCTTTAATAAGGGTGCCGGGCACCGGGGTATTAGATGTAACACATCTGGCGCCCATCCTCTAGTGCTCACTCTCCTCGGCCCTCCTTCTGCAAGCCATTGATCGAACCATGCAGTCACTGCTGCTCACATATTCGATACCTAACGGTTATCATCTATTACCCAACCCCCTAACCGGGTGACAACGGAACCATGGGGACCAATACTTATACCTATAGGAAGCAGCCTTCCCCACCGCTAAACTTATATTTCGAAGATCTCCCCAATGCCCTCGCCGCCACCCCTCCGGTTTTCGACCAAATCAAGCCTCCATCCTTCCCAACTCTTCAACGACCTCTTGATCTCCTTGATCCTCTCAATCCTCTTCTTCTGCTCCTCCTCTTGCGCCCGGCGGAACGCCTCCTCGTCAAACTCGACATCATCATCCTCCAGTAACTCGTCATGGTGTCCAGGCCCATGGGCCCCACCGACACTAGTAGCAGCGCCAGTGAGCGCATTCAGCCCGCTCGCAAACAAATCGCCCAGCCCACCACCGCCTGCGCCCTTCCGAGCCGGCGGCGACACCATCCCTCCACCACCAAGATCAACCGTCTCAAACCGCCCGTGACCAGCACTACCGGGAACAGCAGCGGCTTCATCTAGATCGACCTGCATCTCCTTCCGCTTCTCATGCCAGATCCCCCTCCTGAGGTCCGTATTCTCCGCCTCGAGCTCCCGCACGCGTCTCTCCAGCTTCAACCGCTCCTCCTCCACAAGCTCATCCACACCCTCGTCGTCCCCGCCCCCCTCTGCGGCATCTTTCTTCCTCAGCCTCAAATTCTCCGCCTCGGCCCGCTCCAATCTCTCCTTAAGCTCCCCCACCTCCTTCTCGTATTTCTCCTTCTCCCGCCTGAGCGCCTGCGTCCGCCCGTCCTGCTCCTTGTGCAGCGTGGTGAGCGTGGCGACCTTCTTCTCGAGCCCCTCAACCTTCTTGGCGAGATCGTCCCGCGCGGTGACGGCGTCGGCCATCTCGCGCTCCAGCGAGCGCAGCTTGGTCTCGGCCGACGCGCGCTCCGAGCCCTCCTTGACGGCCCGCTTGGACACCTGCTCCAGCTCGATCTTCAGATCGTGCAGCTCCCGCTGCGCTAGGCCGGCCGCCTTGTCGGCGCGCGCGAGCTTCTCCTCAAGGGCGGTGATTTGCTCTGAGGGGTTGGAGGCCGAGACGGAGAGGCGCTCAACTTGGGCACGCAGGCGTGACATCTCGAGTTCCATTGTCTCGATGGTGGCGGATTTGCTGCGTAATTGGGCCTCAAGCTCGCTCGTATTGGGCGGGCTGGACATCGACAGGGAGGGGGAGGAGCCGTGGCGGCGGGTGAGCTGGGCTTGGAGCTGCGCGTTTTGTCGCTGTAGGGCGGCGAGTTCGGTTTTCTGTTCCTGTCTGTCAGCTTGGAACGCGACCTAAACAAACCCCCTCCGTTGGGCCTCAGGATGGTCTTCACAGCTGGAACTTACCAACTTGCCCACCTCCCCTCCATCGCCCCCAGCGTTCCCCTCCTGTTCCCTCAAATCCGCCAGTTCGCCCTCCGCCTTCTGCCACCGCCTCTCAGCGACTTCCACATCCCTCGCTAGCGCCTTATTCTCCTTCTCCAGCTCCTCTATCCTAAGCACATGCTTTCGGTAGATATCCGGCGCCGTCTCTCCCTCAGGGCTGAAGAGCCCCAGGCCAGCACTCGCACCAGGCGACAGCGGCCCGCCGCTGGAGAGGGAGACACTCCCTTGCCTGAACGAAGTCGATCGTGCCTTGGACTGTTGCGCCAAGGAGGGTGTGGTGGTCGTCGACGCAGCAGCAGCGGGCTCGGCGGCAGTGGCGGGGGTTTCTTCGGACGAAGCAGGGGGGAACTCCTCGGTTAGCTGTTCCGTGGATTCTGGTTGTGCTTCTTGCTTCTCGGGGGTATGTGCGGCAGTCTGTTCCGCTGTAGCTGGTGATGACGGGGCTTCCTCAGTCGCGACGGGGGCGGGGTTCCCAGCTTCAGCTTTCTTGCTACTGCTTCCGGTCTTTTTGGCCTTTGCCTTTCTCATTTGCTCGAACTGTCAATTGTCGCACGATGGTCAGTATTGCCACCGTGGGTTCATTCAATGGAACGGTGATCAAATACCTTCTTCTTGGCCGCGGCCATCTTCTCGGCCTTGAGCTTCTCTTCGTCCATGGTGGGCTAGCGGTGTTGTGGATTGATTCCAGCAAAGATGTATTCAATTGCAAAACGAGCGCGCAGCGATCCGGTATGGGCAGCCAATTGCCGACTCGAGGACTGTGATCTTGATGTTGTAGTACGGTAGCAGCCAGTGGGTGTCTTGCACATGCGAGGTGGTAGTCCCATGGAAGCCGCGTTGATGGGCAGGGGTGCATAAGCCCCGCATAAGCTGCCCTGTGCGTCTGCTCGGAACCCTGTCCAGCCACAAGGGTGCTCAGACCGTCAGACGGAGCCTCCCGACATGAAGTCCCCAATGCTCTTCAACTTCACTTGGCCATCTCTAACAATGATATTAGGGTGAGGTTGATTCAACGTGGCATGAAACGGCACGATATTTTGATAAGCAGTATAACATGCAGACATTGGCAACACAGAAGTCTATTAGCTTCCAAAATGGGTTGAGCGACTGTTCGTAGGCGCCATGTACACAACATCAGCCATAACAGATGTCTTCCCCGATGGCTAAGCCGGCCAAACCCAGGTCTTTCCCTGCTTCGCTCGAATATCTCTATCGCTATATCCCCGAAGTCTTCGCGGCCATTCGCTTGAAACACGGCCCAAAATGCTAACCGCTTTCGCCAGTTAGATGAGCTGCTCGAACGCACGGTTGATGGGTGACCGGATGTTGGGCACCTCCTTCCAGAAGTTGACCGTGGCCACTGCCCGCTTGGCAACGCCCTCAGGGGTGAATTCGAACTTCTATTTGAGACAAACATGTTAGCATGTAGCAGACGATTGCATAGATCAAGGTAACTTGCCTTGTAGACGTCCTTGTACGCGCCGGAGACGCCGAAGCGGTTGAGACCAAACTGCTCGTGAGTGTACTTCTCCCAGCCCATGGTGCTCATGACTTCAACAGACAGCGATGGGATACCGTCGGGTAGGACTCTGAGGCGGTACTCCTTGGGCTGAGCGTCGAACACCTCGAAGCACGGCATCGAGACAACGCGAGCCTTGATGTTGTGCTTCTCGCGCAGCTCCTTGACGGCGTCGATGCAGATGCACACCTCGGAACCGGTCGAAACGAGCGTGATGTCGGCACCCTCTTGCTCGTGGAGGACGTAACCGCCCTTGATGGCCTTGTCGATGACAGAGCCCTCGAGCTGCGGTAGATTCTGGCGGGAGAGAGCGAGAATGCTGGGGGTGTGCTTAGACACCAGGGAGACGTAGTAGGCAGCGCTCGTCTCGTTGCCATCGGCGGGGCGCCAGACCATGCAGTTGGGCAGAGCACGGAAGTGGGCCAGCGTCTCGATCGGCTGGTGAGTAGGGCCGTCTTCACCGAGACCAATCGAGTCGTGGGTGGCAACCCAGATGACGCGCACCCGCGAGAGAGCCGAGAGACGGACAGCGCCGGCGGCATACGAGACGAAGTTGAGGAAGGTACCGCCGTATGGGATGATGGTGCCGTAGGCGGCCATACCGTTGAGAATGGCACCCATACCATGCTCACGCACACCGAAACGGATGTACCGGCCAGCGTATGTGCCAAGGCCAGTCGCGGGGGGTTGGAAGTCGATGGCACCCTTCCACCTGGTCAGGTTGGAGCCCGTCAGATCGGCGGAACCGCCAACCAGCTCGGGGACGGCTTCGAAGATCTTGTTGAGAACCGTCTCGGAGAGCTTTCTCGACGCAACAGCCGCGTCGGCAGGGGTGTAGGTGGGGAGGTGCTTCTCCCAGCCCTCCGGGAGCTCACCCTTCAGGCGGCGCTGGAGGTCGGCGTGCTCAGCCTTGTACTGCTCGCCGTACTTGGCAAAAAGCTGGTTCCACTCCTCCTCCTTGGCAGCGCCGGCGGCGGCCGCCTTATTGCAGAGATCGTACACCTCCTGGGGCACGACGAAGCTCTCCTCAGGGTTGAAGCCAAACTTCTCCTTCAGCTGCTTGATATCGTCGGCCTTGAGCGGGGCCCCGTGCACGCCGTGAGTGCCCTGCTGCTTCGAGCCGAAGCCGATGGTGGTCTTGAGCTGGATGAGTGTGGGCTTGTCCTTGACCTCCTGGGCCTTCTTGATGGCGGCCTCGATGCCATCGAGGTCGTGGTCACCATCCTCGACGGTCAAGACGTGCCAGCCATAGGACTCGTACCGCTTCAGGACATCCTCAGTGAAGGCCTGGTTGGTGTCACCGTCAATGGTGATGTGGTTGTCGTCCCAGATGGCAATGAGATTGCCAAGCTGGAGGTGGCCAGCCAGAGAGCATGCCTCGGATGAAACACCCTCCATCAAGCAGCCATCGCCGAGGAAGCAGTATGTGTAGTTGTCAACCAGGTCGAAGCCGGGCTTGTTGAAGACGGCAGCAGTGTGCGCCTGGGCAACGGCGAGACCGACGGCATTGCTAATACCCTGGCCGAGCGGGCCGGTGGTGACCTCCACGCCGGGAGTGTCGTGGGCCTCGGGATGGCCGGGGGTGATGCTGTCAACAGTCTACGGATGAAGTGTCAGAGCACATCCCGCGCCCAGTAAGTCGGGGAACAGTGACCTACACGGAAGGCCTTCAGGTCGTCCATCGAGACAGCAAAGCCATAGAGGTGGAGGAGAGCATACTGGAGCATGCAGCCATGCCCGTTGCTGTGGGGGAGCCCAGTTAGCTATCCTCTCTCCTTGGGTCCCGAGCAGCCCCTTTATGCGGGAACTTACGAGAGGACGAAACGATCCCGGTTGAGCCACTGGGGGTTCTTGGGGTTAAACCTCATGAACTTGTTCCAAAGAACGTGGGCGACCGGCGCCATGCCCCTGGGCTCAAGTTAGCGATTTCCTGCTGGTCCGTGATCGGCGGCGAAACTGAACCGCCGAGATGTCAAGCGCTCACATTGGGGCACCCGGGTGACCCGAGTTGGATTTGAAGGTCGCATCGGCCTAAGGACAGTGGCGCTCGTCAGTAAGAGCTCATCATTCTGTCCTCACACCGTCCGCATTGGTATGCGACACCGTGAGCTTGGGGAGTAGCAAGCTCTTCCGCTGCCGTCATGGTGGGGCAGCGATGCGGCCATTTTGGCGGGGGCGGGGTTGAGAGGGGCAGCAACTGACCGCGAGGACACGGATCGTGTTGATCGCGAGCTTGTCTACGTCGGTATAGCCCATATTGCCGGTTTTCAAACTGGTTTAGGGGCAAGATAGGTTCAGGATGCTGCAGCAGCGAGTCTTTGAAGGATGTGAAAGAGAGAAGGTGGCAGAGACGGAGAAGGTGGGGTGTTAGTTTTATGTCTGTACCAGGATGCCCACGTTGGGGGTGTCGGCAACAGTTTGGATCCAAAACGAGTGGGGTGTGACTGCCCAAGTGCTGGAAGCGGCGAGCTGCTTCACGCCTCCTGGTTCGCCCGGGTGAATCTCGCAGTGGAGAGATTCGGACTGAGCTGTACCGGTTTGTCTTTTCTCTTTTTTGCCCCCATTTGCTTGTCCTTACACAATGACGCTGATCAGGTCTCCCTAACAGTGAAGGCGGAGCCGGCGGCAACCTCTTCATGCCTCTTCATCGGCTGTGCCACTAGTGACCAAAGCGAGTAGTATCCTGCGAATCCCTTATGCACCTAGGGTCTATCGGGAATCGAGGTGAAACAATTGCCAACGGCTCGGCCGTGGAAATGTGCTGCGTTCAAGGGCGCCAATGCGCGGGTGTCAACTTCAGGTTGACCTTAGTCAACGCACTTATCGCTCACTCAGCAACCATAATCTCCGCGGTGAATCTACGGCTCTCGCCAGCCATATCAGCAATTGGTGAGCCTTTGTCATTCAATGCCAAGCGTCTGTCTATAAGAAATGCGCTCAGATCGCAGTCGGTCGACCTCGCTCCAGGATACGGCCGATGACTTTGTGTAGCGAGGAGTCTACCTAGGTGGAAGTTTGGCAGTGGTGGGGCAACAGAAGTTGCCGCATGCCATCTCTCCATGAGATGGCGGCAGTGAGTGCCATTGACTGCCCAGCAATGGTCTCTCTACAAGTGAATCAGGTGGACACAGAAAGGTTACAGTTGTGTTACTGTAATAAATGGCGTTCTTGTCCATTCCATCATGGATTGCTGAACTGAGAAATGGGAAGTCCGAGGCGCCGGAGAAGCAGTGGCTGGACTAGAATGAGCGCTCAACAACTCGCCGGCAAACTTGGATAAGGGTTAGGGCTCAGCCGTCTTGGTCCTAACTTTTTGAGCTGCGGGTCTTTTGACTTCAACGTTCGCACTCATCCCGCCCCGCGATGGGATTCTCAATTCAGGCTAAAAAGGCAGAACGTCGTTCCAGGTCCCAATGCCCCATCGCAATGGACCCTCAACCTCACTGCCGGGATGAGGCTGAGAACTCGCACCGAAAGTAGAAATATCCAAACAAAAACAAACGCCAGGATGGTCGGCAAAAAAGGGGCTGCTTCAGGGGGTGCAGGAAGCAAGACCAAGAAAACCAACCACAAGGCTTCTAATAGCAATCTGGCTAAGAAAAGCCAACCTGCCGTCTCATCTGTACAGGTTGGGCCGGGTGAGAAGCAGATGATATCCGATGAGGCCCGGGGGCAGCAACAGAGGGTCCTAAACGTGTTCCGGCACGCATTCAGTGAAGTGCTCTCCTTGCCAGAATTCACGGCCACATTGCAATCGGTCAAACAAGCACTCTTCGATCGGGACTTTGCCAAGGCTTTCGGCGATCCAGAGCACTTGGCCGTGTATGCGGCGAGATGGAGCCCAACCCGAGCGTTGTGCTATGCGTTGGTGTTGAATGGGATCAAAGAGCATCTGGAGCCTCTCTGTTCTAACCCCCAGCTGGACGGTGGTGGCATAGGCGATGACGAGGCTCTGGACGAGGAGAATCCCGCATCCACTGCCGAGCTCCAACGGCCGCAACAACTGAGAGTTCTCTCCATCGGCGGCGGCGCAGCCGAGCTGGTGGCCTTCGGCGCATTCCTGAACGAGCACGCCTCCGTCAAGTCGGCGCACCTCTCAGGCTCCATAACCCTTCTCGATTCCGGCCCCTGGACCACCGTCGTCTCGCAGCTGACCACAGCGCTCACCACCGCGCCGCCGCTCTCCAAATACGCGAGCGCAGCCGCCAAGCTATCCAACACGGCCATGCTCTCCCCATCACTCTTCACATCCGCTTTCGTCCAGCACGACGCTCTGACTCTGGGCAAGGACCGCCTCTCCTCCCTACTCGGAGCCACTCCGCTCCTCGTAACCATCCTCTTCACGCTGAACGAGCTCTTCACGGCCGGCGGCATCGGCAAGACCACGGCCTTCCTGCTCGACCTGACGGCAACTGTTCCTTTCGGCTCGGTGCTGCTCGTGGTCGACAGCCCCGGGAGCTACTCGGAGACCAGCGTGGGCAAAGAAGCCAAACGCTACCCGATGCAGTGGCTCCTCGACCGCATCATGCTCGGCACGCGGCAAGAACCGGTCAATGGGCGGCGGTGGGCCAAGATCGAGTCGCACGACTCGGTCTGGTTCCGGCTGGCGAGCGAGGCGCTCGAATACCCCATCCCGTTGGAGAATATGCGGTATCAAATGCACCTGTACAGGGCGGAGGATGCAACTCCGGGCGATGAAGAAAGATAACGATGATTAGAAAAACTGCGAGAGGTGATCTATGTCAAGCAGGCGGATATACTCTATTCTAACAACCACCACGTTCGAAGATATCTACAGCAACAACACGGCTATGCCCAAACCAACTTCTTGATCGAATGCCCCAGCTGTTCTAACAGCGTCGTGTTCTTCTTCGCCTCCGCCAAGGAAATGATATCGCCCTTCTCGATCAGCTTAGGCTCATCCGGCTTCCTGCCGGCTTGTCGAGGCTGGTTGTGGATCGCCATTCTCTCAATCTCGGTTGCGATCAGCACCACCTGTTGGACCTCGGTCAGCCGTGTGATGGCGCCCGGCTCGTCCTCCTTGCTCTTAGCTATCGGATCAGCCGCCGACGTCTGGCTGTGCAGCGCCTTGAGCGCAATCTTGCGCGGCGGGGTGGCTTGCGGGCGGCGAGACAAGAACCCCGCGATCCCGGAACTTGCTGCCGGCGCGGGCTCTGCGTCCTGCTTGGCAGCCTCGTCCGATCCATGGGCCTTGGGTGTGTCGGACTTGGAGGACAGCGACCGCGTGTTGACGCGCGTGACGTCGGTGAGCCCGGGTTGGTACTCTATGATCAAGCCGATATTGCGCATCTCGTCCCTTTGCGCATGGGAGGTGGTCGATGTGATGTACGTCCCGAACTTTATCTTCTGCACGTGGGCCAGATCGACCCGCTCGAAGGACGAGACTTTGTCCAGATTCCAGTCGAACCGGCACAAGTACAGAGCCACGTCAGTCAGGAGGAGCACCGCCTCCTCGAGGGAAGCACTCCGTACGGTATCTGGTACCGCCGGCGTCAGCATCGTCCAGCCGCCGATAAGCTCTTCAGCTTCGTCGGCAACCACCCGCTTCTGGCAGAGGTCGATGGCCTGCTGGCGCATGTTTTGCATCGACACGGCCGGGTCCTTGGTCATCATGGTCGCCTCAAACTCCTCGAATACGAGGGAGGTGACGTTGCCGAGTAGGAAGTCAATGCTGGCTTGGAGGAAGAAGTCGTTGAACATGCTGCGCGGGTCTTAGCAGAGCGTCGGTACAAAAGAATACATGCGCTGAGTGACGGCAACTCACCCATTGAACAACCTCGTCAACGACAGGCCGGCGTCAGTCAGGGCGCCGCGGTAATTCCTCTTCCTCGTCCGCGTGTAGTCGCCCTTCATGGCGCCGGTGGAGGCATACTGTTTAGAGATGGCGTCGCCGTTATCAGCCCACAGCGTGTTGAACCATGCGTTCTCCTGGTCCAGCTGCACGCTCATATCGAAGCCCTGTTCCTTGAGCTGCACGTCCAGCATATGCTTTGCGAAGGAACTCTGGCAGACATTCGTCCTGTCCAGACAATCCATGCAGTTTGTCCGGAGCACGCCCTTCTGCTGGTTCACGAGACGGTTATCAACAGACACGGAGCTCCCGAATTCCTCCAGTTTGCTCCCCAGAATCTGCAGGAGAAACGAGACGTTCTCAAACTTCATCCCACGACAGACGGCGTGGAAGTCGAACCATTCAAAGCCGACCTTGTCCGCATCAGCGCGCGATTCCTCCTCATTGAGCCTCTTGATGCTCTGCTCGTATAACTCGGCGATCGGCGCTTCGACACCATGCTTCTCCACCAGATTGACGACCTGAACCGAGCCATACCGCCTGCGCAAGCCGTCGAAATGCTTTCTCAGCGCCGCGAAGTTTGCGTCAGGCGAATGCTGCATCACGGGCACCGGCTTCAGTGAGTAGGGCGACTGCGTGAAGTAGAGCGGGAAGCTGCCCCGTATCTGCACGAACGAATACACCCTGGCGTTCGGATCCCAGGCGGCTTCTGCGGGTGAGAGGATCTGTTCCGACTCGACCGAGTTGGCGACGTTGCCGTCCTCATCGATCCCGCGCCGGAGGTAGCGCAGGCCGGCGCGCTTGATCGACCGTCGTGAGATGACGGTGATGTCGAACTTCTTTTCTGTCGGCCTCATATCGGCAGTGGCCTTCTCCGGTGGCGATGGCGACATTGCCCGCGACGATCCGAGATCACTAAGCTCGACCGAGTCCTTGTGAGCGGCCTCGTCGATCTGCGGAGGGTGACTATCCACGACAAACGTTCTCTGCCCCACGAAGCCCTGCATCAGGGGCAGAGCGAGGCTGTCTACTCCAGCGTCGATGAAGGGCTGCATGATATGCTTGTTCCAGAAATATGTCGGCTCAACATGCTGATGCAGCGGAACCAGCGGCGTCTCCGGAACCTTGGGATTTGCCATACTGCGCGTAATGTCATGGTCGTAGGAAAAATAAAACGTCTTGCTCGACCCAAACAGGATCTGCGTCGTCCGCAGCAGCTTCGGCAGCAGACTGATGGCGGCCTCGCTGCCGTCCGCGGCGTTCGGGATGCTGAACGTGGTCGGCACGGCCCCTTCTTTCTCCTTCCCCTTCTCCTTGCCCTTGCTCTCCCCACCCGCAGGCCCGTCATCCGCGCTCAACCCCATCATCCTCTTCTGGTCGACCCGCCAGCCAGATCGACTGAACCACCGCTGGGCGAACCGCCCATAGCTGCCTCGCCTCTCGATCACATCCTGCGCGACGCTACTCCGCCTGTCCCCGGCAGTCGGCCGCTGCGCCGGCCCTTCCGTCTCACTCGCCACCTCTCCGCCATCATCATCCTCCTCCTCCCCGGGGGCAGCAGTCTCGGGCCCGGTCTCGTCCCCACTCGCAGCGGTGGACTCCCCGCCAGTACCACCACCACCACCATCCCCATCGTCATCCTGCTCCTTCTCCTTCTCCTTCTCCTGTTCAGCCCGATTGTTTAGCGCCGCGGCAGTCTTGGCCACCGCCTCGGCCGCCTCGTGCTGCGACGTGCACGGCGTCAGGGCGACCTCGGTGACGACATAGACGGGCAGTCCGCGGATCTGGGCGACCTGCTGACGCCGGGTGATGGAGATGAGGTAGCTGTGGCGGAAGACGGTTATGAGGCCTGTTCGTGACCTATTTTAGTATAAGTAGAGCGTAGAGGGATGTATCTAGGTGTCGGTGATGCGTATGTGCTGTAAAATGGGAGTCTGAGTAGCGGGCGAGGAGAAATAAAGTAGGAGTACTACTAGTACTACTAGTAGTAAGTGGGTGAGAGAACAGAGATTGGGATTCTTCCGTACCGACGATACCGAACGCCTCGAACGATGCATTGTCGGGTGACTGTGATAATGAGAGACTGGCGTCGCGCGGGACGGTGGATATCGAGGCGTCACCGTACTTAATCTTGATCGGGGCCAGAGGCGATGCGCGTCCCTGCTGGTCTTTTCGCGAGTTGAGCGGGTGCAGCACCAGCCCGTCGACGGCGGCACAGATGATGACCTTGCGCGCCAGGCCCGGCATGGCTTATAGGTCGTATATAACCAACCTAGATCAGGGAGACCATGTAAGGCGGGGACGAAGCAAAGCGGGGATGCAAGAACCGACGTCCACAGATGTTTACTTGGAGAGCTATGTACGGTAGAGATGGCAGGGGATCACTTGGGATATAATAGCAAAGTTGAATGCTTCGGCTGTGGGCCAACACCGCCGGACCGCGAACATAGATTTGTTGGGCTTCCCGGTTGGCCCTGGCCTGGCATCGATGATGTCGAAGAATTGTGGGGTGTTCGAACTGTCCCGCAAGCCCCAGCGTCATTCTGCAGGACCCCCACGGCAGTGGCTAGGCCGCGCCGAAGAGGGCCCGGGGCGTTGCAGTATCGTGAGCTAACCCCAACCCTGAGTCTGGACACGAAGAAAATGCAACGGTGTAGCAAGATATTTTTTTAGGCTGCTCGCTTCACAGTAGACAACAACTCCGATGCTATCCGGGTCCTGTTCTGTGTGGCTTTCCTATCCTCGACGTGCTAGGGCGTGTTACGGCCCAGGCGATGTCCTGCCCTCATCCTCCAGAAGCGCCCGTCCTGCGCAACGACACCTTACATGGCGAGGCGCTCGACCTTGTCACGGAGGGCCTTGATCATGGGCTGGATGCTCGAGGCTTCGTTGGAGGTAATCGACACGGCGATCACAGCCCGAGAGACACCGCAGGCACGGCCCAGCGCGACCTTGCTTGGGACGTACTACCGAATAAGTTAGCATATCTAGTGCGCTCCCCATATTGGAGCTAGATATGCGTACCACGTAGGGGACGTTCTTCTCTTCGCTGATGAGCGGGATGTGCAGAACGATGCTCAAGGGCTGCGTGTCGGCAGCGAGGATGACAAGCTCGCTCGTTCCGCGGTTAATTCTGGGGTTTTTTGTCAGTCCAGGATCGATTTGGAGGCTAGCGGAATGCAGACATACGACTTGGTCGCTTCGTTCTGGAATAATGGTCAGTCACTGCTCTGGTTGCCGTCATCAAGGGAGACAGTGCAACTCACAGCGCCCTTCTTGAGCTGGCGATAGTGGCTGGCCTGCTGGACGGCATCCAGCAATTCCTGGACCAGCGCGGGGTCCTCGGCCTTGGGCCACGCGGCGGACTCGTTCTGAGCGGACATCTTGGCTTCGATCGGGGGTTGTAATGTGTAATAGTGGCTGGACACCAGGGTTCACTGCGTTTGCTCGCCCTGGGGTTGCGTCGGTTAAGAGAGAATGCGATCGGGAGCGACACAGAAAAGAATTGTGGTCCAGATCCCGATAGCAGAAGCCGCGTCTGCTTGCAGCAAACTTTGGGCGGTCAGATCGGGCAGAATATGCATCGACGGAGTGAGTTTGACCGGCTTCCGGATTATGTAATTGGAGGTGGCTGAGCTCCAGTTCAGTGCCGCAATCCGTCTTTGCCTCAAAGCCAAGGCACGGGCGGCCAACCAACCAACCTGCAACCTGCAAACACCTCGCTCCGGCAGCCAACCTCCAACCCGCCAAACAAACCATCAACGACGTCGATACAAGACCGGAGCTCTCCCAACTTCCGGCACACCGCTTCATCGCGCAACCACCTCCATCACCCTCGAAGACACCCACCCCTATACTCTATAACAGTTGCTGCAGCTCCGCGGCCCAATCTTTCACAATGACGGACTACTGGTAAGCCACGCCAACCTCGAACCGATACCTTTCCCTCAAAACACGCCGAGCTCTCCCCTAGCCCAAGAACCAATACAGAACCACCGCCCCCAGAGGCTGCGCATAGTTGGCGCACCCATCGTGATCATTCAATGGAAGGATTGCTAACAATGCCGTTTCTGCAGCCCTGTTTACGCGGTCAGTGCTCTCTCCAACCCGGTGACACCTCTGGCTCGATGGCCGCGGTGACGAGTTCGGCTTTGGGACGCCGATTCGACCGCAAAGCGGAGGTTATACAACGCGCATCACCATACTGACATTGAAGCAGCCCTTTTTCGGTGCCATGGGCTGCACCGCAGCTATCGTCTTCACCTGCCTGGGTGCCTCGTACGGCACAGCCAAGTCCGGTGTTGGCATCGCGGCTATGGGTGTTCTGCGACCTGACCTTATCGTCAAGAGTATGTTTATCTGGCAATTGCGACGGCGCAAGTCCGATCCCAGATTACGGAACTGACTGGATTGCGCCCGTAGACATCGTCCCCGTCATTATGGCTGGTATCATCGGTATCTACGGCCTCGTCGTCTCCGTCTTGATCTCGGATAGTCTTTCACAAGACAACTACGCTCTCTACACGGGTTTCATCCAGCTCGGCGCCGGTCTTGCCGTCGGTCTTGCGGGTATGGCTGCTGGCTTTGCCATTGGCATTGTCGGTGACGCTGGTGTCCGCGGCACTGCGCAGCAACCGAGACTGTTCGTCGGCATGATTCTCATTCTCATTTTCGCCGAAGTTCTGGGTAAGTTAGGCATTGTCATTGGAAACCTTCCCAAATCGTACTAACCCTGTTCAGGTCTGTACGGTTTGATCGTCGCTCTGCTCATGAACTCCAAAGCGACGCTCAACACCTCGTGCTGATAAACACTCGATTCAACCCGACGCGGACGGGGCATGGGGAGACAAGCTGTAACTATTCACGGAAACCCTGCTCGTGGGGGTACTATCAACAACACAAACACCTCCTTGCGCCTACCATAGGGAAAGCGCTAGGCTGGTGCATCGACTCAGGGGTGGGGAAGATGGGGTGAGGCACGGGAACAGTCAGTGGCAGTTGAGAAGTGAGGGCTGAGTAGGGGCGTATTTCGGGGCGCGGTTGGTTAATGGCTTTGCGGGACGTACATGTACTATTGTCATATTATGGTTGCTCATCGCTCTGGGTCTTCAGTTTTCATCATAGACGGGACGACGGAAGCGAGATTGTTGTCTAGTTTGGCAATGGTGATTGCATCTTGCGTCCTTTGGACAGTTTCCTCCCTGATTTGTTTCATATGAAGGTGGGTTGGGAGTAAGGAGCGTTGCAGAGAGTCCTTTCACTAATATGTTTCTGGCATCTGGATTGCCATCAACTTCGCATCTGACCTTGATCAATCGGAGTCGCGGGTGAGAAGTCGGCAGCTATACCTGTATATCACAACTCCATTGAACCCGTTGGTTCAATACTTCAAAGTGAATGCGTCAAAACGAACAGTGCAATGCCAGCTCCGAGGCCGGCAACTGACATCACCTCTCTAACATCTCCTCCAAACACCTCAACCCTTTTCGTCCCCCAGGATCTCCCAGTTCTGTCGCAACTAGCGGCCTTTCCAGTGTCCGCTTGCGTCTCACCTCCACGGCCTAGCCAACCATGTCTAGCCCTCTCATAGTATCTTGCAACGGTCACTGGACAGAGAAATTCGACGTTTACCTTTGTCATGAAACATTAACATTAGTCCGCATCTGAGTACGGATACAGTACAACGGTACTGTCAGGTAGTAGTCCTAGCGATACAAAAGCAAGTAGCAGGCACACACACGCCTTCGCTGTTTCGCTCCACTCCCTCATCGGCTTATACAAGCATAGCCCCCAGGTATATCACTTTCACCTTTTATGCTCCAGGTTTTGACTATCATCTTTCCGGCCCAACCCATCCAGCTCTTGGACACATCAACTCTGAGACACATTCACACACATTCAACACACACACACACACCCCCCCATTCGGTTTCTATACTCTTTCTCCAATCCAACATGTTTATCTGAACTGGCGCAATACTGTGCCACAGTCCCACACAACTGTTTTCTTAGAGAGAGCGGGGACGTTCAGAGGATGTATGGGATAAACAGGTATGGCACCTGTCGCTCATACTCGCGCCACGCGTCGCCGTACTTCTCGCGGCAGCGGCTGACGTCGCGCCAGGCGCGGTGGGCGATCATGACGACGAAGAAGACCGGGTAGAACCAGGGAAACGGGCTCTGGAAGCCCGTGATTAGGCCCCAGGTGGTGGCGAAGTAGACGTCGCAGGTGTAGTGCACCTTGCGGGCGAGTCCGTACCACCCGTCCGCCAGGATCTTGTCGCCCAGCCCGGTCTCGATGGTTTTGGGGTTGTGCAGCGTCTGCCAGGGCAGCTGCGGGAAGGTGTTGCGGTAGATGAGCGTGCCGCGCTCCATGGCGCGGAAGCGGTTCTTCTGGCTGTTGCAGCTGTCCCAGACCCAGTAGACGAAGAGGTAGCTGGCGTAGAGGGCGACCAGCGCGACGCGGTTCCAGCGGTACTCGTCCGGGTGGTGGTTGGCGAGGTAGATGGTGCAGTGGCAGTAGGACAGCGGCACGCCCGACAGGTTCCAGAAGATGAGCATGAAGCCCCACTTCTCGTAGTACATGTCCCAGGTGGTGACGATGAGCTCCTCGCCCTTGGAGGTGGCGTTGGCGTAGAGGAAGTGCGCCAGTACCAGGAAGCCGACCTCGCCCGACACGTAGCCGTACTGGTCCCACTGCCGGGCGGCCGCGGCGCACGAGATGAGGAACAGGATGTACCACGGCATGCGCACCTCGAAGAACATCTTGAAGTCGAGGATGCCGAACATGCGCGGGTTCAGCTCGGCGCCCATGAAAAAGTCGTAGACGTGGTTGCCCGACATGCGGTGCTGGGCGCCGCGCGCGAGGGCCGAGACGTAGGCGACGATGGCGACCAGCCAGCCCGAGAGGATCGAGACGCTGAGCAGCGGGCCAAACTCGTCCAGGACGGTGTACAGCGGGAAGACGCCCGAGAAGTGCAGGGCGGCCACCAGGGCGATGGTGGTGTAGAACGACGTGTAGGCGGAGCAGTAGTACTTGAGCTGCTTGCCGCCCTCGTGGGCCAGCGGCTTGCCGTAGGCCCAGACGCCGGGCATCAGACAATACATGGCACCCTCGACGACGAAGAAGACCCAGTAGATCAACCACGCCTTGGCGTGCGGGAAGGCACCCGTGTATACCAGGTTGACGAGGTGCTTGCCGAAGTCGCCCCAGCTCTGGCCCGGCGCGGGCGTGGGGAAGAGGCCGTCGTAGTAGGTCGCACCGATCCACATGTACCACATTAGGACGGGGAAGCCGAGCATCATGATCGAGACGAACCACGGGCCGCCGAATTCGTACTCGCCCGAGTAGTCGACCTTGGGGTCCAGGCCGGGCCGCCAGCCGTCGACCAACTTCTCCTCGGTGCCGCCGGTCTTGGATTCCTTGCCGTTGGCCTTCGGGGATGCGCCATTGGCCTTAAGGGATGTGCCATTGGCCGTTGCGGATGCGCCATTGAGTAGTGGCTTCGCATCGCTCTCGTCGCCGGATTGTGGGGGCGTTGGCTCCTCAATGTGCTCTGTGAACTTGCCGGTGCCGCGCCGGCGCAGGGACTTGCTCTCCATGGCTTCGGAAGCGGAAGTGGACTCGGCGTCGGATTCGGTTGGGAACTGGTTCTTGCGACGGATGTTTCGGCGGGCAGGAGTCTCTACCATGCCGTCAAAAAGCTCCTTTTTCCTGCGCGACGGTTAGATGAGCTTCTCTCGCATCTAACAAGACTTTTGGCTTGAAGAAAACAGGAGTTGACAGGGCCCGCCTCGCGGGCAACAGCTTGGAAGTAAACAGCAGAAAGGATGGATGGGGCCGATAGAGGTTCTTAAGGTCTAGAAAACCGAAATCGACTCACCTAGGCGTCTGCCGTAAAGAATATCTCCCAGACATCGTGATCCAGTTGTCGGGGCGCCGTGAGGGCGCGATCTTTATACTTTTCGATATGCAGTAATTTTCCGGGAATTATTAGGGGCCACTTGCGTACACGCAGGGCCCTTCTGGCACGATACTAGTGTTCGTGTATACTAGTATTCGCGCAATAAACGAGGCCAGAAGATCTTGCAACTTTGGCGGTGGCAAGAAGAGGAAATGGAACGAGAGACGCAAGAAAAAAGTGGCACCCAGGACGCGAGACGCCTGCAACCTTTGCCGTCGTCCAGGGGTATATTGTGGGTTTTGCAACCTTAAATTGCTGGTTTGTTGACATGATTTGACTGGGCAATCGAACCCCTGTCAGCCAAACATCTCCCCACACAATCAGCGTCTTCGGGTCGATACTAGTATTACCTAAGCGAGAACACGCTTGAAACGAATAGAAGGTGTGCTATTAGTGCCACAGGCCTAACATCGAGGAGCCGGGCTTGCAATACTAGTATTCTTTATTAGGGCGGGACGGGACGGGTAGGGGCTTCCGCAACGTACCGTACCTCCGACAGAGTACTTCGTGTTTCTTCTGGGTCTCATCTAACTGAACGCATGTTAGTACTTTGTGGGCAGCTGATGTGTATAACACGCTTGCCTCCTCACAACGTAGAATCGTCATATAAGACGATTAGAAGAAGAAGAAAAGAAGGGAAATGGAAAGGAAATGAAGGGGCTGTTCAGACTTCACAGTCAAGCTTCCATGTGCCCATCCTTGATACCAAAACCACGCTGTCTCCTGTGTACTGCCCGCGCTGCTGCCCGAGAATCATTCTCATGCTACGGTCATCATTACTCCGCTATGCCGCTTGAACGCCAACCAATCCCAACAAGAAATGCCAATGTCGCCGTATCCAAGAAACAAAACGAGATACATGAAGGCTATACATACAGTATCAAACACCACTAGGTTCATCCAACAACTGGTAGCCATCCTCCGGCGGCAGGACCAATGCCGAGATGCTTAGGCCGATGGCAGTAAGCAACGCAACACTCGCACTAGTCGCGCACAGATACCACGATGAGGCCAGCCGATAGCCCGGCACCAGAAACATCTCATCATGATCAAAGAGGTATGCCTGCGAGTGGTCAGCTCCCACTTCAACCATGACTGAAAGCGAACACGGCTTTATAATAAATAAGGCCAATAACGTCCAAGAAAAACTCACCACAACAGCCATCCCAATAAACTCGGCCGCCGCAGCCGTCGCCATCATCACTCCCAACACCTTCCATCCGCCCTGCCGCCTCACCTTCCCGCCCCTCATGATGATGAGGAATCCCACAATGGCGGCGATCTCCATGATAGCCGAGAAGCTCATCAGGAACCCGGTGGTGCGCCACATGAAGCAGAAGGAGCGGCCTTCAGCCGACCGGCGGCAGTGTATCTCGTCGGGGAAGGGCGAGCACGTCCCCGTCGAGGACGTGCACCGGCGATGCAGGCCGATGGTGTCCGTCACCGTGCCACCCGAAGGGGCTGAGACGGTGTAGGAGACCCAGTTGGGGGAGCCGATGGAGGTTATGGTCATAACAGTCGCTGGAGAGGAGACTTTGTTAGTTTGTGTGCTTTCGACGTGGCAGCGAGAAGGATATGAGAAATGCAGATCAGCTCATATGGAACCCAACATTAGGCGTTGAGTCATTGTATATGCTCCATGATTGGCATCCATTTGACCCCAATCTTGACATCCACCATTCATCCCAAGAATGATCAATCTATCACCACAAACCATTGTCTGAACAGATAGCCTATCAGGTGATTATAAAGAGACATAATTCAGACTCACCGGCGATCAAAGCGACCAACGCCGTACTATAAACCACGGTTCGTGTCATAGTGACAAACAAACACCATCAGATGGGTTTACCAAGATTACACGTAGCAGCACCAAAGGTTGGCGCGACAGTATGAATAAATTCAAGGTGACAGAATTATGCTTCGAATGACGTATAAACCTCAAAATAGTGACGAAAACTCAACCGCTAAATGCTTGATGCGTGCGTGTGATGATTGGAGATGAGTGAGCTGATGGACAGCTTGCCCGAGAGGTGAGGTGATGCCCTGGAGGGTGGGCGTGATGACGATGCCGCGCAACACGGCACAGCCACTCCACCGATGGTGGGCTTTCCCTAATCGGGCAGTTGGCGCGAGGAGTGTCGTGTCCTGATTGGCTGATGATTGCTAGTACTCTGCTATGTATCTTCGACGTTCTCAGAGCTCAACTCAACTCGACCTCGAAGATGGAGGTCCAGCTTGGACATTTCCTTCCGCAATCAAGCAATTTCCTCGGGATGACTCGATAGGGTCTTCGGATCACTGTGTCCTCTCTGGTGACCAACCCTATATCCAACTTCTATTCCGCACTCAAGTAAAGCTTGCCAATGCCAGGGAGACACATAGCAAACAATCACCATAATAAGAATCACCATATTATATAAGACTGATAAGAAAGAAGGAAACATCAAGAGTACCACAGAGCAATAGTGAGACAATAATTCAAGTGTGTATTGGTATGAATCCCAATCCAAAGAGCTGCTCGGCCTCGCATGCATGATGCCCTCCATATTTCTAGTAGGCCCTCCAGACCCATCTCCCTGAACTACCTACCTAGGTACTACCCCTAAGATATCCCCGGGAGCCCGTTCCTTCTATGGTACCTTCCCGCCCGGCCTTTTTGTAAGAACAAGAGAAAAGAAATCTACGAAAACGAGAGCAAAAGAAAAAACAAAAAAAAAAGAAAAAAAAAAGAAAAAAAAGATGGAAGACTGCCCCTCCCGACTCCGGAAAATGCTAATGAACAGCCCAAAACAACACCATGCATCCAGCATCTATCATCCTTTCCCCAAGTGAACGGTTCAATACGACCTGGAATGTTAGGTAAGTAGGTAGGGAGGTACCTAGGTAGGTAGGTTCAACTACGTCTCCAACCGAGCGCACCACCACCACCGCCACCACCTCTCCTCCCCCGCCCACCATACGCACCAGAACCCGGACCAGTGCCTAACCCTCCTCTATTCCTCCGCCTAACCGCAGCCGCAGCCCCATCCCCAAGGAAAAACGGATCCTGCAGTAATGGCGGACGGCCTGCCTAAGGCCGCCTCAAGTTCACATTCACATCCGACCCGGCCGAATTCCCCAAGTTTGCGTTGGAGTTCGAGCTGGAGGTAGGCGGCCTATTACTTCTCCGTGGTTTCCCACTACTCCCGCTCCCCGAACTCACCTCCCTGCTCCCGCTTATAGACGACCCATACGCAGGAGACGGAGGCGGCATCAACCCCGCGCCCGCGCCGATGCCGATGCTGGCGTTGAGCACACTCCCCGTCGGCGAAGCCGAGTATTCCGGGAACCCGGCGCTCGAGTTACTCGCCACAGTGACCGACGAGCCGGACCGGATCCTACCCGCGCCCTGGCTCTGGTTCTGGTTCTGTTGTTGGTAGATATACAGGCTTTCCCGTTCCCTGTAGCTGCTGCTGAAGGAGCTGCCAGCTGCGCTGACGAACGAATCTCTCCTACCTCCTCCTCCCATGATAGAAATAGGTGCCGATGCGGCTGTTGTCAGGCTAGGTCGGGGAGAAGGATACTGCTGATGTGTTGATATTGACGTGCGCGGGAGACGGCTTTTTGACGAAGGCGGGCGGGAGGCCGGCGTCGCCGAAGGGTCGGTGCTGTTAATGATGTTGTTCCCGCTTGTTGCCGCCAGGGGACCCGTCGGTGGCGTGTCGCTTACCCTACGCGGGAGGCTCGTCATTGGGAGTGGCAAGCCGTCGCGACTCCGCGGGCGGTAGAGAGAGGCATCGCGCTCTTGGGCGAGGCCCACGGCTGACCGTTTTGGCGTGGCGGCAATCTCGATGTATGCGGAGGAGGATGACTGCGTCAGACGGTGGCCGTGGGTTGGGGTTGGAGGCATGGACATGCTCAGGTGCAGGCCTGGAGGGGTGTAGCTTGTGTTCCGTCTGGGCCCAGAGCGGGATCGCGGTCCGGATCCGGCGTTGGATCCCGCGCTGGTGGAGGCACCCAGACCGAGGCCACTGAGGGCCATGGCATCGTGCTGCAATTCCACGTCGATGTGGCTCCTGATGAGCTCCGAAGCCAGATTCCGCACCAGCACTGCCGGGTCCTTATCCGCCAGCGCCTGGATGTCGTCGAACAGGATGCGCAGCTGGCGACCGGCGCCTGATGTGCTAAGCGACGACATGGACAGGTTGTTGGCCTCGCATCCGTCCATGATGTTGCGCACGAGACGCAGCAGGTTGAGTCGCACGACGGCCTTCTTGTGGTTCAACTTCTGTGCGATACCCGCGTACATCTCCGCCTGGGCGAGGGACGCCGCCACTGCCGGACTCAACCGCAGCAGCTTGAGCAGTGGCTCCAGGAGGTTCGCATCAAATGCGTTGGCCTTGGTGGGATTGAAGCAGGCCATGATGGCCGTGGTGAAGTTGCCCTCGAGCAGATGGCTTTCCACCTTTGCCGTTTCTTCCTGTAGCCACACGAATATGGCATCAAGCGCCGTGACCTGCCAGTACTGGTCCGCAAGCAGCGAGACATAAAAGTCCAAACCGTTGTTCTGCCACAAGTATCTCCTCCCCTTGCTTCCCGAATGGGCCATGTCGCAGAGGATGGGCAGCACAAACTCCTTGGGCGGCCTGTCCGTCTTCATGATCTTGAGAAGAAGCGGGATAATGCCGTTGCTGGCCGCGTACTCCTGCCGCTCCTTACTGAGACGACAGAGGTTGAACATGGTATTGAGCACTTGGTTGGAGATCTCCCGGAAGTTCTTCTGTCCCTTCTTCATCGAGAGGCTGAGCACATCGATCAGGAAGTCAATGGCGTCCGCTGAGTGCAGAGCGTCGAGCACAGACGAGCACATGGACATGTTCTTGATGAACTTGAGCATGGTGATCTGGTGCAACGGCGTCATCCGTCGGAGGTCCTTGAGCACCGCTGTCGAACAGTTAGCGATTGTACCTAAGTTCGGAAACACGGGCACAGTAAGGGGTGAGCATACTCTTCAGAACCTGCCGCTCGGCAACAGCCTCCTTCACATAAGGCTCGGCCTGTGAAAACAGGTAGAAGATATTGACAATGCGGCCCTCCACCAGCTCGGATAGCTCGTCCCTGTCCTCGTCCAAGACCTTGTGCAGGATGGCAGCCAGGGGATCAAGAATCTTGCTGCGCGAAAATATCCTACAGAAGTCGTTTTTCGGCGTCGGCCCCTGGAGCTCAAAGACATTCCAGATACCGTTGACCCCTATCAGGACAAGGTCCTGAGAGGTCTCGTAGTCTTCATCCAAGAACTCGACCAGGACATTAAGACCGCCGGCGCTGACAAACATCTGAAGCGTCAGGGTGGAAGTCTGATACATCTGCCGCACAAACGCGGCAGCCTCCAGCCGAATCTCGTTGGAGTATTGCCGCGCAGCAAACTTGGTGACGATGGGGATCCCACCGACAAAGCACAGGTTCTCCTGCAGCTCCACATCATCCAAGATGATCTAAAGGTATCCATGTCAGCAACAAAACGACCCAGAAGAGAACCACAGAATGAGACAGGACAGCGGGAACCTACCGCGTTCACGATCTTGAGCAGCTGCAGAATCATATGCTGCCGGCTCTTGAGCGTGCAAGACTCCAGGATCTCCAGTATCGGCAGCAACCCATGTGCACCGATAATAAGTGCCTTGACTTCGGGATTCTCCCACAGCAGAGCAACCTGTAGACCACGGATTAGCATGATATACCCCCGTGAACAGCCCCTTGAACTCCAAAGGGAGAAAGGGGTAAAGGAAGTAAGCAGAAGAAAAAAAAAACGCACCAAATCCTCAGCCAACTCGCCCACCATCTCCTCCCCCTCGGTAATCTTCATACTCCTCACCAACTCCTCGACCCGCTCAGCCAGCCGCGCATGCCGGTCCCGCGCAATATTCGCCTCTAGATCCATCTCGTCCCAGCCCGGATCCAGCATGGCAAACGGGTCGTCCTCGTCCTCGTCATCCCCAAGCCACGAGTTGTTGGACAGGCGCGAGAGGATCAGCTGCTGGCCGGTGGCCGTGCCCTGCGCGGCAGCCGGGGTGTCGATCGTCGTCTCGGAGCCCCGATCGCTGCTCACCTCCGACTCGGCGACGGCAAGCGGGCCTCCGGCAGCGGGACCAAAGATGTCCGAGAAGTCCTCGTCGCCTTCGTCCTCGGCAAACTTGGTAATCTCGACGGTAGAGCGATGCCTGCGGACTGGTTGTTGGTCCAGGGCAGGGAGGACCGCCGGCCGCGAGGAGGACGAGGACGAGGAGTCCTTTGATCTCCGCGTGCTGCTGCCACCGGCAGAGGACTGCGATGATGATTTCGGTGCGCTGGTGGTGAGGTCGGAGGGGTGGAATAGCTGTGGCGCATCCTGGAGATGGTCAGCTTTGAGCCATTTTAAAGTTTAATTAGGGAACTGGGATGTGGGTCACCTTGTTAGCCAGGCTTAACCTCCTGTCGAAAATGTGGTCATTGTCGGCAAATAAGTCCGAGAAGTCTTCGGTAGACTGCTCGCGGTAGATGACATCTGGCCGCGGAGGCAGCTCGAACTTTGCCCCGAGAGGCTTGACGGGGGACTTCGGCTGGGCGGCAGCCGCTGAGCCTCGGCCGCTCCTCTGTCGCCTGTGCCCCGGTTGGTCCTGGACCTTGGGCCTGTGCTCCCGCGACTTCTCCGTCCTTCTGGAAACAGGCCGGATCGTCTCCTCCTGGGGTTCTATCTCGGACCAATGCCCGAGCCCCTTGATCGTGACGAGCTCGCCCTCGAAGTTTGAGTCCCAATTATCGGAATCCTCCCGTTGGCCGTCGATGGACGCAAAAGCCTTTAGTCTATCACCAGACAGCAACCCTCCGAAATTGTCCTGGCCTTTGATCTGCGGAAGATGGAGAGCACTCGGCGAAATGGCGGTCGCGAAATCGTTGTCCCAGTTGTCGTCATCTATGAAGCTTGTCAGCCTTGAATCGCTCAAAGACCCCCCTCCCCCTTCTTTTCCCCCTCTGGCTCACCGGCAAGTTCAGGAGAACGGAAAGCGTTAGCCGTAGGCCTCTGCTTCGTTGCCAAATTCAGGGGCATCTTGGCCGTTGTGGCCAAGGTTGGCCGGTGCGCGTGGCCCGGCAGACCGCCGCCATCGGAGCCTATCGAGACCCTGAGATTGTTCTCGGACGACTTGAGAGCCTTGTTCCACTGCTTCACTTCCTCGACAGCCTGGCTGAAATTGGACGGGGCTTTTGAGACCGGCGCGTCGCTTCTACGGCAGCCGGTGATCCAGGCGTGCCGCAGCAGCTTTCTCGCCGATACTCGCAAATTTGGATCTTTCTGGAAGCACTGCATAAGAAAATCTCGAGCGGCCTGTCTCCAACCAACTATCAGCAACAAGCAGGAGACGCGAATTCAAGTGCTTGAGGGGACGCACCGGCGAAACACCCTCAGGAAGGGGGGGATGATCGTCGTTGACGATGGCGAACAGTGCCGGCATCGCAGCGAGGTTATGGTACGGCGGCTTCCCTTGTAGCAGCTCGATGACCGTACACCCGACGCTCCAGATATCGGAGGCCGACGTGGCGCCCGAGAGCTGGATGATTTCCGGAGCCATCCAGTAGGGCGTCCCAACCACTTGAGCCTCCTTGTCTGGTCCGGCCAGGGTGCTTGTCGAGACGCCAAAGTCGGCCAACTTGACGGTGCCATCCTTGGTCGTCAGGATGTTGGCGCCCTTGATGTCTCGATGGATGACGCCCTGGTCGTGCAGATACTGCAGGCCCTGCAGGACCTGGGTCATGTACACGCCCACCAGATTCTCGGGAAACTTGCCATAGGCTTTGCAGATGGAATGCAGCGAGCCATTCTCACAGTATCTGCGGTGACGCGTTAGCTAGCGCAACGAAATCTTGGCGAGGACAGGGGCGGGCAGACTCGAGGATGATATTGAGGCAGTCGGCTGTCTTGACGAAACCAATATATTTTACGATGTTGTCATGCTATGAGCCGGTCAGCATATTTGCAGAACCTTCCTCGGCTTGCTTCACTAACATGGAGGTTCTTCAAGAGATCAATTTCTGCCTAGAGACCGTCAGTACCAGATCGGGCCGTATGTCACCACATTCCTCTTGCTGCCCTCGACTCACCTCAATCATGCGCAGCTCGCTCTTGGGCACATCCACCAATTTGATCTGCTTGACCGCCACCGCCTCGCCAGTCCCCCAATTGAAGGCCTTGTAGACGGACCCGAAGGCCCCCTTGCCGATGCAGTCTCCGAGTCGCTATATGCCCCGCTCGTCAGCCATGTCTCACTTGTCACGAATAGGGCCGGCCGTAAGGTAGCCCAGAGGTAGGAATGGGCAGGGGGCCAGCCACATATTCTTCCGATCCCAATGCACCCAAGTCCCGCTGCCGCAGCCCATGGTTTCATCCAGACAAAGAGCGGACCGGCGGCACCCCAACACCTAGCGAATCGTAGATGCATGTGTAGGCCGCGGTAGGGGTAAACAGTATGCAGGTCTGTGTGCAGGAACACGCCGTGCAGGCCGCATTCACACCACACAAAGACATCGGCTGTCAGGGGGTAACGAAGCGATAAAATGGGGAGCTGGGTTACTTATCCAATCCCGTATCAGACGGGGTCGGCACGGGGTGGGGAGAAAGAGGCAGGGCATAATAAGGAACGTTCATCGACCTACATAGTCCTTCAGCCCGGGATCCTGCACGGGCACGGCCTTCTCCTGCCTATGGCTCTGTTCTCGGCGCGGTGTTCCGGGTACCTTTGCCGCGACGACCTTGCCGCCGTTTGCGCCATGGTAGGGCCGCTCTGCTATGCCAGAGCTTCCCGGTCGCTGGTTCGGCGGCGGCGGCGCCATGACCTGCCACTCGATCCTCGCGGGCTGCTGGGCGTCGGCCTAGTTTCGGGCGCCCCAGTATCAGACCGCAGTTTCTCTCCTCCTCGGGCACGGATATCCGCACGTGTGTGTGCGGTGCTGTCCGTCTGCCGGTGGATTTGCGGCGTTCGTGGTAGCCAGCTCTGGGAGGAAGGATGTCTGCACAAAAAAAGTCGGCGGTGCCTCTTGGCGGTTCAATCCCGCCTGGCCGAGGCTTGCCCAAACAGATCGCGGACCGAGTCGCGGGTGATGATGGAAATTACGACTCAAGATGCGCCGCCGGCTCGTGATGCTGCCCCGCCTGGGGAATCGTCTGCGCTCGACTGTGGGCCCAAAAGCGTCGATCCTTCTGCACGACGGACAACGATCGGTAGGTGGGGTAAGGAGTGCATCGGCTGGAGAAGTAGTGATCGGGGCAGGAGGGGAGGTGTGAGCAAAAGCGGGCGTCGAGAATGTCAAGTTGCTGTCACGACTTCGTTGTCGGTCCCTTGGTAGGGCAGGGCAGCTCCCGTCGCGGGGGCGCAAGCAGGGATAGTTTAGGAATTGAGAATGAAAGGCCGCCAGATCAGGCCAGCGTTGTGGGGAACAAGAAACAGGGAAAAGAACAAAACTACTAACTGTGTAGAAAAAGAGGGAAAACAACTGAGATTGAAAAGAGCGTGGTGTGCCAGTGCAATACTGGGTGTTGTTTCAGTTGAGGTTTCTTCCCGCGGTGTGCAGTGTTCAGCAGCAGAAAAGCTGGAAACTAAACCCAAGCTGGGTATATTTCTGCAGCTGCCGCGTGATCCCTGGTGCACTCTTCATGCTTGCTGACAGCGCCTGCATTGATGTCGGGTAAGGTTCCAGGTTGCCCATTCGGTGGAGGTGGAAGGGAGGCGTTGTGCCGTGCCCAGTGGCCTCGTGCGTTTTACCTTAAGCGGGGACACTCCGGGAGGCATAGAGACCACCTTCCCGGCCTGTATCGCTCTTCGGAGATCCCACGTTGAAGACGTCCGATATTCTCACCCAAGCCATGAGTCTCTCCCTGCCGGCATTTATGAGAGGCGTTGAACGAGTTCTTCCACGCCTCGAAGTTATGTTTACTTAGCTTCCCCTCGATGCGTGCAACCCCCGTGGCCAGCCCTGTCCATGCAAGTCATTCTCGGATGGTCACTCAAGGGATTGAAGGCGGGGTAGCCTTCATGCATGCGGCCTCCGTACCATGGTAGGCAGTCGCCGCTTGGGATGTTGGAGGGACGATCCCCTACGGTAAGCAAGGCAGAACAGAACGCTGCAAGGCACGACAGTCTTCCCATCCAGTTCCATCACCTTAGGTACCTAGATACCTTATATCACAGACCCGGCCCCAAAGGGAACGAGTACCTCTGTACATAATAATCATACACATGCCAGACGACTCCGTCAAACCCCCTTCAATGATACTAGTAATCAGGATCATGGCAAAGCTGATGCCAAACATCGCAACCAAAATCATCGCTAAGTCGGTAACCCCAACCATTTAAGGGAAGGCCCCCTCTGCCCCATCCCATAGCCCTCCTTATCCTCATATCGCTCCATCTTTTCGTTCAGAACCGGAGGAAATGTGTGCATTTGTCGAGTTGATCGCCTACCCCTGATGATAGAGGAGAGGGCTGCCGTGGAGGGTTGCCACCCAAAAACATGCGACATCCCTTTTCGGAGTGCTGGTTAAAGGGTTGCTATGGAGCCATCCCATCCCATAGCCCTCCTTATGCCTGCTCGACGAGGTCAGAACAAGAAAACGCCCGCTGCCAATCCCCTGCGCTCATCCGATATTGATGATATGGAATTCCCAAAGATAACCCCCCTTTTGCCCCCAATCCCAAACGCCATAAAATTCCTGGATTACCCATCCATGTTTTGATGAAACCTGCCGTCGACTCAAGGAAGAAAAATAAGACGTTGCCCGAACAAATGATTCGAAAATTGGCGCATGTGGCAGAGGCGGTAAGAATCGCGAAAGACGGGAGATCCACCACCTCTGGACCCACGCCTGGAAATCTAGCCGCGGCCTTTCCCGCTCCGGGGTGGCATGAACAGGCATCGCAGCTGGGGACTGAGCAGTCTGAGCTTTCTCCGTCGTGTCAACGGCACCCAGCCGATTTTCTTCGACTGCTCACAGACTAAGCCCATCGTAGTCTCGGCCTAGTCCACCATGGCCGAATGGCAGATCAGCTCTCAGAGGCCTCGGGGGACAGGGTCCGGCTAAGGCCAGCTTCGGTCCACCACTCATCCGGGATATCCTCCCGTCGAGCCAGGTTGCGTATTATCCGCTGCATCCCCCCAATGCCGCCGAAGTGTTCTAGCGGGTCATCGTTGTTGTCGCGCACAACGTCCGCATAGGTCCTACGCAGACGCCGGCTAAGCCGCATGAGCGAGGAGGGCATCTCCTCCTCTTCATCCCCTTCTTCTTCCTCGTCTTCCTCGTCACCCTCCGTGTCGGAATTGTCACATCCCGACTCGCAGGGAGGCTCGAACGTCGAGCCCTCCGCTGTATCTGGCGTGGTGAACGACGTCCGGGACGAGGCGACTGCAGAGCGCTGCGTCGCTGCCGCCGATGCGGAAGCAGAGGCAAATGAAGATCCGACACTGGGCGGTTGCGGATCCGGGGTCAGCGTGCTCAGCAGAGTGTCCCAGACATTGTCGCCTTCCGGGCTAAGGCTCCTGTTACGGTCGCCTAGGCCATCGAAATCAGCCACCTCAGAGTCCACACGATGACGCCAGGTACGGGCGGCATCTGGGCGGCCCTCGGCTAGAGGCTGGTGCGGTGAGCCACCAACCTCAGCAACAAACCTTCTTGCGCGGGACTATGCAGCGTTAGAAATCGAGCGCAAGAGTTCAGCACCGGGCGAGCTATACTTACAGGATGATTAGCGGCCTGTGTAGACCTCATACTCGACAGCGCATATGTTGGCTCAGGACGCAGCTGGCTGCGGCGCCCTAAGAATTCCGGTTCCACAGCCATTGGCAGCATGGGCGACGGGTCGTTGTCATCGTCGCGCGACCGGCCAGGGTTCGACTCGGCGTGCAAATGCGCCCATCGCTCACCAAACATGCCGACGACTACCCGGTCATCGAGGCCGCCTATGCGGTTGGCCATGTCGCCAAGCGCACGGCGACCGTGCTCTGAGCCTGACCTCGTTCCAGTGGCGTCGGTAGTTGCCGGCGGGATTGGCGGCGGTCGCGCTAACGACCCGCGCCTGTCATCGGATAAGCTGTACGCTGCCGCTGCAAGGACGCGACGGCGGCGTTCGCGTACTCGGTCCTCGTTGTTGTCGGGGCCTCGACGGATATGGGAACGCATTCGCGCGAACCTAGCCTGGGCCGAGTTCCCGGATTTGGATTTAGGTTTGGACTGGATGTCCGATTCAACGGGCGCCTGGTACAACCTGATTGGAAAGCGGTGACAGTTAGCGCTGACTCACTGCGATGCGATACGAGGTCAAAAGGTCGCTGTGCTGCGATAGTGTGCTTGCGCATTTATCCCAACATATGCGACCAATTCGCGGCCGAGCGCGACCTTTGTTGGTTCGCGACCGCGAAGTGGTCCGTGAGAGAAGCGCGTGCGCATCGGGAAACGGGGGCTTACCGAAGACCCATTTTGCTTGATTCCGGTCGCTAACGACCTTTCTTGTAGAGCGAGGAAGGCGAATGACAACGAGTGAATTGGCAAGCAATGGTAGCGGCGACAGCGATAGTGCGACTCGGCAGTCGATGGAATCCGATGTTGGGGGTGTGTGTCGAATCTTGGAATGCGTGGGGTTGTGACGGATGATTTGAAGAGGGAAAATTGAATGGACGGGGGCGGCGGAGACCCTTTTGAGCTGGGGAGCCGCTTCTGGGCAACGCGTTGCGCAGGGCCCCTGCTTTGGCAGGGGTCAGGGGTTTCCTGCAGAAGTAGGTAATCTGTACAGATAGTGTATTATACTGTATGTATTGTACCTCATGCGATAATTGCATACTCGCCGCTTACGAAGTGTATTTACCGAAGAAGAAGAAGGCCGGTGTCTGCAACCGTTGGCGTACGCATTGAAACAAAGCTCAATGTTCACTCAACGCATCAACGGTAGTACGTCTAATAGACACTGGTCAAACGTTCACCAAAACGTTTGTCCATGCGTTAGAAGTCAGCAAAAACATGATGGGTTGGGCGACGGTTTTCCTGGACCCCACCCCTTCCTGTACCGTAATAACCTGTCCAGCAGAGGGAATGCATCAAAGAGATATCCGCTTAGAGGAAGGATGCATCAATCGACTCGGTAGCTACGACCCGCTCCAGCCGTCGATCTGGTCCGGGGAAGCAACCACAGTCAAAAATCGACTGGTTCCAGAGACCTTCGATATCTCCTTGGCAGGAACTCGGACCTTGCTCCGAGTCGGCATGAGTCATTGCTGCCACCATCTCTTCTCCATTCAGCAACCGAAACAGCTACTGTCGAGAGGGGTTTACCACTTAACCACCCTATACCTAGGTATTTCGGTCTCCGCTGTCGCGGCAATCGCAGTGCGCCTGCACCAACAGCATGATTGACCTAGGGCTCGCCCGCGTCAGCCGTCTCATCCAGCATACTCCACAGACGTGGAAGGCCATCCATGTCGCCGGGACGAACGGCAAGGGCTCAATATGCGCCTATCTCTCTGCCATGCTGATGTCCAGCGGCCTCTCTCACGCGCGGTTTACATCGCCCCATCTCATTGACCGCTGGGACTGCATCGCCGTCAACGGCAAGCCGGTCGCCGAGGCCGTATTCCGGGATGCCGAAGACGTGGTCAAGCAGAGGGACAGGGAGGGCCGCATTGGCGCCACTGAATTCGAGCTTCTGACAGCGACTGCCTTCGAGATCTTCCACCGCCAAAAAGTCGAGTACGGGGTGGTGGAGGTCGGCTTGGGCGGCAGATTGGATGCTACCAACGTGCTGCAGCAGAAGGCCGCTACCGTGATTGCAAAGATTGGGCTGGATCATCAGTCATTCCTCGGCAACACGATCGAGGAGATTGCCCTGCAGAAAGCTGGTATCATGCGTCCGGGCGTGCCTTGCGTAGTGGATGGCAGCAACCAACGCTCTGTTCTCCAAATGATTGAGGAGCATGCTCGGGAGGTCGGGGCAGAACTTCACTATCCCGAGATTGCAGATCTTTCCGAGGCGCTTTCTGGGGAGAACTTGGAGCCACACCAGATCCAAAACATGGCGTGTGCGCATATGGCCTTCCGCCTAGCATGTCCGGAGCATAGCGCCCCCCTAACTCACTTCCTCCCAGCCTTAAGGAATATGCAGTGGCCGGGGCGACTGCAGAGGCTTGACATTCAGAAGCTGACCGGCCGTCAACAAGAAGTCCTTCTTGACGGAGCGCACAATCCCCAGTCGGCCGAGGTCCTGGCCCGATACGTCGAGAAACACTTCCGCGCGGGGAACCAGCCGGTTACCTGGGTCCTAGCCGCTACGCAAGGCAAGGATATGGATGGAATTTTTGGTTTCCTCCTTAAGCCTGGCGATCAGGTCGCCGCTGTCAGATTCGGACCTGTCGACGGAATGCCCTGGGTCAAAGCCGCTGATCCCGTTGAAGTGCTGCGCCTAGCAGCTCGACATGGCGAACAAAAAACTGCAATGCACAACGCTGGAGATGACGTGAAAGACGCTCTGACCTGGGCATCGCAAGCAGCAGGGAACGGACCCGTTGTTATTGCGGGAAGCCTTTACCTTGTCTCAAGCGTCTTACGGCTCTTGCGGGAATCGTAAACTGCCAGATCAAAACATTAGGTTTGGTTCTGACCGGTGTCTTGGTAAGATTGCTATCGCGACAACCTGGCAACTTGACATGTCGTTTGATACCTCATCCACTTGATACATCCCAATATCACATGATCTGGACGCCTATTCCATCTCCAAAAAAGCGGTCAATCGAGAATGTCACTCTTGGCTAGCGCCCAACCTGCTCATTAAATCGAACTCCTACTACACATCTACCCGCCATGCCGCCTAGCCATCTCATTGTGGTCTGCGGACACGCAATTTGGCTGGGAGGGCCCAAAAACGGATGGGATGAAACCGAGTGGCTGATCGAGAGCTACAAGAAGGGCGAGACGCCGACCTTCATCGAGCACATCAAAGCCGGCGTGCGGCTTCTCAGCCAAGACGAGCGCTCAGTCTTGGTGTTTTCAGGGTGAGTCTCGATACATGTCTTCCCCCCGATTTCCACCCACCATATATAAGGTATCCCCCCGGGCCATGCCTAACACAACCCAACTACAGCGGCCCGACCCGCAAAGAAACCTCCCTCTCCGAAGCCCGGAGCTACTACAACCTGGCCGTCGCCAACGCCTACTTCGGCCTCCTCCCTTCCGATAGCAATCTCCTCTCGACGTCTCGCATTCTCCTCGAGGAACGCGCTCTGGACTCGTACTACAACATTCTCTTCTCCCTCATCTCATTCTGGCGCCATCACGCCGCCTGGCCTGACCGTCTCACCATCGTCAGCCACGGGTTCAAGCGCAACCGCCTCGTGGACGGCCACTGCGCGGCGATTGGGTTCCCGCTGGATCGGGTCGAGTTCGTGGGGTTTAATCCGCCCGGTGTGGACGGTATGGGCGGCCTAGCGGAGGGCGGACGGCCGGGGGAGAAGGCGGAGGCTATGCGTGGCGTGCAGTTGGCAATGGGGCAGTGGGCGGAGGATCCTCATGGGGTGGGCGACGAGCTTGCTGGGAAGAGGAGGGCGAGGAATTGTTGGGGGGTGCAGCAGCGGTTGTTTGGGGACGAGGCGGAGAGGCTGAAGAGTGGTGTTGATGCGCGCGTGTTGGAGGATGGCAGTGAGGCGCTTGTTGAGGGTGGACGGAGGCCGTGGGCGGCGAAGTAGGGTACCTGGGAATATCACGTAGGGAACTGCATCGACCTGGTTATTGGTCAGCTTCCTGCAACCACCTCATGTACGAGGATCCGGACTATGGGACAAAGAACCTCGTCGGCCCAGGGTTTGCGGATCGAACCTAGGTGCTCGCTACGTGACATCACAGGAACCTTCCCGGATTGCGCATCCGATTAATTTCCCGCGCAACAGTACGCGTTCTTCATATCCGATTCAGCAACATGCATTCCCAACTCTCCCCTAGAACGCCCTTTGGTAGAGTGTGAGTTCGCAGCTTCTTCTAGATCTTGGAGGTACGCTGTTCGTCACCTCCGCTTGCTGATGCACTCCGTTCTGCATTGGCAACAGCGTCCACTATAAAGCTCACCGCATCCGTAACCATGTCCTTACTGAATGTGTGGCCGATCCCGGGGTAGACTCTATCATCGACCGAGACTCTCTCCTCCTTCAACCAGGTCTCTGTCGCTTGCTTGAACCACTTTAGAAACGGCTCGGAGCACCGGTATGGCACGAGCTTGTCGTCGCCTCCGGAACAGAGCAGGAATTTCTTGCCACGCAGGTGCGTTTGCGCAATCCTCCGGGCAGGTTCCTCCTCGACTCCTGATGATTGCACATCTGGAACGGCGGAAGTACCGAGAAGGATGCCCTTCGGATCGAATTTCTTGCATGCCTCAACCAGGGACGGGGGGAAGTCCTTGCTGCCGAAAAATGAGGCACCCTTGTCCTGGGCTGAGTAAGTGGCGAGCTTTGAGAGCCTTGCCCTGTCAGATAGGAGGTCTGGTCGAGTATGATGGTTAGAGCCATACACCCACCCCCTTACGGCTAGGGAGCCGGAACCATGCACTCACTCATATAGTCCGGGCAACCAATCACCACCACCCCCGCCGTCACTCTCGGTTCCGCGAACATCAACTGCCACACGCTGTGTCCGCCCAGCGAGACTCCCAGCGCGAGGTGCTGATCGATCGTCCTCTTGCCCTCAGTATCATCGTGAAGGAGGTACCCTTCTACCAGATCCCTATCCACCAAGGAGTCAGTCAGCCAGCCTCTTCCTCGCCCCAAATACCTACTATGGGCGGGGAAAGAACGAAAAACAGCGAAAAAAAGAACAAACGTACAACAAAACCCTCTGATCCGCCACCATCCCCGCAATCACACCGAACATATCAACAGCATGCATCGCGTTCCCCTCGCGCCACGACCCATTCGCCTTCTCGTCCACCGCTCGACTGCCGTGATTCCGTTGGTCATAGGCAAGCGCCACCAGCCCCCTGCTTCCCGGGCCCTGCTGGGCGGCGGCCCCTCCCGCCGCCGGTCCCGGAGCGCTTGAATTAGAATACCATGCCGCAACGCACCGCGCGGCAAAGTCGCCCATGGTCTCCTTGCTCTTCGTGCGCGGGTGGTGCAGCCAGAGACAGGAGATGTGCGTGGCGGTCGGGGGCAGTTCGGACAGGCCGTAGACGTCGACTAGGAGGCCTGCCATTTGCATGGTGCGGAGGGAGATGGGAGGGGCAGGGGGGAGGGACGATTTCAGAGGGTCCATTTTTGGTTAGGTAGGTAGACAGATCCGGGTTTTACTTTGGTATTTTTGAGATGTCTGGTCGAGAGAGGTATGATAATCGGGCTCTGGTAGGGTGCTGGGGCCGTTCTAATTGACCTCTGGTGGTTAAAGGTGTGCATGAACAGTGAGAGGTGAATAAAAGTGAGGCTAGAGCAATGAGCGGGAATTCTATAGTATGTTAATAAGAGCAAACCTGCCCGTCCTTGGGGCATACCACGACCAGGCTCTGTAGATACGAGGGCACCTACCTATTTTGCTCAGGGGTTTCCGTAAATAATATGGCCTTGCCGTAGGGACGACAAAAGGCATGCTCAATCGATGGCAAGCCCTCGGTTCGGAGAGCTCCGACGGAGTTGTGATTACCTACCCCACACCACCCCACAGCCGCGACAGCTTGCAGTCAGCCGAGAGCTACCGAGACCCGGGCCGGGGACATCGCGGGTCAGCCCTACGCGGCTGAAGTTGCTCGGCCCGAGCAAGCACAAACTCTGCGCTCTTCCCTTATCTCAGATTCAGAACTCCTTCTCAAACGCGTTCTCTGGCTTTCCCCGCCTGCGGTAAGAAAAGGCTGTGCGGAATTGGTTCATGAGGTTTGCCATAGAAGTCTGGATGTAGTGTAGTTCCGTACCTAAGGTAATCATGTCAACACTAACCCTTCCAGAGGCCAACACACTTTCTTTTGTCCAGAACCTGCTATGTACAACCGATATTGTATGCTGTCCCGACTGTACAGTAGGCATACAGTACATACCGTAGTGCGTCGCCCAGCCTCAAGGCACGATCCGATCTGCGGATGGGACGGAATGCGTTTACAACGCAAGTAAATGCTTGTTATCATGGATGGTTTGGCTATTTCCCAATTAAGGGCTCGACTAGTGTAGGTACCGTTATGGTTGAGGTAAGTTGCGCACTATGGCCCTCAGGCAACCTAATGCCTTGCTCAAAATAGTATATCCGGGCATACACTACAGTTGCACGGGCAGGGCGATCGATCTACGGATCCCGGCCGGGGCTGACGCAGGGGACTGGTGGGGCGGGAACGGGAGGCAGGGAGGTGTCAGTCAGCCTTAACCTTAAGGTACTTCAACCACTACTAGGTACTACCTAGCATGTCTCCAATGATGACCCAGACTATCATACCGCACTTTGACCAGTGGGGGACGAAGACAGCAGCCAGTCTGACTTCTGCCTGTCACATTAACCATGGCGAGAATTGATCAGGTAGTGTGCGAGTTGTTCTCATAGCTCAATTCTTATTAGCTAAGATATGTACAGCGGAGCAAGAATGTCACAAACGGTGTTCTCCGGAGGGGAGTGCCCAGTGCTCCACCCAAGCAAAGCAAATTCAGCCATGATCTTCTGAGAGCGACGTTATAGCAACATAATAGCCTCATTCGCCGTCAAGTATACCGCCCATAATAATAGCACAACGGGCAATCCCAGATCCGATCGCCAAACCCTTGTAAGCCCTTTGAACGCCGCCTTTTCGCAAAAGTCCTCCGAGTTGGGTATCGTTCTACCTGTGCCCGACCGGAAACGCCAAGGACATCGAACCGTTGAGGACAGGGGATGCATCCCAGAAATGACAAAAGAGAAATTGCCGGAACTCCATGCGCATGCATGTAAATGATACTCCATGTAAAAAAAGGAAAAAAAGGAAAAAAAATTAAAACAAGCGAGGGGAGGGGGGGGGGGAAAGGGCGGGGGGCGAATCATTCAGCGAGACGCGCCAGATATTGTAGCAAAGTAAAGATAGAAGAAAAAACAAACTTCGACGATCATGCCCTCGTCCAGGTCCACGATGGTGGCAGGCATCACGCGAAGTCCGCGGGAAAGGCAGAAAAATTCGCGCCACAAGCGTGTGACGCCTCCGCCACGGGAATCAGCGACGCGTCAGCCATAGGAGCCTGTGACGTTTCCACCATGGGTTCCTGTGCCGCGTTCGCCACGGAGTCCAGTGACGCATTCGCCACGGGGGCTTGCGACGCGGGTGGCATCGGGGTCGGTGGCGCTGTCGTCATCTGGTATCCTGTTTCCGGAGACGCCACTACCGTCGTCGCGTTGAGCTGCTGCTCGAGCGCCTGCATTCTCTCCTTCATGGCGTGCTCCATCGCCATGTGCTCGTTGAGCTGCTTCAGCAACCGGTCGTTTTCTTCTCGCAGGCGCTTAACCTCGTCGCGCAAGTCACTGTCGTCGGCTCGCTTCCGCTTCTGTCCTGCCGCCGCCGCGTCGTTGCCGTTTTGGTCGCTGCCGTGGGTCTGGCTTCCCTCGCGGCTGTCCTTCTTGGCCTTGGGGTCAATCCCGTGCACCCGGTGCAAGTGCTCATCCAAATTCTCCTGCCTTGTAAACCACTTGCCCTTGCCGACGTTGCGCTTGCAGTTTTGCTCAGTACAGTACAAGCGCTCGTTGTCGTCGAGGCCGATGAGATGCACCTCCCGCATGTGTCGGGACAGACCGCCCGGGTACGTGAACCCCAGTACCCTTTCGCAAGCCTTCTCGGGACACTTATATGGCCTCTCGTGCTTGTCCATATGTTTGCTGCGTCGTGGTCAGTCTTCGTGCAAGGTTTAAATGAGAAAATTCGGGAAACTTACTCCCACTCGCACCTGCGCTTGAACTCTTTGATCTGGTCGGAACAGTCCGGCCAGGTACACACGAACATCCCCGACGCATTCCTTGTAACCTCTCGATCTGGCTTGGGGATGGCCTTGCGACGGGGTGCTGTCACAGCGGTTGCTGGCTCATCCTCAGGGGTTGTTGTGGCGGCGTTTGTAAGTACGTTTACAAGGGCATCGCCGGTGTCTGCATGCCGGCCTTCCTCGGAGGCTGCCGCGGGAAGTTGCTGGTGATGACCATCCATGGGGTGATGATTGTCCAAGGCCGGGTGGCTGTCCATGGGTTGCTGTCCGTCCATGGGCGGATAGCCACCATCATTGAAGTAGGTCCGTGGCTGATAAGCCACACTCATGTTGGCGGATGTGAGCTCGTTAGGAGAATAAGAAAATACACCTTGAAGGTCCTCCAGGTTGTCGACTGTGGCACGACTTGCACCTCAAATGCAAGTCCAAGGTTTCGGGGAAAGATGTGGTAAGAATGAGCGGTTTTCGGTTGCAAAGGAGGGAAACCTGAGGGCAGGGGGAGAGTGTATGCAGGCCTGCGCTCGTCCTGTTTATATTGCTGGTTGACGGTTAAGGTGGTTAGGTTGATTGCATGCCCGCTTCAGGTATAATTGCTGGGTCAGATATTGGCGCCTGAAAATTGAGGGTAGAAAAATTCAGATGTATCGTCATCAAATCAATTCGAGGCGTAGCTGAACCTGAGTTTGTTCAGCCCAAAGTGGGACCACTTGCGTGTTTATGCCGGTGGGGTGCAGCGAGGAAACGGTGAGGTCACGTGGTAGAATCCACCCAACGCTTAGTTAATCAGGCGTCATTTGGCTTCGCAACATCAGGTGATGCACTGATGACCCCGAATGTCGAAACGACATATACCGTTTCAACCCAACAGCCCATCAACCCGGATTAGAAGCATGCGCGCGCATGCTAGCTCTTTAGTACCTTTGCTGGGAGCAGGCAGCTAGAGTGACTCGGCGGAGCCAACGGGGACTGACATGTCGTAACAGTGAGGCAGCCACGCAAACTGTGAACATGACTCACATGGCCAGTGAGTGAAAGGTTACCCGGCTCCGGCTCTGCCGTGGTTCTGTCGGCCCGTGTTGTCGATTCGCATTGCACACCTCAGTGGTCACGATCAAGGTCTCTTGAGCCCGGCTACTTTGTCGGTCTAATGCCGCGTACTGTCGCGCGGCCTCTTCGGGCAAACCGAGCAGCCGTATCTGCGACCGTAAACCCGACCAGGCAGCCTACCTGGCTCGTTGGCTACTGGAGGTTTAAACTTCGAAGCGCGCGGCACCCCAGCAATAAGGTGAAATTCCTAACGGCCATCATGAGCCTTAGTAACCCAATCGACAGTGTGGAGGGATGGGCCACCTGCCTGCAACGGGTCGCCTTACACTCCTCGACTCTGCCCTAATCTATTCGCGACTTCACATATAGCCACCACTCCACAGGCCAACAAGAAGAGACCTACTTTGCCACATTGTCCTCTCTGACTCGACTAGGCCTAGTCACACGAGCCTCAACAACACATCTCACCACACAGCATGGATAGGGAGGGCTGAGAATGAGCATTGTCTGGGAATTAGAGCCGTGCACACCGATGAGTCCTCCCGATACGACCGGGGTCTGCGCTTGCAGATGTGTCACCGGTCGTTTTTAGCTTCACAAGTTCCTCCGTAACGCATCCGCTCAAGAGAAGTCTTTCGGGGCCCGTGTTAGCTTTTGACGGTTCTTCTCCCTGAGAGGCTACCTGGTCCTCCCTGCATCGCCTGGCAAAGGCCGATGATCGCAGAGGCCCTCAACGGTCTCGGTGGTCTCAGCGGGCTACCCGACATTGGTCATTATTGCCCGGCCAGCCTGTTAACCGGGTCTGATGAAGTGAGGTAGGAACTGCGCAAACACAACGTCTGTGAGAAGCCCAAGGCAAGTCGCCAGTCCTAGGTTCCCAGTCCTCAAGACAACTGAAGGATTGTATTGGGGACGGCTGAGTCGCAGATGTCCTCAGTGCTTGAGTACCTAAACTAGGCATCAGATTCCAAGGGCTAAGATGCTCGCGCCTTGTGCAAACGGAGGACGACGTACGGAATACGCGCCCACTAACCCACCCCCAACATCTTTACCCCGGATTACTGCACATTCGTGCCGTTTCGGGTCTGGACGATTAATGATTATGGGCGCTGCGGCACAGAGAATGGGGTACGGCTTACACATGTCAGGGTCACATGTTGTTGTTCACACCTTGCTTACAACGCTGTTTTCCGCCTATTCTTCCTTACCTCAATCTCGTTCCTCTCTCTGTGCTCACCCTTGCGCGCTGAGTGACGTCTTTCACGTCAATGTCCTCACTTGCGTCTGCCTTTCTTCCGGGATCGGTCGCCAAGCCATATAACTACTAGTACAATCCTCCCTTATCTATGACGGCGGGCTCAAGACCCGCTATCTCCACTGACCAAGACCGCTACCGCTACCACCCCGAAGTTCGCATCCCACGCATGTGCGGAGTAAGACAACAACAATGGGGAAAGAGGGGCCCATTGTAGGCGGTAGATGACCACGGGCGACCGGCCGAAGGGGCTTACCTACCCCGAGGTGCTTATATTAAACGTCAGGGGCTGCCCGCCGGCACGCTTATAGGCCCTTCCCCCATTCCTCTACAAACAAACCGTCTCTGCCTTGTTGGATCACCTCAGCATTCGCGCTACCTACACCACCCGAAAATGTCGGCTGTCCAGCTTCCCGAACCCTTCGCGGGCATCCCGCGCGAGGTCCTCACGTTCGGCCCCTCTCCAATCCAACACCTTCCCCGCATCTCGCAGGCGCTCGGTGGGCAGGTGAACGTCTACGCCAAGCGCGAGGACTGCAACTCGGGCCTGGCCTACGGGGGCAACAAGACACGAAAGCTCGAGTAAGTAATGGACGATGAGCTAGGAGCTTTCCTTAGGTACTTAGGTAACCTGTCAGTAACCCTCCCCGCCCCGTCCTGCCCGGGGTGTGATTCTAGATACCTGGTCGCAGAGGCCCTCGCGCAGGGATGCGACACGCTGGTGAGCATCGGCGGCGTGCAGTCGAACCATACGCGGCAGGTGGCGGCGGCGGCGGCCAAGCTGGGGCTGGGCGTCGCGCTCGTGCAGGAGCACTGGGTCGACTGGCACGACCCGGGCTACGAGCGGGTCGGCAACATCCAGCTGTCGCGGCTGATGGGCGCCGACGTGCGGCTGGACCCGTCGGCCTTCGGCATCGAGCACAAGCAGACGCTGGCCAGGCTGCGGGACGAGCTGGCGGCCCGGGGCAAGAAGCCGTACTACATTCCCGCGGGCGCGTCGGACCACCCGCTGGGCGGGCTGGGGTTTGCGCGGTGGGCGTTGGAGGTGGAGCAGCAGGAGCGGGAGCTGGGCGTGTTCTTCGACACCGTGGTCGTGTGCGCCGTGACCGGGTCGACCATGGCCGGGATGGTTGCCGGGTTCAAGCTGGCGCAGAAGAAGCTGGGGTCGCGGAAGCGGAGGGTGGTGGGGATCGATGCGTCGGCCAAGGTGAAGCAGACGTTTGAGCAGGTGTTGAGGATCGCGAAGATGACCGCGGCGAAGATTGGGTTGGACGAGGGCGACATCACGGAGGCGGACATCATCCTGGACGACCGCTACCATGCGGGGACGTACGGCATCCCGGACGAGCAGACGATCGAGGCGATCAAGTTCGGAGCGCGCACGGAGGCGTTCATCACGGATCCTGTGTATGAGGGAAAGAGCCTGGCGGGGATGATTGACATGATCAGGAAGGGGGAAATTCCGGCGGGGAGCAACGTGCTGTATGCCCATTTGGGGGGTCAGCTTGCGCTGAATGCGTACTCCGCGTTGGAATAGGGTCTGACTAGTTTTGAGAGGTATCCATACCTACCTTACTCTGTTGAGATCACTATCCAACTTGAAATTGATGAAACTGGTGGTTGTGTAGCTGGCACCTTGCTATGGGTTATCGGAGCGATCTGAACAGGAAGGAGCTGGCTCACTCAAGTGAATCAACTCGATAGATCTTAGCCTTGGAACGACAGAACTTCCAAACAACAATTTCGAGTTCAGCATTCCCTAATCCAGTGTCCTGGCTCTTGGATTCAGGAACCGTAGTTTGTTCCGGTTTCCATCGAAGTTTCTACCCGGCATTCAGTTCTTGCAATTGGCTACTCTAGTCTCAACCACTCAACGGCTGCTCAACAACTCCGGGCGCCGCGGCGCCGGCGGCTCCTCCACTCTCGTCCGAGGTCGGCCCACACTCACACTTTATAATTGACGTTCAGATGAAAACTTGAGCTGAATTCCAACTCCCAATTCACCCTCTCTTACCATCATTAACGCCCAAAAATACTCTCGCAACCAGCACACCCGCGTAGACTTGGATCTAGATCGTGACCAGAAAGGGCTATTAGCACGCACCTCCATTGCTTCTCAGTCCCAGTATGGTTGACGACGACGGCCAGCGTCCGGCCCAGGCCGACGACAAGAACCCGCAAGTTCTCAGCACTCCTGACAGCACAGCTCGCCCAGATGGAGAGGGTCAGGGTGTTGGCAATCGGGTACCCATCCAGGAATATGATATCGAGCGAGTCGAAGAAGTGTACAGGTGTGTGATATATGCCTCTCAATAATTTCTTCTCACAACTCGCCAATGTAGCTGCAGTAGTAAGTTAGTAGAAAAAAAGCTCACTAAGCCCGAACAGAAAACTCGACCTGCGCATCATCCCGGCCTTCTGGGCGCTGTACTTCCTCTCGTCGGCGATCCGGTCCAACATCGGCATCGCGCAGACGATGAACGCGGCGGCCAGGCACGACCTCGCGTCGGTGCTGCGGCTGTCGGCGCGCGACACGTCGACGGCGCTGGCGCTGTTCTACGTCTCGTACGTGCTCTTCGACCTGCCGTCCAACCTGGTCATGAGCAAGCTGTCGCCGCGCGTGTGGATGGCGCGCATCGTGATCGCCGTCGGCGTCGTCGGCGCCTGCTTCGCGGCCGTGCACGACGCCTGGAGCGTCAAGCTGCTCCGCTTCCTGCTCGGCGTCGTCACGGCGGGCATGTGGCCCGGCATGGCCTACTACCTGACGCTGTTCTACCCGCCGAGCCGCACGGGCAAGCGCATCGGCATGTACTTCACCGCGTCGCAGGTCTCGGCCGCCGTCGTGGGCCTGGTGTCGGCCGGCTTCCAGAAGATGGACGGGCTGCGCGGCCTGGTCGGCTTCCGCTGGATGTTTCTGGTCTACGGCCTGTCCGGCGTCGTGCTGGGCGTCTCGCTGCTCTGGTGGCTGCCCGACCGCCCCCTTGCGCCGGGCGAGGCCAGGCCGCGCAGCTGGTACTCGGCTTGGCTGCCGTCGACCCCCGAGGCGCTGACGGGCGAGGACGCGGTCGTGCACTACCACGACCTGAGGCGGGTCTACCACGCGCGGCCGTGGAACCTGACGGATCTGTGGCACGTGCTGATCGACTGGCGGCTGTGGCCCCTGGTGCTCATGTACTTCGGCGTTGTCGGCGTCGGCATTGGCACGCAGCTGTACGGGAACGTCATCATCTCGGCTATCAACCCCAGGTTTACCGGCATTCAGATCAGTCTGCTGTTCGCGCCCATCTGGATGGTGAGTGTGCAGTCTTTCTGTTCTGTCCTGCTGGATGAAGAAAAAAAAGAAGAAAAGAAAGAAAAAGTAGAAAGAAAAAAAGAAAACAATGCTGACCGCACCCGCAGATGGACTTCTGTGCGATTCTCCTGGTCACGCCGATTTCCGACCGATTTCACCGGCACCGCGCCCTCTTCTTCTCCGCCGCCGTGTGCATCCAGATTGCCGGCCTGCTCACCGTCACCTTCGCGCTGTCCAACCCCTGGGCCCGGTACGGCGGCCTGCTGATGGTGGGCTTCGGCCTCGGACCGACCGTCCCGATCTGCATGACCTGGACCAACGAGATCTTCCAGCGCCGCCACCGCGAGGTCGGCGTCGCCGCCGCCTCTGCGCTGGTCTCGGGCCTCGGCAACCTCGGCAGCATCACGACCACCTACGCCCTGTACACGGGCTGGCCCGAGGACGCCGCCAAGGGCCCGCACCAGTACCGGAAGAGCAACTTCGCCATGATCGGGATCCTCTGCATGAGCATTGCCAGTAGCCTTGCCATGACTGTGCTACTCCAGATCTTCGGCAACGAGCCGAGCCAGAAGATCTCGGGCAGCAGCGGCAGCTCGGCCGTGGATGCCGACGAATTCCAGGACGGCGCCGCCCGCCGAGAGGTTCACCAGCGTGGCTTTGGTCGGATGTGGTGGAACAAGCGGTCCGAAGGCTCCCCGAGAGTCTAATAAGAGCGGGTGGGAACGGACCGGAGGAGGGGCGGGTTGAGCTTGCAGTCCAAGCTGCTTGCTAAACTACCACTGCCAGGGCCCGCCGTGAACTCCTTCGAGGGACAAGGTGACATGTCCTGTCCCTCAAATAACTTCACTTCTTAGACGCTCGTTAAGATGCATTAATCCTCGCAAACCATTCCAACAACAAAAAAAGGGGGAAGGGAAACAAAAAGAAACACATCGGTAACATCCAGATCCGGGTTCTACCAGAAGCCTTCTCGATCAAACCACCGATACCACTCGAACCGAGGCTGGGACATCCTCGACAGCGACAGTGCCGCTGCGCCATCGCTGGGTACATACAAGCATGGGAAGGAACGGTCTTCTGGGAAGATTGAAGGCCGGAGAAACGCGACAATGCTCTTACGCTATCGCACCCCCGGCTCAGCCCGGCTGATCTGGGATACACGCACACACAGACACACACACACACACAAAAAGGAGAGGCAGCAGTACAGGGCCCGATTGTCTTGTTTTTTTTTCTTCCTCTTCTCTTCACTATTCCTGTTTTTTGGCGTTGTTTCGTTTTCGTTTTTTCTCTGCTCTGCTTTTTGACGAAATGATACCCCATCCGTGTTTTTGATACGCTGTCGCATTGCCGAAGAGAAGAGGGAGTCACAACGACTGTCTTGTTTACCATGTGCTAGACGGGAAAGAAAGAAAGGAAAGGGAAAAAATGGGATCTCTCAATACTTCTTCGACAGCGACAGTGCTGCTACGCCATCGCTGGGACGGCGTGTCGGGACCGAGGCGTCGGGCGGGCGACAATGCTGTTGCGCTATCGTCTCGCCGGCCTCGTGGGCGTTTTGGCTTTTTTTTTTTTTTTTTTTTTGACTATAGTAGATTCAGCTACCTAGTATACTTGGATAGGCGGCATGGCGTGACTAGCATCATCCGGCAGGTATACCCTTTTTGTCCGGGTTGAGAATTTGAGTCTACTGCCCTCCCCCACTTCTACTTCGACAGACAGCTGCCGGTGAAGACCCAGTCTTGTGGTTATCTAAGGTAGGTAACTACCTTACTGTTCTATGATGCAGTCCGGGCTTTGCTTCATTTTCAGCAGGTCCCTTGACTGCGTCCCCCGAGCACTTTACACTCTTCTACGATCAACACCCCAACCAAAGCCCTTCCAACGGGGTCCCTCATCTGGTACTTCACGTAGATTGCTTCACCGCTGAAAGTAGAAGGAAGAGCAACTGAATGTAAGGGCTAGACTCACCCCGGTCTCTTCTCGATGTCTGAAAGCCGAAAACATAAGAGAACACTACCCGGCTTCCTAGGCTATAAATAAAATAATCCGTCCCCTGATCGGCCAAAGCAACCCTCTCTGCGGAGCCAACTCAATGTGCGGGCTATTGCATTTCTTTCCTTCCTTTTACTCACTATCATCACCTCCCCCATACGCATCAGCGCATGTCTTGTCGGCGCTCATGTATCCCAGTGGCCTTTTGAGCGAGTCCTGGTCTTTGGTCTCGCTTGACTTGGTCTTTCTCAAGACCATAGTTTGCGGCAGGCTTGGATCGTTCGATCCCGCGGTCAAGAGCCACCTTGAAAACTCAAACGCCTCGAGTGGCTCGTCTGCCAAGGATGCTTGTTCGATATTTTTATCGTTGAAGTCGGCCTGGCGGAGCAGACTTTTGTCGCCGTACAGATCGAGGTCTTTGATCAGCTGGAGAGGAGGCTCCGGGTCTACCTGCAGCACAACTTGGCCGCGCGTATGGTTGCGAAGCTTCTCCAGAGCTTTGTCGTAGTACCCAATCTCAAATACATCCTCGGGGTCGCAGACAGGCTGCAACAGCCCGCGATCTGCAAGCCGTGCACAGAGTTTAAGCATCCATCCGGACTTCCTCATCATAGCGATGTTAGGGGCGTGTTTGATGCGCGGTTCCACGAGATCTGGCTTCGCCTCGTCCGCGTTCTCGGCCAAGCTAATGATCTTTCCGTCTGCGGCGACAAGCCTCCAGGTCCGAGTCAATGTCTCGCCGCCCATGAGATCGAGAACGGCCGAGAACCCGGGCTGGTCCCACTTCCTCAGGCTGCCTTCTTCCGTCTTCTAGTCATAAACTTCAAGGGCACCGAGGCGGCGGACCAGGTCCATGTCTTTGGCGTCGCAAGTCGCGGCGATCCTGCCCACTCTCGCAAGCCGCGCCAGCTGGATGGCCCACACACCGACGGGTGTCGCGGCCCCTGTGATCAGCAGGCTCGTCCATACGTTCCAACCCGCATCCCACTTCGGCCAGCCCCATTCCCCGTCCCCAGGTTCCCGGAGGAGGCCCCAGCGAAAGAGCGCCGAGTAGGCAGTAACAAAGCCGATGGGTACAGTTGCGCTCTGCTCCCAGGTCATGCTTTTCGGTTTAGCCGCCATGTTGTGCAGTCTCGCGACCGTGAAGGTACGAGCGTTGCCGAAACGCTGAAAACATGTCCTGCCACTTACGAGACATTAGTTCGGCCCCGCAGACGCGAGGCGAATGAAAAAAAAAACGTACTAGACCTCTGTCCCGGGAGACAGGGGCGAGTCCGGAGCAGCGGAGACGACATAGCCAGAAAACTCGTAGCCGGGGATCTTGCGGACGGGAATAGGGCCATTCCGTTCTTCTTCGGTCAATTCGAGCTCATCACGGTGAATGGCCACGGCGCAGACTTGGACAACGTGCAGTGGTAGAGTCGAGTGACTTTGGACATTGGGCCAAGCAGCGTCCTCCAAGGTGAAGGTGTCCTTTCCTTCAGGGCTGAGGTAATGATGCAGTACCTCGGCTCCTGGAAAGGCGAGTTGCTCAGGCCAGGTCGACATCATGCAGAGATGTAAGAGAGTAACGAGATGCAGTCACTAATGAGTAAATGGGCGGAAGAGATGAAATTGGTATGAGAGTGGTGTTTGCGTGGAATGGCGAAGTTGACGGAGGTGTCGAGGAACAAAAGTCCTGCATCCTTTCCTGGAGGCGAGACCACGGAATATGGCGCGTCGTGGCTGCCGTCACCTCGCACCAGCGGGTTGCGATTGCCATGTCAAGTCTATTACCATGGAGTTTGGAATGCGCAGCCAGATGGGATCCTTGCCGAACATCAATCGATTCGGCGCTCCTCGTCCGCGCCCTGGAGGAGCGAGTCGCCCTCCTCCGGCTTCCCATCGGTGCCGCGGTAGAGCACATAGTGTTGCGTCATGAAGATCAAGTCGTAAAACATGGAGACATTGCCAAGGGCGAACTTCACGGGGTTGCCCGTAATGCCGGACCAGTCGCGCTGGAGATAGCTGTCGATGGACTGCTGAGCGATGCTCAAGATGCCGCCGGAGAAGTCGAGCAGGATCGCCATGATGCTCCAGCCTCTGGTGGACCGGTTGCGGTAGTTGAACATGACTTGGGGCGTGTATTTGATGATGGTGATGATTAGCTTCACGTACGAGATGGCATAGATGGCGTCCAGCCAGACCCACGAGCTGACGGCCTCGCGAGTACTGTCGCGCTCTGTCGAGGCGAGCACGATAGAGATGACGGCGCCCACACCAACTACGCAGCCGAAGAAGACGCCGAGGATGAAGCGGCTGGGCCTGTTGCCGAAGCTGGGAGTGAACCCCCATGCCCGGGAGTAAAAATACTGGGATGTGGTGACAATGCACAGGAGCAGTCCATGGGCAGCAAAGGCGACGTCGTTGAACTGCACCGTCGGGGTAAGCCCCTTGTAGCGAGCGGCATACTGGGCCCGGATCAGGGGCGAGTAATAGAATGCTGCAGTGGAGACCAGGTAGGCGGCGAAGCCTGTCATGGGAGTGGACATCAGTCATTGGCATCTCGAGAAAAGTGCTGTAGTGTGTATCCGCCTACCCAGAGTATTGACCAGCGGGAAGTCGACGGTGGTCCCCGATGTTGTTTTGCGCCGGAAGTTGAGGATGGCCTGCGGGTAAAAGCTCACCGACCACGCTGCGAAGTACGTGACGCCAAACAAGGCCGACAGGAATTCGAGGAAAGTCATCACGAGTGTGTGTGAAAGGAGTGGCTAGTGGAGAACAGCCTTGAAGGGATTAAATGAATGGAGGTTCGCAGCGACAGTCCGGGAGTTGAGGAAGCTGACCGCGGCGGTTACCGTATGAATGTAGGTGGTTCCCAAAACGGCAAAGTGGAACTGACGCCATCTCCGACGCTGCTGCGCATGGTGTCAGTAAGCTCACTAGTCCCAATCTGGCTAGTGCTAGGGACTTTCCTTCAGTGTGGGTCTGGGGAACAGTTCCAGTCTTTCACCCGAACTTGAACATTCCAACGTGACCAGGTGGACAACATCATATGGCGATCTCTGTAGTATTGGGTGATACGAGCATCAGGAACGACTAACAGTTCAGCAGGATTATTACTGCTGTTGATATGGAAGCCGGTAGTAGGTATATAGGATTCACCATAGGATGAACCGGGAATCGCTCGCTTATCGGCCCGAGGCGTATATAAGCCCCCAAGGCGCATAGCAGACAGCAGCGCCGGTAACCCTTGCAATCGCGACCAGCTACCCTATGATCCAATACATATAAGCTGAGTATACAACCTCTCTTACACGGAGCTAAGTGTAGACAATCACATCATGAACAAATCGCACTCGCGCTCGGACCTGTCTCAGTTCCGGGACCTGGCTCGGATATGCATGGAGCTCTGCGCCTGCCGAGCACCGTCACATCGCACTACATATGTACCGAGGGACCCCGACCAGACGGGACATTCGGCGTCGGTGTGGACACCAATCGCAGCACATGTTCGAACCTGACCGGTCACTGCTATTACTGGGTCTCAGTTCGCTAACGCTCCAGCTTCCAGAAGCGTCAAATGAGGACCATTCTGGGGGAAGACGGTGTTTCCTGATTCGAGCTACGTCATGATCGACCCCGGATAGTTAGAGCAAACCATTGAGGGACCCTTGGACTTCTCACCGCTTCTGGGTGGTGATCTGGACTAGCTGATAAAATGATGGACCAACCTCTCTGATAACTGGAGCATTATTAGATAACCATGGCCTTCTCGAGCCCGTTGATGTCCTGTCCCGTCTGTTTCTTCCCCCTTTTATCTCTTCCTTGACCACCTCATCCAGCTCTGAAGCCCATTAATAAAGCCTTATTATTTATTAGTAGTAGCCTTCTTTGCCCAGCAAGACCTAGTATCGTTACCCATTCATTTCATCCCACAATCAAACCGAAATGCCCCGCGACCGACCAACCTTCCTCACTCTGCCTCTCGAACTCCGCCTAGACATCTACACCCATCTCCTCGTCCTCCCACCCCCGCCGCCCCCGGAAAGGCAACAGCCCATCTACCGCTGCGCCCACCCGTACTCTCCAAGCCCGGAAGAAAAGCCCACCATACACACCCAAATCCTCCTAGTCAACCGCCAAACCAACCGGGAAGCCACCCCACTGCTCTACACGCTCAACACCTTCACCGCGCACCCGGCCCTCCTGACAGTCGCCGCCGCACCGACCCTGCTTCACTTCCACCACCATGCCGTGTACCGGTCGTCTAAAACTTTAGGAATCCCAAGCAGCAGCAGCAGCAAGTGGACAAAGCTAATCAGGAAGTGGAACCTCCGTGTACGCATCGACGCCGCCGCGCCGCCACCCCCATGGAACCGCAGCCAGGTCAGCGCGGCGTTCAGTCACGCGCAGGAGCTCACCCTCGATTTGTGGAGCGGGGCATTCTCCTCCTCCTCCTCCTTCTCCTCCTCCATGGGCATGGACGGTCACTCAGGGGTTGTGGAAGGAGAAGGAGAAAGGGAAGGAGGGAGAGGAGCGGATGTGTTGCGGCTTTTTGAAGGGGTCCGCGGGGTAAGGCGGGTGCGGGTTGTGGGGATGGTGGTGGTGGGCGGCGGCCTGGAGGGGTATGTCAAGTGGTTGACTAAGAGGATGACTAGTATGGATCAAGAGGAGGGCGACGTGGATGGTGACCGGAGAGGTTCGACGACGGCCTTGGTTTAGTTATGAGCAGGGTAAAGAATAGGCTAGCGGAACAGACTAGGTGATAATGGAAGGGATGAAGGGGAAGGGGGGGAGGTGATGGAACGGGACGTTGTCTGCCTTAATATGGTCTGCGGAGGTATGGCCGAATGTTTGAATAATGAGCCCTAGTAGACACAAAGTTAGGAGTGAGTGTAAGAGGAGAGAACAGAAGGTAAAGGCACAGCACAGCACAAGCTCAGATGGAAGACCACACAGCAAAAAGAACTCATCATCTCACAGAACTGCGGCAAACTTGCTTAAAAACACGTCAATGTGCTGCCATCTACCTCTAGCCCCTGTCCTGTATGTTTTGGGTGTATCTTGTGTGTGTGTGTTGTGTGTGTGTGTGTGTGTGTGTACGGTGTCTATGCGCCTTCCCACTAGTTTCTCTACCCAGGCCCCTTTTTAGACGGAAGCAGAAAGAAAGGCGCAACTCATCTGGATACCTTAGTTACAGAGAATTGAAGGACCATCCATCGGTAGTCATTATCGTTCTTCCCTTTTCCATCCCAGCCAAGTTTGGTCAAAGATAGCAGCAAAATCAAAAGTAGAGAAAATGGGAACTGAGACAAAAGAAACAAAAAAAGAAACTGAGAGCAACATTGCCACCCCAAATATTACCCGTAACGCCTGCTGCCGATGTGCATGCAATGCAAATGGTCTGTATCCGGAAGATGGTTGTCTGGCCACCCCCCGGCTCCATCGTTCGATGTTGATGCAGGTGTGATCGGGCTGTATGTAACCCCTGCCGCTGTGAAACCCAAGAAATCATAACGAAAGGCTAAATGACGGCGCCGTGCATTGGATGGCGAGCCGCATTTGGATGTTGTGCATGTGCCAGGCCGAGATCCACCTGTCCGGTCGATCATCCCATCGCCAACTGCCGAGGGTCCATTCATCCGGCCGAGCTTTAATGCGACCTCGGTGCACCACTACCAGTGGCCTTTTTAATAAGAGCCCTCCTTATGCTGCCTTCCCGCCCATCCAACCAGGCAACGTCTTCCAGCCGTGCGCATTCGGCCCAAGCGGCGTCTTTCCAAAATGCTCGTCCAAGTCGAGAAGGATCTTGAGCGCGTTGCGTGACCGGTAGAAGGGGGTGTCGCCGCCTGCCTTCTCCTTGAGCGTGGATACGGCCCCCGCCACGCCACCGGCCACACTCGACGCCAACTTCGCATCAGCCTTCTTCCCCGGAGAGGGAAGCAGGTTCTGGAGCAACTCGTACGCCGCGAGCGTGAAGCCGAACTGCGGTGACGACCGGAAAATACGCGCGGGACCACCCTTGAAGAACGCCCGGAAACCCTCCTCCTTCCAGATTGTCTTGGCGGCGTGCCGCAAGCCCGTGTATTGCGTGTCGCCCTTACGTGCTTCGACTTGGAGACGGGTCTTGATAACGTCGCATGGCGTGGTGAGGTACGCTGCCGGCATGCCCGCGATGGCGCCGGCCGTGAGGAGCTGGAGGACGCCGAGTTTCTTGGTTTGGGATTCGCCAAAGAGGTCCTTCTTCAGGTGCGAGTATGTGGGGAAGTAGATGGCGGAGAACGGCACATCACGGAGCAGGCACGCCGACGCACCCTTGTACAGACCGACAAGACCCAGGTTCTTGACAATCCACATGGCGGACCGCTTCGGTGCGCCCTCCACGCTCTTGGCAACCTCGCCTTGAACCTGGAGGCGAATCTTGACGATTTCCAGGGGATTGGTGAAGACCTGCACAACAGTCTATTAGCCTGGTTCAGTGCGCACCTTTTGGACAGAAGAAACATACGACTTGGCAACCGCCAGCGGCACCACCCGCAAGGAGTTCATAGCCCCACCAGATCCTGCCCTGCTTATCGGTGAACCACCCACGAACAAGGTCGTTCACGGTCAACTTGATGGCTTTCTCCGGCGCGACACCGACAAGCTGCGGAAGAACACCTGAGTACAGGCCCCTGAATCCCTCGTTGCGGACCACCTTCTTGAAGCAGTCGATCGAGTTGTTGTACAGCCTTTGGCCGGGGTTCGCACCACGCTGATTCTGCATCCGGGTCTTGACTAGGTCGATCGGGTACACCATGAAGGCACCGAAGGCACCCGCAATGCTGCCGAGGCCGAAGTTGTACGCCGACTCAATGCTCTGCGCAAGAAACTGCGCGGCCCTGGACTTGACTTCGACGGCAACACGGCTGTCGTCCTCTTCGTCGCGCCGCCGCCATGTGGCGTCGAGCACCTTTGTGAAATCTCGGAGGCCGAGGCGCCCAGAGGGCTCATCGAGGCTGGCGAAGTGGAACAGGATGTCGGCTTCCATGGGCGTGAAGAGCGAGAACCGAGTCGTCTTGGCGGCCTGCTGGAGGAACTCGGACCTTGTGATCCGGCCATCCTTACTCTTGGAGCACGCGCGTCTAACGATGAGCTCCACCAAATCCATTTCGTTGATCATGTTCAGGAAAGCCCGGACGTTGGCATACGACACCTTGCTCCCTTGCGCGATATTGCACAGCGTGTGCAGATTGTCCAACAGGTGGTCCGAGAGCTTGTGCTTTGCGGTCTGTCGGATGATAAGCGCAAACTCCTCGGGCTCGATGTATCCGTCACCGTCCACGTCAAACCGCTGGAAGGCTTGCCGGACTCGCTCCCCCTGTAAACCGCGGAGCATCTGCGAGAATTGGTGATAGTCCATGTTGTGCCGCTTTGTCTTGCTGCCGATGTACAGCTTCGCCCATTCGCAGTCCCAGTCGAACGGGATGCTATCGGGCCCCTTGTTCAACTCGTACAGCCTACGGAAGTCTTCATATTTTACGGTGCCGAGCCTCTCGACGTCAAAGAGGCGGAATGCGATCTCATATTCGGCATCGGGCTTGTTCAGAATGTTCTCAAAGTACGCCCAGTCGGCAAGGGTCAGCTTGCCCTTGTTCGTTCGGTCGGCGACGCGAAACAGGATCGAGTACTGCTCCCGCTTGATTTTGTGCTGTGTCTCGACGAACACGCGCGCGTTAGTCATTTGAGGCTATCGGGATGACTGACATGCCGAGGCAGCCAGGAACTCACGTAGTCTTCATGCGGCGGCGCAATCGCATCGATGAACTGCTCTGGCCCCAGGTAGAGCTCGCCAGTCTCGGCGTCCTTGACAGCATGGCGGTTGAACCGCGCCTTGGTCTGCGCCGAGAACTGCGTGGGCTCCTGCGAACCCACGAGCGTCTCCTTAACAGCCTCCTTAACGGTTGCGACTTTCGACATAGTGTTGCCGCAGAGATGTGCGATATGTGCGCACTTATTAATTACTAGGGGGGGGGTACGTTATGATGTCGCCACGCCGTTGGCGATGTAGCCAGGAAACTGCCCGGGGAAATCTTCAACGACTGCCAGACAATTGAGTGAGTCAATGGGCGGTGGGAGGAGCCCGGGGTCGCGTAAGCGGCAGGAGACCAACAAGTGAGGGAAAAAAACCACAAGTATCACGCGGTGTGCTTGGCGCGAACGAAGAGAATGTGAGTTCGACCGCTTTTTTTGCACAATGCCAACGACTTCCCCTCAATGCGCACCAAGCAGCAGGAGGCTGGCTTTACTGGAGCGACGAGACCGGAGGCAGGGACTCGGGGAGAATGTGGATCTGGGGTGAGAAGACAGCGTGATCGAAGCCCACGATGTCCGTCGGAGTGAAGGACGCTGCTCTTTTTTTTTTTACCTTTGCCCCGTCCAATCCGGTTTCGCAGGTCCGAGGTTGCAGTGGGGGCCCATCAGACAGGGCGGATCTTGGCAGTTGCGGCTGCCCAGGGGCACATTAGCCGAGAACTTCTTTCGGCAAACCCCGCCCCCAGCTCCCGACCGAAGCCCTCCGGGTTGGCCCGATACTGTGCGGCGGTTCACCACCGGCTTTACGTAATTCCCACTCCGTGAGAAGCATCCATGGACCCGACCGAGAGGTGTCAGGGACGACGGAGAAATACTGGGCTCAACGAAGGTAGAAGGCACTGTGTATTGCGGTGTGTAGTGTGTGTGTGTACGGATAGGTACGGCAGTTAACTTGCGGGGAGATCCGGGGACATGCCGGGGTGCAAGTGGCGGCAAGGTAACCGCACCAACCACAGAACGGCTTGTTCCTGAAGATCCGTCGGGGCCAGATCGACAAGGCTTTTGACAGGACCACGTGGACATCATCTGGACATCACCAGGTCAGACTGTCATGTTGAAATTCTTCATCTAACTTTTTATCACGAACCTCTCCGAAGAACCGTCCTCCCTGCCAGACGGGAGTGCCACTTGACCGCCCCGACATGCCTAGTATCTCCCAACCTTCCCTAAAGAAACGAGAAGAAAAATAGAAATAGAAAGATCCCGCCACCAGCATGACCCGAAGTGAAATTACCACGGTATACCGATACATGTAGTCTGCTATAGAGCATCCCCCGAGGTGTGCCCGTACGCCGAATTCCCCCCCAAGACGCCGTTGCTGCCATGTCTCTAGATGCCTTGCTTCATCTTTCAGCCATGACAGCACCTCATTAACCCGATTGCCGGTGTACCTCATGCCAACGCCTCCCACAAAAGCCGCCTGCCCTCTTGTAGACACTGATGTATTCCGTTGCTCTCGAAACCCGGCAAAGGTGGATGATCGAGGCTATGAATCGTAATGTAGAAGGAAAGAAAATGTCGTGAGTCGCATTAGTTCGTCATGAGCTCATCGCTGCCTTGATGCTCATCACCGTTTTCTTTGTGGTGCAGTTTGTGCGTCGTGCAGACGTAAGCACCAGATGCTGGGTTACCCAGCGCCCAACACAACCAGCTCGTTCTCCGTGCATGTTTCCATGTGTGGAAGCCGGGTGCAGTGGACTAAGGTGTCCAATGCACATAGAACAGTTGGTGGTGAGCACAGCGGCAGCAGTCTCGATATCCCTTGCGCCCGTTCATAGCGACGGGTGCGGGTACAACATAGGTAAGAGACGTTGCTGTCGTGATGATCCGCCATAGTCGAAGAAGATTAGAAAATACGCAAGGCATAGCAGCCCAAATACAAAGGAAAAGATCGCCGACCGGATCGTGACGCATGCTCCAGCGGAGATGTGCTTGGTATAATGCATACAGCAAAAGAAAAGACTCGTGAAAAGATCGTAGGCATGATGTCAGCTTGACGCTGGCTCGGATCTGCTTAGGCCTTGATCGGGACGGGGTTGTCGGACGCCGGGAATGAACGGCCGATTTCGTCGCCGAGGAGGGATGGAGTGCTTGGCTGCGAAAATGCAGCATCGTACAGCTGGGACAGGGTGAGCCCGCTGGCAATTTTTCCCTCAACAAAAGTCGAAGATTGCTTGTATTTCGGACCAGCGTACTTGTCGTACACAGCGCCATGGTGCTTGCTGGGGTATTGGCAGCACTCGTACAGCATCTTGACGAGTGGTTTGAGTTGGCTGAACGTGTAGCCAGAGTAGTGGACGTGGGCAAGACTCTAGAACAAAGCTTTGTTAGCTTCCATCTTAGCATCGATAGGCGGCTCACTTACCCAATCTCCCTTGCCCAAGAACAAACGCGAGATGCAATGCGCTCCGGCAGCGAGATAGCTGGGAGGACTGCTAACAAAGCGCTCGTCCATGATGGTCATTTCCAAGAAGTACTTGGCCAAGGTCCGGGTGTCCAGGTCATAGTCATCCGCCTTGCTGATGCGGCGAAGGAAGCTCATGGGACCGGGCCAGCCCAGCTCAAACCCCAACATGCTCAGCATGAAACGCTCAGCCTTGAGAATCTCATCGACGCTGTAGCCTGAATCTACCATGTAGACAATTTCCTGAACTGATGGACAGTTGATCTCCTCGTACTTGGCCGCTACAAAGAGAGCAGTGGCGCCGACAAGCTGGAGCTTCCCCAGGGAGACCACCTTAACCGAGAGGAACCGGTCGATGTAGTTGACCGTCAGGAAGAGCGTCTCGGGCAGAAGGGCAAACCGGTGGTGTACCTGAACCAACCAGTCCATCAGCACGGAGCGCATCGACCACTGGATCTCGGTCTGGATGTCCATGTAGTGAGGATTCGGGAGCATCTGGGCCTGCGAGGGGCAGTCAGCAAGAGGAACCAAGAAGGAGCCAGGAACAGAGAAACAGGGGGAGAGCATCCTACCTCCAGGTCACGCATATATTCAAAGATCTCGTCGCCGTACTCGGCAACCATGCTGACGTCCCAGGCCTCGTCCTCCACCTCATCTTCGTTTTGATGCTGTAACACGTATTGCTTGGCCATCTCGAGCTCTTCTTCGACACTTGCCGTAATACTCGGAGCAAGCATCGTCGTTGGGCCGCCGGTGGTGTTATCGCCATGCGACCTCAGCGAATGCGCGGTGGTATAGCCCTGCTCTTCGTAGTATTCCTGCTCGATTTCCTCGTCCCAGTACTCCTCCAGTTCCTGCGCAGTAGACAACTCCACAAATGTCTTAGCAGGAGAAGGGTCCAAGATTTCGGCGGATTGAATCTCCTTCTCATAGTCTTCGTCATAAATGCTCGTGTACTTTCCTTGCTCAACCTCAACTAAGACATCGCGCACCGCACCGTCAACGTCCTGGGCCAACTGTTCAAGAGCGTCCTCGTAAGCCGCTTCCGTCACGTTGTCGTCGAAATCGGCTTCGCTTTCGGCCTCGACCAGGTTATCCGGCTTGACCGCAAACCTACTATGCGTGTGCCGGATGCTCTGCTGTTCGGCTCGGAGCAGCGGCTGGCTCCTGTATTGACGCGGGTTCTTGATTGGTTTGACTACCATAGCCGCCAGATCGTCGGCGGGGGAGTCTCCGGCGGGACGGTCGTTCACCTTCGGTTCCTGTCGGTCCTGATGGATGGCCGTCTTCTTGGACGCTCCGTTTCGCAGCGGAGGCTGGGCTAGAGATGTGCCGCGGACAGCGGGATTGGCAGCCTGCAGCGGCGCGACCTGATTATACTTGGAGCCCTTGGAGACAGCGCCAGTTCGGGATCGACTGTCGTTGGAGCCACCCTGTCTGTTTTCCTTGTCTTCACGTCGAGTATCGCGAGTGCTGAGGGGTGCTGTAGTCGACTTGGTGCGGGTCTTCATAGCCTCCTTGCTGACGGGCTTGCCAGCAAGGTCACCAACACGGCCTCGAACTGTGTTGCTCACGTCGCCAAAGGCAGTGCGCTTTGGAGGGGCATTGAGCACACCAGTGGTGGTCTTGGCTTTGAGATTGCCGGCTGACTTGTGACCGTTGTGGATGGACTGTTTCGTTGGCAGATTATTCTCGTCACCGATAGCGGCGACGGCGCGCAACGGACGCTGGTGCTGTATGCGTGCGTAATTAGACCAATCTGCAAGCACAAAGCATCGGTGTTGTAGGCATGGGATTGTAGACGGGTTTGGGTTTTAATATGATGATTGATGTCGACAGAACAGCGCCGGCCAGGTGGGGTGCGAGGGACAGCGGGGCGCGAGGACGAGATGGAAAGAAAATCAACATAGGAAGCGTACCTTTGCATCCATCTTGGCGGATTGCACTTTAGATGATGTTGTTAGGCTCTGCTGGCGGGAATATGCCTGTCAAGCTCGAAACAAATGATCATGCGTGAAATGAATAAATTGGATTTTTGTTGGGCAGCCGGCGAAGGGTGCGACTTGAGCTGCCGTGCGGCCAGTTATGAGGAGGCGGCGATGATGTCGGCGGCACACCCCGCCTTTGGATTGCCGAAAAGCGGGCGGCCGGATACTCGAGACACGGTCCAACAATTCTGCAGACTGTCTTCCCTCTAATTGCCAGTCCTGGCGTCTTCTGGATTCGCCGAGTCGAGATGCTGCGCGTCAAGTTGACAAGGTGAGCTAGTCCTGCGGCAGAAGACAGAACTAAGCGCAGCTCGCAATGGTTGACGCGGGTGGAAACAGCGCGCGTCGGAGCTAGCCCTGAATCGCATACATGAGGAAGGATGACCGATCGACGTGCGGTAGTGATACCTTCTGCAGGCCGTTGCAGTTGCAAAAGGAAAGCCAAAGGTGTGTGGAATCGGTTGGCCAATCTTTTTCAAGTAGTCCTGCGCTGCGCTTTCTGTTTACGTCTTGATAGGACGAGTGTAAACAACCCAGGCATTTCGCGGCAAAGTGGTTCGTGCCATCCCTGTCAGTGGTTGCTCAGCGGTTGCGCTGCCGTATTCGTCCGCTGTTACCCTTACGATGACGTAACCCCGCTCTTACCAGCAATTCTGGGGCAGACTGTCAGTCGCGTCAACTCAAGAAGTTCATACATCAAGCTGAATTTCCGTCAGAGCTGCGCTTTTGATATTTCGCGCCATGAACGACAATTCGAGTGTCGCCAGTGTCTATACAGGTTAACTACAGAATACCCTTGAAGTACATTGCCCAATGTGGCTTCAACCAGTGATTAAGCTGAGAGATCAATCCGACATCTCACGCGCGGTCAGCGAGCCCTTTGATACACCAATTTAACGCGACATCACGTGCCTCCAATGGGTCACTTCGACAGCCAATAGTTTTCCCTTTGCAGCAGAAACATTCCAGTCTCCTTCGACTTGCGATTCTCAAAGTTGGGCGGCGTGCTGTACCTCATGTCCTGTAAATCACCTATCGTAGGTTGCGGTCGCCGCCCATTGCTATTTCTCTCCGATCCAAAGCCCTTGTTGGGAAAAAGCCGCCCCGCAGAACAAACTGTCCGGGTGGGGCGGCCGCCGTTTCTGCTGACCCAACGAAACCGACCAGTGAAATGCGTTGTGCAGCACAACACGAAGCGCGATGTTTTGATGTTTTGATCCAAAGATGCTTGCGGCGAGCGGCGACCGCTTCTCATCCCGTGCGGGGCTGTTTCAAGGCGCGAAGAACTGACCCGTCAGGAGCACGAATTGCCTCAACCGGCTTGACATTCCACAGGGACGGGTGCGACCCGTTTCCGAATCCCATAAACCGATGCATTAGAATTCAGGTTGGCTCCTTCCCCTTCGCTGGTGCTAGGCCCTTGTGTTCCTGGAACTTCTTGCGAAGTCTCCCGGAATCGGGATTGCGCCATTGGACATCATGGATGGCCTGGGAGCACCCGGCGCCGAGTGCCGACGGAGTCGTCGCCAGCTCGAATCGATTCCCCCTCTCCGTCCACATTGGATACTCTACTGGGTAAGGCTGCGGTGTCCGTCGCCGCTCAGAGGTTCAGGGCCTGTGCTGCACCGAATTGTAATATGGTAGTCCGTGTGGAAGTTCTCCTAACTGCCAGCTCTCAAAGGTGCGGCAGTCTCGTGGCCGCCTCCCAGTCCGCCGAGCGTGGGGCTGATAAGCCTCAACTGCACCCGTCATCGCAGCGACACTGGGCCCACGAATTTCACGATTGGTTTGCCATTACATCCCTCACCCATCTGCGCCCGTAGTGACATGACTGCGATGGGTAATAAATATTTGATGGTTGGCGACCAGGCTGGCCGTTCAAGAGCGAGCGCTGCAGATCGGGCGGGTAACTTGAACACCACGGATCCGGAAATCTAGGGCGAGCCCGGTACGGGAAGCTCCAAGAGCTAATGGGTGGCGCAACCACGAGATCGCCTTCTATTCTCCACCCTGTGTAGGGGTTTGCACGGCATGCACACACTAACCGGCGCGGAGAGGCGTGGCTCGCTCATGTCAAGCAGTCCACCTCCGTTCCTCACAGCGATCTTGGGAATCAGGAGTCTAGGACGCTGATTTGATGCAGTCTTGCGTCTGAAACTCTGCCAGCGCATCCGGCCATGGATCCAGCCGCTTAACTACCGGACCGGCTGGAAAGGCCGCCCAAAGCGACCCTACCGGCTTGCCGTTACAGCCGGGGTGCCCTGTAGCTGCGGCAGCGACGAGGATCCTCTTGGTCGTCTCGTGTCTGAACGAAATCTGGTGGTGCTTGTCTTTTCCGGATTCAGCATGTCATTCTCAGCGCCCATGGGTAGGAGTATTCCGGCCGCAGATAATATTGTTAAATTGCGCTACACGATCTGGAGTCTGCCACATTACCAAACGGCTCGTCTTCAGGCCCGTCCAGCAGCCATCTAGCCACGATATTTCTGCTGCGTTGGTGTTGGACTTGGGCAGTCTTGCGTCCCAGAGAACTGACGCACTAATAAGCACGCTAAACACCAACTCGCTCGTCCATTGGCTCGTTGACCACCGACATGGCCGCGGCATCCACCTGAAGATTCTAAGTTCGTTGTTTCCTCTGGCGCATTCTCTTCCAGACCCGCCCGCGATCGCGCCCGGCGCGGCTCTGTGGTATTGATTTATGACTCTTTATGCAAAACAGTTAAGTCGTGCGTCCAGGTGGCCGAGTCGCAGTGCGCCGGCAGGCCATCCAAAAGCGATTTAGATCAAGCCGTTGACAGCAGTGACAGCGCAGTGGAGGAAAGCCCCCAGAACATGTTGCGCCACCCTCTGTACTCCCACAGCTGGCAGCTCAATGCAGGAAACACTGCAGTCACATCTGTCTCGGTACCCTTATAGCGTCGCTAGATGAAGGACTCGCGCCTTTCCTGTCTTGGAACCGTGGGCGGTGGCCGGCTCACCGTTTGTACTTTGTAACGATCTCCCGACTTGAGCGTCCTACTGTTAGGAACAAGCCTCGACATGTGTAGTATTGACGCCGCAACCCGACAGCGACAGATCACGCTGCGTCGACCTCAAACTTTTGTGTTCTTCGAGTCCATCTCAGGGGAGAATAAGTTCTTCACATATGCTGTCGTCTGTTTTTGCGGCATCCACTAGAGAGCACCCAAGGAGAAAAGAACGTGCAAGAGGAATGCGGCCAAGTTGCGCTCGGCACATACAATAAATGATTGACACGCCCATCGCTTGTTTAACCAGTCATTGTCTCTCCAATGGCAGCTGTTGTCGAAGCCTGTCATGACCGTCATGAGGCGGCCCGACATGGGTCGACTAGGCAGTGTGTGCTGCTGGCGGTGGCCGTAGTGGATAATCGCAAGCGCTGGGTTGCTGGCCGTGCGAGAAACTGGGAACAGCTCCACCTCGAGCAGTCGGCGACAGCAGACAAAGGGGGATGCGACTTGACCGCGCAAGACCATTGTGTGGACTTACTGGTGTCAAAAGGGAGCCGAGAAATCGAAATCACAGAGACGAGTATGATTATTTGTAAACGGGCTGTGGTTATCCACAGTGAGACCTGGGTAGAAGATGCGAGCAGTGTACGGCGGCACAGTGCCAAGTCCAGCAAACCTGACGAAGTTCCGGTAGTGAACATGGTCTGGTGTGCGATTACCAGCATCCGCCATTTAATGCAGATTCTTGCGACTCCTCCGTCCTCTTTCCACGCACAACCTCCGAATTGCTCAACTCGACTCATCAAACACCCCAGAACCCCTTGGTAGGTCGCTGTCATCTCGCATCCTACCCATTTTGCCCATCGCTTCCGCCTCCTCCCACCACCTTTGACCCCAATCTCTCGCATGCGGCCGAGTCGCTCACCGTTGCTACGGTCTAGGTCTCGTAACGGGATTGTGTGCGCGAACTCTCAGATCGCAGCCCTCTTTTCGCCGACACCACAGCTCCCCGACACTCTGGTAAGTGATTTCGATGCCTTTGTCCTATGCGATCAGAGTCATATTACAAGATGTCCCCATGCCTTCCATGCTCCTGCGGTATGGTTGTCGCCATCGCATGACCACAGTCATCTCTCCTTGCGCATTGGCTCAACCACTGCAGCAAGCACCTCCACCCAAATGGCTATCCCTCCGTCCCAGCACTGTGAAGACACCGTCTCACCAACGTTATCACACCCCTTCTCCATCCAAGTAGGTCAATTCTAACGTATGGGCCGTCGTCAGGTTGCCGTCGCAGATACGCACCGCCGAATCTTTACTTCCGCTCCCACAGACGCACACCCACCCCGACGCTTCGACCGCCAGGCGGTGACTCCCAACCGCAGCAATCCGGCGTCATCGCGCCAGGTAGCCGATGCCGTATATCGGCCGGCGAACGTCATCCCGTCTCCGTTAGCCTGGAATGGAATTGTTCGCTCGTCAGCCGAATCGGCCCGCACGGATTCACACTCCGCCGACGCTTGCACTGCCTACGGTTGACACCGCTTGTACACTCCCTTCTCAGCCATATCCGTCGCCCACGCACGAGCTATCAGTCTCTACCGGCATGGCTGCCACATCCGCCAACGGAATGGGACCGATGCCCGCAGCAATGCACAGCGGTAGCGTTTCTCCTCGCACCGTGACAACGCCCAAGGCAATCACGTTCGTCTTGGTCAAGCCATTCCGAGCGCGCTTGCCTTTGCGGGTGCAAATCTATCCTCACGACACAACGGACTCAATCATTACTACGGTCAAGAATTTCTACGGCCTCTATTCAGGCCCGGGCGTCTCCAAAGGCGTCAGTTTCGAGGACGAGGATGGCAACACCCTCATTGCGCGATACGAGAATTTCTCCCACGAGATGACAGTTCACGTGCGTGTCATTGAGGAGCCCCTCGGGCCCGAATACTACGCCGCTCTTGATGGGGCCCAGGGTTATTACCAAGCCGACAGCTACCTGCCTCACGGGCCTCAGCATGAGCATCATGCCTCCCGGCCCACGTCCAGGGCGTCACGCCTTCGCAGTCCCTCGCCAAATGGCGGTCGCGGACGCCGCAACACGCCAGCGGGGACCAACCACGCCGGGGGTAAGAAGGGCCGGTCGCGCTCCTCCAAGACCCGAATTCAAGGGAACGGTGACGGGCACAGCGACAGCTTTAACGGCTATAGCAGCGGCGATGGCGCCGCCAGCTCTTTCTCCAGCCGAGCCAGGGACCAGCTTGGTAATACAGACATCAGCGTTGAAAACATCGTTGAGGGTGGCCGCCGCAAGCGTGCCAAGTTCGAGAGCTCGGTAAGCAGCTTGCTGGTTTGCGGCCGTAAATGGTTTTTCAGATGCTGACCGATGTCTCGTCTACTCAGGAACTGCCTCTGTTTGCCCCTCCACAAATGCCGGCGGCAACATCAAATCCTTCTGTCTCGCCCGCCCGCCGAACCGATCCTCATCGGAAATCGCTGCCATGGACGCAGTCCGGGCAGAACCCCTTCAGCCACCCACACCCGCTCCAGTCCCCGCCGGCATACAGTGGTGGCTACACAGGATTGTACACCACGCCGGGAAGTGACAACCGTCGTAGTCGCGGGAGCTTCGGATATCCGGCCGGCCAAGGAACGAATCCTGGCGCCCAACTGATGGCAACCCCAGACCCGACGGTGGGAAGCTCTGCCGGCATGTCTGAGGAGGACAAAGATCTCGCAATGCAGCTCATGCGTCTGGGCGAGGTGTCGACACACGGGCGCGCCTCTGCGTCCACAGTGGACGATGCATTCAGCGGGAGGGCCGATGCCGCCTCCTCTACGGGCGCAACCAGTGACGCGGACAGCTACAGCGAGGACGACGCGCCTGCGGCGCGGAGACAACGACTTGACGCTTTGGGTAACCACAAAAAGGCGTTGGATGCCACAGAGAGCCACTTTGTCGGCCCCAAGGATAACGCCGAAGCTAGCTCGGATGAAGAAGATTGTTCAGACGGTGCTGAGATCGGCACAATGGCTGCTCCGCCGAGGAAGGGATCCAAGCTGAGGGCCAACACGCCGAACGGTGTCAAGTCTCGCCCACAATCGTCGCACAAGACGAAACCCTCCAAAGTGGCCAAGCCGAAGGCCAAGAAGGCGGTAAGCAGCACGGGACCTATGACGCCGGCTTCACTTCCCGCGTCGCGGAAGCAGTCGATTGCCTCCACCCCTGCCTTCCCCCTAACGCACAACGAAGAGGAGCAACCCGACCTCTCGACAAAGCCTCGCTGCCAAAGGTGCCGCAAGAGCAAGAAGGGCTGCGACAGACAAAGGCCTTGTGGCAGATGCCGGGACGCCGGTATTCCCGCGGAGCTCTGCATCAGTGAAGATGAGGGGAACGGACGCAAGGGCCGATACGGTCGGCACATGGGAGTGCCCATCAAGAAGGAGGATGCGCCGCGGTCAGTCGCAAGCTCATTACCCGCCGTGCCGCCCGCCGTCGATGCGGCTGCGTTCTTGGAATCAGCTGCCGAGATCTTCGACAAAACCAAAAAGCGCAAGAGGCCTACTCCATCCTCGCGCCCGATCCCTCATGCATCCACGTCTGCAGCTTGAGCAAAGGCTAAGGGGCGCACAAGCAAAGATAGGCCTTCTCTCGTTGGACACTTGTTCTCGATTTCCGCTTGCGTCTCTTAACTGAGGTTCCAGCGTATCGCACTCGATCACAACTCGCCCGTCCATGAAACAAGCGGCAGTAAGACGCACCACGGAAATAGCGATGTTCCAAGCGACAGGGCGCCAGCCAGCGCCTAACGCATCACTCAAGGGAGGGGGGGAGGAATTCAGCACACTCACTGGAAGCGACAGGTATTTCTATGGCGGTTGGTTCGAGCATACACGGGGGGTCATTCGACCATCAGTCCGGCAAATACATGAAGTGGCCGGCTAGGACTACAGGTGAAGCAGGAAGAGGGTCAGTCTTGCCTGTGAGCATTACTGTGTCTGGGAACCAATGTCACAGGGGAGGGGATGGTAGAATGGGAGGTCGGTTGGTTGGTTGGAAGGTATAACAGGTCAACCAAGCGAGTTGGTCTTCTCCTGCCTCCAATCGCGCTTCTCATTACTGTTTTCCTCCATCTCCGTTGCGCGTGTGGATCTCTCTAGAGTTGGTTGATTGTGTGGGTATTGTGACATTTCGGGGTCTCCCTCTAGCGAGCTTTATAACTGTCTCTTTGTTTTCTCTGTATGTTTGTGTGTTTGTGTGTCTGTGTGTCTGTGTTGTACCTATTGCTTCGGTGCTTGCTTGGTGTCTTCAGTTTGGGGCGGCGGGGGTAAGAGTCGGGGAAGGGAGAATGAAGGGAAAAAGTTCTAGGTTGGTCCAGTAGTTTGGTCAAGTTCTTTGGGGTTCGGGTGGTAGTGGTCTATCTGGTCTAGGTAACTTGACTTAGGTAGTACTACTCTACGGAATGAAAGCGATGAAAATAGTCAGATGGTCAGGTAGGACACCTTGGTGATCAACGCAGTTGCTACAATGCCGTACTGCGTATAGGACCTGAGTGAAGTACACACACCTCATACGCTACATATGATGTGAAGCAGCCAGATATGCCGCGAAACTTGAGCGATAATACCCTTGATTGTGTCTCATCCGAGTCAGAACATACCGCGTTGAGACATTTGGCTCTGCGTAACTCAACATCTACTTCACCTTAACCCACGACATCGCGCAATCGCGATCGCAGACGGTCCAAGCATGCGACAAGTTATCCGGTTTTGCCCGTCGCAACCCCGCGGTTGCGAGGCGGCAACTCCAGCTAGACTACCGCGGCATTTTTCTGTTTCTGGCGCTGTAGGTATATGGAAGCGAAACACCTAATGCAAGTGTAAGCTTCGCAATGTAATTGTACCCTTCGGGTTTCCTCTCAGTATCTCAATGAAGGCTGCCGGCCGCTTTCAAGGCAGTCTTCTGCAAAGGAACGCCTATGTGTCCCCTCTCCTCCTATAGTAACGTTAACAACGCTCTCTCGTTCTGAGCAAACTTCTCCACTAGGCCTAATTAGGGCAAGCGCAGCGCAGCACAGAAGTGGGACTGCCCTCTTTGTTTCCAATCCATGATCGTCTGTCAACCTCCTCGAGATCCCAACTGCAGGTTCTTCGTCATGTTCTTCATCTTAGTTATCCTTCCTTTTCCCCATCTAAAACCCTATTTTACCCTCTTCTTCTTTCTCTCAGCGAGCCCTACGTGTTCAGTCTTGCATGTTCAATAGTGTGTAAGGTTGTGGGTCCCACTACGATCAGATCACCGGCAGCAGAGCAGAGTCCAAATCCCGGTCGGGTTTCCAGTTTTGACGGCCGGCAGCCGGCCAAGTGGGTCGGCCCGACGCCTTCCCTTTCCGATCAGTCTGGATCGAATGGTGTTATGTCATTCGCTGGGGTGTTCTGAGCCCTTGTCTCGGCGCCCGCTTTTTGATGTGGGCCGAGGTAAGATGCCGGGTGTGCACAGCTGGCAGGGTCCTGCCCCGCGGAATCGGCCGAGTGGGGTCTACTTTGTTGGAAGGGGCGGTCTAGGATTCTGGTTCCATCTGGAGATCACACCACTTTTTCCTTTCTGAAGAGTTCCATTGGGTGCTGTTGGGTTTTTGTCTTGATTCGTTAGGCTTTCTCTCCTTTTTGCGCGCCGCTCACACCGCTGCTCGATTGTTGTTAAGTTGGTTTTAGAGGATCGCGCTTCTGATCAATAGCGTGTGGTGCCAACGAAACCCGCCGTTTATGCGTCGATCAAATCCAGAACTCGACCTCCGCGGTACACTACTCGATGGTCTTCGATAGCCTTGAGGATCTGCTGCCACGGGTATCGCCGCCAGCCTTCTGCAGTTTCCATTTCCTCTGCTTTCTTTCGCAGCCATGACCACCCGGTGGAGTTGCTCATAGTCCAAAATCCTCTGCTCAAGTGGAGACAATGGCTGTCGGGTTCTGTGGCCTCGTCAAGATGGACAATTTGCGATGGACTCGACAACGGAAATTGAAATCTATGCCATTGCCTTGATGATTTCAGTTCATGCTCTCACAGGTTTGACATCGCTTTCAGTTCCCAGGGGCCACGGCAATGCAGGCGTTCCGTGGTTGCTGCGACGGCTACGGTTGTTATCGGCCGGGCCCCATTTGCCGGTGGTTGGGAGCAAGGTCCAGAACTCCCGTCGGCCTCCGCTCCCGGACTTGCGGATGGCTCTTCTCTTTCGTCGCCAACGGTTGGCATCCATGGTTGCACTCCTGAGCCAGATCCGGCGAGGCTGTCGGATACGGGACCCTAGCCTTGAGATAAAAAGGCGCCAACCATTGTTGGCGTCGAAGACTTGCGGCGTTGGCTTGCATAACCGTTAATACTTGTTTTGGCTGTCGCGCAGCCGGAGTGCGGGGAAAGCAGCGCCGGCCCGCGATTCGCCGGGGGGAGGTATCGGCAGACGAATCTCCACCGAAGGGCGTGGATGACAGCGAAAAGTGGGCGATGTCGGCGGAAATAAGGCCGGCTGTAGCCTTCTCTCTCTTTTGCCGGGCGGCGGTGACGTTGAAGGATCGAGCATAAAATCGATGGCATGGTCGACTCTGCAATGGGAAGGCATATCAGCCATCAGATACGCTTCCTCGCCGACGTCGCCGTTGCTTTGAAGTGAGAGCCTCAACTCTGACGCTGGCTGGACGGCGGAAATTCCTGCCGCAATGATTGCTGTACCCGATCCCGAGAAAGGCTGCTCGAACAGCGGAAGGCCACCGCAGACTGAAGACGTTTCGACTTCAGGTGGTGAAGATTCAGCTCCTCAAGGGCACCTGGAGTTCCAACCACCCGATGGAGGACTTCTTGCTTGGTCCCAGGTCTTGGCTGGGTTTCTCATCAACATGATGGCTTGGGGCTACCCGTCCACGTTTGGTGTATATCAGCTATACTACCGAGACACGCTCAAGCTACCCGAAGCCCAAATATCATGGATTGGTTCGCTGCAAGTCTTCCTCGCCTTTGCCATGTGCACTCTCTCCGGGCGACTGGCGGATGCGGGTTATGTCAAGTCCACCATCATGGCGGGCTGTTTCTTAGTCGTCTTTGGGACTTTCATGACGAGTCTCTGCAAGGAGTACTGGCAAATCTTCCTCGCTCAGGGTTTGTGCACGGGGCTGGGGCTGGGCATCATATTCATGCCGCCCTTGTCGGTCATCAACTCCTACTTTGTGACTCTGCGGTCTTCGGCGATTGCGATCTCGGCGTGTGGGACTGGTCTGGGGAGTGTCATCTTCCCGGCCACGATTCAGTACCTGATCCCCCAGATCGGCTTTCCATGGGCGGTCCGATGCGTTGGCTTCATTACGCTGTTCATATCGGTACTCGCCGTCCTGATATTGAGACCCCAGTTGAGGCCGCGGAGGTCAGGACCTCTGATCGAGTGGGATGCTTTCAAGGAGGGTCCGTACTTTTTGTACAATCTCGGGGCCTTCCTTTTCTTTTGGGCTCTCTACTTCGGATTCTTCTATGTGAGTAGTCGCTATGTCATCCTCTCTTTTCACTGTTGGCGAATGCAAGGCTCACCGCCCTTAGATCAATGCCTACGCCCGCAATGTCATCCACTTCTCCACCACGGACTCGGTTCAGCTGCTCCTCATCACAAACGGCATGAGCGTCCCGAGCAGACCCGTGGCAGGTTACCTGGCCGACCGATATTTCGGGCCCATCAACGTGTACACATTCCAGACACTCGTACTGGGATGCCTCATCTTTGCATGGACCGGCGTGAAGACACGGACGGGCATGTATGTGTTCTCAGTCTTCTACGGCCTGGCAGTCGGCGCCGCGCAGGGCTTGTTCGCCGGCTCGTTGGCCAGCCTGACGAAGGACCCGAGAAAGATGGGCACGCGGTTCGGCATGGTCTGCACCATTGTGGCGTTTGCCTCGCTTGCGGGACCGCCGACCGCCGGTGCCATCATCGACAAATCCGGAGGGCGCTATCTGTATGCCCAGGTGTGGGGAGGACTAGTCATCGTCCTAGCCTCCCTGATTCTGGCGGGGGCAAGATGTGCCGTGTCGGGGTTTAGGCTGTGGGTGAAGATATAAGGTTGCCGTCTGGAGCGTTTCACCATCATCTGAGACATTTGATTGCGGCTCTGGAAGCGGTTTGGAGAACGAGAGCGGGCTGAGGTGAGACAAACTGACCTGAGCCGATTGGTTTATGCGGTCGGTATTTGGCGGCATAGCATTGTATACGAGTTTTCAGCGTCTGCTTAGCACAAGGGCCGGGAAACTCAGGAACGCCGACCAAAAGGGGGTAAAAAGGGAAGAAAAGAAAGTACCAATGGCCCTCTGATAGCGTTGTTAGCTTTCAAAACGGGTTCTCCTCGTACGCCTTCTTCGCCTCGGCATACGCATCATATCCGTACAAGAAGGGCTGAATTTCGGGACATGTCCACCGACTCGGGAACGGCGCTTTGAGCTCCTTGCCCAGCATGCTCACCATCAGCGCGTCCCTCTTCTCCTGCGCCTCGCCATCCTCCATGTGCGAATCGTCCCTCTGCTTGAACGTCTCTAACTGGATCCTCCTTCCCCTCTCCATCCTCAACTTCTGGTACAGCTTCGACACACAGGGCAGCTGCCTCTCCATCTCGCTCTTCCTCACTCTTCCCAGCAACGACCCCAGCACAGCACCATCCTCCAGACTCGAGTTCGCCCCCTGAGCCAAGTAGGGCAGCATCGGGTGGCAGCAATCGCCCGCCATGAAGAACCTGCCCTCCTCGTTCGCCCACTCAGGCAGCGCATCAAGCCACATCAACCTCCATTTATGCACCAACCCCTTAACTTGCCTCAGGAATCTCCCCAACAACGGATCCCAATCCCTAAACCTCTCCCTCATCTCGTCCATATCCCCCTCCAGCTTGACCACCCCGCGAGGTAAGTCATCCGGACAAAGAAACACAAGATTATACACCTCCCCGCCGCGGACGGAATATCCGACGCAATGCGCCCGGGGCCCGATCCAGAAATTGACCGTCGCATTCCTGACAAACGCCCGCAGCTCCTCGGCATCCTCCCCGTCCAACTCGTCCGCGCGCAGGGTAATCCGGTACGCGAGATCGCCCGTCAGGATGGCGGGGCTGGGGCGGCCGAGAAAGGCCGGGCGGATCGCGCTCCACAGGCCGTCCGCCAGCAAGACCGCGTCGGCCTGCACGGCGCTGCCGTTGAGCAGGTGGACGCGCGCGGCCTCGAAGTCGACGCCTACGGCGCGCGCGCCGAGGCGGATGCTGACCCCGAGCGACCTGCACCGCGCGACCATGGCTTGTTGCAGGTCCACGCGGTGCACGTCCCAGAAGGGGTGGCCGTAGCGCGCGTGCATCTGGTCCTGCAGCGCGGGCTCGTGGGCCAGCAGCTTGGTGCCGTCGTAGCGGCGCACCGAGAGCGAGGTCGGCACGGCGGCGAGCGGCGCGAGCGTGGGCGTGAGGCCCCAGGCCGAGAGGAGGCGGGTGCCGTTCGGGGTGATTTGGAGGCCGGCCTAAGAGAGGGTTTTAGTTTTGCACTATCTTGTGGGGATTTTCATTTCGGAAGAGCATCTTGGTCCTGATTCAAGGCTGGCAGGGGGGTAGGTATTGTTGGTCAGGAGTGTGGTCTGAGTTGAAATGGGTTGAATTTAAGGTGAGACGAGGTGTGACAATCGAGGAAAGGGGTCGTAACAACATCGTGAGCTTGCTCTCGGGGACACTCACCCCAACTTCCTGCAACTCCCTCACGGCCTCCAAGATCGTCACCCGATGTGCAGGGTTTGCCAACTTGGTCGACAGCGCCGCGCTCAAACCCGCCAGTCCGGCGCCGATGATGACGAGGTGTATCCCCTCATCGTCGTTGACCTGTTCATCCATCTGAAGTGGTTCGTACACTGTGCAGAACACCTAGTTGGTAGGTATCAATGTCGTCACAGCGCGTAGTTCAGGAAGTCAAGATCAACCAAGGACCATGCATGCCTGTTAAGGAACCCAAAGGCATCGCGACTGCCTCCTTTCCCTGCAACACAACATCACGCTCAGTGGCAGTTATCGCATATAAAAGCCTTCAGCACCCGACCCCAGCTTTCCGGGAAGTCGGCGCTTCGGCGCTTCGGCGCGGCGGAACCCGACATCGAGTGGAAAAGGCGGGGAACTTAGAAGTCCCCGGCTTGCAAACGCGGGGAGACCGCTGCCGTGCGTCTCGGTTGATTGCGCCGAGGCGGCAAAAGAGTTCGGGTGCTGGCTGGATCTACGATTGTCCCGGAGAAGCTGCATCCCGTCTGCATTCGCCGCTGCACGTAACCGGCCCATCAACACAAACCAGCGGCTGACGTAAATTGGGAAGGGGAGTCAGGGGACAGCTGGTTTGCCTACCCTCAGCAGATCCTTTTCCAACCTTTTTTAGGGTATCTAGTCCGTACACCATCCGTCTATCAGTTTTTTACTTCTGCGAAGTCTCTGGCCCTCGTGAGTCGTGACCCCTGATATCGTATGTACTATATCCAGCCATCGGTACAGTCGCGAGACATGTTTTAATATCCCGACTGGATAGAACGTGTCCATAGGAACTCAAGAGAGAGGCTTTTCTCTCTCCGCCCTGCCATAATCTCCAACGGCTACCTACTCCTCGGGAGTCTCTAGTTCCTGGGGATCCACCACCCAGTCGTCCTCATCGCCCCATTTTGGTGCCAGCGTGAACGTGCCCTGAATCTTGCCCATGCCATATGCGACTCCCGCCATCTGCGTCGGGTCATTGGGCTTCACATCCGCATGCTCGATCAGCGCCGCCGTCGACAGGAAATTCGTCTGGATGCCCGGCATCATCGTCATGGTCAGCCCGCCGTAGCTGAGCTCGACCTTGCCCGACTTGCGTACGATCAGGTTGCCGAGGAAACCTCCTTCCTTGAGCTCGTCTTCCTTCTCTTTGCCTTGGCCTTCGCCATCCTCATTCTCCTCACCGTCTTCCTCGGTCTTGACCTTGCTGTCAGTGTCTGCAGTGAGGTCGATGTTGACAGGGGACTGGTTTAGCATCACAACATCGTCGTCCGGCTCCGCCTTGACCGGGTTTGGGTTTGTCGACGTGCCATCGCTCTCGCGCGGGACGACCTTCAACGGCGGGAGCACGGGCGGAAACTGGAAGAGGAACATGTGGCCTTCTAGCGCCGCATTGGTTGCCGTTCCGTTTTCGGCGGAGATGTTATCGTCTTGGACTGTAAACAGACCGAGCATCTGCTGGAGCTCCTCCGCGATGATCTCGGCCTCAGCATCCTTGGGCGCAGATGACTTCTTAGGCTTCTGCTCCCCACTGGGCGCCTTCTTGAGCTCGCTCTTATTGAGCTCGGGCGAGTCAGGCGCCTTGATGATTGCGAGTGTCTCATCCAAGTCCATTGCGCCCTCTTCGCCCTCTTCCCTCTTGATGCTGACGTTGTTGCGAGTATGCGCCGCGTCCGGAACGCCGTCGTCCTTAGCTGACTCTTCCGTTTCCCCGACGGTAGCTCCCTCGACAAACAGACTCTCCTCATCCGATTCTTCCTCGACGCCACCTGCCTTTTCCTGGGCCTCGATTTCAGCGGCTGTTGTCATGGTAACTCCCTCTTCCTTATGTTCCACGCGCCGGATACCCATGGGCATGATCGGCTTCTTCTTTTTCTTGGTCGATGTGATCGAGGCGCCATCTTCCTCGTCTGAGATTTCGACGTAGTTGTAGAGCAAATCTGCGTTGATCCTGCTGTTGTCGATGATGGATGTTCCGTAAGCGCCCTTCTCCCCTTTTACTTCGCCCTCGCGCTTAACGAAGCCGGAGCCGGAACCTGAGCCGGATGCGAATGCGTAGCCACCTGAACCTGACGGACCACCTCCACCAACTGCCCATGCTATTAGTGGATGACCCATGCAGTACGGCGACTGATATGGGATGAGAAGGTCAATAACTTACAACTCATACCAGCCGCCAACGGTCCAGCAGCAGCTGAAGTCCGCAGGCCCCCACGTAGAAGCCCTCCGCGACCTCGACCCCGGCCTCGACCTCGCCCGCGATTGAGGCGTGCTAGTCGCCGCGCCTCCTCCGCATTCCTCTGTTCTTGTAACTTCAACTGTTCCTCAGCGAGGCGAGCGCGCTCGGCTTCACTGCGGCGAACACCCTTCGGCTTGAACTTGCCGCGGCTGGAAGAGGTTGGTGCTGGTGTGCTGCTGGGTAATCTGGAAGATGCCGCGGAAGCCGGTTCAGATGAAGATGCTACCATCACGGGAACGGGCGCCGGCGCCGCGGGATTGGCCGCTCCAGCCGCCGTCGCGGGGCTCGACTCGGCTTCTGAAGCTTGCACCGCATTGCGGGAAGCAGCAGAACCGGCTGCACTGCGGCCCCGACCCCTCCCTCTGGTTGCTGCCTTTGGTGGCATCTGTGACTGACTAGCGGGCTGGTTTTGGAGAGTGCGAATCTTGAATCTCACAAAGTGGAATGGATAACTGAATGGAAACTGAAGTTCTATTTGGGTGTTGCATTTCTGAACTTGCCCCACCAACGTAACGGTGACTCTGCAGCAGGGGTCTGAGCGTAAGTGCGGGGCGCGGATCTCGATAACGTAACCATTAAGGTCCGTTATCGCGATTTAAGTCTTGGCACTCCCGGGCCCCCTACATAAGTCGGCGTTTGACGGGAATGTGGTTAACACCTCTAATCGCATCACATCTGGGCGGTCACTCTTCATCCCATACCTCCTATCCCAATGCCCCCAGATAAGCCGGCATGAGGTGACAAGCGCCATGGACTCACCGTTTCCCAAATCCTCCTCTGCCGCCGGGGAGGGGCGCATTGTCGTCCGGCTCCTTCCTGAGGGCATTTCAGGGCTCGAGGCTTTCACATATCAGTATCCACTCAAGCTCATCACGCCCATGCGCCCGCCCGAGACCAAGAGTGCCTTGGTCTTCATATTATCATACGGCGGGGGCCTTGTTGGCGGAGATCAAGTCGACCTGTCCATCGACGTGAAGACCGGCGCCAGGCTGAGTCTTGCCACGCAGGGCCACACCAAGATCTTCAAGTCGCCCACGCGGGACATTGTCACCAGGCAGAGGATGCGTGTCAGCATCGCAGCTGACGCCGCTGTCTGTCTGCTGCCAGACCCTGTTCAGCCGTTTGAGGCTAGTGTCTATGAGCAGATCCAGACATTTCGGCTGGCGCAAAATGCTTCCCTATGTCTCCTGGACTGGGTCACTCAGGGGCGTTATGCGCGTGGAGAGGACTGGAGCTTCGTCAGCTGGGTCGGTTGCAACGAGGTCTGGACGGTTGCGAACGGTCAAACAGCGCAGGATCGGCTGCTTGTGAGAGACGCTGTTATCCTTGACAGCAGTCGGGCCCACCCTCAGCTGCCTGTCCTGCGCGAGTCAATGCATGGGCTGGGCGTGATCGGGACGCTAGTGTTGCGCGGACCATTAATGAAAGCCCTGGGCGAGTTCTTCCTGGCGGAGTTTGCTGCCCTTCCACGACTGGGAGCACGAGACTGGCGGAGCGACGACATGAAGAAGGAGGCTGATGCCCTTCTGTCGCCGCGGGAACAGTGGCGTGCCCAGAGGCTTGGGATGGAAAAGGAGAGCAAGCTGCTCTGGTCTGCGGCTAATGTCAGGGGTTGCGTTGTTGTCAAGTTCGGAGCTCCTACAGTTGAAGCTGGTCGACTTTGGATCGGTTCTATGCTTACGAGAGAGGGGAGCATTTCACGACACTTCGGGGAGCAAGCGTTGATGTGCGTAAAATGACTGGAGTGCCGTTGAATAAACAAAACAAGAAACCCGGCTCCCCCACGCGGTCTGAGCTTTATATTCAGAACGATTGTGAAAAACAAAGATTGAAGATTTTTCTCCCGCCTGCAACTACTATTTGTATATACAGTTGTTTGCTGACCAACAATTCATACCACTGCATAAAATGTACTGGCTCGTCAAGGCGGATATACCCCGATAACTGCATGGTGATGCGCTGCGCGGTGGATACCTGACCCTTAGCAGTTTTGGGTTGGACAAGAGTGGGGGCGCCAATTCGCCAAAATAATCTGGCGATTTGCACGGTCCCTCTCGACGCGTCAGTTGCCTAGAAACGACTAAAGCAACCGGACGCCTCTCCGCCCATGGGCTTTTCATCCGCGCAATCAATGTAATGTCATCTGAACGACCGCCACTCATGGAGACATCATCCAATACCGCTGCGAGCTCTCCCGCTCCCGCTTCCACTGCGCGCCGCTCTGGACGCGTCACAAAGGCACCCGCGAAGTTCACCCCAGATGCGCCCAGCGCAAGCAAGCGCAAGCGAAACGCCCAGAACGACGAGGAGGATGCAGAGAACGAGTCGCCCGATGAGATGGATGAGGCCAGCGACGGCGACAACGAAGAGGCCGACGACTCGGCGGCCGAGGAACCCCGGCGCACAGCGAAGAAGAAGAAGTCCTCGTCGCAGCCAGCAAAAGCAAGAAAACCCGCTGCGAAGAAGCCCAAAATAAACGGCGACGCGCCAACCCACGAGCCCGCCCATACTGCGCATCTACCAAGTCGCCCGAAGAAGACTGTCAGGATTGCGGTTACTCAGCGAGAGGGGGACGGGCTTTATGGTAGGTGCCGCCCCGAAAGGTCCTGTTCCGCTCGTGTAATGCTAACGCTCGCCGCGTAGCCGATATCTTCGGCTCTGGAGACCCTTCAGACAAGGTCGCGACGGAGTGGTATCACAAGTACCAGGCCGACGACACTGCCGCCGTTACCGATCTTGTAAACTGCATTCTCCAGTCTGCCGGCTGCGACCAGCAGGTCACGCAAGACGATATTCGAGACCCAGAGAACTGTTCCAACCGGCTCGCAGACCTACAGAATGTCTACGCCGAGGTAGGTTGCGCACGCATCTCTCGGAGATGCGCCGCTGTGCTAATAGCGATTGTTCCAGGAGGGAATTACAGACTATCCCCTGATTTCCAGGGGCAAGACTACCAAGCCGTTTCGCGACCTGTTGATCGGCTTCTTCAAGTCTCTCGTGACTGTTCTGCACGAGACTGACGTTCTTTACAAGGACAGCGCATTGATGGAGAACATTGCGAGATGGGTGGCGTCCATGTCTTCGTCGACCCTGCGGCCGTTCCGACACACGGCGACCACTGTCGCGCTGGCAATGGAGGCCGCTCTGGTCGAAGTGGCTAAGAAGCTCGATGACCGGATCACCAAGATGACACAGCAGGTTGACGCCGAGAAGAGCCGTAAGGGGAAGAACAAGGAAAGACTGGCCCTGATCCAGAAGAACCTAGAGGAAGCCGAACAGAACCGTCAGCTTGTCCAGGAGCAGATTACTGACTTTTTCGAAACTGTATTTGTCCATCGATACCGTGACATTGACGCCAAAATCCGGACCGAGTGTGTCGAGGCCCTTGGCACTTGGATATGGCACCTTCCCACCTTCTTCATGGAACCCGAGTATCTGCGATACCTGGGCTGGATGCTGTCCGACATTACGCCACAAACGAGGCACGAAGTGCTCAAGCAGCTTTCCCGGATATTCAAGCGCGATGCCGAGAAGCTGGGCCACTTCATTGACCGCTTCAGACCGCGCTTGGTGGAGATGGCCACCAAGGATGCCGACGTCAGCGTCCGCGTTGCCGCTATCTCCGTCATCCAAATCCTCAAAGACAAGGGAATGCTGGTGCCTGACGAAGTCGACTCGATTGGCCGATTGGTTTTCGACTCGGAGCTGCGTGTACGGAGAGCTGTCATCGATTTCTTTGCCGGTTGCGTCAATGACTCGATCGAGACGAAAGTCGAGGAGATGGGTGGCAGTGATGCGGTAGACGAGCTGTTTGGTGACGATGAAGAGGACGACTACTTTTCTCCACGAAGAGACTGGATTAGTATCAAATGCCTCGCCGAGCTGTTGGCCGCATACGATGCGCAGCTAGAAGAAGAGAACCAGACGTTGCCGGTTCGAGGTCTGGATGTTGCCACCGAGATGGTTCAGGCAGTGGCGCCAGAGACCCGTATCTCGCTCGCCTCCCAGGTCCTTTACGAGAAGATCGATCAGGTCAAGAACTGGGAGCTGTTGTCTGGTTATCTGCTCTATGATCACACGACAAGCACCAAGTCAAAATCAGCAGCGAAGCGCAAGTCGAGCGAGGCAGCGCTCAAAACCGCCGTGGCGCCGGACGGCCGAGAGGAGTCAGTGCTTCTTGAGGTCCTCGCATCTGCTGTCAAGCTGAGCCTCGCTTCCGGTCCAGATGGAGACCGGAGCAGGAGGAAACAACGGCCGGATGCCGGTGATGGCGCTGAAGAATCCGCAGTGCATTTGGCTAGTATTATCCCTCGCCTCTTGAACAAGTACGGAGCCGAAGCCAGCACTGCGGTCATCGTATTGCGACTTGAGCATTCGCTACCGCTGGATGTATTCCAGCAGCTCCGCCAAGATTCAACGACTTACAGTCGCTTGCTAGATGAGATCTGCACCCAGTTCGACAGACATGTCGACAGGGGAGTCCTCGCAGAAGCGACCGCGGCACTCTTGCACGCCCGCAAGTATGACGAATTGGAGGAAATAACAGATAACAAGATCTCGGAGCTGTGGCAAACGGTGGGCAACGCGCTCAGGCATTTCGACAAGACTTACGAGCTCCGGGATCGCGGCAATATGGAGGCCCCACCCATCACCCAGCTGGGCAGCATCCTTCTCAAGGTCAGCAAGCTCTCAAGCATCGCCGACTGCGTCGAAGTGCTCGAAGCACCGGGCCAGTCCGAAGACTCATCCAATCCCGTAATCGAACTCCTCACTCGGACAGTCCACCGCGGAAAGCTAGAGCAGGTCGACGAGGCGCTCGACGACCTCGAGGATGAGGCCGTCTCGTACGCTATCCAAGCATCCCACTTCTACTTCATGTGGAAAGTCCGGACCCTTCTCAGCTCGGTGCAGTCCAACACGGACATCCCCGCCCTGATCGTCGAGCGGCTCGCCACCCTCCGCAAGAGCTACGCTAACAACCTCATCTGGACGCTCTCCTCGCGCGGCACCAACGACGACCTGCGCCTCTTCGCCACCGGCGCCCTCTGCGACCTGCACGTGCTCTTAGCCTCCCTACGCGAAGCCGTCAAGCAACAACCCCCATCCGACCAAACGGAAGGCTATCTCTCCCTGTTGGAGCCCCTCTTCGAACCGATCCAGCCAGGCCTCACAAACGAGCTCATCGAGATCTACAACGCCGCCGAGCGCGCCTACGCCCGCATCTCGAAGCGCACCCTCAACGACCCGGCCGAGGACGAAGGCCCCGTCGACCAGATCCCCGGCGGCGACGACGACGATGATGACGAGATCGACGAGGACGAGGCCGAGGCCGAGGCCAACCTGACGCCGACGGAGCGCAAGGGGAAGGAACTGAAGCTGGAGCGGGCGCTGTGCGAGCTAGCGGGCAAGCTGGTGCTCGCCATCCTGGCCAAGATGGTAGACCACGTCGGCCCGCAGGCGGGCAAGCTCCGGCGGAGGATGGTGCGCAACCAGACCAAGCTGGGGCCTAACCTGCGCGAGACGCTGGCGTATCTGGACGAGGCGAAATTGAGGGAGCGTGTCGCGGCTGGTGTGGGGGCGGCGAGTAAGAAGAAGGCTGGTAATAAATCTAGGTCTAAGACGGGGAAGCAGCACCAGCAGCAGCAGCAATCCGGGGCTGGAGGTGGAGGTAGTGGTTCTGCCGCGGCGGCGGCTGCCGGGAAGAAGAGACACGCGCTGAGTGAAGAGGTTGTGGTCGCCGAGGACGATGAGTCGGAGTTATCTGAGATTGAGGACGCGGAGCCTGAGCCCGAGCCGGAGGAGGGGTCGATGGAGGATCTGAGGAGGAGAGAGCTGTTGGATGATCCCATCGAGGATGAGGAAGAAGAGGAGGACGGTGGTGGTGATGGTGGCGGGGGAGGCGATAAGATGGACGAGGATGAGGATTCTGTAATAGGAGACTGAGGAGGTGATGGATGCAAAATTTCATCTTTATGGCTTTCCCTTCGCTTTCGTCGCGCAAGGGTTGATAGCGGTGTATTTGTCTATGATGAGGATGGCTTGATGAATAGGGTTGACTCTCGTTTCTGTCCATACCAAATAATTGCTATTCGCTCGCCTACGGAGTTCTTTCCTCACGTTCCGCACGGTTGTCGTCTTGTTTGTTGCGTGGTTAATAGCCCGTGTTTTTCTTATGTATGCTATGAATGAGGTTACGGCTATGGAATATGAATGAATAACTTTTGCTCGGTAACGACTGCGTTAGGATGTGCTTGCATACCGGTACCTTAGATGATGCACAACCCATAATCTTGCAATACTCTACTCTAAGCCCTCAGCTGCAAATCTTGGTGCCGAACAGCCCAAAACATCTCTGCCATTTTCGTCCGTCGTCGTCAGGTATTGGAATGCCATACTGCTTGATGCAACAGGCAAACGGCTTGTTGGAGAGTGGCTCCTCCTCGTCCACCACGTCTTCCCCGTCGGAGTTGAGAGGAGGCCTCTCTAGAAGTTGTGCGTTTTTACCGCGCCGTGTAGGACGCTTCTCGCTCGTTCCCGCCGTTTGCCCTTTCCCCATCTTGCGTGCCTTGTGCTCCTCCAAATTGCCCCATAGTATAGACATGGCCTGACGAAACTGTCGAAGCGTTTCCGGGTCTCGCCGGAGGTCAGTCGCGTTCAGACCCGTAAGACACTGTGCCTCGGCGTTGTTGACATAGGCCCAGAGGCGTGGACGCGGGCCGGAAGTGGCCTCTGTGCTAGGAGGCTCCACATCTTCGAGCCGTAGGGCAAACAGCCACTCCCAAGTACGGTTGCGGCCGGGGCTGTCTTCGTCGTCGCCGGATGATGATGATGATGGAGACGAACTGTCACCATCATCCTCATTGTCAGAGAGTACATCGAAGTCTGTAAGTTTGCGGCTGCGAGCGAAATCCTCTAGGGATGGGGGAAAGTAATCGACTACCCTGAGACGCGCCATATACTTGGCGCAGATGAAAGGTAGAGGGAGTGCGACGCTCTCATTGTCCACCGTCGTCTGGAATATGTAGGGTTTAACCATTGACTCTACGGTGGAAAATGGCACGTCGTGCTTCTCGCAGGTTATTAGGTCGTTAAGCTCAAGGCACGCTCCGTCGTCATCGAGTCTCTCCTTGGCTTGCTGCTCCTTGGCTTGCTGCTCCTGGGCTTGCTGCTCCTGAGCGTCGCGCGGCGCCTGTCGAAGAAGCTTGCGCCGCTCCTTCGCGTTCAGCTGGCGTTTTCCGGGCTGCGCCGAGTTCGACTGGGAGCCTTTGCGCTTTAGGCCAGCAGCTTGAGCAGATTTGATGTCTTTTAGCTGCTGCTTCCTGTTTTTATGGTAATCGCGACATCGGCGGATTGCCTCCTTCAACCTCGGGTCTATAGTCTCCCCGTCGGTTGCTTCGAGAACCCTCACGTTGACTCTGGAAGGATCAAGATTCCTCTCCTCATGCATCACGCCTTCCAGGTTTTTTCCGTCGTGACCATACTTGATCCGGACATTGCGCAACTCCACCCAGTCCCCGACCTTCACTTCCTCGCGGATAGCATTGGCGTGTGGTTCATAGCAGGTGATTTGAAGGGACATTTTCCCATAGGGCCCAATCCATTTCTTCCTGGGCACGCTAACGCCGCCTGAAGTATAGCCATACGGGTCATCGACGGGTTCCGACGATGGCTGCGACTGTTCATTGTAGAACTTCGCATTTTCGGTATAGTCGGATACGTAGAGAGTTACGACGCCGATTCCGTAAGGTTCCGTCACAACTTGGGCGATCAGATCGCAAAACCTGCCTTCGTCGACGTCCTTGAGCTGGCGGAATTTGTTCTTGACATTTAGGGACTGCTCCGCCCGCACCTTGAACTCATGCTCTTCTGAGAGGCATGTTTTGTCCACCTTGTGAAAGAGGTACGAGACATATCTGTTCTGCTCGGCCGTGGGAAAGCCACGGTCCCGTTTCCCAAGGGCTACAGTGGGTTGGGCCGACTGTGGTGGCTTCGGAATGTTGGAAGCCGAGTAAACATATACTGATGTGGTTATGTGGGTGATCAAGGATGGGCGCTCCTGCAGTCCGCGATCTGGACGGTTCTGCACCTTCGCGCTGATGATGAGGAGAACATCACCAGCCCCAACATCCGGGTGCTCGTGCTCTGGCCAGAATATGGTGAACTTGACGCCATCCGCAGTCGAGAGGTCATACACTTCGATCTCGGATTTCCAGTCTCCCAATGTAGTCAGCCGAGCTGTAAATTAAAACTGCACGGGCGCTGCAACTCACCCTTACTACGGGTGTTAATTGGGCGTCGCCAATCTTTTACCAGCCCGATGACGTTGACGAGATTCCCTACTTGCAAGGCCCGGAGTTCAGTGAGTTTCGCAGGGAGAGGCGGTTCTAGCGGATCCTGCGGGGTAGCATCTCGGCCACCCTTACGCCAACCTCTGGCAGACATGCTAGGCAGGCCAGAAAGAGAGCAGAAAGAAAATGAGTTATGAAATGAAAGTTCTAAAGAAGAAAAGGTCCCGGAAGGGGGCAGACTGTGGACTGCCGCCTGGCTGAAGTTTGGAGCGTCCGTTGGTCGATGTCAGTCTGGTTTCATTGTCCACCACGCGTTGCTGAGCCCGCAGGAACGCGTTAAAATAGAAACGCCACTGCACCTGGCCGCGACTTCATCGCCATGGGAGCTTGGCGTGTTGAGATGATAGAAGCAGCCAGGGACCGTGCGCACTTGCAGGGTTTTGTCTACTCGAGCCCCAATCAGCTGCCGCTAATATCGGCTTTGGTGGGGCGCCGTCATCCTCAAGCGGGAAGGACCAAAGGCCCAGTTCGCTTTCAGTTTCTGCAGTGGCTGTTTCCAAATTCTCTTTCATTGCCCCAAAACAACAAAACTCCTTCCACCGACCTGTACCTGACCCCGCCAATACGCAGGGCTACGACGTCCATTGCTTGCTTGCTCCGCTGCGACTCTAGGACATTCCGCATTAACGTCTACCTTGTATTGACATCACAACCAGGGCTCCAGCAGCGTTGATTCTGGTCCCTCGACCCCTCCCCTCCTCGTCCTCTAGCTTTCAACGCCTGTCGTTGACGTCTCGTTGCAACCATGGCCGACCGGTACATCCCCGAGCATCGGCGCACGCAGTTCAAGGCGAAAAGCACATTCAAGCCTGAAGAGCTGCGTCGCCGTCGTGAGGAGGCACAGGTAGAGATCCGCAAAGCGAAGCGCGAGGAGAACTTGGCCAAGCGCCGTGGTATCGGCTCCGGTGAGAACCGGCCGGGTGCCTCTTTGGGCGCTGCGCCCGATAGCGACGATGAGAATCCCACAAGCGAGTCTCAGGTATGTGAATTTACTATCCATCCCATTACTGCAAGTCGTCAACATTTGTCCCCTCGTCCACATGTTGGAAGGCGCGGCGTCTTGGGTCCTCCACCCCCACCTTGCACCCCGCCGTCTGCTGTGGTCACCGGCACTACTTCCGCGAACCTTAGCACGGATTGTATCACAGCATTCTGCAGCAATACAATCAAGACGAATTCGCCCTTTCTTTCCCTTGATTTTCTTTATTACGCCCATCTATCACGCATTCGCCAGATGCTAACCTAAGATGTGCAGCTCAATGAGGACCTCCCGCAGATGGTCGCCGGCGTGTTCTCAGACCAGGTTGACCTCCAGATCCAGGCCACGACAAAGTTCCGCAAGTTGCTCAGTAAAGAGCGCAATCCTCCCATCGAAGAGGTCATCAAGACCGGCGTTGTGAGCCGTTTCGTCGAGTTCCTGCGTTCACCCCACACGCTCGTCCAATTCGAAGCCGCTTGGGCCCTCACCAACATCGCTTCCGGCTCAGCCACACAGACCCAGGTGGTCATCGAAGCAGGTGCTGTGCCGATATTCGTCGAGCTTCTCAACAGCCCCGAGCCCGATGTCCGTGAACAGGCGGTCTGGGCCCTTGGCAATATCGCTGGTGACAGCCCTCAATGCAGAGATTACGTGCTGGCCCAAGGGGCCCTTCGGCCCCTGCTCAACCTCCTCGGTGAAAGCCGCAAGCTCAGCATGCTCCGGAATGCGACATGGACTCTGAGCAACTTCTGCCGTGGCAAGACACCGCAGCCTGATTGGAATACCGTAAATCTACCCCTCCTTTTGGACCCTTATCGTTTATCTTGTCACGTGATACTGATGATGCTCCACAGATCCAGCCGGCACTTCCTATACTCGCTAAGCTCGTGTATTCACTGGATGATGAGGTGCTGATTGATGCGTGCTGGGCCATTTCGTACTTGTCGGACGGTTCCAATGACAAGATTCAGGCAGTCATCGAAGCTGGTATCCCCCGCCGGCTCGTTGAGCTGCTGATGCACGCGTCGACCTCAGTGCAGACCCCCGCACTCCGCTCGGTCGGCAACATCGTCACAGGCGACGATGTGCAGACCCAAGTCATCATCAACTGCGGAGCGCTGCCGTGCCTGCTCTCCCTCCTGGGCTCCAACAAGGATGGCATCCGCAAGGAGGCCTGCTGGACCATCTCTAACATCACAGCCGGAAATTCCGCCCAGATCCAGGCCGTCATCGACGCCAACATCATCCCTCCTCTCATTCATCTGCTGCAACACGGCGACCTCAAGACTCGTAAGGAGGCATGCTGGGCGATCAGCAACGCCACCTCGGGTGGCCTGCAGAAGCCTGAGCAGATCCGCTACCTGGTTGCCCAAGGCTGCATCAAGCCTCTTTGCGACCTTCTCTCATGCCCCGACAACAAGATCATCCAGGTTGCACTGGACGGCCTCGAGAACATCCTCAAGGTTGGGGAGCTCGACAAGCAGGCTGCGGGAGAGACCGACCAAGTCAACCGGTTCGCTCTGTTCATCGAGGAGTGCGGTGGCATGGAGAAGATCCACGATTGCCAGACGAACGCAAATGAGGAGATCTACATGAAGGCGTACAACATCATTGAAAAGTACTTCTCGGACGAGGACGAGGCTGCCGATGATGCTATGGGCCAGACCCAGCAGTTTGGCTTCGGCGCCGCGAACGGGGCTCAGCAGGGCGGCTTCAACTTCGGTGCTAATGGCGCCGAGTCGATGGATATGTAAAGACGTCTCGGTTCAAGTACGGACGCAGAGGGCCTGAGGGTGGTGGCCAGTTGAGGTTGCGGCTTGTTTTCGATTCGGCCAACGCCTTGGTATCCATTGGTGTGAGGGCCACCAACCGCTGTTCGCGTCGCTTGGCTACGCAGAGCCGGATTTCCCGTCGCACCGCGGCGTCCCCATGACCACTTGCAAGACACGGCACGTCTATGTTTTAGGCTGACACCCCGCATCCACACAATACGATACGGCCATCAGCACCGACACATCAATCCCAACAAACTTCACCCATTTAATTTTGTCCTATCAACAACACCTGAAATAGCAGCATAGAGGGAGAGGCCAGGTCCTTTGGTAGCTTGATAGCTCCAGCCTGATGAATACACGGATGCGTCTTATGAGCAGCGCAGGATGGAAGAAGAGGGTCTGAATGGTAGCTTGATAGCTCCTACCCTACGATGATGGCGAGAAGAGAGGACGCGAAAACCGCGTCATGCCGGGGACGGCGGAGCGGACCACCAAGGGATGGCACGGCCCCGGCTCATGTATCAGCTCGGAATCGGCCATTGCTAGTGCATGGCCGCAATGACGAGGATAGTTGCCGTGGATACTAGTCTTTGGCTACTGGCCACCGCCAAGTGGCGGCGGCGATGGACAGCCGAGGCAAGTTTTTGATGAGAGGATGGATGCAAGGAGCCGCTGGCATATACACTAGCTTCGCTCCGCAGACAGACACAATGCAACCACGACGGCGTTGAACATGACTTTGATTTGTGCCGGAGAGGCGCGGAAAATATGTCGATGCTATAATTATCTGCCCAGAGCACAAGGCCAAACTCGGTTCAAACTTTACATGTAGAGAGGTCCTAGATATGAGTTGCGGAACAGGGCGATATTCTTGAGCGAGGATCTCTGGCCACGTGTACCGGTCACTACATGGGACCAGCGTGCCCTCCATTCCTAATAAGACTCGTCGAGTTGTGCTTACTTCTCTGTCTTCCATAGCCTCTACCAGTCAAGCTCAGATTTGATGGGAAGACACCCGCTATGGCCTCACTTATCATGTCTTCCAGTAATGCATGTACAGTACAGAAGATCGCCCCCTCCCCTCCCCCTCCGAAGAATCTGGATCAACCTCCTTTTATTATACTTGTCTTATTTTTAGCGCGAGTCTATACGGTATCCCATGTACGCATGCATCTAGATTCCGATGGCTTTTCCTCACACCACCACCACCACGTACCACACTATAATCTACCATAGTCATTTCTACCGTCATGCTCACCATCCTTCTTCTCTTCTATACCATACTACACGCGCATATATATGCATTAAGACCGACCCCACATCAAGCGTCAAGCCCATCCAGCTCAATGAGCCGCGTCACGAGCCTGATGATCTCGCTCTCACTCGCACCTCCTGCTGCTCCTGCTGCTGATGATGATGTGCTGCCTTCCACCCGCCGCTCAATCAGCCGATCAATGACCCCCCTGAGACGCGAGACCAGCACGCCGATGCGGGCCCAGCCGCGCAAGCGCAGCCAGCCGTCCACGAGCAGGCCGCGGCCCTGGGTGTCGAGGGTGATGCCCGAGCCGGCGAAGAGGAGGAGGGTGTAGGCGTTGAATGCTGAATTTTTTCAATTTTTTTAGTTAGTGTCTTGTCTTTCATATCAAACTATTAAGGAAGAGAGAAGGGGAAAAAAAAAAGCAAAGACATACGCGTCAAATCCCGAATAAACACCTTGCTGGTGCTCATCATGGTGAAATAGCTCAGGAAACTGGCATTGCCCGAGAACCCCTGGCTGTCGAACAGGGTGCTGGACGGGTGGATGAAGACGCGGCCGTGGTCTTCGGAAAAGTACTTGATGGTCTTGGCCTCCGGGTCGAGCTCGACGGCGCCCGAGACCGAGGTGGCGAACTTCTTGTCGGGGAACTGGATGCGGCAGATCTGCGGGGAGAAGGCCGAGGCGGTGAGGGCGCGGAGCAGCGGGGTGGAAGAAGAAGTTGTTGTTGTTGGAACTGACGATGATGAGGGCGATGATGATGGAGGGATGATGCCCATTTCGGAAAGGGAGGTGTAGTACTGCGATCGCGTGGAGGCGATGTCGGAGAGGGTCGGGAAGGACAGAAAGTTCTCGTCGCACCACTGGCGGACGCGGCGCTGCGGGACGGAGCGGTCGACCACCAGGGCGTCCCACTCCTGATAGGCGCGCAGATCGGTGAGGAGGTCGCCGTCGCCGCGGGCGAAGCGCATCTTGGCCTGCTTGGCGTCATCGCGCTTGTCGGGCGGCGACAGGAAGGGGCTGCGGGTGCTCAGGACGGCGGCGATGGTGACGCAGTCGTCGAGGCAGCCGAAGATGGCGCCGTAGACCATCAGCTTGCCGCAGCGCAGGTCGGCGGGGATCATGGCCAGCTGCTGGCCCAGCGCGGTCAGCTCGTCGCCGTCGAGCGCGCCCATGCGGCGCAGCATGCCGATGGCGCCCTCGACCGCCGTGGCTTCGGGCGGCGTCGGCGCACGCGAGAGGAAGTGGCCGATGTCGCGGATGCCCATGGCGCGCACGGCGAGACAGAGCTGCTCGAGCGGCACCCGCCGGATCTCGGGCTCGGGCCGCTCGGCCATCTGGGATTCAAGGTTGCGCGTGTAGAGCTTGTAGCACTTGCCGGCCTGCACACGGCCCGCACGCCCGCGCCGCTGCTTGCACGCCGCCCGCGACGCCCATGTCTCCTCGAGCTTGCGCATGTTGTTGGCCGGGTCGAAGGAGGTCTCCTTGACGCGCCCGCTGTCGACGACGGCGACAATGTCGTCGATGGTGATGGACGTCTCGGCCACGTTGGTGGCCACAACAACCTTCCTCCTCCCGGGCGGCGGCGGGAAGAAGACTTTCTTCTGCTCTCGGGTCTCCAGAGACGCGTGAAGAGGGAGCACGTAGAGCGAGGGGGCTGACCGCAGCGCGTTGCAGGCGCGGCTGATCTCGGCCACGCCGGGCAGGAAGATCAGGATGCCGCCGGCTTTCTGCATCGACGACAGGTCTTCGTCGATGCCCTTGACCGTCTCCACGAGCAGGTCATAGTTAATACGCGTGCCAAGCTTCTGGATGATCTTGTTGACGGGGTCCGTCTGCTGCTCGCCGGAAGGGGTGCCAAACCCGTCGTCGTAGTAATCGTTGTCATTCCTGTTCCCGACGCTGAAGCCCGTCATACGGATCACATCATCCAGGTAGTAGTCCTGCACCGGATAGGTGCGGCCCGAGATCTCGACCATGCCAACCGTGACGTCCTGTCCGTCCGCCATGAAGTAGTCCCGGAACGACGCAGCGTCAAGGGTGGCACTCATCAAGACGAGCTTCAGATCGCGCCGCTTGTAGAGCACATCGCGGACGATGCTCAACAGGAAGTCGGTATCCAAGCTGCGCTCGTGGACCTCGTCGATCACAACATGGCTGACATCGGCCAGCGAAGCCACCACGTCCTCCACTCGGCCGCCGGACGTCTGGAGGCGTCGGAGCAGAACGCCAGTGGTCACGAAGGTGATCTTGGTGTCCGGCCCCGTCTTAGTCTCGCCACGGATAGAGAAGCCCACTTCTTGGCCGACTTGCGTGCACCGCTCCTCGGCGACACGGTCGGCAAGGCCGAGGGCCGAGATTCGGCGCGGCTGCGTCACGACGATGTTCGCCCCGTTGCCGAGCCCTCTGCTGTACAGGTCGTCCAGGATGAACTGGACGGACTGCGTAGACTTGCCGGAACCGGTCTCTCCGGAGATGATGGTGACCTGGTTTTCCATCACAGTCTGGACCACATCGGCTCTGACCTGCCACGCCGGCAGCCGCTCCCGCTGGGAAAGCATCTTCTTGTAGCCTGGCGCCTCCGTCCGTGCCAACCACTCTTGTCTGCTCTGGGGATTCGGCGTCCAGTTGATTGGCTTTGGGTATCGGGGCCGTCTCCGTGCCCGCCTGATAACAACAGCGGCCGGCTCTTCGGACGCGGCTGAGGACACGGCAGCCACATCCCGGAGAGCGCCTGGCTTCTCGATGATCTCATTGATGTTCTCCTGCACCCAGCTGACGAGGAAGTAAATCTTCATCTCCTCTCCCTGCAGGGACTCGCTGGCATAAGCGAGCGCCTTCTTGATGACGCTCAGCTTGATGTACGCCGGCAGCGGCGCCAAGATGGACAAGATGACCTGCGAGGGATACTGCGGCGACTTTCTGAACTGCAGGTACGTCTCGACATCGGTATTGCGCCCGTTCGCCACCGACTCGAGCTGTATCTGGCACACTTCGGCGGACGTGCGCGAGAACTTGTCTCCAAAGCTCGCCTCGAGCGTGGCCATCTCATCGTCCCAAGACTCGTCCGGACTCCTCCACGACTCGACCTCCTCTTCCTGAGGCACATCTCGGCCACCTGATCCGCTGGACAGCAGCAGCCCTTGCAGCGCCTCAGCGGCCCTGCCCTCGTCGCCGCCGTTTGCGTCGAGGATCCTGCGGCAGAGATCGACCGAGTAGCCCGACTGCGACAGACGCTGAATCACGCCCTCCCTCCGCAGATCGGTGGCCGCCACGGTCACTCCGGCGCTGTACCGCTCCGGCAGGGCCCACCTCGGCAGATCGTCCTCGGGGATGTGCACCAGCAGCCACTCCAGCGTCTCCTCGCGGTCCTTGCACTCCTCGACCGCCTCTTCGACGTGGCTCTGCCGGAAGCCGAGCTCCTTGAACTCGCGCACGACAGCCCCCTTCTGCGCCGGCGTCATGACCACGCCGTGGGGGTTCCACAGCGTCTCGCGCCGCAGCAGGTCCTCGAGCTGCGACCGCGTCTTATTGCCCATCTCAATCTTGGGCACCGTCGCCCATCCCCTCATCACATTCCCTCCTCCTCCTCCTCCCCTGAAAGCCGGCCCCGGCTGCCCCGCCCCGTCGGCAGCAGCCTTCTGCGCCTGGGCCTGCGCAGCCGCGCGTTTCTTCTCGGCCGCGGCCTTCGCCTCGTCGCGCTCGCGCGCCGCCTGGAACGGATCGGCCTCGTACATCCACGCGCGCCCTTCCTTGACGTCGGCCTTCTTCAGCGCCTCGAAGTCCTTCCACAGCGCCTTGTAGTCCGGCGGCAGGGTCAGGTGCAGGTTCTTCATGCTGCACACGCGGTACAGCGCGTACGTGGCCGCGAAATGCTTCGCCTCGAGCGCCGTCGGCTTGAACGCCAGGTGCACGTGCGAGGGCGGCAGCTTGAAGGGCGGCAGCTTGGTGACCTCGTTGGTCTTGGGGTTCTTGGCCGCCAGGCTGACCAGCACCGAGAAGCCTTCCTTGGTCTTGATCGTGTGGTAGTCCGGCTTTTCCCACTTCTGCCGCTGGCAGTGCTCTGACAGCAGGTTAACGGGAAGCTTCCCCGTCCAGGAGGCCCCGCCGATCAGTTGCCGCGCCGTTGGCCGGGGGGGTCCGTCTGCGTTGCCGCCATCCGGGGCGTTGGCGGTATTGCTGCTGCTGCTGCTGTTGTTGCCGGGATTGGAGGGTCCGCCGCCGCCGCCGCCTCCTCGTCGTCCCTTGCGGTCTTTATCCGAGTTGGTGAAGACGATGAAGTCGCCTTCGGCTGGTGGCTTCTTGGCATCCTTCTTGTTGTTGGACTTGCCAACTGCTGGAGCCGGAGTCGGCGCCGGGGCGCTGCTCGTGTTCTTGCCCTTTTTCGCCATTTTTGGTGTGGAAGATATCTTGGTGTTTGACGTTGACCTCCGCCCCCTTGGATTTTGCGTCCTAAATTTCGTCTATGAACGGTGGTGAGTTGGTGAGGACCATTCACGCCGCAGCAAGGGATCCCGAAGCTGAAATTGCAGCTGCGCAGTGAGCCATGGCAATCATGAACGTCTAAGTAAGATGGTCGAGTCTCACTGGAACGAGCAGCAAGAGTTCGGACGCAGTTGTGAAGTGTTTGTGAGCACTCAGGCTGGGCTGGCTGCTTGTGAGTGAACGTCACAGAGGTTCTTGGCAGCAGTGAAAGAAAACCCCCCCTGAAGTGGCGACTGGGGTTCTTATCTTATCGCACCCCGGTCCATAAGACGACGCCTTCGACAACTCGGCCATGTTACACAAGCGAGTCGAGTGGAGGTTGGAGTTGCACATTGGGACTGGTTGTATCAGTCTTTTTGAAGAGAATATTAGACTGGAAACTTCCGCCTCGGAGCCATAATATACTAGAAAGTGAAATGTGACCCTGGAAGTGTCAAGGGCATCGCACCGGGCAGAACGGGGTGCGTTCAAAAGACCACGAGGAGAGGGTACTGGGCAAGTAAAGGAGAGGTGTCTAAACATGCGAAACTGAGAATAGCAGATGGTAGAATTAGGTAGGTAGTCCGAGCGAGGAGATGTTTCGGAAGTGGTCATGTGCTCTACCATCTACATATGCACAATACATGTATTTTCAGCGAGGAACACCCTATCACTGTCACTATCACCGTTATCCTCGTAGTGAGTTCATAGTGTGAGCAACACACAACGAAGCGCGTTGTTTCTTCTCCGGGTAGGCATGTAGCACCCATACGTGAGGTATCTGATGCCAGCCTGCAAAGCCACTCGCAAGTTCCATTGCAAGAGCGGTAGGGAAAGCGTCGCTTCAGCTAGGGTTAAGTGTATCCTCTCTCCCCGCCTGCATTAAGACCCTAGGACTATCGCCCCAACCGACGACAGAAAGCGAGAGCGCCATAAGCTCAAGCTGCAGAGTTGTAGCCCTGCCAGCTCAGCAAACTAGCAGACGCATTAATTTCCGCTGCTGGGAGTGCGAACCCCTTCCCCCCCTTTCCCCTCCTCCAGCCAAACACTCCAGCTTACTCCTCCCCTTCTTCTTCCTCCTCCTCGTGATCATCATAATTCTCCTCCTCCTCACCCTGATCCTCCACCTCCACATTCTTCACCGCAGACCCAGGCCCATCAAGCGACCTCCTCCCCCTCCGCGGCCCGCCCCGCGCAGGCGTGGTGACGCCGACCTTCCGCTTAGCTGTGCCCGTCGCAGTCGCAGTCGCAGTCGGAGTACTAGTAGCAGTCTTCTTCTTCCCCGATCCCTTCGGCCGTCCCCTGCCCCGCTTGACAGTCGACGAAGCACCACCAGCACCATCACCTTCGCCGTTGCCGTTGCCGTTGCCGTCGTCCTGTTTCGCCGGCGTAGCAGGAGCGGGCTGCTCTTCCTTCTTCTCTTTCTCGTTGTCGAGCGCAGCCTGGAGCAGTTTGCTCTCGTCCTTTCTGGGTCTGCCCCGGCCGCGCTTGGGGGTGGTTTGGTTGGAGGTGGCACCCGCCGCCACCGCCGCCGCCGCCGCGCTGCTGCTGTTGGTGGTGGTTTTGGTAATACTAGTTTTCTTGACCCCGCTCCCCTTGGGTCTACCGCGGGGACGCCCCGTCGGGACAGGCTTGGACTTTCGTTGGGAGGGTGACAGCGGCGGCCGGCCACGCTTGCGCTTTACCGGTTGGTCGGCGGAAGCGGACGGTGGGGTGGATGCCATGGCGTTTTTTATGTTGTGCGTGTCCTGGGTTGATACGCGCGCGTGTGTGTGTGTGCCGGCTTTTCTTGCCGTCCACTGCTGTTGGGGCCGTCGCTGCGGTAAGATTGTGCACTGCAGCTGGTGCGGTGAATGAAGAGCGCGCGCTGCTGCGGCGCGTCTTGGAGACGCGTCTCTGTGTGTGTGTGTGTTGCTTGGCCTGTTGAGGTGCTGCCCGTCGGTCTAGTGATGCACCCAAGTAGGTAATCTGGAAGTGCGCTATGGACGATATGCAGTGTCCTGACAATGGAAGATGGGTGCGCAGTCCTGTCACCGCTGCGATGTGTTGCGGTTAAGGTTGTTCATTAGGAAAATAGGGAAGGAGGGTTGTTTGACGAAGTTGCCAGCCGGGGGTGCCAGGATAGCACAGGCGAAGAACAAAATGGCCTTTTTAGTAGTTTGTTTTCAGCCCCTCGATTTAGTTACATCAATTGGTATTTTCATAATTTTCATTTGTATTTTATTTTTTTGGCTTTTTTTATCCAATTCGGTGGATGTCGTTTGTTGCGCCGGCACCGCTTAATGATCACTCAGTGCAGCTCAAAAGGATGACGTTATTGTCACTGATCAGCTAAGTGTTGTGCTGCGGCTAATATAATCCGCATGCTGCGCTGGCTGCATCATGATGTATGTAGAGTCCCGGAAAAACTAGGAAGTAAACGCCGTGTCAAGAAGCCTTGACCGCGTGTCGTAGACCAAAGTTCTGGAATTTTATAGGGTGCAAAGGGTAGGTATGTCAAGTTGCCGCTGGCTTGAAAGCTGAGCTGGCACCAGTCATCGAATAGAGGGTGCCAAAGTTCAGCAGAGTTGCCCCTTATTGAAGCTGTTTACAGGTCGTACAAAGGAACGCCCAAACCCAGCTCTCCTCTCAGCACTGTTATCGACCGCCCCTATAGAGTGAAAACCTTTACGCATGAGGGAATCAAGCAGATCGCACCGTTGACAAAGCGAGCACACATACGAAAGATGCGTACTGTATTTTACAGCTACACCCACCGAAAACCCACACCAGACTGTCCGGCATAAGGGACACGGAAGAGCCCCCTGAATTGGTGTAAGATGGAACGCGGAAACCGAACCCGCCGCAGTCGCAACGTCCCATAATCCAAGAACGCCATTCGCTGTGTGTGCATTTGCCGGTGCCTGTCTATCATTACCAGTGCTCCCATCCCAGTGTCCCTTTTTTTTGCTCCCTATCCCGTGATCTCTGGATGCTGCCAAGACAAAAGAAAATGCAAAAGACGTATAGATCTAGAAGGCCCAAGACGTCGTTGACCCATCGCATGGACCGCCGCCCGCAAGCCGGCATCCCCTGGAGTATGAGTTTCGCGTCGAGGCGATCATCTCGCCAATCTCCGTCGCGTTCGTTCCCATCGACTCGTCCGCTCCCTCTCCTCCCCACTGCGCCCTAAATCCTGGCTGGCCACTCTGCCTGTGAATCTTTGCTCTTGGGTATCGCTCCTCTCCGCTCCGCTCCCGATTTGCATCTTTCTGTCTTCTCTGATCGCATGTCCGGTTACTCATTCCGGCCCTTCTGGCGCTGTATTCACTTCAATCGCAGTGTCCCTGAGCCTTGGGTGCAGGATGACACGTGCCGATTCCATGATCATGTCATGTTTGGGGGTTATCCTTCTTAGTCCGTCTTCCAGTGGGCGCCACCGTCCCCGTCCCCTCCGAGGTACAACTCCACAGCATACAACCCCATCGTAGCCGCAATGTTGACCCACCGCCATGTGCTGCCGCCGGCGTCCCCAGCCCGTAATGTCCATCCGGCATCGTCACCGCTGGAGACGCTGAAATGCTGCAGGAGCAGGCTCGTGTAGACGGCGATGAGCATGGACGGCGAGAACCAGCTGAGGAATCCGATCAGGCGGTTCGCACCTTCCGTGTCCTCCAGAGTGGGCTCCTCCATGATCGCCGTGGCCCCCAATTCCCTAACGGCTGGGATGATCCTCGTGGCGCAGTAGAAAACAATGATACGGTATGTTAGTGAGATTATGACGCTGGGAGTGATGGTTTGAAAGGCGGCATAGAGGAATTGGAAGGATGAGTTCACAGCTGAGGGGAGGTTGCTCAGCATGTGCATCAAAGTCGAGTATGAGGCCATGATGATAGGGGGTAGCGGCGGGAAGTCGGGCTGCGCTGCCGCCGCTTGTTCTGCGGCGGCCGCGGCCTCAGGTGACGGCTGGTAATCGGTGAAAATTTGGTAGACGCAGAGCACGGCGTAGGCGAAGAGGAGGGAGGACTCGACGGGATTGCCGCGGCCGCTGGCAATACCAAAGGCGCACAGAAAAGCGGCAGAGGTCATGGCAACGCCAATCAAAGTGGCATCGAGATTGCTGACCTGGGGGAACGAAATAACGCGCCACAGGAAATATGCGGCACTGGAGAATATGGAACTGGAGAAGACAAGGAGAACGATCTGAAATCGAAAGTCAGCGATGGGCATATTCTCTCAAGAATTCAAATCAGGGAGTTGCTCACCACCCATGTGTCACTCCTGCCGCGGTTGACGAGCCACCTCGTAATCTGGCCAGCGGCCTGGATAACCAACAAGCTGCAGAAGCCCTCCAGCAGCTGGAAGACGGGGCTCGAATAGCTCAGCGTCTTGTCCCAAGCGCCCAGGGCCACCGTCTCGACGAACCCTTCCTGGCCGAAGAACCACTGCTTCCATGTCTTGTGGTGCGTCGATGTGATGTGGGAAAAGGTCCGTGATACCCAACCAGTGCTCCCCGCATCGACCGAGAACCGGTTGAGCGACCAGATCAGCAGCGTAGGGATGACGATCCACTGCGACAGGCCCACCAGGCTCTTGAAGAACCAGCGTATCCGCGACTTCTCCGGCGTCAGCAGTTTGCTGATGCTGTAGAAGAGGTAGAAGAGGAAGAGTGAGAGCGAGTAGGCCAGCCCGGCATCGCGGCCCCCAACATCGAAGGCGATGGGTATCGAAAGGACGATGCTGAGCAGGAAGATAGCGCTCGAGCAAGCGTTGATAAGCCACCACATTGTTGCGGCGCACTCGTGATGTGACGCCCGGCAGCCGGGGTCAGCGAGGAGGGTTTATTTTGTGTGTATTCTGGCGATTATCGATCGTGGCAGAACCGCCGGCGGGGTTGCTCAGAGTGACAGGCCAAATTCGGCACTGTGCACCCACTGTTCAAGGTGTGGTGGGGGTCCGATGGATGCTCGAATGGGAGCGACGGTTGGACGCAAGCTTTACCACGTCAACTAGCGATCGAAAATTGATCGAGGGTTCCGTTGGCTCGTGGGCTAGAGGCGGTGAAGGCAATGGCGCGATGGGGGTTGCGTTGCGTTAGGGACCTCTCGGGCGAAGCGATTCGTCAATGGTTCGAAATATCAGTTCCTGGCCCATTTGTTCCTGGCGAGGCTGAATATTTGCGCAACTCTTGAAGGAGGGCGGGTGAGTAGTCTTAAGAGTACTGAGTACGCAGGCAGTTGCCGCAGAAGTCTTCAATCCGCCGTAGGTTGGTATTCCAGTTTTCTCTGGGGAGTCTGATGTGGCCTAGGTTTCGTTGCCCACCGTGTCCAGAACGAGCTGGCGTCGCCAAAATTTAGGTTGTGGTGCCCACTCAGCAGCTGTTATCTTCACGTGTCCCTTGCACCTGCAGCTTGGCCCGACTGCAACGTGACCCGATCAAATGGCGTAAACAGCTCTGGGGAACGGATCGCTGGCATGGCCAACAAATTCGAAGATTTCTTCCCTCGTGATGGTAAGGGAGGACTTATCTGATGCTGTCGTTGGTGTGTGGCCATGTGCCACGGTTTCGTTGACGCAAGGCACGGATGCATGTAAACCGTAGAATGAGCTCAGCTTGCAGCTCCCGCTTCAGTTTATGCATGCGCTTGCAGTCTTGGCGTTCGTCTGTGACATGTGATAGGCAGCCAGCCGCGAAGAACCTTTGTCGATCACGACATCATATTCATGACAGTTTTGAAGTTGAGGTGGTCATCATCAGCTGGATGCCACACTACACTAGAGGGAAATAGGGACAGGAACGGGTGTGGCGTCACTCATCAGGACCGTGATTCAGCATCCACCCCTCAAATCAAGACCGCACACGGGCTCCATTGTTCCAATTCATACAATCGATCGATCACTGGAATGTTGTGTCTCCATCCGCATTTGGTTGCGCTTATCAGCCTTTTCGTCATCCCATCTGGTCTCCTAACAAAAAGAGAGATACAAACACCGAGCATTGGACCACATCATGCCAGAGCACACTCGATGACAGCGCTGCCGCCCGGAATCTCAGACACCTTGGTGATCTTGAGCGCGGCCCTTCCAGTAATGTCCTCGAAGTTTGCCAGCGTCCTCTCCTTGCCAGAGAGAGTGAGCATTGCCATGTCCATGGCCGCCTGGAGCGCCGATGGCCGGTCGCCCAACAGCATCTCGACAATCAGAAGCCTGCTGTCGGCTACCATGGCCGACGAGATGTGGCGCAGGATCTTGACACATTCCTCGTCAGAGTAATCGTGGAGACAGCGGCGGATGTAGTAAACCAGGGCCCCTGAAAACCTGTTAGCTCACTCACTCACTCACGCATGCACTCACTCCCAGCATGAAATGCTGAATGCATATACAACATATGTACTGGTTCGAAGCGCTGTTAGACTTACCCTTGACAGGCTGCTCCTTGAAGAAGTCCACGGCGACCATCTGCACACCGGCCAGCTCGGCATCATCCCGCCCGGCCGCCTCGACCACCTCGGGCAGATCCTCCAGCACGCATCGGTGCCGCGGAAGTCCCGGCGTGGCCCTGAAAATCCCCTTGAGCGCCTGCCCCTTGCCGCCGCCCACGTCGACCACAAGCGCCCGATCGGCAGATCTGCTCGCCTCCTGGACGGCCCAGCCGAGATCATAGTCCCCGATTGCGGGCAGTTGCTCTTCCACGGCGGCCATGGCGAGCATGAAGACGCGAAGTCGCTGCTCGGAACTGTTGGCGATCTCCCAGACGGTGGCGCCGAGGCGGCCCTCGGAGAAGGCTAGGACGCTCTGCAGCCGGTCCATGGGCTCGGCGGCGAGGCCGAACCGGTCGAAATACCTGGGCATGGCGACGTAAGAGGACAGCTGGTCATCGAACCTTGCGCGGGGGCGTGTTGGTTAGTAACAAAAGCTTGGTTCAACAGGGAAGGGTGTGCTGTATTAAGGTGCTATCAATAGTTCGTCCTTACGCAAGTTGCACCATGGCCCAGATGGAATTGGGTGTGGCGAGCATCGCGGAGAAGGTCGTGTGTGCGATGCGATCGGCGCCGGTCTGCTTGAGGGTGCCGTTGGCCACGAGTGGTCGTGCGATACGTGCTAGGGAACCCCCGCCATGAGCTCAGACCTGGATGGATGGACGGATTTTTCATGAGAGACAGAAGTAGCCAATGCCTTACTGATCAGCGACACGTCGGCGCCCAGTTGCGCCGCCAGTTCGGCGTACGAGGTATCCGCACCGTCGCCCGTGGGGATCTTCTCGAAGGCCTTCCACTTGATGAACAGGCGAATGGAGGTGATGTGGGTAAACTGTGGTAGCCACAGCAGGACCTTGTCGTGGGGCAGGCTGACGGCGTCGATAAGGTCGGTACCGGCCGCGATCAGGCCCATCCGCTGCTGCATGTCCGTCTCAAGGGATAGATTGCCGGACCGCAGAGCCTGCGCGGTCTCGGCCAACCTCTGGGCCAGTGCATCGAGAGTGTCTGCGAGTGGCGATGCCATGGTGAAGCAGGACGCTTTGGCAAGAGAAGAAAGATAAAACAGTGATCGCGCCAGCAGACTTAAACTCAAAAGCTTCGAAGAAGAGCTGTGCCCTGGATATTTATTCCACGGGTTATGTACTGGGGGGGTTTTGCATTTTATTTCCTAACTCCGAGTCCGGATACAAGGCCGTAGACCGAGTCCGGATTCAAGGCAGTCGACCGAGTCCGTGTCAGGGCCAGAGACCGAGTCCGGTATCGCCACTCCAGCAGAGTCTTGAACCAGTGAAAGTTCAACAAGGTGTTAGCACCCTAGCATCACATGCTTATGGCGCCCGTGTTATACAACACCCACCTCCCCCTTAGACAAGGCCATAGACCGACCGAGTCTGACCCGCGGACACGGAAGGATCTTGATACGCTGTGACGGTGTGTTTCCAACGTCACGTAGCTGTGGATGGTACTAACAGGCCTGGCGCCGCAGATGTAAATTTTCTGGAGTGAGAATTTTCTGAAGTTGCTTGGCCATGATGATATGGGCTGTTGGGCCGTTGAGCCCGCTATGCATGTGGCTGCCTCTGGATGTGCACATACATACATTTACCGAGCATAATAAGTATCTCACCATTTGTCCTGGACTCCTGGAACCTCGCCGATGACCATTAGCTCATATAAATATTATGAGTTCTGCATCCTCCACTATCATCCTTCCCCCTGACCCTGACCAGCACACGAGATATCATCTTACTCTTTCGTTCTTCATCCCGCACTGCTATCGCTTGCCTCAGGAACAGGGGCTCTTGAGTCTATCTACCACAAGTCACAACACATGGCAACCTCGTCGATCCTCCGATGTGAACAACCAAAGTTCAGACCACCACGAGCATATAAGAAAGTTGAGACTACTCCATAACCCCCGCACGGTCCGCCCTTCCTTGCCGATCTCTTCGCCTCACATGTCTCCACTGGATACAGACCACCAACAACACCCGAGGAGGCTGGCGAGGTAATGCATAGAGATCGTCTGCCGCCTCACATAAAGGAAGAATAGGTAAAGTAGGAGAGGCAGATCCTCCAGCCCTGGCTAGGCATCTGTTATTCACTCCGTCCGTCCTGTACCCTGAAGGAGGCTAGGCCATATTATCCCTCTTCACAGACAGGCACGACGAGGTAAAGAGCTCCGTGTTGATGGGTACATTAATAAGGCAACTTGAAAACCTAGCGTGTGACACCCTGGGGATATCTCTTGATTACAGTAGCATAGGCAGAACTTACTGATCCTCTCGCACCATAAATGTGGGCATCAAATTATATGGGCATAAGTACTGTACATAGACGTTGATAGTATGTTTTCAAAGTGGATTTCAAAACTACCGGCATGGGAACTTTCCCTAGATCAGAGCTACCTTAATACCGAAGCCCCCGATGAGAGGTCTGTTTCGACGAGATATCCTGAGGCTCTACTTTCAACCAACCAGGAGGGAACAGTGGTGGGTGAAAAATGGTGTTAGCGCCTGTGCATAGTTCACATGCTGGAGGACCATATCCTACGCATTGAAGACACTGTCAGGTCACAGGAACGTGCTGTCGATCTTTCGGCCCATCACGCCTCGCTATGGAGTTACAGATAGGCTGAGGCTCAACTTGCAGTCGGAAAGAGAGCAACAGGACGGAATCGCCAAGCGGGACATATCCAGAACTGGGATCAACCAAGATGGCGTTCATACACAATGTACTGAGCACAAGCCCAGAGACGCAAAGGAGTCTACGGAGGAAGTGGCGTCGTGTTGGAACGAGGCGGATGGGAAACCCGTTGTGGCTGGCCCCCTTCTTTAATTCATCACACGATTGGCCGCAAGAATGATCTGTTCCAGGATCCGGGACAAAACAAAAGACGACGATCAGCAAGTTGACCCAGCAGTATCTCATAAAACGAGGACTTGGGACTATGTCCTATGTATGGATAGAAATCGGCAATGAGGCTGCACAACAGTGTGCTTACCTCTTTATTGTACAATACATGACGTGAGATTGACAGTCAGCCTCGAATCATGCAAGGATTACCAGTAATCCTACTTCAGAACAGGATTTCAAAAAAAAAAAAAAATGTTGGGTGATGGTGTGGGCGGGAGGACGGAGGTACTCTTATACCTGCCCTCGAGCTACCCACGCTCTGGCCACATTAAATGATACAGGAAACCCAGTTGCTTAGACCAACACAATACGAATTCGGCCACGAACATGCTACTTCCCTACCATAGCATAGAGCTCATACTCATTTCTCATTACAGCTCGATTTAGGCGTTGAATTAGAAGAGCAGTGTTCAAATTACATACTCTCCTATTTAGTTGTGACAAATTATGTGGTGGTCCCACGGTTTTCCTGTATCATTTAATGTGGCCATAGCATGCTACCTTATAGATGACGGCAGAAAAGGGGACAAAACCGGCCACGACACCTCAAAGTGGCAAACTTCAGAACAGGAGCAGCGATGCAACACACCATATTGCATGCAGCTGAAGCAAACCAAGGCGCCGAGTTGTCAACCTCCAACTTGATGACAGCACTTCAGCGAGCTAAAAAAACGGGAATGGAAATCTCAGCCAAGTTCGGATTCCCAGGCTCCCAGCGGATAGGGCTGCATCCAAACCCATCTTACTGGGTACCTGGGGAAATGGAACAGAGGAACCGGGATGGCGATGGCGACCAATGAGCAATGTTCGGGTCAGGTCCTGAACCTTTTCAGGTATCACTCCCATCGGAGACATCATCCGACGAAAGAAGACGGAATGGGCGATATGGGCTTGTGCATTCGTGTGTGCCTTGCTTCTTGGGGGAGATGGGGGTGTGGGTGTCTCACTCCATGGCCATGGAGGGCGTGTGCGAGGAGAAGGGAAGAAGGACAAGGCGAAAAAGTGAGGCGGACACATGGGCTTGGACAAATCGGCCACTGAGAAACGGCTCCTCCGTCCTGAACACTACGTACTTAGGTACCCAGTTACTGTGCCATTCACGGGCATGCAAGCAATGTAGAACGCGAGAGGTTAGAACGGATTGAGCGGTGAAGGCGACCCTGTAACTTGATACGGGCTTGATTCAGCACCTCCTCGACCGTAAACACACCTCTGACTGGACGACCGCGGCCGAATCGGTGTTACCTGGTAAAGGGAGCATAAATAAGGACCCATACCCCTGGTTCTGATCACCGATGCTTACAGGAAGGAAGAAGCGTAATCTGTAGTCGTTCCCACCAGTTCTCGCCGTTTCTGATTCCACTTACACCATGTCGTCCTCATCGGATATGAACAAATATTGGATCCCCCACCTGGACATCCACAAGAAGGTTATCACCCAGGAGCTTCAGTACTATCTCGGGCCCGAGGCGACAGTGAGGTCTTTCACTCGCGATGTGGGTAGCGCCATCTTCCTTGTTTGCGATTGCAAGACGTTGACGGTCCTAGGGAGAAGATGGTTTCCTGATCACTACACCGGGACCTTGCCTGACAGATGTGAGCCACCGCGGGCGAAACTAGGGCCTCAACATCGGAGATTGACCCCTGCCCAGGAGCAAATAGACGACATCTGTGTTAAATCGAAGGAAATGTGGGAGAAGCAAGCGGCAGCAAGGGCATCTGGCACCTCCAGCAAGCCACTCAAACGACCGCTCCACCAACCGGTGGTCATAGCGAAGGCGGGCGGCTCGTCAAGACGAAGGCGTGACAGCCGACGGCGCAACGAAAGTGACACGCGACGCGATGAGAGACGGCGAAATTGATCGTGGTGTGCGTAGGAGGGCCCCCAACCGAGCGGGCGTGTTGCTGGCACCTAATGTCCAGTGTGGATAGCCGACGGAAAAGTGGCGGGAGATTTTTTGACGCCAAACGGAGATGGGAGATGTCCCACCATCTGACGACCAGCTGATGTCAAGGGCGAGGAGAGACACGATGGAGGATGAATGGCGGACAGAAGACATTGGCCGCTGAGGGTGCAGCCGCCAGGTCGTACTGTAGCAGGGCGACCAGGAGATTGTGAGCGCTCGAGCCAGCAATATTGTGCCATCTGGCATGCGGCAGCCCCAATGAACACTGCATTCTACCCCTTGTCCGGTGGAAAACGGCATGTGTATGTATGTCGGGTTATGCAACCGAGCAGAGGGCTAGCCGTATTTGAACGACCCGGGTTCCCAATTGGACTGTTGCCGATGTTCTCGCGCGTGCTGGGCTCGGCGAGACTCAGACGGAGGTCGAGGCCGAACGAAATTGCTGCATATCTGCAACGGCCATTGAATAAGAAAATGCGGCAGGCTCGCAGTATCCGCAACTTCTGCTCCGCTAAGCAAGGTTGAGAGGTGAAATCCCAGCCCGCTTTATTGGGCCAGTGTTGGGGTCTTGTCGGGAATGAGATCCGTACCGCGTAGGCATCATCGCGCGGCCTAGGCAAACAACCATTAACATTGGCAGATAAGGTAACGATCAAGTGAACGTAGGCCATCTGCAATCGAAAGCGCCATGGTCCCAATCGCGCCGCAAGTCGACGACGCTGGGGTTGCGTTCCCGTTAAACATAGCTCCACAGCATATGCCGTGCCACACTGACAGAGTCTTGGACTATCCGTGCTGTGAAGCAGCAAGAATCAGCCTGGGGCGCTTCGGATAGATGATAACAGTAGCGATCCGAGATATGTATGATTAGGATTGCTGGAGCGCCCCTCCAGGCTCGCTCCTGGGGACATGCCAATATCGCATGACTGACGATGCAACAGCGGGAGCTGCCACAAGTCATGTAAACGAGTGAGATAAGCCTCAAGAGGTGCTGCTGCCGCTGCCGGTGGCCCGTTCAGGCTGAAAAGCCTTGATGGACGTCTCGTACCGTCGCACATCGACAGGCCCGGCAGACCAGAGAACTATTGCTTGAGCATGAACCGTCGAGCGTTGCTGGTTTGGCTCCTTGCCGTCGGCTAAGGGAGGAATGTCCGTGATGTATCCGATGACATTCACCCACTCCCCAATGCGTGTCTGATCCGGCCCCAAACTTTCGAGGACGAGATTGACATCAACCATGGCGAGAACGGAGCAGGTTTCCTCTGGTAGGCGGTGCTCCAAGGTCAAGACCCCGGAAGCTGGCGAGTATGAGCGAACACTAAATGAAGCTGGTCAGTGTGGGATTTGCAAGCGCAGGCCGGAGATGGGCGACAGGATATGCGGACTCGTGTGATAGTTCTTAAGCTTATTAAGGACACCTCCGGTCATAGTGGCGGATCTGAATCAAGATCCGTTCAAGCCACGTTGGAGAGTTAACTCACCATCCCAGGAACCTCACTTTACTGCCGACTTGCTTACTCGGCAGCGATGAGAGTAAACAGAGCTGCGAGGGGCGGGGGCCATTGAACATGGTGTTGAGCTCGAGAGACAGTTCTGCCTAGCTAGCATGTTGAGTTGCGATGCCGTGGCGAGATGTACATGGCCTATCAACTTCAACTAGAATCCCAAACGTGTATTCGTAGGTTGGTCATCATTGATTTGTTGGCGAGAGGCAGGCAGTCTCGCCCAGGGCAGCTGCCTGCAAGTGGAAGCGCTGCTGCTTAGTCAGCAAGACTTGTTAATCGGTCACATGAGTGACGGGTAAACCTCGGACTGAATAGGCTCGCATGCCGAATCACAGTCGCAGCGAGCGCCTAGAACCAACCATGACGCCTTGCATCATCCGCCGATACGGATACGCAGCCTTGATCAACGTCAAACACCATCTCGGAGAGCTTTCGTCAGCCCAGGTTTCAGTGTTCTATTTGCGCTAACCCCGTGTTTGAGTTACGCAATCTGTTCCCGCGATATCCTCGTTTGGCGGTCTCCCAACAGGTTGGGTGTGAGGTTGCCTAGACTCAGGTTGCGACCCCGCCAAAACTTGGTGAGGCGTCATCGGCACAGGTAGATCAGCTGCCCCTCGGCCAGCACGCCGACCACAAGTCCGACTCGATTCTACGCTCGCCGACACCACCGTCTACCGACAGTTTCCGCACTCGACAACTTCGCCATGTCTGGAATCTGGGGCTGGTTTGGCGGTGGCGCCGCGCAAAAGCGGAAAGAGACGCCGAAGAATGTCATTCTCGACTTGCGGACGAACATGGAAATGCTGCAGAAGCGTGAAGCCCATCTCAGTCGCCAGATCGAGGAACAGGATCAGATTGCGAGGAAGAATGTCAACACGAACAAGACGGGTACGCTCGATGTCTCGATCCCCTTATCGCATCGCTTTGCGACTACGCCGAGATGCTGACCCTGTGTTCTCCCGATAGCTGCGAAGGCGGCACTACGACGCAAGAAGATCCACGAACACAACCTCGAGCAGACGCTGAATCACATTGCGACGATCGAACAGCAGATGAACGCAATCGAGTCCGCGAATATCCACCAAGAGACCTTCATGGCAATGGAGCGAGCGGGCAAGGCTATGGCGACAATACATGGCAAGCTCACGCCGGCCAAGGTTGATGAGACCATGTATGTGCACTGTTCCATATCGCAGCACGGAAGATACAAAGTGAAAGGGTACTGACGGCGCTGGCAGGGATAAACTGCAGGAGTACAACCGGCTGAACGAGGAAATTGCGGAGGCGATAGGCAGCGTCGCATTGGGCCAGCAGGTGGATGACACAGAGTTGGAGGATGAGCTGGAACAGCTACAGCAGCAGGAGCTCGAGGACAAGATGCTAGAGACGGGCCCCCTCCCGGTCGATAATATCCAGCGTCTGCCGGCCGTGGCGAATGGAGAAAGTGAGTCAATTCCGGATTGGGCAATCCCGCTACTTACGAAGCAAATGGTATTAACTTGTTACTAGTCAAAGGGAAGGCCCCTGCCGTCACAGAAGACGACGAGGAAGCAGAGCTCAGGAAACTGCAAGCAGAGATGGCGATGTGAGCCCGAGGGCTTCGCGCATATCATATTGTCTATCGGTCGTGCTTGCTCGGGGGTAAAGGATAATGCCGTTCAATTTTCTATTGTTCCCTTGCATAGGGGTTATTGACTACGCCGGGGCATACACGAAGGTGGCCGGAGGTCAGTGGCGGGAGTTGGCACTGTTTCTCGCATTGGTATCGACAATTGCTTGGAGTGCTGCTCTCTCAAGCGAAGGGCTGGCGTTCTGGGTTTAGGATTTTGATGTAGTTATCAGGGGGCCGCGCCGAGACGTTCAATAGTATCTGACCACATTGCTGTACGCATTCTGCTTAAGACGGGACGAGTACAATCCTTTTCCTTGATCTGCCCATCGCCGGCTTTCGCAGGACTGCAAATATAACCTCAGCCTCGCCACCATTATGGGGAATTTCCGGATGTAGAAAGCACGGAGACCTCTGGCAGCCTGCCTCAACATCTTCCTCGCTACTACGGCGGCCATCCCGAGAGGTCAAAGACTCTCAAGCAAAGCATCAACCCCTCTCACCGACCGTGATTGACGACCCCAGCAGCCTTACCGAAGAGGGGTCGTTTACACCGCCTTTTGCTCATTGGATTGTCAGTCTCGCTTCCTGGTCACCAGGGGAACCAGATCAACAGGCTCCATTTTGGAGTGGAGGCGGCTAACGTTAAACGTTAGTGATGCTCCGGGACGCGTTGTTTGCTGCCGCCGTCCACTTCTCGTTTCACTTCGTGCTTTGTAAGATCAGGTTCTGATTGTTAGTTGTCGTTGCCTCTCGTGACGACTGGCTAGGTGATAGAGAAGTAGTGTAGGTCAATGCGTAGGTGTATGTGGCATGGACCCGTGAAGCCCAGCCTTGCGTCGATGCATGATCCGATCAGATGAGGACCGATCACGGGTACCAGTGACTTTGATCCAGCTGCGGATAGCACAAGGTGATAGGGCGGGGCTGGAGCTTGGCGTGTACCATTACAATTTTCATCAATCTTTGGGTTTCTTTTCTTTCCTCTTTGACGAAGCACCGGGCCCTTCTCGCACGAGTTCTGTGCCTCAGCCAGTATAGTAATGTAGATATGTTCTCAGAGCTGCAAACCATTGGCGAATGTATCTTCATTTCATTCAGTTCTTGCTGAATGTGAGATTCCACCTTGTTGAGATGACAAGATTCAATTCTGCCAGACAACCAGCGAGTTGACCGCCCCGGCTACCCTCGACGTTCGTTGATCAACTGTTAGCGCGCGACATGGATGGAGCTCTTGGTTAGCGCTACTCTGGGCGGTGAGTGGATCTTGAGGAAGTCCACGACCTAACATATCAAATTGCGAGCTGGTTCCCCGCGAACCTGTGCCAAATGATTGTCGGTTTGCCCCTATCACCTCTCCTCTTATCAAAGGTCAGAGAGCCTTTCAGACCTTGGAATCATGCCCAACACCGAGCACACAGAGAGCATCGAAAATTTTCGGGCTGCTTCGCTGGCAGAGGCCCCTTGTCATGCCCCACGTCCCGACCCGGTGCGCCCCACCCAGCTAAGGCACCGTCACGGTTAGACTGGGCCGTCCTGCAGAGAGATCTCCACCAGCAGTCAACCACGTAGCTCACGCGCAGCCATCACGGCAGCTTTGCACCACCGATATCTCCCGGACTCGCTGCTGGACGGGGTGAGAAGAACTTGAAGCCCGGTGCTCCCCTTCATCTCAGGAGTATAATATGGTCTGCTTGACCATCTTCTTGCCCGGCCCAACGAGCCACGTTGGGCCTACTAAGGTCTAGTAACCGAACGAGTGGCATATCTCGACGGCTGGGGAAAGCTCGCCGAGAATGGAACGGTCCCGGGAGCGGCTCAATGGCGGCCCAATGTTGCGCCAATTGCCAGATCTCCAAGGCTTCCGGACCAATAATTGAAGGCGAGGCTCACTCTTACCTCTGATATCCGCTCGTCTGATCAATCAGCAGAGCAGGAGCTCCCGCAAACTTCGCCGCCGCCGGTTGAAAGCAGCCGAGAGACGGTCTGCTGCCCCTCGGCTTGGGTTAGCAGCCTCCCATCTAGGCCATTGTGATTGCTTGCTTGCCTGTCGTGCCCCTTGAGGATTGATTGGGCCGCAGCTTCACCCCGCGTTGTGATGCTGTGATTGATAGGCCTTGATCCAAGTGATTGCTGACTCCGTTGACGTGGCGCCACTGCAACTGTGTGAGCCAATGTCCATCAGCCTCTCCCCGGGTCTCGAGACTCCGCGCATGAAGCCGTTCCTGCGTGGGGTTCAGGATGGTGCTCCGAACGGAGTGTGATTGCCCTGGTGTGTGAGAAACACAATTTGTGCCAAGAATCCACAGCTGGTTTTCACGCAACTGGAAGGAACCTGCCCCTCGGTTCAAGGTTCTCTCTCCAGGGTATCCCCTCCTCAATTGCTCTTCCCCTCGTCCCAATTCTTATCCCAGGACCAAGAAGTGCAACACTGAATGTTAGGGAGCTGTGAAAGTGGGTTTTTTCTTCCTGCATCTGCCATCACAAAAGCTTACCACGCCCCAGGTGTTCCTGCTTGTGAACTTTTGGACACATCCAACCACCGATTCAGGACTGTCACGGCCAACCACAGACCGTGGCACCACCCCAATCTTGCACTTCCTGCTTGCACCCGTAAGCTGTGCATACATTTTATCCTCCCATTCCCAACCCGACCACTGGGCCGTGTTCCAGCCGTCGACCCAATAAACCCCCACCCTTCGCGTCCGGAAGCTCATCTGCCGCCTCCCGGACACAGCAGCGATACCCAACGAAAGGACACAGAGTAGTGCGTATGGAGGAGAATAAAGATACCCCTCAGGTCCTTACCGTCGAGATCCCCTCCGACAAGGCAGAGGTCGACGTCCCACAAGTATGAGCATCCCAGGTGAAGATGTCGAGTTCGGCCCCAACTGGGCGAACCTTCATTGGTCCCAGGCCCAATATGACCACATCCAGTTCGCCGATTTTAATAATGTGCAGGTAGCCCAATATGGGGAAGTTAAGTATTTCCAGCCGACAGACTCGGAGGACGAGAATGCGCCTGAGGTAAACGGTGAGAGTAAGTCTGGTTAATGCCCCTTTGTTGTCCCGCCCGCAATGGGAGAAGGAGTAAAAGATAAAGAAGTGTGGTTACTGACAGGCTTTCTCAGACGGAGAGCAAAAGAAGCCCGGGGAGGATGCCGAAGAGCCGGTAGAGGAGGGTGCGTCTGCTACAAGTGCCGCAGCTAAGAAGAAGGCGAAGAAGAAGGCAAAAGAAAAGGCAAAGAAGGCCGCCAAAGCAGCCGAAAAGGCCGCAGACCCCACGCCGGCGCCGGCGCCTGCTCCCGAGGCTGAGCCTGAGCCTGAGCCGAAGGAGGAACCGGAGGAGGCGACATCATCCGGCGGAAAGAACAAGAAGAAGAACAAGAAGAAGAAGGACAAGAAAAAGGAGATGCCGGAATCACCCTCCCCGTCCAGCCCGGCCGACGAGCCGACCCCCGCTCCTCCGGTGGCCGACGCAGACAAGGCTGAGGAAGCGAAGCCTAGTGAACCAGAGCCCGTATCTGTTGAGAGCCAGTCAACAGAGCAGGCCAGGGAACTGGCTGAGTCTCAACCCAGCGAAGCCGCTGTCGAGCAACAAACTTCTGAGGCTAAGGCTTCCGAGGAAGAGAGTCAATCACCTGCTGAGGAGCCGGCAGCGGCAGAGAAGCAGGATGGATCGCCGTCTACCGAGCCTGAGGCTGCGGCTGCGAAGGAGGAGTCCACTCCTGCAGTTACGGAGGAACCAGCTGCTCAGGTAACGGAGGAGCCGCCCGCCGAGATCGCTGCCGAAAGCGAAAAGCCTTCTGAGGACGCACCCGTCCCTAAGTCTGAGTCAGAGGAGGTCCAGAAGCCTTTGGAAGCTGCTGCCCAACCAGAGGCAGAGGCCGAAGCTGAGGCGAAAGCCCAAGAAGATGCCGAGGAGCCCCCAGCTGCAGAGCCAGAGATGGCCAAGGCAGAGGACGCGGCTCAGGGCGACGTGAAGGTGGAGGAGCAAACCGCGGCCGCTCCCAAACCCGAGACTGCCGCCGAAGCTGAAACCGCCCCCGAAGCTGAAGCTGTTCCGGCTGCCGAGACTGCTCCCGAGTCTGTCGTTGCTCAAGCCCAGGAGACACCGGTTCCTGAGCCCGATACCCAGGCCAAGGAAGTCGAGGCCTCCGTGCCCGGTCCTAGCAACGACGCGAAGGAAGAGCCAATACCCACGGTCGAGGCCGAAGAGGAGCCCACTCCTCAGCCCCAGGATGAGCCTGCTCCTCAGCTTGATGTCGTCGAAGACTCAAAGGCCGAGCCGGATGCCGCAGTCGAAGCAAGCGCTGCTGCTCCGGAGGATTCCCCAGCTCCGGCGGAGGCGCACGAAACTACTAAAGAGCCCGCGGACGAGGCCGCTGCCTCGGACCCAGCTGAGAAGCCAACTGAGCAGTCAACCGAGCCTGGGCCGTCAGCCGATGACGTGCCGCCTCCGGTAACAGAGCTTGACACCGTGTCAAAAGAGGATTCGATGCCCGACGATGCACAGGAGGCAGCAACCGAGAAGGAAGCTGAGGTCGCTGCTGAGGTCAAGCCCGAAGCTGCCTCCGAGCCTGCTGCCGAGGAAGGGGCGGTTGAGGCGACGACAGCCGAGAAGTCTGATGGGCCAACGGACGAACAGGCCGAGGTTCCAGCTCCAGCCGCCGCTGCGGAGAACGATGCTTCGACCGAGCCCGAGGCTGCCGAAGAAATTAACAAAGCTGGACCCGAGGTCCCTTCTGCCGAGGAACCTGCGCCCCAAGCTGCTGAGGCTGTCGAGCAAGACAGGTCCGAGGAGGCTGAGAAGCCTGCTGAGACGACCGGTGACAAGAGCGCAGAAGAGAAGCCCGCTGTTGCTGAGCCCGCGGAAGAGGCTAGCGCTCCTGAAGTATTACTAAGGTCCATTCCCATCACGAAATGCTCATGGCACTAATGTATCGCAGGTAACTGCCGAGGCTGAGGTGGCAGCGGAAAGCAGCTCTCCGCAACGCGATACACAGGAATTTGCCGAACCTGAGGCCGAGGCTGCCGATAAGGCCAACGAAGAGGTTTCCAAACCTGAAGACGAGGTCCAGGAGCCTCCTGCGGAGGACAAGACCGAGATTTCTGCAGCCGACGAGGCCCAAGCGAATGACGCCACGCAGGCAGAGGATAACGTGGCGGCCAAAGCCAGCAGCACTGAGCCTGCACCTACTGAGAAGGCGGCAAGCGAGGCTCAAGAACTAAGGCCCGAGGAGGCTGACGAAAAGGAAGAATCTTCTCCCGCTGTTGCCGAGGAGGTTGCCGAAGCTACACCAGAACCGGCGCCGGCGACAGAGCAGGTTGTGTCTGAGCCAGCTGAGGAAACCAAAGTCGAGCCTGTCGAAGAATCCAAAGCTGAGCCCGTTGAGGAGGCCAAGGTCGAGTCTTCTGATGTGCAGCAGCCTGAACAGGCCGGTAAGACCGAAGCAGAGGCTGCGGAGGCCCCCACAGCTGAGGTTAACACTGAGTCCGCGGAAGAGGCCGAAGCCGAACCCACCGAGGAGGTTAAGGCCGAGTCTCCTGACGAGCACCAGCCTGAATCGGCAGAAGAAACCAAAGCAGAGACCGCGGCGGAGTCCAAACCTGAGCCTATTGCGGAGGTCAAGGCAGATGCTACTGAGGCCAGCGCTGAGCCTGATCAGACAAAGCCTGAACCTGTCGATCCAGAGGCCAAGAAAGCTGACGCTGCCGAGGTCAACGCCGAACCCGCAGAAGATGCCAAAGCCGAACCCGCCGTGGAGGTTAAGTTTGAGTCTCCTGAACCGACCGAGGACGCCAAAGCAGAGACTGCAGAGGAACCCACCCCAGAACCGACTGGAGAGGTCGAAGCTGAGGTGAAGGCTGAGCCTACGGAGGATTCCAAGACCGTCCCCACCGAAGAGCAGAAGCCTGAGCCCGCCGAGGAGACCCCAGCAGAAGCCACAGCGGAGGCCGAGCCGGAAACCGTCGAGGAGGCGGAGGCCAAGCCTGCGGATGAAGTCAAGGTTGAGTCCGCTGAGGAGACCAAGGCCGAAATCCCAGTTCAGGCCGAGGCTGAGCCGGCTCAACAGACTCACGCCGAGCCTGCCGAAGAGGCTGAGGCTGAGGTTAAGGTTGAGGCGGTCGAAGAAGCCACCGCTGAGGTCAGAGACAAGGCCTCTCAGCAACCTGAGGCTGCCCCTACCCCCGAAGCGAAGGACGAAGCGGAAGCTGAGCCCGTCGAGGACACCAAGGTCGAAGCTGCTACAGTGACGATGGCTGAACTGGCGGAGGACAAGCCTGAACCTGCTGAGGAAGCGCAGGTTGAGAGCACCGAGGCTGTTGCCGAGGCTGCCGAAGAGACCAAGGCTGGACCTGAGGAAGTCAAAGCTGAAGCTGCTGAAGAGACGAAGGTCGAGTCCGCCCAGGACGTCAAGACTGAGCCGACGGAGGCTGAGTCTCTAACTGCTGAGGAAGCCAAGCTTGAGACTACCGAGGCTAATGCTGAGGTCCTCGAAGAGGTCAAGGCTGAAGCTGAGGAGATTAAGGCTGAAGCTGCTGACGTGGCTAATGTTGAGCCTACTGAGGAAACCAAGACTGAGCCGGTTGAGGAGTCCAAACCAGTCGAGGATGGACACGCCGAACCTGCAGAGGCGAAGTCAATCACTGAATTCGGGACTGAGGCGGAAACCAAAACCGAGGCTGCTCACGAGCCTACTTCTGACGCTGCCAAGGCCAATGCGGCGGAAGAGCCGACCGAACCCGCAAAGGCCGAGCCCGCTCAGGAAAACGCGACCGAGACCGCAACGGCCCAACCCACTCCGGAAGCCCAACCTGTCCCAGCCGACGAGGCCACGGCGGCCCCTACCGATGATACAACGGTACCGCCGGCTGCGGAGGCCGCCGCCGAACCGGCTGAGAAGGTTGAGGTAACGCCTACGGAAGAGCCCGCGCCCATCGAAGAAGCTAATCCTGAGCCCGCTGAAGAGCCCGAGGCTGAGCCTGTCGCGGAAGCCAAGCCCGAGACTGTCGAGGAGTCAAAACCTTCTTCTGCCGATGATAACGCAAACATCGAGGCAACTGCCGCTCCAGCTGCCGAGGGAGAGTCCCAGCCAGAGCCAAACCTTGAGACTGTCAAGGCACAGGCGGACGAGTCCGAGCCTACTGATGGGTGGAAGCCCGAGCCCGCCGGAGAGCCCAGACTCGGAATCACCGAGGAGTCCAGTGCTGAGCCAGCCAAGCCCGATGTCGAGACAGCGAGCGCTGCAGCCGCCAGCGAAGAAGAGCCAGCACCTGAAGCTGTCCAGGTACAGGCGGTCCAACCCGAGCCTAGAGAGCTTCTGAAGCCTGAGCCTGTTGGAGAGACCAAGCCCGAGGCGGACAAGGTTGATGTCGAGGCGGCTGCTGAGGTCACGAAGGAAGAACCCCAGCCGGAGCCAGCACCTAAGACTGCTGAGGAACAGGCGGCAGAGCCTGAGCTTGTTGAAGAGGTCAAGCTTGATGATGTTGAGGCGACCAACGCTGAAGTCCCTAAGGACGAGCCACAGCCGGAACCGACTCCTGAGCCTGTCCTTGAGCAGGCGGCCGAGTCCGAGGCAGCGCAGACGACCGCTGCGGAGGAGCCTGCCGCAATCGCCGAAATGGCTGCGGCTAGCAGGTCTGAGGAGGCTGTGGCCCGTGGAGTGGCAGCTGCGGAGGCCCAGAGAGTCGAAGAGAAAGAAGCAGAGACAGCCAAGGATGATGCTCCCCGTGACCTGGTCCAAGAGGAGAAGTTGGAACGGAACGACACAACCACCGGAGCTGACGGACCCCCCAAGAAGGCCGAGGCGGCACAGGACGATGAGAGCAAAGACACGGTTGCTCCGACTCCCAGTGAGCACAAGGTGGCTGCGAGGAAGGCTACAGGTGAGGCACACCCAGTATTGCTTGATACCCCCGGTGGCAGTGGCATTGCAGGACAGGAGGCTTCAGAATGCATTTCACAACCAACGGACACGGACTTGGACTTGCGACTTTCGGATGGCCATGATACCCAGGAGACAAATTTGGTGACCGCAACAACGATTGCGAGTAATGATACCCCTGATACCCTTGATACCCCCAACCAACTTAATACTGGTAATGCGGTTGGAAATAATGAGCACGACACGGAGACGAGGCCGGACAAAGCGCAGGGCGCTTCTAATCCTGAAGGCATGGCGTACAGCGAACCAGCTGTAAGTCTTCCCCGGTGAAGGTCATATTGCGTCTTTGTTTGATCAAGATTTACTGACCATGCGGCAGGAACTCGCAAACGGCACTGCCCAAGGAAACACTTCTGAAAAAGCTACCGAGGACCTTCCGGCTGAGCAACTTGACGCCGAGTCTCGGGATGTTTCACTTTCGAAGACTGATGTCGCGGCTCTCGGGGCGTCAGCGCAGCAGGAAGAGCAAGCTCAGGAGGTTTCTCTGGAGGAGCAAGCGCCTGCTGAGGAAGCCAAGGCAGGCTCTTCGGATGCGCCAGCGGAGAACGAGCCAACTATCATCGCTGCGGAGGCCAGCCCGGCCGACGACACCACCCAAGGACCCGATGCTGCAGAGTCTACAGCGCAGGTGTCGGATGCGAAGAGTGCTGAGGAGCCAACCTCTGAGGTTGTCCAGCCTGCTCCTGATGTAGCTGAAGGGGCATTGGCTCAGGAAGCGCCGGCCCCCGTCGAAGAAATCCAGCAGAACGCCTCTGCTAAAGAACCGGAACCCGTCGTCGAACCTGCCGCCGCCAAAGTCCAAGCCGTCGCCGAGGTTGTCCCTGCTACGGAAGAGCTGGGCCCTGTTGTCGAGCCTCCTGTTCCTGAGCCTGCCCAGGCCGAGGGCCACATGCAAGCCGCTGCTGCCAAGGCCACGGAAAGCGCCGATGAGCCTACCAAGGCCGAGGAAGCTCTTGAAACCGATAAGCCTACCCAAGTTGAGGAGCCGGCGAGTACTGACAAGCTAGCGGTGGCCGAAGACCCCGTTCTCATCACAGAGCAGCCAAGCGACATACCCGAGTCCCTTGTTTCTCAGGACACGACTACTAGTGAACGAGAGCCCATCCAGGGACCCACGACACAGGACACAGAGGTAACCCGGGCCTCAAGCCATGTTCCTGACGCGGACAAACCCGTTCCTGAGACCTCCTCGGAAGAGTACGTCATGGTCGAGGCGAGCTCACTCCCCCCTTCGGAGTACGACCCGCGAGAGACGAGCCTCTCTCTGCAGACAGAGACCACCTACCCGCTGCCGACCGACACCACTGTTACGCTGCCCACGGAGACGTCGGTCTCACTTCCCGATGGCGCGAAGGAGGTATTGGGCCTCAGGGAAGATGCCGCAACCGCTGATGATGATTCACACGAGAAGAAGGTTGCGATTGGCGCGGGCGTAGCGGGCGTCGTGGGTGTTGCCGCTGCCGCTGCCCTTGTTGCGCACAATCTGCCTTCCTCTGACGAGCCAGGCCTACCGGCGACGGTGGCGCGCCTTGAGGAGTATGCGGCTAAGCTTGAGAAGTCTAAGCCTTCGGAGGAGACCCTTGCTGAGGAGATCCCTGGAGAAGGGGCCAAATGGTCCGAGACATTGCCATCGGGTGAGCCGACCGAGCAAGCTAGATCGGTTGCCACAGCGGAGTCCTCCCAGGTTGTGGTGGACAAGGCAGTCCCGCTCTCCGAGTCCTTCCACGTAGTGCACAAGGACGCGCCAGCCCAGGAAGAAGCGGCGAGTGGTGAAGATAAGAAGACGGCTTCTTCTGAGGATGGTGAGGAATCTGCTGAGCGGCCCGCTGTTGCTGGCGTAGTTGATGAGGAGAAGACGATGACTGACGATGGCTCTCTGGTTGCCTCAAGACCGACAACCGAAGGAACAGGACCGCAACCCCAGCCCCAAACCGGACCCGGACCCGGCCGCCCCGGCCCCGAAGAAGAGCTCGTTCTGGACTTCCGCGTCCCCACTCCTGGTGTCACTCTTCCTGACCTCGACGATCCTGTGGCTAAACAGCTAAGCCGGATGCGCAGCCTGCGCCGACAGCGGAGGAAGACCATCAAGCAGGCCGAGGAGATGGTGGCTGCCGCTGTGGTCCTCTACGCCACCGCCCAGGCCCTTAGTCCGCCAGGAAGCCCGAGACTTGCCAGTCCAGTTCCCGATGTCCTTGGTTCGCCCGAAATGCATTCTGCTGACGTGAAGGGGAAGGGGAAGGAGAAGGAGGTTGCGATGCCCGTCCTGTCTCTCCAGGATCCACCGGCCGAGGACGAGCAGGGCAGGGGCAGAGCCAGGTCGAGAGATCTTCTTGATCCTGTTGCTGACCTTTCAGTAGACAAGGCCAGAGAGCCGCTCAAGGCCGAGGATGCCAGGGTAGCCCACAGCAGTTCCAGACGCCACAGCCACCACTCTTCGCGCCATCGGTCTCACCACCGTGACAGCCGTGATGGGAGCAAGGACGACGGCTCCAGACGCTCACACCGTTCTCGAGCGGACAGCTACGCGTCGGTTCGCTCGCGCGGCGAGGATGAGCCTCCCCCGCGCACCCCCACCCGAGAGGACGGCGGCTTCTCCGAGCACAGGAGCAGCCCGCACTCCCGAAGACACCACTACCGCACCCCAGAGGAACAAGCCGCTCACGAAAGGCGCAAGGAAGAGCGGCACCGTGCCCGCGAGCTCGAGAAGGCCAAAGACGGCGGAGCGCCCAGTTCGCCAGCCAAGGCCGACAAGGACAGCAAAGATTATTCGGCCGCGCGCGACCGTGACCGTGAACGGTCTGAGCGCTCCGAGCGGTCCTCACACTCCCATCACCGGCACAGCTCCCGCCGCCACAGCCACAGCCGCACGAGCATGGAGCCGCAGCCGCCATCCAAGACCGAGCTATCGCCGCCGTCGCCAGTAGCCAGCAAGAAGTTCTTCGACATCAAAAACGGCCAGAGCGTGCTCGAAGTCAATTTTGGTTCCTCATCCACCAAGGAGTCTGCCCTTCCGCTCCCCATCCCTCTGCCGTCTGCCTCGTCATCTTCGACGACCAAAGCCGCAATACCTCCTCCTCCTCCTCCTTCCTCCAGCGGTGGGGAGAGGGAGCAGCTTCTCAGGCGTTCCAGTACGACGCGCAGCATGGGCAGGGTGCGCAGATCGGAGGACCGCATCCCGCGCAGGGAGGAAGAGCCTCTGCCCACCACCACCACCACCACCACCACTGCTGCTGCTGCTGCTGCTACGACCAAGTCCAGCCGGGATAGAGACAGAGACAGAGACAGAGAAAGGGAACACAAGCACAAAGGGTCGACCGCAACAGCAGGACGTGCATCCGTGGGCGAGGCAGAGGCAGCAGGCGGGTCGGGGTCATCGTCCGGCGGGGATGGGTCGGACGCGCATGCGGCGCATCGGGCCAAGAGGCTGGAGAAGAGGGAGAGGGCCAGGGAGAAGGAGCAGTCCAAGGGCGGGCTCAGGGGTGTTATCAAGAAGCTTTTTGGTGGGAGTGGGTGAATGTGAATGCAATCAACAAGGGAATGAACGAAAAGAGAGAGGTTGGGCCTGGGGCTGGACTGGTGGGGTTGAGGGCAGTTCATATGCGGACTGGGGGGTCTAACGTTGTGCGCAGGTTGACACGGGAGGCGGGAGGATGGATGATGGTGATGATGTGATGAATACTCTTCTCTTCTCTTGTTTCTGTTGTGACAAGTTATGAGTCTTATGATGGGTCGATAGCCTGTATGGACGGACGCTCACGCATGAGTGTGGATGTATGGGCTAAGGCCGGGAATCATGGTACTACGTATCAAGGTGTGTGGATGGGTGGCTTGGTTGTGGTTCATTGGTGCCTACCTAGTGTTCTCTTTCCGCGCTTCTTTCTGCCGGACAGCCATGGCATTCTGATGACATGACAAGGGGTTGTTACGTGTACCATGTTTTATTCGACAGTTATGGTATCACGATGAGCGGAAAACGACGAGGTTGCTTCTTCGATGCTATCCCCGGCCTCCGGACCGAAATGGTCTCCACTTGACCGAGATGGTATCCACTCCTTCGACCTGCGCCCTCTTCATCCTTCAAAGATCCGAGCCGGGTGAGTGGTCGTCCGGGCGGTCCGGCATTAGTATCCGAGAAGAGGGGTTTACATACAACTCATGCCGTCAGGTAAGCTTCTTCATGCGCAATTACCGGCATTGTTGCGGCGGCCCGCGGAATCCGACCACTTCAAGAGGAAGAAGGTTGGGGTCACGGTTGCTGCCAGAGCCACCGCCAAGCATATATGCATACGTCTCCCGTTCCTACCCTGCCCCTTTGTTGTTGTTGTCGCTGTTGCCCTTGCTTTCCATTGATAATCAACGGGCTCGGACTTATGCGGGGGTGCGAGCTCCGACGGCTCCGGAAGTCAGCAATCCTCCTCTGCAGTCCGCCGGAATGCGACTCTGCGGGTGTATTTGTTGTACTAACTTGTACATGGGCAATGCATGGCATCCAATCACCAAGCTGCAATTACCAAACCGGGGGGAAGGGGGAGGCGCCTCCTTACCACCACCTTACCAGTACAACCTTGTTTACATTAAGGGCGGCTGAGAGCGGGATACTACTGTGTGGTAATGGGTAGTGTATGAGGTGGCCAGCGAGGCAGTGCTGACGAAAAATGCTGGCGGTGTACGGATTGCTGTGACTCTGTGAGAGGTCAGGGTGGATGGGGAGCTTGCGTGTCAAGGCAGATCTACCAGATTCCTTTCAACAGCAGATCACTTGGAACTCGGCATCCCCCCCTGTCTGTTACAAACATACGTTACTGTACAGACATGGGCTCGGTTGTGAATATTATAAAAGCATGGTGACGGTGAGTGCAGTGGAATGGGCTGTCCTTTATATCTCCCCGGGGGTCTCTGGCATCAAGCACAGCTTCAGCATACCATCTCTCCCGACCTACTCCCTGACTCGGACGCACCGCCATCACTACTAGCTCATTGTCCTCATTGTCCAATATGAAGGCCGCCTCAGTCCTCTCTCTCGCCGTGTTCGCGGCCGGTGCATATGGGACGCCTTCGAGTGATCTGTTCGAGCAGTGGGAAAAGCCCGGGGCCTCGGACGGTGAGTACTATGATAAACATATTGCTTTAGTTCCTTTTTTTGGCCTCCTTTCCTTGTTTACGCTTAGAGCAGAGAGCTGACAAAAGATATGACGGGATAATCAACAGTCCGTGGCCCATGCCCCTTCCTGAACACGTTCGCCAACCACGGTTTCCTGCCTCGGTCGGGCAAGTACATCACGGAGAAGGACTTGACCAACGCCCTGTCCAATGCTGTCAACATCGAGGCGAGCGCCGCACAGTTCCTGTTCGACTTTGCCGTGGGCACGAACCCGGAGCCCAATGCCACCTGGTTCTCGCTGGACCACCTCACTCGCCACAACGTGCTGGAGCATGATGCCAGTCTGTCGTATGTGTTTTTTTTTCTTTTTTCTTTTTTTTTTCGTTTTTTTTCTTTTCTTTTCCCCCCTGATACAACCAGTGCTTGGTTTTTGTTAGAGCCAGTTCACTGATGGAAGAGATGTATCTAAATACTAGTCGCGTCGACAACTACTTCGGACACGCCGACGTCTTCAACGACAAGGCCTTCGCCGAGACACGCTCGTACTGGGGGGACGTGGTTGATGTCCAAACCGGTACTGCTGCTATCGTAGGGCGCATCAAGACCTGCAACGCGACCAACCCGCAGTTCTCCCTGTCCGAGCTCGGTTTCGACTTCATCCTCGGCGAGACAGTCGCGTTCATCTCCATCCTGGGCGACGCCGAGAAGTTCACGGTCGACACACGCCGTGTGGAATATCTCTTCAGTGAGTACTACCTTAATTGCCCTGCTCCCTCCCCCCTCCTCGGTGATAATACTACAAACCTGTCAATGGGGGGATGGATGACTTACATTTTTTTCCCTCTCTCCCTCTCTCCCTCATCAGAGAACGAACGCCTCCCGACCGAGCTGGGCTGGAAGAGACCGGACGCGCCGTTCGGCGAGACCAAATTGTTCGAGGGCATCCAACTCCTCCGCGCCGAGTACCTGAAGAGGACGGGCACGAACTCCACCATCGTGCCGCCTCCGGCCAAGCGCAGTCTGAGATACCTGGGCCGGGTCAGCCGGGGCGGCGCGCGCGTGTTCTAGGCTGGTCGTACGCGGTAGTGGCCCTCCCCAAAAAGGAAGGGGGAGGGGGAGGGGAGTGGGTTGTGGTAAGACGACGGTACTGTATCGATTGGCTATGAGAGGAAAGAGTTGACGCTCATGTCATACGAATACAACACTACTACCTATTTACCCATTGCGCTCTCTCATACCTATTCTGGTGGATGTGCAGGCCTTAAACAGGAAGCCCCTCCCTCTTCTGCACTGATTCTCGAGTAAGCGGTCAGCCTCATTTATTGGTCGTACAAACAATGACCACTACATATCACTATCTTAGTAACCCCAAGATCCGGTGGTCAGCCTCACAGATGTGAGTTCGACTCGTCACTCAAGCCACGTGTCGAATGACCAATACCCGGACGTGGCGTACTGTTGTTTGCATGCGCCCTCCCGTCTCACTGGCGGTACCACAATTGATACGACAATCAATGATTTGAGCACATTCACTCAACAGAAACTGGTTCCCAAAGGCGGATGCAATAAGGACTAACTATCCTACGGAATTCCGACCGAGAACACGGATATAACAATGGAGATCGGGTTGGAACGACCCTTGACCCCTGATGACTCTCACGCCCCGACGATGGTCGGCCCAGTGGACGAGTTCGGCTTCTTCTTGCGAGACAAACAAACCGATCTAGACACGGCGAACGCCGAATCCAGCGGACTAACAAGTCAGGAGCAGAGCGAAGAAATTAGGTCTTCTGTCAGGAAAAAATGACGGGACGGCGGTCGGGCAAGACCGGGGCTTGATGCCCCGTGGAGCACATGGCCTGATGGCTCGCGGCCCGGTCGACCAGTTTGGTTTCTTCTTGCGCGATGCAGGAAGGGACTCGGATCCGGCGAGTGCCCACAAACGCTCCCACCACCACCACCACCACCAACAACAACAACAACAGAGCGAAGACTTTTCATGCGTACATCAACCAGGAGAGAACGAACGGGCGGCCGGGCAGAAGCCGTGTGCCGTGCTCGATGGACCACAGGGTACAGCGACTTTGGGAAAGAAGAACCCAGACCAGGAAGTCATCCAGCCAGCGGCCGACGTGCCCAGCCTCTCTGCGGACGAGTTGCTGCAGCAAACGCCGACCCGATCTCAAGATGCAGCCGCGAACAGTCCTCTGCAGCAGCCCCAGCTCCCCGCACTTCCACCCCTACCAGGCCTCCCTCTTCTCCCAGAAATGATCACCGAGGACCACGAGATGCTGCTGATAAGAACCTCGAGTTCCTTGGCCTGGGCGGTAGCGGCTACGTGTACAAATGTGCCGGCGGCTTCGCATGCAAGGTGCTGGCCACGCAGCGAGAGGTCGACTTCATGAAGGCGGCCGGCGACTGCTCCGCCGCGCCGCTCAGTCGCGTCATGGGCAAGGTAGACGGCGGCGTCTTGGTGCCGTGCGGGCTCATTATGGAGCTTGCGACGCCTTTCCAGTTCAAGCTCGTGCCGGCCGACGAGCGCAGGGCCGTCATGGACGAGATGGTCGGCCTCGTCGAGCGTCTCCACGGGCCCGAGTTCGGCATCGTCCACGGCGACATCAAGCCGGCCAACCTCCTGCGGTGCCGCGACGGCAGGCTCCGACTGTGCGATTTCGACTCGGCTCGGTTCGTCGCCGACGAGGAGGCCGAGGGATGGGAAGCCTTCATCAGTGATCGGTACTTGGCCCCGAGCCGCGGCTTTCCCGATTACGGGCCGCCGACGGTTCTTGATGACGATTATGCCTTCGCAAGCTCCGTCTGGGAGCTGTTTACGGGGAAGGACGCTTTCATAGACGAGGATATGGAGGACGTCCTGAGAGAAGGCAGGACAGTCGATCTGGACGAGCTGGAGGATGACGAGATCCGCGACTTTGTGCGTAAGCGGCTACGAGACGGCGGCGCAAAGGTCTAATAAGCGCCGAAAAGATGCCATCGGGCCAATTGTGTCAATTGGAGGTCGGCCCCATGGATATACTCAGGTACGGTTTCTCCAAGAACATCTTTGGCGTCCCTCGTTTTGCCCCTGAATTCTGAATACCTACCCGGGGTACCCACGTGTTCTATATACTAGTAGTACGTAAAAGTCTCAGCTTAGGAACTCTTCACGGTGTCTGCTCTTGCTGTTCATTCTTAGTGCTCCGTACATGTTTTCGACGGAAGTCCCTTTAGTTGGAGAGCAAGCAAGAGCATCACGTCCATGATACAATAGTACCCGCGATATGTTGGCAGGCACAATCCATACAACATCGGGCCGATGGAATTGCGAGAAGTTCGTCTACGTCGATTTTTAGGCTATACCATACCTTCACACTCTCCACATTGATCCCGGCGGAGAACCTTTGATATTGAACACCGAAAGAGATAGACCTCAGGAGTCAGAAGAGCTATAGTTGACGAAGGAGGGTTAGGATCCATGCAGCCCTACTACAGTACTCTTTTAGGAAGGCGTGCCAAAACCGTGGGACAGTCAATGGGACACTCTTTGAAGAACGCGTCCCCCAACTCTCGCCTGTAGTTCCTCAGCTTCTAACACAACTTCGGCCAACAGCTTTGACGAGCTTCACGAGCTAGAACTAGATCAGATATCCCATCATAAAACGGCACTCCAAGCTTGCTTTCTCCAGAGCACCGCGTTGATGCCCGGCATGCTCAAAGATCCCAGCACGCCGCTCGCGGGCTTGGACGCTGCCCAGGCCGTGATACGCAGCGAACAGCGAGCCCGTAGCTCCAAAACCAAGCCTCTGTCGACCAGGAAGGCGGCCGAGCTATACGGCGTCTCCAAATCTTCCGTTGCGCGGCACGTGAAGTCGCTTCGAAAAACCGGCTTGCCTTTCTGTTCGCCTCGCCCCAGAGGGCGGCCGCGCGGATCCAAGAACCCCAGGAAAGAGTGCCCCACCAACAGCCCCCCAAGTAAAAGTTCCCGCTCTGCGCACACCACTGGCAGCAGCAGCAGTGGCAGGTCGGGGCAAAAAAACACCAAAACCCAAACAGCAGCAAACATGGCGCCCCCTATGATTGACCCTGCGCTGTTCGACCAGCTCAAGTCCAGGATTGACGAGGACACAAATATCAGGAAAGAACTGGACCAGATCATCGATGAATTGAACCAGCACGTCTCCTACACCCAGGGGTTGCTCTCGCGGATACATTCGACCCCGCGGTCTAAATGTGAGACATACCAAAATGCGAAAAGTATTGCTTGTACTTTATTATTAGTGCGTGATGTTGACAACGGGCTAGATGACGCCCTGCTCGGCCAGGTGGAGAACGGCATCAAGCAGGAGATCCAGACTGTCGGCAGGCTGTCTGCGTTTGCATCCCAGTATCCGTATTACAAGTGAGCAAAATCACCTTCAGAAGATTCTCAGACGTAGCGACAGGACAGGGTAGATTGTGCTGACGATGCCTTCCCATGAAAAGATATAACCACAAGTGGTCGCGCACGGTGCAGGACGCCATCTCCACCGCCATCCTCTGCGCCTGGCTGGGCGGCCTGTCGCCGGACTCCAAGCCGGGCGAGGTCGGACGACTGCTGACCCTCGAGGATGTCGGCAAGACCTTTGAAGGTTCGATTGTTGCCAACGGCTGCCGCAGATACCCAACAAGCATGGGAATGTATGTGCATACTAACTAAGATACCTTACCTTTCCCTTACCTGCTAGTGCCCGTCAACCTGAAAGACCGCGACGCCTTCCACATCACGATCGAGGAGTACCTCCTCGGCCTGATCGCCGTCATCGACGACCTCAGCCGGCTGGCCGTCAACTCGGTGACGCTGGGCGACAACGCCATGGCCGTGCAGATCAGCGGCTTCATCAAGGACCTGCATGCCGGCTTCCAGGTGCTGAACCTGAAGAATGACATCCTGCGGAAGCGGGTCGATTCCATCAAGTATGCCGTCAAGAAGGTCGAGGATGTCGTGTACGACCTGTCGCTGCGCAATCTCATCCCTGCTGCTCAGAGTCAGGGGGCGCAGTGATGTTGGTTGGGGATGGGAGGGAACCGTATTACGGTTTGCTCAAAAGTTTCGATATCTTTGGCGAGGTTGTTTCAACTCGGGAACTGCAAAAGAAGTGATTCAAGATTTGCAACTCCCTCCTCCTCGACATACGTGAGTTCCTTAATACGACTATCAGGGGCTCCAAGGGTTAGGGTCCATTGCTTCCTCAACTTAAGGCTTGAGCTCTAATTAATCACCTTCCCGAACCCACATCCACCTCCTGCCGCTTGAACTCCAACACGACTCCCACCATGCCGCTCGTAGACCCAATAACGATGTCCTCATCACTCGTCAAGGGCGCCGCCGCTCAAGCGCAAGCGACATCCTCCAAAGCCGCGACCGTCACGTCGCCCTCGAGCACGCCGCTGCACCCGGTCCAAACCAAGCAAACCCCGCTGGCGCAAACCGCGCGCCATGCGCTCCCCGCGCTGCTCGCAGGCCTATTTCTCGTGCGCTTCGGAGCACTCGTCTCCGATCCCGTCTCAGCAATGACCACCGCCTTGCCCGTGACCGCTGCCCTGCAGATGAGCTACGCGGTCCTCTGCCTGCCCGCCGCCGGATCGCAGGGCGCAAAGCCCGCACGGAAACCGCGACCGGGCGAGAAGAAGCGCATTGGGGCCGAGGCGACGGGGCCCAATGCCTTTGCCGTACGTAACCTCTCATTGGCCCCTTGACTCGCTCGAGATCTGTCCTGTGAGACATGTCTAGAATATATGCTAAATACTCTACAAAACACAACAGACATCCCTCCTCTCGCTCCTCCTCTCCCTGCTGGTCACGCCCTTCCTGCACGCCGCGCTCGTCCTCTTCGGCGCACCCTTCCTCACCCACGGCGCGCACACCCTGCTCTGCGCGGCGCACCTCTCCCTGCTGGCGCTCTTCCCGCTGTTCTACGTCCACGGCGTCGACGCGGCCGCCTGGGCGGCTGTCGGCGGCTTCAGCGCGCCGTTCGACGAGACCTTTGGCGGTCTCGTGGGTGGCGCGGTCGGCGCCTGGCTCGGCGCGGTGCCCATCCCGCTCGACTGGGACCGCGAGTGGCAGAAGTGGCCCGTCACGATCCTCTGCGGGCTGTACGGCGGGTATGTGCTTGGCAGGGTGCTGGGGGGTACGCTGCTTTGGGGGAAGAAGTTCTGAAAGGAGTAGTAGGAGGTGTGGTGGTGGTGATGTAAGATCACAGGCCGCACTTTGTGGTCGGAAATAAAAATGCGATAATACCCTTATTACAAGCTCCTGGAGAGGGATGGCTCCAAGTATGGGAGAGAGCACTTATAGTACCTGTAGATAATCTAACCGGACAGTGACCTAATAGAATAGACACCCTGGGGTCAGCTTCACATTACGTTCGCCAATGGATAACTTACCTACCTGGTACCTGGTAGTCATGTACCACAGTACCTACCCAGCTTTGATAATCGACCTAGATGCACCTCCGGCAGCTTTCAGCACGGTCGGCCCCACTCATGCTGAGCTATCCGGGTGCCCTTGTCCGATACCGGAATAGTGGGGGCCGGGTAAGAACTGTCCCGTCTGCCTGTTAACCTCAATTCCTCCCGGTACAGTACATCCCAGCTCAGCAGCCCAGGATGAGTCCGACAAGACACCTTCGCACCCTCTAGACGACCCTCCTTTCCGCCTTTGCACTCCTCGGCCGTCGGAGCCAGCGCAATGGCAGCGGACATCAAAGCGCAGCCCCCAGCCCCGGCCTCGGCGCCGCCACAACCCCAAGCGCAAACAGCAACGAGCAGCAACAAGAACTACAAGGGCTTCGTCGCCGGCGTCTTTTCGGGGATCGCTAAGCTATCCGGTAAGGTTTCACCACACATAACATTCCCAACCTCGACCCAATCACCAACTGTAAGATACGGTAACTAACTAACCAACACCCCCGCTCATATAGTCGGCCACCCCTTCGACACAATCAAAGTCCGCCTGCAAACCACCACATCCACCCGCTTCTCCGGGCCCTTGCAATGCCTGCTGCAAACCATCCGCCACGAGGGGGTCTTCGGCCTCTACAAGGGCGCCACCCCGCCGCTGGTGGGGTGGATGTTCATGGACAGCGTGATGCTGGGCTCGCTGTCCGTCTACCGGCGCCTGCTGCACGAGAACCTGTTCAACCCGCCGTGGCACCCGCTGCACGAACCGGGCAAGCCCCTGCCGGCGCACGGCCACGGCCTCGCGGGGGTCCTGGCCGGCGCGACGGTCAGCTTTGTCGCGGCGCCCGTGGAGCACGTCAAGGCCAGGCTGCAGATCCAGTATGCGGCCCGCAAGGCGGAGCGGCTGTACAGCGGGCCGGTGGACTGCGTGAGGAAGATATGGAGGTGCCACGGCCTGCGCGGGGTCTATCACGGCCTGCAGGCGACGCTGCTGTTTAGGAGCTTCTTCTTTTTCTGGTGGGGCAGCTACGACCTGTTGTCGAGCTGGATGCGGCGGCATACCAGCCTGAGCGCGCCGGCCATCAACTTCTGGGCGGGCGGGCTGAGCGCGCAGGTGTTTTGGGTCATGAGCTACCCGAGCGATGTGGTCAAGCAGAGGATCATGACGGACCCCCTGGGAGGGGGGCTGAACGATGGGGTCAGGAGGTTCCCCAGGTGGAGGGACGCCGCGAAGGCCGTCTACCGGGAGCAAGGGGCCATGGGGTACTGGCGCGGGTTCTTGCCCTGTTTTCTCAGGGCGTTCCCTGCCAATGCGATGGCGCTCGTTGCGTTTGAGGCGGCGATGCGGGCGTTGCCGGAATAAAATAGGGGGTTCTCTAGCTTGGCGCTTTTTGTCACACACATGCATTATACCCAGGGGAACGGCGAAGAATGAGAGTCAGATGCCTCGGCGCAACGCCTGGTCGCAACAGCGGCCCGTGTCTTTTTTGCTTTTATTGACCCGTTGTCCCGCTATGCACAGCCCGTGCAATATGCTTTTGGTATCCCTTCCAGACGATCCCGGAGAACTCCCAAAACAGAACAGATGGCCGACCAGTTTACTCCTCGTCATCCTCAGCCTCGTCGTTAACGACGTTGAAGAACTTGAGCTCGTAGACGCCCTTGGAGGTCGAGACGACACGGAGCCAGTCACGGAGCTGCATCTTCTTGAGGAACTTCTTGGTCCTGTAGTGGCTGTCAGCATCTCCGCTCTTGTATCACCCCATGCCGGAAATGAGATAGCCGTACAGGTACTTGAGGTAGCGGCCAGAGAGATCATTGTGGGCGATGATCTCGATCTTGCCCTCACCCTGCTGGGAGATCTTGATGGTCTCGCCGAGGTTGCCGACGCGGCCCTCAACCTTGATCTTCTCGTTCAGGAACTTCTCGAAGGCCGAGACGTCGAAGATCTTGTCGCTGGCGGGCTGCGAAGCGTTGATGACGAACTGCAACGCAAGGCGACTTTGTTAGCGACGGGCCCAAGGATGCGTAAAATCTCGGGCGGCGCGGGGACTCACCTTCTTTGTCACCTTGGGGCCCTTCTTGGCGCCGGACTTCTTCTGTTGTTTCCCGAAGGAAAATTGACTTAGCCTACTGCTTCACGCCATGATCCGTCTCGGAACCAGATGGGTGCCTCTGGTGCGAGGGACTGGGCCAACAGCAAAGCGGTGTCAGGTAATAGGACATACTGCGATGGGAGCCATTGTTTCTGTCGGGATCGGCGGAGAGTAACCGTGGTTGTCTAGGACGCAAAGAGGTTGATATCCTGCGCCTCTGGCTGTGTGGTGGTTTTGTTTGGGTCGCGAAAAATTGCGGGCGGTGAGGAGTCTAATTGGGGGGTTTTGCAGAAAAGTGCGACTTGAATTTAGGGCTTCAGTGGGGCCAGAGATGTCCGGCTGCAACACCCTGGTGGGGCCGTGCCAAGGGGCCGGCTCCGGTGAGCTTCCAGCATCCGACCGGAAGTTCGACATAGGGTTCCACACCCGATGATCCCAGCAGGAGAGGGAAATTGATGCAACTACTGCGTAGAACCGTAGAGATGAAAGTTTGTAGTTAACGAATATATCACGCGCCCTTAGTTGAGCCTTAGAACATACCCAAGGCTGAAACAGCCCTACTGACAAAACGAACGCCCCGGCTGAACCTCACATAAGGACCCAGAATTGAATTGGATCCCAGCGAGTTGTCCTCGGCAACCCGACTGGAACGATTAGGTTAGCTGTGACCGGCCTTCATTTCCTTTGGGCTGATGCAGCGTGGATCTAGTGAGATGGCGGCATTGAACCTAGGCCCGGCTCTCACGAGGTTATCAGTCGTGTAGCGTCCTGGCAAACCTTATCTGGTAGGGCGGAGGTCGACACATAGGCCTCGGGATAGAGCACAGAAACTGGGCTATGTCGCTGCCTACTAGTACCGTAAGTAAGAAAGAGACGGCCCGGTAATAGTACTAACTGACTCGGACCGGTGCTCAGTTGACCTGCCTAAGTTGGATGCCGTACCCGTGCTATCGCAAATACGTCTCGGCCGTGAATATAAATTCGTATACACATGACGGCTCAGCGGCGTTTAGCGTACGTCTTCCTAACGGAATATTGCAGGTCCTTTGTGGGAAGGCACTCATAGAAAACCAACACCTACATACGCAAGGCACCAATCCGTGCAAGCGTCCGTAACGGCGTTGAACCTGAAACGATCAGCCATTCCATGCAGAATTGCATTTGCCAGACGTATCGGTCTTGACAATTTCCTCGCAATCTGGTGCAGTTGTCCGGGAGGAAATCGTATTTTGTAACTCGATTACGATCGATTACAGTGCCATTTGAATGTAAGGCTGACCGATAGTTTAATCGCGAGCCCAGACCGCCCAGTCGGCTCCTCGGCAGTGGATGATGTCATTCTCCTGGCTACGTCACTAGCGCCAAGAGCATGAAGTTCGACTGCCGCGTCCATGTGACATCGGTTCAGCGCGCGGCCACTACTGTAGCGACTACCGATCTCAGCCGATGATGGTGCCCCAAATGCTACGCCTTGTGAATTGCACCTTGATGTCCAACCGAAACTTGACCTCCTGGCGCCGACGTGAGTTGATTCGTGCAACGGCGGCAACGGGGAGTGGCACAGTTGGGGAAGCCGCTTCCAGACTCACTCAGCTCCACCTCCTAGCATAGTGTAAGGTACACAGTAGTGTAGGTCGTGTTAGCGCATGCGGTCGCTGAGTTACCTTAGGTACCAAAGAGCGACGAAATAGATGTTGGTCGTCTTGGGGAACCTCGGCGATTTATGGCGACGCGTAGCCCACCTAAGATGTACTATACAGTACAGTAGGGTCGTTTTTCGCGTCAGGTTGTGGTTTACACAGTATGGACGGCAATGGAAGCCGATAGCGTTCAAGTTGGACCATCCTGAGCTTGGTAGGGACAGGCTCGAAACTGGGCAGTAGTTGGCCGCATGCGACGGTGTATGACGCACAGCTCAATATCCAATCATCACTGCAGCCGGATTGACTCCGTGACAAGAGCTTTGTTTGTTGCCAACCGATCCGGCGCAGCCATCCTACGTACCTTGGAGGCCCCGCTATTCCAAGCAGATCAAGTTGCGAGAACGTGGTCAGCCCAGCCAAAGTTATTTAATCTACTTGCGGAACCCACATTCCAGCTTGCTTGTTGGTCCTCTCCTCTCACCCAAACTGCGATCACTCCAAACTTCGAAAGAACTTCAACCTCCCAAGCCCAGAAACCAAACGTCTCGAACACATTAGCAACCGCCCGTCGCATTATTAACAGCAAAACACCGTCACAATGCCTTTCACCGCTAGGTAGGCGACCTCATACCGCACCTCCCAGCCACGTCGCTACGGCATCACTAACCTTTCTGCGTTCCAGCGACATCTGCAAGATCATTTTTGCCGTAATCCTCCCGCCGCTCGGCGTGTTCCTCGAGCGCGGGTGCGGCGCCGACTTGCTGATCAACATTCTCCTAACCATTCTCGGCGTGAGTTCTCCGCCCCTCATTGTCTCATCGGATACCTCGGTTGCTCTGCAGTCTGCTGACCGCTTACAGTACCTCCCCGGCATTATCCACGCTCTGTACATCATCTGCAAATTCTAGTTCCGCCTCGTACGGTAGCGAGCTCCAGCTTGAGAGCAGCCGGCATCTTTCCGATCATCCTCTCGATTTGAACCATGTCTCGAAAAGATCAACGAAACAGTCACGATGTCACGACGCATCTGAAAACGGTGGCCTCCAACGAACAAACAAGCGGTTCGCTCGGCCAGCCATTTTCTCGATGAGCTACCCTGGTCTGGATCGGGTGGGGCGCTCAGGGTAGCAAATGACATAATGGATGCAGTGACGCAGCCCCACTTGTCGGCCGCTTCACGCTGGGCGCCAAGCTGAATTCGACGGGACTCCCGGGAGCAACGGAAGGCGTTCGGGATGTCGGAGTTGCCCGATGCCTGAAGACGTCGGGTATGGGAAATTTCAGGCATGATAGATATGGGCACGGGGTTTAGGTTTCTTCTCGCTTTTCTGCGTTCTCTCCTTTCGACATGTTTTAGTCTCGGGGTCGGCTTGCTTGGTTCCACGCCTGTCATGTGGTGCTCGGCTCATCTGCGAGCTTCTAATATCACGATACCCGAGGTCATGCCTCACGAATGAGCATGGATTCGTACAAATTATGATCTTTTCCTCCGACTTTGAATGGTCATTTGCGGCTCTCCGAAGCTTCGCTTTCCGATGGTTCCTTCGTGTCTGTAGCCGGCTGCGTCTCTAATCAGGGCTTTCCCGAGAAATGCGTGACAGCCTGGGCAAGGGAACAAACTTCGATCTGCCCACATGGCGATGTTGTAATCTCTCGGCTTGAACTTCGACGTGCAGCGTACCATCCGCAAATGATTCATGGTCCGTTGTCAAGCCTGTCCGTGGCCACCGAGTTGCGGAGGAACATCTCAAGCTTCTTGTGGTCGATAACTGAGACCTTCAATAGTAGGGCAGAACGGTGGCTCATGATGTTGCCATAATAAGCCTTCTATTTCCCTACTTTGAACGACAATATCTTCACCCGAGTCAGCAGCAAGCCACACACCAAACGCAGTACCTTGAAAACTCACATCATTCTTCCCAACGGAGACTATTTGGTCTTCAGCCACCCGGATGCCTCCTGCGCCCTCAATGTAGGCAATCGGCGCATCCCCCATAACCTTCCTGGCCACATCCGCGACCGTCGAGTTCTTCTTCACCAGGACACAGTCCCGGAAGACGAACTTTGAGTCGCCTGCGCCGGACCCAAACGTAGTCGTATTCCTGACCGGGAATACCGGCACCAGACCTAGTATCTCGGCCGCCTTGGACAGCACTTGCACCACTCCCGTCGAACCGAACCGGTACAACACCATATCCTTGATGTTCTCTATCCTCTGCCGGTTCTTCTCATCCAGCTCCTTCAGCCCACCGCCGTCAGGGTCGCCGTCCGCAATCAGGTCTTCTCTCGTGTCGACGAACTCGCTGCCTTCTGTGTACCGGATGTAACCCTGCTTCGCCAGCTTCCTGAGAAAGATCTCCGAGATGGCCGAGCAGAGCACGATCGTATTAGGGTCCTGCATCTTGGCGATCTTTGCGATGTTCTTATCGGCGTCTGGGTGGTCAATCTTGTTGAGCGCGATCACCGTTGGGAACTTCTCGTCGGTAAACGCATTCACCACGCGGTCAATGGTTTCCTCTAGACCACGGGCGGAGCTGCTGTCAGCCTTACAGTCCCACCACCCTCCTGCCGACGAGCAGGAATCTTCCTTCTCCCGGGGGGCACTCACCACTCCACTCCTCCAGCGGTTCCTTCAACCCCAGCTTATCCAGCGTCCTCGCCACCACCGTACTCGTACTCCCATATCCGCTGAACTGGTTCTGCAGCGTCTCCACGGCGGTCGCCTTGACCGCAATATGCCTCCTCTTGATCGACCCCCACTTCTCCATCAGGTTCCCCTTGATCCACGCCACAATCTCACTCCGTAGCCACGCAATATCCACGCTGGGGTCATACCCGCGCGTGTTCTTCCCCTCGGCGTCCGTCGTGCCCGAGACGTCGACCACGTGGATCAGCGCGTCCGCGTGCCGGAGGTCGTCCAGGAACTTGTTGCCCAGCCCCTTGCCCTGGTGCGCGCCAGGCACGAGCCCGGCGACGTCGAGCAGCTCGATGGGCACGCTGCGCCGGCCGTTGTCGCAGGCGCCGTAGTTGGGCTTGCACCGGTCGGTCAGGCCGTACCGCGCGCAGGCGCAGTCGATCTGGAGGTAGCCGATTGCGCGTTGCGGGTCGATGGTGGTGAATCTGGGGAGCGGAGGCAGGGGTGGGTTAGCATAGTGGGGGGAACGTTTGGGGCAGCTGAAGGGGGACGACTGGCGCACGGGAAGTTTCCTGCGTAGGAGGCCGTATCAGCAACCCCGGAGCTTCTTTTGGTTCTATGGTGGACGGGCGCTTCGGGGAGAGTCTACCCACCAACTTTGGAAGTTGCGTCTGTGAGTGAGTTGAGCGTGCTGGACTTGCCCGCGCTGGGCTTTCCGACCAGGCCAATTAGAGGGTCACGCGGCATCTTGATGAATCTCTATGCGTTAGTGCTTGATTTGGAGGTCAATAAAGGAGACGCAGCATCTCTCTGACTTGTCAACTTAGACGGCTTCAAGTTTTGGTGGTGGCTTCATTGAGCTCTGGCCGAAATATCTGCCCCGCTCTCCGATAAGCGATAAGGCAGGATAAAGGACTCAAGGAGGGGCAGGTTCAAGAACTGGAGCTGAAATGATCACAGAAGCTACCGCAATGTAACTCAGTGTGACCAATAGATGGCGTCAATTCAATATTCGAGTCTGTTTCAAAAGTGTTGATGCTATCCGTATATGTGTCGAAACTCACTAAGAGGTAGTATTGTTCAGTCACCATCCATCGGGTTTGTTCGGGTGGCCTTCTAGATTTCAGGTATACGTCCGTACTTCCCCGGTCACCCTCAACTCCAATCGATACATCTCTTTCACTGCTAACAGCACTTTCCGAGGCATAGCCCTTCAGTAACAATACAATCTCCTCACTACCTATCTTATTTCAGATACAGTTATGCCCCGGCCAGTACTCCCCATTGAGGACCTCCCAGCTTGGGCGCACCTAAACGGCGTCTCATTCAACAATATTAAGGTCACTAGCATCGAGGCAAAGGGTTATGGCGTAGTCAGCGATACAGGTTTGAGGGCAGTGGACATAAGTCCTGAAACTCAGGCCTTGCTTGCTGTGCCACACGACCTCGTCCTGAATGCCGCGGCCGTGGACGAGTATGCAAAGGAGGACAGAAATTTCAGACAGCTGCTAGACGCCGTTGGACATCGTGTAAAGGAGTTCTCTTCCCCCAGCTTTTATCATACAATTCGAGTCGAATCTGACGGCACTTGTAGTCCGGACGCGCAGACGTCCTGCTGTTCCTCCTTGTTCAAACAGCCCTGGCTTCGCGATCTGGTCACTCCTCGATGGGCGTCTCAAACCCGTGGATGGAGTATATCCAGTTCCTGCCCGAGACTGTTTTAGTGCCGACACTGTGGACCGAGGATGAGAAGTTCTTGCTTCAAGGGACCTCTCTCGAGGCGGCTGTCAATGCCAAAATCTCAGCCCTGGATGCCGAGTTTGCTGTTGTGAGGGAGAAATCGTCCGATATCCTCTGTTGGCGAGAGCTGCTGTGGGACGGTGGCTCGGTGTCCTTCACGGATTGGATCCGCCTCGACGCTCTGTATCGGTCCCGATGCCTGGAGCTGCCAAGATCCGGGGAATGCATGGTCCCTTGCATTGACATGATCAATCATTCGGCTACACCCTCAGCATACTATGAAGAAAACTCCAGAGACGAGGTGCTCCTGCTGCTCAGACCAGGAGTCGGCATCTCCAAAGGCGATGAGATCACCATCAGCTACGGCAACGACAAGTCCGCTGCAGAGATGCTGTTCAGCTACGGTTTCATCGATCCTCAGCTGACCACCGATAAACTTGTCCTGCCCCTGAGCCCGTTCCCAGACGACCCCTTAGCCAAGGCGAAGCTTGTCGCCTTTGGTCAGGCGCCCCAGATCCATGTCGCTCGGGAGGATGACGGGTCCATCCGATGGCAGAGCGAATTCGCGTATCTCATGTGCGTCAACGAGGAGGACGGGATAGACTTTCGCGTCCTGCAGGACAACGATGGGGGTCGGCAGCTGCGCGTGTTCTGGCAGGACGAGGATGTCACAGACCGAGCGGCCGGCTTTGAGGCCCTCATACGGTACCATCCGCTTGCTGCGGTCCTGCAATTACGCGTCGTCACGGTCGTCCAAGAGCAGCTCCAAACTCAGCTGGAAGGGCTGCGGTCTAGCACGTTCCCTGAGCGGGCTGATCCCATGCAGAGAGGGGATTGTTTCAAGGCAGCATCGCTCCTCCGCCAGGTCGAAGCGAAGATTCTCGAAAGCGCTATTGAAGCCCTAGAAGTAGAGGTGAGTGCAATATGCTACTACATAGTGCACTGTGTAGAACCCGGCGTTTGTTGGAAGACGAGACTATCCCCCGCATGCACGAGCACGAATATGGTTTAGTTGGAGACTGACAAGGTCCGGATGCAGAGGAGCACGCTACTGAAGGACAGGAACGTGGTGGCTTATCTCGGACTGATGGAACATGCCGAATTGGATTTAGCTGACGAAGAAGCGTCCAATGAGGCCGACGACTTCAGTTGAGGGTTACCTCGACCAACGTGAGGCTGTGCGTTTTGTAGATCGGAAATCGCCTCACATCAGCGAAAGGAGAGGCTGTGCAAAGGGCTCATCGCGGACGACGCGACAACGACGATGGATGCCGTCACGGGACACACGGGTACAAGAAGACGGTTCCATCTTACCATACAATCTCGCGAGGTTGTACCGGTAGATGTGATTCATCCTGGGGAGCCGCTAATGTAGACTACACACACAGAGTGTGGGAACGTATGATGTTTCTTTTGGAGGGATCAAGCTAATGACGCCTCAAATCTGGGCATAGGAAGATATAGGAACAAAAGCGGGCATCCTCGGTTTACCGTTCTTGATCGAAGTCACATAGCGACGAGCTGCGAGAAGCAGCTCTTGCCCTCCGACCCCGGATGACTGGGGCGCATGTTCGCCGGGGCCCCGTAGGATCGCGCCGCCTTCCCCAGAAATGCGGGGGAAGATTGATCTCTCAGATCCTTCGCGAAAAGCCGGACCCTTTCATCTCATATCTGAACTGTCATAATAACCGACAGCCATAACCGTGGAGAAAAGAGGCGAAGCTGGTATGCCACAGAAGCTTAGAATGATTTTTGCACCAGCGACTCCGATACCAGTTGAGAAGTTGAGATATTTTTTTTGACAGATCATGAACCTGCATACTACCCTACCACGCCTACGTAGGTACCTACCTTATGTATGTACGGTTCATCCACGACTCCGCGGTCATGATTCGGCCGGGTGGGGCAATGAATCCTCGGTTTGATAGACTGCCACCTACGGAGTACTTCCTGGCAGCCTACCTACTATCTAAGGTTATCTAAGAGTCATGCAGCTGTTGTGCTGGGTTTCGGTTCAATCGGGCACGTACTACTAGTATATCTATCGGCATTTGTACTGTTTCCCGGCGTAGGATCAAAGGTAGGCTACCTAGTAGTAGTTGAAGGACTGCCCGGTCAACTCCCGTGGTGGCCGGTGCCGCAGCAAGTATCAGAATTCAGGAGGTAAGATGTCACTGCAGGGCTATGAGGCGTACGTCTTATCGGGGGACGGGATGGCTGAAATTCAATTTCGACTGGTTCCTGACCCATAATGATTGAAACACGCGACCAGTCGGGGAAGCCACGCACGAGAGTTGGATACCGCTGGTTTTCTCGTGAAATGTCAACAATAATTGATAAGACGGGAGGGACTGGAGGACGTTTCGAAAGAGTCATTTTTCGCTGTGATGGCCTCGTCTCCTCATGAGGTGGTTACCGTGTACATCCGTGGACGCGTGGAGGTTACTAGTTCCTACCTTATTATCTACCAGCTTACACTGCCGTATTCGCTTCACCTCACGTCCAGTCCTGCATTCCGCCCGGACGTGCATTGCTGCGCCCCGTTGTAAGTGCAGCCCAGGTCGGCGCTGCTAAAGAACGCAAGTTGTCCCACTTTATACATCCCACATCGTAGAGATCGTCGAAATGTTTTCGGTAGTTGCTCTGTAACAAATCCGGCTTTGCCCGGCTCGCTGTGAAGATCACGACCGGAGTTTTGGGCCCACCAACTTGGCGCCGTAAATTTTACCTGCCATGTGGTCTCCCGGCGCCCTCATGATGCGCCTTACCCCGGATTTTGGATTCTGGGCAGACGACGAAAGCAAGCGAATGGACTCATAATTCCAAGGCCCACATTCTGGGCTATTTCATTATGCGTCGACCTGGATGGTGCTGGGTGGTGCCATTCCTGCTTTGATGGGAATGCGGGGGCCAAGGAGCCCTCAGAGCCAAGGTTACACCTCGATCTGCTCGCCGCGATCTGCTGGACAGGGAGCCTGCCAGCGGGGTCGCGAAATTTCTAAGGCGGAGCTGGAGGCAGGTTTGCAGACGCAGGCGAAGGAGGCAAATGGTGGAAGACAGCGTCCAGCTGGCAGACCGGCGATGACGACGGACGATGATCCACGATGCCCGCAGACAAGAGGATTCACCAAGCGTCCCGCGCTAATGTAAAACTTCCGTGGAGCGCACACCTTCTCTCAACGAGGCAAAAAAGAACGATGGCTTGCTCACCCCTGTCCTCCCCAGATTTTCCCTCGTGCCTCTCCATTTCCAGTTGGGGAAGGCGGGTCAAGCAGGGTTGGCCGTTATTATGACACGGGCCAATCGCCGACGCTCATCCCTCAACAACCAGAAACCCCTGCTTGCCAACGGTGCCCCTTGTTCGCGGTTCGCGGGTGCTGACCGGCCGTTTCCAATTTTCCTCGCTGCGAGGACACCGGGTGGGCCGGTTCGTAACAAGGGAGCCAGCTGCCTGGGGCTGCATTTGCCAATTTTCCCTCGCTCCCTGCAGACCTTCCATCTTCTACCACCTTTCAAAAGCCGACTGGCCCCGCCCTCCCCGAGTTACTCACTTTCTCGCCCTTCCCATTGGAGTTTTCTTGTCTCGACAATTGGCGACTCTTCCCACGGTAAAGGCGTTCACAGTCCATGGTTGTCACGTCAATTTTCACGATCAACGAGACCTGAACACCACCGAGGCTACTGCTGCGATTGTAAATCTCGCCAATCTCGCACGCCGCAATTCTTGGCGGGACCCCATATCCTCAGTCGGACTGTTTCGAGCATCTTTTAGACGGACTGTGTGACCGTACGGATGCAACGAACATAAGGGAGGGGCGCAGAACGAAGACACGGCCAAAATGCCGGGAATTCTTCCTATGAAAGTCATCAAGGTGGGCAACAGCTCCCAGAGCCGCATTGCCCAGGCCTGCGACCGATGCCGCAGCAAGAAGATCCGCTGCGATGGCATCCGCCCCTGCTGCTCCCAGTGCGCCAATGTCGGATTCGAGTGCCGCACCAGCGACAAGCTCAGCCGCCGTGCCTTCCCGAGGGGCTACACCGAATCACTGGAGGAACGAGTGCGTGTATTGGAGGCTGAGGTCCGGGAGCTCAAGGACTTGTTGGATGAGAAGGATGAGAAAATCGATATGCTGTCGAGGATACACGGCAATCGACGGCAGTCTACGGAGCAATGCCAAGGCTCTCCCGCGGTCGAAGCGAAGAAGGACGCTGGTGCGCCTAAGGAGGACACATTCCGGGTTCAGGCGTCACCGCTGTTACTCGGTGTTGAGAACTCTGATTCTTACTTCATGGGCGCTTCTAGCGGACGCTCATTCATCGGTTTGTCGACTCACTCTGCTATCGCGTAATCCAGCTGCTAATCCGCGATCATCAGAATCCTTCAAGCGGAAGATGCAAGAGAATGGGAAGTCTTGCGCCGAGTTCAACCCGGAGGCGTTTCTGCACATACAGGGATGCTATCCGCTCACAACCAAGCCACCTGCTCACACAATGAGGATACCTCCCCGGCTGTTCTCAGATCGATGCGTCAATGTCTACTTCCAGGAGTGGGCACCTCTCTTCCCAGTACTTCACAAGCCTACTTTCCTTCGTGTTTACGAGGAATTTGTTTCGGACCCCGAGAAGATCAAGAATAACCACAAGCTGGCGCAACTCTACTTGGTTTTCAGTATTGCCGCGCTGTCCGGAGAGCAGCCCGATCTTCAGCAAATCGCTGCCTGCGAACAGCAATGGCAACGAGCGCTTGAGGCGGTCCTCATGGATAACACCATGATGACCCTGCAATGCATAGTGCTGGCGCTTATGTACTGTACGATTAGGGCCGACTACAAGAGGCTGCAGCATTACAAAGGCATCGCCGTTGGCCTGTCCCACCGGCTCGGACTGCATCAGAGCCAGAAGAGATTCTCCTTCGGCGTCCTCACCATTGAGACCCGGAAGAAGGTCTTTTGGACTCTCTACACGCTCGATTGGTATGTGATCTTCCTCGTGTTCCTGTTACCCAGCTTTCGCTGACGCCCGTAGCTTTTCTGCCGCGATCCTTGGTCTTCCCAAACTCATGAAAGAGGAGGACGTGCACACTGAGTTCCCGTCGGACAGTGATGATGAGTACGTCACAGAAAAGGGCTTCCAGCCGTGCCTTCCAGGAGAGGCCACTCGACTGTCAAACGCGCTCGCTTTGTTCCGAGGATCCCGAATTTTGGCGAAGGTGCTCGGGAAGATCTATCCCTCCGCAACCTCGCACGAGCTCTCGCTTCAGCAAATGTCCGCGCTGGGTGCCGAGCTCGACGAATGGTACGAGAAATTGCCACCACACCTTAAACTCACCTTTAAGCAAGACAAGCCATCGACCGATGTTACCGGCAGCAGGTCACCAATTCTGGTGAGTACTAGTGGATTGCTCTGAGAACCGTTTCCACGTGACTGACCACGGCTCTAGGCTCTTGCTTACTACTACACCCGTACTCTAATCTACCGCCCCGCGGTAACATCCAACTTGGGATCAAAGGCCGCCTCCGCACTTATTTCCATCACCGAGTCGAGCAAGCACATGATACAGATCATCGAGCTCCTCGAGGAACGCAACTTGTCTTTCTCCTTCTGTCTCAACAAGGCGGACACCCTTATTCTCTGTGGTATTACCCTACTCTTCCAGACGATGGAACTCAAGCGGGATAGCAAGCTACTGAAGGACAACGAGAAGTTGGTGAATGCTGTTATCAAGGCCGCGGACAAGGCGAAAGCACCTGGCTGCTACGATCTGAAGCGTGTCGCGGGAGTGTTGGTTACCGTCGATGAACCATCACCGCAGTCGCTACCTACGCCGCCGAGGCAAAGTCCGGATACCAACCTCGCAGTTCCTCCGGCACAACGGACGTCGCCGCCCATGGTGCACAAGGCGCATCCCGTACTTGGCCGCCACCTTAGTGCCAGCATCAGCGAGACCGATCTACTCCTGCAACAAGAGAAGCTGCGCAGAATGACGATGCCACAACCTACACAACACAGAGCGGATCATCTACCCCCGCGCTCCAGAGGATCGTTCGACTGCCCAAGGCCGACTATCCCTCTATCACAACGCGACCACAGGCTGTCCCTGAGCCACGCGCAGGCAGCACAAGCAGCGATGCTTGCACGTATGGCGACATCACCGAGCACGAAGCAGACGATGGAATACCTGCACTTAGACTCACACTCTCAGCCATCCTCTCCGGTTCAGGCACGCGGATCCCATCCGCCGATGACGCACGCCCAGCAGGCACACCTGTTCGCGCAGCTCCAGAAAGGATCCACGGTCTCACCGGCCGAATGGGAGGCGTTGGTGGGATCGATCGACAGCGGGCAACTCAACGTTTACGACGCGATATACGGAGGTCCCGGGTTGGGCCTGGCGTTGGCGGAGACGCCGATGTCTGCAACGACGACGACCACAGCACCATGGTCGCCCGACTCATGGGATTTGACAGGGTTCAATCTGGGCGATTTCGCTCCTGGAACGGCCTCGTCCCACAGCGGCCTTAGTTTGAGCGAGGATGGACTCAGCTCAACTGATGACCTGGGGAGCGTGGGGAGCATGGATTTCAGGAACCCGCTGATCCCGGTGACCTCACCGACGGATGGGTATGTTCTGGAGGGATTGGATGGGTATGGGCTATGAAATGGATGCGGTTTTCTCTTGGACGTCGGGTAGGCCGTGTCCGAACTACCTTCCCTTTGAATACGACCCTGGAGAGACACGAAGCTGCATGATGGGAGAGGAGAAACCCCTTGATGGGCGTTTCGATACCGATGCCACGGGGGAAATTTCAATCTTGGACATGAGGCGTGTGTTTCAAGGAGTTACAACTACATGTGCGTGGGTGCTCGTCGGAGTACGGCGCGGAGATTGAGAATTTGAAGGCTTACTAATGCTTTATGGCTTTTATATTTGGAACATGTGGCTGGGGATCATGGGCCATGCTATTCGGATTTCCTGGACTTTTGCGTGGATCGTCTCAAAGGCAAGAGAAGAATGGAGTTGTTCGGCATATCATGTTGTTCTAGCAGCGTATGTAGCTGGCTACCTTAACATATTGCTGTTCCCTCAACTGAAGCAACGATCTCATGTTATCGAATTCAACTACACGCTGGAGTAGCCAACACCTACCCCGTAACCGAGAGCTGTGACTAGCACGACCAGATACCGCCTCGTCTTTTGTTCTGTTGGGATCAGTATTCCACTTTGGGCTCTAAAATATCCACTCGGCAAGGCTCGCAAATGAGGCGTTGTGGTTGGGATCTCTTATGCAAAAGCCATTCTCCACCGATGAGCGGGAGAACTCTCCACAATGACTGACTCGATGGACCAAGCTCAGCCAAGCACTGACAGCCCCTGCGGTGATCTTCGGATTGCCCAATTCAGGGGCTCCGGCAAAAGTCGACTTTCCATTGCCGAAGCCGGAACCATTCAGGACCACATGACGGGACCAGCGGTGTGTGAATTCATATGAACTAGTTACCTAGTGTACAGGTCATGTCTCCGTCAAATACAATGGTGTATAATACCTACACTTGGAACACGTAAGATGAATGAATGATGCTGATGCAGGACCGGTATCTTTTCTGTCGTATTGTAGACCCATACGTAAGGTAAGGTACCTTAGTTAGGTGTGCCTGCGGATGCAAATCACGCAATGTATTGTACACTATGGCAGGAAACGGGTGTGTGAACTCAGGTACCCGCCTGACGGTCTCACTGGGGGGGGGGGGGTGTCAAAACTTCCGTCACGCATATACATGTACGTGTAGGAAATATAGTGCTGCTCCGTATAAGCCACAATATCTGTATAGCGATGAGAGCGGGACGCACCTCCCGAACGGCTTTGCAGCCCGCGCGTCAGACTCTTTTATCCTTCCACGTGTAGACGACATGGGAGGTTTAGCCTGAATCAGACGTGAGGGGGGCTGGACGCGCAAGTGCTCTCTCTACCTGTGTGCCGTGCTGTCTCTCTGATAGGTAACTAGAGGTGTAGGTACGGAAACGGTGGCATATACGAAGTAACACAGCGGCAAACCAGTGTGGTTGCACAAGATAAGGTACGGTACTAGTATGTACTATTATGCTACTGTACAGGGTAATTTTGGTACCGCCGTAGTGGCGGTGTTGATGGCGGTTTGACAATCGCCCGGCAGCTGGCAGGTTGCGTGTCAATGCCCCACATGGCCCTGTCGATCACTGGCAGTGGGAAAGGAACGAAACGGCACGCGGGAGTTCCGGATGGCCCGGGGCTAGTAGAGACTCCGTCCTATCTCCGTGGTCCGAGTCCGCCCCTTCATTCGATGGGTCTGTTTGTCTGGGGTTTCAACATCAGCAGTCTGAGAGCCGTCGCAGTCCGTTTTGTTCTTCTTTCAAAGCTCTCTGGTATCAATTTTGACACTCGTTTATACTGCGTTTTATCTATCGTTCCATGCTGGATGAACATGTCCGCCGAGGCGATGCCGCTCCTTTGGGAAACAGGTACGGATACTCGAACGTTACTCTGAGGGTGTCACCCCACACCGGCCGCCGCAAATCTACTCCCGTATCATCGCTCCCGGATCCCTTTGGGTTAGCGTTAACACGGACCCTATGTAGTAGTACACCCCGCCAGCGCCGATAATCCTCTCCCCGGAGGAGGAGGAGGAGGAGGAGGCGAGCCCCCGCTGCCACAGAACATCGGGCACCGGGGGTACAAGGCGGCGTTCCCGGAGAACACCATGGCCGCATTCCGCGGCGCAGTGGCAGCTGGCGCACACGCCATCGAAACAGATCTGCATCTGTCTCGCGATGGCGTAGCAGTGCTGTCTCATGTGAGAGAGAGAATCAACTCAACGCGACTCATGCTATAATGATAGGTGACAGACTACTAACGAAGAGAATGCAACAAAAAAGGACGGCTCCCTGAAACGCTGCTTCGGGATCGACAAGAAAATCGCCGACTGCGACTGGGAGTACCTGCGCACCCTCCGGACCACGCAGCAACCCCGTCAGGGCATGCCGCGGCTGGCCGACCTGCTCGAGTGGCTGACAGGACGGGGGCTGGGGTCGGTTTGGGTGCTGCTGGACATCAAGCTGGACGACGACCCGGAGCTGCTGCTTGCTGCGATTGCGCGGGCCATCGCGTCCGTGGCTCCAGGAGAGGGGTGTCGTCCGTGGAGGGAGAGGGTTGTTGTGGGTGTTTGGAACGTGGGTTATTTTCTTTCTTCATTTCTCGTCTTTCTTTTCCCCTGCTTGATACATCTACTTGTCTTCAATCTACCCCGTACCATTCATCCATCCATGCTCGGGAGTAGTACTGACTTATACACAGGAGAACTACGTGCACCTCGCCCGCACGCACCTCCCCTCCTTCCCGCTCGCCTACATCGGCTTCTCCCTCGTCTACGCCAAGCGCTTCCTCTCCGATGCCCACCCAGACGTGCACTTCAACCTGTTCCAGCCCGTGCTCGTCGGCCCGCTGGGCGCCCGCTTCCGCCGCGAAGTGCGCCGGCGCGGCCGCCGGCTGTTTGTCTGGACCGTCAACGACGAGCAGTGGATGCGGTGGAGCTGCAGGAAGGGCGTCGACGGCGTCGTGACCGACGAGGTGGGCAGGTTTGCGGATGTCAGGGATGGGTTTCATCGGGCGTATAGTAGTAGTGATGGTGGTGGCGGCCAAGATAAGAAGATGGCGCTGGCGGCACGGGATGGTCGGCGCGCCGGGGGTGGCTGGCCGCGTACGGTGACGCTGTACGTCAAGGCGTTTGTGCTGCAGGGCGCGGCGCTGCTGTTCACGGTGTTGTTGTGGCATCGGTTGAGTAGCCGGGGAGCGAAAGCGAGGAAGCGGCTGAAGGCGAAGTTGGTGCCGGACAAGACGTGAGAGGAAAAGGCAGTGGTGGTAGGCTTTCCGTGTGCGAGCGGGAAGCTTTGTCTTCGGAATCCCTCTCTCATGGGTATTATGTGTTGCGTTGTTGGAAGCCTTAAGCGCTGCGGGCTTTACGTTATGTTTCTAGACTACGGTTGGCGTCTCGGCGTCTTAATGTTGATAGTTGCTGGAGGGTGACAGTGGCAACTTGGTACGCTGCATCGGTTAATCGGTTCACAGCACGGTCAATGGTCAGCATATAATCATCTATGCGGCGAGCTCTAACTCGAGGGTACCGGCACCGAAGGAGGCCGAGGTCACTAAGTCCGCGGCTTTCCATCAGAACACCCAGACAACGAAGCAAGGGCCATCTGTCAAACCTAAACGGTAGAAACAGGCTAATGGAGTGGAAAAGAGAACAAGCTTCGTGATGGAGCTTAGCAGCAAGTCAGCCATCAGCCATCGGCTAGAGGCCCATCGTAAGAGCTACACCAATCTTGAAACCACTAAACCACCATCAACACTCTTCGAGGATGACAATGTCGGCCGAGCCCCCTTTCCGAAGCTGACTGTTGACGCGTGGAGGAAGAGATCGCTGGTCCCAAGCATCGCCTTGACACTGAGAAGACAGTCAGGATCGTCCGTTGGAATAGGTACTACTTATCTGAAGTTATAGCAGCGTCGCATATCTATGGCAACTCTTAGCTAGATAGGTATAGCATCCTAGTCATTCGGTCTGAACTCTGAAGGCGGCTGTTCATGGTGTTTCAGGGGTAACCGCCCTAGGAGAGGCGATAGTTGTATTCTAGACAATCCAGATGCATATTCAGCAACATTCTCAATGAGAACCGGACCAATTCTTGTGCTGGCGGCTGTGAAAGCTGACGTGGACAGGAGTGCGCAGTTGAGCTGCGCCTACAAATTGAATACTGTAAGGTGTCCAGTCTATCGTGAAACTTAGTATATGCTAAACGCTCCAGGCGTGGACAGTCGCTACATGAATTAGCCGAGGAAAATATTGGATGAGAAGACCCAGAAACCCAAGGGTTCGGAGTTTTAGTAGTACTGTCTTAAAGTTTGAATGTCACAACTGATTGTGAAATTGTAGGGTAGGTAGGCGTATCTGATGAGGTGAGTGAGGTTACGCCGTACGGATCCGTATCTTATCGTCGAAGAAGGGTGCTTTTGTACCCCTGCAGTTCGTCCGGCCTTATCTCCGCTGTGACGTGAGCATTGCCATGCCTGGGCTGTGGTCGGATACTCGGGGGTGTTAGACTCCGTCCAGCTGCCGTTGGCATTTAAACACTTAATGCCCGACACAAACAATTTCTATAATGCAGACAAGTGATATTTTCGCGTGACATCTACATCGTAAATCTCGCAAATCGACCGGATGGCAGATTATACAGGCGGCAGCACGAAGGCCGATCACCTCTGCGTGTTGGTCCACGGGGTAAGGATAAGCATCATGATGCATTATTAGATTCGATTGCCTGCGCTTTCGCGCCAGCGACAAACAGCTGCTGATGCGACATCACGCGATTTACAGTTATGGGGCAACCCGAACCATATGGCGTCCGTCGCCAAAGCATTGCGCGCACAGTACCCTCCCGAACAGGTCTACATCCTCGTCGCGAAACGCAACAGCGGGTCGTTCACCTACGACGGCATCGAGCTTGGGGGCGAGCGCGTGTGCCTCGAGATTGAGGAGGAGTTAGAGAAGATCAAGAGCGCAGGGGGCAGCATCAAGAAGCTCAGCATTGCGGGATACTCACTCGGAGGGCTGGTCGCGAGATATGCCGTTGGGCTGCTGTTCGCGAGGGGCGTGTTGGACAATCTCGAGTGCATGGTGAGTTATGCACTCCCTGCTTGCGCAAGGAGGAGAGAGAGGTTTGGGATACTAACATTGTCGATAGAATTTCACGGCCTTCGCAAGCCCATTCCTCGGCGTACGAACACCGCTGCGCGGATGGGCCAACCAGATCTGGAACGTCCTGGGCGCGAGGACGCTGTGCATGTCCGGGCGCCAACTCTTCGGGATTGACCGATTCCGCGACACCGGAAAACCGTTGCTCGCCGTGCTCGCTGACCCCAACTCCATCTTCATGTCCGGACTCGCCCGCTTCAAGCGCCACACGCTGTACACCAACATCGTCAACGACCGCAGCGCCGTCTACTACACCACCGGCATCGCCAAGACCGACCCCTACACGGACATGTCCAAAGTCACGGTGCGCTACCTCCAGGGCTTCGAGGACGTCATCCTGGACCCGCTCGACCCGGTATCCCCCCGCCCGGCACAGACGACCCCAACGGAACCCGCCGAGCCCCTGCGGGCCTCGGTCGAGAAATGGGCCAAGCGCATCCCCTTCGCGCTCGCCCTCACCCTCTTCATCCCGCTCGGCGTCGTCGCCTTCCTCGTCAACTCGGCCGTCCAGACCGTCCGCTCCGCCCGCCGCGTCAAGCTGCACGAGAGCGGCCTCGCGGGAATCAACGTGCAGGATTTCCGCGTGAACCTCTGGATCAAGGAGATCCGCTCGGCGGTTGAGAACACGTACGAGAATCTGAATAGTTCCCAGAATCAGGAGTACCTCCTCGACTATGATGATGACGACGATGACGACGATGGCGAGGAGAGTGGTGGGGAAGGGACAGGATTGGTAAAGGCCGCTGCTGCTGCTGCTGCTGCTGCTGATGGGCGCAGTACCGGTGATGGGGATCGTCGTGAGGCCTCGCACAAATCCGGCAGGGAGATCCTCTCGCTGGAGAGGAAACAGTCGCGCCAGCAGGAGGGCGGGTTCCCGACGCTCGCGCTGGCGCCGTATCAGTTTGCGGCCATCCAGGCGCTTGACAGCCTCAACTGGAGGAAATATCCGGTGTGGATCCACAAGCATCGGCATAGCCATGCGGCAATCATCGTGAGGATGGATAAGCCTGGCTTTGAAGAGGGAAAGGTCGTGTTGAAGCATTGGGTTACTGAGGAGTTTTTGGTGTGAGGCCGTGCATTTCGAGATGAGATGGTGAGAGTAGGCGATTGAGTTAGGAAGCGGTTAGCGTAAGTCATGACCTGGAGTCTTGGGCCAGAGCAAAGGCGCCGGCAAGGGAGGCGTTGGGTGCTAGATTATTTTGGGACTGGGAGCACTCGTTGGTATCTAGCTACAATTAGGTAACGTTTGATATGTTACTAGGTGTTGTGTTTAGATTCAGAGACTACCTAATCTTAGAATCCGCGGTTGAACGGTTAGGTAGTTTACGCATACAGGAGCGACGTAGGTGCTGTGGCGACTCGAACTTGGCAGAACCCTAGAGCAGCACTTCATGCCACTTCCTATGTCTGCTTGTCAGCTCGCCTGCAGGCGGTCGAACTTTCTCGCATACATATGCCTTTCCTCTGAGTCGATCATATCCATTGATCATCACCCTGTGGAAGATTGCTTCGACCGCAAGGACGTGAAGGTGCCCGCTGCTCGAACCGAGCTATTCCATTCTTGGTCTAGTGCCTGCAGCTCCCGACCCGACGGTTTGGGCGGGCCGGCACGAGACCCACACGGACAGCTGCAAGTGAACGGGGCACAAAAGACCGACTTCCGAGCCGTCGGCTCACAACTCGACGGACGCGTTCTCAACGCTGCCCCTGAACCGTGCCGTAACCCGATCCTCACAATTTTCGTCGCATTTTCAGGGCGATGAGGACCTCACGCGTTGCGAAGGATACGTCCAAGTACTTCGACACGAGTTCGAGTTCGGCGGCCGTCCTCCCGCGACGTTCGACGCGATCGTCAACCCTTGCGCGATTCGCATACAACGGTGCAAACAACAGCCTGCCATCCGCCGCTGCCAGTAGCAACAATGCCGGCATTGCAACTGCCGAGGTGGCACTCGGTTCCGATATCGAAGACGCCGTAAACATGACGGCGACGCGCAAGCGTAAGCGGACTGCAACGATAACACAGTCGTTGCCATCGCGGCGGGCCGCAGCCAGAACGACCAAAACCGAGGTCAAGACCGAGATCAAGACAGAAGACCATGACTCGGAGCCTGAGACCAAACCAAAACCCCGAGGCCGCGTCCGAAAACCAGCGCGCAGGACGACAGATGCGGCCACCGGCGAAATAAAAGTTGAGCCGCCCTCGGACTGGGAGGAAATCTACAACCTGGTGAAAGAGATGCGCCTCACCGGCCCAGCAGCCAATGCCGCGGTCGACACAATGGGCTGCGAGCGCCTCGCACGGCCCGACGCCAGCGCGCGCGACAGACGGTTCCACACCCTCGTAGCGCTGATGCTCTCGAGCCAGACCAAGGACACGGTCAACGCCGAAGCGATGGCGCGGCTGCAGAACGAGCTGCCGCCGTACGAGCCCGGCGCCCCGCCGGGTCTGAACCTGGAGAACATGCTCGCGGTCGATCCGAAGCTGCTGAACGAGCTGATTGGCAAAGTCGGGTTTCACAATAACAAGACAAAGTCAGTTTCTAATTTACCTTAAACCTCAGCTTCCCCTTTTTTCCCACTTTCGTTCCACCCGTACCTCTCACATATCGTTACTAACCACCTGTTTATGAAACCCACTCCCCCCCAAAATAGATACCTCAAACAAACAGCGGAGATCCTCAAATCGCACTACGCCTCCGACATCCCCGACACCATCGAGGGCCTCACCTCGCTGCCGGGCGTCGGCCCCAAGATGGCCCACCTCTGCATGAGCGCCCCACACGGCTGGAACCGCGTCGAGGGGATCGGCGTTGACGTGCACGTGCACCGCATCACCAACCTGTGGGGCTGGCAGTCGCCGCCGACCAAGACGCCCGAGGACACGAGGCGGGCGCTCGAGGCCTGGCTGCCGCGCGACAGGTGGCGCGAGATCAACTGGCTGCTGGTCGGCTTCGGGCAGACGGTCTGTCTGCCCGTGGGCAGGAAGTGTGGCAAGTGCGAGCTGGGACTGAGCGGGTTGTGCAAGGCGGCTGATCGGGCGAAGGTCGCGCTGGGGAGGAAACTGAGGAACGGGGTGGCGGTGAAGAAAGAGAAGGAGGAGGAGGAGATGGTCGAAGTTGAGGTGGATGGGGAGGGGGGCGGCAGAGTGAAAGTTAAGAAGGAGGAGGCAGAGGTGAAGATTGAAAAGGGGAAGGGAGAGGTGAAGATTGAGAAGAAGGAGGATCTGATGAAAGTTGACGAGGAGGAAGCGGGGGTGAAGGTCAAAAAGGAAGAGGAGGTAATGGAAGTTGATATGGCGAAGACAGAAGTGAAAATCAAGGAAGAGGAAGAGGAGGTAAAGATCAAAAAGGAGGAGGGGAAAATGGGAATTGACGTGGACGGAAAGGATGAGCGTGGAGTGAAGATTCAAAAAGAGGAGGCAGAGATGAAGGATATGACGGCGACGCTCAAAACCGAGAATGGAGCGCCTGTGTGGGAAGGAGGCGCGAAATACGGTGCAGAGGGAGAGGCCATAATCGACCTGGAAAAGGTAGAGGAAATGGAGCTAGACGAAGAGGTGTGCTCCGCCAATGTCAAAAGAGAAGGGAACGAGGTGAAGGTTGAGAGGGTGTAGAAAACGGGCTGTTGGTGGGCCGGCTGCAGCGAGATTGAAGCATTCGTCCGAAGGCAGAGTAGATGACAACAGATGGCTTTTGAAGTACAGGACGAAGCCCTCGGTCCCGACCAGGAGACCGCCCGTAGCGTTGATATGGACAAGGCGGAGGGGAAAGGTCGTCGGACATTGTAAAATACTCACTTACACACTCATACGAGTTCACTGGTACCCAAACTGTCGATGCTGTACCTATTGTCGCATACCTGGTAGTACAGTTATTGTACTACTACGTAGTCGCTCTTGGCGCCCGCGTGCTTCGAGTCATTCAGATACGATATCGGAGCCGTCCCCCGATCGTATTCGCCATCGGCGCCCAGAAGGCAAAATGCGTTCATCACATGCTTGAAATTTAAACAGAAGTGGCAAATCGATTTGGTTCTTGTAGGGATGTCTATTTCCCGGTTCTAAATCGTCTGGTCGATGGCCAAGCGGGTGCCTCAGAGGCTCTCTGAAGCGAAGATCCGTCGTCCTGTTTCAGGGCGAATCCATCCCACCCATTTCCTTGGCCCTGAATAGACAAGAAAGGTTTAGTTATGTACTGTGTAAAATATCTGACCCGATCTCCCTTGACGCCATGCCAAAATACAGTAGATAAGCCACCTGTACTCCAAGCCGCCCCTGCTATGTCCCCGCCAATGATTTAGAGAGAATCGAATCGAGATTTGGCGACTAGGCCACTAGGATGAGTGTCGAGCCGCATGTCGCGAGCAGTGTGTCGGGAATAAGGTTCGGGGGATTCGGTCTCCGCAGATCGTCATCAGGTCGTTGCCTATCACCGGTGTGGACCCAGGACGACGTTCTCGCGCAGTCGGGGAGTCTGGCCAAAGACCGTCCACCGTTGTTATCCATCCACCGTGGTCGTCGGGGAAAGTCTACACGGTCTTGATGACCTGAGTGCGTTCCTTGTTGAGTTGCATCGCGTTCTGCTCGAACGCTTCCCTCTTGCACTTGTGGAGGAGGTCAGCCAGCAGGTCCTCCGGAAGCACCTCGGAGAGCCCGACGAGCCACCATTGCGACGGCGCTGGAGGACAACTTACGTCTTCGAGATTCTGGCACTTGTGGTCTTCTAGTAGACGGTGGTTGCTGCAGAAGTGCCCCTGGCAGAAGGTGCAATCTCCCGAGATGCGCTGAGCGACCGCCTTGCAGTCCTCGAATTGACACCGCAGCTTCTTGGGCATGTTGCTTGGGATGAGGGCGAGTAGAGACGGTTCGACGGTTGCTTATTAGACTAAGAACGGAGAAGCCGGAAACGGGCGCAGGCAGAAGGGCGATTACGAATCCGGTCTCGGCGGTGTGGCGGCGTGCCTCACGAGTCGTCGACGAGGTCGTTGGGAAGAAAATAGGTGAAGCCAGGAGGGAGGGAAGCGAGGGGAGACCGGCAAGGTTATAAAGAGGACGTCCGGTGGAGGTCCATTCCGAGACAACTCAGGGACTCACGTGGTGTCATGAGGGATCCCTGGAAGCGGTGGCCAACTGGACAAGCAGCAAGGAAGGAAGTGGAAGCCATTGGACCAGCTGGCCGAGGCGAGGCGGCGAAGAGACGCAGTTACATCGACCGACGACCCTTGCCCTGTTGAAGATGTCAGGGTCAAAGACCCGCGGCTGTCCAATTGAACCCGGGGTTGCCTCGCATGGCGGCCGCCGGCGCAAACGCAAGGCTCCGCTCACGGCGAGCGGTCACCTTTCAGGACAATGAAGCCACATCCTGTTCCGAACAATTCTGTTGCCTCTTTTGCCTTTGAAGTGAGTTTCAGTGACATCTACAGACAGCGATGCTCGGATCAGGCATTAAGCCGGGTATGGGATGCGAGGACTGATCTCAAGTGGCTGCAACGTGGTTGGGCGGTTGCTAACCGGACCTGGCAAGTGGGGAACTCAGCGAGGGGGCCTCAAACTTGGTGTTGTCACTACTGTGGTACCAAGAAATAATTTATGTATGCAAGTACTAGGCTTGCGCCGTCACTCTAAGAAATGTCCCTCTCTCTCCCTTCTCCTTTCCCTCCCTTCTCTCCATTACAAAATCTCCATGTGGTGAGCCAGCCGGTCGAAGAGCTCAAATTCCATACGTTCAGCGGCCTTGGGGCCGGCCATGATCTCTCCCATTATATCTGAGCCTGGCGGGAAATCCTGTTCATGATAAGGTTCTCCTATTCCTCTCATGTTTGTGAGGACCGCCTGGCGGAAATGCCAGTGGAAGAGGGAGTCCGGCGGACGGCGGGGATCATTAGCAGGCGGCTGTCGAGACTTTCCCCAGCCAATTGGTCTAAGTCGACGGTGAAAAAAGACAATCTTATATCCGTTCTAAAAATGTGTACCGTTAGTGATTATAAAACATATAACAACAATAAGGAAACGTACATCAGGATTGATAGAAAACGCAAAACAATCGAAGAGTATATGCAGATCGGCTCTGAGGATAATGCCGTTCTGTACAGAGTTGATCTTTCCCACCCCTTGAGGGGGATCAATCGTGATCCAACGGCCGTAGTTGTTGTCGTCCCATTGTCGTTCGTATGCTAGTGGGAAGATATGTGCGGCTTAAAATCCCCACCAGATATCGAACGCGGCTCGACGATTTTCGACTTTCGAAACAACACAACGACCGTCACGAGCTTGGACTTCTTCTTTGAACGATTCCACTCTGGTGCCCGTAGCGATAGAGTGCGATCGCGTATATACAACTTCGTTGTTGACCTTGGTAACCTTGTTAAAAAAAACGAAAACACTTAATACGGTAAATAAAACTAACCTCAACACTATCTGCACTGACAGTGTAATCTCCAGGGAGAAGGGGCTGGTCATCTCGTAGGGTTTCGTCTCCATGTTCGTTTTGGACAACGCAATCGCCCGAGGTGATGAGAAGAATGTCAAGCATTTGGCGAAAGCCCGTGTTGGTGACGCCGGCTGTGAGGACTAAGCCACCCAGGGGAATGCGATCTTCATTGTCGCCATTCAGATGCCAGATGAACACATTACGGCCAAGAGCTCGCCTGCCCGACATTTCTGCGGCGCGTTGAGAACAGTTGGAGGGATGGGTGGGAAGTGGGGCGCCAAATCTGGCGGGCACGACCCAGGACCCCCGCGTCATCATGCCTCAGTTTGCTGAGGGGAAAGGCCGGGAGTCCGGGACCGCTCGTTGGTCTGCGGGCCTCGACCCGGCCGGCCCATATCAGCGACTCCCCTGCTTCCACAGGACACCTTACTGCAAACACTGACTGCAGAAGACGATACTTTCTGCAACCCCGTCGCGGTGGGAGAAATGGACTCGACACATCGGCCTCGCGTACGGTATGCAACTGCTCGGTGTCCGGAGAACCACGAATAAAACCAGTCATTGCCCTAGATTTGATGCAGAGTTGGGTTGATGACGTTGAGGCGGGCCGGATAACCTCCCCTCCCGACATAGGTACGCGGTACTAGCTCTATCGCGCCGGGCGGTATTGGGCCGGAAAGGGCTGGTTGCCGCCGCCGCCTCCTAACCGCCGGTGGCCTGATGTGGCCATGCTTCCACCATCCCTTTGCTTTCTCGAGTTCATCTATTCATTAACTGTGATAATCTACTGCCCGCAACAGATGAGTGCACTATGTTGCCTCAGTGCGACCTCTTAATTCACCTTTCGACCGGCTAGATCTGACCGGATACATAAATCCGGATGTCTCTGATTGTGGGCGGGATGCTGATGAGCAGCCGATATCACGCAAAGATACTTAGGTCTCATTGCAGGTCTCACCTCAGCACAGCACTGTGGTTCAACTCCGACATAGAGTCATCTTATAGTACTAGTAGCACATACTTAGTACCTACCGGTCAGCTTGCATTCGGGAAGCGTCTCAACCTATCGCCAAGCGCCGTCACTCACACCCGTACAGGGCATCAGCCAGCTCGAGTGACCAAGCATGCTTTGTATTCGCAGCAAGAGCGTCACGGTAGATGCATGGAGATGCCATACAGCGACTCCCGAGAACCACCCGTCGATTTCTACTTATCAAAGTACACAGATTTGCTGCATCACCACAGCCGCCCATACACACCTGAACCCCTCGTGTCAGGTTCACTCGTCCTTCATGGTCAGCACGGCCCGGATGCAGTCGCCCTGCTTCATGACGTCGAACGCCTCGTTGATCTGGGCTAGCGTCTTGCGGTGCGTGATGAACTCGTCCACCTTGAGCCTGCCGTCGAGGTAGTCCTGCACAAGGCTGGGCAGCTGGCTGCGGCCCTTGACGCCGCCGAAGGCGCTGCCCTTCCAGACGCGGCCGGTGACCAGTTGGAATGCTATATATATATGGTATTTATGTCAGCATACGGTACATAACCGATCAAGAATCGAATAGACGTCAGAGAGAGAGAGGGGGGGGGGGGGGGGAAGGAGACAGTAAACTTACGTCTCGTGGAGATCTCCTGCCCGGCAGCCGCGACGCCGATGATGATGCTCTGGCCCCAGCCCTTATGGCAGGCCTCCAGCGCGGCGCGCATGACGCCGACGTTGCCCGTGCAGTCGAAGGTGTAGTCGCACCCGCCGTCCGTCATCTCGATCAGCTGGTCGACCACGGTCTTGCCCTCGGGCAGCTTGGTCGGGTTGACAAAGTCGGTGGCGCCAAACTTGCGCGACCACTCCTCCTTGGCCGGGTTGACGTCGACGACGATGATCTTGCCGGCGCCCTGCGCCACCGCGCCCTGCACGACGCTCAGGCCGACGCAGCCAGCGCCGAACACGGCCACGCTGCCGCCCTTCTCGACGTTGGCCGTGATGCGCGCGGCGCCGTAGCCCGTGGTGATGCCGCAGCCCAGCAGGCAGGTGCGGTCCATGGGCGCGTCCTGCTGCACCGCCACGACCGAGATGTCGGCCACCACCGTGTACTGGCTGAAGGTGGACGTGCCCATGAAGTGCAGGATGTCCTGGCCGCGCGCGCGGAAGCGGCTCGTGCCGTCCGGCATCACGCCCTTGCCCTGTGTCGCGCGGATCTTGCCGCACAGGTTGGTCTTGCCGGACTTGCAGAACTTGCATTCCTTGCATTCGGGGGTGCTAGAGGAGGCATGGTCAGTGGGATGGGCCCGCAGTTACTATTGAGGAAGATTTTCTCATACTAAAGAGCCACGACATGGTCACCCGGCTTGACGTTGGTCACGCCCTCGCCGACCGACTCCACGATGCCCGCGCCTTCGTGTCCCAGGATGACGGGGAAGGCACCCTCGGGATCCTTGCCGGACAGTGTGTAGGCATCTGCAGTTCAACAAACCCGGTCTAATCAGCGTCTGCCCTGCTATCAAGGTTCTCAAGGATCATTTATGTTCTGTGGAGGGGCGGGCTGTTACCTGTGTGGCAGACACCGGTGTAATAGATCTGGATGCGCACCTCGTGGGCCTTGGGCGGTGCTACCTCGACGTCCTCGTAGCTGAGCTCCTGGCCGGGACCCCACGCGATGGCCGCCTTGCAGGTGATTGTCTACATTCCCAAGCACGCGGGTTAGCGAAGCTCGACAGCAGGGGCGGCCTGAGCTTCCAGGGGTTTGATGCGGGGTTATGTTTGTGCTGCTTCCCGTCCTGGCCCTCACCTTTCCTGCTGTTGAAGCCATTGTGGTGTGTTTTTATATGACTTGGTTGGACTGAAGAAACGGCAGATTCAATCAGCTCAGCTTCCCAAAGACACATACAGTCTCCCTTTTTGTCTGTTACAATGAAATGATGCGGGAGCGGCTCCCGAAGAGCTGTCGGGACACTCTTTTGACCCCGCCCTTTGCGAGGTGGGGTTCCCGACGGGTCAAGCAGGATTGCCGGCAAACTTCCATCACTTTGACTCTTCGGTGATATCACGGCATCCGCTTGCCAAGTAACGGTTCGGCAGTTCAGATTCGTTCGGCTGCTTAGAAAACCCTACTTGTGTTTTGATGTTCATGATGAACGGCGTCATACTTCATTACCTGACTAGGGTCTGATAATATCGTGGATCATCATGGCATGTCTGCCTCTTGCCTTACCCTTATAGCCCACGCAGTAGCCGGGTATTTTTGGTCAGGAAGAGGAGATACTATCGTCTAGTATCACTTGAGAGTTCAAAGAGTGTCTTGTGAGCTTTGTAAACAGGTAATTAACCTTGGTCGTAACTCTGGACGTCAATCGACTGAGATTTGCCCCAGTGCGTCAGAACCCAGTGAGTACGACATGGCGCTCGATAACCAGTGTTATAAAAGACCATACCCAACTGCATACTATGCTAACGTAGACAGCGTTTTATCTCATTGTCGTCGGTGCTTTGCCGTGCCATGGGCCTATAGCATCTAATTCGACATAGAACACAAGAGTCCAGCGAACAAAAGAGGTAAACCATAGTACTGGTTCCTCTCACTGCGTTAATCCCACTCCCTAACAGCTTTAGATGATAAAACAGAAGGGTGCTTACTCAGACAAGGTTCAATATGAGAATGTGTACGACACATGACTCTTGTCGTCAATAATAAGAACAGAAGGTTGACTGTTGTTGACTTGCTAACCTGGAATATTCTGCCCGCAAAAACGGCGAGCAAAGTGGGGGGGACAGCGAGACGCCGAATTCGTCAAGCATAAAACAACACACTCTCACCCCAAACTTATTACTGTGCGTGTATCTGTCGACACTGCGCAACACTTTTGGAAGCTACTTTAGTACCTACTTTACTATCACACCGGAAATACACACTCACACATAAAAGAGAAAAAAAAGAAAGAGAAAAAGAAAATGGCCCCGCTCCCACCTCCCTCCCCGCTCCCGGAATTCGTCTACAAGATCACGCCCTCGGCCCCGCCCGACCCGATCCCCGAGCAGTACCCGCTCTCGGACCTGGACCGGCAAGACGGCTTCGTGCACCTGAGCGCGGCGTGGCAGGTGCCCGTCACGGCCGACCTCTTCTTTCGCGACGCGCCGTCCTTCTACGTCCTCAAGCTGCGGCTGGCCAACTTTGCGCCCTCGAGCGTCAAGTGGGACGAGGTGGACGGCACCAACGGGTGTCCGCATCTGTATGGCAACTTTGGTGCGGGGGATGTTGTTGCCATGAGGGAGTTTACGCGTGGGGAGGGGCAGTCATGGAAGGAGGTATTGGAGGGGGAGAAGGCTTGGTTGGAGTGATGATGTCTTCAGCGGAGGGGAAGGGTAGTGTGTTAAGGTGATGATGATGGAGTAATATAGGGGTTAGGTTGGTATAGAACGTCTGGTTCATCCTCGGGACCCCATTTCAACCTGGGATAGAGTGAGACAAAACGCAACACCATGGGGGCTCCCATCTTTTCATACTTTCATAACACGGAATCTCTCCAGGACTATACCACTTACTACCTTATGTATATCCCAATCAATACCGGTCACATTCCAGAAACCATACATCCCTTAACACATCTAGCCTAAACACCCAGCACCGTTACGATGCGCGCAGTTTTCTTCTACCACAAAACCGAAAGCCTATCCCCCCAATTACGGTCCCTCACCAGACCATCGCATCCGCCTCGGCCAACCACAACCCGGCCAAATCCTTCGCTAAGCCCAGCCTCAACCGCTTCATGACATCCTCTCCCTTCGTCTTGAAAGCCGCCACCTCGGTGCGCCAGTCCCAACCCCTCTTCACGGCCACCTTACCCAGCGCGCCCTTTCCGCTGAGCGATTTCTGCAGTTGACTCGCCATGACCGAGCTGCCGCCCAGCACCAGGTTAGTGCCATCGCTCTTCTTGAGCAGGTCGGCCGGCGTCGACCCCTTGAGCCCGCCCGGCGCCGAGGCCAGCACCAGCTGCAGGAACTCGTCGCAGGCACTGTACACGCGGCTGCCGACGGCCTGCAGGTCCTCGATCGCCTTGAGGATGATGTCGATCTGGTCGAGCGTGATGACGGGTGCGTCGAGCTGGCCGTGGTGGACGTTGGTGTTGTCCGGGTCGGAGACGAACACGAGGGCCTCGCCGAGCAGGGCGAGGAGGAAGTCCTCGCTGACGATGCCGTCGCGGGTCTGGTCGAACAGGCCGCCGCGGATGTTGTCGTCGGAGCTGGCGATGACGCTGATGAGCGCGGTGGCGGCCTGCTGCCGGCGCGCCTGGGCCGTTGCGTTGGGCAGCGCGTCCTCGTTGTCGCGGATTTCGTAGAACTGCCGGAGCGAGGCGTAGCCGCTGAGCATCTTGCCCAGGAGCTCGGCCGCCTCCATGTCCTGTTTCGCGCACTGCTCGAGAGTCCTCTTGCGGTCGGTAAGCAGCTTGTGGAGGTAGTCGTCTAGGTCGTTCGAGGGCGGGAACGCCGTAGACTGGATCAGCGAGTACGAGATAAGCAGGTTCATGACCTCGCGGACCTTGTTCGGCCGGTGTGCGAGGGCATAGTACCACATGGCCTCGCCGTAGCGGTGCGAATCGCGCGCGAGGATATCTCCATATGTCTAGAACAACAAAAGTCAGCAAGCCAGCAATAGGGTAATTTCATGCCTCCAAATACTCACCTCCGCTGTATCCTGAGCATACTCGATCATGCCCAGCTCATTCAACAGAGCCCATAGCCTATCCACCGTCTCGTTGGAGTCCACATGCAGCTCCTGGACCAAGTGCTCCACCAGATCTCTCACCATCTCGTCGGACCGCTCTGGCGAGTCTATCCGGCCGAGCACGCTAATCGCCAGCTCCCAGCCGTCCCGTGAGAATCCCGGCTTGTCCTTCACGGCCGACAGACCCTCGCAGTCCGCCAGCGCCTGCGCATATTGCACCAGTGTGCTGTCCTTGATGCCGTCGATCTCGTCTGGAGCACCGGGATCCATGCCCAGGACCTCGAGATCATCCATGTCCAGATCTTCGAGCCCGAACGCCCCCGAAGGATGGTGAGGGGGCAGCCACTTCCCAAGGGACGCGATCTCGGCCACCGCGGCGGCAACCGGGAGCGACCAGCCACGAAGCAGGCCGACCACCGCCTTGATATTGTCTTCGAAAACGCAGGCCATGCCAATCTCGACGGGATTCTGCGCGTTGAAGTGGAAGTCCGACTCCACCGCCGCGTGGAAGGCGCGCGCAAGGCGGTCCAGATAGCTCTCCGAGTCCGAAGCCGGTGTCGACGCGAGAACCAGGGCCTGCGACCGCGACATGGAGAAGGGCTTTTCCGCTGTAGTCCTTTGCTCATCCCACCAGCCGAACAGGCCAACGGTCGCCTCCAGCCAGTCTTGCGCCGCTTCCAGGATGGCGTCCTGTTGACCCAGGACGATATCAAACACGATGTTCAGGTTCTCGTATATTTCCCAAGGCACCTGACTCTCCGCCCGCCTCGCCATGCCGGCCATGGACTGCCTACTCCTTGGCTCAGACGAAAGAGAAGCCGAGAACGTCGAATCGGCAAACGCGCTCTCCCTGCCCTCAGCAAACCGCCTGAGGTGCTCCAGCGCGCCCTGCGCCCGCACACGGAACAGAGTCCAGTCGCTGCTCCAGACCTCCCAGTTGCCGTCGTACCCGGGGCAGCTCTCCAGCACGGCGATGGTCTGCTCCGCCGCGCGCTGCACATTCTCGAGCGCCCGGTCGACATAGGCGTACTCGCCGCGCTGGCCGCGCCGAACATGGCCCCAGCCCGCCTGTCGCAGCAGAGCCACCGCGTCGCCGACCTTGCCGCGCAGCAGCGCGATGAACACGGCCTGCCAGAAGAGCGAATGGCACGCCGGGCTGGGCCGGCACCGCAGGATCTCGTCCACCTGGTTCCCGTACATGTCGTGGTACTCGTCCAGCCACCGGAACAGCGTCTCGGGCAGCGGTTCCGCGCGGCCCATGCCGCCGTCGTCGTATCTCGTGTGGTGGATCTGCAGCGCCAGATTGGCGAGGTAATACGCCTTCTCGAAGGCAGTGGCGTGCGGGCCCGGTCCGATCTCCGCGGCATGCTCCTCCGTCGGCCGCGGGAGCTTATCCACGTGGCTCTTCCAGAGCGCGGTGACCTTGCCCGCCACCGTTGCCAGGGTATCGTCCATCTTCCCCTCATCCTCCGTCTCTCCCACCCCTTCGTCGTAGAGCCTGGAAATCAGATTCTCCGTGCCCAGAATGACCTGCGCCGGCTCCGTGATGGGCGCCGTGCCCAGCTGGTGATACGCATCCCTCGCAATGGCCGTGTACCGGAACTCCGTCCTCCGCACAGCCCCGCCCGCCTGTACCACCGAAGCGCGGAAGATATCCTCGGCCTCGCGGCGCACCCTCTCCGTCGCAGCGGGCGTCGCGAGCATCAGCAGATCCGACTCGTCCCCAATCTCCCGTCCACCCTCCTCAGGCATGTCAAGCCACATATCCCTTTCCTCCTCCTCCTCCTCTTCCTCTTTCCCTTTAGCTCCTCCTCTTAGGTTGATATCATCCTCCCCAAAACTGTCATCATCAAACGCCGGCACCCCAAACGTCTTCGGCCTCTTCTCCTCTTCATCCTGCCCATCATCATCGGCAGCAGTAGTAGCAGCAACGGCCCGACTTAACCGACTCGGCCCGCTCGGCTGCCTGCCATGAATGATCGACCTCCCCAGCGGCGTGATATTCCTCTTCTTGGCCCCGCCGCCAGTATTCCCAAGCCCAGCAGCGCCAGCAAACAGGTTCTTCTTCCCCGCACCGAGGCCCCCACCACCACCACCACCAGGACCAGCACCAGCACCGGTAAACCCAGCCGCCGAGTTGAACCCGCCTCCGATGCCCGTGAACAACCCCACCGGCGGGGGATCCTCCCTTTTCGTTTTTGTTGTGCCGCGGCCGCCCGACACACCGCGCATGATGGAACTGCCCAGGTAGCTGGCCGAGGGCGCGCCGGCGGGCGTGAAGCTAGCGGTGGAGGAGTGGCCGCCGCCGGTCGGGGGCGGGCCAGCCGGGGTGTTGGGCTGATGGCTTGTTTCGGAGTGGCCGAAGATGCTGTTTTTGTTATTGTTGTTGGTCTTGGAGGTATAGCGGCGGTCCGGGGTGGAGGGGAGGAAATTAGGCGGGGAGGAAGGGGGGCCGAAGATGCTGTTTGACATTCTCGTCTTCGTTCTTAAGAGTTGTTGTTGCTGTCGTCGTCTCTTGTTTTGGGAGCGGGTAAACTTCTAGGTGTGGTTTGCAGTTTCAAGGCAAGTGACGCGGAGCTGAAGCCCGACGTGGAATGGCCGTCGATATTTGTTTGTTGGCGTCCCAGGTAACCTAGAAGCGTTGGCCAAATGGATGGTTGAGAGGAATCGGGTCTGCTCAATAGGAGCTCGATTACATGTTCTGCGAAGCAATCAACCGGTTGCGATGTGTCGCTGATAGGTCGCAATCGCTCTCCAAAACCGGGGGAGCTTCTGCACCTTGCACAGACGCGACTTTTGGTGGTTTTCTGCGCGTGTCGGCAAATTCCGCTCCTTGGTTACCTATCATCCCGCTGTAGGTAATATGTTACATTACAGGCTTCCCCTGGATTGCAAAGGTACGGTAAGAAGAACCTAATTGGTTTCTGAACACAACAATGATTTACTCCGACATTCAATTAAGTGCTACCTACTTGGAGCGCTCGGTTTGTCCCATCAATCCCTGACAACATGCTACAACACCATGCGAGGGCGACTGGTAAGGGCAAGCGGTGTGACCACTGAATTCAGCATTTCACGCGGCCACACCAAGAGCGGTTACTGCTACAAGTGACTATAGGTTAGAGCACCTGGACAATATTGCACTTTCACCGGGACAATTCATTAACTACCCAAGTATCGACCGACTGTTGAACAGGTCATGTTTATAGCAATATCTGGTAAGATGCCACTTGCGCCAACGCGATGCCCAATTCCTGCCTGCTTCTGCGATACATGGACACATTATGTACGGTACGGTATGCCGAGCAACTCAACAAAGGGAAAAAGCGAGGTCGGCCACGGCGTGAAGGGGGTATTCTTTTTAGGCCAAAGCAAAGAACAAATATGCGCTGGAGAAAGGAAAGGAAAAAGAGGCAGTCTCCAAGCGTCAGGACACACAGTAGAAATTCAGACGTTGCTCAACCCAGGGTCCGCCTAAGCACTCTGCGGGAGTAACGACGGGTCCTTCTCCGTTCCCAGCGTGAACCCTCGTGTCCGAGCGCTCTCAGGATGCTGAAGCCCCAGTTCCTTCAGCCCCGCGGCTGCGCTGTCCGCGGCGCCATAGACGATGCCGAGGCCATTGCTGGAATCTTTGTTGGCTGCTTTCCTCTTCTCGTTGTTGGCATCGTTAGCGCCCTCTTCGAGGTTCATCAGTGCCGGTGGCCTGTGCCGCATTTGCCGTGCCTTCGCCAGCGAGATGGTCTTCTGCTGATACGTGGTCGTGATTGGCTGCGTGTCGTCGCGGTCAATTGTTGCTTTCATCAGCGCCGCCATCCACAGCCGCCCTTGCTTGATGTTCGGGACCGCGAAATAATGCACGGTAGGTTTCGTGAAGTTGACTGCGCGAGAGAGACCGGCACGCGGCGGCACCAGCTTGAAGATGAAGATGGAATCCGATTCCGTCGCCGGATCCCGTTCCTCATTGGCAGCTGCGAGCGTCGTGATGTGGCTTCCAGCCGGCATCGCAGGCGTGCTCGATACCCCCGTGAGCGTAGCATGGAGTCCAGTGAGCCGCTCGTTGTCAGCCGGAAGCACTCGGTGGAACGAGATGTCGATCAGGCCTCTTTCCTGGTCGTCGTCTTCTGAATAGTAGTATGCGAGACGCCTGCCCTTCAGAACGAACAGGCGAGGCTTCCAGGTCGTCATGAGGTTGGCGCTCCTCTTCTTCATCCACCCACTGTAGTCTGCATCTTTGATGGCTTCCCGGGGGCTGATCTTCTGGAGACCTCGCTGGTACGCACTCGTCTCCTGCTTGGTCTTCTTGCGACTGGTCCGTGTGGTCGCCGTCGTTGCCGTGCTCGGGCTCTTAGTCGTATCGGGCGAGTCAAGTTCAAAACTCGGCCCTTTGGAAGGGGTGGTTGACCCGGTACGAGCAGGCGAGTACATGGGCGATTCCTTGAGTGGCGACTCGATTGGTGACAGCTTCGCCCTTTCCGTCCCAGTGATTGCATCCGAGGCAGCGCGTAATCCTCCAAGTCCGCTGGCCAACAGCATCTTCATGTTGAAGTCCGGATGATTAACTTGGCTTAACCGCTTGATGGCAGATTTTGGCGATGATCGCGAGTGATCGGACGCGTTGCTGTCCAGTCTTGTGACGGTGGGGTATGTGGCCTCCTTGGAGCCTGAGATTTGGCGGAACGAGTCGGTGGTCGCGACCGAAGGCGAGCGCCTAGAAACGCCGTAGTATTTTTGGGCCGCGGATGACATCGGCGACTCGCGCACAGAATCCACGCTACCAAGCCTCGAGTGGCGCGACAATGCAGTGGCACTTCTCACGCGTTGTTCCTCTGCGTAGCTTGCTTTTGGCGACGCTGTGGCACTGTCACGCTTCTTCAACACATTGCGCCGCCGTGGATCCGCATCGGTGCCCGAGAAGTAGCCCTTGTCGAGCTCAACTGCCGAGTCTTGAAGCTCTGAACCTTGCCCCGGCATTGCGTCATGAAGCCCCGCAGACGATAGGGGACGCTGTGCATAAGCCGTGGCGCTACCCAGCGTCCAGTTACGGTCGAAGGACGGCTTCTTCTTATGGGAGACGTCCTGTCGCGTAACGGCGCTGTTCGGCGGAACCTTCGAAGTGGCCGCAGAAGTGTTGGGGCGTATCCCCGCTAGGCCATAATCGGTTGAAGAGTGGCGCCGCGAGTGGTGCAAATCTCGGACGGATGCAGCGGATGGCCGTTTGTCGTGGTACGTGCGAATTGGGCTGTCGATGAGTGGCGAGACGGGTGATACCGGTTCATAAGGCTCCATCTTCGGGGTCTGTGACAACCGCTTCGTCTTGATAGAGAGCGAGGGTTCGTTCACAGAGACTAGGCGCGAGCCCGAGTTGGTTATCGTATTCGTTCTGCTCCGGATCCTTCCCGCATCAGACCCTGCATCGCTTCCATAATTCTGGGTATTTCTTCCGCTCGTCGGTGCCACTCCGTTCACCTCGTCCTGGAGCTGCTTGATCTTCTGCCATGTTTTGAGTCTCCTCCCCACGGATCCCAAGTCAAGCGCTTTGATGAAAACCGATGTCTGATCCATTCCCAGTAGCACTTCACCCGTGATCTCTTGGTCCCTGAAAACCTCACAATGGTGCTTCTCAACGCCAGCGGTGAACAGATACTCAGCAACCTGGTCGGCGGACCACGACTCGACCTCCGGACGCGTGTGGACCATCGTCTCCTCCTCTTCGTCTGTCTCCTCCCCCTGGATGTATGAAACCCGGTGGCCCAGGTGCGAGCTGTACTCGCTGCCCGAGTCATTGCCATTGCGAAGCGACGAGCTGCCTAGTTGAGGTGTATTGAAATCTGTGATGTGTTCATTGATGACGTTTAGGGTGTCGTGCAGGACATGGCTATCAGTGCTGGCTTTCGGTGTGGTTGTGCTACCGAGACCAGAACCAACCCCGGGCGGCACACTGGTTGAAGGCGCAGGGGGGTTGGGAGTGGCAACCGTCGACTTCAAGGTATCCAGGGGCAGCGTGGGCGAAACCGGTTTCGCATTGGCGATGGGGTCGCTCTGATGCCCCACGACAGGCGGACTGGTGGCGGGAGTCGTCTGCGCGCTTGGCGCCTCGGCCAAAGGGGAAAGAAGCTGCTTCGGTGGTGCTAAGGCCGGGACGCTTGCGCTGGCTTTCGGTGCTGGCCGCGTGTAGACTATGCCATGTCAGCGGGGATACGCAGACAACGCTCGAGGCGCAAAACCCACCCTCTGGGAAGAGGCCAATGTTCCCATTGACAGTGTGCTTGCCCAAAAACCACCCATCTCCAAACTCGTCATCTCGCTCGAGAAGCTCAACACGGTCGCCTTTCGCCAGGGTTAACTCATCGGAACTGCGAGCCTGGAAGTCGTCTGCAGAACGTCTAGCGTCAGTCATTGATTCTGGAAACTCGCAACAAGGGACCAGGTCCGGAGGCGGACGGTCGCGGTTTTAATTGTTGCAACGACCACGCAAACACGGAGCTAGTGGCATTCAGATTGGGGACAGAGGAGTGACATACGGATGACGATCAGAATATCGCCCAGCTCGGGCTTGTTTGGGTTGGACGTTGCCATCCTCCTCCCTTGAGGAGCGACAGATCGCGTTGCAGGTTTGTCCGTAGAGAAGGGAGAACGACCGAATTCAAGGGCAAACCGCGGAGATTGGATTGCAATTGCCAAAGGAGAACAGCCGCAGGGTCGGGGGAGGCTTCGGACGTTGGACGGACGGAGGTGCTGAGGGGTGGCGATCGTATCGCAAAAACCGGGCCTCAGGATCTGGTTGGGAGGCCAGGGAAGGGGTCCTGATTTCGCTCGGGAGGGCCAAGGGGGCGGGCGATCCAGACAGGGCCAGTAGATGGCAGGCAAACGACGTGAAATGCAAATGGCACACTGCGTTGTGTCACTCCCATCATCTGATGCCGCCGCAGGACGTTGGGAGTTCTATTCCTGAAGATGCTGCTCCGCGGCGGGTGCTCAAGGTGGCATGGAGCGCTAAGGTTGGAGCGTTGGGGGTACGGAGCGTATCGTTCGCGGCAAGACCACGTACATATGATGGGGCTGGATGCACGAGGGGACGGGGGGCTGAACCGTTCGGCGGCGGCGGCGGCGGCACTCCGGCTTCCGTTGTCGCTGATTGGGCGCTAATCAACTAACCGGGCCGAGGGGCGTAGATTGCCGTTCTTGGGCCTGCAAAACGTGCTTCTTCAGGCGATGCTGTGTAGACTCGGACTCCGTATAGCGAACACGTTCCCGTGGCGGTATTGATTGCAAAGAGTGGCCGGCGGTGATGTTGTTGAAGGTTGTGAAATTGCGATGAAAAACTTTCTCCGTCTGGGATGAACGCTGTAGGGATGATCTCGGTTAGTACCTGAGGTATTGACTCCAGTCATCGACGGCGGCGCATCTCGAGCTGTCCCGTTTTGTAGAAATTGGGCCTTCTGGTGCCCGTGTGGGTCCGTCCATCGAGGGACCGGCCGATCTCAGGACAAACCCATTGACAGCGACTGCGAGAGAGGATCTTGAAATTGTTAACACAGTATTTACATGTGCTCGGTATGGCATCAACATTCACTTTTCCGTCTACTCCATCCTAGGAGGGGTACCGCGGTATTGGAGAGTACGAACGGAACCGGCGCCCACCTGAGAGACCACATTCCATGGGTACTGTACAGGTATGTATCGTCCCGATGCTGTCAGGGACTCAGGGACAGGAACAGAGGGGACCTGCAGAAGCTGTGCATACGGTGCTCTTGAAAGCTGCCGTGCCACACAAATAGCGCTTCAACGTTCGGTGCCACTAGTTTTATAGTGAACTACTAGCAACGGTAGTATAGTCGACGCTGTGCCATCCCCATGGTAACATCGGACGCCTTCGGATACCCATTCGGCCCTGCTATGTACAGACCAGGCGATATGCTGTCCTCTCTATAAGGTGTTGCGTGCCAGCGGCACATATCCACCGTTCTTCAGGAGGCTTGTCGACGATGCGATATCGACGGGTGGTGACATACCGGAAGCTTGACATTATTCCGGTACCTAGGTAGGTATCAGGTGTTTTCTTTTCTTGCCTTTCACATGTTAGGTACCTAAGTTACCGTACCTTACCTAACGAAGCCTGCGGCCCACAATTTGAACCCCTGGAGCTCTGCTAACGTCCCCCAGCTTCGGCGTCGGCCCGCGCTGCATCCAGCCCACTCTAGGCCTCGGCAACTCCAACTCGGCATCCCATCATTCACTGAGAGATGGCAGCTCAAAAGCAAACCAAGACACAATATCAGGAACCACCGTCATAGCCAGCAGCAGCCAACAAAAAGGACAAGAGACGACTTCTGTTCATCGCGCAACCCCCGCCCGTCAGCCGCTCCGCTTACACAGTCCTGCTGTACAAGTACATACATCCGTACGTAACACGGCGCATGCGCCGCACCGCAGAGGGCCTCATCGAATCAGCAACAACCTCACCACAAAGTCCGAGACACGACAATAAATAACACGACGCACCGAACAACATCAACATGGCTCTCCAACCACAGCCGCTGTCAGCCTACGCCGGCTACGCGCACTTCATCGTGACCTCGCCCTCGCCGAGCCACCACCCGTTCGTAGCGCACGTCGAGATCAACCGGCCGGCCAAGCTGAACGCCTTCCACGAGGCCATGTGGCACGAGCTACGGCGCGTGTTCCAGCAGCTGTCGGCGGACCCGGACGTTCGCGCCGTCGTGCTCTCGGGCGCGGGGGACCGCGCCTTCACCGCGGGGCTCGACGTCACGGCCGCGAGCGAGGGCGGCGTGCTGGCGTCGGCCGAGGCTCAGGGGCTGGACGCGGCGCGGAAGGCAGCCCGGCTGCGGCAGTATATCGCCGATTTCCAGGAGTGTATCTCCGCAGTGGAGAAGTGCGAGAAGCGTACGTTTGACTTACTACACTCATTGTGATCCCGTTGGAAGGTGAGTTCAGTAAAGTTGGGTTTGGCTGACTGTATTTTGTTTTTTGCGTGTGTGGCAGCTGTCATCTGCGTCATGCACGGCATCTCCATCGGGCTGGCGATCGATATCTCGTGCTGCGCCGACATCCGGCTATGTTCCCAGGACGCTCAGTTTGCCGTCAAGGAGGTCGACATCGGGCTGGCGGCTGACATCGGCACGCTGGCGCGGCTGCCCAAGGTGGTGGGCAGCCAGTCCTGGGTCAAGGACGTTTGCCTCACCGCGCGCGACTTCAGCGCGGTCGAGGCGCTGTCCGTGGGGTTCGTCAGCCAGGTGCATGAATCCAAGGCGGCCGCGCTGGCCGTGGCCGTCGAGATGGCCGGCTTTATCGCCTCCAAGAGCCCCGTGGCGGTGCAGGGAACCAAGGAGCTGCTGAATCACAGTCGGGATCATACGGTTGATGACAGTGAGTTGACTTTTTCCCCACAAGTCATGTGTTTGCTCCTACGGAACTGACCATCACAGACCTGAGGTATACCGGGGTTTGGAATGCTGCTGCGCTCCAGACGAATGATGTGGCGGCCGCGCTCATGTCGGGCCTCAAGAAGAAGAAGCCCACGTTTGAGAAGCTATGAATGGGGTCCGGACATAGTGGGTTTATGGCTTGTTGGTTTGAGAGATCCGATCGTGTCCGTATTTATGGTCGACTTAAAGGGCCACCCGTGCACAAATGGTGAATAGAAATCCAGATCAACGCATGACGCGGCGTAGTCTCTCCAACACACTGCCCGCCTGAGAGTTGCGATTACAGTTAAAAGTGGAAAGCCACCCCCGGGCCACTTTTACTCGCTATCTTCCAGAGGCTCCTCGGGTCGGTACGTCTCTTTGAGGCGCTATTCCTCACGAAATCAGCTTTGGTCAGCATTGTGAGATAGTTTTCTGAACTCACGTCGTCGAGCTTCTGCTTCAGCACCTGCACCATATTCTCCTTGACCACAAGGTGCGTCTCATCAAGATCCTCGATGATGATGTCGTTGTTGGCACTATCTAGATGGACTATGATGGACTTGATGGCCGGCTCGCACTCGATGAGCACGCCTGCCAGAGTTAACCAGTGAAAGTGACCGAAGCGGCGGGTCTGCACCTTCCACCTACCCCGGATGGCCCTGACCATGTTGCACGGCCTGGATTTCCGCTCTTCGATCTAGCGATGATGATACCCGCAGAGGGGTTCCTTATGCTTGCTTGCTTTGCGCTGCTCGAATCTGCAATGCGCGGTGCGAAGGTTAATGGTTACCCGCATGCGCTTCTGGACAGTGGACGAAGGATGAAAGTTGCATGGGGCTTCTAGCGAATGAAAACTGCCTCCCGGTTGCGCCTGAAAGTGCTGCACTTAAAAGCTAGGTGGCGGCTTCCAGCCAAGCCGGGCCACCCAGCAATGAACACAAGTGTCCGTGGCACAGCAACCTCCCGTCACTTCTTACAATCACTTCATGTTTCGCAGTGCAGTCTGCGGAAACTCAAAAATACATGAAAAATAAATTTGCTTGCCCACAGCCAGAATCGAACTGACGACCTCACCATGACCTAGTAACCTGATACTAGTGGTGCGCTCTACCACTGAGCCATGCGGGCTAGTTATCCATTGTTGGGAAAGAGTGACCGATGCACCTACTGATTTTGGGGGACGGCGTTGCGCCTCCTCAAACGTTCCTTCCTTCAATGCTCCAAACTGCCATTCCCGCCACTCAGACGATCTGTCAAAGCTTGTTGCCTGCTATGAAAGAAGCAGTAGGGAAGGAGTTCTGGGACGAACGAGTCCGTGACACAACGGTGAAGCAGCAGGACTGGTTCAAGTTTTGTCCCTTCCCTGATCCTGATAATTTCCTTCAAACTTGAGTGATACAAAGACACGTATGAGACTGCTGTGATACTTCTTATCATCATTTTGATTCCCTGATAACGCTCGTTTATTGAAGTTCGTCATGTCGTCCTCCGATATCCCTGAGCCCATAGCGAGCCTGAAGGCCCTGGTGAAGAAGTTCCCTACGATTTACGGCAAGCTTTACCAGTTCTCTGGGATCTCCTAGAGTACTACGAAGAGCTGCCGGTTAGTGACCCCAGCTACTCTAAAGCTGGGGGTCAAGGGCAAGATGCTATCGACAGCATCATCAAGGAAGAGGAAACGGAGCTTTTCTCTCGGAGCTGCGCGGATTTATGATCGACAGAATCGGCGCCGAATATCACTGGACGGACTTTGTCACCCCAGGTTATATCTCGCTAAACCCCCAAGACAAGGCTGATATCGACGACTTCGTTCGATACCTGTACCGGGGAATTCTGACGATCCCAAGTACGGGTGTCTTGAAGCCGCACGAGGTCTCCTTCCTAACAGCGCGGGTCCGAGAGCAACCAACCCTGAGATGTATCCTGGCCAAGATGTCGACGCCAGAGCCCTACCGGCTCAGCGTCATGCAGCACGTTGCCGTTGAAGCGGCTAGGGCTGTTAGCCTCCGGAGACGCCAGGAAAAGAAACGACAGAGAAAGCAGCGGCTTAGCCGGCTGGAGCGACTCGTTGAGGCTCTCTTCGATGAGCAAGAGTGGGCAAGTTCCGAGGTCTACTGCGGCAGTATGGAAAGTTCTGCCATTTCTGGAGTCGAAAGCGCTACCTCTAGCACTGTTCGTCTTTCGTCCGAAGCCGGTAACATCTAGTTAGATCGTCGAGAGAGACTTTTTAATAGGACTCTAGGCATCGCTGCTGATATGTTAGGGACTCAGTATCGGACGTTCATTGAGCGTAGCGGTCGTCATGAACTCCTCGAGCTGCTTAAGCAGTCTGTGGTGCAGTCTGTGGCCCCCGGGGTGTGGAATGATATCTGGGGCGCTCAACCGACTGCTGGCAAGCAGTATTTACAGAGTCTCCAACAGGACGACGAGACTTGAAGTGTCTAGGATGGTATCTTGCAGTCGGCGCTGATACTGGTGATATAGAGTTCTTCAAGAAGTATGTCGGCCAAACAATGCGGGAGATCCTGATCCGGGCAGCCTAGCATCGGGCACTGCCGCGTGCCTACGGCGGTGTCTTGATGATGGAGATACGGTCGACACCATCCAGACCAGGAGCGGTATTCACCTTGTGTGTTTTATATGGGCGAGTAAAGCTACCCGGACGTTCAACTTCATCCGCTTGGGGACCCTCCGAGCCGGGCTCGACGAACGGAGTTGGCCTCTTTGGTTGAATATTGTGGAAATGTACTTTTGCTTGATTTTCCAATCTCTCTAGCCTGGAACCTTGAGACAGTACGTCGGGGAGGATATGGTCGAGGAAGATGATTCAGGTCTGAATATCGCCCTCCCCCTTCACCCGTCTTACCATAACCAGGCAATTGGTTCGACTATTGCCTGCCTCTAGTCGAGCGACTCCGAAATTGTGGAATACACGAAGGCACGACTGTAGCTCACATCTAAAATGGTGAAGGCGAAATTTGATGCCCTTAACTGGGTGGCCCTAGCCGCCAACACTTCATCGATTTCACCGAGCTCCAGAGCCCGTGGACGACCAACCAGGGACAAGCACAGGGACGGATTGCTCTTGCGTTACGCAACGCGAGTCCGTCATGGGCAACCAACTTCCGGGGGCCAAATCCTCAGTGGGGAGAACCTACCAAGGTGAAGGTGTACTGCAAGGCCTGCGGTTTCACCACCTACGATACTATGCCAGTCTTCCACATCTATACGGGAGCATATGTCATTCGAAGGCAGAGGTGCTTGTTTTGCAAGCCGACGGCTTCGATGATCAGCAATCAGCATCTGGTTCACGGAAGCAAGGCTCTACATCCTGTGGAGCCCATTCTCTCCATGTTCAGGGAGCGTCTGTGAAAGATGGGCAACTGTCCTCCATACGTTCGGTGAGTTTCCGCTGAAGCAGGGGAGACCGCGGTCTTCTACTCTATGCGGGGACTTTATCATCACGCAGTGACAGCGGAGTCCTCCGTCTCACTGTGATGATGTTGCATGTTTCACGGACGCAGGGGAGCCCTCTAACTCCCAATGTATGTGATAACGTGCTGGCGTGCACTGATGCGGGGGGTGGGCTTTTGCCCCCATCTGTATGTGCGATGCCATCTTCCACCGGTGCAGGAGAGGGTTCTCATGGACCTTTAAGATCTTTCGTTCAACAAGGACTCTCACAATGTGCAAAGCGGCCAAGACGGGTACATCTTCAAGACCATCGCGCCGACAGGTCTCTGTGAGTCCAAGATTTTCATGCACACACACTAGTTCACGCTATAACTTGTCCCACGGCGGACTGTCCCGGTGCTTATCAAGGCGTGTAGGATTGAATGCAACTCGAATGGTGATATTTTTGTCGTCAATCAACAATGGAAGATGCGTTGATATAGAGAGGAAAGTCGGTCCTGTAGTCAGGAATGGAAGGCGAAAGATATATTGGGGTGGGGGCAAAGATCGGTGCTGCAGGCAGGGTAGGGAGGATATAAACGAAAGATGTATTGGTGTAGGGAGAAGGATCGGTGCTGCAGGGAGGGTTGGAAGGATATGAACGAAAGATGTGTTGGTACGGGGTGCAAGGTCGGTCCTGCCGAAGGTTGGAAGGATATGGTGGGTGCGGTGCACAGAGCGCCGGGCAACGTCGGTTGCTCTCACCACGGACGCTTTCGCTCTATATTCGGCTTTCGGAGTGCAGAAACGCCGGTTGGTCGCCATCCTCAACCTCGTGGCCATCCCCTATACGTCAAACCCGCACGCTTCGCCGATTGACAAGAGATCACGAAACCACCGTTATATACCCCGGTTGGTCCGTGTTTGTTCCGGTTACATTCAACAGTACGTGGAAGCCAGCATATGCCACCAGCTCGCCTTGATCAGTATGCCGGTCAGCAATCCTAAAGATTCACCTTGTCGGGCCATCACCATGACCGGAAGGCGGTCTCTGATCAGCGCTAGCGAACGATAAACAATACGTCATTAAATAGAAGCCGCCGCCTGGCTGAACGCTATAAAACCCCTCAATGGTTCAAGTCCATCGGCAATTCGGAGGCTCTTGCCAAGGTCACGCGGACCATTGCTCCTTGAAAGCAAATTATTTGATACAGGAAAAATAATCCACCACCATACAAGTCATCACAATTAGGTGAAAACACATGCAGTTTAAACGCTGACTATAAGAATGGAAATTGAGCAAGACTGATATTTATAGAGGGAAAAGAACATCATGAAAGTATTTATCTACATCGTGTTGTGGCTCATGTAATTGTGTTGGTGTTCTGAGAGACCGGTTTTCCTGAATCAATTAATTTGCTTTGAAGGAGCATTGTTCTGCCCTATCGATGATTGGATGGGAAGGCGCAACCCAGTCTCCCAAAATCAGCAGGTACACCGGTCGCTCTTTCCCAACAATAGATAACTAGCCCGCATGGCTCAGTGGTAGAGCGCACCACTAGTATCAGGTTACTAGGTCATGGTGAGGTCGTCAGTTCGATTCTGGCTGTGGGCAAGCAAGTTATCATTCATGTAATTTTTGATATCACTACTTAAGAGTTGGCAGCCCGTTTTGGTAAGCCGTAGTTCTATAGTAGCTGAATTTATAACTAAAGAGTTATAGTTATGGCTCCTAAGTTGCTAGGTGCTTTTGTCTTTTTAATTTTAAGAAGCTTTAAATCTTAAAAATAGTTAGTCCGACTTAAGTGGTAGGAGGACCGCTTCTAGTAACCCAAGCTTTCCTTTCCTACCACTAACCGAGGAATCCATCGATCGAAATGCAAACGAATGAGAGAGAGGGATTGGGAAGGACGACGGCCCTCTTTCTTACTCGCACGCGGCTTGCCAGCTTCCTACGCGAGCTAACCTTAGCCGCCGGCTGACCTCCTAAGCCTAGGAGGTTTGGTCTTTTACGCGTGGCCTCGAAGTAATACGCCTGCCTTGATTGGTTTTTAGCCTGGCTCGCGAAGGCCGGGTAGTTTTCCGGTCGATACCCTACCTTCTTCTCGACCTTGGGAGCGCTCCGAAGCGTCTGGCGATGCGGGAAACCTCGGGGTACATTTAAGCCGGGGGTGGGCCCCCAAAAGACCATGCGTACAGTTGCTGAGGGGGAAGACAGGGCTGAGACCTTAGTATATTCCTATCCGCTGGCAACACTTGAGGTGCATCTCCCGCTCCGGGCTTGGTGTTCTCTAAAACCCATGGTGCAGACGACGAGTGTCCTATGCCTCAAGACCCTAAAGTCTCGTTTAGTCTCTTCTCCAGCCCACTCTTCCGCGTATATTTTGCTTCCTACCTATCCTATTTCCATCTTCGGATGGAACTATATCAGGACAAGCCCGACAACATGTAGTTCTGTCGGAAGTTGAATATCGACGTGTCTAGATTGTTTAGTACTCTACACGTCGGCACGGCCACCGGCAAGCAAAGTAGGCCGCCGGACCAGAACGAATAAGGTCCATGGACTCGAAAAGGGGCCGTCTTAGTAACAATATGACCGTGTGCGAGGTCGTCGATTTGGACCTGGTCAACGACACGTCGGCCCAATTTCTCGACGATCCCGACCGGTTATGCGTTGTGGGTTCTCAAGGGCCCAACCACCCCCGATCATACAGGCATCGGCTTTGCTGAGCCTTTGGGGCGAAGGCTAGAGTTATCAGCACCTGGTATTTTGCGGCCAAGAGTTGACAGCCCTTCTGCTCGCTGACGGTGCGGATCACAGGGTCGCCCGGAGCCAGAGCAGAAACGTGGATCCGGAAACAGCTCGCTCCAGATAGGGAGAGCATATTGATGGTTGCTCGGCGGCATCGAGGAAGAACTCTACGTCCTATCCTCTTCGAAAATGGGTGATGGGTGAATTCACCCTTGTCAGCTTCCTCCTATGAAGTCTCGTAACAGCCTGTCCTCGAGGTCGTCTTCGAGGTCGACGTCAACGGTATCTTCAAGGTTATCCTTCCTTCCGCACCGCCCATCAATTTACTCGCCGTCGTACGCCGACGCGTCGCAAGCACTAGACTCGGAATCTCGTGATGGTGGACGCCGAAGAGTCACAAATCTTCTATGAGTTCTCCAACAAGCGCAACATCGGCGGCAAGGGTGGGCGGGGGGGTTTTCTGTCGTCCAAGGCCTGTGTTTGCCCGCCGCCTTATGCACCTCGAGACCATCAGCGACCGCGCAGTACAGTTCTACGAGTCCAACCCGCAGCTTCAGCAATGGCAGTTTCTTTTTCCTTTTTACGCCGGACAATGGAGTAGAGCCAGCGGCTACATGGTCTCAATGTGCTCTTAGCCGGCAGACAAAGTCCGAGAAAAGGCTATCACATCGTCCGGGCTGGGCGCTTCTTATAACTGAAGATAATTTCCCGGGAAGGTCGAGGCCAAGGTGACCATCGACTTGCCTTCCGGCGAGGGGGACAGCGGTTGTAGACATCGTTGGCGATGGCGACGTAGTCACCCCTCGGAACCGCCAAGGGTTGAGGAACAAAGACCAAAAGAATCCGTCTGGCGAGATTCAAGCCTTTCCTAGTCTGTCCGAATGGTTTCCTTGTCTGGTTCTTGTCTTTGTTGTCGCGCTGCCTGGGACCGCTGAGTCGAGTTTAATCTATTAGTACCTCTCTATCAGTACCTCATACTGTGTAGGGAGAAAATCCGCATGTGATGTGTGCCTTCTCAAGATCACTCGGTGGACAGGTAACCACTCAACGCAAGCTCATGAAAGAGAATGTCAATTTCATTTCAGTCGAAGCAATGCTAGCAATACCCGTCAACGCCGCCATGCATTTGGCTCCATCACCCCCCTATCCATAGGTACGCTCAAAGCTCAAAGCAGAGAAACAGAACCAAGCACCATGCCGGTGCACTCCCACATGTTTCCACCGCACTGCAAACGCATACACACGCCGGCAAAAGCGACAACTCGACTCTGCAGCACCTTTGCTGGGCCCCAATGGTGACTCGGCCGACTTCGTACCTGTCTGAAATAGGTAGGTACCTAACTATGCACCTGTCGTACCCATCCCCTGCATCTCACCCAACCCCACTGACTCGGCCTAGCGTTGCAGGTGTACTGTGCCAAGGTGGTGCAGCTATACCGGAACCTCAATCCAATCGAGCAGCAGTGGAGGCACGGCTCATCCTGAGCGTTGATTGCGACAGCGTGGGTCCCGCGGTAGTGCAGGTACCCCAAATACCAGTTCTGAAGATTGATCGTCCGGGGAGCCGACTGGCTGAAAGATGAAATGACGGCATTTGGAGGATAGATGGTGTGTGCATCGCGTGCCGAGTCTTCGGTAGTCGATTGATAAGCATGGTCGCGTTGCCCTCTTGCGCCTCCCACCCCTGACCCCGAAACCGTTGCCAATCACTTTGCCGTATGTGCAGATAGATCGTCAGCGAGTCGGTACATCTCGCTGAATGCAGTGTAAACTCAGGAGTTTCCGGGCAGTGTTGGGGGTAATGGGAGTGGTTGGCAGTAGTTAATGCTGGTGTAGTCTGCTCTGATGCGTCGAACAGACCGTTCTGATGCTCTCGCACATCACCGCGGCTTGCTTGCACTCATGACTCAGTTGACTTGCAGGGCGGCGATAGCAGCCTCGCCTTCCTGCTGGGTCCATCCTTGCACGGTCACAAGCTGGTGACCCTGCGCGGTTTGGAGCTCAGCGAGAACCCCATCGCCAGTTGGACTCCGAGGACTTTCGGTTGAGGATTGGCTGAGACGTTGTCTCGCTACGGTCGCTGTCCATGGACTGCTTTTCAGGCGAGTGTGGCCGTGGGAAATAACCCGTGGAACCGGCCCTGGTTGGCGGGGACGGCAGCGGGCTCGGTTCGGGAGAGGTCTGCCGTGCCTGGCGCCAGGAAGAGTAGATCTGCTTGCACAGATGGGCGGACATGGTGTATGTGGGCGACATGATGAGGGGTTCGGCCGTTGAAGTTGAAAACAGTGTTTCCGAAAATGGAAGAAATGGTTCTGGGGAAGAAAAGGATATCTTGTGTTGGAGGTTGGAGCGTTCAAACAGTACAAGTGGGTGAATATGTGGCGAGTCAGGTTGCTTGAATGATCTAGTGCTGCTCTAAAGGTTGTGTGTGAGTGATGAAACAAACCACAGAGGCGCAGACCCGACTTATTAAAGATGAAGTGCGGACCCAGTTGCGAAATCGAAATGGCACAAAGTGAGGGAGGAAGCGAGCATTTATAAATTGATTAGCACTTGCTCAATAATCATGCACCAAATCAAAGCACCTTCCCATTCTCGCACACACCCCTTTCTTGTGCCTGGTGGCCTCGTGCCCTGTGACCCGATGAGCAATTCCGGGGCCACAAGCGGATGTCAGCGAGTCCTCGACAGGGCGGCCAATCAGAATCCAAATATTTATAAGAAATGTGGCTGAATGTTGAGTGTGGCTTGTCGTTCTGGGCTGATCTCTGGCTTTGAATCGCTCGACTTTGCTGCCGACACTTGAAAATCGTCCCATATTGCCCCGCCTCTGCCTGTGCGGTCACCCCAATTGCTGACCATTTCTTGCAGTGAAGTACCTTACGCTGGCCAACTCGTCGTTCTGCAACTTGGCGACTGCCGGCTCTACACCTTCAATCCACATCTGGCGGGCGAGGGCTGCCCGTACAATAACTACCGTATGGACATCCCGTGCTTCGAAACTGCCGCTGTCATTGTGGTACCTCGATGTCGGCTTAAACAGCTTATGCTTTGATCTCTGGGACGGAAGCAAGACCAATAGCTAATTCTACCGCCAACCAGTTCGGCCACTGCTTCGATAATCATCGGTGTCGTCCGGACGCCGCTCCTGAAGCAGGATCAATCAACACATGCCCAGCTGTAAGTTCCAGCTCTCAGGGTTACTGTGCTGAGCTAGTAGCAAGACAGCTCAGCCGCCTATGGCTGTGAACATTCACTCCAACGAAGCCGGAAATGCTGCTGTTCAAGTAAATGTATGTCTTGTGTGAATTAGGAATTAGATATATAACAGGAAGTTTCCACAGCTTCTGGCCATCCTGGCCAAATGGTATCTACAATACAACTGCCAATAGACCCCGCCTTCCCTTTCTATCGTCCGTGGCGCGATGTCGTCTGTCCAGGGCTTGCGTGCATATCCCTTGGATCAGCCCAAAGCTTAGCGCTGCTCTCGGACAAGTACTAGGTCAATGATTCCGAGTTGCGCGTCGTGCTAGGTAGGTTGGGTGAAGTAGTAGCAGAAGCGGACAGGTTCCCTCGACATCCATCCGCGTGGTGTGCATAATTCATGACATCGTGTATTCCTTCCAAGCCCAACCGCAGGCTGACAAAACAAGACATATAGTCAGACACTGCCACTCGACGCGGCCCAAATGCCCAGGCAGGGCATCGTTATGGTTTGACCACCACGATGCCGCGCCCAGCGTAGCATAATGATAGCGAATACGTCGGCTCGTCGACTTCCTCTTCAATCGTAGGGCAATCTGGAATCTGTCGAGTAGCCCTTCTCCGTCGGCTTGATCTCCTTGATCGGGTGAAGAATCATGGCGGGGAGGCACGGGCGGCCGTGCTTCGCCTCCCACTCGTCGCCGCCAATTCCGGTATCTTCATAGCCCATCCAGTTGTTGTACAGGCGTTGGGGGGGGAACGCGCGGTAGTACCAGGTAGAGCCCAAGTACCGTCCCTCCTGGCCCCATCCCATGGCACTGCCGAAGCTACCGCTTTGCCCCTTGGGACCGCCGTTGAACCACTTCGCCAGTTGGGCGCCGCTCCACGCTCGGTCGAAAAAGACCGGCATGGGCGCGTATACCGCCTTGAGGCCGTGAAGCAGAGCTGTCGTCTGCGCCACCATCTCGGAAGCCACGTGGTTGCCACGTAGGTCCTCGGCATGCATGACATCAAGCAGCCTCTTCGAGAGCCTTGATTGCGTAACGATGGTTGCCCGGCGAGGAAGCTTACCCCAAGGGAAGTCCCGAGAGCGATAGCCCCACACTTGGTTACGCATGACCCAGCCGCTGTTAACGGGGTTGAAGATGGGAGCCAGCTCGATCAAGTCCGCCTCCTCACCAACACCCCATTTGTAGTCGTCCTCCTCGGGAGTTGCCACTGGGGGCTTCGGGCCCACTGGGTTGACAACCGGGACATCCGGTGCCCCCCAGATCGTCTCCTTGCCGACAGCCCGCTCCACCCAGGCTCGGAATTGCGAATCGAAGCTGCCATAATAGGAGGGAATGTAGAAGCGTTCATTGCGCTCCCAAATGCCCCGTCTCGGCTGTTTGCGGCCGAACTCGCCAAGCTTCTCGAGCACATCGTAGTGGTGTCCAATGACCCGAGCGTCCATCTCCCAGTTCCAGACGAAGTCGAATTCCCGGAACTCTTGCATGAACATCTGGACCGGCAAAAACTGCCCGTTATGCACCTTGCGGGCCTTATCCGTCAGGTTGGGATACATGCGGTCGACTGCGGGCTCGTTCCAGAGAACCGTGATACTCCTGAACTCGGCGGGAACGTGGTCCTCGATCGCCTTTTGATACGCCTCATCGCTGCTCCAGATGTCCCGGTCGTTCTCTCTGACGTGCAGAAACAGGATGATCTCGTACTGGCCGCCAGTCCGCAGACTCAGCTCTGTGATGAGAGATCGGATGACATGTTTGTCGTTCTCGGTATATTTCTTCCCAGAAAAGCTGCGGAGCAACACGGCAGTCCTCTTCTCCAGTCTGGTAGAGTTGGTTTCCCGCCTGGATTCGATAGTTGCCGCAGACAGCGATGGCGGCATACGGGACTGGCGCCAGAACCGCCGGACGACGCGCATAATGGGTTCCTTGTTCCCGCCGTCGGAGTCCCGCTTCAGGTCGGTAGAGCCATCCGCATCATCAGATACGTATGGGTTCTTAGGGGCCTCGTCATGCGACAGAAACCGCGCAGCGTTCTTGTCTCGGCATTCGTTCTGCAGGTCGCCCCAGCGCACATTGTCCCAGTTGATCTCTTCGCCCTTGTTGTCCACCACACGGGACAAGCCGTACGGTCCCAGTCGTGTCTCTCTTTCGAAACAGAGGTTCCGATCAAGTCCCAAGACACCATAGCTTCCGAAGCCGGGGTCGGGAAAGTCCCGCGGGCGGCCCTTGTAGACGCGGATGTCCTCAACGATCTTTCCCGTGGGGCCGACACACGGCACATACGGCGCGTGTTGCTCTTCCCATTCTGGGCTGTTGTATTTCGGATACGGATTGAAAAGAACCGGCTGGGGTTTGTTAGAGATTGTCGCGTTCGATCCCGGGCCCAACTGCGCTTCTTGCGAAGGCCTCCTGTTGTTCTCTTCAATGAGTGACTCGAGAGTATTCCCGTAGATAGCCCCAAGTCCTGGTTTCCTGAACCAATCTGTCAGTACCGTCGCCAGCGACAGGAAAAATTGGAGGCATACTTCTCGAGCTGACGGTGCTCCTCTTCGAACAGCTTCCGTTGTGCCTGTAGCTCCCGGTCACGTCGTTCGTCTAATTCCTGTTCAGCGGCTGCTCACAGATTGGAGGAAATGAGCGGAAAGTTTCTTACCAGGATCTCGATCAAGCGACTGGGGGCGGCCCGGGGAAAAAAGCCTTGTATTTACCCTGCCTTGGTGGACCAACCCCAGCCAGCACACCACGAGGACGAGAAGGGCCACAGGCAGGAGGGCCCTTGGCCGGCCCAGGACTCGGCGGGCTTGTGATTTGACCAACATTGCCTTCACCAACATTGTGAAGGATTGGAGGACTGCAGGAAAAACAACAACAAAAGACGACGGCGAGGAGGCGTCAAAATTCCGAATTGCGAGCGAGTAGAATAGTACTGCACTCAAAAAAGCATGTCCAGATGGAGGTGCCTGTGGTGAAAAGTCGAAAAGCGTCGGGAATACAAATCGAAGTGAAGAGGTAAGTGTTAGAAATGAATCGCGCTGAAACGAGTGATTGCGCGGCGTGCGAAGAGAAGATGACGGTCGCTGGATCGATGGAGGTAGGATGGGACGATCTGGGAGAAAGCTGGTATCGATTGCCCAGCTTCTCTACCAAGCGAGTGGCGACAGCAAGAGAGGTAGGAAAGAGAAAGAAAGTGAGGAAAATATTGACCCCGGAAGGGCAGGTAATATTAGGCAAATTCGCGATGAACGAGGGTGCGGCCGACCATCCAGGGGCGAACAGGGGTTCGTAGCGGGGAGAAGCCGAAAACGCTCGTCAAGAGATCGATAGCACGGCGGTGCCACTGAACAAGGTGTGGAGCGTTGTATGGCAGGGGAATGAAATGAGACAACTGGGAGCTTCGTAAAACCAGCGACGCACAGAATACCGCTTGATACGTTTGAATACATAATGTACTGTACAATACATTCGGATAGCGTAACAGGCAACATTTCACCGTGGGGGTTGCAGGCGCAAGCGGCAAGCCCCATGCCTCCTTCCTTGAACTCACCGACCGCGCCTTCTTCAGCGCGCAAGGCATGAAGTGCAGCAGCCAGGACAAGTACTACCAATCACTTGAGGTTAGTATTATAGTGCGAGATTTCATTCTCTAGGTAGGCTTCAAGTGTCTTTAAATATTTTGGGTGAAATCATGTTTCCTACCGTAGGGAAGGTAGATAGAAGAAGAGCGCATCAAAAGTCGATAGCATCGCTGCTTACACGTGCCATAGTGTGTACACAGTAGAGTATTCCGTAGATTCCTGGATCCCAGCAAGCTGACCCCACCACCGATAAGGGGCGTCGCTGATCCAGAAGATCAAGTTTCTCCAGTTGTTCGAAAGGAAAAACAATCTGCACATCGCGCTACTCTGTGTGCATGCAGCTGACGATCGCTGGACTTGGTTTCTTGATGGGTATAATATACAAAAGCGCGCGACCGCCTCAGCGAAAGTCGCTATGTAAGTATGCTGGACCCTGCTTGTAATTTACGTATTGTCATGCATTTTACCGTATTGTATCATACTACGCATTTAGTATGAAGATGTGGATTCCGCGTCTGCTTGCGGCCCACCAGAATGCTGATTTTTCCCACCGTTGTCAAACAACAACCCGACCCCTGACCTAACGTCCGAGTCTAGACCTACCTAGGTAGTTAGATAGGTGCGCGACTCCTACGAAGAACTCGGGAGGTTTGACAATACACTCCAGTGTGTTCAACTTTCGGAAACGGCTGCACGAGTCACGGCACATGTCTGGTGTATGGAGCTCAACCAGCCTCACCATAGCCTCTGGTGGCGTCGAGGGACCAATGCGGGACGCATGATGTCAGCAGCATTGATGCGAGCCTCGTATCGGGCTAAGCCGTCCATGAAATGATAGGTGGTGCAACCTCCCGAGATAGGATGTACTGCACTTCCAATTGCTACAGTAAGGTAGTAGCATCTTGTCAGCTACACGTAGTCGGCATTGGAGATTCCCCTTTAACTCGAAGGCTCTATGCGATCAGTACTTGATGCAGTACGCACCTAGCTCATCAGGAGATCCCCAGATCAGCGACTTGCAGACGGACAACCCAACCAACTTAACGTGGCTCTGTGTAACCGCCTCCCTTTTCTGGTCGAAGAAATTCTGCGCAGTTCTCGAAATCTGTCCCGGCGCGTTTTGCACCAATCCGATTGTTGGATGATTCGGACCTACAATGAGACCGCGGACACGACCGAGCCAATCACCACCTACCATGGACCCCGAAGTCGTCGCTCTTAAAAGATCGAGTTCGCAAAAACTTGAACCATTGCCTACTACTACCTACACTACCACACCATACACCGAGACTTGCACCAAGGAAAATACGATCATGGAGGATCATATGAGCTGGAGTTGCCCAGGTTTGTCGTTTCTCTGCATGTCTTCGACTGAAACAGGCTCACGGGTATCCATCCGCTACTACTAAGGGATTGCTATGTACAGCAAGACTTCAGGCAGGGTAAGCTCATCGAAACTTCCATTGTTACTAGCAGCATCTGTCATACACTACATAGTGTACCCACGGGATGCAGTATGCCTTTGCAAGCGTGGACCAAGCTTCCACATGTCTCGGGAAGCCAACACACATGCACATGCCACAGTCCAGTTACAATGACGAGTCTGAAACTCCCAAGAAAACAGACCTTCCATAATTGTGCTGTTGGTGTTGCCTATCCGCGAATCACGCTTGTTTTGAGAGTTAATATATTAGATATATGCACTACTTGACACTACGTTACACCGGGTAGCATATCTCCTGTGTCCCTGTGGCGATGCGGGCGGTCTTCCCCGAAACCCCTGTGTGCATGCATGCGTTGCACTTGTACAAGTACATACATGCACGCGCAAGAGGATGCTGTGTCCTCAAACAATGACCACTCCGTCCCACAACTACGATTCCTCGATGGTATGTACAACCATGGAGTGAGGTGGTTGTCTCGGATCTGTACACCTCCGCATGGGGCGCTGAGAAGAACACGTCCTAATAGTTGTTGCTCTGACGACCGCATGCATAGTCCCGCCTATCAACAAGCAAATGCTCCTCCCCCGACTCATCCCTCGCCTTCCCAGTTTTCCCAAACCACTCAAACAGGGCCTCGCCGGCTCGTATGTGCGACAAAGGGAATAGCGTGATTAGATGAGAGAGGCTGAATCCAGTGGGTATATATATCCAGAAACTCGAAAGAGCAATGCGCTCGGGTATCGAAAATAAAAAGGCGGAGTCTCAGTCGATGATGCTTTCCGGTGAAATGTCGAATAATTAGATAGAGCAAGGCATCAAGCCGTTTCTCAGGGGTCTTGCGGCGTCAACGCCGCTGTTTCGGGTATATATTATTATTCCTCCTTCCTCACGCGTCCCGTCACATCATCCCCAACCTCGTCATCCGCTTCTCCATGCGTAGCCTTGGTCCCGGCGGGCCAAGCGGACTGCGATTATATCCACCGCTACCGGGCGGGCCTCTCGGGCCGCCGCCCATACCACCACCCATATACGGCGGGCGAAGCGGACCTCCACCATTGGGTCCTCCCTGCCACGGCGGCGGGTGCTGCTGCTGCCCGCCCACGAGCCTCCACGCATCCTTCTCGCAGTATGCCTTGCCGCCGACCTCGAAGTAGCCGTCCCGCAGCGCCATGCCGCACCCGGCGCACTTGAAGCAGCCCACATGGTGCTTGACGCGCGACTCGGTGTCCTCCAGGTACTGGCCCTCGATTCCCCGGCCGCAGCTGCCGCAGAGCGAGCCGTTCAGCTGGTGGTAGTGCAGCTCGCAGTAGGGCTTGTCGTCCAGCACGTAGAAGGTCGCCGACGAGAACGGCTCCTGGCAGGTCGAGCACACGAAGCACGGCTTGTGGTAGCGCCCCGTCAGACGCCCGTCGGCGCTCGATATGGACTTGCCCTTGATGGGCAGGCCGCATGCTTTGCAGTTGCCGCGCGTGGTCGTCGTTGGTGCTGTTGCTGCTGCTGGTGGTGGTATCGAGGGGGGTTCGCGTTGCTGGGGCCGGGGCTGGGACTGCGAGCGTGTGGGTTTGGGGCCTAGTTCTGGGTCTGGGCCCCGTGGCGCAGGATGCTGGTGTTCTTGTTGCTGTTGCGAGTGATGTTGTTCTTGTTGCGTGTCCGCCATTCGCTCCGGTGAGCTGGCAAACCGTAGGGCTAGGGAAGGAAGCCCTGCCGTGCTTGGCGAGAGAATGTCACTGGGTGTTTGGACGGACAGACTCTCCGGAGCGGAAGAGTTCACCGCGGGCGAGGGTACGGGAGACCTTCCTCGGGCAGCGTAGCGTGGATTTTGGATGAGTGGATCAATGCGCGGATCATAGCCGCGATCTCCCGTACGAGGAGGTCGGGCGCTCAGCGGCGACGGTCGATCCTTCGCATAAGGATCCCTAGTTGGAAGCTTCAGGGGGGCTAACGCTGGGGGCGTCGGTTTGGTGTCATTCATCGATGCTTGAATATCTGACATCAGGTTGTCAAACCCAGATGTGTCTGACGGTTTCCTCCCCGATCTCGAGGAGAGAGACCGCGGTGGACTTGTCCGCGAGCTTGCCTGGCTAGGCCGGCGTTCCGGCTGGCTGCTGGTGTCCGAGTTGTTGGACGATGTCGATTCAGAAGGTGTATGGTAAGGGTTCCCGATCCCAAACTCCTCGGCAAGATTGATTGTTGGCACGCCGGGGGTTTTGGGTCGAACTAGGCCTGTCCGTGGCGGCGGTGGCCGGGATGTGTCTGGTCCTCGACTAGGTCTCCTGGTTCTGTCGGCTGTCATCGGGACTCGGCCATCTGCGTTTGCCGGCGATTCTAAGGGGGATCGCAATCTATCGGGGCGCAGTGCGGCGGAAGGAGTAGGGGCCGTGGGTGTGCGAGGTGGAGGACCGAAACGGTCGCTGCCCCGGGGGAAGGTGTCTGCCCTGCTCGGCGTCGAAGGCGGACCAAGCCCCCCATATCCGTTCGGTTTCGGGGCGGGAAACCCCTTTGCGCTCCCCAGGCTGCTGCCGAGATTGGAGGCCGAAGTGCTGGGCCGCTCAGCCACATCGATCGAGAGACTGGAACCGTTCGGGGCGGGAGCGGAGGGTCGACGGCCGGAGCCGAATGGACCAGAAGCGATGGCGTGGAGTCTGTCCATCGGGTTTGGCGCTGGCCCCTTTGAACTATCCGCGGAGGGATCCTCGGGACCATTGCTATCCTCAAGCCCACCATATCCTCCCGGCCTCCTTGACGCTGGTGGTGGGGGCGAGTGATTGGCGATCTTCGGAGCGAAGTACTCGTCTTGTTTGCCAAGACCTGGCCGTAAAGAACTTGGTGTCTGAGGCGATATGCTGCTCTGCGATGCGCTCGAACGGCTGCCGGGCGTGAGCTGGTCCTGCCCCGAAAACGCACGATCTATTGTGTTGTCAGCTGGAACGAACAGTCGACGCAGTGGGAGAGATACGCGTACTGGCTGCTAAGGTGTCGACTTGAGGAGGAGCGCGGGGCTCTTGCTTCTGCGTCGATGGGTTGCCGAACGCCGGCATTAATCTCTCAAATAGTGAGGTAGCGGGCACTGGCGGCGTGGCTGGAGACACCGTTAGCTTGAAGCGTGCGCGGGCAGACAGGAGAAGGGGTATCGGACACTGTGTGGGTGGTGATGCGGGTGGTGAGCCAGACCCAGCACAAACATGCTCGCCCATCAAGGAGATTTCCACCTGTTCACCGCATGTCGAGCATTTCACAGTCGGCATCATAAAGCGCGACTCCCTCCCTACGGTTGCCATCCTTGGCCGTGCGCCCGGGCCCTGATTCCTTCCTGGCGGTTCGTGATGGGGGAAGAGGAAGCATAGAAGCGCGGCGTGGGCCGGGTCAAACGCCCAGGAGGCCTAGCCCGGGAATAATTGCTGAGATTTTTCTTCGAGTCGACCTTGCTGCCGGGGCTCCAAGTCACCCGGTACCGTCCGCCGCCCGGCGAGCGTCTGTTTTCCTGTCTTGAGCCGGTATTCCTCTAGGATCCGGCCGATAGGTGATGAAAGGGGTTGCGAAGCGGTTTGTAGTGTTGACTCAGGGGTTCGAAGGTCCACACAAGCGATTGTGCGCTTCAGGAATATCGCAACGAACGATTACGGTGTATGTAAGCCGCAGGAGCACAAGGCCCAACGGCGCGCTGGGGAGCTTGTGGTTTTACACGAGCAGGGACCCGAGAAACGGTCCAGACCTGCCAAGCCGGGTCACGCTCGATCCCTAACCGGCTGCATGGAATATACGATCTGTGGGGTAATCAAAGAATGATGGTGTTGCGGATCGTGTCTCGGAGTGGAGGGTGAAGTTGGCCTTTGCGGGCGTCCAGTGCAAGAAGCAAGTGTTTCTGTTGTGAAAGGGGAGTCGATGAAGAACTGCATGGCATAGCGCCAGCCGGTTGCACTGGGCCCCGGCCTGCAGGGACGCAGTCGGGGCTCGGTGGCCGCTCAGGGGTCTGGTGCCGAACGCCCCCGCTTTGGGGGACAAGACGGCCGGGGATTTGCGCGATGTGCAGAGATGGGACAGGGGTCTGGCCAGCGAGACCACGGCCCCTGACAGCCGTCCCTGTGCATCTGCAGCTCATCCAAATTCATCAAACCAGGACCAAAGGGAGAAGATAGCCCGTGCCCTGCATCGAGCTAATCCCGATACGATAAGGGCACCGTGACCCAGATCCCGGGATGGCAATCGCAATTGTGACCCCATGAGCGGTGAGGAGGTGAGGCGATTCAGGTCCGGAAGATTCCTTGACTCAGGCAGACGCCTGGAAGGCATGATACGTTGCACACGGCGGGCAAGTAGCAGCCTGTGAGGAAGGGAAACCGAATGCCTCTGTTCCTTCATTTCGGCGGCTCTCTCGTTGCCGTTACAATGCTTGAGCTCGGCAAAATTCCGTTTGATTATGCGATGCAATAGAAGAAACCAACAGGTCGCTTGACAAGTGAACCAGAGGCTCAGCGCCTCTGCCGCAATCTTCCACGTCTCCACAATGCCATCTGCGTGCGCCACATCGCGCCAATATCATCGCCGTCGTCGTTCTCGGCTTTTCGAGCGGGTACCTTGCAGCCATCAGCTATCGTCCAACAATTGGCTGCCAGGACCAGAGACAATAAAATGGGCATCTGGTGGTTTGGCTCAGTTTGGATCTCTGGCGGTTTCTCGCGTCTCAAGGTTCTAGTGTACTTGTACCGCGGTAGGTTGTCATGCTGCCGAGGATAATTCGTTAGTTATTGGGTGCTTCACGCTGCCCAGGTGTGTCAGAAAACACGCCAATGAAACAACGTATGTACGGCGTGCCGAGTTGACACCGGTGGTTGTCACGCAACACACCCACCCGACAGGGCCCAACAGGGCGGTAAGTTTGTCCTCTCGTCCAGCAGCCCGATTGGCAGCGAGGTCAGCGGCATGCCAGCAAATCGCTGCAATTCCAGCCGTCCGCAACAAGGCTCATCTTTGATGTCGTACAATCGTGCCCCTTTCGATAAGATTGCTGCTCCTGAACGCATCCAATGACTGTGGAGCAACGAGAACCGGCCCTACCAAGACATGCCAGGGCAACCGCTGAACGACAACAGCGATCATTCTTTCCAGAACAACGATTTCCCTTCGTCGTTGTGCATGCGCACCATCATGCTTCGCTCGCGTCATCGACCCGCGCACCTGGCGAATGGAAGATCTTGGACCCAAGTGCCGGACCAAAGGGGATCGAAATGCCCTCATTAGTGTAGATGACGAATGACGATAGAATGACAGCCTACCATCGTGTTTTCACCTTGCTGAGCGCGTGGATGTCGAGATTGGCCGGGGCCTAGTTCACCTCCTTCCACGCGGCGGCAATCAGATATCTGTCGCGTTCCCGGCCCATTCAAAGGCCAGCTTAGTGTCTCAGGCCGGAGATAAGCGGGCACCCCATCACGCACCTCAAGAGACTGTCAGATCGTCTCAACACAAGGACAAGAGTCGTGATATAGTGCAAGTCATATCTGAAGTCCGTCACCGCCGACAACGGGAACCCTCTATAGAAGCCGTTCGAATCTAGAGGTGCGCAAGTTCCTGCATCCGGATTCCTCCCGATTCCCCCCGATTCCCGTCGTTACGACCCCACGGCCCAACGCCCCATGGATAGCCACTCACTGTCGGCCGCATTCCGACCCTTCGCATTCGGATGCGGTAGCTGCGAGACTGTGTCACAGACACGCCGGCCAAATACTACCCAATGCTGCACGTCAGACCTGCAACTCTACACTAGGGTGACGTCTTGTCCTGTGATATCCAGCAGAATGCCGTTGTTGACACCACAGCAGCTAGTGTACACGTGTGCCCACTTCCACGGAGTTCCACCTCTTCTCCAGACTGGCACTACGTGTTGGTTATTAGTCTCCTAGTGTCGATACGTCAAACAACGATCGGCGACTGGAATGGCTCTTGTGGTGGATCATGCGGGGAGTCCCCAGTTCTGATGTGGAATGCCTTGAACGTCAACAACTCCCTTGTCGATATCATTTTCCCTCCGCAAGCTACCTCCACCATTGCAGGACTGCTCAACCACGTTAACGCTTGGTACGGAGGTCTCGAAGTGCCCAGCTCGGAGCTTCACAGTGTCTCCTTCCGAGCCGCACTTTCGGGTGGCCATCAACGGCTGTCTGAACGCAACCAGGTCGAATACAAGCAGCGTATCCAGGCTAGCAGTAGAGCTCTCGTAGCGCATATAAGTGCTGGACTCCTGGTCCTACACAGGCAAAGGCATGGTCCGCTCCCCGGATAAGAGCCACGTCAACATAGCCACCCCTTGTCATCCGGCGACATGATGGACTGGCATGATGTTTGCGTTCTGCAGCTTTCACCGCCAATAGCAGACTGACCAACAGCACACTTATTAGACCTCAACCCGCAACGTGACGGGCTAATGAAAATGCCGACGGGCCGCAGCCTTCGGTGCCGGACTGCCGGTTGATTTTCATGATGCTGCAAGTAGCGACTTGAACCAGCACCGACCCCGCTGCAGTCCGAGCCTCCGAGAAGCGGAACGACACAGCACGACCACTACCCAAGTCCGCGCGCAACAGCTTTCACTGAGTTTTACCAAACGTGAGTCGTGAAAGGGAACCACTTTCATAACGTGTCCGGTAGCGATTCGTCATGTTCCCTTGTCGGATGTCCGGGCGCTGAAGACAGCATTTGAGCCTTCCCACGCCGGTTGCGGACAGAAACAGCGGCTCTCCCATCGGAGGCGGCCGGCTCGAGTGGCTGACAGTCCGGCAGCATCGGGCCACCAATCAGTGCGGCCGGGGTCTCGGGTCCAACGCCCCGCCGATACGTGCCCCGCGATTGCAGATACCAAATGCGTCTTGCAGACAATCGTCCATGGACTTCGACCGTCTACAGCCACTCAGGAAGCTCCCGTTCGGTGATGATTTGAAGCAACATCCACTTGTTCGCCTATCTTCGTGACCACGCAGCCGCAAGAACGCGGTTGTCCTATGTGATGGCGTGCCGTTCTTCCCGTAGCCCTGGAGACCCCCACCTTTGAGAGGTGAGCCGATTTCTCCGAAGACGTGGAGCCAGGATGTAGTGTATGTACGCACGACGCAGCAGCGCATCCTTCACCGCCCTGTGTCGGGGAAAGGAGCTACTAGTCTGCTAGGCGAGGTATAAAAGGAAAACGCTGTCTGCCCGCTCCCGCCTCGAGCTTTCCTTTGTCAACGAGAACCGAAACTTGGAATCCATTGTCGCATCCCAAAACTCCGACTTAGTCCACGATCGCGCTTTCGAGCCGCGATCGCGCAAACCGTCAAAACGTTCTCCAACCTCCTCAACTCGTGAGCAGCCGTCGCGACCCGCCTCAATTCTCTCATGATGGGAGTATCTGCAGGTGTCACCTTTGCAAGCAGGTTCGCTGACTGCCACGACAGCGTCCACCACCCGTACGCAGGAGCCCGTTGCTCTGCCTCACCAGGTTGTGCAGCGGACTCGGCCCCGACCCGATAAGGTGTCTATTTTCCAAAGGGCTGAATCCCCAATCCATTCTTGCAGAAGACAAGATGGCACCGCACGCTGAGACTGATGCGGGCACCGCGAACGGTGGTGGACACTTCAATACCAGCGGCAGCGCGGCTGACAATGGAGCGGCCGCCCGCCCCAAGTTCATCGTCAATTCGCCCAACGTGGTCTACTCGGACACGGAGATCCGCTCCAAGTATACCTACCGCACCACCACGGTGGCGGAGGGCGACAACGGTACGCGCGTGGTCACCCCTCACGAGACCGTCTACGACTTCAAGGTCGACACCACGATTCCCAAGCTCGGCGTCATGCTGGTGGGCTGGGGCGGCAACAACGGTACCACGATAACGGCCGGCATCATTGCCAACCGGCGCGGCCTTGTCTGGGAGACTCGCAATGGCAAGCAGGCGGCCAACTATTACGGTTCCGTTGTCATGGGCTCTACGCTGAAGCTCGGGACCGATGCCAAGACCCGCGAGGACGTCAACATCCCGTTCCACGATGTTCTGCCCATGGTCCACCCCAATGACATCGTCCTTGGCGGCTGGGATATCAGCGGCATGAACCTCGCTGACGCGATGGACCGCGCCAAGGTGCTGGAGCCGACCCTCAAGGCCATGGTCCGCAAGGAGATGGCCGAGATGGTCCCGCTTCCCAGCATTTACTATCCTGACTTCATCGCTGCCAACCAGGAGGACCGGGCTGATAATCTGATCCCTGGCTCCAAGGCCTGCATGGCTCATGTAGAGCAGATCCGCAAGGACATCCGGTATGTCAGAAGCTAGAGCCTTTGTTTTGCTTCTACGATAGCCAATTGCTAACCCAGGCGACAGTGACTTCAAAGCAGCCAACGGCCTGGACAAGGTTATTGTCCAGTGGACTGCAAACACGGAGCGCTATGCCGACATCATCCCTGGTGTAAACGACACGGCGGATAACCTGCTCAAGGCCATCGAGAACGGCCACGAGGAAGTTTCTCCGTCGACCGTGTTCGCGGTAGCTAGCATCCTCGAGGGCGCTCCGTTCATCAACGGCTCCCCGCAGAACACCTTTGTCCCTGGCGCCATCGAGCTCGCCGAGCAGCACGGCGCGTTCATTGGCGGCGACGACTTCAAGTCCGGCCAGACCAAGATGAAGTCTGCCCTGGTAGACTTCCTGATCAACGCCGGTATCAAGCTCACCTCGATTGCCAGCTACAACCACCTCGGCAACAACGACGGCAAGAACCTGAGCGAGCACAAGCAGTTCCGCTCCAAGGAGATCTCCAAGTCCAATGTGGTGGATGACATGGTTGCCGCCAACAGCGTCTTGTACGGCAAGGATGAGCACCCTGACCACATTGTCGTCATCAAGTACGTCCCTGCTGTTGGCGACAGCAAGCGTGCCATGGACGAGTACCACGCTGAGATCTTCCTCGGCGGCCACCAGACCATTTCGTGAGTAACCCGCACCTCTGCTGGATGATTATTGTCTCCCTGGGAGTATTCTAACTCGTCGACCACCGGTAGGATGTCCAACGTCTGCGAGGACTCTCTCCTGGCGTCGCCGCTTATCATCGACCTGGTGGTGATCGCCGAGCTGATGACGCGCATCAAGTGGAGGCTGCACTCGGACGACAACCAGAGCGCCAAGGGCTACAAGAGCTTCCACAGCGTGCTCAGCGTGCTCAGCTACATGCTCAAGGCGCCCCTGACCCCTCCTGGCACGCCGGTGGTCAACTCCCTGGCCAAGCAGCGTGCGGCGCTAGCCAACATCTTCCGTGCCTGTGTCGGTCTCGAGCCCGAGTCGGACATGACGCTGGAACACAAGCTGTTTTGAGAGCCAGATGATGGCCGCGGACAGTATGCGGCAAGTATGACTAGGGGAGGCTTTTTCTATGGGAGAGTTCCACTGCCCCTACACACCACCTTCTCTTCGTTTCCGAGCATCAGAGCTTTCGCTCTTTTTGTTCGATATTTAGCTCAGCTTTTATTGCCATCTTTGGCGAAGAATAGTCAGGCGTTGGCCGTCAGGGTTTCTGAACTCCCTGTGGTTGAAGAATCCTCTGGCGATAGTCAATCCTTAAACTATACCGTAGCAGAAAATCCCGCATAGAATGACCCCCGCGACCTCAGTTGTTGCCTCATCTCCCTAGAGTGACAGTGCTATTCGTTGGGTACATCCACTCATGGGCGTTAAACTGTCATGATGGGCCCGTCAGCGACATGCCTGCGACTTACACTACGCAGTTCCCGACCGGATGTAGAGCACGTACAAGGCGGAATTGAGTCCGAGGTAGCATATGCCGTGCTTATGTGAATCTTCAACTGCTGGTTCTAAGGATATAGGCACACCTGGTTTCTCTAAGCTTAAGCTTGACTGAAATCCGTTATTCGCTTCCGCCCAGTCCCGGGAACCGGCAGGTAACTCCTTGTCCACCGAAGTAATCAATGCAAATTGTGGCCATTCATGTATGTACAATACACGAGCTGTACATTGAGCTCTCGTTCTACAGAACTGGCTAGTTGGAATGATTGCAGCTTGTAACAAAAGTGAAATCCAACATATATGAGCCCTCGTTTCCAGGTTCACAGCACCGGCCCGCCATCCAATACGCTGCGGCTCTGGGAGTGGTATATCACTCGGCCTGTACGGTACCATCTAGTATATCTCGATGTTGAAGCTCGTTGCAACATGTGACGCTTACAATAGCGCAAGTGCCTTGCAAGATGACATTGAGCTGCTTCCTCACACCTGGCCCCCTTCCCCGACTCAGAGCCTGGATGGCTTGGGCGCACCATCACCCACTTCCTTCTGCGCCCGGTCACGAAGTTGCTTGCGGAGGATCTTGCCGGACTACCAAAGGCTTGCGTTAGTTCACTCTATTCACAAAAAACAGGTTCAGGTGATAGATAACACGAGAAAAACCAAAGACTTACCGGGTTCTTCGGGACGGCATCCACAAAGACCACGCCGCCCTTCAGCTGCTTGTACCGCGTCACCTTGCCCTCCATCCACCGGGCCACGTCCTGCTCGGACGCCTTGGACCCGGGCCGGGGCACCACATACGCCCGCGGCAGCTCCTCCCCCTGGATCGTCACGCCCACCACGGCAGCATCGGCCACGTCCGGGTTCTCGAGCAGGATCCCCTCCAGCTCGGCCGGCGCCACCTGGCTGCCTTTCACCTTGATCAGCTCCTTGACGCGGTCGACGACGTGGAAGATGCCGCCGGGCTTGTACTCCTCGACGAAGGCGACGTCCCCGGTCTTGAGCCAGCGCGTCCCGTCCGCATCCACCACGATCGTCCCGGCCGTGGCGTCGGGCCGTCGCCAGTACCGCCGCATCAGCGTCGGGCCGGTGACCCACAGCTCCCCCCTCTCGCCGGCCTTTTCGATGGGCGTCTGCCGCCCGTCCAGCGACACCAGCCTGGCCTTGCAGTTGGGGTACATCTCGCCGACGCCGCCGGACCCGCGGATGGGCGTGTTGGGGTCCCACGCCATGGCCGTGCAGGTGACCTCGGTCATGCCCCAGCCCTGGCGCACAAACAGCTGCTCGTCGCGGATGCCCGGGCTGGGCTTGAACAGCTTCTCGACCTCCTCGCACAGCTCGCGCGCGAGCGGGGCGGCGCCGGACCCGATGGTCTCGAGGCTGGAGAGGTCGAACTGGCGCGTGGCCGGGTGCTTGGCGAGCGCGACGATGATGGGCGGCACGGCGGTCAGGATGGTGATGCGGAACTGCTGGATATGGCGGAGCATCTTGACGAAGTCGAACGGGCCGGACATGACGTAGACGGGGATCGCCAGCTGGGGGAGGTTGGCGATGAAGAAGGTCTGCCCGTAGGCGTGGTAGAAGGGCAGGAAGGCCAGTCCGCGGTCGCGCTGGATCTTCTCGGCGAAGTCGGGCCGCAGATGGTACATGTGGGACACGCCCACGCCGTTGGCGACGTACGAGTAGTGCTGCCGGGGCATGGTTAGCTTAGTCTTCTCTAAGGGGGCGGGAGGGAGGGAGAGATAAGAGATGGTGAGACGCTTCTTTCTGGCAGCACGATGGGCTTTGCCAAAAAGAGACGCTAAATAAAACGACAGGCAGGTGGAGCGAATTTGGCACAGTAGTAGTACATACGCTGATCTCAACACCCTTCGGGACGCCGGTGGTGCCGCTGCTGTAGTTCAGACAGCACGTGGTTTCCTCCGGATTGGACGGCTCTTCCCAGCTCCAGGACTCCGCCTGTGAGACATTGCCGGCCAGCAGCTCCGTCCAGTGCCGCACACCGTCGACACGGCCCTTGACGCCCGGGGCCGGGTGCGAAGACCGGGCCAGCTCCGGTGCCGACATGGTATCGTTGCCCAAGACAAAGATCCGGTCCCGGGGCAAGCCGACCTCGGCCGCGGCCTCCAGGGCAGTCTGGAGAGCCTTCTCAGCCACAAACAGGAAGCTGGACTCGCTGTCCTTGAGCTGATACGCCAGCTCCCGCGGCACAAAGGTCGGGTTCGCGCCGGTCACGATCCCGCCGGCCATGAGCACGCCCAGAAACACCGAGGGGAAGAAGAGGCTGTTGCCCGAGAAGATGAGCACCCGGTCGCCGGTCTTGAGCCCCGCATTGAGCAGTCCCAGCGCGACACGCTTCGAGAGCAGGCGGTAGTTGCTCATGGTCAGGTAGTTGCTGTCGGGCTGCTCCGCGTCGATGAGGATCGGCTTGTCCGAGACAGAGCCGCACGCCGAGCCAAAGATCCATTGCTGCAAGGAGCAGCGCGGGATGGGCACCGACCAGCGCGACGGGATGGTCATCTTGGGCAGAGCGGCCTGGGTATGCCGGTAGTACTGTACTTATACAGGAGTCAACGGGATGTGTAGGGTGGTGGCCACGGATGAGGTGCCCTCAGTTATTCGGTCGACAGTGGTGGCAGGGAAAAGAAAGGTGAGTGAATGATGATTGATGGTATTTACTATACGGAGTGCTTCAAGTTGGAAGAGGCCGTTGATGTCGGTTTCTTCGGACTCACTGCGGCCCTTCGGTTTCGAGGGCGCCGATCCTTGGTGGGCCTTCTTGACAGGGCAAAGGCTTCCGGGGAATTGAAGCGGTATATATATTGAGAGGAGCTCGAAAAGTTTCCAGGTCTGCCACTCTCAACAACAATGCTAAGTTTGGACGATAAACAAACAGGTGGCGAGGTTCGTTTCCCTTCCGTTACGAGCGTGAACCTCGGGGCACGAACACCCTTGTCGCCTTATCGATCACTGCGACTCTGTTAGTTCAGACGAAGGTCCCCTGGGAAGCCAGATGACAACGCGTGAACTGGAAGGCAGTCGGAGTGTTTACCAAGGAGCGGCGGTCGAGGAGCAGTTGGGCAACAAAGTAACAAAGCACCGGTTGATACCATGATAAGGCGGTTCTCCCGAAGGAAGCCCAGGTATTGATTCCCATTGGATTCTGGGCCAAGGCATCCCCTAGGCTTGAATAGCTACCCCCGCAGTCCGAGAGCCTCGGTTCCGACGAGTTGCTGAGGCTTGCATTGGTCTGTCACTTTCGATTTGCTAGCCTGGTAGTGTAGGAATGCGAAATGCCACGCTCTGATGCACCCTGGTAACGATGCGGCTGGTCTGCTCGTCAGGACATCGCCGGCCATGGTGGCCAGCCATTCGTTGCCAGGCTAATCGGTCACGGCCAACCACGCCGCTGAGTCTCTCGATTTCCATTTCAGGCCGAGGACATCAGGTTTGCCCTGACAAGAAATCATGAACGCTGCCCCTTCGCTTCCCCAGGTCCAAAGCTGGAATGCCCGGCAGAAAGATTGGTGCAAGTGGGGTGCGGGACCCGGAAAACCGTCGCGATTCCGATTGGCTTGTATTTGTTTGGGGGTCAAAGCTCCCCGCATTTCGGTGCAGCTTCCCCGCAGACCTTTTGATGCCGAGGCTCGGCGCGGGTTTTGAGACGGGGATTGAGGAGAGGTGCTCCCCAATCTCCGTCGAAGGGACTTGGGGACTTGGCCAGCCCTCAACAAATGCTGAAGCGGGAAGTTTGAATTGGTGGCATCTTGTCGTCTCCCTAGCCTGGGAGTATGCAGCGGAGCCAAGAGGATTCCCAAGTTACATGCGAGGAGGAACCGTCGGGCTGGATAGTTCTATGCTCTGTCCCGCGCCAGGGTCAAGGATGAGCCGCCCGTTGTGCGGGTTTAGCGCAATGGACTTCCGAAAGCTGTTCCAACAATTGCAAGCGCGGAACCATGAGGGAGACGCTGACAAAGACTGTGTCCATTACCGTCAACAAGCCAATATATCCGGTTGGAAAATTCGAAGTCCCTCACAGCAACAACGGGCTTCCAGGAACTCTCGGATGATCGCGAGGACCCGTGCCGTCGGATGCGTGGTACTCCGTATCTGCAAGCTTGCCGGTCCTTCTGGCCCGTCCCGGTTCTTTGTGTTGTGTCACGCTTTCGGGATTCTGGGACCTATGGCGTGGTACAAGAAAAATGAGATAGACTCACACAAAGTCCAACATCTCCCGGTAGTAGACTCACAGTAGCCGGCGACAGTCACGTGAGCTTCTATAAGGCGTGGTGGCAGAGTGGTCTAATGCGCAAGACTAGAAATCTTGTTCCTTCGGGAGCGTCTGTTCGAATCAGGCCCACGTCGTATGTTTATTGTTCTCACAACCAAACGTTCGTCTTATTCTTTGCTTTTTGATGATTGATCCAGCACACAAGGGTTGGCTTGCAACCTCCAGCTTTCTTCAAGTCTGGCTTCCATTCCCTGGGAACTGACCGCCCCGTGACTCCTTGTGTGAGGTTCGTGCTGTAACCCCCACATTGTGGCGCAATCTACAGGCAGGGCGATTGGCTGAAGCAGCTCAATAACGGGCACGCCGCCCCAGGCGCTTGTTGCGCAAAAGGGGTGTCAGAGGCGTGGGTGTTTCAACATTGGATCTCAAAGGCTGTCTTGTCTGTCTTGTGTCAGACGGCCCGAACCTGCAACCTGCAGTCACTGCACCTCACATTTGTCATCTGTCTTCTAGAGGGCTTCTCTCGCTTGCAACTTTTCACCAAAGTCGGCATGAGAAGTAATGAAGCAAGATGCACCGGATCTTAGAAGTTGTTTCGATATTGTCCCTTCACTAAAAACGGCGAACCGGGCACAGCTGCTTCATTCATCCGAGGTTCTCGTGGACACGAGAAGTAAAGCTGAGACAGGACGCCGAGGTTGACGGAATCAGAGAAGAATTCCAAGCGGTGATATCGAACTAGGGGCCCAAGATGATACCCCTATGGACGTGGCGCCGGGTTGAAACGGCGGCCGACTACGCCGACGCGGTGATTCCGCTGGACGAGGCCCATCTTCACAGCCACGGGTACCGGTCGAGGCAGGGGTCCGATCCGGCGGGGCAGCTGGATGATGATGCCTTTGAGGAGGATGAGCGAGGCCGCGACAAAGACGGTGATGGGGAAGGTACAGGCATGCTCCTCATGAGCAGCACAGGCAGCGAGTACAGTGTGGAAGGACTGAGGCGAGAGGTAAGGAGGGATGGACGGGGTGAGAAGTGGACAGCTTATGAGAGTGAGTGTCTTGGATTGCCCCTTTCCGCTAGTGGAAGCTGATGCTTGTGACTCAGTGAAATCTAGACTCATCAACAAGGCGATCCAAGACATCGGGATGGGGAGGTATAACTGGCAACTGTTTGTCCTTTGCGGATTTGGATGGTTTGCCGACAAGTGAGTGTCTCAAACTGGTTTGAGCAACACACAGCAACTAACTAGTTTGTTTGTAGTCTCTGGATGCAAGTAAGGCAGCACCACCTCCGTCGTCAGCGCCAGGTGCTTGGTTGGATACTAACAGGCTCACCAGGGTGTCTCTCTCACGCTTCCATCTCTGTCAGCCGAGTTCGGCATCTCGGAGAAGTCGGTCCGCTATACGACGTCGTCCTTGTTTGTTGGGTTGTGTCTGGGCAGCTTCTTCTGGGGCATCGGCTCCGACATCCTGGGCCGCCGCTTGGCGTTCAACGTAACGCTGCTGATCACAAGCATCTTTGGCACCGCGTCGGCATGGGCACCGAGTTGGGGCAGCGTATGCCTCATGTATGCCGCCCTGGGGTTCGGTGTGGGCGGCAACCTGCCCGTAGACGGCGCTCTCTTCCTCGAGTTCCTTCCGGACGCCTCCAGTTCCCTCCTCACCCTGCTCTCCGTCTGGTGGCCAGTGGGCCAGCTGTGCTCCTCTCTCTTTGCCTGGTACTTCATTGCCCATTGGCCGGCCGACCAAGGATGGCGCCACTTCGTCATGACCATCGGCATCATCACCTTTGCCATGTTCCTCGTCCGCTTCTTCCTCTTCCAGATGTTCGAATCCCCGAAGTACCTGCTCTCCAAGGGCCGGCAGGCAGAGGCTGTGGCGGTTGTGCAAGGGATAGCATTCAAGAACAACAAGAAGACGTGGCTGACGGAGGAGATACTGGACGCCGTCGTCGACGATTCGACTCCCCAGGTCCGCAGCCGGCTCTCCACCACAAACATCATCCGAAACAGACTCGCCTCCTTCTCCGCCGAGCGAATCCGGCCGCTATTCAACAACCGCAAACTGGGCATCACCACGTCGCTCATCTGGTTCTGCTGGGCGACCATCGGGATGGGGTATCCGCTGTTCAACGCCTTCCTCCCGCAATACCTCTCCCACGGCGGCGACAACAGCTCGTCGGGCTCTCTCGCGTCCGAGATCACGGGCGAGACATACCGCAACTACGCCATCACCAGCATCGCCGGCGTGCCGGGAAGCCTGCTCGCGGCCTACACGGTCGACGTGAAGTCGCCGTTCCTCGGGCGGCGCGGCACGCTGGCCACGTCGACGCTCGTGTCGGCCGTGTTCCTGTTCCTCTTTGTCCAGCTGGGCAAGTCGCCGTCGTCGCAGCTGGCGTTCTCGTGCATCGAAGCGTTCGCCCAGAACATCATGTACGGCGTGCTGTATGCCTTCACGCCGGAGATCTTCCCCGCTCCGGTCCGCGGGGCCGGGACGGGCGTTGCCAGTTTTCTGAACCGCGCCACGGGCTTGCTGGCGCCCATCATCGCGGCCACGGTGCCGGGAGACGGAGCGACCACGCCGGTCTATCTGTCCGCGGCGCTGATTCTTGCGGCGTTTGTGGGCATCTGCATGATTCCGATCGAGACGAGAGGGAGGCAGAGGCTGTAGTTTAATGGTTTGGGGATATTACCAGCATCGCGTTGGGATTGTTTTCCTAGTAGGCGGGATTCGTTCTCTCTTTGGATACCATACAATATAGGGCAGTAGCATAAACACAGGTCTCGTGCAGGCTCGACAACGCATGTATGTGGGCATTAAAAGACAAAGCATTCCCCTTTTAATTTAAAACCTCTAATCGAGATGTCCGTCATCTGTTCCCTCTGGCTCCCGGCGGCGCCTCCATCCTGCGCTTCGCAAACGACCTCCCCAGCGCATCCCGGACCATGGGATCCGAGCGGATCGTGTTTTGCACCAGCCACTCCTTGACCTTAGCCCACATGGAATTCCGCGTCTCCTCATCCCCGGCAAAAGGCGCCATTTCCGTCTCCAGCAGCCTCGTCGCATCCGTATCCAACCTCTTGACCGCCATCTCCAACCTCTCCAGCCCCTGCTTCAGCGCCGCCTCATCATTGCCCCCACCACCTGCCCCGCCCCTCACCACGAGCCGCCCGCTCGACGTATCCGCCGTCAGCAGCGGCCCAATCTGCGAAAACGCAATATACACCGTCACGCTGAGCTTCCTCGCCAGCGCGACAGCCTGGAACTGGACATACGGCACCCTCCCGGCGCCAGCCAGCTTGCCCAACAACGGGTTCACCACCTTATCCAGCACCCACGGCATCCCGGGCCTGGTCGCGCTGTGCACCTCGAACACAAACAGCACGGCCAGCACCAGCCAGCGCTCGTACCGCCCCCAGTCCAGGTACCCCAGCAGGCCCAGCCCGTACATGAACAGCGCCGCCGTGCCGTAGTAGGGCACCAGCGCCTGCGCGCCGCGCACCACGTAGTCGCGCACCGTCACGCAGCGCGGGCTCCACGCCACGACCTCCGGGCCGAACCGTTCGTACGCGAACCGCTTGGCCGGGTCGGCCAGCGTGTCGGCGGCCGTTTTGAGGTGGACAAAGTACGCGTTGATGTCGGCCCGCGTGTTGTGGTGGTTGCTGCTCGTCGTCGGCGGGCTGGCCACCTTGTCGGGGTGGTAGAGCGCGGCCAGGCGGCGGAAGCGGGACTTGATCTCGCGCTCGGTCGCGTGCAGCGGCACGCCCAGGTCCGAGTAGAAGGAGCCCGCGCGCTGCAGGTCGTAGTCGGCCTCGTAGATGGTGTAGGCCAGGTACAGGGCCACGACCAGGATGTGGATGCGCCGGCGGTGCTCGGCGTGGCGCGGCGTCCCTGGTTGTGGTTTAGGGTCGCCGGCGCGGATCGTGATGGAGTAGTAGAGCGATTGCGTCCAGTTTGTTACTAGCTGTGTCGCTTAAGCGTTAGTGGTGTTGTGTGGGAGATACAACAGCAAGCGGAGAGAGAGAGAGAGAGAGAGGATGGTTTTGTTGGAACGCACGTTGGGGAGGAAGCTCCAGCCCAGGAGCGACAGGAAGGCGGACATGTTTTGCCGATGGGCGGGTTGGTTATTGGATTGGGGTTTAGTGTGAGTGCATGGCAGAAATGGTATTTAATAACAGAGTCTGCGAAAGGAAACGCAGGAGGGGTGGAACGAAAAGAGTGACGAGGGGATGACACACAACGAGGGCAACCACGAAGCTGTCCGTCCGTGTTCAATGCCAAAGTGGGCATCGCAATGTTGGGAGGCGCGAAACTCGGTGTCTTGCAAAAAATTAATAAGCTGCTTGTCGCCTAGCAATTGGTAATGTCAGGCGTGGTGGCAGAGTGGTCTAATGCGCAAGACTAGAAATCTTGTTCCTTCGGGAGCGTCTGTTCGAATCAGGCCCACGTCGACATACTTTTGCACCTTCCACCTTTTTGTTCCCTCATTCGACATCGTTGCTCATATAAAAGGTGTCAGATTCTGTCCTCGCAAAGTTGTTTTCTTCGTTGGCCCTGCTAGCTGTAGATTGGGCTTTTGGCAACAGTTACCTGACCTGCCTACGACCTCAACCCTGAAAAGACAATGAGGAGAACCTCTGTTTCTTATCTTCGGGCTCGACGCAACAAAACACGAGGTTAGCGTTATCCTGGCAATACTTTGAAACCCAGAATCTACTCTCTCCGTTGATAGTTGCTGGATATGGTCTCGCTTCAACTAGAAGCTGGCGTTGATTATGGGATCGCGCACTATCAAACATGAATTCGACCTCAGCAGATTATACTAGGTAGTCTATTTGCAGCATGGCTCGCGCCAGCAATTGTATGTGTACCTAGTAGGTAGGTAGGTAGGTATTTCTAGCAATACCTAAGGCAACGAAGAAGTAGACAACGCGGAAATTGCATCGTCTGACTACCAGTTGTACTTGGGGCTGTAATCAGACTCGCCAAACGGCCATCCACCAAGATCAATGTTCAGCACCGTGGTCGATTCCAACTCATTACGGCGGGCCTTGAGTTCCTCGACATCCCAGTTCGCCCACAAGAACTTGCCCTTCAAGAAACGCGCCTCGGGGCTCGCGAGCCAGAGCATGAAGCTTGCCGGCAGGGAAACTAAGAGAGGTTAATTAGTTTCACAGTCGTTCTCAACAATACGAGAGGAATAGAGTGTTCCATGAAAACTCACCATTATCCTCAAAGCCAGCGGCCTTGACACCGCCCGCCTGCTTGTTCATATCCGTATCCACGATGCCGGGCTGGAGATGGAAAACGCTCAGGTGCGGGTACGAAGTGGCGAGCGAGTCCCAGAGCCGGACGGCGGCCATCTTGGCCGTGCTGTAGGAAACAAACTTCGCGGGCCGAAACTTTTGATGGGCAGCCGAGGACGAGACATTGATGGCGACGGCGTCCTTGGCCGCATGGCGCAGGAACGCCTGCGCAACCAACAGCGCGCCGCGGAGGTTCTGGCTGACGCCGTCGATGAACTTATCTGCGTCCACCTCGTCCACAGTCTCGTGGGGGCCGATGATGGCCGCGTTGCTGACCGCGACGTCGAGCTTGCCGTCGCGGCCGAGGAAGTTGGCGAACGCTGCGTCCACCTGGCTCTTCACGGTGACGTCGGTGGGCGCCACGAAGACGTCGACGCCGGGGAACTGGCGCTCGATGGAGGCTTTGGTCTCGAGAAGCGGCTGTTCGCGGCGGCCGAGGAGGGCGATCCGCGAGGCGCCCGCCGCGGCGAAATAGCGCGCTGTCTCGGCGCCGATGCCAGTGCCGCCTCCGGTTATGAGGACTGTCTTGCCCTTGGCCGACAGCTCGGGGCGGGTCGGGGAGAGGGATTCATAAGTGCTGTCGTGCCACTTCGTGGTTGGGGACGGGAAGGGGGGGGCCATGGTGTTGTGGATGTTTGGAATCTTTGGATGGTTTTCAAAAGCAGTTGAATGAAAGTAGTAGCGATTGGAAGCCAGAATGAGTCTATGAGATGCTCTGAGTATTGCGAGGAACAGAGACGTGATCTGCTGGAAGGGATACTCATTCTTATATTCAGATTTCTACTGTCTACCACTGGATGTAGCCTACATAATCTAGGCTACAAGTCTGCCCTGGCGACGGAGTGTACAATTTGCGATTTCTTACCAAAGCCGACGGGTTTAGAACATCATCGAGCGGTGTGTCTCGGTGGTGGTGGATCGTAGGATCGCCCCCAACGCCGGAGCAGGTTGCTGTCTGGTGTTCCAGGGGGCGGGTCCGCCGACTGTGTGTCAACACTTACAAAATGTAACGGGATTCATTCCCGTCACAGCAGGACAGCGGAATTCCGGTACAGTTAAGGTGTTTGCCCAATCCCTGAATCTGATGCCCCGTGCCCCACAAATTACAATGGCACACTCTACAAAATGTTCCGCCCGTGAACTACCTACCTAGGCTGAGTAATTGAATTTGTAAAATCTTGCCTTTTGCACGACCGCAATTGATGACTCAGCGTTAAAAGGAGCACGGAACGCTGGTCGTTATTGCCATTCTTAGCTAATGGGGTCTGGGCCTATTTCTATGGCTCCGAGCAGCCCTCCTAGCACTTGGAAGATCAACTAACTTTACCCCCGTTTTTCAAAAGCCTGCCCACCGATGAAAATGTGTACTCAGACCCTTATGTACTTCATTTTTAGTACTGCGGGAGAGGGCGGGGGACATGGTCATCTTGTGTTGGTGATGTTTCCAGGCAGCTCGGCACGATTCCGGGCTGGACTTTAGAAGCCTCAGGCCCGGCCGGCGGAACCACCGGGCGCGAAGCAAGACGCCAGAACCAGTGGTGATTTGTGTAACGCCAGCAGATTTCGTGACCAACCAGCCCTGACAACCAACCAGACATCTAGCCACCCTGAGTTAACACTCTCTCCCCCACTTTCGGTTTGAAGACGAACACGGTAAAGACCATTGGGAACATGGCTCTCCCTCGACTATCCCCGTTTTCCTGGATAGCCATTATTGTTCTGCTGTACGAGATCCAGGAGCAGGTCCAATTTCCGACCACGATCCGATTGCTCGAGAACTCGGTTTGCCAGCGCCACTATGCATCGCTCGGGGGCGTAGACCTTCCGGTCGACGAGGCCCTTGCAAGATCGGCTTCATCCAGCACCGCCTTGCTACCATCCTCTGATGGTACAGCGCGCTCGGCGTCATCCCCAGCGTGTTACCCTTTCCTGGTCCTCGCGACCGAGGCACTCGGATCGCTGATCAGTTCTCTCAGTGCTCCTCCTAGGACCGCTGTATGGCCGTCTGGCCGAGCGCCTGGGACGTCGCCCAGTTCTTGGTCTTGTCACTGTGGGCATGATCTTGGGCCTTCTCTACATCTATGTTGTTTGTAGGCAGGCAAATTTCACTCTGGTTGTTCCCGCCGTCGGGGTAATTCGCCGTCTCTAACCCAAATTTTGCAGGCAGCTCGTGGTCCTTTCTTCCCACAGAAATGACCATGTTCATCATCGCCCCTCGGCTCTTGGGAGGAGGGCCCTTTATGGCCATCACGCTACACGCCGCCATGGTCGCCGATCTTTGTGACGACGACAACCAGTAAGACATGGATACAAGAGAAGATTACGCGGTCTGGCCGCCTGACCGAAAACCTGCCTAGGAGCCAAGCGTTGTATCGGATGTTCTGCTTCAAACTGGCCGTAGAACTTGTTGCCCCTCAGCTTGCATCACTCTTGATATCGCACTCCCTCTGGCTTCCCTACCTGCTCTGCGGCTTGTCCTTGGGCTTAACTCTGCCTGCGATCATTGCTCTTCCTGAACCTGGCCCTGAGGCAGAGCCGTTTAGCTGGTACGAGATCAGGGAGACTCTACAGCCAGCAAACCTGGAAAGGTACAGTGGGGTGCTTCGGCGGACAGAGGTCCAGCTCGCCCTCGTCATTACGTTTCTCGTCCAGCTCAGATACAACTCTCTTCAGTTATTCCCACCATACGTCTCGGTACGATACGGTTGGACAATCTCACAGGTACCGAAGTCTTACACGTCGGGACTCCCGTCGATGGTGGCGTATAATGACTAACAGCATCTTTCTCCGGCAGACTGCTAAACTCCTATCCGTTATACCGGGTATCAGCCTTGCCCTGTGCCTGGCTCTGCCCCAGGCCACAAACGCCATCCTTCGGCGGTATGAGCCGTCCATCACGAAGATCGACCGTGCAGTTATGCGTATACTGTGCCTTGCACTGCTCGTCGGGACCGCTATCATTGCGGCGATGCCAGTTATCGGGTCTTTTATGACGGGTAAGAAAAAAAGCAATTGCGCGTTCTACCGCGATGTCGTTGCTATGCTTCGCTTGCTGAATTCTCTCTCAGGACTCGTTGTGTTTTCCATCGGCTTCAACATCCGACCACCCATCCTCGCTATCTTTGCTACATATATTGAGAAGACGACAGGAACCGCCCGAATGTATACGCTCATGTCTTTCACGGAAGGACTGGCCCATTTGATCGGTAGCCCGGCGTTGGAGGCAATTTGGAGTGTAGCTGTTGAGCGGGGCCCTGCTTGGTATACGCTACCGTTTTGGGTGCTAGCGGTAAGCTTATTATTGTGGGGTTGCATACCTGATGTATGGACTACGAGTAAACTGATCTCGGACTTGTAGGGGTGTTTTGCTCTGGCAGGTCTGCTATCCGTTCTTCCCCCCGACACAACCTCACCGGTGGGCTCTTCCTTTGCTACTGAAGATTTGAACCATGGTGGGGAGGCAGAGGCCTTGCTGGGAAGCGACAGCAGTCGTGGAGCGCACTGATTGATTTGAGGAATAACTGCCTTACATAGGAGCAGCATGCTGGTCCCTTGAGCGCTTGGGCTAAGTGATGTGCTACCTCGTCCCATTCTATTGCTATCAAGATCTTTCGCCGAGGGTGGCATCTAGTACCAGCACGAGACGGAAGGGTCTAAGCAGTGTGCCAGGACTAAGATCATCTGCTCCAATACCAAACCAAGCTATCGACCACATCGTCCGCAGCTTCGTCGCTAACCAAGTCAACCCCCAGCTCCTTGAGAACGAAGTCGCAGGCTTCGCGATGGATCAAATCCGCCTAGTATATGCGTGGTTGTACGAGGGAGAGGAAGTGCAGGTCAGTGTGGCCCAGGAGAAATACCCTGTATGCGGCCGACTAGGTACAGACTAATCTCAGGTGCTCAGACCAGCTGAGGCGCGGTGATGTACCGCAGGGACCCACTACCATGCTTAGGCAATTCTAACCAATCAGAGCCCCCGTACAACACCAGCGCCAGTGCGCGTTTGGGTGTGCGTCCGGTAATACATCTCCACCAGCCACCCAGCCACACTAGCCACCCGGGCTCACCACAACCACAAACGCTCACGAGAGTAAAGTCTGTGCCTCAGAGACTAAGTTATATATTTGTATCTATGGAGCACCACCTTACCCCGCACCCTTTTTAGCTAATTAGATACTGTATATACTACTAGCGCCAGCTAGTCTGAGCCCAGAGGGAACTTTTTCGCGTATTCCGTTACCGGGCCTTATAGTACTTAGGACGAGCGTCACCTTTGACCTTACCAAGACTCCTGGCATAACCCCCATATGAGGTCGTGGTATTCGGACGCTCAGACGGCTTACATATGTAAAGCGTACCTATATGATATGGAGGGCTTTTTGCTGATTGGATGACTTGTCAGGTTGCTAGCGTGAGATGAAGGTGATGTGCTTACAAATCTCATTCGAGTGGTTTCACCCACATTAGTAGCAACCCTGGAAAATGTCTTTCCAAACTCCCCCTACAACAAAAATTTACACATTTCTACGGTCCAATTTGAAATGAGCGAACAAGGAATTCAATCTGTTCTGCGGTGCGGGCGCTGCAATAAGCCGTTCGACAAGCGTGAGTAGTTACCCTTGACACGCTAATAATACCTAGATAAGCATGACAAGAACTGACTAAATCCTACTGACACTTACCACTTTAGAGTCCACATTAAAGAGACACGGATACTACTGCCGCTCTCGCCAAGATGAGCCTGCTACCCGGACTCGTTCTTGCAATTCCTGTGCCAGACGCAAGGCGCGCTGCGATAACAAGCGGCCCGCGTGCTCGGCCTGCTTGACCAAGGGTATCGAATGCCATTACCCAGCCAAGACACCCAGAGGTACTGGCAGAGGCCCCCAGTCCGTCCGGCAGCGGACCGAAAGAGATGTGCCGACAGCCCACCCGCCGGAGACGGTGTCCGCACCAATATCAGATGCAATCAGCCACCATTCACTCTTCAATGATGCGCCTGTGATATCGGACCTGAGCGTGTCAGCAGCAGATTCAGGAGACGTGTATCTTCCCTGGGATGGCCAAGATATCGCTTTCGCCGATTTCATCCTCCCGCAGATGAATGATGCCGCCCTTCAGTTCTTCCCAGCGCTCGAATCGACGACACCTCTGAGCACTCCGCTCCAGGAAACTATCCAGCCTCATCGCGTATCGATACCCGCTCCGCCGCTCAACTTTTCCGGGTCCTTGGTGCAGCGGCCGAGGACCGGACTCGCCATGCAGAGGATGGCTAAGCTCGTCCTCCAGCAACTAAAGTCCTACCCCCTGATGATGCTGCGTCACAACACGCTGCCGCCTTTCATACATCCGCGTTTGCTGTCGGATGTCGAAAAGAGCGACATGGAGCCGCTTCACAACTGCATGAGTTTGCTACATATGCTCGGCAGCCAGGTACCAGGGAGCCGTAAGCTGGTTTGGAGGAATGTGCGGATGGAGTGTGAGCGTTTCCGCAAGGAGGTATGGGTTATGAGTTCCGGGCTTTCCGTCTAGGCCAGGTGTTCGGAGCTAATGAATGTCGTCTTTCTTTAGTATCTTGGGTGGAACAAGCGGGAACTGCTTGCTGCTATGCAAGCTCTCGCCATCTACCTTATCATCAGGTTGGATGAAGACCAGACGGAGCACAACGACCTTGACCTTGATTTGCTCTTCGTCGCGACTGTAGCGGTAGGTTCACCTTCCCCCACTCGCTCATGTATCCCCTCCATATCGGAGTCTAACGACGTAAAACATAGGAAATAGCTGTTCAGTATAACAGTGTGGCCACCATGGTATCCGGCATCGATTCGGAACTGAGCTGGGACGATTGGATCTGGGAGGAATCGATGAGAAGGTTGAGCCCGTCCTTTCCACTTCCTTGCGCGGGGAGGCGAATGTCCTATTACATTGCTGACTGAACCAACAGATTATGTGTAATATACCAGGTCGTAGATCTGCTGGTGTTCTGGCGACCAGCAGCCCTGTGCCATCTGCGCGAGAAGAATCTCCTTATAGCGCCACTGCCGGCAAGGAAACACCTGTGGGAAGCAGGTGATGAGGCTACGTGGAAGGCGGAAAGTAAGAGGGAGGAAAGACAGCATCCCGGGGTTTCCTTTGCGCTGACTGCCGACGGTGAGCTTGTCAAGGTTGATGAACGCCAGGCGGTTTACACCAACGGCCCAGTGAGCCTTCCCAAGCCTTCGGATGCCAGTACTCCGCCATGGACCACTGCAAACTGGGACGAATGGTGCTCGGAGATGGATGGGCTCGGCAGTCTTGTCATGCTTGCTGCTTCCTTGACATCATAGCTCTGGTATATACGCACATACTGGTGCTGATGAGCAACAGATATCAGCGACAGCCTGTGATCGTGTTAAATGAGGGGTTTCGGTGATCTCTGCTGCAATAAGAGCACCGGTTTGTATAGGATGAATGTCGCTGGCCTGCTGTTCCATGTCCTATATGTGCTATGTAGGTAGTCAGACGATCGGATAAGTCCCGAGGTGGTTCAAGAGGACTGTAGTACGGTCCCTGCTTCCCCTCCCCCGGACAGAATGGCCAGCTCCGAAAGTGCAACTGTCAGATGACACCGCATTCGGCCCCCAAAGCTTCTCGTCATTTCAGTGCTGAACGTCTGAAGAACCGAGAGAGGTTGAACAGTCTAACACTCTGCTCAACGATGCTCCAGGAGCAACATATTGACTTTCCATGGTCGTTGCCTTGGCACGGTAGACCGAGGTGAGGTCGGGTGCTTTCCGTTTGTGGGGTAACGACGCGAGCAAGGGTGCGTTTAGTGAGTGGGCCCTACTTCAGCTGGTGGGGAGGAGAATCGCCGAGGCTCAATTCACATGCAACCTGGAACTCGCGTCATACGCATTCGGCTTCCAAGGTACCGAAACCGACTGCTCTTTCCTTCTGGATCATAAAGTTCAACCGGTCCCCCAATTTCCTGTTATCCTTATCTTTTCCCATTCTCAGCATCTTCATCAAGTTGGTGTCGGTATCTGCCAGAGCGTCTCGTTCCTGCCCCTAGCCCCCTGTAATCTATAACTCATCGGCATTTGTCAAGTTTCGCAAACGCTTTTGCTACAATGTCTCTCAAGAACGGCAAGTTAGCCCTCAGTTTTCTTTTCATTTGTTATTCTTGTCACTTCATGGGCCTCACTTCACCCATATACAAGACTCCCATGCGATTCGCATTACCTGGTCTTCTAGCTAACGAAAACGATAGACAAGTTCCCTGCCTCCGCGGCTTTCGACGAGATCAACAACGCTCTCAACGCCAGCGAGGCCGACCGCAAGGACGCCATCAAGCAGGGCAACGCCGTCTTCGCATTCACTCTCAAGAATGCCGCTGGTGAGACAGAGAGCTGGCACATCGACCTTAAGAACAAGGGCGCTGTTGGCAAAGGGTTGGGCGAGAAGCCCACCGGTACGTACTACACCCTTGCCTTACCAGGAATCGCGAAGTCGCAGTTGGCTGACATGAGTTCTCTGTGCTTCAGTCACGCTCTCCCTCTCCGACGCAGACTTCGGCGCTCTTGTCGCCGGCAAGGCCAATGCCCAGCGGTTATTCATGTCCGGCAAGCTCAAGATCAAGGGCGATGTAATGAAGGCCACCAAGCTCGACCCCATCCTCAAGAAGGCCCAGACGAAGGCCAAGCTATAAATAGGGAAGGGTGGTTGAGGAGCGCTGATGGTCTCTGCATGATGATATACGTGTATCAATATATAGCTTTGTTGTCACACCAAGATTCTGTGTGGATGCTGGGGCGTTTTGACGATAGCGATCTATTTTGCTCTTTCGGGCATGATGAGAAACGAAACAGCAGCACCTCTCGACTTCACTGCGATCATTGTCTGGTTTGCGCCTCTCAGTGCACTGCAGTGAATTCTGTTTCCCATGATCTGTCAATGGCAGTCATGGCATATTCGAGGGACAAGTGGCTTTACAGGCCTCTTGTCTTTCACCTTGCGTACACTCTTTCCACAGCTATTTGAGAACAACGCCCTACCTGGGCAGTCAACAGGCACACGCGGCTGAGATGAACATCTCACTTGTCGCACCTCGAAGTCGTTGCCGCCTGGTGTCCTGTCTATTACTTCCACCTCACCAATTCGGGTGTCACTCTCTATGCGGCTTACTAAAGTCTTGAAATTGCTCTCTTTGTCCCAGACCCTTTGCAGCTCATAGCCATCCGCTCGGCATCTACGTAGCTTCCATGCATGACACACAAGTGACAGGATATCTGGCCAGCGAGACGATCGCATTATCCATGTATTTTCTCAGTCGTTCGAAGAGTTACGACGGTTCTATCAGTGCATCAAAACGTGACTAGGCACTCACCATGTCCATAGTGACATACGTAGACTGGTTTCAATCCATCCAGACAGACCTAGTGGCTCAGGTGGCTAAGGTTTGGTAGAGAGAGCTGCGTTCGATCGTGACCCAAGTTTTACAATGAACTGTGAGAAGTCAAATGCCACTTGAGGAGGAGCGCAGCGCAGTCAGACGAGTTTGACAACATCGAGTTAAGAAGACTTTGGACTCAGCATATCCACAGACTCAGCTTCATACTATTTCTTGCATGTGTGGAACGGATAAGACTATTACTCGGCAAAAACGAGTCGGTTTACGGATAATAGTGTAAGGATAGAAACAGTCACTGGTCCTTCTCTGCAGTTTGAGAGCGCAGGCTTTAGGTTCCATTAGCTTCGGCACGGTCCGTCAGCTGATTGGTGCCTGGTGTCTGAGCTTTCTCCGCAATCATCGATCGGGGAAACATGGTCTGTGCACGCGACGCAGAACAAGGTCCTGGCTTCCCGCGTGTTGCAAGGGCTCCGCAGCAATTTTTTCCCCGTTGTCCCAAGCAGCTGTCGCCGGGCTCTTTCAAATCGAAGTCCCAAACACATCCACCACTCGCTTGGTGCAGCTGTCTTCATCAGCCACCAGGAGACACGGCATCATCGCCCGATGCTTTTGTCTGTTGCCATTCCCATTGGCATCATTGAGTCTGTGGAGTTTTTTGCATCATCCGATTGATCGGTCTCGCCTTGTCAGGTTTACCTCGGGCTCGCAGACCGATCGCGCAAAACCCCCTTCTCGGCCTGAATCGTCGCCGCCCATCGCATCTTGACGCGACACACAACGCGCAAGACGAGTAACTGCGCATGGCTGCGATCCAATTTTCTTGATCGACCTCCAGAACGATAAGTTTATCTTTCGACCTACCAAAACAAAACAAACCCTGTCATTGCTTCCATCGCGCCTCGCTTGAGGTGCCAGCAAGCGACGTCATGGACCCCCCATCGAAGAAGCGAAGCCTCTTCGGCTTCAGAGGACTTTTTCGCAGCTCGGCTACGCCCACAGATAGCCGGGATGCTAAGACTGATGCGCCGATGCAGTCTGCAGCGTCTGCACCTGCGCAGCGCGAATTCAACAGCCCGGTGAAGCGCGCTTCCGAGTCGCAACTTGCTTCTCGGAAGATCATCGGTCGACCTCAAGCTCCTTCAAGCAAACTTTCCCAGAGCATCTCGGCATCCGAAATCGCTCATCGACCTTACAGCACGGCGCTTGGGACACCAAGGCGGATGCCAGGAGACAACCCAAACAAGCCCTATATTGTGTCTTCATCGGCCGTCGCGCCTGCGCCTGCGCCTGCGAACGTCTCGAAATCAACGAGCTTCTCAGGTGTCACCTCGACACCTCGCAACCTTTTCCGCTCATCGGCCCTGTACTCGCGGCCTGGGGTCTCCACCACTTTCTCCCCTCGTGTGCCTGCGAATACACTGACCCAGAGTTTCCCCCCGAACACGCCCGGTAAACCTCCTAGAGGGTCCACTGCTGATGTTAACGGCCGTATCCTCGCCAACACCTCGTCTTCTGAGCTGTTTAAGATGAGGATCCCCGAACCTCCTCGGCATCTCACCGGCGAAATGTTGGCCAAAGAGGTGCCCGATGATCCCAACCGGTCCGGCTCCATCTATGCCGACGAATTTCTCGCGCATTATTGCCCGCCTGATCTAGACGAGCACCAGCGGCGCCAGTTCTTTTGCATTCTCGACTTGCGACGGCTGAAATATGCTGCGGACGAAGTGTTTGTCAAAAAGGACTGGAAGATCAACATTCTGAACTTCGCCAAGGAATATGAGAAGAGCCGCAGTCTGATCATGTTGCGCTACGGCCTGTATGAGTTCAAGACGGTTAGGGCATCTGAGGCAGTCAAAAAAGAGTGGAAGGAGAAGCATGGCATCCCTGACTCGGACGATGAGTCCGGCGTTAGAGCTGGCGGAAAAGCTAAGAGGAAAGCTGAGGAAGATTTAGGGCCGAGCAGCACGCTGACGGAATCGCCGTCCGGCGCGAACAAGCGCGCTCGCGGTCCAGAGGCCTCTGTCAAAAACAAGCGCAAGGCCGATGCCGACCCGGACGACAACCATCCAGCGAAGCTTCAAAAGCCCGCCGAAGCCGAGAAGCCTGCTCCCACTCAGAAACTGTCCTCTGCTACTAAGTCCGTCTTTGAGAGCATTGCCAACAATGCCCAGTCGGCCTCCGACGCCCCCTCGAAAACCTCTGGCAAGAGTCTGTTTGCCTCTAGCACATCCAGCAAGCCCCAAGGCTCCATTGGCCGGTCCCTCTTCGATCCTGCGTCGAAGCCTGCTGGTGCCTCGGGAAATATCTTTGGTCATCTCTCGGATGAAAGCAAGGGCAGTGGTAATGAAGGTGCAGATGAAGAAAGTGAAACAAGCACCGACGCTGGAGAAGACTATTCTGAAGCTCAGGATGTCAGCCAGAGTGACGAACAGGCCGCAAGTGGCGGCGTATCGACACCGCAGTTTCCAAGTGCTAAGGCGGCAACTACTACGAATGGGTCGTCGAATGTATCCTCAGACGGCGAGAGCACCCAGGGCCGCAGCATCTTTGACCGCATCACGAGGGGCTCAGATGGGCAGCCGATTAGGAAGCTCCCTCCCAACAATGGGAATCTTTTCGGCACGCCGGATGTCATGGAACGGTCTGCAAGTCCAGTCAAGGACCAAGCTGCAGCCGCGCCGACCAACAACACCTGGAACGCCGGCACGCCGATCAAGTTCGCAGCTCCCGCGGCCGCTACTTTTGGGTTTCCTGCGACAAAGCCTCCCGCTTCTTCCAACATTGACTTCGGTGCATCGGGGGCTAAGAAACCCGAGGAAAATGCCGCTGCAGCTCCGAAGACAACGGGTTCCCAGAGTCTGTTCGGAGCTCAGCCGCAGAAGGCCGAAGGAGTCGCCAGCTCCTCTGGATCTGCTGCCAATGGTACCATGCCCAACCTCTTCTCATCATCCTTCACGAAGACAGCAGATGCGCCAGCTGCCACCCCTCCTGTCTTTGGTGGCTTTACCACATCTACTGGGACGACCTCCCTATTTGGCACCACCACCGCATTTGACCAGCAGAAGGAGCAGAAGGAGAAGGAGAAGGAGAAGGAGAAGGAACCCAAGGCTCCTTCTGCAAGTACTTCTTTGTTCGCGCCTCAGCCGGCAACCACCGCGTCCGAAGCCCCGAAACCCAATCTCTTCCAGCTCGGCCAGCAGACCCCCGCGGCGCCACCCGCACAACCTCAGTTTGGCGGTCTGTTTGGCAAGTCGCAAGCGACAGAGTCCAAGGCGGAGGCTCCAGCACCGTCCCTCTTTACCGGCGCGGCGAAGCCTACAGGCAGCATCTTCAGCGCTGCGGTAGCCCCGGCTGGTACCAGCACCGAAGGTACTGCCGCAACGAAGTTTGCCTTTGGTAGCACAGATACGAAGACGAGCGATTCCCTGTTTGGCTCTGGTGCATCTACTCCGGCAGCTGAACCAGAGAAGCCTGCCGAGACGAAGAGCATCTTTGGCGCTGCTAGCACACCAGCAGCTTCTACGACGGAAACCAAGAGCATCTTCGGCAGTGCGGCTGCGGCACCCGCCACACAGGCTAACAAGCTCTTCGGCGCAGCAGCACCGACTACCGCCCAAGAAACGAAACCGATGTTCAGTTTCGGCAGCACCGCTCCAGCCACTTCCGAATCCAATCCGTTGTTTGGCAACGCCACCGGAACGGCGGATTCGAAGCCCCCTATGTTTGGTGGCACTTCTGGCACCGAGACGAAGACCTCGGGTTTGTTTGCTAATCAGCCTGCCGCGACGGCGGCCTCGTCTTCCACGCCTACCTTTACCTTTGTTGCCTCTCAGACACCTGCCGTGTCGCAGCCCGCGTCATCCCAGACCACCAGCTCGATATTTGGTACTGGCGGTAGTGCCTCATTTACCTTCTCGGCTGGCGGCCCAGATATATCCACGATCAAGAACCCTTTTGCATCGGACGGCACTTACTCGGCACCCTCGTCGTTCAACTTTGGAAGCAATGAAGCCCCATCCTCGTCGGCACCGTTCACGTTCGGTGCCGGCAACGGCCCTAGCGTCAGCTTCGGCGGCGCATCGACCAATGGCGCTTCTGACGCGCAGCAGAACGCCTCATTTGGCGGGCCCGCATCCGGCAGCTTCAACTTCAGTTTCGGCGGCTCGTCTCAGCCAGGCGGTGCTCCCGTGTTCTCACAGAATCCCCCTGCAGCGTCGTCGATCTTTGGCAATAGCCTAGCTCCCGGTGGGGGGACCTCAACAGGTACTAGTAAGTAATGGAACGCTGCACATGGTTCGAATACATTATTAATACTCACGGCTCAGATTCCCCTTTCACGTTCGGCGGGGCTTCAAGCTTGGCAACCACGCCAGCGGCGACTACCCCAGAGCCGTCCGCCAAAGCTGAGGATGGTAAAGAAACAAACGCTGACGGGGATGAGGCACCACAGGAGCAAATTTCGCTAACCGACGGCGGCCCGGGGGAGGAAGACGAATCCGCCGTCCATGAAGTCCGAGCTAAGGCAGTCAAGCTGGTCACGGGGCCCGATTCCGACGAGGACTCTAGCTCCAACGCGGACAAGGCGAAGTCGGCGAAGAAGAGCCCCTGGAAGGTCCAGGGCGTTGGGCCCCTGCGCCTGCTCAAGCACAAGACCACCGGCGCGGTGCGCATGCTGCTGCGGGCCGAACCGCGCGGCCACGTCGCGCTGAACAAGAGGGTGCTGCCAGACTTTAGCTACAAGGCGGACAACAAGTATGTCAAGTTGGCGGTAGCGACGGACGACGGCAAGGGCCTCGAGACGTGGATGATCCAGGTCAAGACCCCTGCGGCGGCACAGGCGCTTGCTGAGGCTTTGGAAGAACATAAAAAGGCGAATAAGAAGTAGTGCTAGCGGGATGGGAAATATCGTTTGCTGCAGAGGAAACCGGCATTTGGGAAGTTTGGGCAAGCGAGCGAGCGGGTATATAACAAGGTAAGGCTATCACAAGTTATTAATTGGCTGCTTCTTGCTGCATTAGATGGGTCTCTGTGGCAGGGTGTTATTCTGGGGAAAGCATAGCATTTTGCTTCTTGTGCTTGTTAGGATTATTTGCTCTGGGGGAGAGCGCTGCTGTATCAGAGAGCTTATTTTTTGTCGGAAGAAACAAAGCAGGAGAGATCAGACAACAACAACACAACCTTGTCGGGAGCCGGGGAAAAAGATGGCTGATGCAGTGTGGATGTTGCTGGACACGAGTGTGGTGGGGTGTGTGTGAAAAGAATGTCATGGTCAAATCGCCGATCGGACACGGGAGGAGGCATTCAGTTCTCTCGAAATCAAACAATGATCCCTCGCCCGCCTTGTGATGAAGAAAGATGCTGGTGCAGTAACACGGCTCTGAGCAAGTATAGGTAGGTAGTTCTGTACAATATACGTGCACTGCGTGGTATAGGGGAGCTTGAGGGTAATGGGATGAGCGAGATCCGTCAGTTTTATAGAGGCTTCCTTTTTCCCACCTAAGGTTTTGCGCACCAGTAGGTGAGTTCAGCACTGGACTTTCCTGTAGAACCCGACGGTGTTGACGTGGCCTGCTTTCTCTAGAGATGAAACCCGGGTAATGAAAGAACGTCCCATGTCTAAGCGTATGTAATTCTCGCCCCTACGTCTGTTCGTTCTGTAGCCCGTTTCTCAAGGCCTACTGTATCAATATATGCACATTGCTAACTCCAAAACCCCCGCCCAAATCATCGTCGATGGAGACAAACCACCACCCCCCTCCAGTCAGACACAACACAACTCGGGAGAACGGTACAATACCCGTTTTTTTTTTTTTTTTTCACCCAGCCATGGACGCCATCGGAGGCACCTTGGGCACCTTGAGCGAGAAATCCTCGACGTCGGCCCCGCTTCCACTATCGTCCGGCGACTCCTCGGCAACCTGTCCCTGGATGCGGCGCTTGGCCTCGGCCTTGTCGGCCTCGGTGATCTGGTTCTCGTCCTTGCGCATGTCGGGCGTCCACCGCGGCTCGCCGGGGGCGTGGCCGACTGACATGCCGACACGGATCTGTTTTTTTTGAGAGAACGCGAACAAAGAATCAGTCATCATCATCCCCCAGTAGGCAGAAAGAAGGACAAAAAAAAAAAAAAAAAAAGACACAAAAACAAAAGACTTACCAGCGTCTCGAGAGCTGTATTCGAGTTATCCACCAGGTCATCATCAAAGACCATCCGGCCGGGCTCGAACAGCAGTACGATGGTACTCCCACCAAACTTGAAATAGCCCAGTTCCTCGGCGCGCTTGACCTCCTCGCCCTCCTGCCGCGTAATCACCGTACTACCAACCATCATGGCGCCCACGCAAATGATCATGACGCGCCCAAACTCGGGGGTGTCGATGGGCACCAGCACGCGCACGTTCTCTCCGTAGACATCCAGCGCCGAGCGGATGGCCATGGGGTTGACAGTGTAGTACTCGCCCTGGATGGTCTTTGGCTGGCGCATGACGCCGTCGACGGGGATGTGGAACCGGTGGTAGTCCTGGGGCGCGAGGCGGAAGATGCCCAGGGCGCCGCCGCTCTCGTAGCGGGACACGTCTTCCGGGTAGGCGTCGCCCAGGAGGCGCTTGACGCTGAACTCGCGGCCCTTGATCCAGACCTTGGTGGCCGTCTCGATGCGGTTGAAGACGACGGCGCGGCAGTCGGCGGGCGAGACGATGATGCGCGGGTTTTGGGGCGCCGAGCAGGGCCGCGCGCCGGGCTTGAGCGCGCGGTAGAAGAACTCGTTGAAGTTCTTGAACTCGCTGAGCGGGAGGGCCACCTCGGAGAGGTCCAGGCCGTGGAAGGCGATGAACTTGGGGATCTCGGCTTTGGAGGCCGGATCGTCGTACTTCTTGCCCTGCTTGATGCTGAGGCTCTTGAGGAGTTTGCGGACTTTTTGTTCACATGTCAGCTGGGGTTTGCCACACGGTCTGTCGGAAGAAGGGTCATAATGCACTTACTCCTCTTGTTCTCCATGTTGTTGGACTTTAGGCCCTTGTAGAGCAGTCTGATGCCGAGCCTCACGTAAACGCTCATCTTCTCCTCGTTGATCTGACCCGTGATCCGGTCCTGCACAAGGATGTTCGCCGAGTTGGCGCCGAGTTTGTAGCCGCCATATGAGATCTTGGTGATCACTTTGGAGTACCACTTGCGCTGCGCCTGGCTGGACGTGACGAAGCCGCCCATCATTAGGTTGTTGACCTGCCGCCAGTCCTGGCTCGCGCATGTGGCAATGTGGGTGATGATGTCCGTGTCCTTGCGCTTATTCAAGCGCGGCTGGTGACAGATCGGACACTCGCGAATCTCGACCACATGCTCCTCTGCTGAGTTGTTCAGATCATCCCGGCTCAGGAAGTCCCCTTCCTCGCCCGGCGTACTGAGTTCTGGGACCGAAATGGTGGAAGACTCCGCGACTTGGGAATCCGAGGTCTCAACACTCTCGGCTGGCGTCTCAGTTCCCGAAGCGGGACCGTTTCCTGGGATGAGATTCTTGACCTTGTCCGCCGCATCTGCTCCTAGATTCTTCGCACGCTCCGCCAAGCCCTGCGGCCGCGATTTGGCCTGCAGCTGGTCCTCCAGGCAGATGACGGCCTCGTCCATCGTCAGGTCCTCCGCATCATCGTTATCACTCGCCTTATGAGGGAAACGCTGGAAGAAGCTGTCGATGGTGGAGTCGCGCAGAGTCGAACCGAGCGTGTCGAGCATGGTGGTCAGTTCGACCTTGCTGATGCGCCCGCTCTCGTCCGTGTCGTACTGCTTCAGCATCGCCCTCCAGAACTGCTGCCGAAGGGCTGGGTAGGGCATGTACTTGGCGCGGATGGTCAGCTGGGGGTTATGCTTATCCTCCCACTTCTCCAGATTCTTCATCTTGAGCGGGAGCATGTAGGGAATGAAATCCGACTCCTCATCTGGAGTGGTCTCTCCCAGCGTAGAGGCTGCGACGGCAACAGCATTGTCCCCGGGGTGGAGCGCGCCGGTGCTAGGCAACACCGGCTGTGCGCCCTCGGGAACACCATCCGGCTGCCCTTGGGAAGGGCCCGGGGTCACGGCCGGGGTAGGCGTACTGGACGGAGTCTTCGACAGGGCCGGCCTTCCGGACTTGCTTATACTCTGGGTCGACGAGGTGCGAGAGAGTCCTAGCCGCATAAAGCGGGGACGCTGCGCCGGAGCCGAGAAGTCGGGCACATCCTTCAGGTTGTAAAGCCCCGTCGCCGGGTCAGCCTTGGGCGCCTTGTCGATAAGCTCCCGTATCGGGAAATTGACAGTGGCGATGAAGTCATTGCCCGAGTATTTGTCGTGGTCGATGACGGTGAAGGCGAAACTGTACGACTGCTCGTGCGCAAGGACTTGGAAAATCATTTTCTCGTTGAAGACGGGATTCAGGTTGTGCCGGATCGTCTTCGTTCTGTACGTCTTCTTGCCCAGCGACGCGACGACGAAAGGGTCCATATCGAAGCTAGTCTTGGTCAGGTTGGACTCGGGCGGAAGGTCCTGGATGTTGCAGATCTCGAGGAAGATGATGCCAACCACATCGCTGCCGCCGTTGATGAACTCGTAGGGGTTCTCCCTCTTCTTGCGCTTCAGGCCCTTGATCCGCAGTCGTCTCCGCCGCTTATCCGCCGCTTCCGGCTTGGTTGGGTCTTCGTCCTCGGGCGTCTCATCCTCGTACGTATCGGATTCGTCGTCCTCGTCGTTGTCATCCGTCTGGCTTTCGCCGAGCAGCGGAGAGGGCGACGGCGCCTTCCCCTTCTCGACTGGCACTAGCACAGGCGTCCGAGACGGCGTGGGGTTCCGCGACGGGTTGGTGCCAGCTGCGGACTTGACAAGGGCGGCAAACTTCTCCATGATCTGCTGGTCGGTGGCGTGCGGGTTGGTGGTGTCGAGGAGCGTGAACTGCAGCAGAACCTCGCCTGACACCACGCTCGACTTCTTCCCGGGGCGCTTGCTCTTCAGGGGGTACCATCGCGGCAGCTGCTCCGTCTTCTCATCCGCGAATATCTCCTCCAGCGCGACCTCGAACTCGCCGAGGTAGTCCTTTCCGAAGCGATCCTTGTCCCAGCAGCACACGTCGAGCAGCAGGCTCTGGACGCCACTGACGGGAAACTGGCATTGCTCGTGCCACTCGGGATTGAGCGTTTTGGACTCGGTGTGGGTGATGTGCTTCGCTTCGCCAAGAGTCAAGACGAGGTACTGGTTGTTGCCAAGCAGCAGTTAGTACTAGTAGGTAAGGTAGTTGTTGCCAGTTGCAGATTGCCGGTAGATATTTCCCCATTCGACATATGCGATGCTGCACTCACCGGATCCGATGTGCCTCCCCTATCCTTGGCGGCAAGGTCCCTGGCCTACGTTCACACACCAAAAGTCAGTTATCCGCGTCCGTGGCATGAGCAGATGAGCAGATGAGCAGAAGAACGGCTGAGCAGCCCGGCAGCGCGTACCCGTATGATGACGACGTTCAAGACCAGGCCATTGTCCTTGTTGCTGCCCTCTGGGCTCGCCGGATCTCCTTTGCTGCGCATCGGGCTCGTACTACGGCTGTTGGGCGTCGAATTGGCGGCCGAGCTGTTGCTGTAGCCCGGCTTGAGTCGATTGGGGATAATGCGGACCATGGCGGGCGGACGGACGCGGGGTGGACGAGGGGTTTTAGTTGATTAATGCGTTCCAAGGACCTCCCGGCTTCCCCAAAGGTGGGACGGAATCTGGCTGCTAGCATTCGCCGTCGAGCGACAGCTGGGTGCAGATGCGGCCAGGCACCGCGGCTCCAGCCAGCAGCCAAGGCGATCCTGCTTCACAGCCGCTAAACCGGGGAGGTCGTATGGGGTGCGTATGGGGCAGATCGACGGGTTGCTGCAAAATAGTGTACACATACGTCAGGCACCTGGGCAACGGCGCAGAAGCCGGGAAGACCAGAACGTCATCGCAGGCGGCCCTGGTTACGGTTTACATATTCCACAGCGTTCAGCAGGGACGAAAGGCGGTGGGACCGTGGACAGAGATCGGCGGGGCCTTTTAAGATGGGATTGGGGTTTGAGCCCCACCGAGCATGGAACACGGCGCGCAGGCCACCTCAGCTGGGCTGCCGCTCATCAGACAGAAAGAGCTACTTCGTTTGAAAAAAATGGAGGCCGCTCGGGCTCGTCTATTCTTGTCGAGAGCCTTTCCCAGGCGAGATTCGAGGGTGGTTTCAGGGGCGGTTGGCCGGATGGGCTTACATTGCACAATCACCTCAGCTGGGAAAACCCACAGCCATGGATCGATCGATCGCTTCAACATGTGCCGCGTGTCAGACAGCAGAACGGACGAGGATTGGCGCCCCGGCCTGTATAAGTGGTCGAGCGCTCATCGGCAACCAATCTGCTTGGAGAATGCTTGATAGGAACTGCGGCTAGGCTTGGTACACTCATCGGAAAGACAGACCAAAACAACAGTTGCTCGTATGTAGTATGCTATGTACGGGTTGCCGTGTACTTCCAGTTCCATCTGAGATCCCGAGCATGCCGGATTCAGATATTGCCTGTATGCGTGAGGGCCCCGATGACGACGCATCGAAATGTCGACCCGAGCGTGTCTCGTGTGAGCGCACAAAGCCAACCATTGCTCCCAACCCAAACTCAAGTTAAGTGCAAACGCCACCTTCATCTTGCAACAATTGTCCCCCAGCACGGCCATGGCCAGAACAAGTATGGGGTGCGAGATGTCATACGGGACAGGTGGAGCTACCCTTCATTCACCTACTGAACTACTACGACTGCCAGAAGGGGAGAAATTGCTTGGGCTTTCACACTCGACCGTCAGCCGCGGACGCTTCGGCATTCTGCGAACTCTCGGAGAAGCTGTGGTAAAATGTGAGAGGCCATTGGAGGTTGCCGCCCGGTTGATCTTGAAACACGGCGGTGTCCTTTTAGTGGCACACAATCAACTTGGATAACCCATAGAGCAATTCGCATTGCATTGCGACATTCCCGAGTCAGGATCAGGTCTCAGTAGACTTGGTAGGTAACCCTGCAACAGTACTGCATACCCCAGAATACAACACTAGACTGGAAGGACTCCGTGACTGCGGATATTCTCTACCGGTGTGACGGCATTTCAAAACGTATTCTTTTGGTTACCTTGGGTCTCAGTTACTAGGAGTTAACATCTGGAGCGGATCTTATTAACGGTGAACCCTGTTCCGCCGTTGTGGATCGAAATCGCATGTGATGCTTGGCAAGTGTCAAGCTGGAGACGAGTCGAGTTCGTATTCTAACTTCGAAATGAGGACAAGAACACACATAACCTTGCATCTAACTGGGTGTGCCAATGGAAATGACGCTGTTCTGGGAGAGAATTGCCTCCGCCGGCATTGCAGGCTCATTTGATCTCGCTTGAGCTACGGCAAAATATTCTATCATGAGCTGGCTCTCAGGGGCACGCGGTGTGTCGGCCGCCAGTTCTCAAACCGGTATGAGTGGCCGCTCCTTGCTGTACTGGTGCAAAGCTGGGGCTGGGTGATGCCGAAGGACTCGTCTACCCCAAACCATCCCAAGCCATCCCAAGCCATCATGCGTTTCTGGTGTGTATCGTTAGTCGTGAATGGTTTCAAGACATGCACTTAGGCGGCCGCCTTGGCCTTGTATTTCGTTGCCGCTTTATCAAAGAGGTCGCTCTTCTCAGCCAGGTCCACCAAGAACGGATGCTCGGCATCGGCCTTCTGCAGAGAGCTAATAGCATTGTTAGACATCAGCTGCAGGCGATCTGGCCAGACAGTGCATACCTCATCAGCTCCTCCGAGCTCTTCCCGGTTATTACACTCAACACCAGGAGGTTCGCAATAGCATCCGCATACTCGGGCTCCTTCTTCAGCGCTTGGTCCAGCGCGGCTTGCGCCTCCTCTGTCCGGCCGAGATGGAGCTCTGCGACGGCCTGGGAGACCAGGGTCCGTACTGATGATGTCGCAGGCGCCTGTGCCAGCTCCTCGAACACGTAGAATGCTTGTTGGTACTTCTCGCCGCCCTAATCAACGGTAAGTCCCTAGCTATTCGTAAGAACCGGAGGTATGTCCTTGGAATGACCAACCAGTCGCAACCCAACCCACGATTCTGCGAGGTTCACCAGAAGGCTATCCTGCGCCCACCTCCGTGCGGCAGCGACCTCCTTCACAGCGAGATCATTCCTGTTCTGTTGGAGATGAATCTGCACAATAAGCGCAACGGCATCCACTGCATATAACAAACCCGTACTAGTCAGCCTTCATTCGTTGGAGTTGCTTGCTTCCAGAACTAAGAGAAAAAGGGAAGGCAAAAAAAAAGAAAAAAGAAAAAGAAAAAAAGAAAGAAAAAAACGCACAACTCCCCTGATGCTGCCCCAACAGCGCCAGCGCTTCCTCCGACCTGCCCGCCGCCTGCAGCACTGTCCCGCCCAGCACCTGCACCGTGGCGTTGTCGGCCGCCGACTGCGCGAGCCCCTCGACCGTCTTGACCGCCGCGTCGGTGTTGCCCAGCGCCTGCTCCGCCAGGGCGCTCACGGCCTGCAGCTCGGGCGCCGTCTCGCCCCGCACGTCGGCCAGCACATTCTCGGCCTGGCCCAAGGCGACGCGCGCGCGCAGCTGCAGCACGCGGGCGGGCAGCGCGTTCTCCGCGGAGAGCGACGAGACGTCGAAGTCGACCACTTCCTGGTATTGGCCCTGGTGGAAGTGGTTGTGGATGTTGATCAATTCGCCTTCGGCCGAGTAGGGGTCCATGGTGGGCAGGTGGTTTCGGGGTTATGTTGAGGGTGAGGGTTGTCTGTCGTTCGGTGCGGGAGATGCGCTTGACAACTTGACAGTGACCGGTCGGCTTATCGACAACGTGGAGCTTCCTTCTGCGGGATGTGGACTCGCGCGGGACAAGCCGTGCCAAAATCACAGGGTTAGGGTACGTGGTTGCATTCCTCCGTCAAAAATGGGATCACGTTTCCCCTGGCTTCAAGTTCTTACCCAACTTCCATCAGCTCACTGCCAGGCAAGCAGCATGATTTACCCCGGACAGACAAACTATTTTGCAGACGTCGAGGCCCCCCAGATGACCGATTCTCGCCACATATAGGTCATAAGTACTGGTCTCAAAAAGCAAACATCATGCGGCTGGTTATTGTTAGATTTCTGATGTCCTCGGCTTTCGTACGCACTTATTCGTAGACCCCGAAGATACTAGGAAGCCAATCCCTCCGGATGCCGCGTGCCGTGTAGGTACATGTACGTATGTCGCCACGTTTGTCGATGTCCCAACCATATGGATTATAGGACCCCAGCCACCGCGCAGGCACCCAAACGAGCAAAGAGACTGCGGTCTCGATGATCCCTCGGACCCAGATGAGGCTCGCGTCTGAGCCCCTGCTGCTTGCCTCCCGCTACCTGCGGCGCATTAGTCCGACCCGTTATGGAGACCCGCAGTCATTTCGTCGCCTATCTACCTAGATTGAAGCCACGGGAACCGCTCGGGGACCGATCGCCAGTGCCGAGATCGCGGCATGAACGGTTCAACTCATCAAGCTGCCTGGAACCTCAACGTTGCAATTGGTCATCTCTAGCGGAAATGGCAGGCGGTCCAAGGTCGGAACTGTCCTACCCTCGAGCTACCCCAGGACGCTATAGGTTGCGCTCTGGCAATTCACCGATTGGCTTGCCGTACTGCTGTCGGTACTGTACGGAGCACCGTACCTACCTAGTGAATCACACTTATTACCGGCCGAGGTTGCATTTCCCCAGGCAGGGCCGGGAGCTGGCGGTTGGAACAGGGCTGTCCGCGGCAGCATGTCTTCGAGACGGGAGTATTTCGGGGCCAACAGAAAAGCAGCCCGTCCAGCCCAGACGACGCGCTCACCTCTGATTCGAAGACAACAGAAGCAGTTCAACAGTCTTCGTGTGGGTATTCGCTCAGTTGATATGCCCGGCATCGAAGACTCTGCGTGATGAAGAGGTGGCCCTCGCTCGCTGCTTATGCATGGGTGAGGCGCTGCCAAGATGCTTGGTTCTTTATTTAGCCACCCCGGCCGCCATGCTCACCATGCCACGCCATGGCGTTCGCCTAGCGTGCCGAAGGGTGCATGCCGAGAGGCAGTGTTCCCGACTTCGGGAACTAGTACCCATGGTAAGATATCGATCATGGATGTTGGGCGTCGCTTCTGTCCGTTGGAGCGGAGCAAGGCAGGGCGAGCATCCGTCCCAAAGCCTCGATACATATCGTACAGTACAGGCCAAGGCCAAGGCCCGTCCGCTTACTGAGTGTTCTGCAGGATTTGATCATCTGAAGCTCGTACATGCACATACATAACCGGCAAATCCTTCGCAATGCCTGGTCGGAAAACATGCACCACACATGCGTCAACAGCAGGACCCTCCAGTCCAGCCCCTGCTCTGTCATCCTCGTCCCCCAGCCACAGCTCTTCGCACTTGGATCCTTTCTCAGTATAGGTAGCCACGGAAATTCGGAAGGGTTCAAGCTTGCCCTAACTATGATGAGGATCGTTCCCCCTGTGTCTGCATAAACCTTCTTCCTTAAACACAAAGCATTGCCCAGTCCTGTTGTGTATCCTCCTATGTGTTCCCGACGCACACGCTTCCCAGCTCGGCTTCCGCCATGGAAACGGTAATACCGCCGCGGGGCCATGAACCATCCACCTACGGGTACACATGGGACGAAACCGGCGAGGTGATGCAGGCCACAAGGTGCGTTACGGCGCAGCAGATAACTAGCGCTTCAGACGAAGATGTATTTCATCTTATTGTCCACTTGGCGCGCTTGCTAACCTGTCACGAACAAAACCAACATACAGAGTGAGAGACTCACGCTCATTCTCAACCCAACAACGTCTCACTCCAGGGCGGCAATCAGCACCCTGGCCGTTCCAGAGCGTCGTGACGACAACAACAACAATAACAGACGCCGAGATCCCCATCAGCCCTGTCTCGACCTCGCCACCATCACCATCCTACTACCACAACCGGCCGTCAACAATAACAGCAACCACAACAACAACAACAACAACAACAAGACGGTCAACATATCAGCCGTACCGACCTCCTTTAAGTAACACCAACGACAGCTGGCACAGCAGCAGCGGAGAAGGAGAAGGAGTAGGAGAAGGAGAAGGTGACCTAGCAGCAGCAGCCCCAGCGGAGCGAGACATCGTCCCAGACTCCTATGTCGTCAACTTCCTAACAAGCGGCCGGGGCTGCGAGCCCACCACCACCACCACCACTACCACCCGGGAGACAGCAACAGCACCACAGGGCGGCGGCGCACATGTCGATCCACTGCGGGGCAATCCTGTCTTCTACTTCTACCACAACCACCACCACCACGGAGACGAAGACGAAGGGCGGCGGACAGCCGCCACGCCCCAGCGCCGCGGCGTGGACATTGTGGACCCGCAGCTCCTCCCGAGCTCACAGCAGCAGCAGCACCGGTCGAGGGTGGCGGACTTTGAGGGCTTCGACTTCGGCAATGATGACGCGTTCGATTCACTGCTGGAGCGTGTGGATAGCCGCGAGGGGGCGGATGGCGACAACCTTGATGAGCAGGAGGAGGAAGGCGAAGGGGAGGGGGAGGGGGTGGGGGAACAGCGGCGGTTTTTGGCTTCTTCCGGGGAAGACGGAGGTCAGGACTTTGGGGGTGAAAAGGGCGATGGCGCCGGCGGTGGCGGTGGGGGTGGGAGGAGCAGCGGGTGGTGGAAGAAATGCTGCGAGGGAATTGGTGGTGGTGGTGGTGGTGGTTGTGGTGACGGGTGGCGAGCCGCGGTTGCGATGATTGTGCTGGCGACGTTCACCATACTGATCGCCGGCTTCGTGTGTCTTGTCGTGGCCATAACGGGCGTGTCGCCGGCGGAGGATGGGCGGACGGCCGTCTTCGCGGGATCCTGCACCACAGCGAGGGCGATTGATAGGGGACTGCACGCCGCTATCAATGTTCTTGTTGTCGTGCTGGTCGCTGGGGCTAACTACACCTTTCAGATCCTCAGCAGCCCAACGAGGAGCGAGGTCACGGCAGCGCACCAGGGGAGGGAGTGGTTGGATATTGGCGTCCCGTCGTTCCGGAACCTCGGGCGCATCCGGGGCAGCCGGACGCTGTTGGCTGTTGTGCTTCTGGCGACGGCTGTCTCGACGCAGATGTTGTAAGTTGTTCAGTGAAGGCCGGGAGCTAGTGCCATTACTTACGAATCTCAGGTATAATGCTGTAATATTCGTCTCACAAACGGCGCCGAGCCTCAAGGCAGTCGTGGTAGGAGAGTCTTTCCTCGAGGGCAGCCCCTTCAGCAACGGCGACGCAGAGACCGTGGGCGGACTCAGCCGCCATGAACTCTTACTCCTCCAGCGGCGGGCAGCGCGGGATGAGCTTGTTCGTCTGTCCACACCTGTGTGCATCGACCACTTCAGCGGAGCTTTCCAGGAAGAATACTCGGCTGTACTCGTAATATCTAATAACAAACCGCCCATCTCAGAGAGCTCCGACATCAGAAGAACGACTGCCAGCGATATCCGGTACTGTCTCGCCCAACCCGCATCTGCTCCAACATGTGAAGTCAACCTGAACGCGTCCCTGCTGGGGACCGTCTCCCTCCTCAATTCGATCGCCCTCGTCGCCACTGCCGCTGTCCTGTTCATGCGCCCATCATCCTTCCGCCCGCTCGCTACCCTCGGCGACGCCATCTCCTCTTTCCTCGAGGAAGCCGACCCAATGACGCAAGGAAGCTGCCTCCTCTCCAAGGCCGACGTCTGCCAGGGCCGTTGGCCGCTCACGGAAGCCAAGTTCTGGCTTCCCAAGAACCACTACTGGCTGCACAGTGTTTCCTTTCCCCGCTGGGTCGTCGCCTTCTTCATCTGGGCAACCTGCGTCGGCCTCGCAGCCACGGCACTGGCCATCTCAATCCCCAACCCCGACGACGACGACTCCTCCGCCGCACGACTCTCCCCCTTCGGCACCGCGTCTCCGCACACCCTACTCCTACTACCAGCGAACACCCCGGCCGCAGCCGCCGCCGTCGTCGCCAGCCTGCCCCAACTCCTCCTCGCAGCCCTCTACTTCGCCACCAACGCGCTGCTGACAAGCTACTTCCTCTCGCACGAATCCTCCCTCTTCGCGCTCAAGCCCGCCCGGCCCTTGCGCGTGTCCGCCGCCGCCAACCCGGCCGGGTGGCAAACGACCTCCCTGCACCTCACCCTCCCGGGCCCCGTCTCAGCGCTGCTCATGGCCCTCTTCACGGCAATGTCCTTCGTCCTGAGCCGGAGCATCTTCGCCGTCTCGGTGCACCTCGTCGACGTCCCGCTCCTTGACCTTGCCTCCTCCTCCTCCACCGCCCCACCACCACCAAACCCTCCCTCCGAAACAACGAAGCGAATAATAGTCGGCCTCGGCCTGAGCGGGGCGGGGCTGCTCGCCCTACTCTCTTTGTTAGCTGCCCTCGCCGCGGGCGTGATAGCCCTCGGTCTACGCCGCGCACCCCCCGCCGCAGGCGGCACCGTGAGCAGCGGCGGCGGCGAAGAAGAAATGGTCGGCAACCCGATGGCGCTTCCCGCCGGTTCGTGCAGCGCTGTCATCAGTGCGCGGTGTCACCCCCTTGCGAGGGAGCGGACTACTATTACTACTAGTGCTACTACTAGTACTACTACTGCTGCTAGAGAAGGGGCGCGGGAGCTGCTGTTGTGGGAGAAACCGGTTATGTGGGGGGTCGTGAGGGAAGGGGTTGGCTTCGCGCCCAGTCATTGTGCGTTTACCGCCGGTAGGGCCGGGGTTGTTGGGGCTGGGCGGAATTATGCTTGATTTTGATTTTACGGGACATATTTGATGATACTTTATGAGTACCTAGAGGATTCCTATTGGGAAGGAATGGGTTAGATTAGTGAGTGCTGATGAGGTTTGGCGTTTTCGGTGTTTTTGGAACCACGGATGGGCCGGTAGGGAATGGGATTAGAACGGCGTGATGGTTGGACTTGTTTAACATGTGCAGTTTGTTGTTGTACATCCCGTTCGTTATATACCCTCGAGCATGGGAAAATGGAAAGACAGATGCTGCATAGGTGGGAATCACAACACCTGTACAGGGACTCGGGGTTTCCATCGCAAGTGGTGGTGAAATGGTTCGGCCTTTCAACAGCCCCTTTGCGATCTCTATTGCATCATCATCATCTTTGACCACTTCCATAATAACCTTCCCGATGCTGCATCGCAGTTCGCAGTAGTGGCTGCATGTTCTCCCGCCTAACAAGGTAAGTTCCTCCGCATGACGGCCAACCCCTAACTGGGGAGGCGGGTATCGTTCTGCCATGCAGCTCGACGGTACATTCAGTAGAGCTTCAAGCGCCGAGAACAAAAGAAGCAACACAAATAAGCCCTGGCCCGGTCTAGGTCTATGCATGTCTTATTGGACCTAAACAACCCTCCTGATGCAAAGCATGGATAGGCGGTACCTTAGTGTTTTACTTCGTATATATACCTTATATAAGGTAGGTACCTAAGCACCGTAAAATTCACGGCCAGTCACAACTTCTCCCCAACATCTCGGCCAACCGCTCCAGCCACAGCCGATCCACCTCGTCGAACCCGTTCACCTCGGTACAGTCGATGTCGATGATGGCCACCACCACCTTCTTCTTCTTATGCTCCTCCTCCTCCTCCCCCACCCCGTCTGCATCTGCGCCTGCATCTGCGCCTGCATCTGCGCCTGCGCCTGCCTTCCCTACCGACACGGTGATGGGCACCACGATCTCGCTCCGGCTGTCGCCGTCGCACGCAATGTGGCCCGGGAACGACTCGACGTCGGCCACCAGCTGCGTCTGCTGCGTCGCCGCCGCCGTGCCGCACACCCCGCGGCCGAAGGCGATGGTCTGGCACGCGACCTTGCCCTGGAAGGGCCCCAGGATGAGTTGGGGGTTGGATGGCGGGGAGAGAGGGTCGTGGGTGTAGAAGCCTAGGTAGTAGATTTAATTTATGGGGTTCAGGTTTGTCAGGGTGTCAGGGTGTCAGGGTTCAGGTTCAGGTTCAGGTTCAGTGGTTGTGGTTTTAAAGGAGGAAGGGGGATTTCGGAGTGATGAGTTGAGGGTAGAGGAGGACGGGGTTAAACCCATTGGGTAGGGTGATCGAGGCGTTTGCGGGGAGAAGGAAGGGGAATGAATGGTGAAGGAAGGAATTCACTCACCTGCCCAGTTGACTTTGTTGCTTGGGGAAGGGAGCGATTTGTAGGCGTGCCAGAGGAGGGAGGCGGTGTTGGCGAGGTTGCTATACCCGGGAAGGTGGTAGTTACCTGGTTTTTAGTGAAACACCCAAAAAATGAAGACGGAAGGGCGGGAAAGGGTGAGAGTTGAGACTCACCAGACCTAGACGTTCATATGTGAGCAAAGTATGAGTTGTCAGTAGGGGTTAGAAAAGGCAAGGCGGAGCAAGTTAAATCTCAGCGAGGCATCCCCCGCATTGACATGATGTGTCCGCTCCCTCCAGCAAGGATCCATATAGAGTTATAGACTTAAACTCTTATATCTACTTACCCAATTCCTCTGCTCAAAGAACAGACCTTCCGCCTGGTCTAGCACCTGTTGGTACGCCTCCTCCTTCGTGATGCCCTCGCTGAAATTGGATGCATCTGCGTGAACCTGAGCGGCGTTAACAGAGTAAGGTACATCATTAGTGAGAGTATATAAGGATGCCAGGTAAGGGAGAATAAGCTGCACTCACCATCTTGGCTGTGTGGTTTATGACCTATGTCAGACTTAGCTGCTTTCGGGAGTTGTGTATGTAAAACCGCAAAGGTTGTTCGCCGGGAAACAGTGGGGTTGCGGATAATAGCGCAATTCTTGGTGTGTAAGCGGGGGCATACAGGAGGCAGTGACAGCGACCCCCTATACAGTACTACCAGTAAGAACAATCTGGTTCAGGTAAAGAAGAGAAAAAGAAGGAAACATGGAAGTCGCCGGAGCCTCACGTCCAAAGCTGACCTGGCTAAGGGGCTTCTTAAATTACAATGCATATTCCGCTTAGTCAAGCAATTCTACCACCGAATACAGTACAAGTTCCCCTCTCAAACCCGACCCAGCTCCAGCGACCAAGCGAACCAAACTGTAAACAAGTTGAATCACAGCCTTCCTGGCAAGCCAACCCACGCTGCTCAAGATTAGAGAAGCCGGACGTTAGATAAAGAAATAAAGTGAACGAAACGCCTGTGTGCGTGCACCCCCCGTCCGCACTTCACAGAAGCAGAGTCCCAGTAAGAGTCAACACCAGAAGTAGCCCACTGACAATGAAGGGGGATTTATCAAAACCACCGTTCACACCGCCGGCCCTAGCGCCAGCGTTCCTGGTGCTGGACGCCGAGGCCCCACCAGACATGGCCGCAGAGCCGGGTTCCGCGGTGCCAGTGCTGGTGCCCGAGTCAGCAGCCAGCTGCGATCCATCACCTTTCAGGCCCGGACCGGCACCGGCTCCCTCGGACATGAACTACAAGCAAATCTGTCAGCATGATTTGATTCTTTCTGGAACGCCAGGGTCTGTCCCACTACCAACCTTCTTGGCATTGTCAGGAATGGCCGGCAGCAGCGAGGTGTCGACAAGCCAGTTCGCGTCCTTGGTCGGGCATGCCACCGCTTTGGTCGTCGACGTGAAGCCGCCATCACCCGTGGGAGCCGGGTTCTCCGAGAGCGCCTTGGCGAACTTGGAGAAGCCGTCCAGCTCCTTGACACTCGTGGCTTTGGGGTTGGCAATGGAGACGATGCCGAAGCCGTTGTCCTCCATCGCGTACTCGTACATCAGGCCGCCCGAGTAGACACTGGTCATCTCGTCGCTCATCAGGGCGTTAACCTCGCCGAAGTCGCGGCCATTGGTGGTGCAGCCGTACTCGGACAAGCTTGCTGGCGGTTAGCGCAACTTCCTCCCTCGGTTATTTCTTGCGTTCTGATGCAGATGAACCTACAAGATGGCAATACCGTAGCCGGTGAAGTTCTTCACCTTCTGGTCCCAGCCGGACTCCTGGAAGTTGGTATTGCACCACGAGTAGTCATTCTACCCCGCGTTAGAACAAGCACACAGCCTGTCTGTGTATGGAGGATTGTGCACTCACAAAGGCAAAGAAATCACTCCTCTCATCGTCGGAGCCACAGTTCATGTAGTGGGCGAGCTGCATGCGATTCTGGGCGACATCGGCCGCCGAATACCCAACCGGCACGGAGCGGTAACCGCGACTCTTGATGTACTGCCTCATGTCACGGGTGACAGCCTTGACATACTTCGCAGCGAGAGTGCTAGTCACGTTGTCGTTGACGACTTCATTGCCCGAGAAAAAGGCAAGCGTATTGTCGTACTTGATGAACGCATCGATGGTCGCGAAGACGCTCTGCAGATACTTCGTGTTGTACGACGGGCCCGGGTCGGCGCGGTTGATCGAGTACAGCGGGTTGTTCGCGTCGATGATCGCGTAAATACCAGCATCGGCCAGTGCCGACATGCATTCGTCATGATTGGCAGAGTTGTCTGTGATGTACACGCGGACGGTGTTGACTCCCAGCTTCTTGAACTCGGCGATGTCTCGCTTGCAGACAGTGGTGTCGGCTAGGGGATCGGCCATGTTCGAAGATCCTCCCGGCTGGTAGTCGATACCCCGGATGTAGAACCGGGTCTTGTCCTGCCAGAACGCTGCGCGATTCCCATGTTAACTAGCCTTCCTCAAGGATTCTTGTTCACACAACGCCGTACCATTTCCAGATACTGTGACGGTAGGTAGCGATGCCCGTTTGCTGGGCGGCTCTGGCTTGGTCGGGGTGGGGTTCGCTGTCGCCAGCCCGAGGACAGCCAAGACGGGCGCTAAGGTACAGGATTTCATCTTGGCGATTGCTTAGGTCGCGGGATCGATCGCCAAGCTCAATTGCCAAGGTCGCGTTGCAGGCCTTGTTCCAGAATCACGGTGCACTTGAGGCTGAGGCAGCGATTGTGGTTTCGTAGAAAAGAACGAGGTCGAATTTGCGCTTATGAAGAAGTCTGAAGAAACGAGCGAGCGACGTGAAACAGGAGAAGATTACGAAGAGTGCCTGATCAACCCGAGCAGGTGAAGTGAAGGTTTAACAAGTTCCACGGGGTGGAACATAAACTGGGGAAGTGGTGCAAGTTAAAAGGGGATGGACAAGAAGATGCTCCAGATGCCGGGATGGCAGATAGTGAGCAGGACCAACCAGAACAGGCTGGCAGCTGCTTCAGAATCCAGATCCAAGGCAAAGGCGCCTGCACTGCCAACCGCGTGTTACAGCTTGAAAGAAACCCGAGCCCACCGCTGGGTCCTGACACAGTATCTAAACGGTGTGTAAGTGTGTTCGGGACGACAGTATGATACGCCTTGAACAATTGCTCGCTGGCACTGGCTGGCACGACCTAAGGTTACAAGTGATGAGGTGGCAGCCCGACCATGTTGTACCAAGATGGATGTCACACTTCATTCCCTTCCATTGCTGCTTCTGTGGTCAGTTATCAGCCAAGTAGGAACCAGAAGCTCAGCCGTGTGCATAGTAGCATGGAGATTGAGTTGGCACGGAGCTCGTGGAAAGCGCTTGGCCCACATGGAGGGAGCGACAGCGTCACGTCATTTGCGGGATCCGGACTTCCAGGTTGGGCATCCCTGTTTCCGCTGGCTGCCCCTGTCTATCACATTCCACTGCGTAGGTGGTAGGTAAGCATCCTCGAGGCATCTTCAAACAACCCAAGGGTCGGGACCTGGATCACTCCGCGTTCTATGAATGCCACTGCACCTGGGCAGTATACCAGCAAATTCAGGCTGCCTTGACAACCTCGGATCGACGTGATGCACTACACTCTACGGTACACACATGTCTACCTGCTTTTTAGCATAACCATTTGGAACCCAGTGCTTCATTCCATGCGCGCTTCCTCAACCCCGCAGACGCCATGCTGTGCATCCTCCTCTGCAAGCCAAACCCTACCATACCTTACCTACATAGGCCTCTCAAGTAAGCCAACGACGACTCGGATACCCTTCAGACAGCCTGTATATAACTAGCCGGCACGCTCTTGGTCACCCCTCCCTTTTCCACCTCGGCCCACCCGTCCCCGGGATCCTCCTTGATCAACACGAACCGTTCACCCTCGACCATGCTATGCTCTGCGTCGCTTTGCGCCGTGTAGTCGTACATGGCCTCCACATACTTCAGCTTCTTAGCACCCCGCTTCGGCGCTACCGCTGGGCCCTTCTTCTTCCCACCGGATGGGCCCGACGTCCCGATGGAAGAGCCACTATTCGAGTAAGTCGACGGAGGCCGCGCCGATTGGCCAGTGTGTTGCGGCGCGATGGCGGCTGGTGGTGCTGCGGCGGTCATCTCAATGTAGCTTGCCGGTACCAGACCTTCCTTGTAGCCTGCCCGGACTTTGACCCAGCCGGAGCCAGCTTGGAGGTGAAAAAGAAAAAAGAAAAAGGTTAGATGACATGCGGTTACTTGTGAGGAACTTGAATGCCTAGCCACTTACTGTCGGGTTCTAAGACGACGAGGTCGCGGCCCTCTGGCACGCTCAACTCTCCCGGTGCTCCGGCCTCAAAGCTGTATAGCATCTTGGCCTTCTGCTCCGTTGCCTGGGACGAGCCGTTCGGGGTACTACCCGGCAACTCGCTCACATAGGCAGCTGGCGGGGGTGCCATGACACGCCTCTTGGCGGCCGTCGATGGGGCTGTGCTTGTCGGCCGAGTCGCGCTCGGCACTTCAGGCGGCGTAGGTTCTTCTGCTGGGGACAAGGGGCCAGTCATTGACCGCTGTGAGCTGGCTGCGTATCCCGACCTTGCAGAGGCGACAGTGTCGGAGCGGCTGAGGGTGGGCAGGTCGGCCACATGCTCTGGCGGCGCGCTCGGTTTAAGCAAAGCGTTTGCCGCCTCCTGGCGCTCCTGCTTTAGTTTCTTGCGCTCCTCCTTGGACTGCTCCCCCGGACATTCGGCCGGGACCTTCATCTCGCACTTGCTGTGGCATGTGTAGCCGCAGTCCCGGCAGTCGAACCCCTTGGCCGACAATCCCCAGATCCTTTCCCCGCAGAGGTCGCAGTTCGTAGGGATCTTGAATGTCTGCGATTTGAAGTTGTGGTTCTTTGCGCCGAGCGTCACATCGCCCACCGCCGACGTGATGGTGGACGTCTCGACTTCGGCCGTCAGGCGCTTCCGGTCCACTTGGTGCAGGTCCTCTTGCATCGAGAATACCTGCGATACCACGGCGACCTCGTCCTTTTGCTCTGTTCCGTCCCGAATCCTCTGCTTCACCCTCCTCATCGCCTCCACCTCCCTCCTCTTCTTGTCCGCCTCGCGCCGTAATTCTCCGAGCTGGCTCTTCGACTTGTTGAGTAGGTTGCGCAGGTAGATCTTGGCCGTCTCGTCTACGATCATCGCGCCGTCATCATGCCATACCGGGCACGGCTCAAAGATCTTGTCAGGAGGCTCCTGGAAGGCGCCCATGTTGTGTCGTATGTACATCATAGAGTCGAGGTGCGGCTGGTTCCGGGTAATCTCCTGGCTTAAGTGGTTGACCTGGCTGGCGCTTTCCTGGAGCATGCTAGCCTCGAGCTGGGATGCCAGAGTCCATAAACCGTTCAGCCTAAGTGTACGGAATTCGGAGAGGTCCTGGAGGCTATCCATGACCTCGGGTAGGTACTCGTAATAGTACTTCTCCTTTTGCTTGTTTGTGACGTTGATGGCAATCAGGTAAGTATTCTTGACGTTATTCATCTCGAGAATCTGTTGCTGGAACGCGCTTTGTGCTTTGGCCTTGTCGAACGCGGACTCGGTCTTCTTGCGCTTGCTCTCCACCTCTTGACAAGCAGCGTCGTACTTGGCCTTCACCTTTCGGAGATCAGCGTATGAGCCATCTCGTTCCTTCTCGAGCTTCTCGGCGTATTCGGCGTGGCGCTTGCGCAGCTCCTCGAACCTTGTCGCTATGTGTTTCAGGGGCTCTGCCACCTTGCCAATCAAGTCGTTTCCGTACCGTTCGTGCTCGTTAGCCCGTGCTTCTAGTGTCGTAAGATGGGTCGTCCAGGTCGTGAGGGAAGCGCTGCGAAGTACGGTTGTAAGCCCAGCAGTGAAGAGCGCACGATGCCCGTCGCGCATCATGGGGTCATACCTCTCAAGCGACCCGGGGGTCATTGTCGGAGTGTCCCCTACACTCAGACTCGCCGACTTACGCGTCTTTTTCTCAAAGTACTTCTTGGCCAGCGCATTGAGCTTCGCGCTATACTCCTTCTCAATCGCACTTCGTTCGCGGTAAAACGACTGGATATCGTCTAGCCATGCGATGCCGTTGGCAACCCAGGCGTTTGCCGGCTTGAACCCGTCCTATCGTGTCTGCGTCAGCTCGACTCGAAGGAGGCCGGCGCGAATCCGGAAGGTAGGCCGTACCTTGAGCTCTGACCCGAATGTCGGGGCAACATCCACCTCAGCCATGATTCCCTTGCGCGTCCAAAATCCTTGACTCCCCGGCCCTGATCATTAAAGACAGCCCAAGCAACGGACACATGCGGAACTCTTTCTCCTGTGCGTCGACAAGTCTGATATGCGGGGTTCAGGGACGCGGCCCGGTACCGTTAGGTCAAGTGGGCAGTGCTGCAGTTGGCATGCGCTGCAATGGCGCCAAGAACAGCACCGCTGGGTCAAACTGTGGAATGCTAATAACCGAACTCCTAGCACGTAGCTCAGCTTTCTCGGTTAGCATCGATATAACGTTATCGGGACAGTTGTGCCCAAGTACTTCGTAAGGGAAATCGTTGGATAGTGGGGACTGTTTGGGCTTCAGGCTGTATAACTATGGTAAGGTACAATACATGTAGATACCACAGACTCATTCTCACCCCTCTCCTTTCTCCTTCGTCATTTTGTTTCCCTGCTTCTTTCTTCTTCTGAGCTTTATTTTCTATTCTTATCTCTTCGATTCGGTTTCACCTGCCAAACTATCATCACTCATTTTAGCTTGGGGCACAGCTTTGTAATGATCAGGGCAAGAATAGCACGTGAATAGGTGCAAGTAACTCTATTAACGACCCCAAGTGCGGCAGCAAATCCGTAGCATGTGGCTCGAGGTTGTCGAGTCGGTGTCATGTCACGTGCATCAGCCCCGTGAAAAGAGCACATGCGACAAGGCAGGGCATAATCTGACCTATCAAACCCCGCGTACGCACCCTGCAGCTCCACTGAGCTTGCCACTTCGCGAGTTGTACGGAACTACAGATTACTGTATTCGTACAGTACTTCGTCATGCCAGGCTCCAGGATAGCGAAGTTAAATGGCTACGAGTTGCGAAGCATCAAGCCCGTGCGCCCAAAGTCTAGCTGCTGCAGGCTACCCTCACCTCCCTACCCCATGATTGGAAGTGAAGATACGACGAACCTGAGTGATTGAGGTGTGCTGGCACCTAGTATATATTCGATAACCCCCCGCGGATCTCCCAGCTTTTCGGTCTCTTCCTTTCCCCCAACTTTGAAGTATCAGCCTTACTACCCCGCCAAAACTACAGAACCCCACACTAGTATCTTCAATCCGCGCTTGTTGGATTTTGAGCTTCCATTTCCTCAAAGAAACAACAACCAACTCGCGTTCGTTGTTCTCCACACCTGCTCCAGGCATTTCTAGACTTAGGAGGCTTTTTGAGCAACCCGCTTATACCGACCGACTTCTTTAATTCTCACCGAACCTGCGAGGAATACCAGAACCATGGCAGACCTCGCGAGTCGTATTACCAACCCAAACGAGGCGCCAGTCGACAAAGTCACGCCCGTTGCGGAAGCCACCGGCTCCGAGCAATTGATTGACGATGGGGGTAGCGGTGGAATTGTCGACTCGACTTATGAAGTTGAGGTGAAGCTCGCCGATCTGCAAAACGATGCTTCAAACCCCCTCCATTCGAGCGTTTCGTCATTCGAAGAGCTCGGACTCGCTCCAGAGATCCTCAGCGGGCTGCTAGCTATGGGCTTCAAGAAGCCCTCGAAGATCCAGGAGAATGCGCTTCCTCTGATGCTTAAGAACCCCCCCCGCAACATGATTGCACAGTCCCAGTCCGGCACGGGAAAGACAGCCGCATTTGTCCTCACGGTCCTGTCGCGCGTCGATTTCGCACAGCCTCAGCAGCCCCAAGCGCTTGTCCTGGCGCCGAGCAGAGAACTTGCGCGCCAAATCCAGAAGGTGATCCAAGAAATTGGACGGTTCTGCACCAATTTGATTGTCCAGCTTGCCGTTCCCGGCTCGATTTCGCGCGAGACGGGCGTGAGAGCGAGCATTGTAACGGGAACTCCGGGTACCGTTATGGACCTGATCCGGCGCCGCCAGTTCGACGTGTCGCAAATGAAAGTTCTCGTTATGGACGAGGCCGACAACATGCTGGACCAGCAGGGGATGGGCGAGCAGTCTGTTCGGGTGAGAAAGTATGTGTCTTTTTAACACATCGTCCTAGGGTTTCTAAGCTAACTGACGCGGCATAGTCTGCTTCCGAAAGAGACGCAACTCCTTCTTTTTTCGGCCACCTTCCCCGAGAAGGTCCTGAACTTCGCGCGGAAATTCGCGGGTGACGCGAATGAGATCAAGCTTCGGCACAACGAACTCACGGTCAAGGGCATCTCTCAGATGTATATGGACTGCCCCGATGAGAGCAAAAAGTACGACATCCTCTGCAAACTATATGGTCTCATGACGATCGGCTCGTCCGTCATCTTTGTCAAGGTATGCTTGTTGTCGTCTGCGTATGGTTGAAGAGCATAGGTACTGACGATCGATTTCAGACCCGTGAGAGCGCCAACGAGATCCAGCGGCGCATGGAGGCAGATGGACACAAAGTCTCAGCGCTGCATGGCGCACACGAAGGGGCGAACCGTGACGCCCTTCTCGATGACTTCCGGTCAGGTCGGTCTAAAGTGCTGATCACTACCAACGTGCTGGCCCGCGGCATCGATGTGTCCAGCGTCTCAATGGTCATCAATTACGACATCCCCACGAAGGGCTTCGGTGATCGTGAACCCGATCACGAAACTTATCTGCATCGCATTGGCCGCACTGGCCGCTTTGGACGGGTGGGCGTCAGCATTACCTTCGTGTACGACCGCAATAGCTTCGACATGCTCTCAAAGATCGCGAAGCACTATGACTTGGACCTCGTCCAGCTAAGCCCGGATGACTGGGACGCGACGGAAAAGAAGGTTCAAGACATCATAAAGTCGAGCCGGGCACGGCCTGATTACGCGCCTAACCCGCTCGGAAACTGAGACCGCTCGTGTAAGCGGAAGGGGCGGGATATTTTTTACAGCACTATTTAAAAGCTTCTTGGCTTGAATGTGATACCCTACGGGGGTATCACCGGGCAATTATGGAGTTCCACATGGATTGACTGGCGGCCGATTTGGCGCCATCACGTGTTAATGGAACGAAAACTGTAATGGAGAGGTAATCAGGAGTTCTTTGATAGGGTGCAATAGAAGTTATCATGGCTTTTGATGCCACAGAGAGATGTCAAGATCATATGATGATGGCTCAAGTTATGGTCAAAAGAGAAACAAGGCCACATCCAGCAACCACCAGAACTCGCAGTCTCCAAAAACGCGGCAAGGCGTCATAATGGTGTTCTAGACATGCGCGAAGGTTCTCAGCGTTTTTTTACCTTTGGCGCCGGTGAGGGCGTCTTATGCATTCGGTGTATCACAGAGGCTGGAGTGCATATGGAGATTGTTTCAACTTTCACTTGACACAGTGATCGCCCTTTGGACGCTTGCTTGCAAATGCGCGGCTACGGCTACATACCAGCTTGCATCCGCTGATCTTTCTTCGGTTCCGAGTCCCGCTCACTCAGCCCCACTCAAAACGGCAACACACCAGCCAGGGCTCGCCAGGGTTATTTTGGATCTTGATCTGCAACAAACGTCGCTTCACCTGCTCTGGCCTACTCTGGGGAGTTGGCATTTTTAACACATCTTGGTTAGGCCACCAGCTTCAGTGGTAGACATTCGAACACGTCGAAGGCCAAGACCATTAATAGAAACGGGCAGTCAACGAAGCCTTCTAACTGAGGTGTGCTGACCGATGATTGGTCACTGCGGCAAGCCTTCCACGTGACCTGCTCCACGAACACTTACACGGAAGCGCCCAATCACCACGCGCGAACATCTTCACCCATTTTTAGGCGCCGACTAAGCGCGCTCGCCAATCTCGGGCGCCGAGCTTCACAGCCATTCATTTGATGGCATGCAGCACGGGCTGGCAGCAGGGACCCCAACTTTAGAGGCGCCGATGGTGTCCTCGTGCAGGTACCGCCACGCCTCAATCGGAAATCTGGGGGGTTACTCAAATCTGAAATCTGCGCTTCTGGCCAATGAGGCCGCCTCCCGGAGCTCGGCGCAGACACCGGGCAGCAAATGCTGCCGATGCCAATTCTCGAACCGGACAATCGCGCCTCCTACAGGCGTGCGTGGGCAATGACGCAGCGACGCGGTGCACCATCGGCTCAGTTCGAGCGGCAGGGGACGTGCCGTGTTATGTATGGTTGCTCCGGGACAGCCACATCATTAAGCGCAGGGTGAACGACACGCTTTGAAGCCACTGGCCGGCCGAGGGCGGCAAGGAGTAAAAGCAGAAGATGGGCCGCCTGGCCGGTCTCTCACGGGTGGCCCTGTCCATCTTCGACTCGTCACGTCTTTTCCTTGACACCTCTGTGCTGTGACATTTTCTTATTGTTTCAAGTTCTCTTGAGAGTTTGGCACCTTCAGTCTTGGGACACGATCCCGTGTTATTCGTTACTTCTTTTGGATCCGGCGGTTGTTGGCTGTCTCGCTGTCACCGGCACACGACTCTCTGACCGTTCTCCTATCTCTGCAGTGCCGTCTCTCGCTACAGTAGACTCATACCTCTACATACAATGAGAGATGCTGGCCATCTCCCTCTAATGTCTAAACGCTAGGACACGAACCGGTCAGTGGTTAAGTGTTACACTGGCTCTTCTGCCCGTCCTCAGCCGCCAAGGCCACCCGGCGGCCGACTCTCTATCAGGCCCCCTACCTCTGCGGCCGCCGCGACAGCAAGCTTAACTATTGCTATCGTGTTTCCACCGACTCCGAAGCGGGCTCAGCACTCTTTGCAGTTCTGAGCACAGATGGACTGAACTCTCGTTGAGGTGCGCCGAGCAAAGGTTCCCCCTTAAACCTTAAAGAGAGGCCATGTTGCCCCCCTGACGTCGATGACTGACCTCTGCTTCCAGATGTTGCTTGGGAGGATGGCATATCGGCTATCCCTATTATGCCTCACGCCGTGGATGATACTTCCCGCCATTGCTGCCGTCGCAACTACCAACATCAGGCCCGAGGTCTTGAATTTTGTGCCAACCTGCGCCCAGAATTGCTTCGAGTCGTTCATCTCGGCCAACTTCGACGCCGGCATATGCGGGAACTCGCCGTCGTTAGAATGCCTTTGCCGCCAGCAAGGAAGCTCCGGGTATACCGTCGGCGAAGGCGCAGTGTCATGTCTGGCCGGGGAGAGCCGGTTCGGGGCTTGCCAGGGCCAAGACGGTATCAGTCAGTGGGACCACCGAACCACAGAGGTGAGCTGGGCTAATCATCAGCAGACGATGCGATAGCGACAGCCTACAACATGTGTGTTGGGATTTCAAAGGCAGAGCCCATGACTCACTCGACCATTGTGGCCACGCTTGTCATCCCGTCGGGAACAGGGCCGCTTCTCGTCCCCACCGCGATTTCGACGGCAACGAGCAAAGCATCGGCAACGACTGCGCCGACGCCGACGTCGACTGTCAGTCTCCCAACAGGGACTGGGGCGCCGGGGTCCACCACACCTACTTCGTCAACAACCGTGGTATCTCCCACAGCGACGGCCACTGAAAGCCCAGCCTCTTCAGAGAGCCAACCACAACTCGGCAGCGCACAGATCGCGGGGATCACGCTCGGGTGCGTCGCCGTGGTGGTCTTTGGGATCCTTCTGGTGTTGCTCGCCAGATGCGTGCGTCGGAGAAGATTTGGCGACCTGGAGGCCGGCTTCTCCAAGATGAGGGACTCGATGAGTTTCGGGAGGAAAAGCCGCCCCAACAGCGCTCCGGGCATTCAGATCTCCAGCCCGATCCCCAGAGTCCAGGCAAAGCGAGACCCCATGGACCCTCGGTGGCAACCTCAGATACCTGTCATGTACCAGCAGGGCGTTGGCCTTGCTTTCTCTCCGTCCGCTGCCCGTGGTGGAGTATCTGCAAAGCCGTCGCCAGTCCCGGCCTCCACTGCTGGTCCTCCTCTTCCTCCGGTTCCAGCCCCAGGCCCAGGCCCAGCCCCTTCGCCGGCTCCAGCCCCAGCTGGTGCCGCGCAAAGCGTGCCGAGGCTGATCCTGAGCCCGCCGCCGGCGGCTCAGCCCCCGAGGGCGGAGCGAAGTCCGCCGAAGCCGACATTGACTCTCGCCATACCCAAAGCCCCCGAGCAGGTGGTTCGCGTGCCCACTAGCGGAAGGGATAGTGTAGTTACCGAGTTCGCTGAGGATGGAGAGGCCGAGCTTGCTCCTGGAACGACGATCTGGCGACCACCAGCTACGGACCCGCTGTCGGCCACAACTATCTACTTCGCCGATAAGGGAGGCAACTGGATACTCCGCAATACATCGACGAGGAGACCGGAGATGCCAACGTCCAAGATGGCTCGCGCACCCACAAGACCCCCCATCAAAGAGGGGCCTCAGGCACGCGGCGAAATCGAGTTGCCGAGCCCAGAGCATAAAACAAAGGCCGAGAGAGCCAAGGACGCCTATGGCGAGTTTTCACCGGATGCCCTGGTCTCCCCGCTCAGGCTGCCCAGGAGACCGGGGCAGGCAAGACTAGGTTCTCCGATTACATTCAAGGACCAGCGCCGCGAACCGCAGCTCTCCAGTCCGAGCCTCTCTGAGAGACTCTCGCAGACTGCAGAAACACTCGGCAGAGGGCCTGCTCAAACTGCGAACCGACCTCCGAACATGTTATCTTCACCCAGGGACCTGACCGGTGGGAGGATCAAGCGGAGGCCAAGCAGAAGGGCAAGCCGCAGAGTGTCGCAAGAGTCGGCGACATCGATCGAGTCAGCGGCCGCGGGACCCTTTGAAAACGGAAATGCCGTCGTCGAAGACGAATCCCAGCTGGACCTGTCACCGGTGGCCGAGTCGCCTCACACACCAATCTCGCCCGGGAAGTCGCCCGTCACATATCCGAATATCCGCAAGCAGAACGACATACAGCAGTTACCTGTCTCAACCATGAGGCCGGAAGTGCCCGGTGCGCCGAGGTACAATGTCTGGCACCCGCCAGGGTATGCCAGTCCTACAGGGGCAAGTGTGCTGCCGAGCATCAATTCAGTGAAGGGAGGCGCCCCTCGGGTGAAGAGCCCCGAAAGACCACCACAGAATGCTCTAGGCCCCCGTCAGGCTCCCACCCGCAATACTGGACAGCCGCGGACACGGCCCCCAGGCACAGGGACGGGGCCGGCGCCCGTGTCGCCGATAGAGAAGCAATACTGGCAGCGGCAGCGTCAGGTGGCCAATCCAGCTTCCTACTGGAACCAGCCACCACGAAACCCGCCAGCCAAAGTACGAGCAGCAGCAAGACCGAGACAGCCGCCGCCGCCGACGACACCACCTTACGAACTGCCGACGAGCGAGAACTCCCCCCGTCGGCTTGCAATGCAGACACAAACACAAACGCCGCCACAGTCACAAGATCAACAGCGACGCCCGGCCCCGACGACGACGCGACCGACAGGGCTGCCGACACCACAGGCCACTCCCGCCAGTGCTGGTGGCGGTGGTGATGCTTCTTCAAGCAGCAGCCAGAGCCAACAACAGCAACAGAGCACGCTTCTCGCCAAGCGTCGCGGCGCCGACAAAGCCGCCGCTCTCAGCCTCGCCGCCAATACCGGCAAGGGCAAGGGCGGTGGCGACACGACGCAAAGGGCCAGAAGACCGGGCTGGACGAAGGAACAGCCGTCGGGGTACGGCCCCGCGCCCATCACGCCTGGCTGGGTGCCCGAGCTGACGCCCACGAGGAGGGGTGAGGATCTTTATTTGAATGTGAGATGAACAACCCTTTGTAATAGTAGTATATATACATACATATGTCCGATGAGAGTGGAGAAGGCTGCGATGGACGAGTCGTTGGATATCGGTTTCACTTTTCACTTTTTCTTGAGAGGCACACACACACACATACATACCCCTTCGCAGTTTTCATTCCTTTCTCAGGTTGTTTAGAGGGTTCTAAGAGCACTCGTCATGAAGATATTGCATGGACACGGAGTTTTCTTTTTGGTTCAATGGTTTGGGCTTCGAAGACGGAGGGGAACTCACCTGGGGGTTGGAAGGGGAGGCGGGAAAGAGGAGAGCATACCTCGGCGTTTACGATGTTCAAGTTGTCTTGTGTGGTTGTGGGATCTATACTACCTACCTAGGCAGGCAGTTAATAGTACGCTGCTGTGTGTTTTTGTCGACGAGTTGTAATATCATCATCTTGGTACCATCTAAACCTGAGATGAGTCTGAACTGGGTTAGGTTTGCCTTGGGATTTCCACTCCTTGTATGCCACACCATGCCGTGCCATCATCGCAAGACAGACAAGCTTACCTATGCACCCGCCTTTGCGCGCGTTTCCCTTCCAATCATCCTTTTTCTCTCTTTCCTCACCTACACGAGCGGGATAATGTCCCTCCGCTGCTGACATGCAGATAAAATGTGAGACTCTACGAGCGTTTGTGTCTCTGCTTGTTACACCCCCTTGCAGGCTTGCACAGCAGAACGACCCACGAGAGAGAGAGAGAGTGAGAGAGAGAGAGAGACAAAGGACGATGCCACATACCTACCTACCGCCTACCTTACATTGGGGACTTCAGAAACGGGCAGATGAGCTGGAACGGTTAGAACCGGCTGTAGGCCTCCATCTAAAGGCAGACAGATGGTATAATGATAGCTCTTCAAATACCCCTGGAGATTTCCACTCCTATCAAACCCAGTGGCTCTCCATCAACCGTAGGCTCGCATATCGTTTACCCGTCGCCATCTCGCAGACCTATGACATCGGAGCGGGCCCCAAGCCTAGACCTCGGTGATGTCTGTACTGGCCCGGCGGCATGCGGCGGATTTACATGCGCGAGCGAGTCATGTCGGACCCAGCCTTCCACAACGGGCTAAGAAACTAGTAGGAGTATAAGAGACATAGTAGGAATACAAAAGGTCGTCTGGAAATGGTGGTGGTGTCGAACATGGATGTCTGATCAAAAGCAGGTGTCTAGAATCTCCCTGTGCCCTCCCTTCCCCGATCTCTTTTCATGCAAGATCGATCGTCGCGATGTACAGTACGGACTCAGACGCGGGCACATGGTGGGTGTCCTGACTCGCTGATGCCACGTCACAAGCCAGAACATTAACCTGGCCTGCCTACGTTGCAGTCGACATATGCGGGGTTCTTTGGAGCCCTTCGTCTCGGATACGATGCGTGCGGCGGCGAAGTGCAGTTTTGTCTCCTGTCCAGAAGGGCCATTTCGTTACTATGCGCGTGGGATATTTCTCAGTTCAGTTTGCACGGCCGGTGGGAGCTCTTCTCGGCTTTCGTGAGTGGGGTGATCTCGTTGGCATCGGGTGCGAGCTCGGAGCTTGCGATATGAGGGTTCGGCTCTTTGTGAACTTCTAGTGTGTTGCCCTCACTGGCAGCGACAGCGACATCGGAAGGAGTCGAGGGGCACAAGGAGAAGGTCAGGCGGGGATCAGGGGAAAAGAGGGCATTGCACCACTGGTCTCCCTTCCTTGAAACGGAACTCTGCATCAGACACCGCATATGCCGTGTATCTTGTGTGCTGTCGTACGTGCTACTAGCAGTTATCAGCAGTAAACAAAACACAAACCGTAAACCACATCGCTTACCGGCTGTTCTTTTACCCTGCCGGAGGAGCCCGGACTGATCTCGCCCTGGGCATGCTGAGCCAAGGGTTGCTAGGGAAGAGAAAGGTATTCAGCTGAGTAATAAAACCCCCTAGGGCTGTCTATCTCTCTTGCTGGCTTTCGTGTAGATGCTCAGAACGCGGACTCTATCCCGAATGCATCACTCATCATCCAGTCACAAGCCACGGCCGATCCGCATGCACCTGATGAAGTGAGGCTCGAAAGATGCCAAGGACCGGCCACAGGACACCGCACATCGCCGGTGCGTTAGCCCTCGCCGTATCAAGCTGCAATCGTCCGGTGTGAGGGGTTTGCAGGTCGCTGCAAACATCGAGGGTGAACCGGCAGCTCACAGCGTTTGATTGCTTTAGGGCCCCCATATCTCAGTTGCAACCCAATTCAATCATGCCCGAGGCTCGCGCCTGCACTATTGCTTCTGAAGGGTTGAATGTTCCTTGCCTGTCTGAGTCGGTTCCTTGCCGCCGGGTCTCGGAACAGATATTCTCCCCGCCCGGATTTAAGGGAAGGGAGATGTCTTCTAGAACTTTGCGTCTCTCTTCCGGACGTGGGCCCATCACTTATACAGCAGCAGCTCTCTCATCACTTGGAGTTGGTTCCGGGAGACTTCATTGGCTGATTCGGGTCCCGCAGGTGACAGCGACAGGAACGCGTTTCTCTGGAAGAAGCAACATCGTTATTCCTGATCCGACAGGAATTTAGGTCGATCTTGCATGGCGATGAATGCCCGATTTGGCTGTTTTAGAGGCGCGGGATTTGCTCGCTTGCGATTTGTGCAGAAAGTGTCCGACAGCAATCTGCAAGGCGACGAGACATGTACGGATTATTGGCTGCCTTGTCTTGGCAGTGGTCTGATTTCAGCCCTTTTTCAGTAAGCTCGGACCAATGGTGGCGCAACGTTGAATTGAAATCTCGATCATCTGCTGGCACGCGCTTGCCGCTGGGCGACGCCGCGTGCTCAGCCCATGGGAGGGTGACGTCAGCGGGACTTGGCTTCAACCAACATCAGATAAAGCTCGCTCTCGCTAATCTCGTCTTTCAATTGGTGACCCCTGCAACGTTGGAAGGCGACAACTGGCGTAGGTACCCTCAGGTTAACAGTTGCGATGCTCATTGAATGAGGCAAATCTTCGAAAGGACAATTGCTTTTGTATCGGATAGTCAATCTGCAGACGAGGTGCTAACCCGCGGCAGAGAAAACGTCGAAATCCAACAGCTTGATTTCCATCCCGCTCGATGTTGGTAAGGCAGTGAGTGGGGCCGCCCGACCAGTGTCAGAATGCTTGCATACATACTGTGTCGACTGCTCACACTCATCACTGCAATGTTTGTATTCCGCATACGACATCGTGCAATTGCATATCCGATATAATTAGTGTCCAACAGCCACAAACGATATTATCTGCTTCCGTCACAGTGCGATTTCCATAGGCGTCAGGCCACAACGGTCATCACGGCTTGCCTCCTGTAGTAACAAGTTGTTCAAGCAATACCTAAAGCGCCAAGATCTCGATCTCTTGGCATCCGATCCGACCACACCAGCCTGAAAGTGCCCTCTGCGAGCATCGCCCGCTCAGATCCTGTCCCTAACGACCTCGCGTCCTCAAATCGCTCAGTGTAAGTGTTTGTTGCTTGGATGTATAGGGCGTCAATTGTAGTATGTTTAGTCCCTGACGGGGTTGGTGCAATTGTGGCGTGGTTGACTTGTTTCCTACAGCACAGCAGCATCGTTTTGATGCCTCTCTCTGCAGCCTCTCCGCACTCGCAACGCCGGAACGACGACCCTTCCTGACACTGCAGGACGGGATGGGCTGACTTGCTGCAGGCTACCGACTCAGCGGGCTCTTCCGTGCCACCCAGGCGCGGCCGACACTGTCGTTTTTCCACTCTCGAGGCCAACCCCCTGAAGTTGTGCAAAAACCACAACCGACATCTCGTTTTCGTGGCTTGGCCACAGACCCGGCGCTATTGGACTACATTTCCGGCCCTCGCTGCCCAAGGTGCGGCAGGCGTTGGTTCGGCTCATCCGGACCGTGCCATAGACTTTCGGTGCTGCGACCCTGCGGTGCGATCGATGGCTGAGTAGCTTCCCCTGAACCTCACCCCCTTCTTCATCGGACCGCCGCACGGGACACCGGTCCATCAAACGCTATCACATTTCCACCTCTCTGTTCTCACTTTCGTCAAGTCGTCTCTCCTCTTCCAATCCTAGGGTTTGATGAGCGCCACAATCCACTTCACTACTAGTGGGCAGATCTTCAGAACTAACTAACGGTTCGGTTTCGGCTCCTCATCGTGGCGCCACAGGCAGCGAGGGGAAGCAGCGGCCGCAGCTCTCGGCATGCCGCGGGACGGTGCCGACTGCCAACACTTGCACCGTGGCCGCTGCCGCTGCCGCTGCCGCTGCCGCTCACCTGTTGGTCCGGCACGATTTCCACATATAGAACCGACAGAACTTGCTTCTGAGAACTGAGGATGAGATGTTCTCGGTTCGGAGTCTAACTCCCCATGACATGGTGGCCCTTGTCACCTACCTACTTCCATCCATCCATTCAGCGGGCCGGAAATACAGGACGCCGAGACATGAGCACGATATTATTGTGGTGCGTATTCTGCCGTGTCGCATTCTACGACAAAGGCCGTAATACCTAGCGTCTCGCCACGCCTCAAGTAGCCGGCGACGTTTCACGGCGTCAGCACCACGGGTCCTAGCCGCGCCAAGCCGTGTGACGGCTTCCCCCTTTCACCAGCCTTCTTTCTTGCGGAGCGGGTAGCGCTCCAGTCGAGAGAGAAAAAGAGGGAGGGAGGAGGGAGGGAGACGGCCGCCGCAGCCGCAGTACGAGACCCATGGTTGCTATTGTCGGCGCAGCTACAGGAGTAGGAACGAAAAGCCGGTCAGAAATGACCAGCTGTAGCCGCTTTGCAGAGCCGTGACCGTCTAGAAGCTATCAGATAGACAGACGATCTCTCACTCTCTGTTGCATGCGGGCGGAGAACGTGAAGCGAGGGAACCATGCCTTGCCTCTACCGGAAATCCCTACTAAGGTATCTAGATGCCCCAGGTTACGCCATGTCTCGTCTCGGATTCAGTGGGTTTTGTCTTTCGCCCTGTGCTGTACACACCCGATTCGTTCCCTAACCTATCCAACCTCCAAGCGATTAACCTTGTGTTGCCCTGCTCGCTTCCGCTTTCCCTCTTCGCCTGTCGGAGTAGTCCGCTTAGCGATAATCTGCTGCTTCCACTGAAGTGAGTCGAACACCACCAGGGGATCACCGATCGGTGACAGATCGCCGACAGGCATTAACTAAGCATTGAATGCCCGCAGTAGACGCAACGGGCACGGTCTACCATCCCCTAGATGGTAATAATCAATATATGTACATACTTCATGAGTACCTTAGATATTTTGGTGGTGTAAGTAAAGTATATGCTTACTAATGACGTACAATACATTGGTAAGGTAGGTACTAGGTAAGGTACCTAGATTCCGTTTGCGATGTTCTCAATACAATATCACCGCCCTGCATAAGATTATCTCCCCCAAAATGTGATGCATGCACTTTGGCCGTGACTGGCAACGGGATCGGGACACCATGCCAACTGAGCTGCTTCACAACCCGGAGATGGATGTGATCTGCGCTGTCCCGGCCGCGGCGCAAAAGCCGGATACTGGCTTCCTTCAGGTTCCCTCACCGTACCTACATACATACCCAATGAATTCCCGAAACCGGCCGACGGGCCGCAAGCACAGCGTGGCCACCGGTCCAGCTGTAGATTATTGCAGCGGTTTGCAGTTAGGCGTAAAGATAGGGGTGCCAGTACTCAGAAGGGCGACACAGGGGGGGATGTCGGAAGGCAGAGATAGTAAACCAGTCTTGCAAGACGTGATCCGAAACCATCAACATGGTCCGTTCGTCGCTTGATTGATTATGTCTGTACCTATAGGGTAACTCCTGCCTGTCCCACGGTTCCTTTTCCTTATCCCCTTGGACCCCCGATTGCCCATTTGTGTCCGCCCGCAACCTCATCGTGCTTGCCTTTCTCTAAGCGCCAACTCTCCCACACAAGCAAGCGCCTTGACGCTCTGAAAACGGACACTCCTTGAAACACACACAGACGCAGGGACTGAGCGGAAGCTTGAACCCGTAATACACCCGTGAGAAGTATGATGAATGAAATGAATGCCGTACTCGCCGCCAAACCTGTGCCGGCCCCAATATAACAGCGAAGGAAGAAAGGGGAGAGACCGGAAAAGTGAAGCAAGCATGGGGTATATACATGATGAGATTGAGTGTAGGTTCAATGATCCCAAAACTCCCTGTCCTCCCCAAAAAGTAGATAAGAGGATGAGATGCAAGAAAGAAAGTCTAGTATGTGGCGAGACACCGGGGTATTTCGAACTTATGAAACGACGCATCACGAATATAACGGGGGTATGGGCAGATTGCTGCCCGATGGAAAGAACGAAAGAATTCGAGTCGCCTGCTTCCGATCGAAGAGAACTGCCGGATAAGCCGGAGATGGGTTTGGAGCAGCTGAAGGTATTCGATTGCGCAGGAGGGAAAAATTACCAGCAAACTCGTTGCCAGTTGAGGCGTTAGCGGAGAGGCCTTAACAGTCATGGTTGATTTCGCTATCCGCAGTTATTTTCGCTCATCGGCGGGCTTCGGGCGGAGTGATCTCTGGTCAAGTTGCCGTTTACGCTCTAGCTTGGCGTAGTGAAGACCACAAGCGTTGCAGAGAGTCCTTGCGCCGTCGGGACCACGCCTCCATTCCGGTGTGTCGATTCTGTTGCAGCTGTGGCACCGTCCGGGAGGAGCCGCGCGCTAGGCAAATGTTAGCGCCGCCATTTGTTGTTGAGTTACGGGAGAGCATGCTGACGAGAAAACTTACACCGCGCCGCTTCTTAACTTCGTTCATGGCATAAGCCGGCTTTATCCCATCACCATACATGGAAACATCCTCGTCTTCGGGCTTGCGGTTACCGCTATCGCGTGCTCGCTCAGTCTGTATCCGGTTATGCTGAACCATGTCCCGGACCTCCTCCAGCTTTTTGAGCGCGAGAACGAGGTTGTTCAGCAGCGAGGTCACTTCGTTCTCCGTCGGCATCCTCGATGGGATTGGCTGCGAGCCTTGTTGCTCCCGCGCCGCTGCCGCGTAGGCCTCGGCAAAATGGTAACCTGTGCGGCAAGAACTCATGACCTGCAACGCTCGGTTAGCCGGCGGTTCGTTTTCTGATGCGACTAGGCTCAAGACTTACAACTTGAAGTGCATCCTGATAACCGTAGGTTTGAAAGTGTTTGTCGAAATCGGCTTTGTACTCTGACGGGCGCTGGTGCGAGTAATCGGCCTCCTCCCCGTACGCAGGTGGCCGTTGAGAGTCATACGGCGAAGGTAGGGCGGGTACGCTATGCCTCGGAGAAATAGGGTAGCCAGACAAGGGCAATTGCCCAGGCGGCAATCTTCCCGTTTCCGCATACAACCCCGGGAGCGGCTGGGCTGGTTGTGGTCGTGGCCCGGCACTGAGAGACTGTGCTTCAGCGTGCCTCTGCTCAGCCTCAAGCTGCTCTATCTTGACAGGAGGCGACGGATGTGGTCCTGGGTATGTGTTCAGTGGCGGAGGCACAGGTCGGCTCGCAAGGGTAGGCCGCGCGGGATCCGAAAAGGCGGGGAGCGGTTCAGTCCGTGGAAACGAGGAAGATACTGGAATTAGTGTCCTTGGCGACGTATCTTTGTCGGGACTCGCAATATCCGTGAACAGTCGAGGTGCTGCTGACGACCGGAAGGGCGATGGCAGACTCTGGTTTGGTGGCATTGGCGCTGAAGATGGCGGAGGTCCGTAAGCTAGCGACTTCCTGTCAGAGAACACCTCTGATATCGAAGGTAACGACGGCAGGGATTGTCGGTGAGCATGGCCAGAGTCAGAGTCGTCTGAAGGCCTCTGCGGCTCAACCGGAGAGATCATGCCGGGTATGCCTGTGGCCGGCGCCGAGTAAGGGTAACCTGAGCTGAACGAGTTGTGATGCTGATGATGATACGGCGCGGCCGGGCTAATTAATGTTGTCGACATGGTCGGACCTTCCCTGTACGACGTCTCGACACGCTCTCTAGGCCGTCGGTCAAAGTGTTCGAGGCCATTGACAGATGGAAGTCCACTGTAGGAGGCTCAAGAGGTTAGGTGCGTGACGGCAACTACACTGTTAAAGAGGAATGCAGACCTTTGCCTCCCTCCCTGCTCGCCCGCTTCCATAGCGGGCCTCGTTCACAAAGGTGTCGATGTCCTCCTATACGTCCAACCGCAAGTAATCCCCTAACCATGCGGGTGCGAGTACGCGGGCAGTCCAGACGGCGCAGAGGGTTATTCGGTGTGCGTCGTCTCGACAGAGGGGTGTGAGGTATGCCGTTAGGGTTCTTCGACAGCGGGTGCACTCAGCGACAATCGGCCCAGGAGGCGTGGGACTGGCCTTTCCAAAAGGCGGCTGACGGGGATCAGGCTGAGATCGGAGCAAGACCGACGGGGCAGTCACCGCGGACCAGACCCAACTTTACTTCGTGCCGTGGTTGACTCCAGGTAAGATCGAAGGGGCAGTAACACTCGAGCTTTGGAAACGTGTAGCAACCTTCGGGAAGCGATGGCTGCGGATGGCAGATGGCAGATGGCAAGAGTGCAAGGCAGACCAAGAAGGAACCCGACAGGCGGTGGCGGGCGCCGTGGGTTTTGTGTTTCCTGTTTCTGTTAGGAGCTGATTGACCCGGGAGACCTGGCAAGGGGGAGCACTGCTGCAGCCGCTCGGGGGTCCACTTCGGAACAGACAGTGTGTAGAGAGACTGTGTGGGACCTCTAGGCTGGTTGAAGGGGCGATCGAGATCAAGACCGGGAGCTGGGCCCCGGTCTCCCGTGGAAATGGATTGCACTTGGGATCGTGCCGCTCCACACCTTGGCTCCAATTGTCTCTGCGGAGCCAGACAAGATACTTCGACCGGGCATCCCGGCATGCCTCTTCGTGGTTACCTGCCCGAATCCGCGACGCGCAATGGAAAGGTAAGGGGAAAAGAAATGCCAGAGACAGCAAGCTTTGAATCTCGTGAAGCTTCCGAGGTTTATTCTGTTCTCCTGTTGCGCCAATGCCACAGACCTGCGGTCATTCGTTATCACTGGGGTCTCCGCAGGCTGGGGCGAATTCAACACAAGTGGGAGAATCAATGGTCCGCCTTGAGCAGGGCCAATATTCTGCGACACAACAAACGGGTTCGCGTTGAGCAATGGACAATAATCTCGAGGCTGCCTTCTAACTTTTGTGCCGTTGATCATACACTGTTAGATTTTCTATTGGGTACTTGGATAGGTATTTGGGAATGACCACCATGCGACACAAAATGGAATGGCACTGAGCAACTACCTAGAGCTGCGGGGGACAATCGGACTGCTAGTGCTGGGCGCGGGCCAGATGGATGCTGCGTAGGGGAACTTTGCTTAGGTATTGTACATACCAGATACTAGTGTTCGCTTTATAGTGTAAGGGAGGCCGACAGCGGTCAATGGGCAGTGGTTCCCGCAATGACACAAGGTCGGAAAAAAGAAGGGCACGGAAAGGGGGGTAATAAGCTCCATATCTCTGGGAACAGAGAGTGCTGGTACGAAACTCCGCTAGTGTCGGGTACGGATTACACATAAGGTTACCAAACAACGCCGCACCAATTGTATGACCAGCCCAGCACAGGTTAATCGATCTCATTCAATTCTGCTGGTGAATGGGTTTGACCAGGCTGTGCAAGCCAATGGGGCTCTCCCACTGTGTGCCCTGCAAAGCCTCTCTTTGCGTGTGGTCGGCATAAACCAAACTTGGAAGTTCCACTATGTGTCGATGACAGGTGCCCAAGTCGATCGTGTTTCCGGCATTGGTAAACCGGGGCCGGCCAGATGGAAGGAGAGAGATGAGGAGAATGCAACCAGATTGCCTTGACGAGATTGGCGCGTGGGTGGGGGGGCAGTCCTGCAGGAAAGGGGCCATGGGAGCGCGAATCCCACCACGGGCAGTCAAGGGACTCGCTAATAAGGCGCTTGGGGTACCACCAGGCCGGGGTTGCCACCAGAACGTCGATGCTGGATTCGGTTTATTAGCCAGGGTCGAGATCGACCGAATGCGGTAAACAGGCGGGGTTGCACGAGCGAGACTCGGGGCAAGAAAGTCAGCATAAGTCGTAGAGTTAGGTCGTATGGAAGGAATATGGATCTCTGCGTGAGAGTTGTTCACCGTCAATAGGAGGTCGAGTGTGAGGTGGATGCTGACTCAGGTAGGGAGTTATCAGTACCTTAGGTACAATACCACTCGACGATTGAATGAGTAAAGCCAGCCTGAGGTAGTCGCTGACTCAAAGCTGGCATGTGCTCGATGCCGGTTCTGACTCGACAGCACCATAACTTCCCACAGCTACGAAATGCAACAACAAGCCGCATCTGATTGTCCGTGATCTCGTTGCACCTAGAAATCCCAGGCCGTCATCTTACATCGAACGCCATCATGCCGCACTCATGAGGCGGCGGCATCTGATGGAGATCCAACTCTTCGATCGGGAGCAGTTCCGATCGGTAACGGGGTTGCATGCCCGGCTGTGCCTTAGACGGCCTCAGAGATCCCGCCGATGGGCAAAGTGGAAGTACGAGGCGGGATCCAGCTTTATCAAGGCTCCCAAGTCTTGACAAGGCGCGGAGTTTACTCCGAAAGCGCAGGCAGCCATGGCGTGATCTCCATAGAGTGCACTACGTACACATGGAGTAGGCTTGCCAACTGATCACTGCTCTTAAAGAACGAAACTAATGACATCCGGAGTTTTCGTATCTGCTGCTATCGTTATACCATACCTTAGGTAGCCCGGTGTTACAGCCTGAGAACCTCCTCACATATTTCTCAGTAGCACATCGGGGCCGATTGGTCTTGGCGTGTCTTCTAGAACTTAGAAATGTCTCTGCGTTTATGCCAAGACAAAATGATCGCATTCACAGTATATACCCAGAAAGCGCACTGGGACCCTGGAGTGCTTCCAGGTTGGGCAACGCGGTGTTTGAACGGAACGGAAGTAGGATTGGAGGAAGAAGGCCCCCATCGAGGTACGATGACAGCGATACATAGCAGGTATATATACCTAGAGCGATTCTCAGGACGGAAAAAGAGAACTATAATTTGGAGGGTTGCCTTGTGAATCGACAACAGCATGGTTCAGAAAGACTATGTGTACGGTAGTTACTGTATTGTACGTGCCGTATTGTACATATAATCAGAGTACCGTGTGGGCAGATCAGGACATCCCTACATATCTGGTTTCCTCACTATGCCGGCTTCTCCAGTCTCGCGGGACTTCCAAGCGGACTCCAAACAAGCCGAGGTGACCCTGCCAAACACGACATGTTTGGCAGCGTGGCAGCCGGAATGCGCGTGGTGGGCGATGTGACACTTCCCTGGGCAGAGTGTGTGCGTACGATCGGATCTGGCGGTCGCCGTAAAGTGGGACATCAGTTCCACAATTAAGGGTCATGGGATGAAAGTGCGGAGCCAATTTTAGTCGTTGGCGAGCTTTTGTCACAGGCACGCTAAGCCAAGCTGGGTGGCGTCGGGGGTTGGCTTGCCTCGCTAATCGAGCGGTTGCATCGGCCCCAAAACGTTGGGATCATCTCACAAGTCATCAGGTGTGTTGAAGTGGGAAGGACAGATCCGAAAATGTGTCAAGCGGGGCCGAGAGAAACGATAGGCTGCAGGCTAACCGAAGCAGCCCCGCTCAGCCTCTGCACCAATCAGATGCTTCCAGTTTTAATGGCCGCAGACCACCTCGAAGCTGGGTTTTTTGAAACTGCGAAAGGAAACGAATGGACAACCGAAAGCGAAACTCGCCATTACCGGCAAGGCTCGGATCGACATTGGATGGAACATTTCTCGGCATTGCAGTGCCTGAGAGTGCTTCCCCGGCAGTTCAGATGCCCATAATCGGAGCTTCTGTGTAAAGCCTTGTTGGAGGTTCTTGACCGTACCTGCGCAGCTCATCAGACTGTGCGCCCAACCATGCTCGTTGATTGACAGCATTAACAAAGCATGGGGACAGGTTTTATAAAACCTACGGACAGGCAAAGTCGTCTGTGCTAGACCCAGCTCTATGGAAACAATGGTTGCTCACATGCCGAATTTGGAGAGTACCACTTATTAGCGAAAGAAAATCTTGCGGTACCTACTTCCCTATCATCAATCTCGGAGATGAGGCCGGCTTCGATTACGAGTCCCGCATTGTTCGACACGTGCGGTCGACCCACCACATGCCTTCGCGAGCCGCTTCGTCCCTAAAAATACCTTGCACGGTGCGGGGATCGATCTCGCAGCACCAGCCGGCCTCTCAATCCAGATGTAAAGACTGGAAATTGAGATCACCAAAGTTAGTTCGCAGAATTCCTACCAAGATACCTCCGTATTCTGGGACCACTCAGCCGGATTGCACCGGCGCGCTCTTTTACACTAAAGCAAAAGAGACAGCCATTCTCTTCTTCCCTCAGGATCCGGAAGCTTGGACTTAGGTACTTGTACAATACCTGCGTCGGGGCCAGCGCTATCTATGACGGAAAAGCATACGGGTTTAACGTATGGAGTATCCACCTGGCGGAAACGGAACGCTGGGACCTACACGTGGGATTGATTCCAGTGCCAGGTGTTCGACAGCCTCGTTCCGGTTCATACCCATAGTTACTGTGTGTATCTGCATGGCACGCAGACGGGAATGAAGATTGCTCACCTTATCCGTCTCATGTTACTGTCAGATAAGGAACCGTCAATCTCAGGTGGCTGACTTTTGCGAAGGAACGGCCGTGCCTAGGAGTACGACATCACCCGATATGAGAACCGATCCATTGCCACAGGAACTCGCCCATGCCCAACTGCCCGCACTCAAGGGTATACTGTACACAGTACATATGTTGGGATACGAATACGTTCCTTGAGAGCGCAACAATCAAACAAACCGGGCCAACCGCCCGGTCGCAGGAGCAAGATCTTCTAGGTCGGTTCCGAAGCATGGCTGCCTCCCCCAATGTTCACCCAATGTCGAACCGAACCAAAACCACACGCGGCGATCACATCCTGCCTCTTGCGCGGGACGTGCGGGATACCCCTGCGATCGGGGATGGTTCCTGAAGGGGTTAAGGCGGGCCCCGGTCAAGGCAGGGCTAGCCCGTGTGCCAGCGCCGCCATTGGCCCCGGGGCACACAGCCGTCCCAAAGATCAGGCGATGACTGCATGAAATCACATCTCTCTCCCTTCCCGCTGGGTTCATCCGAGCGGGCCCGATACAGACCGATGTCGCTTGACGGAACGTACCAGTGCGCATATCGGCATCCCGTACTGTACAAAAGCACGCAAATCTGATGGGTTCGGCCAGTGAGTTTACATTTGCTGGAACCGTCGTCGACACTGTGGGGAACTTTGCCTTGGCGCATGGCTCATCAACCACTTGTCACGCATCCTCCTCCCCCCAGCCCCAGGCTGTCCCATGCGTCGACCTGGCAAACATGACATTGGCTGGAAGCATGATGGCCATGCCAGATGAAGTCGGCGATGGGGTTGCATTGCGCCCTACTCATGCATCCGAGCAGCAGTGTATCTGATCCTTCACGTCCCGCCGTCCGCATGACGAGATGCCGTCACTTTCCCACCGCTCGGGGGAGTCTGCGAGGGATTCTGGTGGTGTTGTGGCACGCCATGTGGCACTGTGTGAGCCTGCCAACGAGCGCCGGGAAGGATCTTGATTAGGCGTTGTCCACAGCGATTAAAGTGCGGAGTGGTGGAAGCCGCGCGGAGTCAAATCGGAGTTCTTGGATTTGGCCCCGATATCGTCATCTGGATGTAATCGTCTTTCTCCAGATTCCTATGACCGATAATGGATACCCACCTGTTTCGCGGTTGCTTTCGGACTGGTTGATGATGCAACCTGCCTACTCAACCGAGAGGGCCATATGGGTGGTTCTCCGGTCGGATCGCTGCCAGATACGCTAGCTCGCCAGCCGGTTTCAAGGCAGATACCCTTGTCGCGATCCTCTCGATGACTGACGCCCTGGAGGTCTTATTACTGTTGGCGGCCTGCTGGAACGAGAGCCGACCGAGAAACGAAACACAGGTGTGCACATCTCTATGCCATCGAACCCGCGCGGTTGCTCGTCGCGTTCTCCGGTCAGAAACCGGGCGTGATCCGTCCTCGGGTATCAGCCTGCACACGAGATGACGAGATATATGTGGGACAGGCGAGGTTGTCATCATCTAGCTTGGGACACCATCTCAGGAACCTCCTCCGGTTCCCGATCGTCTGCCCAGGAGAGTGCCAGATCCACTGCCCATCATCCTGGGCCGCCCATGTGCTCTCGGGAATTTGCCAAGGGGGACCGGGGCTTCCATTGGCAACTTCGGCTTACCTCTGCAGAACCAGTTGCCCAGAGCTGGAGGCAGTCACAAAAGCGGGCGGTACTGTGTAGGCTACAACGGACAACGGGGTTATCTCACACTGCCAATGCACATCACTCACGGCGTAGTTGCTTGGAAGAAGGAGAGCGCCACAAGAACCCGGCCTGTTGATGCGCCAGCTATACACCTATGCAGCACGTCCGCATACAATGTTGGCCCTGGCCAGGACCGGAGACGCAAACCGCGGTTGAGATCCGGAACTATGACCCGAGCAGTTGCACGTCACAATGCTGCTCGGAGAATTTGACATTAAACAATGTTGTACCAAGGCAGGCAAAGTGCGCGGCCAACGTCCATCAGGCAGACCACTCTCGACCTGCAGCTCACCTGTTGCGTCGCCGCAGTGAGCCAGGCAGAAGGGCAGCCGAGGTCCTTGCATTATGGGATAGTCAATCAAAAGAGCAAGGCAGCATTAACTACATACGTAGTGACCTATGTAAGGTAACTTGAGCTGGAGATTTCAGCCCTCCTACACACTGTCTCACCTGCGACTCCGTCATTGGATGCTACTGCGCTGTGGTACACAGTTGACTCCTGCGAAAGCGTCGCTGTGGGTGTGCTTGGGTCCCGCTTCACGACTGACTGGCACACTGACCCTAGCTTCCGGGAGCGCACGAAGTGTGACCGACTCCCGTTTTCATCCTAATCTGCACGCCAGGGACTGAGGGCGAGACGAAAAGCAGCCATTGGGGCTCCTTTCGCTGGGTTCACAACATTTCGGACAAGATCAACGTGAGCGCTCGCACGGCGCAGCAGAACCAGTCATCGATACTACTGTACCATAACACAGAGGAATGCGCCGGGCCACTGGCTCCGGGCCTCCGGGGGAAGCTTGGGAGCGATCGAGATGTGTAAGCTATATCTGCCGTGCGGTGATCTTAGGATTAGATTGACCCTCGAAGACTCCACCACTGTCTCACAAGCCCAATCTGGCCGATCAGCACTTCATCGTGATAAGTCCGTCGCCTATGTGAGGGTCAGTCAGCCTTGGTTGTGGCTTCCATTGAAGCACAAGAAAAGAACACACACCAAGCATGGGGGGTTGTTCTCTAGACGATCATGCATCGCCCGTCACACCAACCAACAACCAGCCCAGCCAGCCACGGCACTTGTTCACCAGCACATGTTGCCCTGTGCTGACCGGAGCCCTGCGTGAACGGTCGTCATCTCAACTGTGAGACAGGCGACCATCACAGTTTGCCGATCCGGGCTCAAACCTGCTCATCAGCGAACTAGTCGGGCGGAGCTGGACCAACGCAACTCACGTGCATGACTCCGAACCATACCTGACCAAAAGCGATGCTGAAGAGGCAACGTGCCTAGGAAGGTGATAGTGGCGCCGCCGTGCTGCTCGACGAAACCTTGGCTGTGTGCAAGGCCACCACGTTGGGCCTGGAGTTGCCTCCGTAACAGGGCCCCTAACAATCATCAGCTCGGAATAACGTTTATGTCTGTGCAACCGACGCCCGGTCTTCAGCTCATCTCAAGATCGGCATTGCCATTACCAGGTATTGATCCTCACTTTCACGGACTGTCCCTCAGGCTCGGTTATTAAATTCAGAGTACAAGTATGTACATAACACAGGGAACCATTCGCAGCGTCACGCTTGATCCCCCGAGCAAAACCGACAGCTCAGCGCGGCATTCTCGTCCTTCCGTCGCCGCGGACGGACCGCCCCATCCCTTCGCTAAAAGCTGGGGGCGTGGTGAGGTGAAACATTGAGACAAGGATGAGCTGATCAGGTTGCCCTGGGCTGGGGAGTATGAAGACCCCCAGGCGATAACTTGACTAGTTACTAGTAACATTCATAGAGACGGCGCGAGCTTAGCTTATACCCAGCCCCAAGGGATCGGACCTGGCTCCTTGACACTAGTTTACCACTAGCACTTAGGCCCGAACAAAACCGGAATGGTCGACTCACTCCCCGCCAGAGTGGCAGAGACACAACTATTTCGGGCTCATCGACTACTGTGTAATAACTAGTGAAGATGGGTTGCTAGATGTCCAGCTCGCTCGCGATATCCCGCTTGGGATTGGAGGGGACAACGCATCATGTCCTCTCGGCTCGCTCGACTAGAGGGGGCATGATGCAGTCTAACTAAGATAATGACTCGACTCTTGTACATATTCTCCGCTCATCCACCAACGAAGCGGAAAAGCCACCAGGCTTGGTTCTTCTCAAGGGTCGCCAGATCCAGATGGGATGATAGCATCTACAGGACCATCCTCTCCCCATCCAACCAATCGTGCTTATTATGCTTCTTTGCCTTGTTTGCTTGCTCCAGAAGGCCATGTCCACTTTGCTGGACGATCAGCCCAGCGTTGTTGCGTGGCTGAGACACAGGCCGCAGCTCCTGCTCACGGGCAAGGGCCCCCCAAATGCAAAACCCACCTCCCCTCTCCCATCCATGACACGCAGTTCCTCCCAACGGAGAAGCGGTCTAGACAAGGATCCCCCTGCCCGTGATCCAGCTTCTGTTAGCTAGTGTAAAAGCGGCAACTTTCAGGGTTCACTAGAGCGAGATCAGATTTGTTGTTGTTCAGTTTCCGTTATGAGATCCCCCTTGCGAAGGGCTCGGCACGGAACCAGCCGGCCCACCACCACCACCACTATTATTACCCTTGTTAGGGAATGAATGCCCAGACGACAGCACTGTGTACATCACATGCTTCTTCACTGTGGGGGGGGAAGGGACGATGCCTTCATCTTCATTACCTCACGGAACTGCTTACTACTCTATTGTTTTCTGCGTCACACCGAATGGAAGTGATGAGTCGCTCTTTCGGATCCAATCCCAATAACTACATGAGAACGCCTTCGCGGGGGAACTTAAGACGAGTCTCCTTCAGAACCAGAGGGGATCTGCCCATTCCCGGGCCTGTGACGGCGTTCTGGTCCACAACTGCCCCCGAGGCCACTCTCCTATGTTTGCCAAACAACGGTCGGCAGCTACTAGGACGGTAAGTTCCTCCCTTCTTTTGAAACACTTATGGTACGACTACACTAATATGACTGGTGGGCGCCAAAGCAAAACAGCAGGTGGGGATTCGGGTGCCCGACACATCCAGCTGCCCAGGGGGGATGTTGGTCCTTTAGAGTCTGACTATTACACTTTGGGGCTCGGTTTGCGAGGGTCTCGATATCGTCGCGGTAAAATCGGCGGAATCTTCCGTAGACCCTAGACCCAGTGTTGGGGAGAGACAGTACCTGGTAGTAGTTAGAACCGGTTCGTGCAGCACAAGCGCGGACGCTGCCGCTTCATAGATGAACACTCCCATTTCAGCTTTCTCCGTGTGTCTTAGGTGTTGTTCTTGATACCACTATCGACAGCGGTTCAGTAAAACTTGACCTGCCTCAGCATCTACTCTACAGCTTACTTGGCTAGCGGTGGCGTTTCTTCCCAGCCTCCTTGCAACAGTGGATTACTAGTTACTGAACAAGACATGCAAAACAACACATTGGTAGTACTAAGTGATGTTAATGAGGGAGCGAGGGGCGAAAGCGGATATAGTAACAATCCATCACCTTTGGAAGAGACTTGCCAGTTGAGACAGACACCCACAACACCATGTGAGGCCGGTCCGGTTTCCACGCGGAGAAGAATGCGAAGAAGGTGGTGCTTCGAGCGGATTTCCCATGCTTCGACGGACCCGAGGATGTTAGCACACACACCCCCAACACACACACAGAGATACATATATATATAGAGCAGCAATCTCCTCTTCGCCCACGAAGAACATGTCGTGACCAAGCTAAGCTGTACAGAAAGGCTCGGAGTAAACTGAACGGTCTATATGAATCAGTCGGTACCTTACTTTAGGTGGGCAGGAACCAACGCTCCTGGGTTGTGAAACAGACAGGCAGGCAGCCAGGCAGACACAGCAGAGCCGCGAAAAAAAGCGCAACGCAACAGTCTAAAAAGCCCGAGATAAGGTAGACAGGAAGGAGATAAAACAAAACTAAGAAACTGGACCAAAACCCTCCCCGCCTAGCAAAGCTGCTAGCACTTCTCAAGCAACATGCAAAAATGTCCAGCGCAAGCTCAACCAACAGACATGCAAACATGCTCCCCTCCTCCCAGCCATCGAATCACTCCTGATACTGATATCAGTATGCCCTCACCCCCCCCCCTTCTAATTTCCATCATATAATAGGTAGGTAAGCAGAAAGGGGTAAAAAAAAAAAAAAAAAAAAAAAAAAAAAAAAAAAAAAAAAAAAAAAAAGGGTCACCTAAACCTCCCCAACAACCTCTCCAGCCCCTCCACCACCATCTTTTCGCCCCCTTGGCCGGTACAAAGCTCCTTGAACCCCCTCCCAGCGACTTCACACTCGCCGATGCGGACCACAGCGGCGACCAGGTCCCGGGTGATCGCCTCACCGACGACGCTATCCCGCTTATACTCCGGGTGGCTCCCCACGAAATGGCGGATCCACTTGGCCGCCGTCCACAGCTCGCCGCTGGCCCGCTTGCGGATGAGGTCCAGGTAGGTGGCCAGCTGGCAGCGGGTGGCGACGTCGACGTTGACCGAGTCGAGATAGGATTCCACGAGGGGGATCAGGCCCGGGAATTCTTCTTCTTCTTCTTCTTCTTCTTGGCTGTTGGCTTCTTCTTCATTGTCAGGTTCGGAAGTGGGGTTTGTTTTGCGTCTTTTCAGCGGTCGGGACGATGACGTGGACGGGGAGGTAGTAGTCGTAATAGTGGAAGAAGAAGAAGATAAAGAGGAAGAGGAAAAGGAGGAGGAGCAGGCCTTGGCATAAGCGGTCCCGTTGATGATCTCGTTGACCGACATGAGACGGTACTCGTCCTCGACGGGGCCGGACGGGGTGGGTGGGCGGCTGGCGACGGGCGTGGACGAGCCCGAGCGGGAGGTGGCGCGCTGGGTCGGGAACAGGTTGCGGCGGAAGTAGAACTTGCGGGACAGCACGGCGTCGCGGGCGTGGGCCGTCTCCATGTTCTCGTCGACCTTCTTGATGGGGATGTAGAAGTTGAGGTCGAACGACAGGATCACGCGCGTGACGAGCACGATGAACACGGCAAACGCGGCGTTCTCGAAGTCGGTGATCTGGATCTCCATGGGCCGGAACTCGACGCGCCAGCCGATGCTGTTGTCGGCCGGCGGCGGCTTGAAGCGCATGTGCTGCCAGTTGGTGCTCTGGATATTCTCGAAGTGGTCCGTCTTGTCCAGGTCGAGCGCCTGCAGGTCCTCGGCGAAGATGACGATCGGGTCGCGGATGAAGAGGTGCGCAAAGTGCGTCGCCAGCCGGTCGTCCATGCCGCCGTCGAGCAGCTGCTGCTTGATGGTCTCGTCGATGACCAGGTCCGGGTCCAGATACTCGGGCCGCAGCCGCGCGTCCTCGGAGATGTAGGTCGAGTTCGAGGCGTAGCGCGACTTGGGGATCCGCCAGCGATCGTCCGCAAGCGGCTTCTCGCCCAGCTCCTCGGGCGTCCGGTCGTCCACCGCCTTGCTGATCTGGTTCCACCGGACATCCGTGTCGGCAAGAAAGCCCTTGTACACGGGGGTGGCCGCCGTCAGGGCCAGCAGAATCGGCCCCAGCGGGCTGAGCTGGTCGTACATCTGCCGCCCCTCGGTCAGGTTCTTCGCCTGGAAGGTGATCTGCAAGCAGCAGCTGCCCATGCCGAAGGCCATGGCATCCATATGGATGAAGTTGTCCGGCGCGGCGCCCTTCCGCACGTCGTCGTCCTCGGGCCAGTTGTGCAGGTCATAGTTGACCGTCGGGTCCCTCCACGGCCACAGTGTCTTCTCGTCCCGGAAGACCGGCACGTTGACCTGCACCTTGCGCCCGCGGCGGGACCGGATGTTGGCCGCAAGCGTGGGGAAGCGAATGTGCGGGTTCGCAATCTCGTCCGGCACGAACTGGGATCTCAGCTTGGGGCCCGAGACGGGGTAGAAGGGGTCAGTGAAAACTCCCGGACTGCCAAGCCTGGGAAAGGTCGTCAACGTGATGGGGTATTCGTTGGACAACATGTGGGCTTTGGCAATACATCTCCTGCAGTGCCGCATATGGTCAGGATTGTCACATGTGTCGGAAGACATCTGATGGCACACATACCTCAGCTTCATGTTTGGCTCGACCTCCAGGAGTTCTTTGAACTCGATGCCCCACGGCTTGCCCGGCGTAGCCTCGAGCATGAACCTCCCAAACTCGGGATGGAAGACCGGGGGCGGCTGGCTGGTGCTGCATGAGAAGCGGTCAGCGTGTGCCATTAACCAGAGCAATAAAAAACACCAAGGGCAACAAGGCCGTCATACTGAGCATTGGAGCCGTCCGGCAAGGGCGGCGCGCAGCCCGACATGGAGAGCGCCGTGTCATTGTCCAGAGCCTTGAGAATGTCTGCTTGCCGGAGAGACAGCAGGACCCTGGGGTCATCCTTGGAATATGTCACAACCAAGTACTCGACCTACAAACGCACGGCTTATTGTCAGACGGGTACCGTCCACACGAGCAGATAAAGAATAATAAGCAGATAACAAAAGGCGGGGAGGGAGGGATGGAATGGACAGTACCTCATCACCCCAGAGCATGGCATCACGCTCCTTGCCCTTGGCTTTGTTCCAGATCTCGAGGAGTTGCTGTGGGCATCATCTTTGTCAACCATTTCTCCCACACAGGCGGCATGTATGTATGCCCCGGAAGAGCCGGGTGTCATGACAAAAAGAAAAAAGCTTATAGTTCGTTTTCAAGGTTGATGCTCACTCACCTTGATTCCCCAGGATCGGACAAGATGCGCCTGCGTCTTGGCCTCTGGCCAATCCAGCGCCGTTCCCAGAGCCCTTCACGCGCGGCTAATCAGTATGGCGTCATGCCTGGGGAGAATGTCGTGCGTGCACACTGGGAACATGCCGCCGAGTCGCGCTGAGTGGTAGGGGGGAGGATTATACGCACAGAAGACCCATTGTTACGGACCGTTCCTCTCTCCCGTCGGAATCGACCCTGACACGAATTGGTTGTGTCCGGCACAGGTAGTGTCGCCGCTTTCGGATCCCCGGGACGGTTAGAGGAGCCGGGTAGGAAAGCAGACACTACTATCGTTACTCCTTTTCGGTGGGCGGAAGAGCAAAGCTGAGATAAGGGGGTAACGGTTGCTAGGTAGCACGACCGAAGAACGGGAGTGATGTACCTGCGGACCCCAAGGCTAGTAGTGGTAGGCCGGCAGCCTATCGAAGCCGCCAATTGCCGCGACCGCTGCGGGAATAGATATTAGAAACCGGTTGCCGGGTGGTATCAGAAAGTGATGCTATCACGAGACACCGATATGTCTGCAGACCACCACACTGAATGGTCAGAGCAGAGCGTTGGTGAGTCGATAAAGCGCCACGCCGCTCTTCTCGATGTACCTTTCCCCCCGCCCTAGATTCACTTTCATACGTTCCAACAAATATCTCAGCCTCGCTTCCACAGGGGCAAAGGAAGATCCGCAGTAGGTAAGTGAGTCGGTGCTCGTCCTTTTGCAACAAACTCACCCCCCACGTTCACGGCCTCGCAGCCGCGGGTGTTCTTGGCGCTTGCAGCACAAATCAGAAGATGGCTATGAATAGTAGCTGCTGAGAAGCTGACAAGAGCACGCAATTGATCTCGGCTCTCACTGGACCAGACGGTTCACGCGGGCTATCACGTCGTTGATGACATCCGGGACGACGAGGTTGTGTGTGTGTATGTGGGTGTCGGCTCGGCGGGGTGGGAAAAATTCCCTTAGTTTGAAAGAGGAAACCGCCGGTTGTAAGTCGGAGAATGGCCGGGATGTGCTTGCTTGCCGGAAACCGTGTACATGGACCTCGTCCGTCTTAGATACTCGCCTTTTTAGGGGTCGGCCTTAGTAATGGTCCCTTATTACTTCGCGCAGAGAGTTACTTGCTGCCGATAGTAAAAGAAAGCACTTGGCCCCGGAACGGAGAATGAGTTCCGACCGCGGGGGTGCGGCGAAAGGAGGAACGTCGGGAAGATTTTCTTCAACCCTCGCACCGCACCGTTTAAGCTTCCCGCCTTGTGGGGTCCGGGTCAGGGTCCCTAGGGAGTTTCCCAACTTCCAGTTGGACCAGATGTCGAGAACTTCCATCTCGATCGCGCTCAAGGGCGTCAACATGGGACGAGAAGGACGGCGAGCGTGGGTCTCGGCTGACCGTTGCTTAGAAATCCACCCCGGACATGCCGCAGAAAACGTGCTTCCATCGGCCGAGCCAGGACGTGGAGTCGTGTACTAGGTATCACTCTGCGCCCTGCCCTTGACCTGCGCTGCGGGAGGACAGGCGAGATGGGAACCTCTAATGTAAATTTTCTTCAACTCCCAAGCGTTGTTGCGGTGGCTTTGTACGATACATGTACACTAGAAGTGGGAAACTGTACCGGTGACGAATTGTCTCGCATTGATCAATGAATGAGGGGCACAGAAGCATCTGATTAGCACAGGGATTTCAATTTACGTCCAGACCTGCGTATAACCCTAACCCACACGTAGCATTCCTAGATTCCTAATCTCACTAGAAGCCTACTACATTGGAAACTCCGAAGTACCTCGGAACAGGGGAATAGGAATGAGAAAAGGGTGAGATAGCATTTCCGAGACAAACGGTGAGTCCACGCTCACAAGAAGAGTGGTCACCGGCCCAAGAGAACATATATGGCTCAAGTCCGACGAAGCATAACATATTACATTGTGGACTCCCAGATGAAGCTCCCCCCTGTTACGATCTACCCACGACAAACTGCAAGCGCACCGCAAGCTTGGTACCGGGCGACGACCTTGAGTTAATGTACATACATTGACAGATAAAAATCCCCAACAAAACAACATCCGAGTGCCCAAACCCACCCCGTGACTGAAAGCAGCCCAAGCAAAGCTATATGCCCGATGGAGAACATGCCACACTCGCTCGCCAGAACTCATCTCCCCATCCCCAGAGAAACTTATCTCTTGCGCTGCTTCTTCTTGCCTCCCCGATCCTCCTCCTCCAGCGCGCTCTCGCGATCCCGCTTCTTGGCCTTCCGCTCCAGCTCATCCCAGTCCTCGCCTTCCTCCTCCTCGCTCATCTCGGCTTCGTCGCTGGCCTCCGCCGAGGCGTTTGAGTCGTAATCCGAGTCCTCTTCGCTCGATTCCGACGCCTCCTCCAGCTCACTCTCGCTGATCTCGAACGCGCTCTCTTCCTCCTCCTCTTCAGAGCCGTCCTCGTCGTCCGAGTCGTTCTGCAGGAAGCTCCAGCCGCCGTCGATGAAGAACTGGTGCGGGTTGGCCATCACCGTCTTCATGATGACCGACCAGTTGAGGTTGAGCGGTCCCTCCGAGTAGGCGATGTCCGATGAGTTGAGGAACTCCTTTACATCCTCGAGTGACTCGACCGGGATCGTGTTGATATGCGCCGGTGGACGGGCGAAGTCCTTGAAGACGAAGACGAGATCGAAGTTCTTCAGCCCAAACTGTACGCGTTCCAGGTGGGCGATCTCGATGTCCTCCAGCGTGATCACCATGAAGGGCGGTTCGGTGATCTGGATGAGGCATTCGGTCGTGGGTTGGATGTAGACATTGCTGCGGTTCGGAACACCGTTGAAGCCGAGGTCACGGAGTGGCATGTCCACCTCGACGCCCTCGTTCCGGCCCGCCTCGGCAATCTTCTCGGCGAAGCTCTTGAAGAGGCGGTCGAGCTCCGCCCGGCGCCGGCGCTCTTCCTGTTCGGCCTCGAACTCATCTTCGTCGCCGTACCGGTACTTGCGCTTCCGGTTCCCGGTCTCGTCAAACTGGATGTCTGTGGCCTCCCTGTAGAACTGCACGTCCTTCGTCTTCTTCTTGCCGAAAAGGATGGGGTCCTTGAGGTGCAGATGGATAATGACGATGAGTTCATTCTGGCATGGCTGGAAGAAGAGATGGCGGACGTTGGAAAAAAGAACATCCACTCTCTGCGTTGTGCTGAGCGGCGACTGGTATCGAATACCGTTTTGGTGTATCTCGACCTTGCCAGGAACCCGCTTGCCCTCCATGGCTGGCCGAATGAAGACATTGTCCAACACAGCCGGACGGCGATCTGAGTATGTGTGTCAGCATTACGCGGCAAAACTCAAATATAGCTGGGCTTGTATCCTCACTTCTGATCTCGATCAGCTTGTCCTGCTCCACGACATCTTCCATGTCCTTCTTCTCTTGCTCCTTCTTGACTGCCTCGCGCTTGAGATTCGATATTTGGTTCGCAATGTCCGCGTATCGATCACCGTCGGTTGATCGGAACGTCAAGCTCCTGACAAAGTGGGCCGAGGCGTCCTCAAACGGCTGCTCGTCCTTCCGTCCGACCCCCTGACCCGGAGAAAGGAAGTTGATACGCAGGAACGACCATTCCCCTTCGTCACTCTTGCTGGCATTCTTGATAGTGTTGATGTGGAAGGGAACGGGCCGGCCCATAACAGGAAGCACAATGGTTGCGTTCTTCTGGTCGATGACAATGCCCATGTCCCGGACTTTGGGCGGGAACTGGTTATCCCGCTTGTAGGACTCGAAGCGCTTGAACTTCTTGACTTCGACGCCGTCTTTGTCACCGGTGGACTCGGCGTACTTCATCAAACCCTCCTTCTGCTTCTTGGCATGGAGATCCTTCTGGTGTTCTCGGCGCTTCTTTTCCGCATCCTCATCCGGTGCTGTGTTCCGCTCCGATCGCAACCGGGTGCTGGTGATATTCTTAGTCGCAACAGCACCTACGCGCGAGTCCCGCTTTTCCTTCTTCGGTGTTGGCTGGGCCTCCTCCTCATCCTTGAAGAAGAATGAAGTCGCGTCTGCGTCGGCCGGGGCATCGCCGGTGAACACAACCGGTTCGCCGCCGGTGACACGAATGGTGTCGGTGAGAACCAGGGAGTAGACCTTGCTGTTCTTGTCCCGAGCGTCTGGATTCTGGATATCGCTGAATCCCGTGGTGATGCAGAGCGTCATCCCATCCCGCAGAGTCCGCGTGTTCTTGCCGTTGAGCACCAGAGTAGGATCCTTATTCTCGAGACCGATGCCGTATCCAACACTTTTCAGAAAATGCTTCTCAAGCTCGGGCTTCTTCGACTTGACCAGATTGTAAGCCTTGTTATAAACATCCTTGACAACCACCCCGTCGCGGATTTCCTTCAGAATCAGGTTGTGGACGGCCAGCAGAAATTTGTAGTTGTTCTCTTGCGACTTGTTCGGGTCGACCATGAATGTCCGGGCAATCTGTGAGCAGTACGACTTGTACCTCAAACCCATGGCTGCGACAATGATTCCTGCATGAAGAGGATCATCGTTTGAATCTGTTTGCCACTTGAGGTCGAATTTACCGCCGCTCTGAACGATAGGCCCAAGGATCCAATCGAGCTGTTCGGGGTCGAAATCGGTGGGCAGTCTCTGACGGTTCGGTAGTTCGACAGTCTTCCACCACTTGGTATCCTCGAGCTTGTTGTAGACCTTGTCGGCCAAGGCGCTGTGTTTTATCTTCTTTTCCTTATCGAGGACATCTGACATTTCGTCGAGGAAGTAAGGATTCAGGAGGGCGACGCAAGCCTTCGATGAGGATCGCATGGCCCGGAGCTCTGTCTCGTCCTTGACCGAAAATGCGCCAGCGGATAGCGCGTGAGCGATATCGACTTCCTCGACATCCTTGCAGTTCTCGGCATAAACCTTCTTCCATTCGTCGATGAACGGCCCCTTGGAAGTGTCCTTCGTGAGAACGCCAACCTTCTTCTGCAGGATCGTCCATGTCAGCCGCGCAAACGAAGGTGAGAAGCTGAACAAGCGACTCTTGACTCACGCCTGCTGCCTTGATGGCATCTGTGATCTTGACAAAAAGCTTTTCATTTTCCGCTGCATCCTTGCCTCTTACAAGAACTTCGACCGGAAATCGGCTGTTCTTGATTTGGTCGAGGTATTTCGCTGCAGCATGTCAACAACCCGTATGACGAGGATGCGGCGGGAAGGAAAAATGCGCACCCTTTTTTTGAGTTGTCAGGATGTACATGGATTCGGGTGTCAAGAGCATCAGGGTTGTCGGGAACTCGTAGCCAAGCAGCCAGAACTGCGATTTTCGACCATGTTAGCGCCGCGCGGCCACCATGTCATCGCGTCCTCGGGCGAGACATACATGCATGGCATTGTTCTTGTGCAGTTCGGGCTCCTCGTCAACCTTGCCCATCAGGATGACGATGGACGAGGCGCCGCCGAAGAGCGCGTCGCCGCTTCGCTTGTCGGCCTTCCACGCGCCAACGAAGTGCGACAGGCGCTCTTGGAAGGCCTTGCTGTCAATCTTGATGTCCGCCATGATGCGCGATTGCGAAAATCGCTGCGGCTGTCGATGGCAGTACTATCCGGACAGAGGGTGTTGATGATGTAGGAGGCAAAGTTCTGCCGCCGTTCGGCTGAAAAGATGGCGGCAGCGAATAACCGCGACGGAGCTTCGAGGTTGCAAGGAGCAAGAGAGCCACAAAGGCGGTGGCGCGGGCCAAAAAACTACCGGCCGGTCGCGTCACTCACGTCTCGAGCAACCCTGTCGCGTTTCTGTGGGGCGGGTGCCTAAGTGGTTGCCAGATTTGGCCTGGGATTGCAGGCGACTTCTGAACGCCAAAACGATCAAGTACCAGTAGGTTGATTATTACTTTCAAGGTGAAGAAGAGACGGTGACGGACCAGAATTGTGCCTGGAGAAAACGAATAACCTAAGCTCGAATGGTGTTCAAGCCTAAGCCTTCGAAAGGAGGCTTGGTGGGGTGCATCAGAGTTTGCAATACCGACACGAGTAGAGGAGTGCTAGGCAGTAGATTGTGTTCAGTTGCCGACCAGGAAGCTGGGGAGATACTAGTACCTAGCAACGCTTTCCGAGTTTTGCAAACCGGAAAATTTCCCGAATAGTACTGGTAGGATAACGTATGGCTCCAGGGCGTCAGGAAGCTCAAAGTCTTCATTTGGTCACCCAACAGGTCAGGAACGGGGCCGTCGGTATTCGTAACATCTGGCGACTGCATACACCGAGGACGAGAATGCGTCCTAGCGTACCGGCTTCCGTGGGAAGAGCTGTTCGAGTGACAGCATTGTAGTGGAATTCGCTGATATCATTCACCTGCCCTCAAGAACCTCCAGGGCCAGTGCATCCCCTGCGCAGATTGGTATCCGTACACAACACTAGACTAGGCAATGGCAGCAAACCCCTTTTCAACTCTGGTGACAAGACACTTAACAGCAAGACATTACCGACAAGAAAAGCGACAAATAGAACACTGTATGCCCCCGCCCGCCTGCGCCGTACAATCCCAAAACCTAAGAACTCTAGTGAAAAGCGTCTCATAACTTCGCCATCCACAGGGCGGGTATTCCACGCTCATGACGCCGACGCATGTGCCTGAGGCGCGGATGGCTGATTCCACGACAAGTACGACGGGTCGCCCAGCTTGCGGGGCTTCCACAAGAAGAATGAGAGAATGAAGTAGACGTCCAGGATCAGGCAGATGCCGCCAACAATCAGGAAGATGATCCCTGGCCAAATGTTGCGGGACCCCATGGCGGAAATGGTGGTGAGTACGAAAGCCTTCCGGCCGTTGTACACAGTCGTATCAAAGTTGGACTCAATATCGACTTGGTACTGGCCAGCTACTATGGTCTCATTCTCGTTCTTCTGGTAGAGCTTGAAGAAGTTGGGCGCCGCGGCAAGCATCATCCAGTTCTGAAAATGCTCGTCCTCCTTCAAGTTCGGTGGCTTGTTGTCTTCGGTGTAGCTGCCATTCGGGTACCGTTCCTCCCAGTTCGGCGGCGCGACAATCTGACTCAGGTCATACTTGGTCTCCCCGTAGAGGTCCTTCAAGCCAGGCCAGGCGATCCCCTGAGTGGTGAAGTTGTACGTCTGGTTCGAGGCACTCGAGCCCTTCACTGAAAGGAGTACTGGGGTTGAAAAGGTATCATTGAACATGGAATTGGCGACAAGGCCGCATGGGTAGACGATCTTGCCCGAACCCCTCGGATCGTAGGCGATCGGGTCGCAGGTGGACGCGTTGATGGTCTTGCCGTCGACAGCGTCGCCTAACAGCTGCTTGGCATTGAACGAATTGACATAACGGCGGTGGTTCTGGTAGAAATTCTCCAGGTTATAGAAGAAGCTGATGGTGGGTTTCAGATCCTCGGGGATGTTGAATTTGACATAACAGTAGGTACGATTGCGGCGTTGGCCTGCGACCTGAACCGTCCTGTTTTCTCTTTTCCATTCAGCGTTGTACGGATTGTACGTGCCATCTGTCTTCGAGAAATGCGCTGTAATGTGCTCCTCAGGCACCGGCGTGAAGGAATCATCACGGGCAAGCTTTGTGCAGTCTGTGTAGTCTATTCGAATGTCTCGGACCTGGCGGCAACAGAGCGATAAGTCAGCATTCAAGCATGCGCACGAAGACAATCCAAGACTGAACATACCGTGTGTGCTAGGTATGTCAGATAAGCACCAAATCCGAGATAGATGGCGGCCAGAATGGAGAAGATGGTGACAATAAGTTTGGGTGTCAGCACACACTGCCAAGCACGCATGCGCTGCTGACGGAACGCTGTGTTCGGCGGGCGGTTTTTCGGCGCATCGGTGTCCGAATGGGCATCGTCGCCGGCATCGTTATCGGCGCCACGGCGACGGCGGGGCGCCATGATGGGCTAGTTCTGATCGGTCGTTGTGGTTGATTTCAAGTTGGCGCGGGCAGTGCAAAGGGAAAGAGGTCGTCCTCAGTGTTTCGAAGACACGGAGCCGTCGGCTTGCACAAGTGGATTCGGTGGCTCGTGCTTAATCTTGGCAGAGGCAGTGAGCGAACTGATTCAGCCCCATTTCGTATTAGGAAAGCTGGAAGCAGTCACGGGATAAGGCACGTGCCTTGAAATTCCCGCCCTCATCACCCTACTGTGTACTTGCGATTATGGATCACGGGACGGAATTCCACAGGAGTGATCCAATAGTAACGTCCGGCAACGCTTTCGCTCGACATTGCGCCCAAGTATCGTAGGCGCTGTGAACAACCTCTATTGGATGCCGCCAAGCCTGTTGTCATTGCTCCTTGTGACCGGCGACGTAGTAGATCTGCAACCTGCAAAGAAGCTGCCACAGAAACTTGGGAGAAGGTCAAGCAAGGGACTGGACATCCAACCAGACAACCCCGCTGGCACCCACCGTCGGCTTGGTGCTGGCTGGAATCTGATTCTCCGCATCTCGCGAGTCCGGATAGAGTTAGGAGGGGTAGGACCAACTCCCGATATTCTGCGCCTTCTAGAAACGTTCCACGCAAATGAGTGGTAGAGCGAGCAGCGATTTGTGGAGACATCGTGGGCAGAACACGGGAGGAAGGAGGGGAAGCTGGGCAACCTCGCCAAAGTGTACCTTCGGTCTATCAAGGCCTTGCTGCTGGACCCTTGATGCTGCTACCAGCAATGTGCTGATCAGGCAAAAAATTGAACGATTCGAAGCATCAGTAGTACGGTTGGTGAGAAGAACCGCAAACTTTGTTCATTCTTGCATTCAGGCAGCGTAAAGTTCCATGCTGAATGGCAGATTGGATAGCGTTGATTGATGGCAGGTAGCGCGATGTATGATGCCAGGCGGTGCGGATACGTCCAAGCGGGAGCCACCCCACTTGACTGGGTACATCCCAGAGCTTCACCTTCTCTCCTCCTCCTTAGCTCTTCTCGCAAACCCTTCTTCCTGCTTTCGCTACTAAGCTTGGATTGTTTTCCTGCCGTCATATCGGATTCCCGTTGCGGCGTCATCCTACTTCTCGCATCACGATCCTGCTATAATTTAATGCAGGCGCCATCCAACGAAATAGCGTAGCGTCGACTGATCTCGTCCATCCCACTCTGTAACCGGGCTCCTCTGGTTTCAGCTTCCTCCATTGTTCACACCGCTCCCGCTGCGACTTAACCATCCATTTCGTCTTCGCCACTCGCCCTTTATCGCATGCACGCTGAACGACCCATCCTCCCAATCACTACTCCTCGCAAGGGCGGCGTCGTCAATCATTCAGCGCGAGGTCGAACGCTGTAACGCAGGTCCCGCCATTCAGCCTTACCTTGCGTGTGCCGCATTCGCCCGCCCGCGTATATCTACAAGGTGATAATACGGAGTGAGTCACATCTCCTTTGACACTTGCTGCTACTTGGAAGCTTGGTTTCCGTTCCTGTCTTATCGTTTCTCTTTCCGTCTGGCTTGGCTTCGGTATGTCACAAAAACCGTCAACGGGATGGATGATCTACTGCCATCACGTTAGTGTAATTGCAGAAGCAATTGCCCGACGACCTGCAAGTCCGTGGGTTGCTCAAAGCCCCTTGTTTTTGCCGTCCCTTGTCGGGCCTCCCCATAGCCAAACCCCCTCTTTTGGAATGTGATAGCCTGTGTTGAACCTGCATCCTAATGACGTCCCACAGGGTCTTAGAATTTCAGAGCGTCGCACGACACAACTGTCTAACTGGTGTTTTCCTTCCCCACGTCGGCGTCGCCTGCCAGAAATACGGCCATACCCCGGGCGTTTGTCACCCCTGATCGAGTTGGGCTTTGACAGGCTACATTAAGGTTTGCATATCCAGCAACCTCGCCATATCGCCTCATCAATCGTACACTGACGCCAGACGGAAAGTAGTAGCAAGAGTACTCCAGCGGCTAATCCAAAGAACGATTATTTTCTCGGCACTCTGATCCAGCATGTCCAGCTCTGGGTTCACTAGTCCCTTTGGGGCAAACTCGAATCCCTTCGGTTCCAGAGTCGAGACGGGTTCTATGCAGAGGGTAGCTGAGGAAGAGGAGAACGACGTCCTCGCCTCGCCCACAACACCGCGTTTCGGACAATCGACAAGCCATGGCCAAATATTTCGAGCACCCTTCGGGGGCGACGCCTCGTCTGACTCCCACCTGTCTGCGTTGCGGAGTCCGCCGAGTACCGAAGGCTTTCCGGCGCAGTTCAACTTCGGTCGACGCACCTCGGTCTCGGCGGAGTCTCTAAAGCCAGTTGGTGATAGCTACGACAACTGGACACCACCTGTGCATCCCAAGACTGAGGAGCAGATGGAACGTCTTAAGAGGGCGATTGGCGGCAATTTCCTGTTCAACCACCTCGACGATGAGCAATGTGCGCAAGTCCTCGGAGCCCTGGTAGAAAAGCCAATCCCAACCAAGGGAATAAAGGTCAGTCCTGAGCAGCTCACGCACCGGCCATAGTCGAAGCGCCAATGACCCCATTCTGATGTTGCGGCAGGTTATTACACAAGGCGACGCTGGAGACTACTTCTACGTGGTCGAGAAAGGTTCTTTCGACGTTTACGTCAACCCCACGGGTTCACTGCAGCCAGGACCGGATGGGATGGGCCAAAAGGTCAGCACAATCGAAGCTGGCGGATCGTTTGGTGAACTGGCTCTCATGTACAATGCGCCCCGGGCTGCTACGGTTATTTCGGCTGAGCCGCAGTGCACGCTGTGGGCTCTGGACCGTGTTACCTTTCGCCGAATCCTGATGGAATCGACGTTCGCACGTCGTCGCATGTACGAAAATTTCCTCGAGGAAGTCCCTCTCTTGTCGACTCTTACACCATATGAGAGATCCAAGATCGCCGACGCTCTCGAGAGCCAAAAGTTTCCCGCGGGCCATACGATAATCCGCGAGGGCGACCCTGGCCATGAGTTCTACTTGCTCGAATCTGGCGAGGCAGCCGCGTATAAGAGCGGCAACGAAGAGCCAGTGAAGCAGTACAAGAAGGGGGATTTCTTTGGTGAGCTCGCCTTGCTCAACGACGCGCCGCGTGCAGCCAGCGTCATCAGCCAAACCGAGGTCAAAGTTGTCAGGCTGGGCAAGTCGGCCTTCCAGAGACTGCTGGGCCCAGTCGAGAGTATCATGCGGAGGACCAGGTATGTTGGCATGAGGACTGGAGAGGAGGAGGGAGGACCCGCGCAGAGGCAGTGAGGATAACAGTTCGATAACCGGTCATAGTGGGGATAGCGGCTACTGAGTACGGCGCATTCACCACAGCAAAGAACAGATTGGAAGGGTGTAGAGATATGGTATGAGGGCCATGACGGAGTCTCGAAATTCCGAGGCTTCGTCTCAGTGGGGATTCTTTGAGGGTGTACTTCGGTGGGGATTCTTTGATGGTGTACTCGAACTGCTAATGGAGAACTCTTTAAGATATTATGTATGGGCATACAATACACCCATTCACTTTACTATCACCCTTTTAGGGTTCCATCGTTGTGAGAGCACATTCCGGTACTGTAGCTAGCATCTTATGCCGAACACGTCCGTTTCGTCCGTCGCGTACCTGCCTCTTCAAGATACGTGAATCTGTATAATATCTCTTCCCTACCACCCACCATCCACCTAGCATCCCCGGTTTGTTCAATGCTCCGCAGCAGCCATCCTCCTCCGTAACTCCAATACCTCCCTCCTCAACGCCTCCGCAGCAGCTTCGGTCTCCAACACCCTGCCCACCCCTCTCTTCCACGTCTCCTCAAGCGACGTGAGCTCCGGCCCAGCCAGCTCCTGCGCCTCCTTGCGCTGTAGCGTGAGCAGATCAATCTCCCGCTTCGTCTCGGCCAGCTCCTTCTCCAGCGCCTTCAGCTCCCCCTCGAGCTGGTAGTTCCCCACGAGCCAGGCGTTCTTGCCGTACGTGTCGAGCAGCGCTAGGTGGGTGCGCCGCGACGCGACGTAGGCGTGCGACGCGTACGTGCGCGCCAGCGAGGTCTGCAGTTGCGCGGAGGCTTCGCTTGCCGGGAGCCGGGAGAGCGTGGTCGGGGACGGCGGGTCGGGCGCTTCGTAGCGGGAGAGGTCGAGGGCGTTGAGTTTGGATTTGGACGAGTCTTGGTCTGGTGATGATGATGATGATGAGGCTAGACGCTGGAGCTCGGCGGTCAGGAGAGGCGTCAGGAAGGGCGAGTCTTGAGCTTCTTTTGGCGGGAGCGGGAGCAGCGCGTGGTTGGCGTCGTCGGGGACGAGGGCGCGTTCCTGGGCGATCAGTGCCTCGGCGGCTGCGCGCTCGGAGGGGGTTGGGTCTGGATCAATGTCTGTGTATGTTCAGCAAAGTGGGTTATTTAGTCTTGGTTGCGGGAGCCGAGAGTGGGTGGGCATGAGGGGAGAGCTTACATGGAAGAGACTCGTGCACTGTGGTTATGGATGGCATGGTGGTTGGCGGTGCGCAGTTTCAGTTTGCCGCTGCTGTTTGTTGATGTCACCTCGGAGTTCCTGGGTTCGCTCGTGGTGCCTGAGTTTCGTAGTGTAGTCGTTGATGGGGTTGCTGTCGATCTGTCTGCACTCTGCACCAGTCAATACTTCTGCAGGCACCGTAACGGGCAAGAGGAAACACGCGCCGCGCCGGAGAGAAAAGTGTCCCCACAAACGTTGTTAAAGTCACTCCCGGAGTCAATTTATACAGGGCTGCTAGCGGAGTCTAGTGTCACTTGGTAGTGTACGCACGGAGCGAAATGCAGTTCAATCAACACAAGCCCCAAGGGATGGGATGTTGCAGATCTCAATACCCACCGGCACTTCAATATAATGTGTGCTGCCACAGCTGGAACTTACTTGCGATGGCTGCAATCTAGGAATTCATCATCAAGCAGCTCCGGCAGTTTGGAAGGCTGCCAAGGTTGGGTGGGGAACCTGCAGGATTCCGTCCAATCGGAAAAGGTCCAGCCCGATGACGCCTGCCAAGCCAGCATCCATGTTCGCCCCGAACGCGTTGCTGATTCCGTTCAGCGTTTGATAACCTCGACACTCAACGATAGTAAGCGGTTCGGTACAGACCTAAGAAGAGGTCACCTCACCACATGCCGGGGCAAAATATACGGTCCAGTCCGTAACCGCCGAGTCGTAGGGCCGAGATGGCACCCGAGAAGCCCGATGGAGCGAGCCAAGAGGGCGGAGCGCAATCCGTTCTTCACATAAGCCAGGACCAGGAACCCTACCGGTGCCGGCCCACAGCCGATGAAGGCGGCTCTCGTGGGACTTCGCAACGGAGCCGGACTTACCGACGGCTGTTCTTATGCTGCGCACTTCTGTTGACTTTGATGGTCCAAGCATGCCTTATGCTTGGGAAATTACCCGGGAACTCTACGAGATGGACATCTCCCTGGTCTAGGCTACCTGAGACAACACGCTGGCCGCAGCTAGAGACAGCATCAGATGACGGAGATCTCTATCTCATCGGGGTTGGGAAAGCTGATATTACCGGACCTGTGGTCGAAGTCAACCTGATGGGCTACGCAGACCCGAAGCAGGTGGGCGCAGGTCTGCGCCAGCGACTCTACTCACGAGCCTTCATTATCGGGAGTGTCGGCCGACCAGAGGAGAGATTCGTCTATCTGGTCCTGGACACGCAGTCGGGCGATACAGCCGTCCGGTACGGCATCCTGGATAGCCTCAAGCAGCTTGGCCCTTCATACGCCGTCTATGGGCATCACAATGTCGCTGTCACGGGCACCCACTCGCACGCCGGACCCGCCGGCTGGCTGAACTACTTACTTCCTCAGATCACCAGTAAGGGGTTTGATCATCAAGGATACCGCGCGATTGTCGATGGCGCAATCCTGTCCATCCGGCGAGCCCATGAAAGTCTACAGCCAGGTTATTTAAGCATTGGCACAACCAAGGTGCACGGGGCCAACATCAACCGCAGCTTGTTCGCCTACCTTGCGAACCCCGAGCAAGAGCGGACCAAATACAACATCAGCGCCGAGGACGATGGGTCTGTGGAGAAAGACCTGACCTTGCTTAAGTTCCAGCGTGCCTCGGACAGGAAGAACATCGGCGTTCTCACTTGGTTTCCTACGCATGGCACGTCGCTACTGGGCAATAACACCTTGGTTGCTGGCGACAATAAGGGAGTCGCCGCTTACCTTTTTGAGAAAAGTGCCCGTGACGACCCTACGGCGGCGGAGGATTTCGTGGCCGGGTTTTCGCAGGCCAGTGTCGGCGATACTAGCCCTAACGTCCTCGGCGCGTGGTGCGAAGACGGTTCGGGCCAGATGTGCAGTTTCGAGAATAGTACTTGCAGTGATGGCAAGTCCCAGGCCTGCCACGGCAGAGGGCCATTCTTCAGGGTGCAGGACAACGGAGCAAGCTCATGCTTCGAGGTAGGGAAGCGCCAGTTTCAAGCAGCCCGGTCACTGTACGACAGGCTCCAGTCAGAGTCTACACCTGTACGCGCCGGGCCTGTCAGGTCATTTCATAGATTCCACAACATGTCTAGTTTCTCCTTTCTCCTTCCCAACGGTTCCAAAGTCCGAACATGCCCCGCAGCGCTTGGATATTCTTTCGCCGCGGGTACCTCAGACGGCCCTGGCGCATTCGACTTCACCCAGCACTCCGGCAACGAGAACACGACGTCGCCAGTCTGGAAGGTAGTCTCACGGCTCCTGAAGGATGCAACGCCCGAACAGCGAGCATGCCACAGCCCCAAGCCCATCCTCCTGGACGTCGGCGAGGTGCACACCCCCTACGACTGGACACCCAACATAGTCGATGTGCAAGCCTTCCGCGTCGGCCAGCTGATCATCATCGTCAGCCCGGGCGAAGCCAGCACCATGGCCGGCCGACGGTGGAAACAAGCCGTCCGAGACGCCTCAGCCGTGCTCTTCCCAAGTGAATTCCGAGCCCCCGGCCACCTAGCTCCTTCCCCCGTTGTCGTGCTCGGCGGCCCGGCAAACAGCTACACGCACTACATCACCACCGAGGAGGAATACGCGATCCAGCGCTACGAAGGCGCTTCCACCCTCTACGGCCCGCACACCCTCGCGGCGTACATCAACGTCACGCTCGGCTTCCTGCCTTACCTAGGAGCCAACGCACCCGCACCTCCGTCCCATGATGATATGGGCCTGTTCCCGCCGGACAACTCGAATCGGTCGCTGTCCTTCATCGGGCCGGTGGTGCGGGACGGGACGCCGCCGTTCAAGTCGTTCGGGGACGTGATCACGGACGCGGAACGGGTCTATCGCAAGGGAGAGCAGGTGCGAGTTGTGTTTGTCGGCGCCAATCCGAGGAATAACCTGCGGCTGGAGGGCACGTTTGCTGCAGTGGAGCAACTGGCCATGCTCAGTAACGAGGATGACGATGCACAGCAGCAGCAGCAGCAACAGCAGGCATGGGCGAGAGTGAGGGATGACGGTGACTGGTCGCTGGTGTACAACTGGCGGAGGACGAGCGAGATCTTGGGGACTAGCGAGGTCGAGATTGTGTGGGTGACGGAGGACTGGGCGGAAACAGGGGTGTATCGGATTCGGTACTATGGGGATGCGAAGAGTTTGGGCGGGAATATCCAGGCGTTTGAGGGCGTTAGTTCCGCGTTTACATTGCTGTGAGCATATATCTGGAAGCTTAGGTTATCTGGGAGGTCAGGGTTCAAGAGCATTACTTTACTTTATAGGTTTGGGATATACCTACGAGGGTTATCGGTGGCGCGTTTTGGTATATTCTCATGACTAACGCACTTTCAAGTATTTGATCTTACTCTGATTTCATGGTGTCTATCTGACTTTAGATTCAACAGGAAGAACTGAGCGGGATTATCAACATTGAGAGTTAGTGTAAGCTGCAAGGTACTAGTATGTATTGACCTATGTACATACATACAACCTCACAGGCGGTTCTGTAGGTAACCCCTTTCGAAACTCGCGGCCCTATTAGCAAGCTGCGTCCGATGCCTTGCTTTGTATAGAGTTACACCGTGTAGAACAGCTCTGATCCGGCAGTGCGGCTGGACGGATACGGATCCGAAAATGGTGCACGCATTCAGCTCTCGAAGCTACCCCACTTTAGTGACGCAACTGCTGAAGACCCCGGGATGGGGTGATGCATCGGCTGTCTGTCCTGCCTCAACACAGCCCAGCTCATCATTCACGAACTGCATAAGAGACATTGGAGCTCAATCTGACTACTCGTCGGAACCTATCTCTCTACTTCATACCGACCAACATTGACAGGCGGAGAATCAGGGGCCAAAGTATCGAGATCGCGGGGTAGACGCTAACAAGAGCCCGCACCTCAACCCACTCCTTCAGCTCAGCACTTCACGGCGCTACTAATTTCTAACCTACTGAAACATTAATCAACTACCTTGAACTTTCCAAATACGCGAGACGCCCTGATACCAAATCTCACCATGGACTCGTTCAAACTCCTCAAGCGCCGTACCATGGAGCTGTTCGATTCGATCGAAGACAAACTGCCACACTCGCTGCCGTCCTTCGGCGGTGGGAGCCACGGCATGAAGGGAACGTGGGAGAAGATCCAGGTCCCGCCACTTCCTAGATCATCCCACTCGGCCGATATCGTGGACGGGACACTCTATATCTTCGGCGGCGAGGTCGAGCCCCGCCGGCCCGTCGACAACGACATGCACGCCATCACACTGCCCGCGAGCGGCGCGCAGGCCGACTACTACGCCATCAAGGCCAAACCGGCAAAGCCCGCTGCTCAGACCGAGAAGAAGCCGGCCATTCCTCCCGTCGGAGAAGGCGAGCCGATGCCGGACCCCGCCGAAGAAGGGGAGGAGGAGGAAGAAGAAGAAGAAGAAGAGAAACCCCTCGCGGACGTCTCCCTCACCACCCCTTCCCCAGGACCGGGCAAGCAGAGCCAAGGCAGCCTCTCCGTGGCGCCCCACCCGGAACTTCCCGACGTCCCTCCCCCGCGCGTGGGCCACGCAACCGCTGTCATCGGCCACCGCATCTTCCTGTTCGGCGGCCGCGGCGGCCCGGAAATGACTCCGCTCGACGAGGGCGGGCGAGTCTGGGTGTTCGACACGCAGACCCGGCTGTGGTCCTACCTCGACCCGCGCCCCGCAGCCGCAGGCCTCTCCGACGAAATCCCCCGGCCGGCGCCACGGAGCTACCACTGCGCCGTGGCCACCGCGAAACCAGACTCCTTCACCAAACCCACCGCGCCTTCCTCCGCCTCCGCCTCTCACCACCAGCACCAGCGCCAGCATTCCAACGCCGAAGCTTGGCGCGACTGGGCGCTAGGCAGCACCCCGGAAACGGGCACGCCGCAGCGCCCGATCGTGGGCGTGGTGGCGGAGCGGGCCGTGGACGCCGACGCGGACGGGTTCGGCACCTTCATCATCCACGGCGGGTGCGTCGCGGGCGAGCCGTCCCGCATGAACGACGTCTGGGCGTTCGACGTGCGCTCGCGCGTGTGGCAGCGCCTGCCCGACGCCCCCGGCTCGCCCCGCGGCGGCGCCGCGCTGGCCCTGAGCCGGAGCCGGCTGTACCGCTTCGGCGGGTTCAACGGCGCTTCCCAGGAAGGGGGGCAGCTGGATTTCCTGGAGCTCGGGGTCGACAGCTTCGATGATCAGGTCAGCAAGGGCGAGGCGGTGCTGTGCGCGCGCAAGGGCGGGTGGAAGAGCCTGCTGTTCCCCGGCAGGGAAGATGTCGGGTACAAGGAGGCCGATCCCGCTGCGAAGCCGCTCGCCTCCTCGGCGGAGGAGGAGGTGCAGTGGCCTGGGAACCGGAGCGTGGCGTCCCTCGAGGCGGTCACGGTCGGCGGCGGCCGGGAGTACCTGGTGCTGATGTTCGGCGAGCGGGAGGCGTCTGGGGCCGGGCACGCGGCGGCGGGCCGGTTCTGGGACGATGTCTGGGCGTTCCAGGTGCCCGCGCAGGGCATGTCGCTCGCGAGCGTGACGGACACGGCGTTTTCGGTCGTGGGTAAGAGCGGGGAGGGACGGTGGATGAAGGTCGAGATGGGACCGCATGACGACGAGGACGATGCTTCGGCCGAGGGACCCGGCGCGAGGGGCTGGGTGGCTAGTGCGCCCATGGGTGAGCTGGAGGAGAACGGGATTGTGGTCTGGGGCGGGCTGGATGAGGGGAATCAGCGGCTTGGGGATGGATGGATTTTCAGGCTGGGTTGATCATCGTCCCAGCCCTAAGTGTCCTTCTTGCCCGTTATGACTGATGATACGGTTTATTTGGCGGAAGAAGTGTGTGTTGGTATATATGGATATCTAACTTGGCGGCGGCTAATCCCTGAATTTGATCTATGATATAACCGACGAGACAAATCGGTGAGTCTGATGCTGTTTTCATAAGTTGGCCTGTGTAGGGGAGCAACCTTGTCGATGTTGGACTGCGGCAATAGTCTAAGTTGTTAGCAGCATTCGGTCCGGCAAACATTCGTTTTCGTGTGCACTCTCGAACAGCAAGACGTCCCTGTCGCACAGGTGCTTGTATTCGACAGAAGATGGCATTTTTCCGTTTTGTACATCCCCATCTAACCACACACTCAACAACAACCCCCCCCCCCCCCCCCCCCCCTTTTTTTTTAAGATGTCGTTAGTCTACAAATCATCCCTCGTCTTCTCGACCCCCCACGGCTCGCTCGTCAAGCTGGTGATGCCCGCGCTGTTCTCGCACGAGTGCCTCCCGCTCAGCGGGCCCGGCTTGGGCACCTGTGCGGCCTTGCTCACGTCCGTCACGCTCTCCTTGAGCGCCGTCAGCAGCGACTTGATGGACTCCGGGGTGAGGTCCTCGTAGTAGTCGTCGTTGATCTGCACCATGGGCGCGTTGACGCACGCGCCCAGGCACTCGACCTCGATGAAGGTGAAGAGCCCGTCGGCCGTCGTCTGCCCTTGCTTGATGCCCAGATGCTCCTTGATCGCCTGCACGATGGCGTCGCTGCCGCAGCCGCCCAGCTGGCACGGTGTCTAGACGGAACAAACATCACGGGGTATGAGCCTTTATGAAGGGGCGGGGAAGGGTAAAGCTGGGATAGATTGATTGATTGCGGGGGTAAGGGGGTTTGACGCACCGTTGTGCAGGCCTGCACGTGGAACTTGCCCACCGGGGTCCGGTTGTACATGGTGTAGAAGGAAGCCACCTCGTAGACGCGCATCGGCGGCATCTCGAGGATGCGCGCCACCTCGTTCATGACGCTGATGCTGGTGAAGCCATGCTGCCGCTGGCCCAGGTCGAGCAGCGGCATCACAGCCGCCTTCTTGTATTGCGGAGGGTAGCGCTTGAGGATCTCGGCGATGATGGCCTCGTTCTGCGGGGTGAATTTGAAGGGGATGTCGGGGTTGTTGTCCGGCGTGTTGCGGTGCTGTCAAGTCGCCCCCCCCGGCTTCGTGTCAATTATCCGTGTACTTCAACGCCTTATTTGAAACCTGGAATGGTGGCCGCGCCCACTCACCACCATGAGGTTGTCGCTCTGTCTCCTCCCCGAGCGCGAGAATGCGCGGGTCTGGGGGGCGAGGGGCCGCGCTGCCCGGCTTGCCGACCGGACGGCCGTCCGCAGGAGGAAGGGTGCTAGCTTGCTCGCCATGGCTGCGGTCGGTGTCGAGCAATGGCAGGGTCAATCGGTTGCGGCGTCGCAATCTCTCAGCTCCGAGGCCGATCGAGCGTCGTCGAGTTTCGCAGGTACTTGGCGGGTAGCTTCGCTGACTCGAGGCCGGCACAGACCACTTTTCTGACAAATGCCGCAGAATGATTGGTTGGAGCCAGGCACGCCGGGGTCCGTACCGTTTGGTGAGATTGGCGAACGCCTCGTTTATTTATTAACCAAGCCTCCTTCCATCATAACCAGAAGAGTTCTCGCGCTTTGACCTTGCTCTCCTACGCTTCAACCAAGTAGTTATACAAATAGAGTCATCAATGCAGTCAACCCGGGACCTCGTTGTCTGGATGTTGATTTTGGTCATACCGATTCCGCTACCATGGTTCAGTCGCTGCAAACTGACGTTCACTGCATTGAACTTCAATTTTACACTCCATTGCGGACCAGGGTGTCTTTGTCTACGAACAACTTGTTGATCTGAGGTAGGAATGGAGGTAACCCATCTCCATCAGAATACTAATCACGGCTTCTCAGATCCGGGTTTCCAGTTTCTCTCGCTTATCTTCCATCAATCACGATCCAGTTCGGCTGTTGTGCTAGGTTCCGCATCCTCCTAGTTTGTGCCTGCCCAGTGAGAGTGCCTACGGTGTTGCAAGAGACTTGTTGATCTCAAAGACTTGATCGATATGGCCCCATGTACCGCCCCGGCCGCGCCGGGACGCTGGATGCCGGTGGTCACCCGTCTCAATGGGGAAATGCTCCGCCTTGTCCTGTTTAAGGCTTGGAATACGTGCCCCTAACTGGGCAGAATACTGCCTAATATATAAGTCACGCGGGGAGAACGGCATTGACGCCGGCGAGTGCCCGTCCTTGCTGTTGTCTAACCCACACCGCATACCCCGGACACAATATAAACCAGAATTTATGTGAATAGATTGCCTTCCCGTCTCGAAATCCGGGGCCCCGCCATGTCTTGCTACCAGACCTGCAAGCGATGCTGTGCGAGGGCATACCCAGCATCGCTGATTGGTCACGTACTCACGTTAGTCCACAAGATCAAGGATGCCGTCACTCTCAATCTACCTGCAGGTCTTGGGCTTGCTCGGGAGTGAGTGATTCGGTGCCTTCTCGGGCGAACAGCCGGATCCAAGGGTCTGTTGCCGGGCGCCGTGCTTGCTCCTGCCCATCCCCCCAAACCTTGGGCGTATAAGTACTGGGCAAAGTGTCGATGGTCGGCCACCTGGGTCACGCATGACAGCTCAGTGGTGCCCTCCAACCTTGACCTCGACGACGACAAGCCGCCATGAAGTTCTCCCTGGTATCCCTCCTGGGCTATGCCCTCTCGGTCGAGGGGCACGCCATCTTCCAGAAAGTCTCCGTCAACGGAGCGGATCAAGGCTCACTTACCGGCCTCCGCGCGCCGAACAACAACAACCCGGTGCAGGACGTCAGCAGCCAGAACATGATCTGCGGCCAGTCCGGGTCCAAGTCGAACACCGTCATCAACGTCAAGGCCGGTGACCGGATCGGCACATGGTGGCAGCACGTCATTGGGGGTGCGCAGTTCGCCGGCGACCCGGACAACCCGATCGCCAAGTCGCACAAGGGCCCCGTGATGGCCTACCTTGCCAAGGTAGACAACGCCGCAACGGCGAGCCAGACCGGCCTCAAGTGGTAGGTAGCTTCTCGGATCTAGTTTGTCAGCCATGGTCCAATACTAAAAGGCTTGATCGACAGGTTTAAGATCTGGCAAGACGGGTTCGATACCGGCAGCAGGAAATGGGGTGTCGACAACTTGATCAGCAACAATGGCTGGGTGTACTTCAACCTGCCGCAATGCATCGCTCCGGGCCACTATCTCCTGCGCGTCGAGGTTCTGGCTCTCCATTCCGCTAGCAACCGGGGCCAGGCGCAGTTTTACCAGTCTTGCGCCCAGATCAACGTCTCTGGTTCCGGATCGTTCACGCCCTCGCAGACCGTCAGCTTCCCGGGCGCGTACAGCGCCAGCGACCCCAGCATCCTCATCAGCATTTACGGCGCGGCGGGCCAGCCTGACAATGGTGGCAAGCCTTACAATCCTCCCGGCCCGGCCCCGATCAGCTGCTGAGCTCTCGAAGGTCTTGAGAGCATCCGGGCGCCTGTTTGGTTATTCGGCGGGAATGAAGTTGGGGACTCAGGGGCTCTCACTGGCGTTAGACACGGTCACGATGTCGTTGCGGGAAGATGTATGTCGTCCGTTGTGTTAAGAGAGATGTTATCTGAAGCTGAGGGCCCGCCCTCCGGTCCCCTGAATGAGTCGTTTTACATTCTTAAAACGTCTCGAATCTCGATGCTCTGGCCCAGTGGAGGACTCCACACGCCGTGGAAATGTCGGAAGCAGGGCTTGCGGACCAGCGCCGGTGATTTTGTGGGGTGGCGGGAAATAACCTGAAAATGCCTTACTGTTATTTAAGCAGTTATACATCATCTCCTGCGAAAACCCATGGGAAGATTACACTATTTATTAACACGAAAGCTTCCCGTTCTAGCGGTTCGGTGTTTCGCGGATCGCCAATCCTGTCGAGCAATTCAAAGTCGATCGTGGGGGTGGGGGCAAGCTGCATGGCGTCTGCATGTTCCTGACGAATGGAGAGCAAATCAACCCCTAGCGGTTTCAAAGCACATACGGATTGCTGTATACTGTATATAGTGCTGTTGTAGAAGTATGCACTTCGGAGTCTCGCATGGCCTCGGTAGCTGCTGCAATGATAGGCGCGATAATAAGCCAAGCGCGAAGCGCGAGGCCCTGCGCTTCAAGAATCGCTTGCGACTTGCAATTTTCGGTACAACGTAGCGGAGATGATCAGTGCTCACTCACGGACCTCGACGGCCCCACTCTGATGGCCGCCAAAAGAGCAAGGCAACCCGCATTCTCTCCCCTGGTTGTCCGGACGTGGGATCATCGTTCGGAGCTCGGACACCCCAGTGTTTCGGTGACGTCGAGTGCATGTCGTCGTCAGGGCCACGACTCGCGTCCGCCACCGACACCGCCAGGGCTGCTGTCGGCCATCCCGCGGATGTAGGTAGGCTAGCCGGAGAAGCTGCGTTGCTTGTCGCGTGCAAGGCGAGCGTCGTGCCGGTGTCTGTGGAGAAAAGGATTGCTGAGCAAGCCGAGGGATCCTTGTTCAGCCGAGTCCCCATGCAAGTTGCGCGGAAGCGTTGGGCGGTGAGATTCGAAATTCGCGCAGTGGCAGAAAAAAGCCCTGCCTGCCCGTTCCCCCTGCCTTCGGTGGCCAAGCACGAGCCAAGCTCTTGTCTGCCGGCCGGTCCCCACTGGCGTTATTTTGTTTCCTTCCTCCCACCCCGTTGCTGCCATCGGCGTTCCTCTTCTCTCTTCAACCTCACTTGACACTTCCTCGACCGGAGACTGCCGTACCCGATCGTACCTGGCCCGTTTCCCTCAATCTCAAGTCTCGTCTTGTGTTGTTCACCCGCGTCCTCCTCCGACCTTTGAAAGCGTACAAGTCTCGGTCATACCACATTGATCGCTATCATCCGAGTTTGCCGTATCAATCCGCATTGCGCGATCGCCGTCGACTATTACTATATCAGAGACAATTGTAAGGAAGCTTCCCACGGTCAATTGGCCGATCGCGACTGCAATTGCGCGAGTCCCTTCACTTCGAGAGTGGTTTTTGAGAGGCTTTTCGGCTCTCTCGGTGCTGTAGCTCTCTGGCGGTCGGCCGCATGACGGATGCCAAGGAGGACCACAAGCGACGCTGCATGGTCGTCGGCCCACGGCAGACGATCAGCTCAAGAACCCCCCAGCCTCCTCCAAAAGTCAACAATCCCTGTGCTGCCAAGGCAACATACCCTCAATATTCGCGAGACCGGGGCATGTCAATTGCACCACTCAGAAGTCCAATCGCTAACGCGTCGCCATTTTAGTAACATAATAATCCCTCAACAAGACAACAGAATGGCCGCCATCAGCCTTCCCGTCGTCGCTCGCGACTCCTTCTCCCAGATTGCCAAGCGCAGCAACTGGGCCGGCCGGAACGCCGGTGTCATGGTCGTGTTCTGCATCGTCTTCGTGGTCGGTGTCGGTCTGATCTTCCTCTTCGTCTACAAGAAGCTGCAAGCCCGCAAGGAGAGGAAAGCGGCGATCGGCGCCTAAACGAGACCCGCCTTTTTCCACTACCTGCTTTTGACGACGAGGTCGGGGAAGGGGAGGGGTGATTCGGGTAATGCGGCATGGGCAACGAAGTAATGACATGCTAGGGGCGAGGGAGGTTTGGGCGGGATTTCTGGCCTGCACGGCGGGAGGGATCTCGAGGAAGGAGAAGGGGGGGGTTTGCTTGGGGTGTACGACGAGGGACGTGGTTCTGATCCGAATCGATTTGGCCGATCGGCGACGATACCCGGTACAGCTATCGCCGCAGCACGTCAACAGCAACCTCAGAATCTGTCTGCTGCCGGTGACGTGCAGGTGCTTGGACAGCTTGGCAAGGCTGTTCGGCTGGACTCATTGGATATGGGGCAGTGACGGAGCTCGGGGTTGCTTTGTTGATGTCGCATATCTCCGCCGGACCAGAGCCACCATAGCCCTGAGGTTCGGGGATATTTCTGACCAGGCGCCGAATCTCATTATGAGGGAGACCGACAGCGCATTTGACTATACTTTCGTTTCTTTTAATACTACCTGATACCTCTACTGCCCTTGGCTTCTTCCAACTATCTGTATTTGCACTTCCCAGAGCTTTTTTCCACGCCGGCGCGCCCGGGAGCTCTTTCACCGCACATGTCGATCCACTGATGAGAGACGGAGATGTGACGGCAATTGGCTCACCCCCACAGTAATCCTTACCTTAAATCCCGCATCGCGTTTTGCCAAGTCTTTATCAACTCTCGGCAACGCTGCCCAGACAGCTAAATCTGGGGAAGGATCCTCGATGAATAGAAAGATGCGGGCTATGTGCGAACCTCGGGAACCTTGCCGTTCCTTAATCAACGAGCTTTCTTTGAGAAAGGATGTTGTCTTGGTAGAATGAGTGTCGCGATCCCTAGGGTCTTTGGTTCCATCTCTCATCAGGGGCTCACAAACCGGAGAGGAGATGATCACGGTATCTCATTTCTACAAAGCACCACCAACACCAGCGTCGCACCCAAGACAGAGGGGTGTGTATGTGTGTGTCTCAGTTCGCGAACCCCAGTTGCAGTCCCGGGTATTCAATGGAATAAGTAGCCGCCTCATGAAGGGTATACGTGGATACACCGCGTCTACAAGATTACACAGTCAATGTCGCACATGCTCTGCATTTCGATGTCTATATGTATAGCTCAGGCTTTTCCAGGTGAATCAACCCATTGGCAGGCTGCACGCATCGTTAGCATCAACAAAAGTCCAGGCCTCAGGTATCTCCAATTCTCCATTGCAAAGACAGTATCAGATGGGATGGAAAGAACTCACCGGCACAAACTGCCTCAGCCGCACCCCAGCCTCCCTAAACACGGCCGCGGCCTCCCCATCCATACTATACCCCTGGTTATACACCACCTCCCCCACGCCGACCTGCACAATCTTGATACTGCAGGTCAGGCAGGGGCAGGTATCGCAGTACAGCACGGTGCCCTCCCGCAGCCTCTCGCGGCCGGCCTCCAGCAAGGCGTTCTCCTCGGCGTGGATGCACAGACACGTGGTCAGGCCCTGGCCGGACCCGTGGCCGGCGTTGCACCGGCCGCAGCCGCCCTCGCCGCAGTTCTTGAGCCCTCGCGGGGTGCCGTTGTAGCCCGTCGAGATGACGCGCTTGTCGCGCACCACGACGCAACCCACGCGGCGCTTCATGCAGTTGCTGCGCTGCGCGGCCAGCGACGCGAGCGACATGAAGTAGCAGTCCCACGACGGGCGCAGGCGGTCCGGGTTGAGCAGGTCCAGCTTGCCGAGCGTGGCGTAGAGGTGCGCGAGCGACGAGGACGTGTTGAGCAGCCGGACCGTGGCGCGGGACAGGAGCGAGTGGATGCCCCTGGCCGGGTCGTAGAGCTGCTGGTCGGAGAACCGAGCGAATGCTTCTAGGGTGTCGGCGCTGGCGGCGACGACGGAGGGAGAGTCGCGGTCCGGGCTGGCGTCTCCCTCCTCCTGCTGCTGTTGCCGCGCTCGGAAGCGACGCCAGCGAACGGTCAGGGGCGCGTCCACGCTGATGAGGAGGAAGAAAGGTCGTCGCGAGTACATGTCGAGGATGCCTTCGTCGGGGATGTCGGTGGTCACCCATCTCTCGCGCCAGTGCTTGGTGACAAAGTCGAGGAGCTCATCCGGGGGGGAAGATGTGTTGGAGGTGGGCTGAGCTGGGGATGAAGTCGCCATTCTGTAGAGCACTGCCGGCTCCATTGACACCCTTATCCGTTCCGCCGCGGGACCCATGATCCAAGTAGAGCCAGGTGAAGCCATGATGGTCGACCAGATACTGGGCAATGGTGCGCTTGCCTGCGCAGATGCCTAAACGGGAATTGCTGGTCAAATGAGCTGAGCACAAGGATGGATGGGGTGATGTAAGGGGGTACGATACATACTTCCACAGATGCCGATGAACATTGTCAGGAGCGGTTACTACCTTATGGTCACCCCTTTGTTGCCAGACACACAACAACACCCACTGTTTCGGTCGGTCTATGGATGTCCCCGGTCGATTCTCAAGACTACTACCTTACTGCCGTCCCGTAGCTTCCCTCCACGGGCCGGCGCGTTCCTGCAGCCACTTGACGCGTCAAGGCGCGTGATGAGGCTTGGCTTTAACGGTAAGTTTACCCGCCCGGAGTTTAGCCGGCGGGGCAACTTGCATCTGGATGATGCATCAATGGAAGAAGCCGAGCGGGCCGCGGGGTAAGTGGGAGCTGAAGGGAGCTCGGGATCTGCCTGCTTATTATTACGGGCACAGCACCAACAACGACCCTGCTATGGGAATGGATCTGGTGACACATGTTGGTCATCAACTGAGTCTGATGGAGAACAGCTGACCCTGTCGAGAACCTCACACACTTACCTATTATCGCCGCTTATCGATCTGGAATATAACCGAAGTTCCAGACATGCCGACTGCAACCCGGCTCATTCTTTCTTTGAATTGAACATACACTCTTAACACACAACTTGAACGTTCTAAAGGCTTCTCAGGAGGTCACTGTTTGTATGACTTGCTGAGTCCGCGGACTCCGACCTCACAAGTTCACAACGACCACGGGAGCAACGGTCTTCAATAAATAACCTAGACTTGTTACAACATCGCGGGGCTCCCCAGTCCTCTCAGACATAAACCTACCTACATTCAACAACAAACAACAAGGGACATAAAAAGGCGTGAATTCTGCAGCGCCTCACCTTACAGGACAGCCGATCGCGATGAGCGCCCTCAAATTCGTGCCGTTCTCTTCGGAGATCGAGCTACCGTTCTATTCCGCCTTATTCTCATCGAAGCTCGACCATGACAAGCTCGACGATTCGGCGCGCCCCGTGCTGGGCCTGTATGCGCCTCGCGCCCAGGCCGAGCCGGAGTCGAGCACGAGAATGCAAATTCTCGGTAATGCGCTCACGAGCAAGGAGTAAGTTCTTTTGTTCTTCTATTTGAGCTCATGTGCAATAATGATAAGGCGGATGGGACTGATTGAAAACATAGCGTGCCTGTGGGCATGACCAGGGCCAAAGGCTATATCAAGAACGTCAATACAATCGAGGAGTTCAAGAACACCGACAAGAGCGCCATGATCACAGATGCTGGCCGCCAGGTGTGTAACGCTAGACCTTACAAGTGTTGTGCTTTTGGCTGACATACAATGGCTCGGCAGATCTGGGAGGCGATCCAGGATGGCACCATCTACTCGGTGCCGTCACTGCTCTCGTCCTTCGCCATCCTCTCGTTCGCAGACTTGAAGAAGTACAAGTTCACGTACTGGTTCGCCTTCCCCGCGCTCCATTCAGACCCGCCCTGGAAGCAGACCGGGCCGGTAGAGCGGCTGGACTCCAAGGAGACTACAGCGCTGGTCGACACGGTGCAGACGTGGCGCTATGTGTTCAGCAACGAAGGGGAGCACGGCTTCTTCCTGGCTAAAAAGGTGCGGCTGGACGACGATGCAACAGCGAAGCCCCTTCTCGACGATAACTTCGCCGAGATCGGCTATCGGTGGGAAATTGGCTCGCTCCGGGATTTTGAGAGAGGCTTCTTCCACGACATCGAGGAGGAAGACCGATATGTCGCCTTTGTCGACCCGTCCAACTACTCCGAGTCGCCGTCATGGCCGCTGCGCAATCTCTTGGTCTTGATCAGGCACCGGTACCGCTTGAACAAGGTCAAGATCCTCTGCTACCGCGATACACAGGGGCGGCGGCACGAGGCCCGGAGCATAGTCCTTCCCCTGGCTATGGACCCGGTGGATGATGACACGCAGCCGGCCAAGATGCCCAGTGTGACGGGCTGGGAGAGAGACGGCAGCGGCAAGTTGAGGGCGCGCGTCGCTAACCTTGCAGAGTATATGGATCCCACAAGGCTGGCCGACCAAGCTGTGGACCTGAACTTGAAGCTGATGAAGTGGCGGCTGGCTCCGAATCTCGACCTGGACACCATTAAGAATACCAGGTGCCTGTTGCTCGGTGCCGGGACACTCGGCAGCTACGTTTCGCGCAATCTGATGGGATGGGGCGTGCGCAAGATCACCTTCGTCGACTATGGCGCCGTGTCTTTTTCCAATCCTGTGCGGCAGCCGTTATTCCAGTTCAAGGACTGCCTCGAGGGCGGCAGGCCCAAGGCACTGCGTGCTGCCGAGTCCCTCAAGGAGATCTACCCAGGCGTCGAGGTTGAGGGACATGTTCTGTCAGTGCCGATGCTTGGCCATCCCGTCGCGGATGAAGCCAAGGTCAAAGCGGACTTCGACAAGCTGCAGGAGCTCGTGGATGCGCATGACGCCATCTTCCTGCTGATGGACACACGCGAGTCCAGATGGCTGCCCACGCTGATGGGGAAGGCTTCCAACAAGATTGTGATGAACGCCGCACTCGGATTCGATACCTACGTAGTGATGCGACACGGTGCGGCGCCAGAGGACGGCAGTGAAGAGACCTTGGGCTGCTACTTCTGCAACGACGTTGTTGTTGCGGCCGATGTAAGTCTTTCCTCCCCAGTGAGACAAACACACACGAAGGAAAATCAGCCCACTGACAAAAGTCCCCCACCCCCCTCCCAGTCAATGAAAGACCAGACCCTGGATCAGCAATGCACCGTCACCCGCCCGGGCGTCGCAGCCATCGCATCCGCGTTGCTGGTCGAGCTGCTGACCAGCGTGCTTCAGCACCCAAAGAAGCATCACGCGCCCGCTCCCGTGCCCGCAGCGGGACAGGGACAGGGACAGGGACAGGGACAGGGACAAAGCACCTACGACCGTAACCCGCCAGACCACGCCCTGGGCATCGTGCCGCACCAGATCCGCGGCTTCCTGTCGAGCTTTCAGAACATGGTCATCCACGGCCGGTCCTATCCGCAGTGCAGCGCCTGCAGCAAGCCAATCCTCGCCGCCTACCAGTCCGACGGCTGGGACTTTGTCAAGAAGGCCCTCGGCAGCCGCGAATATGTTGCCGAGCTGAGCGGCCTGGCCGAGGTGCAGAGGCTGGCCGAGGCCGCGGCTGCTGAGGTCGAGTGGAGCGAGGAGGAGGAGGCCGAGGCCGAGGGTGAGGGTGAGGAGGAGGGGGTTTTGATTTAACTTATCTTACCCCCGGGCGCGAGTGATGATGAATCGACATCCAAGCCTACGGTACCAATGAAAGCCCGAAACCGAAATCCGGCTCCAGCATCTCCCTGCGCGTTCTTCATGACCAGCTCTGCTTCTGCGTTTTCTGCATGCGTCGACCTGTTTGACGCCGACCTCCTAAACGGAGCTAATTAACAGTCAATCACCGTCCTTACCTAAGCCGGCCGCCGGGGGTCAGAGAAAGTCCTCAACTTGCCCCTGGCCAAAAGGAGCCAGAACAATATCATCGCCTGAGCTGGGTCGAGACGTTCCTTGCGGTCTTGGGTGTGTTCAGTCTGCGGAATAACAAGGCGCAAAACGTATCACTCTCCCTACTAGCGGGCCGGCGGTTTTGGTTGGAGAGGTGTTCCGTTCCCTCGGCCAATGGACTCCTTGGGAGCTGGGAGTTTATTTTGAGCCTTGGCTGCCTGGCTTCGGGAGCAGACCTACTATGGCTTTTTTTTTGCTACGTCTTTGGCTATTTTCTTCTCTTAATCGTGGAATTGGAGTTGGGGGATCTGGGATCTGGGATCTGGAGGCTTGGGCGTACATGGCAGTATTCAAATTCGTTTGTAACATGGGGGGCACCCCGAGCAGGGGGCAACTCTTCGCTTGCTTACTACCTTAGGTACCTAGTTGCTCAGGAGTACCATACGGAGGTATACCTACCTTACGTGAAGCTCGATAAAGTCCTCATTAATGAAACTAGAGGGGAAAATGATCACCATGAACCGCATTTCCCGCATCGCAGCTGACTTTGAATGTGAACCTCTATACAGTTATTCTCTGGTATCTCTTGTGCGTGTAACTCCCTCCACCCCTTGATATGATTCATACTCCCATCCGAGTTTATTATATAGCCTCTCAGCCTCACCATTACCGCGTTCACACACGCCTTCTCCCGCTCCTCTCACCCAATGCTACCCCCTACCCTCCACCCCCCTGGCTGTGCTTGGTCTCAACCGCCCATTCATTTCACTATTCATAGTACCACCACCAGCCCGCTCCCATTATTCTTTGCCCGGGAGAATCCAAATAGGTAGGGTATCTTCTTCTCATTTACTATTATTACCCTGGAATGCTCCCCTCCCCCGGCCCAACAATCCCTTGACCCAAGGCCTTTTCAAAACTTCAAGCCGTGATGCATCCCTCATCAATTACGCCGTGGTTCTGCTTTCCTTTTCCCCCTCTCCCCTATGAAGAAGCGGTTCCGTGAACAGACAAGAAAGGATAAAGGGAATAAACACTCCCGCGCTTTTATATCGGTTGTGGATAGATAGTACGTGTGTATGTAGGTTGATATTTCTCCCTCCGCACTAAACCAAATGGACGGGGTGCGGAGATCTGAAGGTTTGAGGGACTGGCGGGCGGGTATACTAGTGGTTTTGTCGAGGGGAGACAGCAACAAAAAGGATTCCCGTGGCGCGTTGATCGATGACTTGGAGCTACTAGTAATGAAGGGTTACGGATCCGTTGACGTTTTGAGTTAGATTGTGGAAGCGACCTTGTAAACCTTCCATAGGGCGATATGCTAGGCCGTCTCGGGCTTCCGACCCCAGACCACATACAGCCGTTGGTAGGCATGCACGTTCCGGTCGAATAGGCTTTTCCGTACGTCCACCAGGGAGAGCTGCTCGGGGGAGTGGAGGGGGTTGTTTGTCAGTCAGTGTCTTAAGACAAGACCATCATCATTGGTGATATTCGGGGAAAAAAGGGGGTAAAAAAAAAAAAGAAAAAAATTATCTCACCTCAATCTCCTCGACCGTCTTCCCCAAGAAGCGGTGGAACATGCCCAGGCTGAACCCGCTCAGGCCCTCGAGGAGGTTGCGCTGCCACAGCATGCCCAGGTGCTTCAGGTGGGCGTCCTTGGGCCAGCCGTTGAGCGGCAGCTTGAAGACGGTCTCGTGGATGTCGACGAAGCCGACCTCGCGCATCCAGTCCTTGAGCTGAGGCCCCACGTCGCCCTGCCTGCCCGCGAGCTGCGAGACGGCGCGGAAGTCGCGCGCCCACCGCAGGAAGCCGTGGTCGTCGGCCAGCGTGCCGTCGTCGCAGCCGGCGTCGGCGGGGATTTCCTGGCACTCGAGCCAGCCGCCCGGCGTCAGGTGGTCGAAGGCCCGCTGGATGATTTGTTCCTTCATGTTGGACCAGCAGCTGACCGTTACGCGCGTGTGGATGAAGTCGAACTCGGCGGGGTAATCCCTGGGCGGGACTGCGTGTTAGTCTTCTTCTTCCGTGAGAGCCAGATCTCGCGAGTAACCCCTCGGCATTAGGGAAATGGGGATCCAATGGGGGAGCCTTACCAGTCATCCGACCTATGTCAGCCCCCTTTGTTAGCTCGGCCAGCCATGCCATAGTGAAGCAGAGGGGCGGGGGAGGAACGCACGAGTCTTCCACGAAGAACCTCACGTTTGGAGGAACAAAGGAGGGCTGGATAGGAGAGAGGTCGGTCCCAATGATCTGGGAGGCCGGATAGAGGTCCCCCATGTCAATCGCCCAGGTCCCGGTCCCCGTGGCAATGTCGAGCACCTTGCGTGGAGGTTGTTCGCGGGAAAAGGGCGCAAGGTGCAGGCGGCCGTCCATGACCATCTTCAAGATCTCGTATTGCTCCTCCATGCGTTCATTTTCCGTCGCGTCGTTGGGGAAGTGGTAGGCTAGGCTGCCGTCAGCACGCACGCAGGATGATGTCGGGGAGGAAAGGCAAGAGACCTACACCCGGCACGATAGGAATGATATGTTCTCCCAAACTCTTCATGGTATCTGGCTATGCTGTCTGATAGCGACCTGGAGTCACTGCGGTGGCATGTTAGTTGGTCTGACTAGAAGACACCCCGAAGCCAAAAGACAGCAACCTACTATACATCATGCTCACTTGACTGGTGGTGGTAATAGTGATAGTGGTGGTGCTGGTCAGCTCCGTGTTCCTAGTGCTCGTCGTGAGGAGGGCTCGCACAGCACATACATCCGGCTCAATGCGGGCAGAGTCGTCTAGGTACGTCTCGAACGTGAACTGGAAGTTGTCCAGGGGACGGTCGCTCCCACAGAAGGACATGCTCAATGGTGCTACGGGATGTTATTGGCGGCGCCCGCTCGCTCTAGTCGCAATTGTGTCTTGTCTAGTAGTGCACAGGTGCTTGACGGAAGACAGCAGCAGCTTTTCGTCATCAGAAGGACACAACACAACAGTGTTCAAGCTGAGAATAAGCGGTGACCAGGAAAAGTCGTCCTCAGTCTTCAATGCGTACACCCACACTTCGAAGCGGGAGAGGAGAAAGGAGAGATCGGGGTTGAAATCAAAGGAGGCATCGGACCGAGAGACGGGACAGCAGTAGACGATGTCGTGCAGTTTTCCTAACCAGACCACCTAACCTCAATGCATGGGGGGAGCACAGAACCCGGCAGTTTGGGTCAGAGGTACCCCTCCCTGTCCCTGTAGCGAACTCTTTGTGGGCATTGGGATTTTGACCCAGGGGTGCAACGAATGTTTGGGGATGTTGAATGCCGAAAGGCGGCGCGACTGGGGGAGCACAGAGCTGCAAGGTGCAGACAAAGCCCTGGGTGCAACCCACCCATAACCCTGGGTCCGACGCTACCGGCGACCCGGAACTCCCGTCTGGCGCGTGCCAAGGGACCAGCGAGGCCCTAAGCGGTCGATATGGTTCCCTTTTTGCCGACGAGGTGTTGAAAAGGGGGTTGGTTGACTGGCCCACGACACCCTTACCTGGTACCGTTGGACAAGATGACTGATAAGATAATCTTTGGATGACGAACATTTCAGAACGGCGTTCCGGCTCACCGGGACCAATGGCAGTTGTCACAGCAGGCAACCGTTCCAAGCTGGCGGTGCACAATCTCGGTTTCGGCGACCTCCGCTGTGTTTTGGGTTTGCAGAAGGGAACTTGAATCGCGCCGCCACGGGAAATTCGGGGCTTGGGCGGGGCAACTCGCCCGCTGAGTCGGATCCGTGGGCGTGGTTCCGCAATGTTTCGGGATCGGCCGGGGGTGCTGAGCCGCTGAAAGGCACCATGCCCGACGGGACCTCAGGCAAGGGACTTGTGTTTTGAGGCACATCTACAAGACAGCGACCAAATTTTCCGAATTCGTTTTGAGCATCGACTTCAACCCGCAATACTCTCAAGAGTACCTTAGTCGGTGACCTCAACCACAACGCATCAGGTTTCTTCCCACCGCAGTCTCCTTTGTTGTCGAACATGGAGCGGGATCCACCCAGCTCATTGGCAACACGCTTACTTCCGTCTTACAACCGAGGCACATGGGAGTAAAGTGATTACTGTGTATCCATGCATAATTTAATAGACTGGAAAGCTCCGTGTCATGAAATTTGATGGATGATGGAATGAGAATCTCTTATTACCCACCGATCGAGTGTAGGTACCCGGATGGCATGTATGTACTACTAGTATTGTACCACAGTATCTTCCGTCCATTACTATACACATGCAGTGGGACGGTACCAGAAAAGCGCGCCTGCGGCAACGTTTTGTCTCTGCTGAAGCAGTCCGATTCGTCACCGCTGTTCTAGGTTACACTGCATGTGCTCGTCGACGGTTGAGGTTAGGTATGTAAACAGCCACAGGGTGTGCCCCTCACTGGCTGCTTGGCTGCTTGGGTGAGGGGGTTCTGCAGATAATTCGGAGAACAGGGCGCGGGCGGCTGCATTCTGCCCAGTGTTCATTGACATTTAAGCACAGTAAGGTAATGTCAGCGATGTCTTTGCTAGTTATCTTGCCAGCTAGTGTGGTAATGACAGTACAGGGGCCCTGGCCTTGAAGTGAGAAAGGAGCACCACGATGGAGTCACTATGGAAGATGTGATGGCCACCTCATTGCTGACTCGGATTTCCATGATTTAGGCAGGAACTACTGAACTACCCGTGACCTACTGCAGCGCTAAGGCCACCTTCCTTATTCGTCGCGAGTCTCCGGCTCACCGCGGACTCGTACGCCCTTCGGGGTTCCGCGACCGGAGATTCTTCCGACGACCTCATCATCAGGGTGCCTCGCGGGGCATGATTGCTGTATTGGCGAATCCCCTATATGTAAAGCGGGATCATCAATTCAACCTGTCTACCACGCTTGGCATCCCAAATCTTGGCCGGAGCACTGATACATCGTACCACCGAGACACACAAACAAAAGCTACCCACCCATCCAAGACTGAAGTCCCAACCACCACAGCGATGGCGCATCCAAACGCACCAGCGCCTCCCAACCCAGCCACCAACCCCGACGCCGCCGACGACTTCCTCCTGCAGTCCTACACCCGTCTCCGACACACCATCACCACCACCACCACCTCCTCCTCCTCCTCTCGAGAAGTCCTGCCCTCCCTCTCAGCACTCGCCACCGCCCTCTCGTCCCTCCCAGACCCAACCTCCCCCTCCTACCTCTGCCCGCTGGGGCCCGCCAAAACCCACGCTCACCTACTCCAGACCATCCTTCCGGCCCTCAACAGCCAGGCGCTCTCCCCGCGCTACTTCGGCTTCGTGACGGGCGGGGTCCTGCCCATCGCCGAGGCGGCCGACAACCTGGTGACGGCGCTGGACCAGAACGTGCAGGTGCACTTCCCTGCTCCTCCTCCTCCTCCGGGCTCTGATTCGGATGGGGCGGATGGGACGGCGGCGACGGCGTGGGCGCATTCCGTGTGCACGGCGGTGGAGGACGCTGCACTGCGGATGCTGATTTCGTTGCTGGGTTTGGATGAAAGCAAGGGTGATGATGATGATGAAGGTGGTCGTTGGAGGGGACGGACGTTCACCACCGGCGCGACGGCGAGTAACATGCTGGGGCTGGCGTGCGGGCGGGAGGCGGTCATTGCGAGAAGGCTGGCTGGTATTGGGGGGGAGAAGAAGGAGATGGCGGTGGCGGAGGTCGGGATGCTCGCGGCGTGCCAGGCGGCTGGGGTCAGGGAGATCCAGGTCTTGACCAGCCTGGGCCACTCGTCGCTGGCCAAGGCGGCGAGCCTTGTTGGGTTGGGGCACGCGAGCGTCAAGGAGATGGGGGTTGCTGGAGAGCCGTGGAGGCTGGATTTGGATGCGGTGGAAGGGGAGCTGAAGAGGGCGGAGGGCGAAGGGGTGGTGAGTATCATTGCGGTGAGTGCTGGGGAGGTGAACACGGGCAGGTTCGCCACGAATGTGTTGGATATGCCGAAGCTGAGGAGCTTGGCGGATCGCTACGGGGCTTGGATCCATGTGGATGGGGGTGCGTATTCTTTTTACTGTCTTCCTGGATGGCGAATCTACGATATTCATGTTGATGATGCGTCTCTTAGCCTTTGGTCTCTTCGCTCGTGCGCTGCCCAGAACAGACGACTTTGTCAGCCTGCATGGAAACGTTGCGGGATTAGAATTGGCCGACAGTATCGCGGCGGATGGGCACAAGCTTCTGAACGTGGTATGTTGAGTGCAGCATATGGCTGTTTTATGTATTCGGTCCTGACAGTCCCAAGCCCTACGATAACGGCATCTTTCTCTGTCGCGATGCGTCCGTCCTCACGCAGGTCTGCAGCAACCCCAACGCCGCGTACCTCGCATCCCCTGATAGCCCCAACGCCATCCTCAGCCCCCTGAACGTTGGCATCGAAAATTCGCGCCGTTTCCGCGCTCTGCCCGTGTACGCCGTGCTCCTGAGCGAGGGCAGAGAAGGCATTGCCGCCATGCTCAGCCGGATGGCCCGCCTTGCGCGCGAGATGGCGGCCTTCGTGCGTGACTCGGAGCACTACGAATGGCTGCCGAGCGAGGACGCATCGCTAGAAAGCACCTTCATCATCGTGCTGTTCCGCGCCAAGGATGCCGCCCTGAACGAGGTGCTGGTCGACCGGATCAACGCAACGGGGAGGATGTTTGTCAGCGGGACGAGGTGGGACGGAAAGAAGGCTGTGCGCATTGCCGTAGCCAGCTGGCGGGTCGATGTCGCGAGGGATGCGGCGGTCATGAAAGAGGTGCTGACGGCCATTGCGGAGGGTTGGCGGTAGCACATGCGTCGTAGATGTTGTTGAGTCCCGGGATCTGCTATGTTGCCGGGCATAGTCCAGTCTCTGCAGTTCGACCTAACCAAACTTCCGACTGCCCCCCTTGAACTTCTGCTCCTCGCCCTTCTTCCGCCCCTTGCCGATCAACTCGAGATGGCCCGCCCGCTCTCCCAGCATCTGCTCGGTCTTGGCGACCAGTCCGGACGTGTACTTCTTCTGGATCTTGTCGGCAGTCGTCTTTGACTTTTTCGCTTGAGGTTTGCTGATGCCACTCTTTTTCGCCTGCTGCTTCCCCGCTGCCTTGCCGCCCTTCCCGCCCAGGGCTGGCTTTGGCGTCTTTTTCACAGCGCCTTGAGCCATTTGCGCCGATCTGCGAATGCTTGGGCAAATTTTCACCAAGTCGTGAGTGGACTGGTGCTAAGGAAGGAAACAGTGCAAACACCATGAGATTACACTATTTATCGATGGTTTTAGGGAAATAAATACTGCCGCTCTTTCCCGCCTGCTTGTGATGATGTCCTATTGGTGCACAGGCCAAGCCTGGCCAGACCCTGGACATTGGCATGTGTGTCCTGCTCCTGCGCTCCTTCGTCCAGCCTTCCTTGTTGCCCAGAATGGTCACGACAGCCCGATGATAATGGATGTGACTATGAGGCACGTGAAGGGCTTATTATAGATTATGTCCGCACTCCCGTCCTTGCGGCCAAGTTACGCATAGAATCGAAATCATCTCTGTAGAGAAAGTACTTATTAAAGATACTTGGACACTTACCAGAACACCTACTCCTTGCTGCCCGACTTGATCCTTCTACTCCGTACTAGTATCCGTACCTGGTAGTAGTTCTTTTGTACTCTCGAGAGGCAGGCACCCCACAGTCTCACCGTACGCTAGCCGTGCCGGACTGCTGCAGGTGTTCAGGAGAACTGGAAGGAAAGACCGGGGGATTCTGAGTGGTTGGGTTGTTCGCTTCTCCAAAAATTGAAATTGCAGCCGCAGTTCGGATTGCGACTCGCGTGAGGGAGAGCAGGTAGCCTCTGTCGTCCTCTTTTTCCGGGTCACATTAATAAGAGTGAAAAGAAATTCCCGGCTGCCGGATTGCTGACGGCAGGCGCCGTTCAACGTTACCGTCCTACTAATTGATTGGCGTCCCCCGATCCCCGGTTCCAACCCCTGTCGCGGGAACGGTCGCGTGGATTTACGGTGGTACAATACAACTAGCTCACCCCAAACCTCCGATCATCACTCCCAATTTGTCCCGAAGGACCTCGAAAGCTGTCTGGTGGCGTCGAGTCTTGCTTGTACGACCGTCTAAAACAGCGCCGGACCATCATGTCGTCGGCTCTGAGCAAGCGCCAGCAGGCCCGCAACGAAAAGGCCCTGCAGGACCTCCTCCACAGCGTTCCCGGGAACAACTTCTGCGCCGATTGTCAAGCACAGAATCCAGGTACTTGACCGTCCCGCAACCTTCTGGCCTCACCTGAACCGCCTAGGGCTAACGCAAATCTATTCACAGCTTGGGCATCCTGGAGCGTACGTCTGCCATCCTGAGCCGCACTCTAGCCGAACCTCGAGCTGCCGCCTCCAATGTTCTTGCGTATGCGATTGATAATGCTGACATCGATCCGGGCCATGGCAGTTGGGCATTTTCCTGTGCATGCGATGCGCGACTATCCACCGCAAGTTGGGCACCCACATATCCAAGGTGAAGTCGCTGAGCATGGATAGTTGGACCAACGAGCAAGTTGATGTCTGTGCATACCCTCTACTCTCCCCACGCTGAGCTGAGCTAACCTTCTGTCCAGAATATGAAGAAAGTCGGCAACGTCGTGTCTAACAAATTGTACAACCCCGACAATAAGAAGCCGCCGGTCCCCATAGACGCCGACGAAGCCGACAGCGCCATGGAACGCTTTATCCGCCAGAAATATATCAACCGTACTCTATCTACGGCCAAGAGGTCCGGAGGCAACGATTCCGACGACACCCCTCCCCCGCTTCCCCCTAAAACGCCGAGCCGGTTCGGGCTCCGATCCGCCTCGTCAATATTCCCGCTTGGATCCAAGTCAAAGAAAGCGCAGGAGCCGACCAGCCCGCGAGATTCACAGCCTCACCCGCCGCTTCGAAACAAATCGTCTGGAGTGTTTGGTGTAAGCGTCGAGCGCGATCGGAGAGATGGAGACGACACCGAGCGGAAACTCGCTCAGCTTCGAGACATGGGCTTCATGGATGACCACAAGAACTCTATGGTGCTAAAAGGGGTGGGCGGGAGTCTGGAGAAAGCGGTGGAGACGTTGATCCGACTGGGGGAAGGAGGAGGGAAGCCTGCGCCACTGCTTGGGCCTGCGAGGGCTTCGACAATGCCGGTGACTCGGAGTTTGACGCCCAGTGCGGGCTCCGATGCGCCCCGTACTCGACCCATAAGCCCGGCTAGCACCAATCCATTTGACATGCTAGACGCACCGCAGACCCCGCAGCCGCTCTCCACGCAGTCGACGGGCACATTACAAACCAGAAACCCGTATGCGTCGACGAATCCATTCGGCGCACCGCAGCAGGCACCCTCAGCGCTTGACTTGGCCTTCCAGAACATGTCCCTCGCCCCGCCATCCCAACCTCTTTTCCCACACCACACGGGAGGCCTAGCTCAGCAGCAGAATCCTCAGGCGGTATACCAACAGTCGATGACAGCTCCCCTGACGGCCCCGCTGCCACCAGTAGCGCAAGGCTACCCTACCATGGGAGTTCACGGCATGCAGTCGTACCAGCAAGCGGCACCCCCCACACAACAACCAGCGGTGGGCAACTACAACCCATTCTTCGCGTCTCAGCAGCCAACACAACAACCGTTGTCGGTCAATACGGCCCAGTTTGGCGGGCACCTGAGCAGCAACCCGTTCACAAGGTCACCAACGAGGATGCAATCCCCAACCCTCTCACAAATACCGGAACAGGCGCAGCAGCAGTTCTACGCGGCGCCGCTGCAACAGCAACCGCAAACCAGTAACCCCTTCTTCAACCAAATGATGACGGTCCCGCAGCAGCAGCAGCAACAGCAGCCGCAATTCGGGCAGATGCAAATGCACCCGCAAATGGGTTTGGCACCGCAGATGACCGGCTACATGCAGCAGTACCAACAGCAGCAGCAGCCCCGGCCAGATAAGGCGTCGATATTGGCATTGTACAACTATTCTCAACCAGCACTAAACCAAAACCAAAACCAGAACCCAACCCAGTACCAGAACCAGGACGCTGGGCTATCGACAGCGGCTCCAGCTCCAACTCAGACGCCCGACTCGCTGTTTCCCCAGCAACCGCAACAACAACAACAGCAACAGCAACAGCAACCAGCACCGGTTAACCTAGGTCCAAGTCTAGGCTCAGGGGTAGGAGGGAGCAAGAACCCGTTCGCTACAAGTGCCAATCCCGGGGCCGGTGCCGGGCGGCTTGCCGAGTCAGCGCCGAAGCACAATGCCAGCCGGGATAGCATGATGGCGCTGGGGCTGGAGTGGTCCAACGGGAGGCACAGCCCGGATGCGTTTGCCAGCTTGAGTGCTAGGGATACTCGTTGATTTTGGTCTGGACAGACACCTGCTGTGTAAGGTGGGATGGTAATGGTATGGGAAGGTAATGGGATGGGAGAAAGAAAACCTTTTTGGTGGTGGGACGGTGGGACTTATCATGGATGGATAGATGGATGGGATGCACATGTACATGTAGTGTGCATTGTCTGACTTGCTGACTGGCTGTCTTGGAATTGGAGCGAAAGGGAAGAAGGCTTTGTATATACTAGCATGCCTTAGGTACCTACTTAGATGGTGTACTGAAGTGTCTATCTGTGTGATACCTTAAATATCAAGTTTGCTTTCTCTGGTTGTATGGATGGGGCTGGATTGACTGTTTTGAACCAGGGGCTTCCATTTTTACGACTGTTTTGGTCGGCTGAGAACATCCGACAACAGAAGAACACCAGGCTGTACCTAGTTATCCCCCTCTGTCCAGTGTACTACGTGCAGGCGGGCTGATGTATTTTAGCAGACCAAGACGGTCGATCTCACACGCCATTTCATGCTCAAGGCAATGAGGAGCAACATGATAGTCCATCGAAACCAAGCCAGGGGACTTCTGTTCAACATCATTCGGAGGGGAGAGAACGGGGGTGTGAGTCAAATCAGCTGCTGGCCTGTGCTGTTCAGTTGTAGCTTGGACTCGGTATCAACAGTCATGATTATGAAAGTGGTGACGAAGGGGGACAGGATAGGATAGGCATGGGAGAAGGCGGGTGGAAGGGAGGAGAATGGGGAAGGGGGAGGAACTATGACGGCAAGAAAGAAGTAGTGGATGAGACAAAGGATCTGTTCCGTGGAGAAGAGGGCGAAGGCGGCGATTGCTCGTTAAGTGGGATGAAGAAGGGGTGGAAAGGGGAGAAGACATGGTGGTGAAGCTGGGTTGGGAAATATGGATGGGTGGCTCACATGGGCACCATGGGGAAAGGTTTTGGGTACGGTTCGTGGAGTTATCCCTCACTATATGGTTTGGATAATGGAAGTGTGGACGAACGGGGCGACTATTCATGCCACAAAGTCGGTCCTGACCAGCGGGCACCTTATAGCCGGCCGGCCCAGGTAGATGGTTAACCAAGCCCCCAGCCTCGGCGTGGCACAGCGGGAATGAGTTGGTATTTGCGGCTCCGGGTCCCGTTGACTGAGGCCACCGGTTCAATCCCGGTTTCGGTCACGGTCATCAGTTTAACCCCATGACTCAGCTGGGTTAACTGCAGATCGCCTTCAGTGACTTCCCCAGCTGTGCCCAAGGTTGTCTGGGGGTGGGCTCGAGAAGCCAAGAATTTTTGTCATTCTCGTCTAATTGTATCATTTATTCACATCATCATCGTGCGATCCATCGTCATTGATTAACTAGATAAAGGTTGAGTTCCATATGATGAAGGAGCGAGATGTGTGCCCTGATGAGCCCTGGGGACGTGGTTATGTGTGGGAGGACTTCAGAGCAGTAATGAGCACTAAAGAAAGACCCATACATAGGAATAGATCTTACTGCTCCAACATGCCGCAAGCTGTGTGTGGCACAGCATGTTGAGTATGCATACCTAAAGAACTTTTCCTAATTGGGAAGCCATGATGATCATTTGGGTGTTGAGGTCTGGAAGTCATGTTTCCGCCACTTGTGCCATTTCTCAGCCGAATCTTCCATTTCCAGACAAAAGGCCATCAAGAGCCATTGAAATGTCTAATTCATTCAACTCCCTCATTTCAAACACTGCGTCCCAAACGTACCCAGGAGAAGATCTTTAAAGTGATATATGTATTTCTGGATGCACGCCTACTACGAAACGGGTACCACGGCAGGTTCATTGACCCGATACAATGTTCTTCCTGTCCTAGGCATGATGGACAGGACCCTGTTTGATCTGGATTGCTTTATCAGCGTCATTGGGTATCATTTGCCCTAGTAGCCTCCCGTCCTGTGATATGATTCTGTCAAACGCCGGACGCCAACAGCAACGAAAGTCATACGTAGTAAATACAATACACAGACCAAAACTGCCTGTTTCCCCCGAGACCACCACAGCCCCATCAAGTCTAAATAGACCTAAAACCTCTCCAGCAGCATCCCAACTTTCCTCTGCTCATCCATCTCCACGTCCTCCACGCCTCCCCTCTCTGAGAACAAACTCCCCACGCTCGAGTCGCCGTCCCCCGCCCCGCGGCTGCCAGCCTGTTCCTTAAGCTGACCGACCCGCCCGCCAACCCTAGCAAGAAGCACTCTCATCCGCGACAACTCCGCCTCGATCTCACCATTGCGCGTCACCAGATTCTCCTGCACACCCTTCAACCCGCCAGCTTCTTCTTCTTCACCACCACCACCACCCTCCTCTCCAGCGGAAGTCGTAGTAGCTGAAGAAGGGGAGAAAGGCTCCAGAAGCGCCTGGATCCGCCTGAGACGCGCCACACGCGCGGCCGCCTCCCTCTTCCGCTCCGCCAGCGCGTGCAGTTCCGCCGCAAGCTCCGCATACCGCTTGGCCTCGGCGGGCTGCGCGGCTGCTTCGGACGGGTAGTCCCATTCCAAGGGGAGGGTAGCGATCACGGAGGGGTCCGCTTTTTTATTGTCCCGCCGTGAAAGTTCAAAGTCAACAACGAAGCTCTGATTTAACAAAAGTAGAACAGAGATAGATAATACGTAAGGGAAATAGATACCCACCTAGATCAGCGCCCAGACTCAACCCCTCCGCCACCTCCTCTCCTTCACCACCACCGCCATCATCATCATCACCCTCAATGTCGTGAGGACCCCTCCCCGCCCTCGCCTCGGCCGCGTTCCAGTACAGCTGGTCGATTTGCTCTGCCACGTGACGTATGGCCTGCGGGGCGTATACGCGCCGCGCGTGCTGCTGGAGGCGGTGGTTGAGCTTGAAGAGGGCTTCGTCGATGGCCTTTTCTGAGAGGGCGGTGCTCTGTTCTTCTTCGGAGGTTCCATTACTGTTGGCGTTGCGCCAGGCGCGGGTTGGAGCGAGCGGCTGGGATAGGCGGCGCGTTTGGGTTGTGAGGAAGGACTGTTTTAGGGAGACCACTGTCGGTGGGGTTGGGGCCATTCTTTCGCTTATTTTCTATTACTTGAAATTATCTTTTCTTTGTGAGATTGGATGAGAGTGAGCTGTGTAAGAGTCTCACCAGTCGGGTGAGAACTGGATGTGAGATGGAGGGATGTGGTTGGGAAGAGTCAGGGTTGGGGTTAGGTGCTGCTCTAGGGACATCGAGGTGGGGGTTTGAAAGACTACTACAAGTACCTGTACGTATGGGTAGGTATGGGTAGGTCCAGATTTACTTGTGAGAAAAGAAGGAATAGGTCTTCTGCAAAGACCATTTCTCACTATGCATATAGTAACCCGATTCATTGCATAGAGATACGTACCCATACTCCGTACTAGAGGTTGAACCTTGAGCAATTCTGTTACAGAGTACAGACGGATGTTACACGTGGGGTATGCATCAAGTGGGACGCCCAAGCTTTTCAAGTAACTTTCGTCCTGGCCCAAGCCGCGCTATGGATCTTTACACGGGAGTACGCCTAGCGGTAATGCATTCAAGTTCCGCACTCTGAGCTGCATTGAAGGCTCCTGTTGGAAGGTTCGACGTCACTGCAAACACAGTCGCCTCATCGAGCTATTGCGACTGCAACCGGACGGCTCTCAACATGCGCAGGTACGGAAGCTTAACCACAGCAAGATGGATGCCTCCCAATCTAACCCACTGCTTTTCTAGGATTGGCTCTGCCTAGGCCTTTCCATCTCCCACCATGCGGTCGCAGTTGACGCGCAATGTGTGCCTCCGACTGCTAGCCAACCATGGCTCGCTGCGGCCATGTCGCGCCCTGTCCGGCCGCTGCCTTGCCACATCCTCCCGCGCGAGACCGCTTACCCCCCTCCTAGGCCGCCGCCAATCTCGGAGAACGTTCTTCGGCATCTTCCAGAAGCCGCCACGGATGCTTAAGGAGCCCGACCTGGAGCCCGGCTACGACGTGCTGCTGCAGTTTAGGAGCGTGGAGGCGGACGATGCGCGGCCGCCGCCCCGGGCGGAGCTTCTGAAGGGCTGGACGCAGTTCATCCAACACAAGAGAAAACACCACCACAAAGCCCTCAACTCGACACAGGCCTTCCTCACGCTGCGACTGCTCCGCTACCTCGTAACGACGGAGCCGGACGCGGACGACCACCATGGCGAGGATCTCAGCTTCGCCGACCTCCGCGCGGCGCTATGGGTCACGGCATCCAAGCTGCCAAAGGGCACGAGCGAGCACCACCTCGAGCTTGCAAAGCTGCTGTACGGGGAGATCGAGCGGAGGATACAGAACATGCGCGAGCTGGGCATCGACGAGGAGGTGATCAGGGACGCTGTCGGAAGCGGCAAGGATGCCAGCGACTTTGAGCTGTTCCTGACGGCTCTCACACAGTATGGCGGGTCACTAGAGGCCGCCCAACGGCTGGCCGAGTTTAGGGCCAGTACAAACGGAGATAAGAAGATGATGGCGCGGGTGAGGGTGTTTTGGACCTTGGTGCTGCGCGGTCTGGCCAAGGAGGGCCGCGAAGAGGAGCTGCTCCGCGAGTACAAGAAGGCGGAGGAGGCGAGCGTCGAGTACATGCCGCCGATCCACGAGATCATGACGACATTCTTCGCGACGCGGGATAGGGTGGAGGAGACGAAGTACTGGTTTGAGAAGCCGGTGTACGGCAACTGGCTGCGGAGGCCAAAGGCGTACATGGAGGTGGTCAGGTTCGCGATTCGGAATGGAGAGCAGCAGTGGCTCCAGCCGATCTTTGAGCAATTGATACAGTCAAACCCGCAGAAGGAGTGGTGGGATGTGGTCTTCCACTGGGCCGTGGTGGTCATGGATAAGGGGGTTGAAGACATCAAGCAGATGATCCGGGCCATGTCGGCACCGGTGGATGGGAAATCGGGACCAAAGCCGGACGCCGGTACCCTCGACACCCTAATCACGGCAGCTATCGAGAAGCAGAACCCTTACCTTGCCGAGAGGTTTCTCTCACTGGGTGCCGAGCTGGGCATCCGGCCGAAGGCATCCACATATCTCCTCCAGATGGACTACCGCGTGGATGCCAAGGACTTCAGCGGCGTCCAAGCAATCTACGATAAGCTGCTAAAGGGGGAGGTCACTCCAAAGCAGGACGAGGACCTCCCCGTACTGAACAAGTACCTACGCGCGCTATGCTCCGTTCCGGAGCCCGACCTCGGCCGAATCCTCGACATCACGGCGGACCTCGAACAACGGCACGCGACGCTGGAGCCCGAGACGGTCGTCGCGATCTGCATGGTCTTCCTCCGCAACGACAACCAGTACGACGTGATCGACACGCTCTCCCTGCACACCGTGTCCTACAGCCTGGAGGAGCGCGCGCAGGTCCGCCGAGCCTTCGTCGACTACTGCCTCGACCGCAAGGTCAGCACGGCGCGCGCGTGGGACTGCTACTCGCTGGTGCGGCAGTTCTTCCCGGAGATGGAGCCGGACGAGCGCGTGCGGCTGATGGACGGCTTCTTCGCGCGGCGGCGGCCCGACATGGCCTGCTTCGTCTTCGGGCACATGCGGTCGCAGGGCAACCTGGCGCAGCGCCCCACGGCCGACATGTACGTGCGCTGCCTGGAGGGGTTGGGCCGGCACCCGGACGCCGAGTCGCTCAAGATGGTGCACAACATGCTCAAGATGGACACGACGGTGCAGATGGACACGCGGCTGTACAACGCGCTGATGCTGGCGTACGCGGGCTGCGACGAGCCCGCCACGGCGCTCGAGTTCTGGCGCGACATCACCAACTCGGCCGAGGGCCCGTCCTACCACAGTCTCGCCATCGCCTTCTGGGCCTGCGAGCTGCAGCCCGCCTACGGCGACCGCACGGCCCGCGGCATCTGGCAGAAGATACAGCGCATGGACCTCGAGGTGCCGCCGGACGTGTTCTGGGCGTACTGCGGCGCCATCGCGGGCAGCGGCCACCTCGAGGAGGTCATGCGCCTGATCCGGGGCATGGAGGCTAGCGTAGGGTACGGGCCGGGGATGATGACGTGAGTCTTTCTTTCTCTTTCTTCTCTTCTTCTCTTTGTCATGCTTCTGTCTAGTATATTCAGCGTGAGGTGCTGACCTGTTATTGCAGCCTCGGAGTGACGTACAATGCGCTGCCCAGCGAGGGTAGGAAGGAGCAGTTCGAGGCTTGGGCCAGGGCCGAGTACCCCGACATCTGGGCGCAGCTAGAGAAGAAGGGGCGCAAGGAGACGCTCATGGGCACCAAGTTCAACATCGACAGGGAAATGAAAGCCTAAAAGGGAGTCTGTAGGTTGCTGTGGTGGCTTGGTCCGTCGATGTATGATCTGGCTGTAAAATTTGTACATGTACAGAAGAAGGGTCTATACATAAAAGGACGACGCCCTCTCGTGCCATTTGCCCATGGCTCGCAGCCGCGTTTTGGCTACTAGTTATCGTACAGAATACAGTTTGGATGGCCTGGGGTGCGCTTGTACACTTTTACCCCCCCCAAACGCCATTAGAGCTTCGTTTGCCGGCAAATGCTTGATCATCACCCTACCACTCTACAACCGGCTCTGGGATGAATCCGAGGACTGCGGGATGGAGGAGACCGGCATGCTGTGTCTGGACATCCGCAGCACCTCAGGGTGTCTGTGAACACTGGGGTGCAGGCCCATGCCGACGGCCCGCCGGATCGCCTTGGCCATCTTGCGCTGGTTGACCGGGCGCAGCCCGGTCTCTGCCGAGTGCTTAATTCGGCCCATCGGGGTCATGAACTCGGAGATGAGCGAGAAATTCTGGGACAAGCTCTCGTCAGCCTTCTTTAAAGAAAAGAAACTTGGCCCATGTGTGCCCCCCACCCGAGAAACCGTACCTTGTAGTTATCCAGCGGATTGAAGCCAAACACATCGATCACGTCCTTGAGCGGCTTCCTGCCCTGCCGCCACTTGCTCATCTCGGTGGGACTCAGGTCCCGCGGCGCGTACACGTCGCCCGTCCGCCACCGCCGCGGCATCTGCCGGAGGTAGTTGTCCGTCGTCGCGTGGTTGCGCAGGTCCTTGAGGTGCTGGCCGAGCCCGCGCTGCGAGTCCACCATCACCTGCTGCTCCTCCTCCGCCGAGAGCTGCCCGCCCCGCTCGAGGCCGTCCGCCACCATCACCTGCAGCGCCTCGTTGATGTTGCCCGACCGCGCGGCAGCTCGGTTGCGCGAGCGCAAGGCTGGTCCTGAGCTCGAGCCTGGCGCGCTGTCGGGGAAGGTGTTGCGGCCTGCGATAAATTACCATGTGTGGTCAGTAACGGGCTGACGGTTGTTTTATTCAGACGGTTTCAGGGAAGGGGCGCTGACTGGTGAAGCCTCGGTATTCTTTTGCGAGGGCAGTGGAGGTTGAAAACGCTCGGGGTTGTTGATGCGCCAGGCCCGACTGACATTGGCGCAGGGCCGAAGAGAGCCATTGCCTGCACGACATGGTTGTTATGTGTGATTCTGTGCTCTACCCGCTGCTACTCTCGCTCGCCGCTTCAACCAGGTCGTTGGTCCCGTCAATAGGGCTCCGCGGTTGACGACGGGCCGGGCACTTTTTGGCGGATTTCTTTGGCGTCGCCGGATTGGCCAAGCTTTGAAGGTCTTGGCACCAGTGGGTCTCCATTCCGGAGTGCATGGGTGCGGTTGGTTTGCGGCAGGCAAATGGATAATGTGGAGCAGAGAGCCATGGCCCTTGTCAATCAAAAGTTTTGGATTGTCGCCATCAAGGTACCACCGTATCAGCAACACAAGCCCGTTCATCAACATCGAGTGAACATATATTGTGAGGACTGATTCCTCAACATGACACGAAAACTTAAGTTTCATGAGCAGAAGCTCTTGAAGAAGTAAGTTGCGGCATGAGATGAACAGGTTGGCATCAAGAAGCTCACGCTTGTTTTCATTCTGCAGGCACGATTTCATCAACTACAAGCAAGACAACGACCACCGGCACCATGATGTCGCCAGGTAAGAACCTCCGTCGACTCTCTTCAGAACGTTTTCACTGACTCATTTTAGGCGATACATGATCCAAAAACCAGAGGACTATGTGCGTTCTGCCCACTCCCTCCTGCCTTGAAATCGTCCCGCGAGAAAGGCCGAGGTCTACCCGCCAAGCGCACAGCTGCTTCGCTGTGAACGGACCCTTTGGAATGTAGACTTGCTGACTTTCGAACAGCACAAGTACAACAGGTTATGTGGTGTAAGTTCTCTCTATCTTGGGTCCGGGGATGCGTCCACGTGCTGACGGTGCGAATAGTCCCTCCGACAGCTAGCCCACCGCTTAAGTGTATGTTCTCGCTACTGCTTCTATCGACAAGCGCACTCGAGTCACTAACACTTACATAGCTCCTGCCACCGGAGAACGAGGTGAGGAGGAAACATGAGACCCTGCTCCTGGACAAGCTCTACGACATGGGCATCCTTTCGGTATGTTCCTAGCAGAAACGATGTGTGCTGGCCATCACTAAAGTGTTGCTGGTAGACCAAATCGAAGCTTTCGCAGGTCGAGCACAACGTCACAGTGTCTGCCTTTGCCCGGCGACGGCTACCTGTTGTCATGACTCGGTGCGCCCCCTGTCGGTTCTAGTGTGCCCTGCTTGACCCTGCTGACACCGGAACAGCCTACGCATGGCAGAGACCGTCCAGGCTGCCACCAAACTCATTGAGCAAGGACATGTCCGAGTTGGCGTGGAGGAGGTTCGAGACCCTGCCTTCCTGGTTACGCGGAACATGGAAGACTTCGTCACCTGGACGCACGGCAGCAAGATCAAGCAGAACATCCTGAAATACCGCGACAAGCTTGACGACTTTGAGCTCCTCTGATGAGCTCGAGTTCAACTATTCGACTACGTCGACTCTGTCGAAGTGAGACCAGCACCCGATAGCCGCAGCGAGCAACCCTTGCCTCACTTTGGGGGTCTCATGAACAGGGAAGAGATGTGCCGTCTCTGTGTCAGCAACGAACATTGTGGTGGTTCATGGGTCTAGAATTACTGGCGCCGAGGGTTCCGGACAAGGCTGTGCGAGGAAGGATGGGCAGTGTGGATGCAAGCACGCGCTTGGTGTGGGAAGGCCCTTATGCAGTGCTGCAGGGCATGTCGACTTGCCTTAGTGTTGGTCTATGGACTCGGATCCGGACTGCACGGAATACCATCACACCATCGCTGAAGTGTTTGGCTTTGAGCAGTCGCAATACTAAGGCACCTGGATAGGTATGCTTGATTATCCTGAACTGAGATCTGGGCTTCAATTGATTTGCCCGTTCAGGCGGTTACTCATTTTGAGTCACAAAGCAGAACAAATATTGCTTTGACTCCTTGTGAATCGCATGGCCTGCATTTTACCTGTGCGCTTCCGGCTGCTTCCGACGTGAAAATCCTGTCCATCGACGTTTCCTTGTTCACTGTCGGTTCCGCCTTTCGGCAGGTGCCCTGGCTATTTCCGTTTGCACAGCTTCTTTCAGTTAGTTATAATCTTCACACTATCGAACTACCTCTCCGCGCGAACGACATTCTTCCTATCTCTACACTACCCTGTAACCAAGGCATATCTTCAACCACCTCAACCCTACAAAACACTTTGCACCGTTCTCCTCCTGTTACTCTCCTATACTATCTCACGCTGCATCATCTCGCCTCTATTTACGGCCACCTGTTTAATAAACCTGTTCGGTGCTTTCCCTCTGTCAACATTCTGCTTCCAAGTCCGCTGATCTCATCCGGCCGCCTCTCGAGCACCTGTCCTAGCAGCTTCTGTCGGCCGAGATCTGCCACAGCCATCCCTCTGACAGCCGTTCAACACCTTCCTTCTGGGCCTTCTAGCGGGTACTAGGGGAGGATGGAGACCAACCAGTCTGTCAAACCCGAGGATAAGCCCTTGTCCTCAGGTAGCAGCATCAAGGCACGGCCACCTGTGCCCCGCCGCTACTCATCCGCCGTGTTTCCTTATCTGGCACGCCTGGGCAAGACAGGGCTTCCAGGAAGTCAGTTCGACGAGGATCCCTACCTGGAGGCTCTGAAACAGTTTTCCGCGGGCCATTCCCCTTCCCTCGACGACCTTCCACTTCAGCGGCCGCCTCCTAGAAACCCGCACCGGGTGACACCGTCTGATAAGACCAAGCAGAAGGATCCGCAGGCGGACCTATCTAGAGTTCTGGCTGGTGTGTACGGGGAGCTTCCTCGAACGATCGGCCGGAGGTATCATAGGCTAGCGAACGGCAATGTTTGCGTCGAGTTTGTGGACGTGTCTGCCCACGAACAGCACTACGGCCATGGCTCGGCGAGCAAAGTCCGGCCTGCCGTCGGAGTTCCTCCCTTCTTCAATACCCACTCTCAGTGAGGTCATGCAGCGGCATTTTGGTAGTTGGAGGAAGTCTCGGACTGGGAATAACCGTGCATGAAAGAAGGGTGTTAACTCATCACGGTGTTTAGATTGTGTATCTGGTATTCCGAGCATAAGCAGAGCAGCAACCATGATCTGAACACAAGGCACTCCTAAAATGATGAAACGTTTAACTGGCCGGTCAACAGCGGGAAGGTATACATTAGAGGGAGGATTGGCACTGCTTGCACCTAGGCTCTCGGGCAAACCAAGCACATAAACCAACACCTTCTCAAGTCATAGTTGTTCTCTGAGGAACATAGCTATTGGAATTATCGTCGACAACCACGCCGGCGGGACATTAGTCGACTCGGTGTTATCTTGGTAGTTCTGGAAAGTCCCGCTGCCGTGGACGTCGCATAACTGGGTCGCATTAAGTCCTGACTGGTCCCCCTCTGTCGTGAACACAACATACGCCATATCTCCCAGACACCAATTCCTACTACTGCCCCCTTTTTCCTAACCCCTGAGTCTCAGTTGAGTCGAGTCTGCCCAAGGATCGGGTTAGGGTTGTTGTAGCACACCTACAACAAGCCTGTGTTGATGAAGACGGCGGCGCTTTCATGAACCGAACCATCCAATGTCAAGTGCACCACCGGATGACTCGGGTGAAATCCAGGAACACGCGAATCAGAATGGACGCTGTGCCTCGCCCTTGCATAAGGTAGGGACTATCAACGTAGTAATCAGGGGAAGCGGGGTCCTCTTGTTGTCGGTAGGCGGGGCACTCAAACGGCTGAGGCGGTTCCCTGCTCCTCGTTGCCTGCCTCGGAATCAGCCTCAACCGACCCCCGACGACAAGGCGAGCTCCGAGTTACTCCATTCTACCTCGCACCGCTTTCCACGGATATCTTCGTACTCTACACTCTTCCCACATAACGAACCCCTCCTGGCCCCTGGGTACTCACTCGCCTAGTAGAAGGACCCGCAGAAATCCTCACCTTTCCTCTACCTCGTCTCAAGCCAGCTTTATCTAGCTCATCTCACTCAAATACCGGGGGCCCCTCTTACCAACTCACACACCCACTCTCCAACCCCCATTTCTTCCATCAAACCAGAACCGATCCCCTTTTTTTTACCCACACTCAGAAAAAAAACAAAAAAGAAAAAAATGTCGGATCTCGACCTCCTAACCCTAGCATCAACCGACGTAGCCACCCCACTGCCCGCGCACGCCGTCCACGCGGCCCTCTCCAGCCCGCCCTTCCTCCTCCTGCCAGATACCTTCAACACGCGCGACCTCGGCCTAGTGCCGGGCTCCCCGATCCGCCCGGGGCTAGCCTACCGCTCGGGCGGCTTCCTCGCGGGCTTGTCGGCCGAGGGGAAAGAAGCGCTTGCCGGGGGTAAGGTCACGATCAGGAAGGTGTTTGATTTGCGGAGTGTGAGGGAGCACGAGGCGCGGCCGGACCCGGATGATATTGGCGGCGGCAAGGGGTTGGAGGTGGAGGTTGTGTGGGTGAGACCCGATGAGGAGGATGCGCTGGTTGGGTTGGAGGATTTTGTGGAGGGCGGTGGGGAAGGGGGATATGTGAAGATGTATATGGATGTTTTGAAGGTGTATCGCGGGGGGATTAGGGCCGTGTTGGAGCATGTGAGGGATGGGAGGGGGGAGGAGGGGTTTTTGTTTCATTGTACCGGTGAGTCCTTCCTCTCCGCTTTTCTAAACCCCTGATGAAATGCTTGAGAGGTGTGTGCTCCTTGGTAGACTGACTTTGGGGATAAACTACCTAGCCGGACGCGATCGCACTGGGGTGATGGCAGGGCTGTTGCTGAGCCTGGCCGGCGCCAGCAAGGAGACGGTGGCGCTGGACTACATGCTATCGCGGATCGGCACGGAGCCGGCGCGGGAGCAGCTCTTAGCGTTTGCGCTGAAGGGGTCCATGGCCGAGAACACCGATGCCCCCGGGTTCCATAACCTGTGCAATCTGAGGGTCAGCTGCTGGGAGGCCTTCGTCGGGGCCGTCGAGAGCGAGTACGGCGGGTTCGAGGGCTACGTGACGCGGACGCTGGGGTTCTCTGAGCAGGATCTGGCCAAGATCAAGGCCAACCTGGTGCTGCAGAACTGAGAGCAGCGGGGCGGGCCGGGCCCGATAGACGTGGCTTTGCTTCTTTTGCGTCGTTTCCTCGACTAGAGTCAGGGAAGTCACATCCATTGGTGACTACCTAACAATGAGCCCCGTTAGCTTGAGTGTTTTTGAAAGCCATCTTCATTTTGCCGTCAATTGAATCAAAGAGATATCATATCCGTCGACTGCTCCTGTGCGCGGACTCGCCGTAGTGAGGATCACACAGTTATGCAGTACCCCTTTCTCAAAACGCCTGTCATACCCATCATCAAAGTCGTCCCTTTTTGAACTCCCGACCATTGACACCCCCATAAATGCCCCTTTTGTGATGCCATCCTAGGGTATACAGTACAGTACAAGCCAAATCCCGTGTCCTTCCAAGCCATCCATCCATCCCATATCGTGCAACTGCTTGACTGTACCTCACAGCTCCCCTTGTTAATACTCCTTCCCAAATGAAATGCCAGAGTACAGAAATGGTTGTCTTGTGTGGATCGTGATCGCCGGGTGTACCTATGCAAGTCCCATAGACCCAATTGCACCCGCTCTCCTATCATCCACCTGCCGCCCTGGTGTCATATCAAACATCAAACTGACAGCCCTCTGCAACCTGCAAGCAGCGCCCCTCCAAGACTCAGCAGCATCACAACGGGCCTTCGCTCCATTGTCGACTTATTAAGTTTGGTGTGGACGGGTCCATGAATGGAATGAATCGACTTCGTTGTGTGCAACTGCATGACGAGTGATTGATTGGATGGCGGTATAGACTCCTTCAGAAAGGAAAAGAAAACACACAACCTGACTTCAGGAACTGGTAGGAGATTTCCACAGGGGGGGATCGTGGCATGCGGGAATGATGGATGCCGTGCGGGACGAGAGAAAGAGAAAATCAGAGTTTGTTCTCGTCGTCGTCGTCAGGTTCCGGCTGTTGTGCTTTTATTTTGCCGTCATCGCCGAACCGTTGGGAATGAAGGATTGTTAAGTCGTCATATCGAGATCTCCCTGAGTGGTAAGAAAGCCTGCTGTTATGGATACAATTCCCTCGATTACCGTGCCGTCATCATTCTGAGAATTAGGGGTCATAAGCCGTGACGTTGCCATACTCTCTTGACCGGTGAAAAGGCTCATGTGAACGGTGAAGGATTCCGCTGGTTCGATGTCGACGTCTTCCGAAGTTCAAAATGCCGCCAAGGAATGTAAGTCTCGACGTCGTGATTCTCTTTGAACGGTGGGGAAAGCCGGGTGTTCTGGTAGAATCTTCCCTCACGTCATTACGAAGACCTCTTCAGAACGAAGTGACGGTCCAAAACCAAAAAGCGAGAACCGCCGGATGGTGATGGCAAAATGCTGGCTTCACCCCATGCCAGAAACCTCTTCCGAATGGTAGGGTCATAAGTTGTGAAACACCGTGAAACTCCTTGGGAATCGCCACCCAGATGCTCTTTGCACTAACAACACCCCTTCCATCCCCGCGACCTCGAACTCCGCAACATTAGGCTAACGAAAAAGTAAAATCAACTGAATCCTCTCGGTCGTGAGACGTGATCGGCCACTTAAAGAGTCAAAATAGAGTGTTCTAGATCCACCCGGGAGGCGGATACTCAGGGAATTGCCCAGCAGCTATCGGGGCCGACGAGTCCTGGGGAACAGAGACGATCGAGGAGGAGGCAGAGGAGGAGGTGGCGGCAGCAGCGGTGGCTTGGAGCCGCTTCTCAAAGTCGGTGGGCCGGGGCGACGGGCCCGAGATAAACGGATCCCCTTCTGTTTCTGCGGCCGGAGCCGCAGTCTTGGCAATGCCCGGTGTGGCCGGCGGCTTCTTTTCCACACCATTCTCGCCGTGTTGCTTTTGCGAGCCGGTCGGTGGCTGCGGCGGTGGCGCAGGCGAGAGGACGGAGGAAGACATGGTGTCGTTGGGCTCGGCGGGACTAGTACTAGTAGGAGGAGTAGTAGTCTTCTGATGGGGCGCCAGAACCGGAGCGACGAGCTGGGGAGTCTCGCCCAGCACCTTGAGCGCCTTCTCGCGCTTTTGGACGTTGTCGGCCTCGTTGACGCGGATCTGGGTGTCGCGCACACGGGCACGGGCACAGGCAGGGACAGGGGCGGGCGGCAACAGCTCCAGAGACGACAGAGAACCGGTCAGGTGGCGGATCTCGTGCCTCTTAATGGAGGAGGAGGAGAAGGAGGGGGCCAGCGCATCCTTCTTCTTCTTGAAGGAGAAGAAGGAGGAGACCTTCCGGAGAAGGCCCCTTGGAGGGTCGTCGGCGGGGCTGGGGCCGGGGCGTGGGCGCAGGGAGGCAGCCGCGGGCTGGCCCTCCCCCTTGAGGGCCTGGTGCGCGGCCAGCATCTGCTGCGTCTTCTCGAGGACCTTGCGGTCCACGAGCGGGGGGTGACCGTGAAGGCGCACCCCCGCCGCGGGATCCTCTTCGCCGGCGGGGAGGGGCGTCGACGGAGACCGGGAGAGCGTCGTCGGGTGCATCCGCAGCGGGTTGAGCAGCCCGGCGGTCTGCGACGCCGGAAGGGGCCCGGCAGAGGGCGCCAGCTGGGTGACAGGGATAAACCTGTCATCCCAGATGCCGCCGTGCCGGGCCGCCTCCGTGCGCGATGCGGGGATGCGCCGCACGCCGATGCCCATGCCGTGCTGGCTGTGCTGCGACGGCTCGGTGGCAGAGGGCGGGACGCCTCTGGCAGCACCGGGACCGTCTCTTTCCTCGTCGGCCCGGGACGAGGTGGTGAACTTGAATGGCCTGGGGGCCACCGGCGGGGGTCTCAGCGGCGGGAGGAGAAGTGCGCCCCGAGCCGGGCCCGGAGACCCCGCGGAAGAAACGTCGGAGCAAGCCCCCGAAGAGGCTTTCTCGACGACGATCTGCGGGATCCGAGTCCCGCCGCAGCCCTCACCACCAAGAGAACCCCCGGTCCCGCCCGGTGAACCCCCTCCCAACGACGTGTGCGCGCTCATGGTGACTTGTTTCTCTGTGCCGACGGGTTAGCAACTTAGCATGCGCAGCAGACAATAGCATCCAAAACAGCAGCCATCGATGATCTGGGTGTAAGTTTGTTCCCCTCTCCTGCCAGCGGAACCGACCCTCGTGACGGAGAGCGAAGAAATCATCGTCGCCACACCCGCAGCCCGGAAGCTAGCGAGGGGCGAGTAGCAGCGAGTGTTACTGTTACTGTCGTGAGGAGATAAACTTACCGAACTTCGAAAGCCGACTTTGTGACCACCGGTGTGGTCGTTGACAGTGCCAGTGCCGCTTCGCAAAGAGAAGAAGAGACGAAGAGCTTCTTCTGTCGAGGCACACGACAAAGGGAAACCCGCATCGCGTCGGTTCCCCTCTCACCATTTTAGTTCATCTGATGAATCCCGCGAGGGCGGCTGTTCCGGCGGCCAATGGCGCGATCCCGTGGCATCGCGAGACCGCCTGACAACCGGCTGTCGACCGGCAGACGTGCAAAACAGACCGGCCTTCCCGGAGCCGAGGCCGGTCAGCAACGTGAAGCGCAATCGGGATGTGTTTGGAGCAATGCCGGTAGCTGTTTGGTGCCGCAGAACTGGGGTCGGTTGAGGGAACGCCATCTGTTGGAGAGTTAAGTTGCAGAGAGTAAGGTGTGAAGCAAAGCCCTCGAAGAGGCAGAATGGGAGCAAACGCGGGAATGGATTAAACGGCGCAGAGTCACGACCATGTCACAACCAAGGCACCCCATATCATCGCGTATATCGCTTCCTTCGAGGCCTACCGCTTCTAAACACAGGAGATTCAGCATCGCTTGCAGCAGAGAACTGGGAAGTTGGTGCCCCTTTCAAGCAACGAGCGAAAAGGCACATACTGGGCCATCGCCATGCTACCCCGCGCTGATAGCAACTTACACACCTTCATGAATGAAGTGTTCCCAATTCCCAAGCAAGCCACACGTGGATCGCACCACGACTCTACTCATAACTTTGGTTACCTCGCATGCACAGTGACGTATCTCCACAAACATGGGCTATGGGGGGATGTAGGAGGCAACTTTCTGAGACTCGGATAGGAAGCCTGGTCGACAGAGAGTTGTTGGTGATTTCGATTATCCGGACTATCCCGCTAAAGGTGATGGATGTAGAACCCGAGTGATCCATCACAGAGAGCAACACATTGTCCAGAGAGCGCTCGAAGTCGTACAGGTTGGTCACAACATCCGGATCCGGATCCAGGAAAATAAGCCAAATCCCATCAATGTGAAGATACTTACGCTTGCTCTGAGCCAGTTCAGGATGTAGGTCAACCCGGCAACGGTACCTACGCCCGTGAGTAGTGTACTGATCTTAGTTCAGGCATCACGGGAATTCAAACAGAAGAAGGGGGTGATCAACACAATGTCCGAATGCCAGGGAAAGCGGTGGAAACTTAGGTGTAGCTGTGATGCTAGACCCTGGATTCCAGGAGATCTACGTTATATGATATTTTGTTCATTCCCGTCATCAACTGCTACCTAACGTACCTAGTCATCTGCTGCTCGGCTTCAAGACTTGACAACCAGAAACTTTCAGCCTGGGATTCCCTGGGAATTTCATTGGAGCTAAGCTCCTAAGGTAACCAATACCAGTGGGTGGCGAAAAAGGTACGGTATATGAGCAGCTCAATGAGCTCATCTTCCAACTACCAATGCAACTGCACACCCGACGTTGCCACGAAACTCTTCATGGCGTAGTGGTCGAGCTGTGAAAAATGCTCCCGACACTCTCCACATGCGCCGCCCTGCTGTGGACTTTGTAGGAGCACATGTTCGATTTGCGGCGGCCCCATCTTCCTGTACCTGGTAAATTTCGATTCTGCTCCTTCACCCCCCTACATGATTCATTGAAAACTGGCTGGCTTTGGAGCGATTTGCTTGAACTAAAAACCCTTCCATTCTTTGATATTAGGAAAAGGGGTAGGCCAGCTGTGACCACCTGAGTCTCAGTCAAATGTCTGCTCAGATATGGAGTATATAGAACTCATCGTCCTCTTCCCCTGAGATGTCGCAGTAACAGCTGCACCACCCAGCAGATAAAAGCTCTTTGGAATGAGCTTGAACTGCTCCGAGAGTGCACGAACAGAAGAATAGGCCTGATGATCCGCTCATTGTACTCAGCCAGTAAGCAGCGTAAGTCATGTCGAATCAAGAAGTGAATCTCAGAGCCATGTGCAGTTCGGGGCTTTCACATAGAGGAACTGAAAAAAGGGGTCTTGCCAAGACTGTTTACATCGTTGACATGTGGTTACCTCAGCAAGCGCCAAGCCTCTTTGAAATGCTAGCATGCTGATTGGCGAATCCCGAGGAGATGTCGCAAGTGGACCACCCCGCAAACTCCCGATCAAATCGCCTCATCAGTTCGGCGTTCGGCCTTGGGCGGACTTTCTCGGGCGCAGGTTTCCGGAGGTTACTCAGTATTTTCTACAACTCCGGGGAACTCTTTTGTTCTTTTGTCCGCACCGATTGCCTTAGGAGATCATCTCAGCGATTTCAGCGGTTCGGCGGTCAACTCCAGGGCGGAGAGGCGGAGTCATCGGTGTAACGTCAGGAACAGTCAATCAACACCGTGGCATTGCGCAAGATTGCTCAGCCATCCCGATTTAGCCACAAGACCCGAGGGTTTTTCAACGGCACATCTGTCAACCTCGGGAGCTGACGGCGAGTTACCCCAGAGCATACTTTCCTCGATAGACCGCTCGGCTCTTTTCCAATTCCTCTCCAAACCTTCAAGTCGACTCTCGCGACCAGACAAAAATGTCGTTCTCCAGCCTCGTCCAGGATCTGTCGCTCCGTGACTCGAGCGCACCGAGGAGACGGGCCGATGCCTCCGTCTCGACCATCGACGACCGCGCTTCCCACCTCTCCCTCGCCAAGTCATACACGAGCACCGCCGCCACCAGTGTGAGCATTTCGGGGGACATCGCAAGCCAGCTCCATGCCGGCTACTGCCACCCGCTGGCGAGGTCATGGCAAGCCGAGCGGCAACTTACGAAGGTAACATTGCATTGCCTTGCGATTGCTTTGACCATTGCGGGCTAACCGGTTTACATCCAGTCAATGCTCATCTATCCGCTCTTCATCTCGGACCAGGATGACGAGGAAGTCCTCATCCCTTCGCTGCCGAACCAATACCGTCGCGGAATCAACCGATTGGTCCCCTTCCTGGAGCCGCTCGTGCACAAGGGCCTGCGGTCCGTCATCCTCTTCGGCGTGCCGATGCGGCCGGGCACCAAGGACGCGCTGGGAACGGCGGCCGACGACCCGGAGGGCCCCGTCATCCGTAGCATCCGGCTGCTGCGCCAGCGCTTCCCGCACCTGTACATCGTCGTTGACGTCTGCCTGTGCGAGTACACGTCGCACGGCCACTGCGGCATCCTGCGCGACGACGGCAGCCTGAACAACCAGCTGTCGGTCGACCGCATCTCGGACGTGGCCGTCGCCTACGCGCGCGCCGGCGCCCACTGCGTCGCGCCGTCCGACATGAACGACGGCCGCATCCGCGCCATCAAGCTCAAGCTGATCGAGGAGGGCATCGTGCACAGCGTGACGCTCATGTCGTACGCTGCCAAGTTCTCGGGTTGCCTGTACGGGCCCTTCCGCGACGCCGCCGGGTCGGCCCCTTCGTTTGGCGACCGCCGGTGCTACCAGCTGCCGCCCGGGGGTCGCGGCCTGGCGCGCCGCGCCATCGTGCGTGACATCGCCGAGGGCGCCGACATCATCATGGTCAAGCCGGCGGGCCAGTACCTGGACATCATCAGCGATGCCAAGGAGCTGGGCAGGGACCTGCCGATCGCCGCCTACCAGGTCAGCGGCGAGTTTGCCATGATCCACGCGGCCGCCAAGGCGGGCGTGTTTGATCTCAAGACCATGGCCTTCGAGAGCACCGAAGGTATTCTCCGAGCCGGCGCCACCATCATCATCAGCTATTTCGTGCCCGAGTTCCTGGACTGGCTGGACAACTGACCAGGGCGAGGGGCGTTAGACGTGAGGATTGGAGTTTTGGGCGTTTGGGAGTACACGGTTGCTTGGGCAAGGGCCGAGAGTCGGGTCTATCGTTTATTAGACGTCCTGTCATTCTCTGGGTTTCACGTACATATGTTCTGGAACACTTTCTGTCAAGTTTGGGGCTCTACGGATCTCTCAGGTCGGGTTGGAAAAAGCACCTACCGTTGCGGGTCGACTGGGCCGAAGTTATAGGCCGCCGAAGGCACATACTGTGGTATAAATATACTTCGTACGTATCTCCGCTGACGATCGTCGTTCTCTGTCTTTGGCCAGGACCTTCAAGTGCGCGCGCAACCGGTTAAAGGATCCTACCTACAGTGTATACGCAAAGCTTCCAGGTTAGAATCGATAACTTCTTTTCCAACCTAATCGGCATTCAGCGAATCAAGGCGAGGCTCCGGCCCGAGTCGATGGATCTGCCGGACTGCAGGGGGGTAAGTGGGTCGTATGTGGAGCACCTCAGATCTCTTGGCTCGGGAGATCGCCGACTGCAAGGCCAACGTCCCCCTGGCACCAACACATCAACCTAAGACAGAGTTTCAAACACAAACCAACATTGACAATAAGACAAACGTACGGAAGTTGTACAATTCAACGCTGGTGGGACATGCAACCTCATATCCCCATGGTGACTCACTCACGGCTCCAGAAAAGAAACTATGGTCACCTTCGTCTTCCCAAGACTCCTTTCAGATCCCGGCCGTATCGGGATGGGGCTTCTCCATCTCTTATCGCTCAAACTGGGCCTGTGAAACCTCTGAGATCTCGCTCTGGGAGGCAGGTAGGTAGGTAGGTGGGCTAAAATGTCTGTAGACTTGGGAGAACCTGCCACACAAGAGCCGCCCGTCGAATTATCTCGATCAGCATCTTGATTGTTATCCGGTTCCTTGGTTGGGGTGAGAGAGAGAGAGAGAGCGCGCCGGCGGGGCGCCCCGCGAGTGTGTTGTCGGAGACTGTGGGCAGCAGTTTGAGTGAGGCGATGCCAGTGCTTGGGAACAGTGTGATGGGAGGGAACATGGATGAAATGCATTGTGGCGGATAACAAGAAAGGTTGGATGGGATACCTTAGGAGAGGAAAATGCTCACCACCAAGCTCCCCATTGGTTTGTGGCAAGGGAGGTTGGTGGCTACGAAAATTCCCCTCCAGGGATTTTACTTCGCTGGGTATGGATAGGAATCGAACCCAGGCCATCTCGAAGGAGAGGGTCTACGACGCCGTGGCGTTGCGGGTGCACCGTGGTGACCACTTGACCACTTTTTGTGGCGCCGTTGGAAAGTCGGTTCAATGATGTTGCCTATATATCTGGTAGGTACCGTAGGTAGGGACCGGGACTGTGGGGATCTACGGCTCGATACACCTCAGCAAACCCCTGACACCCTTAACGCTCGCGGGACACAGGCTGTCGAATTAATCTATTTGCAGGTGGCCCAGCGCGGCCCAACTTTGTCCTACACTCATCCTTACGACCTGCCATCGGGGCCGGGTCATATCCTCAAACGCACCAAACCTAGAGCGTGAGCCCGTCCGGCATGCGGCGCGGTGCTTCAGACTTCGGACGACTACATCATCCGGGCAGGGGCTCGAATAGGCCCGACCCGCCCAATATGAGCGGTGGTAGAGAGATCCAGTTGTGACGAGGTATGGTGCTTGAAATTTCCTAACGCAGCCAAGTGGTTGCCTGTTCTTTCTGCTGTCGCGTATGTTCGTTTATTCCCCTTGTGCCTCGTTCTTTTTTTCAGTTACCTCCTGTTTCGCTGTATCATCTCTCGATCTGGCTAGTCTGAGAGTCTGAGAGGAGCACACTGTTCCTAGACTCGTATTCATCTAGTGACTTGGGAGAACTAGTGTCCCAAGAAGGGCAAGCAATACGCAGCGATCGTCAGCTCATCGCACTAAGCTATCCTCTATCTAATTTTCTCTTCTACGTGTGAGAGGCCCGTCCTCTACTCACTTGCGTTCCAAGATACGCTTTTCACTATCTCTGTGGTGTCTTCCACAACTCCAAGTTAGCAAAGCTAGGTAGCTAGCTCTTGGTTATCATCTCCGCGGAACATTCTTTCGCCGTTCCAAGCCTCTTCGAAAAGGAAAATGGACACCCACCTCGTCCCTATACACGACCTCGAATACGAGGAAAAGGCCACACTCGTGGATGCCAACAACTCCTCGACATCAGACAGCGAAAGCGATGCCGTCAGACGAGCCTCAGACCCCGACTCCCGCTTCTTCCACTCCACAACCTATACCAAAGAGAACTTCCTACCACGATGGCGATCATCATCATCATCACCACCACTATCCCGGCAACAACAACAACAACAACATCTCCTTACTCTTACACCAACCCACCTCCGCTCCTTCCTCCTCCGAACCGGCCTCTTCCTCCTTCCAAGCTTCCTCCACCACCCTCGTCTCTCGCAAACCACAACAACAACAACCGCTAGTACTGGCACTGGGACCGGGGCTGGGCCAACCGCCTACCTAGACGGCATGCGCGGCCTGGCCGCCCTGTTCGTCTTCTTCTGCCACCACGCCTACACAGCCTTCGCAATCGCCCCCGGATACGGCTACCGCGGCGGCGCAGAGCACAGGGACTTGCTCAAGCTGCCCTTTCTACGGCTATTCTTCTCGGGACCGCCCATGGTGTGCGTGTTCTTTGTTGTCTCCGGGTACGCGCTCTCTCTGAAACCTCTCCGGCTCATCATCATTCATACACAAAATGGGAAGAACAAGGGGAACGGGAGGGGGAAGTTGATGGACACCATGGCCAGTCTCACCTTCCGCCGGGCCGTGAGACTGTTCCTGCCGCCCGCCGTGTCGACGCTCATGGTTGTCGGGATGGTCCGGCTGGGGCTGTACGAGTGGACAAGGGAGTTTGCCTACGATGCACGGTACGTGCGGAATCATCAGGAGCACCACTACGGCCCGCGCACGGAGACGCTGGGGGAGCAGGTGGGCGATTGGGCGCGGCAGCTTCTTGGGTTTGTGCATGTCTGGGACTGGGCGCCGTTTGGCGGGAGTATGGCGCTCGACGTGCACCTGTGGACCATCCCCGTCGAGTTCCGCTGTTCGATGGCGTTGTTCCTCACCATCGTCGGCACGGCGAGGCTGAGGAGGGCGGTCAGGCTTGCTGTGGTGGCCGGGTTGGTGTGGTTCTCGTACTGGAATCAGAGGTGGGAGATGGTGCTGTTTTATGCGGGGATGGTGTTGGCCGAGGCCGATGTCGTGAGGGGCGCGCATGGTGGTGGTGGTGGTGATGACTTCCCTGTTGTTTCGGCTTCTCGCTGCTGTTCTCCTACGCCGGGGCTGTTGTCGGCGTCGACGAGCCGCTCCAACTCCCCGTCGCCGGCTCCGGCCAGGAGACGGTTCACGGCGACACGCTCGCTGTGGTGGATCGCTGTCAGCATCGTGGGGTTGTACTTCATGTCGCAGCCCGACGAGGGCGGCGCCGAGACACCCGGCTGGGTCTATCTCACGAAGCTGATACCCAAGTGGTGGGGAGACGAGCACAGGTACTGGCAGAGCTTTGGCGCCGTAATCTTCGTGCTGGCGGTGGGCCGCTCCGCCTGCTGGCAGCGCTTCTTCAATCTGGCCGTGGTGCAGTACCTCGGCCGGATCAGCTATGCGGTGTACTTGATGCACGGGCCGGTGCTGCACACGGTCGGATATGCGCTTGAGCGGTGGGCGTGGGGGCTGACGGGTACCGAGGGCAGGGCGTACGTTGCCGGGTTTCTCCTGGCGTCTGTCTTTGTGGTGCCGATTGTGATCTGGGTGTCAGATGTGTTTTGGCGAGCTGTAGACGCGCCTGTTGTGAGGTTTGCCAAATGGCTTGAGAAGCGATGTTCCATATCTGAGTAGTAAGTGTCAGTGTTGGCTGCAAGGAAAAGTTTTACTATGATTTTGGAGGGGGTTATGTAAATATGCTACATCAGCCGGCATTGTTGTTTTGCCTGCGTTTTCCTTTCTAGCCAGGAGTCGGGAGTCACTGGAGAGTATTACTAGGCTGCAGGCGGTACTTGGAACGGAGCAGTTACTTCCGCAACAGTTGGATATCGTAGATTAGGCACAAGTCTCCGAGAGCTCGGGTCATGTTAGGCCGGTGAGCGTTTGGCCAGACTTCTGTTCGTGACGTCAGCTTTACCTGGAATCACTACCAGATAAAGTTTGGTTCAGAGTTGGGCTTTTTTTCTAGCAACACATCAGCCCGTGTTCTGGCGGACGGGCTCCCCTCAGCAATTCCGCTCAAATCTATGCGAGTCTAGGTAGGTATCAACCTCTTATTTGAACACAGCCAACATACGCCCAGCTAAGCAGTCGTGATGCAATCATCCTCCTCCCACCCCCGGCTATACCAGCCTCAACTGAGAGTTATCCCTCTTGTCTATAGGGATATACCTCTCTCTCAGCACCTCCTCCACACTCCTCTTCATCCGCTCTTCGCGCCGCGCACTGTCGTATCGTTCCGCCAGCGCCTTCTCCACGTCGGACATATGGAGCAGTTTGGCATCCATCTTGGTTTCGGCCTTCTCTTCCGCCAGGTAGACAGCGGCCTTCGTGCGCCCCGCAAGCTCATGCGCCTTCTCCATGCTCCTCGAAGCCGCTTCCTCCGCCTTCTCCGCACTTCTCGACGCAGCCTCCCGTGCCTCGGACACAATCTGCTTCGCCTCGTCCCGCATTGCCTGAGCAACTACCACCGCCTTATCCCGCGCCTGCTGGAGCGCCTCGCTCACCCTTTGCGCAGCAGCAGCAGCGTCTTGCCTCTGTGCCTCCAGCACCGCAGGCGATTCTGCAGTGCGCGTGGGAGCGAGGGGAGCGGCCTCCCGTACGGGCACCGGCTCGCGCGATAGCTCAACCCCTAACAGCCGCGCCACGCCTTCCTCCGCTTCCTCCCTCACGGCCCCCCAGTCTTTGGTCTGCGCCCAGTGCACGGCCGACAGGACCTCGTTGTTCCATTTCGTCTTGGCCGTCTCGACGAACGATGTCACGGGCCCGCCCGCCCGCCCTCGTCGTCCAGACCCATCCTGCTCTCGCAGGCTCCCGCGCGGGCGGTAGGTGCCGTCGGGCAGGAGGACGGTGGCGTTGCGGCGGCGCGCGAAGAGCGGCACGGACGGGTCTGGCGGGACGAGGGCGTCGAGCGTGGAGGCTTGCGCGCGCAGCACGGCCGACTGCGCTTGTCGGTTGCGTGTGTGGGTTAGTAGCGCGAGGTAGGTGATGGACAGCGTCAGGGTTACGCCGCCTGCCTGGAGTAGTGTTAAGGTTAGTCTGCGTTGGACTTCGGGGAGGAAAGGGGAGCGGGAGTTCGGGCGGCATACGAAACCTGTGACGAAGCCCATGGCTGGTTTCTGTGGGATGCGTTACTTTGTGTAGACGGACGAAGTGAGAGGATCGTTGAGGCCAATTGGCCTCCGCTTTCGCTGCAAGACTGTCTTTCCCCTTGTAGAATCCCCGCCGGACCACCAAAGCCTCGAGCGTAAGGTGTTTGCGCCTGACCATGGGCTGACCAGGATGATGTGAGTGACGTCGAAGCTCGGAAGTTGAAAGCGGGTCAAGCAAGGCGGCTGCCCCCTGTCAAGGCGTCCAGGCTATAGTGGGTCACGGATCTTGGCAGGACTGCCGCCAGCACCGGCGGCCAAAAAATTCACGGATTGCTCCGAGCTCAGTCCCGTCGTGCACCCTGACCGCCGTGACCCGATTCCGACAACAGCTCCCTCACAAGCCCCCCTGCTCCCGCAACCGCCAATTATACCTCCGACCGAACACCAATTCCTCCTCCCACGATCCTCCCCGGCGAATACACATATAGCCCACCATGGCGGGCGGACACATGAAATACCGGCAACTGTCGCGCGACTCGGCGCACCGCCAAGCCCTCCTCCGCAACCTGGTCACCTCACTGATCAAGAACGAGTCGATCCACACCACATGGCCCAAGGCCAAGGAAGCGCAGCGGCTAGCCGAGAAACTCATCACGCACGCGAAGAAGAACGACGAGATTGCGCGCAGGAAAGCACAGGGGATCCTCTTCGTCAGTTCCGCCCCTCCACCCCTCCACCCCTCCTCCTCCCTCCTCCCTCCTCCCCATCCAACTCCCTAATTAATACGAAATGATATAGACACCGCACGAACTCATGCCCAAACTCTTCGGCGAGATCCGCGAGCGGTATCTCAACCGGCCCGGCGGCTACACGCGCGTGCTGCGGACCGAGCCCAAGGACAAGTACGACCAGGCGCCGTCGGCCATCCTGGAGCTGGTGGACGGGCCCAAGGACATGCGGTTCGCCATGACGGCGGCGGCGGTGGCGCGCGACCGGGCGCTGGGCAAGGGCCACACGGACCTGACGCGCAAGAACATCGCCAAGGTGACGCGGTACCGGAAGGAAGGGAGGGACGAGTTCGAGGAGATGGTCGATAAGATCCAGACGCTGGGTTTGGCGGAGAGTAGTAGTAAATGAATGAGTTAAAGGAGGGCAGGATGGTGGTTATGGTAGGGGAAGGGGGGCTGCTGGAGCATCGGGTTATGGAAGAGGTGGGTTGTACATCACGCATTTTCATGTAATGTATGTTGTACATTATGGGAGCATGGACTTGTCTTGTTCTTGGGTTTTTCCGGGGCGTCAAGGGAAACGATGCGCCACTGTATATCCAAGTTGAACTCTTCGCCACAATCTCTAACTAGACAAAGTCAAAGGTATCGCCCTGCTCGTGAATCATTTTGCCCACCCTCGTCGTTCCCACGATCCTCTCCAGCTTCATCACATCGTACTTGGAGAACATCACTCTCACCACACCCTGCCCGTGCTCCAACAGCAGCGCCTGCTCGCTCTTCTGCAGATACCCGCCCGCAATCTCGCGGTAAAACAGCGGGTTGTCCGGCAGCCCGTACATGACGACCCGCTTGACGCCCTTGATCTGGTACCGCCGGAAGTGGTGCGCGCGCTCGGTGTACAGCAGCACCTTGTGGCGGCCGTTCAGGAAGTGCGACCGTGCGCGCGACGCCTCGGGCACGTCGGCGTATTCGCAGATGGTCCCGAAGCTGACGTTCGCCACCGTCGGGTTGTTCGCAAAGTAGTTGCGCACGCGGACGAAGTCGAGATAGGACGGGATGAAGATGAGCGTGCCGCCCGCGTCGCGCGCTTTGTGTTTGGTTAGCATCGGCACGATGGCCTTGGTGAAGTAGGCAAACCGCGCGTCCGGGTCGGCCGCGATCGAGGTCGCTTCGAAGCGGCTGAACGTCTGGCGCGCCTTCACGCCCAGGTACTGGATCACGCCCGGGCATTCCTGTTGCAGGCGCGCCTTCCCGGCCCAGTTGTGACAGTGCGCGCGCAGCAGCTCGGCCAGCTCAGGCGTGTTGAAGGCGCTGAAGATGGCGGTCTGGCGGAAGTATCTGGCTTGGTCGTCGAGGTACCAGCTCCGGACGCGGCTGAAGTCACAGCCGTGTGCGTCCTTGGGCTGGACGTTGAGATGCTCAAAGATGAACTCGACATGCTCCCAGTTCTGCATCAGGAGGGCGTCTGCCTGGTCGACGACCACCAGCTCGATCGAGCTGAGGAAGTCAAAGTCGAGTTTCTTCTCCTCTTCTGAGCCGATCGCCATGCGGAGACCCAGCGGGCTGGCGAGGATGATGTCCGAGTTGTAAAATTGCGAGAAGTATTTCATCGTCTTGCGAGTGAACTTGATGCCTAACCGGAACATGTCGTCGTCGTTGCCCGAGAAGAGGTCCTTGAAATCGTCGGGCTTGCCGTCTGAGAACTTGGATTGCTTGTCGACGTATCCGTCCTCGAAACGCTTTCTGTTCTCCTGCTGATCCGGCCGGCAGATGGAGACCATCATGTCGACCATTCTGACGCAGGATTGCCTCGTCGGAAGGATCATAAGCACCTTGGGGCGTGTAAAACCCTGGTCTCTCAGCTCCAAGTCCTCATCGTTCTCGGTTCTGGCTAGCCTGGCGTTGTTTTTGATGACCCGGTCGCGTGTTCTGTTTCAGTTAGCGTATTACTCTCGGCAATCCTTTCGTGGTTGTGCGTACTTGTAAATGTGGTTGAGAGCATGCAGACAGGCCATTCGTCTGATGCCCTGAGAGCCAGAGACTGTTCGGTTGCAGTAGAGGAGATCCTGGTAGTTGAATAGGTGTGGCGCTATTGTCTGCTCGACCTGGTCGAACTTGGGATGCTTTGAAGCCATAGTCTCTTGCAATCTCTTCTTGAGCTTGAGATCTGAGAGGGCGGACATCGTTGCCGGCAATGACTTCCCTTCACCATCGCCAGTGTCGGGAGTGTTGAGGAAGACTCTTGTCGATTTGGTTACTATCCGTTCTGTACGCCACTTGCCCGTCTGGATTGCCTTTAGTTTGGGCTGCAACTCCTCGTCCTTGGGGTCGGCAAAGTGCACTTCAAACGGATCCGAGCTGTCCAGGTCATCGTCCTCATCGAACAAGTCCTCAGGTGGTGCAGCCGCAGGATCTTCTTCTGGCTCCTCGACTAAGTCGATATCCCGGTCCTCCGCATTCTCCTCATCCTCGACGGGTTCTGGCGCCGGTTGTGCTTCAGAGGTCTCCTTGTGCTCAGACGCTGTATGATCCAGCTTTCGCCGCTTTGCCTTGTGAGGAGCACTTTCAACCAGACTACGCATCAGACTCATGTAGGGCTGAGCAGGCTGCTTGGCTTGCTCCTCATCCTCCTCATCCGAGTCCACTTCCATGACATCTGATTCCGCTTCGGAGGCAATCCCGACCTCGCTCCCAGATTCACTGTTCGGTCAGCATAAGAACAAAGGATAAAAATGAAACACCCGCCAAAATGGATCATGAATATACGTACTCCTTTTCAGCCAACCGTGCGTTATCAAAACGGGCACTCCGCGGTTGTTGCGCCACAGCTTTCCCTCTCCCTCTTCCTCTTCCCCTCCCACGAGACGCGCCTCTCCCCCTAGATCCTCCACGAAATCCGGCACGACCTCCGAGTGCCATTGTATTACGGTTATCCAACGAATCTCGTAAAGAGTGTGCTTGTTTGTAAATCTCACGAAGTCGACAGGCGCTTGAAAAATGTCGAATGAGTGAGTTCCTCAGCCTTGCGGGTATGCAGCCACACAACCCTGGTCGCCAAGACCTGCAGATCAGGCGGACGGCAGCAGCCTTGCATGCCACCTTTCTTATCAGCCATCTTATCTTAGCGCGCACAACCAGGTCCCGCATCCGCTGCAAAACCAAAATTCGAGGTCCAACTCCGGAACGAGCGCTCAAAGAAAAGAGGCTCCGGTTTGCCTGCGACGACTTTGCCCGACATCCGCGACCCGCCCCAACTCCCTGTTCCTACTCCATCAGCTGCCGCCAATTTTCTGCGACCGGGGCACTACAACCACATCTACATCACAGCACAAGGAACAGGAGCATTCAACACCATGGCTGTCGAGCAGGAGCACTTTGTCCACCTGGCCCGGCCCCTGGCGCCCACCGCCGTGGGATTTGCCGCCGGTAGTGCCCCGCTTACCGTGAACATCCAGCCCCAAGTATGCCGGCCCCTCCTTACCTCCCATTACACCACGACATCCCAAGAAAGACTTGCCCACCTTGTAGTCCCTTATAGTTATGACTTTAACAATGTCCTGCTATTCTAGGCCGTCTTCTCAGTCATCGACCACGCCGTCCGTCGCGATATCCGGGACACACAATCGACAAGAGTGATCGGAGCGCTGGTCGGCACGCGCAGCGAGGATGGCAGCGAGGTCGAGGTGCGGAGCACTTTCGCGATCCCGCACACCGAGAACGAGGACCAGGTCGAGGTCGACGTCGAGTACCAGAAGAACATGCTCGCCCTCACCCTCCGGGCCTCGCCGCGCGAGACCCTGCTCGGGTGGTACACGACCTCGCACGAGCTCAACAGCTTCTCCGCCCTCATCCAGAACTTCTTCGCCTCCCCCGAAACCGGCACGTTCCCGCACCCGGCCGTGCACCTGACCATCTCGACGGAGCCGGGCTCGGCCATCGAGACCAAGACCTACATCTCGGCGCCCGTGGCCGTCTCCCCGGACCGGGCCGCCGAGTCGTGCCTGTTCGTGGAGGTGCCGCACAAGCTGCTCTTCACCGACGCGGAGCGCGCCGCGCTCGGAGTCGTCTCCGCCGCGGCCGAGAGCGAGACCAGGTCGGCGCCCGTGGTGTCCGACATCGAATCGCTCGCGCAGGCGCTCGAGACCGTCTCGGACCTCCTGGACCGCGTGTCCAACTACGTGGGCGAGGTGCTCGACGAGGAGCGCGACGGCAGCCATGCGCTGGGCCAGTTCCTGATGAACGCGCTGTCGCTGGCGCCCAAGGTGTCGAGCACGCAGATCGAGCACGACTTCAACAACCACATCCAAGACGTGCTCATGGTCAGCTACCTCGCCAACACGATCCGCACGCAGATCGACCTCGCCCAGCGGCTGGCCACGGCGCCGCTAGCGGCCGGGGAGAAGGAGGCCGGCAAGGAGGGCGGAAAGGAGGGTGAGGAAGGCGGCAAGCAGGAGGGCGGTCGGTCTGGTGGTGGTGCCGGCGGGAGAGGGGGTAAGCGGACGGGCGGGCGTGGCGGCGGCGGTGGTGGTAGGGGCGGTGGCCAGCAAAGGGAGCCGAGGGAAAATGGCGAGTAGACGGAGACAGAATAAAGGGCATCTTTGCTTGTTTCTTTCAACTTCTCTGCTCTTACGGCGGAGTTCTGTCCGCAAATATTCGGGTTCCGGGGTTCGAAAGGATATGAACCTGGTTTCGTGTGATCGGAAGCCGAGGAACTTGACGGGAGATAAAAGCCGCGTGTTTCACTCGGCCAGTTCAACAGGTTGGCGGGCAACATTGGTCCACATGCCAAAGGGAAAGTCAAGCATTTGCGGTGCCGTGGTCTCTTGGAAGTCTTAAGAGATCTTCCCAGGCAAAATGGCCTGTTTCGGGACAAAAAAGTGATCATGTACCATGGCGTTTGGGGCTAGCTATACGGATAGAAGAGAGACCGAACCAAGGCATATAAGCTCACGAGGTGGAATGAGGCTTGCTTGACCATGAAATTGATAACATCCTCCCGTAATTTATATTCGGCACATCTATAAGTCTGGTTCTGTCGTGATCCGAGCTATATCCGCATTAATCTTGAATGTGTGGCCGCAAGTTCGATGCTGGATACATAGCAGAACTGCCCACCCCGGCCGCCTTCTTTTATCATTGACCCTTAAAATGAGCAGAGAGTGCGTGTTCTAGCGCAGCTTTTCTCCAACAAACACCAACCTTCCTACTCCCAAAACGCCGCGATACATGCTCCCAACCTATTGCGCCTATGATCCAGTATTTGTTTGACTCCCGACACCGCCTGATGCTCCGACTCCTAAGCAGAAGGCTTATGCGGCAACGTCGCAGGGTTGCCGTAGGTTGGTAGATGACTAAACGCCTGGTTCGGGCCCGGTCCCGAGGGCCCGCCAGGCTTGTTTGCCATGTGCATGGGACCGCTCGGAGGAGGCATATGCTGTGGCCCGTGAGGCGCCGGCACATGGGGACCCTGCTGCACTACGTGATACGGCGGGATCGAATTGTTAGAACCCTGCCTTGTCATGCTGTATGGGCCCGGCGCAGGCACAAAACCCGGCTGTGGCATCGGTTGCTGGAACCCACTGTAGCCCATGTGCGGCGAGTTGAACTGCGGACTCCCGTGGCGAGGACTTGACCCTCCGTAAGGGCCAGTCGGCGGTGGGGGTGGTCCAGGCTGCATCGGGAGTCCGTTGGCGGGAACGAATGATTGCGTTTTGGGATTGAAGGCCTGACGGTTGTAACTGCCCGGGATGGGATGTTGACTTTTCGGGTCGTTTGGGTTCGCGTTCGCGGGGAGCTGTCCATAAGCATAAGGGATTCCCGCTGGCACCACCGGACTCGCTCTCGGCGGATACGTATTCTGACCGAAGCTTTGCTGCGCCGGCCACGCGGGCTGAGGAACACTTGGCACCGGACTTCCGTACGGCGCGGCCATTGGGGGGTTTGGAGTGCGGTAACCCTGCTGCGGTGGGGGAGGCACCGTCTGCGGCACCGGCACCGGCTGTGGCACTGGCTGCGGCATAGGCGGCTGTGGGTACTGCAACCGGATTAGGAGAGGGTACTTCAAGGACAGTGTAGGGTGGAACTTACGGTTGGAATCCCGCTGTATTGCGCAGTGAACGCAGTGTTAGGCATCATCTGCGGCGTATACGGCTGGGTGGGTGCGTAAACCGGCTGCGGTGACTGTGGATATGGCTGCTGCTGAAACTGCGCGCTGAACGGAGCCGCGTTCACGGGGTAATATTGGGGAGCGGCGGGTCCCCAAGTCGGATGCTGAGGAGCGCACCAAGCAACGTACTGAGAACGCGATTCAAAGCCTTCGTCGTCTCTGCGTTGCTTGTTCGGTTTCCTCTTGCCACCGTTCGTCCTATCTTTGGCTGATACAGAGCTGGCGCGAGATACGCCGTTACCGTCTTCGTTCTCTGCGGTCCACCATTGTTAGGACCGAATATGGGGGAATCCACGGCAGACCTACCCTGGTTCGAATTTTCCGTCTTTTCAACGCTCCCAAAGATCCGCTGCCTAGCTCTGTTGTACGCCTCCTCACGCTCTTCTCTGGTAAGTCTGTAGACGAAAAGTTAACGCGGATGGACCTTATGTAAGAATCAGTTTCGAACGTACTTCTCCTTGGCGGCGACGGCTTTCTCCTTAGAGTCGCTGCCGTCTTCCGAGGTTGGCTTAGAGGGACCTGCACTCAGGGTGCCTAGCTCTCCTTCCTCCCCGCGCCGCATGATCTTTCGCGGTAGCACGACCGGCGCAGGGGAACTGCTGCTCGGTGTGCTTGCCGCGATACTCGACAACGACGGAGGTATCCTGCAGAAAGGTGTTCTGAAGATGCGTACTGCGCCAGCAGCTGCCTCGTATGAGTGCGTCATGTGGTAGTAATCGGCCAACTTGTGGGTCAACATTCTGCAAAATGAGTTGCTCGGAGGCAAGTCCATGTACGGCTCTCTGTGAGGGTAAAGTCAGCAAACGGCCCGCTGAAAGTGACGGAAGTGAGCCTACTTCGAGTCCTGCACAAATTCGATCACCTGCTGCTCCAACCTCAGCAAGAAGATGCGGTCTTTGGGAGACTGCATGGCCTCGAGTAACTTGTCGTCCGGACTCTGGCTATAGAACGCATTGGGTGCCAGAACGTCGGGGGGCGAAACTTTGGGCTCTGCAACTGCCTGCTTGTCGGAAGCGCCGCTCTGCGGTGTTACCACGCCCTGGCTCTTGTTCCCAGCCAAGAGATGATGGGCTGGAAGAGCTCGTGGTGGCATATCCCCGATCTGGATACGGTGCATGCGGGCGGCGACGTCCGAGCCCATGCGAGACCCAGCAATGTATGAACCACGAATCGAGAATGAGTCGTCATCCTCGGCCGCAGCCTTGACGCTAGCGCTATCATCCGGGCGAAGCGATTCCTTCTCGTCCAGGGCGAAGGTGGTCCCCGACGTGATGCTCTTACCATCCAGGCTCGGGGGCTTGGTTCCCAGCTCAGAACTGGAATCGGCTCGCTGGGACGTCTCATCTGACGGAGTCTGGCTGTTGCCCGCTTTGACCGACTTCTCGGTCCCGCCAGATAGAGAACCGTTCACGACAAGGTTCGGCGACGACGTTGTCTCGAGCTTAAGGTCCTTGATTCCATCGACAATCTTAGCATCGTCGAATTGCTCACGTTTTGACGTTTGCTGCGAATCCGAAGAAGGGCCGGGGCCGGTTGAGGTGCCTGCGGGCAAAGCGGCAGAGGTCGGGCCAGCAGTGACCCCTGGGGTATGTGCAGTGTCATCTTTCCTGCCTCTGGCAGGGGTCGAGTTTGGCATTCTAGAAATAGTGGTAGTGGACTTGGAGCCTTTGAACGAGGATGCAGCAGCAACCTATCGAGGAGACATATGTCAGATGGAGTGCTCCAGATGAAGGCCGAGACTTGGTTGCATGTGTGGTGGCTTACCCTTGCAAACGACATCTTCCCGGCATCGTTGGCCATGGTGGGGACTGCCGCCATGCTTGCGGCTCTGATATCACTAGGAACACCAAGTGCCTTGCAATCCGCCTGATATCGATAACGAGGGACAAGAGGGAAGTTGTGACGGTCGCGAGTCGAGCGAGCGGGGAGGGATGCCCGAGTTTGATTGTGGCCCAGATGGCACCGAACGATCGTTCCAAGAATAAATCAAGAGATAAAACGGAGCAGGGCTGTCCAAACCGAAGGAAGAGTGCAGGTAATCATGGTGGGGAGGTTAGACGCAGAATCGGGCAACTCTGTGGTTTCCTTCAGTGCAACGAATTGCATGGAGCACGCACAACAAGGAGCTGCTGCCTCGATGGGTGGTCTGCTGGTGGTGCACAAAATGGCAAACCCGACGGCAGCTGTTGTTTGAGCGTTCCTGTTCGGATGCGAAAGTGAGTTGCCGCAATTGGCGGTTTATGAAGAGAGGCGGATCTCCTAAGCAAAGGAGGGGTGCGATATTCTAGTGCGGTGGAGGACTTGGAAATGGTCGGACCAGAAATTCTGGCGAGCAGGCTGCCCAGCCGGTGCCACTTATATGTACTGTGTAGGAGGGCCTTATTATTAGCTGCAGTCAGCGCAGTGAACACGGACAGGCAGTGGAGAACGGAGATCGGTGTTGAAGCCCCACCCCCGGCCATTGGATTTCCTGTCCTGACCTGCCTTTTGTTGCAGAACCTCCTTGGGGACAGTCCAGCAAGCAACGAGACTGCCCGCAAAGCAAAGGGTCCAGGAGAGCAGAGAAGGTTGGAAACTGGACGTCTTAAAAAATGCATTATCTTCCGGTTCCAAGTGCCGACAATGCAGATGCTCGAATGCTATGTGGTGGCACCGGGTGAGCATGGCTCATGCGGAAGGCGGCTCACAAACACCTCAATGAGATTGGACAGACTGCTGTCTTGCAGGAACACCCTGAAGTTGTTGTGCATGATTCTCCAAAGGCCTGGATAAACTTTCGGCCTGCGGTGGTTCAAGTTTGAAGCGATAGAACATTCTGCGTGCTCTTCACCTAGGTACCAGAACGGGAGCACATAACAGGACACCTCGCGCCTGGCAGCTCACTACGGAGTACTAGTACCTAACATACCTAACAAGCTAGAAACACGCAAACCATGCCATGAGCTCAACGCTTCTGGTGGTGAAATTGCCAGTACTTGGGGTCAATACGTACCGGCGCCTTCTTTGCCGTATAACGTAGGAAATCAACAGATGGTTTCATCAGACGGCCTGGAAATCTCACTGACGGAGGGCGCTGTGTATCATGCGCTCAGTTTCCCTATCGATCAAGGAGAAGGCAACCCCACACCAATTCTGCCACGAGGAAGTAAGAAAAAAAGGCGGTGACCGGGATACTTGCTCTCTTACAGTCTTACTCAAGGACACTTTCCGTACACAACTTTCTTTACCGTACCGTATTATGTAGTATTTCGAAAGGCGGAACTGTGATTCTGCGAACAAACAACTCGCCATCTTCGCGACGATTTCACCTGGATGCTAAATGCAGATCTCCCGAAGCTGGCAGTCTTACAGCCCGTCAGTGAGCGGAAATCAACTGACAATCACAATTCCTATCTGCAGGTCAACACAACTGCTGCATCTGGTGCTCATTTCACCCCGAGCGCAGTGTGCTTCGAGAGACTGTCCGAGCTACAACAACAAGCGCGCAGAGGATCAAATCTAGATTTAGAATGCATCCCTATCGGGGCCGGAGCGGGCCGTCCAAAACCACACCAACGAATGTACAATGCCAGAAATGCCTGAAACGAGATATGTGTTCCTTCACTCGTGGTACGTGTTCCTCGCTGACTATCGCAGAACGTCACTACTCGTATGAGTGCAAGGCAACACCACAGGAACGGCCTTATGCTGCCAGGCCGTCTCGCACACAGCAGCTATTCAATCCCAAACTCCTTCCCAAACTGTCAAGCGAGACACCAAATGTGTTACAGGAAAAGTAGGTTACAAATCTGGACTACAGAAACAAACCCATGCTGACACGATTTGCCACAAGGAAAGGGATAGCCGATGAGGAGCTGGCTAAACGGGAGGCCGAGAGGGCACGGAAACGGCAGCGCGAGGCGGATGAAGAAGCTGCTTCGTCGGATTCCCCGCCGCCCAGGCGGAATAGGTCTCCGTCTTACGATTCGGTCTCCAGTATCTCTACTACTCGATCCCCATCCCCAGCGCCAAGACGGAGCGCGAGTCCGCCGCGGAGAGAGAGACGGCGACATTCTCGGAGTCCTTCACCTCGGGGTTCCCATGGTCGTCGCTACTCTCGAGATCTCTCAACGAGTCCAGATCGCGGCTATCAGGGTCGGTCCTCCCACCCGCTGCGCTCTGCTTCGCCACGCCGATCCCCGTCCCCTCCACGGCGATATGAGCGCAGCAGCCACGGTCCTAGGCGTCATGACTCTCCCGAGGCCGATGTTCGTGTGAGGGACTCCTCTGTGAGGCGTGCTCGCTCCAGATCGAGATCTCCGGTGAGACGAGAGGATAGGGAAGACAGACGCGGAGAAGGGCGATATCGGGATAGGGACGAGCACGGGTATGGAAGCCCACCGCCACCGCCGCGACAGCCGTCTCCTCCAAGAGAGAGAAGCCTGAGCCCCTTCAGCAAGAGGTTAGCACTCACGCAAGCCATGAACAGGGGAGGACGGTAGAGAGGAAACCGGGTATCAATTACATACTCTTCTAGGAACCCATGTAGTTAGCAGACCATCGGGCAACAACAACGTAAACCAGACAAACCGGCAACCAAACCCGTGACAAGCAATACCCATAACAATTGTCTACCACAGTAGCCCAAAGCCACTCATCAAGCTATCCCAAACTCCTCCGCCTCCGCCTCCCTCTCCCTTCGAGCATCCTCCTCCTCTTCCCGTTCTCGTAATCGCATCCCCTCCACGATCGCCGCCCCATCCAGCATCCCCTCGGCTGCAGCATCCCCCTCACCTTCCCCTTGTTCCGCCCCCTCTCGACTTGGCGGCCCATTCTGTGCACGCGCCGCCTCCGCGGCGGCCTTCTTCTCCGCCAGCCTCTCCCTCACCAGCCGCGCGATGGCGTTCTCGGTCTGCACGTTCAGCGCCTCCATCTTGAGATTCAGTTCCCGCTTCAGGTCCCAGTTGGGCTTCTTCGGCTGCAGCTTGAGCAGGTCGATGCCCTTGTCGTTCTGCGCGTCGATCGCCGCCTGTCGCTTGGATTCCTCCTCGAGGTCCTGCGCCTTCTCTTCGAGCGTCGGCTTGTCGAGGGTGAGCGTCGGCGGTGCCTCGAAGCCTAGCTTGGGACCTTTGGTCTCGAAGTCGTAGTTCCGGCCGGAAAGGTGCAGGCGGGCTACGTCTTTTGTCGGGGGTGCGGTCCCCGTGGAGGGTTCATCTTGGTTGTTGTTATTTGTGTTGAGGTCGCTGGGAGAGACGTCCCGAGGTGCAGTGTTTGTTGGCTCTTCTGGATCTTCCTCCGTCGGCTGCTTGCGCTTGAGCGACTTGAGCTTGGCAAGGCGTGCTTTGCGGTCGTCTGCTGCCGCGCTGAGAACCGCGTGGGATGACATTGTTGGACGTATGATAGCTCGTTTTCCTTTTCCGCTTCCTTTTTGTCTGTTTAGTTGGAGAACTTCAATGGGCGTTGGGTGGTCTGTGGTAACTGGAAGCTACTAGCACTACTACTTACTGTGTACTATTCCGTATGTCCTGAGTTTCAAGAGACAAGCACCGCTGTGTAATATTCGGTATTTTTCGGTACGCGTAACTGCGTAACGGCAACAGCTAAAAGTGGATAGCGCGTAAGGTAAATTCTGTATTCTGTAATTCCTCCTTTGTTTCATTCCATTGCCAGGCGGGAAATTTCTCGACAAGCCCAGATGCCCGGTATCACCGTCCGCCAAAACGCGCCACCCTCATCGGACACGGTTCCCATCCACTCCCCGGAGTGAGACCGGCCGCTCTCAGGCGAGCCTTGCGTCGACATGATCATACGTCAAGCCAGGCAAGTCTGCTGGGCATGTGCAGCATTCGCTCGGCCCGCCCGATGGCCTATCGGAACACAAGCGACGCAGGTTTTCAGACACATCAGGACTCTTCAAACGTCTTCTGCTAGGAGTTCCACAACCAACCCGATAGAAGTCACTGGCGCACCGGCAGATGCGTCTGCTCCTCATGCCGATCCGAAAAAGACGCCTGACGGTCCTAGCACCATAGCGGAAGTTGCTAACACATCCGTGGATACGACTGCTCCTCCTCCTAGTCGACAGCAAACGTATGAGAGAGAAAAGACCAACGCGAGATTTGCTGGTGCGTCTCGTCCTGGTCCATGGTGGAGGTATAAGAGACGGAGGGCCAAGGCAAAAAAGATCCGCCCCATATCGCGATGGACGGACCGAACTCAAAGTGGCAAGCCGGCGCTTGATCCACTACTTAAGATGGCTCCGCGAGACCGACGTGGCCGAAGAATTGGCGGACGCGAAAGATGGATCCAGCCTTCGAGTCTCCACCGGATGAGAGAGCGGCTCAAAAGAAGGCATTTACAGCCAGGGCAGCCTGTCGAGGAGATCACCAAGAATATCCCCTTCGAGGTTAGGCAAGCGCATCGAGAATGGGATCATAAACTCCGGGTCCTTTGGTATCGGATGAAACATGGCCAGACTGGCGAGACCGAGCACTTCAAGGGAGAGGGTATGGAGGATTTGAAGCTCCTCCTGCAATGCAACAGCGTGGAGTCCATGAGAGCTGCTTGGTTCGGCGGGAAAAGATTGTGGCAGCGCAAGCGCGACTGGGAGAATATGATATTGTCTGCCATGCACTTCTACCCGGAAAGGACCCCAGAGCTCCTGCTTGCCACTATCGACCTGCACATCACACCAGCCGAGTTTGTGGTGGACACTATCTGCTACTTATTCGAGCGCGCTTCGCTGCTACCGGCTCGTGAACAGGAGGAGCGTCAGCTTGCGATTGCGCGGCTGCTCCTGGATATTCTCGGACCTTTCCCGCCAAGGTATTTCACATTCCCGCAGTGGCTTCTCGGTCGGGTGGCTTCAGTCAGCCCAGCCCCGTTGGTGAAAAGGCTACATTGGGTGCTTTTCTCCAAGTACCACCCTTTTGACTGGAATACACAGTTCAAATTCGCTAGCCGCCTCGCGCGTGATCCTAAGGGCAAGGGGGCAGCACTCAGGATCCTGGAGAAGATGATAGTGAAGAGCCGTCGAATGGGGTCCTCACGGCGCCGGCCGACAGGGAAGAAGGGGACAAGGTTCTTGAGGTTTATCACCCTTGGAGGCGGCCGCGTCTATCAATGGGTAAAGCTGGACGACCCGAACTTCCAACGTCGTTTCGCCGAATTGGCCACCGCTATCGTCTCAGTGCCTGAAGGGTGGAAGCACAGCGGTGAAGGGTCGCCGTTCACTCTGCAGTTACTGAATACCAGGTTCAAGCGTCTTATTGACATCGGCATCCCCCTGAATCACATAACACAGACCGCCATGCTTCAGGCCATCTGTTCGACCGGCGATCTGGACGCAGCCTGGAACTTGTACCATCACATGCTCGAGCAAGGAAACAAGCCGGACGTGCGTCCCTACCTTCTTCTCCTTAACGCCGCCAAGCGCGCGGGCAGCATCGAATCGATTATGCGAGTCATCTTGGACGCTCCAGCGGAAGTCCTGCAATCACGCTACATATGGAACGAAGTTCTCTCCGCCGTCCTTACAGTCGCCACCCAGGAATGCATTGAGAAAAAGGTCCCGCGACCGCGGACCGTACCCGCGTTCGACTTCATGCTCCAGATCTACAAGAAGTTTTTCAAGTTGGAACCCCTCGATAAACTGCTTCCGTCTCACCTGCTCACCCCTTTCGATACAACTTACCCATGGGACTGGAGGGCGAAACTGGCCGTAGTCATGGACAAACTACCGGCCCGTAGGAAAAGAAAGCTCGTCAACCCTGGTGCTGACACGTTGCGCATCATGCTCCACGGTTATGTCAAGGGTTTGTCCAATGCATCCTTGCTCGTCAACTTCTACGCGCATTTCCGCACACTGCTCAAGGATGGCGACCCTTACGTCCTTGAGCTTCTCCGCGACAGCACGCAACCCTATGACGTTATCATCAAGGCGGTCACGGACCACCCGGGCTTACTCAAAGTGGCGGCCGATATTCTCAACGACATGCTCCGGGACGCTGGGGCAGCCACCGCTTCCGGGAAAATGAGTGACCCATCGGAGGAGCACTCGCAGACCGTTCAAGGCCGACACGCTAAGGCCCGCCGAAGACGTCGGCGCAAGAACAGTCGTTCCCATCGCTCCACCGAAGGCCCCTTTGTCCATCCTCTACCCAGCGTCCACACGTGGAATGCCATCCTGGCCGGGTTCTTCAGGGAGAGGCGCGTGCGCCAGAGCTGGCGCATCTTCGAGCTGATGCGCCAGCACGGCGTCGAACCAAACAAGGTCACCTGGAACACGCTGATCGCGGGCTACACGGCCACGCGCGAGAACCAGCTCGCCGTAGAGACGCTCGTCCAGTTCGAGAAGCTCGGCTACAAGGCCGACGAGAGCACCCAGCGCCAGATGTCCATCCTGTCCAAGCATGGACCGACACGGCGACTGATGGAGGAGGCCGACAACCAGATCCAGATGAGCAGGCATAAGTGGAAAATATTTCGGACGCAGAAGCGTCTTGCCGAGATGCAGGCCCGCCGGGAGGAGCACCTGCGCAAGATCTATACGCTCGGAATGGGGAAGTTCCCGACGGCGGCGGCGGCGGCTGTGGCGGCGGCTAAGGCGGCAGACGAGGCCAACGCTGCGGGCAAGACTGAGACCCCGACCGAGACCGAGACCAAGACCGGGGAGAAGGAGGAGGAGCTGTCGCCGACTGCGGATTTCTTCAAGATGTACGACGAGCTTATCTTCCAAGCAGAACAGCAATGACGCGGGGAAACGAGGGTCTCGACTTTCGGGCGGTCCTGGGTGTAGGAATAGTTCAGGATTGTTGGCCGGCGCGGGTATGGTTATCGTGTATCATCCCGAACGCCGACAACAACGATCTTCAGACTGATTGGATATCGCCTGCGCAGTCTGAATAAAACCAAGGGGACAGCGGCCTTGTCCCAATGACAGCTACAAATATCGCTCAATGTACCATTTCTGTACTATTATCCTCCTGTACATCTTTGGCTTCGTCTCGAAGACCTCCATGGCCATCCCAAAATATACCCCTCGGTTTCGCCTGAGCCACCTGTTCACTGTATTATCGAATCAGCAACCTTCCTGTGCTCGCTAGATCAAAGCCCATCCCATCCACTTCAACAGCACGCATTCACGCGCCCACCGCAACAGGCCCCATTCATATCCACCCGCCGTGGTCTTCCCGACTCGGGGAAAGATCCGGAGCAAGGAAGGCGTCAATCTCGGATAACTTTTCCTCCGTCGTGAGGCGCCGTCCTTCAGGCCGCGCTGGGGCCGCTCTTGTCCGAATCGCGGCTGAACCGGAGATCTCGGCGCCTAAGCTCGTGCTTGTACCTGATCCGGTGCGGGTTGAGCGAGTCGTTGTGGAGCTCGTTGATGTCTTTGGCGTCCTCCTGCTGCTGCTGATACTGCTGTTGTCGGTGACGGCAATACTGTGGGTTGTTGAGATGGTGGCCGTGGAGGCCGAGGGATAGGCTCGGTGTTGCCCATATCTGTTGTAGTGGTAACCGCAGTGCTGGTTTTGGGTTGCGGGTGCATATGTTGAGGGGGGAGGTGGTGGAGGGATCGATGGAGGTGGTGAAGCCGGGCCCAGCGGGGATGACAGCGAGCGCCATGTCGGTGGCCGGATCCAGGGGCCGCTGCTGGGTTTGCGTGAGTGGTTGGCATTTGTCGGCGGGACAGGCAGCGGTCGTCTGTAGTCTGGCGGGGTGGGCAGCTCTGTGGGGACACGCCCATAGAAAAGGGGTTTGGTGGTGTCCAAACCACCTAGGTCCGATACGCTCAATCTCACGGACGAGGGCGACGGTTGGTCCCAGGCGGGGTAGTCCCAGTCAGGGTCGGAGAAAGGATCGATTGGAGGAGCTGGTGTGGCCGGGTGAAGCGGTTGTTGAGGGGCTGTTGGCACCGGGGGTGGAAGTCGGGTTGGCACTGGCGGAGGGAGCTGAGTTGGTCCCGGGACGGGATGATACGATAAAGGGAGAGTCGGCGCGGAGGTCGATAAGTCCAAGGTATGGCCGTCGTTTCTCCTCTCAGACGCGCACATGCAGTTTCTTTGCGCCGGCAGGAGCTTCTCCTGGTATATCTCGTCATCGTCAACCCATAGCTGCCTGCGCACATTGCTCCAAAAGCTCTCAATCTCTGTTGGGTGGCGTCTATCCCTTCTCGGAGCTGAGTTCGGCGTGCTGGATCCGCATAATCCTCGCCACGTGAGGAGCTGGCTCATCAAGTCGTCTAGCTGCTCGACAGGCGACGGTATCCTGTCCCTCGCCGTTGAGATGGAATCCTTCGTCTCCCGCTCTATTTGGGCGTTTTTGCTCGCCTCATCTTCCTTCTGCTGCGTCGCCGGTCTTCTGACGAATTCCTTCCTGCTCCTAACCCGCTGAATCTTGGTAATTCCACCGTTCTGCTGAGTATCATCGAGACATCGTGCCAGTGGCCTGTTATTGAAGTACGATTTGTGCTTGAGCAGTGTCAACGAGTACTCCTCAATCTGGTATCCAATTTGCGCAAGGGGGCCACTTGAGGGCGTCGTCTCTCTCGGATGATCCAGTCGGTCGTGCTCGGGCTGCAGCTGCGGTTGCTCTGACCGAGTGGCTGTTTTGTCGTCGCCGTCGTTTCCGTGGGGACCACTTTCGTCTGTTGCTTTTTCATCGCTACGACTGACCCGGTCGCTTGTGTTGGATGCCAGTTTCGGCCCGCAGAGTGTTGGTTTGTCTCCAGTGCCTGTCGATTCTTCGAACAGTCTCACCATGACTCGTACTGACCGATCTGATACCTTGCGTCCAGATGAGGGCATTTTTCTTCCGAGATTGGATGAGAAGCCTTCTGGGAGTGCGCGCCTTTCGATCTTCCTGTCGAGGATGCGGTCTGACGGTGGCGTCAAGGCACTTCGCTGGCCGCCTCTTGAATTCGTGCTACTGGTATCCATGGCAGGCATCTCGGTTCGCCAATTATCGTGCGAATGTCTCGACTCGGAGTGAATGAACGTCGCTTGTGAAGGAAGGAGCAGGTGTACATACTAGATCGTTCTTGCAGTTCGTGCAGAACGGAGGCTGCCAATCTTAGAGAAAGAGCGATGGAATGGCCGCTTCTTCCCACCCTCTGAACTCAAGGGACCGAAACTTAGGACAGAATACCACTCCTCACGAAACCGAAGTTTCAATCTCCCCACTGCTCTGAGTTCCCACTGTAGATTCCTACATTTGGCTTCAGACGGGTACTCTGAGATTGAAACACCATGAATTCGATCCGCAATTGCCATCCACATGTTTCCCCCCTTTCTGCAACGGAGCAACTTGATTGACACGACAGTCTAAACTCCATGAGATACTCGACCCAGCCCAGGCCGCCTGGCCGTCTTTCCATATTGCAGCAACACATGGATGCCATCTACACCCTTCACTCGACAGACATGCACTGGTAGAGGGCCCATCACGATGGGGATTGTTTCAAGAGGGAGATATCAACTGGATCGAGGTGAAGCATATCAACCCCTATGTTTTGTTTACAAATATATCCCATAGGCAACTCTTGGTATCAGGGACCCAGAGCCAGGTCCGGTCTATAGGTACGCATCATCCCTGGCCATGGGTATATCATCCGGTCAGTGTTGATCTGTGGTTCACCTGGACATTATAGGTAATGCTCAGCAGCCATGGTCTCCTAAACACTGCATCGAGTTGCATGTTCCAAAGCCAGCAGTCAGCTCAGGCATACCCCGTCTGCTAGCTACTGCGTAAGGTACAGTACCTTACATTATTCGCCATCTGCACCTCCAATCCTCGATTTACAATTACCTCTTTCGGAACCGGAGCCAATGTTATTCAACGCAACACAAACTCAGGACGCCCACTCGCTTGCATCATACGGGATCTTTTGCAGCACACCCGCGTAACACGTCAATCGATCCTATGATGTACCACGCTTGCTCCGAGTCTCGTCGATCTAATCCAACGGAACCCCTCCTACGCAACCCCTCAGGAGGCTGTCCCGGCTGTTCATGGATTCATCACTGGAGATCGAGGCTGGTGAGAGGCAACCATCGCGGCGCATGCATACGAGAAACAGGGTACGAGAACCGACATAAGTGAGAGGTGGGAAAAGATCCGCTCGGGTCTCGAGCCAAGAGTCAAGATCCTTCGGCTTCCACGGCAGCTTGACAGCCATGCGGCGTGAAAGCCGCCAAGTCTTCCAACACACAGTCAGAACGAAGCAGCTGAACTGTGTGCCGTTTACGCGAGGTGACACAACCAGGGCAGCGAATGGCGGCAATCCTAGGGTAGCAGGAGACGTTTGGCCCCCTCCTCCATCATGGAAACCAGACCCATGAACAACATGTTACCCTACCCAAGGTACATTGTCAGCAATATCGTCCGGCAGAAAGCCCCTGTCGCCTCGTCGCGAAACGCTAGTCTTGCTGTCGTCGACTCCTCGGTTGTGGGCGGCGATGATAAGCCAGGGGCTGAAGGACGCTCAACCACAACATTCCTCCCGCGTTTCCTGATCGGGTCACCGCAGTCCCGTTACTCCCTCGTTCCGCAGCTCCGCCACAGGCCGCAGCGCCCACGGCATGTCTTGATGCTTTCCGCCATTATGGCTTCAGGCTGTCTTGCCTGTACCTATTGGTAGGCTGAGTCCGGATGCCCTGATTCCAACAATACTGACTGAGACACCGCACACCTGCGGATGACCGGCGAGGAGCCTGGGTTCTTCACCGGTCTGATTATCGCGGCACACCGTTTACAGAGAGGAATCTTTGAAGAACGGATATCTTCTGGAAAGATCAAGGGTTCCGTTTGGACCTCTCTTAACTAGAAGCGATGGGGGGCTTTCGGTGTTGCGCAGCATCCAGGCACGCCAACCCGCCTGCAGCACCGGACAGATGTCCAGTTTGCACTCCTCCACCACTCACAAAGTTAGATCAACCATATAGAGTCTCTTGTGGGGGTTACAATGTTGACTGTGTACGCAGTAAGTTTGATTCTGCTTTCCCTGAGAAGCCGAGCGGATCAGCCGCATACCTACCCTACCGAGCTGAAGGGTCATGGAGGAGGGTAGCATTGAATTTGCGACTCGGTTTCGCTATTCCATTAGCTATTGTGTTCGCGCAATAATCCGGTTCTGGTGACCTGGCCTAGCTATTAGGTATTGATCGGTCTGGGAAAAGGACTACTAGAGGAACCTCCCATGATCTATCGAAACTTCCGGGCACGCATCGCACAGGCCTGACTACCGAAAAGATACTACATACATAGCGTACCCCGTTACCGACATACTCGATTTGGGCACCGGGAAAATCTACGAGGAGCCCAAATCTTGGATGACCATGAAATTTCCACTCGGTACCGTGGTCAAGTTTGTATTTTGTGCCCCATGTAGCACACTGTGTAACACACTCGGTGTAACCAGCTGTGTGACTTTGTTCCATCACGGAACTTATCCGCAGGTATGTAAGGCAGGTAGGTAGTCACTCTGTCATGCTGTGCACTAACACACCGGCACACCGCATCTTTTCCCAACGAGGCAGAGATTTTGACAAGTCTGATAACATGCAGATTTGAAAAGTGGTCTAGATTCTTCTGACTTACACGTGTAGAAGCATGATGTGTGAGGTAGCACCCTGCTGGCGCTGGTTGCCTTGTTGGGGGGGGGGGTTTCTATAGTAGTGATTGGCAAGGCGAATACTGCGTCTCGCGCGACCGATGTGTTGTCACGGGGGCGAAAAGCAGCAGTCTTGAGAGGTCGGGATGATTGGGACGGTGTCATTTCATTCCCAAGAGAAGGCCGCCTTTTTCTATGGATGAAGTAGAGATGTTCTATCAGGTCATTACGATCCAAAGCCGGCCGTTGCATTCCAATCAACTTCCCACCATCTCCTCCGTGGTAGTTGTAAGTTCTTGAGTAAGTAGTGGTCATACAAGACTCCAAGGAAAAAGAAAGAAAAGAAGAGCCAACGTATCAAGAAAAGAAACTGAAAGGTATCACTGTCATGAATCGTAGAGAAGCCCAGAACCCCGTACCTCCGTTCACGGAAACCAGCCCAGCAGTCAGGCAGTTATTGTCGTTTTGCCAGGCGAAACCAAAGAAAGAAAATCACCGAAAAGTCGTCTCAATCATCCTCCTCTCCCTCCGCATCTTCCTCCTCCTCTTCGCCATCGTCATCCCCAATGCTCTGCGAAACCTCAATCGTCTCTCGGACCTCCTCATGCCCATCTTCTGCCATCATCACCTCCGCACCAGCACCAGTCGCAAAAGCAGGCACACTCCCGCCCGGCCCCTTTTTCCACAGGACATTCAGCACCCACTCCGTTTTCCCTTCTTCTTCCTCCTCCCTTTCCCCATCCTCCTCCCCACCAGCAGCCACCGGGCCCCTCCTCCTCGAAATGATGCCCACCTCCCTCCGACAAGCCCACTCGACGAGCGTGGGATCGCCCTCCCCGCCAAAGACCACTTTCGCCTCCGTCCCCTGCGCCGCCCGCTCCATGTGCTTGGCGACGTGCTCCATGCGCTGGTCCCACGCGTGCTCGCCGCGGAACGCCTGGTCCTGCCTCTCGCGCCTCTCGCACCCGCGCACGGGGCAGCGCATCAACGTCGGCTGTGGGCAGCGCTCGTGCCGGAACTCCTTCTGCAGTCTCTGCAGGCGGGCCTGCCACTCCCGGAGGCGGGCGGCTTGTTCCGGGTCCGGTTTTGAACTAGTAGTACTAGTACTAGTAGAAGAAGCTGGCAGTTTGCGTTTGCCTGTCGTAGCGGTGGTGATAGCGCTGGTGGGCAGGTGGTCGCGGATGGAAGGTTCGGCGTGCATGCGGCGGTAGTGCTGGGTGAAGAGGTCTTTGCGGTTGAAGAGGTTGTTGCTGTGGTGGTAGTGAGTGGAGGGGGATGGTTTGTTGCTCTGTGCGTTTGCGCAGTCGCCCTCCATGCACTTCCAGTAGTATAGGAGCAGGTGTTGGGTGCCGACGTGGCGCTTCCATTCATTCTTGTTGGGGAACGTCTTGGTGCAGCCGGCGAAGTCGAAGACGCAGTTAAAGGGATGGCGTTGGTGGCTCTTTTTAACGTGGGCGTCCAGTTCGGACTGGGAGCGGAAGGTGGACTGGCTACACTCGGGGCAGGCCAGGGTCGTCTTGCTGAGGTGGGAAGACAGCGACGGAAGGGCCCGGGAGGCGGGAGGGGCCACGTTGCCGGCCCTGCCTCTTGGGGTACGGCGAGACGGGGGCGCGGAGGCGGGGGCATCCGTTTTGGCCGCCCGCCGTTTCAGCGCCCGAGTGGCCGGTTTCCGTTTCTTATGTGGTTGATAATCGGCATCGGCATCGGCATCGGCATCGGCATCGGCATCGGCATCGGCATCGTCGTTGTTCTGCCGCTTGAGCGGGACTTGACGTCCGTTGTCAGAATCGGTGCTCCCGTCGTCCCTCGGTGGAAGAGGGTACTGAGTAAATGCGTTGTTGATCTGGTCCTCGGCCACCGGCAGTATTTGCTCGGGGCTGGCCATCCGTTCGGGGAGGAAGTTAGGAGCGGCCGTGGTGTGAGCGGACTCGGAGTCGCTGTGGCTGGCGTGGCTGTCGAGACTGGCCCCCAAGCGGGAGAAGTCGAAGTCCTTGTGGCCGCTGTCGCTCTCACTGTAGTCGGACTGCAGGTTGGGGTTCACGTCGAACGGGTTAACGTAGCCGGACGGGCCCATGCCGGTAAATTGAACGGCGTAGTACGGATCCAGGGGCATCGGTGCCTGGAAGGGTGACAGCAACACCGTGTCAGAGGGCGTCCTCGGAAGGTTGTCGGGGTATGACTCGGTGTCTGCGTGAGGACTGAGCGCGCTGCCTATCGGCGGCAGCTCAGCACCCGGGACCGGGCTCGGGAAGCGGGCTTGTAACGGTAGCGCCATCAGGGAAATGCCTGTGCTGGAAGGAATCTGTGTGCGGTTGGATGTCTGCCCGGTACGGTGGGGGTTGGAGAATGCCGCTTTTGCGTGCGTTTTGACGGCAAACTGTTCAAGCGCGTGCCGGGCAGGAACTTCCCAGGGGTTGGTGTAAGCAAATGCTGAGGGGTTGTGAAGGTTCGGGTCCACGTCCACGAAGGTCATGTTGGCGTCACTCGGGCCCTCCTCTAAACCACTGTAGGTCTGGCTGACGTAGCTAACTTCCTCATAGAAACCAGCACTCCCAACGATGAAAGGGTCTGCCATGCTGGTGACGATGTCTATTCGGCCCGCTCCTCACGGCGAACTGCCCGTCTGTGCCTTCTGATAGCTTCAAGGCTCACTGAAGCGGCCTGTAAGTTTCTCCGGTCGGCCAAGGTCACGCCGCTGGGTCTGTGGAAAATGGAATTGATAGACCAAACACCTTGGGATGGCAGAGCGTGGGAAAGGCGAAGCAAGGCTGTGGCGGTGGCCGACTATATAAGCCGTCTGAACATTCAAGGCGTCGTGTCCAGGGGCTTACACCGTGCTTTCGACTCGACCGAAGACAAGCAGGCCTGCCACATGGTGGTGCATGCGGGAAGGCACAGTCTGGGGAAGGTAACAAAGTTGGGCATTTGACAAGTGATATACACACCATGGAGAATGAAATACAGACGAGATGCACATACATGTTGTACGCCGCGTACGGTATGTACGTCTCCTGGCGGGAGAGCTGACAGGTTTGCCGTGGATCCCTCTGCCGTCCGCTAGCTTGGGAGGGAGGGGTCTACCGTCTCACTCCGTTGTAAAGCAGAGCCTCAAAGTACAAGCCGGTACTTATCTCTCCTGCAAGCTAGCGTATGGCATCGGGTTACTTTCTGGTATGTTTTGCCAAGCATGACTTGGCCTCGAGCTGAGCGCCCAAGTTGACTGCGCCGCTTGAGTGCGACTCCGGCCGGGGACTGGAAGCCAACAAACGCTCGGAGCCCAAGATGAATACCGCAGTGCCCTGACACCTCCCATTTCCTGATCTGTCATGGGGGGTACCCTTGTTCCCATTCGCGAAGGCGGCGCGCACATTGCCAGCATCCAGTGGTCCGCGGCCCATAGACCGTGGTACGCCATAGTGTGTTGGGATGCCGCACAGTGTTTGACCAACGGGTCGCAGAAATCGAAACAGGCGGTGGATGATGAGATGTGAGTGATGGATGACTGCGGCTCTTGCTTGGTAACCCGGAAGGACGACTGAACAGCGGTGGAACACCAACAGGCCACCCTCACCCCCTCTCCTTGGGGGGCCGAAGAGTTGACCGTGTCGAATCCTGGTCGCTTTGGCCGGCGCAACACACCGCGAGTGCCCTCTGTAAAATGATCTATCAGGGAGCGTTAGAGGGGTGTACAACGATGTGCGGCTCATCGACACCGGCCTGGGTTGCTATGCCGTGCATTTGCGTTGCTTTCCGATCACATCCCGGCAGCCACAGACTCTGGGGTGACGAGTCCTCTCCACAGTTAGTGGCGGTTTCGCCGCTTCAAAGAAGCAATAACAGAGATAATCATGGATGCCACCGTTGGGTGTGCCAGTGAGTGTTGTCAACACACAACGGTAACAAGGCGTAAGAAGGTTCACCTGTCTTGGCGTTATTGGCTAAATACAGGCAAGTTCATCGAGAGTGGATACGAAATAACAATTATGCCCCACGTTCAACCCCACCACACTGTGATTTGCAGGGGATTCTGCAAGCAGGACCCACCACCTTTTGAGGCCCACAGCCAGGAACCCGCTCTCGGCGGCCGGAATGCACCAAGCTGTTGAGAGTTGAGGCATCAATATCGGCATCATCGACTCGACTCTCCATGTCTCTCCGTCCCGACACTACGCAGTCGATTGCTGGGTATCTATCTGCAACCGCACCCTGTCGCATGCTGTGTGCCTTGATAGGCTCACCGGCAAGGCATTCCGCGCTGCATTGGATCGATTCTTCCGTCGCCCTGCCAATGTATCTAACATGACGGATCGGTAGCACATGCGTCGATTCGGCCAACCTGGAACTCATGTCGGCAGCCGCGGCCAGGTGGGGTCTTTTTGCCCGGCCATAGAGAGTCGAACAAAGAAAGTCAGGAACAAAATGCGTGCTGAGGACCAACGGCAACACCTCCGACAGATCTAATTGGATGCTCGATCACGAGCTCATCACAGGCATTTCTGAGTGCCAGTTCCTCCCCTCCGTGCGAGGTGACCATGCGGATCACCGCCCGAAGCAGACGCACCCCTCCCCTTGAGGACGACAAGAAAAGAAGACGAAATGAGATTTCTGAGTCTCCTGTAGAAGCCCATCTCCCTCAAGTCTTGTGACTTCAGCCAGTCTGGCGGAAATGATTCGTGAGAACCCGCATTCTCAGCCCCTCGGCCACGCTTCTGGCTCCAACTGTGCCGCCTCCTCCACTTGGGAGCTGCATGCTGTGCCGCTCCCATTTCTTTCTTACGGCGCAAGGGACAAGGGGCGGTTGGTCAGTAGCGTTCTCAATGTCCTCAGATGCACCCGTGAACAGATGTGGCTTCGTGGCTATTCTGGGCATCGGACGACGGCAGATTACCGTACGGGAAGCTTGTCCGCTCCCAGATCCACGGCATTACACGGGAAGGAATGTAGTTCTCGGCAGGTATCCATGCCGTTCTGGCCAGCGTTCGCCGGATGTTCAGGCACGGTGACAGGAACCGAAAAAGCCACCAGCGCTTGAACTTCCGCCCGGAAAACCTAACTAAGCTTTGTGTCACCAGACGGGCGGCAAGGGACGCGACACACACGTTCGGCTCTCTGGTCATCTTTATCGGTCAAGTTCCCCTGCATTACTGGAACCAAGTTCTAGGCGCGTAAAATTCCCTGGCCAGCCCAACAATCCGGGTCCCGGTCATCGAGGCACTGTGGTGCTGCAACTCACGGTCTCTCCGATTTGGCACCCCGTGGCCCTTGCCCATCGTGACATCGGATGCTGATCAACTCCCCAGAGACTCAACAATAACAACTGGGCATTAATTTCTTCAGTGTCTACTAACTCCGTCCTTTGTCCGACCCTCATGAAGCTAAGAGCTTTATGCAGCCCCCACAAGCAAAAGAACTTTGCATTGCAGAAGTCGAAACATGCCAGTATGAAGCCCCGGGGTTCGTTCACCTTGGTCTAGCCCTTGGCCACCTCTCACCCGGTCACGCCTGGTCTCCCGTGCCATGGCATGAGGTGGTGATGAGGCCGGGCAAGGTGGCCCACGCTAACGCATTCCCATCCCAACCAAGTTAAGGTTGTTGGTGTAACACGGCGTCGCTTTTTGGGGCACATCTACATAGCAAAGCAGGACTGGAAAATCCTCGCCTCACCCGATGATGGCTTTGGTTCGGAAAATTCGCGCCTTTATTACCAAGACAAACCATATCCAAGTTCCCGTTCATTACTCCGTACCTACCGGCATCTACTAGGTACCTTACTGTCTGAGTGAGACAGACAGGACTTCCTGACATCCGGAACAATAGTCGGCCGCCACTCGGTTAATCAACCCGTCAAACTCAGCCCAATGCCTCGCCCTCCCCAAACCCCCCGCGTCGTCCTCAACACAAAAAAAAAAAGAATGACAGAAAAGTCCGAGTCATGGCGGAATAACGGGTATTCTTGTTCCCCGTTCGCTAATACCAACGGCGGGCCCGACTACCTAGTCCTAGCCTGCCATGAAACGAGGACATACCTACCCTCACCGGGCAGTATGTACAGTAGATAATGAATGTCTCAGCCATCAGAGACAATGGATGTCTCGCCCGAAAACCGTCTGTCCTGGAAAGTTTGCCGCCCCACATGGCAGACAGACAGACCGGTTACTAGTAATTCCATGGCCCGTCTCAACGGTATTCAAAAGGTGGTTGTAGTATAAAGCTGGGAAAAGACGAGATAGATAGATGGTGTTCCCCTGTTCCCCAACTCCGGACGTTCCGGGTTCTGAGAGGTGTGGGAGGTGTGTGACTGTGAGTGAACCTTGGACGATGGATGGGGAATGGGAATGCGTGGAACAGTTCAGGTCTGGAAGTCAACAAGCTGTGGGTGACGAGTCCATCCATACCATTGAGGTACATAGGGTAGGGTAAAGATACAGCACCCACCCCAACGTTAGCGCTCATGCAGGGGTTATTACATCTTGGAAGGTAGTGTCATGTAGGTTGTCGGATATTGCCGTCCATGGGAGCTGAAGGTTGACCGGCTTACACCTTTCCTGGCCGACCCTTGGCGATCGAAAATACATTTACTGGGTATAGTATCTGGATGCGAGAGGTAGTACTTGTTGGGAGAACGGGATGTTGATCGTATGTATGAACCATCTCTGTAGTCTGTAGGTTTGTAGGTAAATCACTGGTACCTAGATTTCAGACTCAGTTCGCTGGTGCGGTCGATTTTGACCCTCGGTCGAGCCACACATACTGTTGGTGCCTGATGGTATGTAGTACAATACATGTGCATGCAAAGTATCACAGTAATCTGGTACTCGCCGTGCTTCCGACGGACTCATACCGAGGGTCCTATCGACGACAGATGGACCTTCCTCCGCATCTTTGAAGACGAGTCAAACATGGCATCATGAGAGTCTCCAAGCAATGACACGGATGGACGTAGGTACTAGTACGGATGGATGTGCTGTACTAGTACATCATATATGTACATACAAAACATAGATACACGATGAGGACCCTTGGTAGACAAGAGGCCGAAAATGAGCACACAACACCAAATTGAAATGCCATTCCTCATGCAGCAGAGCCTGGTTCTCCAACCGCAGTATACCAGTATTCTAAAAAAAAAAAAAAAAAAAAAAAAACCAAATTCCCAAGGGTATCATATCATTATCCTGTCGTCAAGTTAAAGCAGTCATTATCAAGTCGTCCCAACACCAGCCCCAACCGCCGCGGATCCTTGATCCGGAAGAGCAATCTGCCTCTCGGTGGTGCTCTCGTTCTCGAACGAATCGCAGGCGTCACAGTGCGCGTGGTTGCAGGACTCGTTCATGCACTGGCTGTTCACGGCCGCCGTCCAGTAGTATCCGCAGGCACACTGCGTCGTAGCGGATGGAGTTAGTTAGCAACTTGATTCGAATGAGGGAGGGTATCCCGTTGGTTATTGGTTGTGAGGAGGGAACAAACATACGCAAATCCAGAAGACATCTCCCCTCTTTCCACTGCTGCTGCTCCGGAGCCGCTTAGACTTCTTCGAGGGCCCCGCGCTCGCATCATCGTCCGAGGCAGTATTGTGCCGCTTGCGAGGATTGGTCGTCGAGCCGCCGCCACCACCACCACCGCCACCACCAGCATCCCCCCACCTTTCCGTTTCCGGTCCGCCGGGCGAGCAGGCCGGGGAATCGAGCGGGTCGATGTCGACGTACTTCCAGTCCTTGATGTCGGCCTTGGGCATGCCCCGGCCGTTGAAGTGGTCGTCGATGTGATCGAAGCGCTCGCTGTGGGCCGGCCCGCCCTTGCCGGACGGCTCGATCGTCGTCTGGCAGAAGCCGCACCAGAAGCGCGACTCGAAGTTGCGCCCCATGCGACAGTCGGCTAGTTTCCTATCGAGCAGCGCCTGGTCGCGGATGCCGTGGTCCCGTTCCAGGTGGGCCTTGAGCGACTCGGCGCGGTGGCAGACCTTGCCGCATTCCTGCTCTTGCTGTTCGCCCCCGGCAGGGTCTGTCACCTGCTCGGCACAGCGCCAGATCTCCAGCTGGAAGTGCTGGCTGTTTTCGTGCCGCTTCCAGTCGTTCTTGCTGCCGAATTTCTTGTCGCAATTTGCGAAGGTGCACGCATAGGGCTTTTCGTGCCGCTTCTGGTGTTTTCTAGACAACCCGATCGTTAGTTGTGTGTCCGCGTAGCTGGGCGGGGGTTGGCATGCCATACTTAAGCTCGCAGGGCCGATTAAAACCTTTGTTGCATTCTTGGCAGTAAATTCTACGGCCACTGCCTTTCTGAGTTGCAGCACTGGCCGGCAGCTTTCTGTCCTGGGATTCCGGCTCCTCTGGCGTGGAGTACCCAAACTTCTTCAGGATCTTGCCGAGCGTGCCTCTCTGGCGCAGCGACTCAAGATAGGTGCTAACCTCGGCCTCATCGTCGAGATTGATTGGCCGAGATATCTCGGAGCCAAGCTGCATCTCGCCGGGGGACGCCTTAGTCTGGACTTCGTCCGCACCACAGTACTGAGCACCGGTGTCACGGAGAAGGTTAGCTTGCGCATCTAACAGCGTGCTCCCTGGAAGTGCATCATCCTCCGAGTCCATGTCATGTAAGCCGTCCGGGGAGTCGGGATCTCGCACGGGTTCATCCACATCCATCGCATCCGGTACACCAGACGCAGCCTCCTCCCGTTCCGGCTGGGCATATTCCCGGACGACATCACGAGCTTCGCCCGTCTCCAACTGTGAAGTATGTCTAGGTTGTCCCGGGGTGTTCAGCGTGCTGAACGGCTCCACTTCCATGCGCGACCGGCCCAGGAAGTCCGGGGGGACATATGCCAGCTGGTTGACTCCAGTTGGTGACAGTGTAGCCGGAATGCTTGCGCCTCGGGAAGAGGCATGCGGTATGCCCAACTCGGAGGGCACCCGGCCCGTATCATGGTAGCTGAGAGCGCTCCCTGGAGGATTGTGGCTCCCGTGCTGCTGCGCATCGACCCGTAGCGCGGCAACTCCGCGTTCCTCCATGTGAGGATGGCCCGGAAAATGCACTCCGTGGTGCGTCTGGCCATATGCCGGGCTTTTCTTCATGAGGTTTGCAGGTTTGACGTGATCTTTATCAGACGTCCCGAGCCACGGAAAATGCGCGTCCATATCTGGGCTCGCTACCGCTCCAATTTCCGGAGCAGTGTCCTCAGCCGTTCCGAGGGTAGCAATGTCTGGCGTGTCGGTAATCCTGCAGTGGTGAGGATATAAGGGTTAGTCCGCGGGGGGGGGAGGAGGTTGAGGCTTGGGATCAGTTGACTTACAGGAACGTATACTGAGCCAAGTCGACATTTGTTAAGCCGTGCTTCCTCCTGAGGTGCTGTATAAAATTGTCTTGCCGGGGCCAGTCCTTAGGTTTGTCTCGGCAAGAGCCCACATTACAGCGATAGACGGTCTCGTCTCCTCGACGAAGCTTATGGACACATCGCTTATGACGTTCCAGGTCGTTGTTGGTACTGAAACCCTCGGTCGCCTTGCTGCAGCCGTCAATGTCGCATTTGAAAGGTTTATTGTGCCGGGCCAGGTGTTTCCTTGCCATCTTTTGTCTCAGCTAGCTGGTGCGGGAATAGGAGGAAGCGGGGCTGTAGCTTACCTGAGTTCCGAGTTCGTCCTGAGCACTGCACCGCAATCAGGGCATTTCAAGCTCTGATTGCTGGCACGCCCCAAAGAGGACTTCTGGCCCCGTCCCTGGTGCTTCCGGGAGCTCTCCTGTGGCGAAGCAGTCTCTTGGGCCAACTCCTGGAATTGAGCTATTAGGCTCTGCGTCTCGGCGTTCTGGTCCACCTCGCCCCCGTAGACTGACGGATTTCCGACGCTTTGCCTGGCCATGCTCCCGTACCCAGAGTCGGACAGGATCCCTCCAATGCTCTGACTGACGGTATCCGCCTCGGAGGGAGGCGGGGCACTCCGAGCGTTGCCGAAGTTTGAGAACATCTGGCTCGAAGATATGCCGGCCGGTTGTCTTCGTGCTGGCTCGCCAAAGACCGAGTCCGCGTTCATCCTTAACGGGTTCCACGGAGCGCCACGGTCGTCCATGAACTGAGTCATCATCGGCTGCAATCCCTGATTCTGCATGAACCCCTGGTGGCTGTAGCCCCCAGGGAAGGTTCGCGCAGCAGTCATAACATCCCCGTTGCCAGAACCGTGAGTCGGCTGCGACGGATACTGGCCAAAGGGCGGCATGCCTGCTTCTGCCGGCCTTCCGAGGCCGGGCATGGAGAGCGCATCCGGGGATGCTGGCGGGAGATCCAAGTTGAGGGACTGAGAAGATTCGCGACATCAGACTACCGGTTGACCAAAGGGTATGGAAGCTGGGTTGCATCATACCGGTAACCCGCCTGGCTGGGAATACTGAAAATGCTGCGCCATGATGCGTGCAGTCCCAAACAGCCAGGGGAGACTCGTTGTCGAGTCGGGAACAGCGTCTAAGACGCCATTAGCGAGGTTGTCCTTGTCTCAATGCTGGAGGCATTTAAAGAAAAGAGTAGCTGGGAACTTGATAATTGGGCAGTGTGCACTGCAGCCCAAGCGGCTGGGCTGAGCAAACAAAGATGAGGAGGGAGGGAGGCAGGGCATGCAGTGGATGACGGAAGCCGTACTTTACTGGACGACGGATAATCACAGACAGAAGCACGGGAGGAATAACGGTCAATGTATGATGCGCGGAATCGCCGGAATCGACGGCGACGGCGGATGGAAGGGCCGGTGATGCGGTTACAGGAGCTGTCGTTGATCAACTCGGAGCGACTAGAGCCTTGCGGCGGTCCGAGAGAACAGTCGGGGCGGAGTGGAGGCGATCGCGACAGGAGATACTGATAAATTGATGAGCTTCACCTTCTGCGCTTTACCGTACAAGATGTGCGCTCAAGGAAACGAGCTCAAGACATCGGATTGCTCGAGATCTGTAGACGGCGAACGGAACAGAGAAAATGAATGGATGGCTGCCCGCGCTCTCAACAATACTAGTAAGCTGAGCGGGACATGAGTTGGGCAGCCTCCGAGTCGCTTCTGCCTACCTAAGCGAAACCAACTATACGGTAGGAACTCGTCAAATTGGCAAATGCTACATGGGACGGCAAGGTATCTTAGAGGTTCTGATAGGCCAGCCACGCCGGCCTAGTCGCACGGGAAGTGGAAGGACTGGAATTTGGCAGATGGTACGGTGCTACCCCACTTATTAGTATTTCCGAACTCACGAGTTTGTACCGTTCTTGTAGTTTACATCAACTAAGAGCTACCTAGCCAATCACATCCCTGACCATAACCTGAAAAGCGCTCTCTCATCATTGTCACGAGCCAGCCAGTGGTCGTTCGAGTCAAGAGTCCACGATTGCGCTCTGCTAACTTGCAGTTCGAATTTGCCAGATGCAACACACAACACAGGTAGCAGCGGCTACCTGCAGCACCATCGCTCAGCCATTGCACAAGATTGCCTCAATTCAGTGTTCTCGGGTACAAGCGCGGGAACTGGAGACACAGCAAAGCACCCATCTGATTAGGGCGGAAAGAGCTGCTACTCTAGTTCAACCTTACTGTTCCATGTTCATCCGTCGCATGGATAGTAGGGAACATTGTTGCCGGGTTTCGACCTAGGACTCTGTCTGCATTCCGGACAATAGCTTTCTACTTCCCTTTCTTCGTATCTGTCTCCTTCTTGCTGTTCCAGGCACAACACCCCCAGGACATTGATATCGTCGCACCAACGCTAGTGTTCTCGAATGGGCTCGGCGAAAAGCTGTTGCCACGTCCTACTGTCATGCCCGGAGCTGCAGTGGCTTCTTGCTAGAATTGGAGCATGCATCTTTTGCGCGGAACCATGCGGCCGGTCCGGTCCCGCAGTTTCCGGGAGTGGCCCGACGCAAGCGCATACCTAGTTATCATCTCGAGACTGCAGGACATGCCGCGGCTTGTCAAGCGGACAACCCCCTTGTTGCAGTTCCCGGTGGCTTCAACCGGGCCCCTGGGATTGGATCTCGATCTGGCACCATGCAGCGGGCTGATCAAGAACAGCATGTTTGCTCAAGCCACCACCTATCTCGCAGGAGAACAGGTCACATCTCAACGGCAGCTCCCACAATTTCGCAGGCGCGGGTGATACACGTGTAGTTAACTGGCTTGCAGCTTCAGATCGGATCCTCGCCTCACATCTTCGCGGGACCCCGCAAGAGCCTCAGCCGCCCAGGGTCTGGCTGCTGGTTATCTCCGCGGCTAGGTTCTCTAGGTTCCTTTCTTCTTGAAGTTCTTCTTGAAGGCTCCTGTAGCGGACCGAAGCCAATGGACACATGGCTCTCGGCCCGGGCTGCTGACCCCATCTGGTCACAATGACATCGATATCGGCACCGGTTTGCTTTGCTTTGTGGACTCCGCGTGCCGCTTGATACATGTATGTACCTTACACAGCTCGCCAGCTGGCTGTGTAACGCGTCCCGCTTTGAGAACGAACAACGAGCTTTGACTCGATCGTCAGGAGATCCGTTGCTGTATCTCGGTCCACGAGTGGTCCTGTGAACAACCAATCTCGGCCGGCTTCTAGTTGGAATCTCCAGCGCTGTTTGCCTCAAGCTGCAGAATGATGCGCCGAGCGTGGAAAAGACCCCCTCGGGACTGCAAAGACAGCTGGCGGTCGTCATCAATGCCAGTTAGCTGCGAATAGGCACTCGTCCTCTTATGTACAAGGGATGATCTATCACTCCTGACCTGCTGGCAGCGGCCTGTCATGCTCCGTTTATCACAGCGGCCGTTCTTTTGCTTTGTATAGCGTCTCACATGAAGCACTGCTCGTCCCCACCTGATCTCCCCACGGCCGCCTTCGGTGCCGGCATGCAAGTGTCGACGGTAGGGTGTGATGCCCAGACCTGAATGGAAAACAAAGCACCGCTGGTGGTCTAGACGAAGATGGGTCATGGCGTTGATATCGACCAACTGTTGCCTCTAAGCATACTATATAAGGATCTCCTATGCAGCCATCGGTGGTACGGGCTGGATCCCTCTCCCACTCAAGCCATCCAACTTTTGAGCCTCATCAGATCTCTCTCGGCCTTCATCGTCCCCGAAGCCTCCCAAAACCGCCGCCCACGTCAACGCTCGGCCAGCCAACGCCATCGGTCCGGCATCCAGGCTGCTTCCAGCGACGGTCCCCGACCCCGAGAGACGAAACCGCAGACAGACAGACGCACATCACGCACCGTTTCTCGTCCAGCCATGTGCGAGTGGGAGGAATTCATCTTCAACTGTACCGACGCGCACTCCGAGTTACGCAAAAAGGCCAACTGCCACCGGGCCCGGAACCACCCGCGCGGCCGCTGCACATTTGTGCGGCGGCTTATGGCCATCTGGCCTCAGAACCGGCCATGCGAGAAGTGCACCGAGGCGCGGCGGCGGGCGTGGGAATGGCACGAGTTCCTCGCCGGGCCGGGGCAGAGCGTGCTCGCCGATCCGGCAGCGCTGAACGCCGCTTGGCAGGCCTTCGTTCAAGCTGCGAGTCTGAACGAAGAGCAGGCGGCCGCGGTGACGGAGGCTGTCTCGCAGGGCCACTGCCAGGCCAGGGCGACCAACACGTGGCAGCGCTATGTGCAGGAACAAGGCGGCCTGATTCAGACTCCGGAGCAGTTCGACCAGGAATGGCAGCGCTTTTGCCAAGAGCTGGGTCTGAACGAGGCGCAAGCGGCGGCGGTTTGGCGGGATTGCTATCCCCACGGTCCGCCTCAGTTCAACTTCGTCCCGCCCGAGGGTCAAGATCAGGTCAACTACTACGTCCAGGGCCAGGACCAAGGCCAGTAACGCCCATAGCAGCCTTGACAGCAGGCACTTCTCTTCCATCAACGCTGAGCATCCAGAACTAATATCCTTAGCAGGTAGTGCCGCCCTTCAGTGAGGCCGTAGAGTGGCCCATCCGGACATACGCAGACATAACATCAACAAAACCGGCGTTGCTTTGGGAAGCGAGGGTCAGGTGATAATCCGATTGAGGTCTTCGTCACAGGCTTGACGCGGGAATAGGGGGGAAGTAGCTTTAGGATACTTTAATACAATACTGGGTTGCTGCGGAGGATCCTGCCCGCGTTCGCTGAACCTAAAATACCGCTCGACGTCAATAATGCTGTCTAGGTAGCCACTAGTCTCTCTTCGACATGCTTCCACCATGTTCCTTAGTAGGCATCTGCGCTAAAGATTCGTCTTTACAAACAGTGTTTACACCCGATCCGACTTCCCTTCCTTATCCATCCCCTAGAAGATTTTCTGTTGTTCCTTCGAACATGAATGTCAAGCCTGTCTCGCCCATAGCCGGGAGATTATCTGCCCCGAGGATGCCATGTGTCGTGTGCCACAGACCCGGCGACATGCCGGGTACGGTTCGTGGGTACGTGCATGACGACAAGCGAACTAAGATCAGGATCGTTCTCCTCAGGAGAGGTCTCCATGTTCCTTCCTGCACGGGAGCGGCACTTAACAACAGCAGCTGGGGCGCGCAGCGAGGACTTCGCTAGTAGGGAAAACATATCGTGATATCAGACGACGGTTTCCGTGTTCAATCCAATGCCGGATATGGATGGGATGTTGTCTTTTCAGGTGGCAACATCCTGAAACGAAAGTGCTAGTGACCATGATATGGGATCGCCCCGGGACCTGGCAGTCGGTGAGAGACAGAGTTGAGAAGGACCGTGTTACCGTGTCACGGAGCACGTAACGGGGAGGGGTGGCAACTGCCGGCATTGATGGCTGGGTAGACACCCGGTAGGTACTCTTCCTTGTGACAGTACATGGCGGCATATGTTACCTCAAGCATCACAGGCCTCTCTACAACTCTCAAGCAACTCAGGGGTGTCCACCCAAGCCCCCAACAACGAGTCAACTGCCTCTGAACATTCACCCACATCATAGCCGCTGGCATGCAGCAAGAGTCAAATGACAAGAAGATCTTTTTTCCAAAATGGAAGAGGAAGTATCCATCACGGCTTAGAATCCCCTTCGTTTCCGGACGGATACTCCTCAAAATGTCGACGCACATTGCCCTCTGCCGTAAACACAACCACCCCCCTCCCCCACCCCAACACTCATATCCTGATTGAACCCCCTTTACTCACTCAAAGTTCGTAGCGCCCTCTACCCTCCCCACAACGTTATACCGCTTCGAGAAGAAGGTGACCCAGTCGTTCAGCGTCGACTTCTCCTTGTCGGGCAGGTCCTGCCACTCGGCGCTCACGTCCTCGGGCTTGGTCGACGTCTTGCCGAGGGCGCGCGAGGCATCCTTCCCGGCGAATACTTACAGAAATGTGTATTTAATATTGGGAGTGCTCTTTCTGAAGGGGGGTTTGATGGGCGAGGGGGGTGTGTGTCCGGTATATGAATGGAAGTGTTGACGTACCGTGGTATGCGCCGCCCGGCTGGTAGGCTTTGTTGCCTGTTACATCGTATACGATGCCCTGGTGACCGACCGGAAGGTCAACAGATTGCCCCGGGAGGGTGAGGGGGAGGGTTAAGCGTTGTTGATGGTCAGAAGGGTATATATTACCTTGATGGCGACGTAGCACTTCCCGCCGTCCTTTCCTGCAAAGCTCATTATCAGTTACGGTCTGTTGGGGACAGCGGGAGGACGGCCGAGGGCTCGTCCGAGGCTTAGACCCTGAATAGGTAGGTAGCTAGAAGACAGTCCATACCGTTCGCTTTGGCTAAGTCCTCAACAGAGATCGGGTCGTCCTTTGGGGAATCCAAATGGACAGGAACCTTCGGCTCGAATTTCCCAGCCATTATGGTTGCAGTCTACCTTAACCTAGAAGTAGAGGGGCTGTCTGGGGCTCTGGTCTCGTCTAAGTCAGTTTATCTCTGTTTTGGTGCCCGGGAGAAGTGGGAAATGAGCCCATCAGCAATCTCACCTCGACTTGACTGAAGTTCTGTCAATACTAATTGTATGTTATCACGCTAAAACGACTTGCAGCCGATAATCATGCCAAATCTCACTTGAGATGCTTTCTGGACCCTGCGAAGTGGTGGGGTCATCGTGAACCTCGGGAATGGAGGGGTCGACAGGGATGCACTGAACGTCTGAGCGCTGGGTCCGGGGCGGCAATGACGTGCAATTGCCCCTTTGGGGTGCTTGCCTGAGGCATCAAGTGCTATCGCTAAGCAATCGAAAGCTTGAGCTACAACTTGAACTATTTCCGCAATTGGACTTTTCTCTACGCACAGAGAACTCCCAGTCCAGAGCTTCCAGCACAGCTCTTCCCATCACTCGGGGTCACAGCATTGGTGATAACTATACACGGAATCAGGACGCTAGTTGCGGCAATTCACAATGCCCGTCCCAAGGGTTGCCGGCCTACGACCCCGACGATTCCCAATATCGCAACCACCACTCGTCCTGCGATCTGAACCCAGTCGATGCCGGTTCAAGCCATTGACGCTCGGCATGGTCCTTGCCGACGGCCAATGTCGTCGGAATTCTACATCGCCTCCGAACCAGAATGCAGAGGGGCCATCCAACCAGACAGGCCAGACACCCAAGCCGTCTCCATCACTCAGGCGCATGCTGTGGCAAGCCATCAGAGCCGACACACGCCGCGCTTGGTACGTGATCCGGAACACCAGTTTTAGAGAGGTCATGCGAAGGAACCCAGGGGAGGCTTTCTTCGCGATCGTGGCGTACGTGTCTCCGGCCCGGCCAGGCCCGACAGCCTACCCCGGGGCACCCCAAGGCTGATGATCTTGTCGCACACAGAGTGGTTGGCGCCGTTGTGATTCTCGGATACTGCATCCTCGTGTACTACACCTACTTCTACAGCCGGCAGTTCACACGATACCCGGAACCGGTGGCACAAGCCCTGCGGAAAGCACTCTACTTCAGCAACCACGACCCGGACCCACAGCGCGCGCTGAAATACTACAAGCAAGCCCTCGAGCTCTGCGACCAGGAAGGATTGGACCACTTCTCGGACGACGTCATGGGCATCAAGATTCAGGTGGCTGCATGGCTTGAGAAGATCGAGAGCTATGAGAACGCCATCACCGTGCTAGAGAATCTGCTAGGAGACTGCAAGCGCTGGGTCCAGGTTATGGAGAAGAGTGCTCGGGAGGGGACTCTGCCCAAGCTTGAGCCACCGCCACCTAAGGAGGGAGAGCCTGTCGTCCCCGGGCAGCCACTCGAGAGCTGGTGGGCTAAGAGAACCAGGATTCTGGCCAAGGCCATCAGCATCAGCGTCAAGCTCGCAAGTCTCTACTCGGACGAGCATGTCCTCGAACGAGAGCTGGCACATGAGCGGCTGGTGTGGGCGGTTGAGACTACCCTGCGGGAGATGCAGAGACGCGCCAAAGAAGGCTTGAAGGAAGGAGAAGGGGCTTGGATGAGCCCCGAAGAGATCGGTGGCAGTTTGGAGGGTGAGTAACTTGTGTTCTCCTTGCTTGTCCGTGCCTCAGGTCCGTGAGATTGACTTTACTCTACAGCACTAGCACAAAGCTACCAGGAGAAGAGCCAGCATCACTTGGCCCTTCCACTATTTTTCCAGGCCCTCAGGTTATGCGGCGACCCGTGCCATATGGCGATCCTGAGTAAGTCTCGCGTTACCTGGGATGTAGCCCTCCTCAACCAGCCTTGGGCTAACGTGAATAGTGAACAACATTTCAACCAGCTTTGCGGAGCATCCGCTCATTGCGCCTGGCGATGCCCCCGTCCATTCCATGATGGAGGAATCCAAGAGCTGGGTTTCGCCAGCGGAACAACGGGCGTCCTACCTCGCTGCTGCTCAGCGGTGGGCGCAGAACGCCATCCAGCACGCCTCCGGCCCGCAGGATGACAAGCGGACACCGGAATGCGATCAAGCTTGCGCTGTCTCGCTGTCCAACCTCGGTTCCGTGCTGGCATTGTTGGGCAAGACGAGTGAGGCGCGCGAGAAATATGAGCAGGCAATCGCTCTGAGCAAGAAGTTCGGCCTCGAGGATTATGCCGCCGAGGCCGACGCCAGGCTTCAGAGCCTTCCAAGGGCATGACGTCGACAACTCCCTGTTGTCAATGAATCCGCCGTGCCATTCATCCTCCGATGGCGGTGATGCCGAAACCAGCGAAAAGCGACTGCCTTGGACCAACCCCAAAGTTGCAGACCAAGACGCCGCAACCACGCTGTTTCTGACTGCGTCGAGCGGCTTCGCCGACGCGGTTCACCCGCTCACACAAACTTCCAGGACGGCTTCCGCCAATCCGCGAAGGTGGGTGACAAACCGTCCCCAGCCTGGAAAGGGAAACATGGCATAAGCTTCGCAATGCCGAAAAGGGCCATGCGAAGCGATTCCCGACGGACGCAACCCCGAGGCACGGCTACGGCATCTTGGGATGGATGCATCGTCGCGGCCTGGGAACGAATGACGACATGGTCAGACCATGCATTTCCCGAGCAAAATCCCAGCGAAGGCCGAGACCCGACAGGCGAGAGCGCGGTTGGCCGCCCGGCCAAACTTGGGAAGAAGGGGGGTAGTCTCAGATTGGGGAAGCCCAGGGTCGAGAGAAGGGAGGGGGCCAGCCAGAAAAATTGTTAGCCACACCGCTGCTTTCTCATTCGTGCCTTTTGGCAAAATCCCTGTCGACGCACGTGTTAAGCTGACCGGGAGGGTGTTGGCACCGTCGCCTACCCGCCCTCACACACACCTCAACTCTCCTACCACACTGCACTCAGTGACGAGACCTTCGAGACACATTACCATTTTGCAAACTCCGCGGAAATTCTGTTGTACATACCGTACCTACCATGTAGTAAATGAGACAGCCACCAATCATGTGATGGTCGGATGTCACCTTCACGATGCATTTCAATTTGCATGTCTTCCGGACACACCTCACTTCTTCCAATGAAAGTACTGTCGTACCGTAGTACCCTACATATCATGATCCGTGAGAAGCCATTTCGAAAAGATCAGCGCAGGGATGCGTTAGCCTCACCGTTTCCCTTCCCATTCTCGAAGCCCAACCGCACCATGCATCTTGAGAAATCCTGGTGCCTGGCTGCGGCTGCTTCCTTTTTAGCTGCAGCTGGACTATATTTGTTGTGTCGGTGTTGTAATGTGATGTGAGGGGTTGTGTTCTGTTGTGTTGGGGACTGGAGATGTGCTTTACCACTATGGCTCGAGCTAGTGGGATCTGCATAGTCTCTGTGCCTCCTATGGTCCATTGCTATTTTTGTGTAGAGATCGACCTATCTACACAGGAACATTATAAAGTTTCGTGTGCTGGAGATGTCCAATGTGACCCGGACCTGAATTCCGAACTATTCACTTGCATTTAGTGTATGTACATACATACACTAGAAGTTCAAGTTGTTTGATGGCGCCCGAGCTGCAACTGGAACTTCCAATCGAGGCCCCTCCTCCGACTTGGAAAGCCCGCTCGCTTAAAGTTAGATCCCCCGCTAGCGTAGGGTCTTCGGTCGTAAGTCGGGCGAGCTGTTGTGTAACCGTCGGGCTTAAAGCGGATTTAGTTAGTGGGGGTTGCAATTCCCGTTGCTCTCGGTGCATCTATCTGCGCATGTGCCAACGATAGCGGAGGGAACTGGATTTGAGCATCTGGCGTTACAGTAGATTGTAAAGCAGTCCCTTCCCAGCAACGGATGAATTCTGTTGCGTGTTGGGAAGACTCGGATGATCATCATGATGGAAGCTCCAGTTTGGAGAGCTTGGACCCCGGTTTCCGCATCGGAAACCATCAGAGCCCCTGATTGGCTGGAGACTATCAAATGGTCGCGTCTTGGCAGCAGGTTTAAGCTTAATTGTGTGGGCTTGGCACTAGTCTGGTACAGATTAGTAGTACCTAGGCAAGAAGAGGGCACCATACAATCAGGAAAGCGGATGGTATCAAGTGTGTTTTAACGATGATTGCCCCGGTGTGTCGGAGAACTTGCATTGTCACTCTCCCCGCTTGCGGGTTGATTTGTTCTCAGCTCCGGCCGATAGGATCTCGGGTGCATAATTTACCTGATTGGGCCTTACTGTGAGTCTATGAGTCCATGATACCTTGACAGGCTCGTTCCATGACCGGAGATCACTCCGAAAGACTTAGTCCTAGGACACCGGAACTTCGTATTTTCGGTTCTTGAACTCGGCATTGGCTCCCTTGTCGAGGTCTACTGTAATAAGGAAGGATGTGACGTTGCTGGGATTTGACGCGGCCCGTCTGCCCGCTTCCTTCGTCCGGATCGAAGCCCGGTGGAGTATGGATCTTGAGCCATCTTGCCAAGAGTACTTGATATCCTTCATGGCGTGTATCGCGGGTATCAGGCAGTCACCATAAGGTCCGTCTTGCTTAAGCTTATTCTATCCATCAGACTCTTGTGTCCGGCCGGCACATGTGTCACAGAGTTCATTCCCCAATCACATGCTTACTTGGCGTACATAGACCCGTGCAGGTCGAGGTAGGTTGGAATGCGGTTGCCTAAGGTACCGCGCATATCTACCGTGAAAGGCTTGAATAGGGACTTGTACTGCTGCTACCTGCCCAATAGGGAGGCGCTGAGCCAGCTCCTGACCTCTTCTGTGGACTTCACATTCGTTTCCTGGGTTTTTTTACATAGCGGTTTGTAAGAAGCCCTAGTGCCAGAGTCGAGCAGAAGAAACAATGAGCTTGTGTCTAGGGTTACGGCGCAGCGTCCGTATCAGGCGGGGATCTGGAGTTCAAGGTCCAGAGCCTAGAGACCTTCCGGCATGGCCTTTACTAGCTCCAGCATTGGTCAATGCGCGTCATTGAGCCGTAGTGTCTATCACGATTCCCAAACACTCTCGTCATTTGTTGTCATAGAGCTGACCCTTAGTGTTGGATATGGTAAGGTCAGCTCTCGGTCAGGTAGGCAAGTAATTTTGTTCCTGGATAAGGGTCCCGCAACACGTCCGGTATACGGGGATATGTGGGGCCCGCGGCGGGGAGCCCCGGTTCTGTGTGCAAGACACCTGTGGACCTGCCGAAACTGCATCCGGACATCCAATCAGTGCATTCCACACCTCGATGGACTGATGTACCAAATTATCTGATGGTGAGATGAGAAGCGGCTGCCAGGCATCAGCATTCTCTTACTTTCCTTGGTATATAGGCTAGCTGCTGTGGAGGCCGATGGCTAGGTCAGCACTTACAGAGGCACTTTGGAATCTTGGGACGGGCCCACCATGTTCGTTCGTTGGCATCTGGAGCCCTGCCGTTGAACCCCCGCGCTCTGCAGTCGTCACAATGGAACTTCTCTAGGTACTACATGCCCACTCGGATAAACGTTGTGTTACCGTTGAGTTGGACTTCCACATGGCACACGCCACAGCCACTCGCTAATCGAGCTCATCAAGGTTTGAAGCACAAGTTTCAATCGCGGGTGTTAAGCCGGCGCTGGACAAGTACCTATGTCGAAGCCATCCCTGGCGGTTGCGGCTTCGACGTCTGTATCTGTATTCGCCCTTATCCACATCTGGTAGTATATGTCTTGCATGCCACGGACGGGCGGCGGCAGAACCAAGAACGAGAACCACGAGGATGTTGGCGAATGAGAAGGTCGTTTATTCAGATGCCTTGAGATGGCGTCTTGTCGAATGCGGGGGCACCCTCCCGGTCAAGCCTTTGCCCCACCTTCCCGAGAACGAACGAGACAACTTCGGCGACTTATTATAGACAACATCACAGCACAGCGGATCGTGCTTGCCGAAATGCGCACGATGTAGCCACATGCATCATCGCTTGGTCCGACAGCTGACCGCTATGCATTTACAACGTGAGGAGATGCAGCTTCGAGTTTTTCCTATACTACCTACACTACTACCTCGCCGAACGATGCTCCGACGTCGCCAAATCTAACCCCGGTCGGGTCTGCCGATGCAGACGCGGGGTTCCACCTTCTTGGCGCCAGGACCGGCCGCTGCCCAAGTGGCAGTTGAATCTTGCGCCAAGACATGTATCTTCTGGTGCTAGTAGTATTGAAAAACAATTTGCCCACTTGAGAATTTTTTTGCGAATTGCACCGTACAACCTGCCAATCGACTGACTCGGTTTGCTCGGCTTGGGATGGCACAGCGAGTTGTTGACTCTCCCAGGTTATGGTCTTGCACAGCCATCTCCAGGTTGAATTGATCCGCAGAGCACCACCTATGTTAAAATGACCTGGGCAGCCGAGATGTCAGGGCACGAAAACGACTGGACCGTTCGTATAAGACCCTCGATATGTATAGGTACACCCCTCCCTTCCTGCCCCGGCTGGGGGTGTTTTGTCAGCTTGGAGAAATCCAGACCCCCGGCTCCCTATTGAATCTCCCGCCAACAGTGAAAACATTTCTCAGCCGAAGTCCCTTCAAGCTGGGACGTTTTGGCACATTCCGGGTCTAAATAACGCCCAGTAAGGCTTCGGCTGCGCCGTTCAGCCGCGTGGCTAATCGCCTTCTGGGCCACTCCTTTGATGTCTAATTGCTTGCTCTTCCATAATCTTTTCTGTTTACTCATCAACATGGCTGCGGTTCAACTTTAAACCTGACGTCACTGTCCGGAAGGATCGTGAGGGTTTGAGTATCTTTTCGTGTTAGACAGCGCGTCGAAACCGGGCATTTCAACAAGCGAGCTCGGATTGAATCCGGCGTCCTGTCGGCCTAGGGAAGACATTGACTCGGGCCAGAGTATTATCGGCACAGAGCAGCCAATACCGGAGTCCCGAGAATAGACCGCACCGGGGGGGTGGGGGTGTGTACCAGGAAACCCCCCAAAGCGACGGGCGCTCTGTTCTATTCTCACTAAACCTAGTGTAGATCTCGTGGACGCAAACCTGCCCGGCAAGAGGCGGATGTCGGAGCGGATGTGCGGTAGAGGGATGTATCGTTCAGGTTACATACGTCCTGTCTGCGGACTTATGCGGGTTTGAGGTACGTACCCTCTCGTCAACGAACCCCCTGCGGCCGCCTCTCCTCAGCCATCGTGATCCATGTATGCGCGGTTCTGGGACGCATGCTATGCCAAGCCCATACCCGTTGAGAGGGTGGGAGCTCTCCGATCTCGAGGGCATGGCGTCCCCCCTGCTTCCTCTCCATCCATACCAGTGGAGCCGTACCTCACCCTACAGCCTTAGCCTTCATGGGCGATGCTGGAGTAGCATGTACGGTGATCGACACATATAAGGATGGGCTCCCGGGGGCGCAGCTGGGGAACAAGCTCCTGTTCCCACCTCCTTGCCTCATGATCAACAGCCCTCACTAGCACGGCGGATATATCTCAACCAGTCTTTTCGAGGATACATCACTGCTCTTATACATCGCCAGCCTCTCCATCAGTCTCCCCACCCAGTCAAACCATGGAAGATCTCGGGAACTTCGTCGACTTTCCGTCGCCGCCGCACTCACTGTATTACGCTTACGGAGACTCGGAGCCACATGCGTCAGAGTTCCAGAGCCCTAGCGACTCTGTGGTGAGTTCTTGCAAGTCGCGAAATTCCGGAGGCAGCACTCACTAATACCCGTGGCTCTAGTATGACACCACATCAGCGGCAGAGAGCGGCATCTCGAGCCGGTACCCCAGCCCCGGTCACGAGGAAGGCGACTCTTCGGAATCCACACAACAACAAAAGCCCGCGGCAAAGAGGAAACGGGAGAACCGCTACAAGAATGCGCCTCCGGCCGTCCTGTCGGTGCGTAGCCTTCTGACGAAAACGTTGTACAAACTCCAGCAAACTAACACATTCTCGCAGCGGCGGAGAGCCCAGAACCGCGCATCGCAGAGAGCATACCGTGAGCGGAAGGACCAGAGGATAAAAGACCTCGAGCAGATGCTCAACGACGCCAAGCAACGCAACGACGTGCTCAGCCAGGCCTACGCGGCGCTCCACGCCGAGTACGCGGCGCTCAAGGCATCGCAAGCAAGCGAACCGAGCCCGAGTTACTCGCAGCGATACGACCTCCAAACATACAGCGGCGGTGGCCCCAGCATGGGCCTACCAGCCGGTGCCGACAGCCTCGACATGGACATGTTTGTGTACCACGATATGAGCACGACATATTCGCTTTGAGACCAGAAGAGATTGCGCGCAAATTTAGCCTCTCCGCTGTTTCAAACGCGCGATCAAGACAGCGGTTGACGCCAGCCACTTCCTCACGTATCTGAGGACAAAAGTCCACTGCGCCATGAGCCACCCCAAAGGATCTGACGCAGAAGCAGTTGGCAAACTGCAACCTAGACGATGAAATCCCGCGCTGGGACACACTTAGCGCGAATCACCGTGCCAGGGACAGATGAGGATAGAATTCACGAACAAGATGGGGCGGGGTCAAAGGACGGAGCTACCGAACTGGGACAGGCGTTACCCGGGAAATCCGGGTTGCACATAAGTACTACCTACTTACATGGCCGCGGGACCAGACAGAGACAGACTTTTTGGTGATTGGGAAAACTTTAACATCCCATCGCGCAACTCCGGTCTTCGGAAGCTGAACGGGAGCGGCGACAGACAGAACGAGCCCTTGCGGGACGGAAGACGCACCTCGGTCGGTCGGCTAATGAGGGCGCCGCGTTACATTACAGCGCGTGGGAACAAACGGAGGCTGGCTGGGAAATCTAGAAACGGCATCGGACGGGTTCAGTCGGCTCAAAGCTGCCCGGGGCGTTCATTGGGAGTAATCTAGGATTTTGTCGTCTGTCGTTTGCGAGCAGGGTTTGGTTTCAGCTTGTGGTTTCGATGGTTGGCTCATGGGCTTATTAAGAGGGGGAATACTATACCATTTGGATCGGATATGACTCGAGACGTAATGATACTTCTTATCATGACAGTATAGTCTACGGCTGAACATCTACACTCTTATACCTTCCCGGCCGGGCTCTTCTCGGGAAATCCAAGGTGATGTATTACTAGTCTGTTGATTCTTGAGAGTAATTCTTCGGATGGACCAGTTGGCGCAGGGTGCTACTAGTACTTCCTGGGACAGTAGAGGTAGATATCTAGGAAGTGTTCGAAATCGAACGGGGAAGTGAGAGCGACCATCTTCCCACTCGTTTTGCCTAGGACGTCTACTACTCTGTCGAAAAGGGATTCCAGAAAGGCCAAACATTTCAGCGGTTATCTGGATGAGGATCTGGAACTTCCGGGAATCATCCAGACCAGTTCATGCCCTGTTTACGACAACAACCACAACTCTTGCTTCATGCAAGATGACAAGACATGGACCTTCAGGATCTCGACTTCGTCGATCAACCCGGCCACTTCCCGGCGTCAGCACCTCCCAACAAACTCTACGCATTGTTGCTCAACACATCTTACCCAACAAAAAAAAAGAAAAATAACCCAATCGAAGCGTACCTGGGTGCCTCTACCTCGGTACCCGTGATCACTGCTCTATGAGTGCTGTCGCCACTGCGAATGGTGTAACGGAAACAAATACATATTTGATGATTCGAACCGGTGGCGAAGGTTTGAAAAATGCGGTTCTTTGAGTCTGTAGACCCCATAGGACAGTACTAGAGCGAGCACTAGGGGCTACTAACCCTCGCTACTACCAACATGCTCGGTCTAGCCACTTTCGACCACAGCGCGCGCCCGGTAGTGCAGTGGCACACCACGGCCTACGCGGGACTCACAGATTAAAATACTAGCATTCACTCACAGGTTATTACGTATATCCGTAAGTACGGTCAAGTACCGACAGAGTAGCAGAGCAAGATATCATCCAAGCCACGGCATCGGAGGCCGCACGAACCCACGGGGTTGATACCTTATGTTGCCGGTGTTGGTGATGGGCCACAGTCATGTGCCCTGGAGCCCCTGAATTCTGCTTGTGTGGACCAAACCCCTGGTCCGCGCAACAATGGTCAGGCTTCCGTACGGATGTTAAAGTTATTTCCGGAACTTCAATGTCTCCGAGCGATACTGATCAGTCAAATGTGTAGGTATACATATCATGTGGGACTCAGCGGGCCCTTTAGGATGTATTGTACCCTAATCGGAGTTCACATGTCCGGAGTTTGGAACTTTCCGGAGCTAAGGCCGCCCAATCGTGCAACTTTGCCATGCTCCCCCTTGGTCCCAGTCCCGTCGCTTCAATATACCGTCCTGGGTTGTGTGGTAGGGGGTTTGAGGAAGGTGATGGTTGGCCCAGGCAAGCAGCAAAATGTAAGTAAGCACGATATTCTCACCTAAGAATCAGCCCAGGGTATTGTACCACGGGCAGGTATGCTCTGACATGAGCTGATCGGCCGCCGCTCGGTTATCTCAACATCCGCCCCGTAAATACGGCAAATCCCTTTTGGATCGGTGGCGGGAACGGCGTGTAGCCGACTGTCTCGGCGGCTTTAGATTCGACTCGTTTAGGTATTTCTACCAAACTAGGTAGGTAAGGTAGGGAGTTGCGTGAATCTGATAGCGAGCATGTTCCATCATGTTGTGGTCTGCAGCTAAGATCGTCTCTAAATAAAAGTGAACAGCAGCTAGAATAACCTAAACCTCCTCACTCGTGGGCGTCCCATGCTGTGTGTGGTGCATCCAGCAAAGTAATGGCGGGCTTCAAGAGGTTCGGGTGTACAGTACATACCAGGTACCTACTAGGAACTCCAAAGAAGCAATAACGTGCTCGGCCAATGAGGCCTACAACTTGGTATTCGTTCTCTGTATGTGATTTACCCTCACCCCACATCTACACGGCCCTTTCTTAAGAATAGTAGTCTGATAGCAGGCTATAAAGATCAGTGCACTCCAAAACCCAACCCATTTGCCTTCACCACCGAATGCCGCATCATCCAGTCTACCGTAAGGCAGACACTCTTTTACAAAGACCCCAAAAACCACGAAATAGAACCTCAAATGCCTACTTCAACACAACATCCCTCCAAAACGCCCAAAAGAAAACTCCATGAAAACAACCAAGATTACCACATCCCTGCGTAAAACAACCCCCCACCCCCCAACTCATGCCCTCATGTCCTCGCTCCAATCTCACGACCATGACAGAGCGACCCCGGGGGGGAGGGGGGGGGGGGGGTTAGGACTGGCCGGCCACACAGGAAAACTCCCCTCGAAAAGCTCCAGGGAAACCAAGACTGCTCGTCCAACACTACCCAAAATCTTTCCAGACCGGACTTTGTTGGTATCCATTCGTATAGACGCCCTTGGGAAGCCGCGAGGAAAGTGTCTGTGGAAGGGGGACTTCGGGGCTTGGACCAGGTACTGTACTGTACATCGTGCAATCGTCGGAGATAGTATTTATGTGTATCGGAATCTCGATGGGTTACGGAAGGGGTTGTTGATGGTGGTGCTGTTATTTGCTGTGGATGGTGCCTGAGGGGTAGGCACTTATTATCGCCCCGGGTTGTAGGACCGAGCAGAGAGAGAGAAGACGGGGGATTGCTGGTGCTAAGGGGTTGGGTTGTGGCGTGGTGTGGTGCGTGCCGGTTCACTAACTAAGGTATGAGGGGGGGTTGACCGTAGTCTCCTCTGATAATATTGTGCTTGGGTGGTCATTCTGCTGTTGCTGATGCTGCTTGGCAACGTTAGCATCCGTTCCTTCTTCCTCTTCTCCTCTTCTTCTTCCCCACAACCTAAGCAGTGGTCTGGTTGAGTAGTACTAGTAGTATGTACAATACATACCAGGCACCGGGCCACAGACAGCAACAACAGGAGACCATGGGTTGTTTGTTGTTGTTGTTGCTGTTGTTGTTGTTGTTGCTGTTGTTGTTGTTGTTGCTGTTGTTGTTGTTGTTGCTGTTGTTGTTGTTGTTGCTGTTGTTGCTGTTGTTGTTGCTGCTGTTGTTTCTCTATGCCAGCCAGACTTTATGAACTCGGCGCATCAATAGACGGCGTCAGTCTCGACGGCGAGGCTGGCCACTCTGGGAAGAAGGCGTCATCACGGGCGGCAAGTTTCCTTCGGCAGATGACCCGGCGAGTCTGTGCCAACTCGCCGCCTCGTTTTCCGTACCACTTCAGCCCGGCGGGCAGCCGGCTCGTGGAGCGAATAGGGGGAGAGGAGAACATGTTTCGTCCGACTTGTAGATTTTGTGTGTCGCCTTCTCTGTGTGTTTGTGTGTGTGTACCGAGAAAGCTCGAAGATCGAGGGGGGCACAACGGGATGGGGAGGATGGGAGGATGGTAGGGCTGCAGCGAGATGCGATGCGAGGCGCAATGCCGTGTTTGGACATACCGTCCCGGCCTTTATTAAAGAGAGACTCCTACACACCGGCAGTGTGTCACATAATCCTCTGGGTCGACTTATCTACTCGGCGGTGGGCAGCGTCGTTGCTGAATCAGCTGCGTCTTACATCCCCACTTGACCAAGGTATAGCCTACGAGGCGGCGGAACAGACCATTCAGAAACCGGCCGTGTAACTTTCTATGCAGCCGTTTGTCGATTAGGCCAGGAAATCTTGCTATAAAACACTCGGAGTTGTCTTGGCGCCGCTGATGTGAGGAGGACTCGGAGTCATTGGATATTGCCAGGTCATCGCGCTTTTCGGGCCGCTGCATGTCAGCATGGCGGCGTCAGCATTCAACTACGGTGAGGACAGAGATCGGACCCAATCACAAATGCCTAGGTACCTTAAGCAGTTCTTCCCTAATAACTCGGAGTTCGGCACGCATCCGTGTTGAATGTTGAATAGCGCTTCCGGCCCGGACTGATCGCCGCCAAAATTTCTCCACAGTCCCGGACAGTGACTAGTAGCTCCGGACGGGCAGTCTTCCGCTTGCCGAGAACGTGGACCGGCTCGGCATTGCGGCGGGGCCTCGAAGTTCGCCTGGCGAGACCGAAAGTGGATTGCTGTTCGCGAGGGCCGAGGCACAGAATGGTATGCTGGCTAAATGACCAGCATCAAGAATCCCGCGCTGCCACTGGTTCAACGCTACTTACTGTCAATTTACCCAAACACCCGATCCCTCTCGAGCCGCGTTTCTTTAATATGGGAATCTGCCCCCCAAGGGCGGAAACGATGAGGGGAAAGGTTTCAGTCCCTGACTCTGGCGCTGCATTCCAGGCGGTGGTGGAGGGGTTCGGGGGAGGAATGCTGCACTCAACTATGTTATATGGACAGATAGGTAATCTCTGCCCTTCCCATATACCGAGCACCGGAGCCCCGTCCCATGACCAGCATACATCGCTGCCCCTTTGCTGCGTCCTGTGCGATCGCATGCCGTTGGTGGTGGATTTGCAGGCCCGGCCCGGTGAACCAACTACGACTCAAAGAGTAATACGTCGATCAGCAGCTTGACCAACATTCAGTGCAACCCTCCCTCCCAGGTCTAATCAACCGGCAACACGGCATATACAGATAGTAGAGATCACGCGTTGTTGGAGGACGCAGCGCGCTCCTGGACAGGAAGACTTTCTTCCTCCCCCGCTCCCTGAGGCAACGAAGCATGCGGTACCGCCTAGCGCAGCAGCGACACGAGCGAGAATGAAGAAGCCCAGCAGCTTGGTACTACTAGTCGCTATCATTTTTGCAGCTGCTGGCCGGTCCGCGGCCGAGTTCACCAACTCCTTCGACGACATCGCGAGAGGGTCGAACGTGACACTGACCTGGGGCGGCGTGCAGCCTCAACAATATCCGCTGTGCATCGCGGCACAGTTGATTGAAAGGGAAAAGGGCGGGGACGGGTTCAGCGCGAATGCGTATCGCGTGAATATCACGAGTATGTGTTTCTCTCCGCCCCTGAGCACCTGCCCCGAGCGGAACTTTGGGAACATCCCTTCCTCCCTTCCTTCCTTCAAGAAGGCAATGGGCCGGGACTCTCCCGAAGAATAAAAAGAGACAGCGTTCTAATGAAGAGAGAGGTAGCTGGTGCCAGCGGCACAGCGCATGTTTGGACCGGCGCCCCCTACCCGCTTCCGTGGGTGGCCGACGGGCTGTATCAGCTGGAGCTGAGGCCGATGGGCTGGACCGGCGGGGACGCCCCGGTGCTTGGCAGGTCTCCCTTCTTTACGATACTATCATCGGACTCGGACGGCGGCGTGGTGGGGCCGGCTCCTTCGGCATCTGCGGTAAGCCACCTATCCCGGGATCTGCCGCCCTTCTTTCCCTGGCATGTAGTGTACGCGCTGTGAGAAGAGGAGAGAAAGAGATGGCTGACATTCGGGTAAATTTCCCGGCCACAGCAAGCGACACCCGCGGAGTCCCGGGGCGGTGATGATGCATCGCATATAAACAAGCCAGTGGCGATTGGGCTAGGAGTGGCCATTGGAGTGCCTTCCATAGCGGCATTGGTGGTCGTGGGCTGGTGTTTCCGAAGACGGCAGCGCAGGGCTGTCCTGGAGAAGACTCGCTTGAAAAGAGCTGATTTTGTTATCACCTGACGGAGACGGGGGCGGCTATCGGAAAGTGAGAAATATAGAAGTGGAAAGCAGGAGAACTTTTCTGTGCCGTGCTGTGCCCTTGGTGCTACCCAGTGATGGAAAGAATTTCTCCCGTCGGACTGTGGGATCATGTCGAATTTGCGGAACGCGAGATTATGTGATGCATTGACGTGGCGATGCAGAGTCACCAAGCCGAGAAAAGGGCGGTAGGCAGCCAAAGGGGGATTCGCTGGGAAGGACCTATCCGGCGAGTCCTCCTCGAGTTGGACGAGTCCCAAATAACACCTCCAAATTCTTTATCCACTCATCCATCACGTTAGCATTTGCATTGGAAAAAAGGGCAACTTCACCTGATCGTCGTCCAGCATTTTAGTTATCAGATTCCTGGGTTCTGGGACTAGAGGATCGATGGTGGTCCAGACTATGGGATTGTCGGTGGGGAGGATTTTAACTTTTCCTCCACCACGTTCTGCCTGATCCCCCTTTGGGCAATGATCCGTCTGATTTTCACGCGGCTCAATTGGCCTTCCCCTGTCGCGGATCTGAGGTTCTGGAAGGAGCAACCGAACAACTGCCACAGATGCCGTGAGACATTTCCTTACCGTTGGACCGCATCTTGCCACCTCAACCCAGAAAAAAAAAGAAAAAACTACTACTAGTAGAGAAAAATGTGCAGATTCAGGCACAACCCGAGAGACCTCATCACCAATCGACACTCTTCCGTTTCATGACAGGAACCCACACCGGGGCTGTGTGGCGCTGCTGTTCCTGCATTTCGGACCCACAACCCGCGTTGATGGATGCTCCGGGTTGCTCGGATGAACCCTTGGCCAAGGCCGCACGACTGGCCTTGGCCACACGACTCTGACACGGACTCGTTCGCCAGTTACCTACCGTTCCTCTGCTTCCCCTCACAGAAGACGACGACGAGGGGATACTTACTAGGCACCGGAAGCCCCGCGTTCTGTCTCCTCCAGACCTTCGGACGGGTCAAGAAAGTCCAAGCTAAGGCCTACCAGTTCCAAACTATTTTGGGGTCCAGCTCGAAGGCTATTGTTTGCATGTGGGGGGCGGGCGCGCATAATGGTGGAGACAATGGTTGGAATTCAAAGGGTGAAGGGTCCGCTGGACACAAGTTCCGCGCCGACGTCTTGCACCCACTCTCGCATCTCTCAACCAATGGGGACCAGTCTCCCTTTTCATCCAGCCGTTAAACGCGCCGGGTCAAACCCTTGCCAGCCAAGGCCCGGAACGAATCTGGACTTTGGAGCCGCCGACGTTGATGGCTCGTAGGAACGTGAGTGGGACTATTGGCTCGCAAACCGGGTTTGGGCTCCTCTTCTGGCGGTGGGCTAGCCCTGACGCTAGGCTGTCCACGATGCTGCCATGTGGTGTTTTTTAGACCGAGCTGAACGGCACGGATCCAAGGGGTGCCATCCGCGGCTCCCCTATGTGTAAGGTATGTATGTAAAAGGCCCCCTGATGCCACCGCTATGAGAGCCCCTTCTCTCTCTCTTGAAGCCTGATGCTTCTCCTTGTCGAGTCGTCCACGCTGCCTATTCAGCGAGACCAGAGCATTCTTTTTGCTCGTCCCTTGACGTACCGCACGTCGATCCGGTCCTTACTGCCCACCAGTCACTCTTTACTCTTGTAGTAATACCTCTCTCTCTCTACTACTTGACCATGGCTCCCTCCGTCGTCCGGCTGGGCGCGGCTGCCCTGGCCTGTGCCTCGGGCGCCGTTGCCAAGTCATACAAGCTTTCGGAGGCGTACACGCCGTCCAACTTCTTCGACAAGTTCAACTTCTTCAGCGGCACCGACCCCAACCGCGGCTTCGTCAAGTACCAGGCCAAAGAGTCCGCCAGTGACCTCGGTCTCATCAAGACGGGGCAAAACGACGTCACCGTGGGCGTCCAGGCGTCCGGCAACGAGCAAGACGGGCGCCGCAGTGTCAGGCTGGAGAGCGTCAACACGTACAACTCGGGCCTCTTCATTGCCGACTTCGCCCACTTCCCTGCTGCGGCGTGCGGTGCCTGGCCGGCCTTCTGGATGGTCGGCCCCAGCTGGCCGAGAGACGGCGAGATAGACATCTACGAGGGCTGGAACTTGAACACGAAGAACAAGATCGTGGCCCACACGGATGATCCCGCATCGGTCGGTGTCTGCACCATCTCGCCGGGCGACTTCTCCAGCACCATGTCGTATCCCAACTGCTGGAACGCTGCCCCGGGCCAGCCGGGGAACACGGGCTGCGCCGTCGAGGAGACCAATGGCCTGTACGGGAACGCGAACGGTGGTGTCTGTAAGCACTTAGTCACCCTACATGTAGGAGCTCAATTTGCCCGAGGGAATAACTGACGAGTGGGCCTGGTAGACGCTTTCGAGTGGACGGAGGATGCGATCAAGGTTTGGAGTTGGTCGCATGACACCGTCCCTGATGACATCGCGAAGGGCAAGCCCAACCCCAGCAGTTGGAAGTCCCCCCGATTCGCCGCGGGTGGCAAGACCTGCGACGTCAAGCGTGCCTTCAACAACATGCGCATGGTGCTGAACATCAACTTCTGCGGTGATGCGGCCGGCAACACCTGGGGCGAGACGTGCAAGGCGTCGACCAAGGTTGATGAGTGCTACACCTATGTGCAGTGGAACCCCGACGCCTACAAGGAGACCTACTGGAAGGTCAAGAGCATCAACGTGTACCAGCTTGGCGACGACAGCACGAGCTCGAGCTCGACCTCGACCACGTCCAGCACGTCGAGCACCTCTGCCATCGAGAGCTCCACGAGCACCACGACCACTGAGACGACAACCAGCGCTGCTGCCACCACCGAGAGCTCGAGCAGCTCTGAGGCCGCCTCCAGCACTTCGAGCACTGAGACTTCTACCACCGTCGCCTCCGCAACCGAAACTACCACTTCGACCGGCTCCGAGACCGAGACCGTGACCACCACTGCTTCCGAGTCTGCCACGGAGACGGTCACACAGACGGCAACGGAGACCGAGACCGAGACCGATTGCCCGGATGATGAGGAGCCTACCGCGACAGCCAGCCTGACCGCCACGCAGACAGCCACGGTGACCACTGCTTCCGCGACTGCCACCGAGACGGCCACCGAGACCGAGAGCGACTGCCCCGACGATCTCGAGACATCCACCACGGCCTCGACGACTGCCACTGCCACGGAGACGGCCACGGAGACGGCCGCCCCGACCGGCACCACCAGCACGAGCGCCACGGAGAGCTTCACCACGTCGACCATCTACACAACAAGCACCTACACCATCACGTCGTGCGCGGCCACGGTGACGGACTGCCCGGGCAAGATCGGCCAGGTGACGACCGAGACCATCGCCATCTCCACCACCGTGTGCCCCGTGAAGACGACGCCGTCGACCTCCTCGTCTCTCCCGCCCGCCGGCGGCTGGACCACCTCCACCGTCTACTCGACCCGCACCTACACCATTACGTCGTGCGCGCCCACCGTCACCAACTGCCCGGGCAAGATCGGCCAGGTCACGACCGAGGTCGTGCCCGTCGGCACCACCGTCTGCCCCGTCGAGTCGTCGTCGCCTTCCGCCAGCGCTCCGGCGCCTGGTGGTAACGGTGGCGGTAGTGGTAGCAGTCCTTCGGAGGGCGTCACCACCACGCTGCGCACCTTCACTACCATCTCCAAGACGACTACGTCCACCACCGCCGTCGTCGTCGTGCCTACTACTACCGGTGGCAGCGGCAGCGGCAGTGACAGCAGCGTGGTTGTCGCTCCCTCTGCCTCTGCCTCTGCCTCTGCCTCTGTCTCTGTCCCCCCTGTTGCCGTACCCAGCAGTGCTCCTCCCGTCGTAGTGGGCGGCGGCAACGGCACCGAGTCGATCAAGCCGACCGTCGTGGTCCCGCCCATCGAGATCTCCACGACCCGGGTGCCGGTCGGCCCCACCAGCACGACGGCGCGTGTGCCTGTGGTGGTTGCGGGCGGGTCGAAGGTTGCTGGTGGGACCAGCGGGCTGTTGGTGGCGGTGGTTTTGGGTGCTGTGGCTGCGTTTGTGATGTAATGTAATGGTTGGTTTTTTTGGGTGAATTCTTCTGGGGTGGATTGTTTTTTATGATAATATGAAGTATAGAGCTTCTTTTTTTCTATTCCGTTGGGTTTTGAAGTAGAGCGATTCTGGGTGTGTATGTGTGCCTGAATATACCTACCTTTCTGGATCTGCTTTGAGTTGTGTAAACGTGTGACCGAAGTGCTTTCCACGTTGTTGTTCTTGCTCCGATGTCGATCAGGGACTGGACTCCTCGATGTGGGTACATAATATGGGTTAGGGTTATCTGAGATTCAGCCCAGAAGCACATGCTTGCTTGCAAGGGCACCAATCGGTTGGACCCATGACTTCATCCCACCGCATGAATGAACACCTCAACTCCACGGGAAGCACGGAACTTGTGTCCTCACCAACATCACCACATTGTATGCGTCGCAACTGAAGGCCATTCCTGGTCCGGGAAACCACCATTCAGGGTTGCTAGAGATATTACATACCTAGTAATACTGTATATACATCCTGGGCCCTGCCAAACCGGCACCATGTCCAGGCTGTCCCGCATGCGACCCTTCGTGTCGCCGTGGATCCTGCCAAGTTCCCCCTCCATCCTCCTCCGAACACGTCCCCCACCAACTCGCCCGGCTGTGAGCCCCTTTCACGCCACCGCACGAAGCCTTTTCCTCAGCCAACGACCGCCGAGCCCGCCACAACGATGTGAACCCCTCCGCGTCCCACCGCCACCACTACCACACCAACCAACCCCTCCTCACCTCCTCACCCTCCCCTTCAGAAGAGCAGCCCAACAACAGCGCTGCTCCTATCACCAGAACCACCACGACCCCTACGACCCCCAGCACCGCGCCACGCGCCTCGCAACCGCCAAGCCGCTCGTGCACTGGCGCGGCTGGCGTGCCCTCAACACGCCGTCGACATACACGGTCGTGGCGGCCGCCATCTCGGGCGCGCTGATCTTCTACTTCTCCAACCTCGAGACGGTGCCCGTGTCCGGGCGCACGCGCTTCAACGTCTACTCGCCGGCCAGCGTGCGCAAGGTGGGCGAGATGGAGTACAAGCGGGTGCTGTGGGAGCTGGAGCAGAAGGGCATGGGTTTCCTGCCGGAGTGGGATCCGCGGACGGCGAGGGTCAAGAGGGTCATGCAGCGGCTGATTCCCTTTTCTGGGCTGCAGGGGGAGGGGGAGGAGGAAGGAGGGAATTATGAGTGGGAGGTTTTCGTGGTGGATGATCCGCACACGGCCAACGCGTTTGTGATTCCCGGCGGGAAGGTGTTTGTGTTCAGTGGGATCCTGCCGCTGGCGAGGAATGATAGCGGGTTGGCGACTGTGCTGGGCCACGAGATTGCGCATAACCTGGCGGATCACCACGGTGAGCGGCTGAGCCAGGATCTTGGGGCCAGTGTTTTGCTGTATAGTCTGGTGATCATGGGCGGGGTGTTTGGGCTGGGCCCGTTTATCATGCACTTCTTTGGGTCGAGGTTCATGGATGTCGCGTTCGGCTTCCCCATGAGCCGGCTGCAGGAGAGCGAGGCCGACTATATCGGGCTGATGATGATGGCCGAGGCGTGTTATGACCCCTCGGAGGCGGCCAGCTTCTGGGCCAGGATGGAGAGGGCCCAGGGACAGGAGGTGCCCGAGTGGATGAGCACGCACCCGACGGTGAGTTTGGCTGTGTGATTCGCTTTGCTCACCAAGTTTTGGGGTTCTGAAAAACTAATAAGTGAGGGTTTTTTGCACGGCAGAACGTGAGCAGGATCAAGAAGATCCAGGAGTGGCTGCCTAAAGCGATGGAGAAGCGGGCGCAGAGTGACTGCAGCTCGACGACGGCCTTTGCCGACCTGTTCAGGCAGGCCTTGCGGACGGGCCAGGTGATTGTCTTGGGATGAAGCTGGGCTCGGAAGTGGCTTGCTTCTGATAGCGTGGATTTGCTGCTGGGATAAGCTGCTGGGATAGATACCAAGGCGGACAGACTATTGACTGGCTCGGGTCAACAACGGGGTGAGCGATATTTCATGGATTCAAAGTTCTCGCCTAAGAAAACGCATCTCTCTCGGCTTCACACAGCCGTCATTATGGAATCACATTGAAGGGGTTCGCAGAATTCATCCCCGACCTGAAAGTGTTCACTCGCCAAGCTAACACCCGGGCCAAGGACGGTTCACGGTTGCATCTCCTCCATAAAAGCCTGCCCGTATAACCACCATACACTCCTTTCAACGCCCTACCAAAACCCGCCGCCTCCCAAACGCCAGCGCCAACGCCCTCCACAACGAAAACCTCTTCCTCCCGCCCTCGGCCGCGCCTCCTCCTCCTCCTCCGGCCTTGGTGATCTCCATCAGATCCCGCATCATCCTCTCCCGCTCGGCCTGCTCCCTCCGCGCCCTAGCCGCCCGCCGAGCACGCAACACCTCCGCCGCGACCACCCGAAACACTCTGTCGACCCCTGCCCCAGTCCGGGCCGATACCTCCAGGAAGGGCACGTCAGACGACACCGAACCGGAACCGGGCGTCTTCATCCCCTGTGCAGCTTTGAGTCCCTCGGCGAACGACACGGCCCTCTCCTGGTCTGTGTCTGCGTCTGCCTCTGTGTCGGGCTCTTGCAGGTCGCATTTCGTGCCGACTAGTACAATGGGGTAGACGCGTCCTCTATCAAGCTCACCACCACCATCATCATCACCACCGTCTATTATTATATCCCCCCTCCCCACCTTTCTCACACTAGTAGCATAAGAAGAAGGACACAAAGAAGAAGGAGAAGGATCAGAGGCGAAGTATTCGCTTGTGATAAACTCGGCCAGACCCAGCGCCAGCCGGAACGATGCCCTGTCGCGCACCGAGTACACCAGCACGGCCGCCTCGGTGGTGCTCAGCGCCTGGGCCAGCTTGGGGTTGCTCAGCAGGTGCTGGGAGGGGAATTCCCGGGCCTCGAGGAGGTATGTTTCCTCCTTGCACTGGGGTTTTGTGCTGCTGCTTGTTGTGGGTGTGATGGATGCGGTGTCGAGTGTGATGGGGTGTCGGCAGCAGCTGGTGCGCGAGTGAGTGTGTGAAAGGGGGTGGTGGTTTGGTGGTGGGTTGTTGTTGTTTTTGTTGTTGTTGCTTGAGTCTTGGGATGTTCCTTGGGAGAACTGACCTTGTTAGCCATCTGTTTGTTTGTTTGAGGGTCATAGAACGGGAGGGGGGGTGAAAAGGAGTGCGTTGCTCACGCGGGTTAGCAGGGCCGTCTTGCCGGTCCCTCGGGCGCCGACGACCAGGATGCGGAACTCGCCTGCGGGTTGGCGCTGCTGTTGGTGTCGACGACGAGCTTCCTCTTCGGCTTGTTGCTGTCTCTTCTCGTCCTCTGAGGCCGCGGTCTCTTGCCAGTGGAGAACGGCCTTGAGGTACTTGGCTTCTTCGGCCGTCCACATTAATGAGCCCACCATTTTGTATGGATGGTGTTTCATTGTGGCGTTGAACGTATGAGCCTTTTTGTATGTCGGTTGACGTTTAGGCTTTTTGCGAAGAAAAAGAAGTTGAAATCAAGAACGCAGAGTTGTGTTTCTGGATGTTGCGTGGAGGACTTTCTCCCAAGCGCCAAAATGGGTCAAAATCTTTGTGTTCTATTGTCTATTCGAGAATGGGCTCAGAGAAAGGCAACCGCAGCATTGACCCGGTAGAGCCGTCCATCCCATGTGAGGCAGACCGCATTCTGCCAAATCTCAACTTCTAACATGAGGCTGGTGTCGGACAGGCTGCAGATCTACAGATGTCCCGTATGCGAGGAGCCGAGAATCGTTTCGCGTCTCTTTTGAGAGGACTAAGGATGAAATGAATTAATACTCTCTTTTGCTCTCCACCGTGCTTAACATATTGGTATGGTGAAGCAGAGCAGAGATTCCTCATTCCCACCGACCCGGGAGTTGAAACCTAGCATCCGAGAAGACAACCGCATCGATTGTACTGGCCATGCTCCATAATCGAGTTTAACCATGCTTGAGTTATCGACGCACTAGGAGGTTCTCGGGCTTCTAATGACACCGCGGATTTAATGGCCAGCGGCATGGTATGTGCACGCTATCCGGCCGATTCATCATTCCTCCCTCTAAGAGGATTCGGCGGGATTGCACTAGCTATCGGCGCCGTTGTGGATCAGGAGTCCACGGCGCGCTGCGTGTAAGGTGCACACAGGATGTGCTGCTTTTTTTGAGAGATCAGAAACCCGTTTCACCATCGCCCTTCCCGCCCGTGAGGCACAGCGCACGGGGGCGACGGGGATTGGGGAGAGATATTGTTAACCGTTTGTTTAATCACCAACCTCTGTGGACTCAAGGCAGTATGCTTGTAGCCACATACAAATAATTATCTATCATGCCTGACGCAGTATTGTATCGCCCCATTCGATGAAGTCGTCACACACAACATATCCAAGTCACGGGAGGATGCCTCGTGCAAGCGATCTCGTGCCTGACGATCGGTGCCGAACGCTTGTGATCCTGGGCAGTCGATCGCTCCGGAGTGGAGCCAACCCGCGGTGCGCTAACCCTAATTGCTCTAGGCCGCTATTAATAGGCTCCCCCGCCGCGACCCCTGTCGAGATACGAACAACCTACTATCGCCGGGCCATTTCGTGAGGGCTCTCAATGACGTCGTTGTCCCATCGACGCTGCCAAAGCAGGTCCAGAGTGATTACTCTAAGTCATGTCTTTCAATGTGTATGTCTCGATCTCACATGTTGTCAGCAGAACAAGGTAGGCTGAGCGATGCCACTGGGCGAGGCATGAGCATGGCAAAGCTGAACCGAGACCCGATTCTCAGCCCTATCGGCGGCTATTCGACCAAGGGCTTCGCTAGTTTTCCGCCGAGCAGAATACTAGTCCGGACCAATCCACCAACCACGCAGTGGTGTTCTCAGCCGCACTGCTACAGGAGCTGCACGGAGTCTCTGGGAGGCAAGGGACAGATGTAACTCAGTGCGTACACTATGTATGCAATGTCTGGACATGCCAAGTTGCATCCCATCTTGCGCATGGGGTTGTTTCACCAACCCACCGGGACTTGGTTTCCCTCTTGATATCTGTTCCCTTTTCACCAAAAAGCGCCGCTCATTCGGGCACGTTGTCATGAGCTAGTCTACCTGACGCTCCCTCCCCCCTCATCTCATCCGTGGTGCTGTCCGATCCATACCTTCTTCTTTCCCGGACCATGTTATAGCGTCCGAAATGGACCATCCGCCAAGGCCAAGACCACCGCTCCGGTCGGGCACGTCGTCCAGCGCCTTGAGCAGGATCTCGACCGTTTCTGACATTACGGACTTTGCCAGCTTCTCCCACGACGTGACGGAGAGTCCAACGCAAGAGCGGCCCCCTCTCGCCTCCCTCCAGACCACCGACGTCTCGAGGCAGGCACACGCCGCCCACCCGGGCCGCGGTCCAGCAAATGAAGGCTACACGTACGCGAGTCCAACGTCGGCCTGGGCCACGTTCACGGGCTACTCGCCCAACGCCGGCTATTCGCCGGTAGCCTCGACCGACGTGCCAAGGCCCTACAGGCAAGGCCGGAGCCATGTCCATACTCATAGACGCCACGAAGCGATCCCGGAGGAAGACGGCATCGACCTGGGCTTGGTCGACTCGGCTGTCCCCGTGGCCGGAAGCGAGGTGGAAAAGCCGACGGCCCGGGTTTCGTCGGTGCCCATGTTTGACTTGACCAACGCGCTGGGGCCGAGGACGCAGGCCGACGAGGCCTTCATCAAGGCGCTGCAGGAGCAGGAGGCGCACGGGAAGCTGACGGGCGGCCTTGGCGTCGGCATCAAGACCGACATGACCGTGACGGAGTCGGCCCTCCTCGCGGCAAGCTCGAGTCCCGTGTCGGAGCGGCCCCGGCCCCTGAGCCGCACCTTCTCGCGCGTTGCCAGACCGCTGAGCCGGTCCGAGACGGTCAAGCGGCTGGGCCAGAGCGAGGCCAACAGGCGCGGCGAGGTGATCGAGGTCGTCCTGGATGGGGACCTGCCGGTGCCCGACTCCAAGGTCGACATCAGCCTCGTGGCGGGCCACGGCGACCCCGAGATGGAGGACCACGACCCGGTGCCGTTCATGATGAAGCAGACGACGTTCCCGACGCGCAAGGCCACGACGGCCGTGTTCTACCCGCAGCCCAACTGGAAGCCCTTCTCCATGCGATGGCCGTATCTGCTGTTGCTGGTCATCCTGTCGCTCGGGGGCGCCGCGGGCGTCGAGCTGCTCTACCGCTCCTCGGCGCAGACGCCGCTCGTCAGCTTCCGCGCGCCGTCCGAGATCCCGGCGGCCGAGTACTTCGCCGTCAAGTTCCTGCCCATGCTCGTGGCCGTGTCGTACGGCGTGCTGTGGCAGATCACCAACTTCGACGTCATGCGGCTCGAGCCCTTCTACCAGCTGTCCAAGGAAGGCGGCGCGCTGGCGGCCGAGTCGTTCAACGTCGACTACCTCACGCAGTTCAACCTGTTCCGGCCCTTGCGCGCCCTGCACCACCGCCACCACGCCGTGGCCGTGTCGTCGGTCGCCAGCCTGCTCGCCAACACGCTGGTGCCCACGCTGGGCGCCGCCAGCCTCGTCCTCTCGCCCGACCGCGACACGCGCCTGCAGTTCCCGCACGCCGAGAAGCACATCCTGCTCCACCACGTCTGGGCGCGCCTGCTTACCGCCACCTTTGCCGTCATCGCCGCCCTGGCCTGCGTCCTCTTCTACCAGCTGCAGACCCGCCGCTCCGGCCTGCTCGCCGACGTCAAGGGCATCGCGGGGCTCGCCGCCATGGCCACCGTCAGCCACATCCTGATGGACTTCAAGGACATGGACGTCGCCACCCACCAGGACATCCACCACAAGCTTAAGTCGCGCCGCTACGTGCTCCGCAACTCGTCGCTCGCGCCCTCGGAGGACTCGTCTTCCTCTTCCTCTTCCTTTTCCTCTTCTTCCTCTACCAAAGAAGACAATGAAGGAAGAGAGGAAACCAACAACAACAACAACAACAACAACAACAACGGCCTCTCCGCCAACCCGCAGCCCTTGATGCTCCGCCCGCTCGGCGCCGTCCCGCTGCTCCTCTCCATCGTCCTATTCACCGCCCTGCTGCCAACGGTACTCTTCACCCCGGCCACGGCACTGACCGACCGCGCCCCCTGGGCCATCACGGCCCTGGCCGTCGTCATCAAGCTCTCGTGGGGCGCGCTCGAGACCGACGTGCGCCTGATGGAGCCCTATTACATCCTCTCGAGGCGGCACGCGCCCGCGAGCGTCCTGTGTCTGGACTACAAGGCCGATCCGTTCGGCTGGCTGGTCTTGAAGGCCGGCATCAACAAGCATTGGCTGGTGTTTTGTGTCGGGCTGGGCACGGTCGTGAGCGAGGTGCTGACGGTGCTGGTGACTAGCTTGGCGACGGTTGAAGGGAGGGTGTTTATTGCTATGCTGCAACAGCAGGAGCAGCAGCAGCAACAACAAGGGGCCAACACACAAATACAGAATGGTACTGGTGGTGGTATTGGTAGTAGGGAGGGACAAGGGGAACATATCAACGCCGGGCAGGAAACAGTCCCCAGCTTCTGGGTGTCCCTGGCCCTGGCCATGGTAATACTCGTCTACATGGGCGTTGTGGCCGGCGTAGTCTTCGTGCGCCGCGGCGGCGGGCCGACCTCCTCCTTCTTCCGGCTGCCGCGCCAGCCCAACACCATCGCTAGCGTGCTGGCATACATCCACCAGAGCAAGATGCTGTACGACTTTGTCGGCACCGCCAAGCTGGGCCACGCAGACATGGTCGCGCGCCTGGACGAGCTGGGCCGGACCAAGACCTACGGCCTGGGCTGGTTCCGGGGCCGCGACGGGCAGAGCCACTGCGGTGTCGACGAGGAGGAGCTGCTCAGTGGCTACAAAGTCGGGTATGACTACTCCAGGGCGACGAAGCCGTGGGAGGAGGCCGAGGTTAATTGGCTTTGAGCGTTTATCATTTGGTAGATGAATTAGTTATGCAGTAGGCGTTAGAGGGGTCGGTTGGGTAGATGGATGCATGCATGCATCTGTTGGCGTAACGGACGGACTTGTTATTTTTTTATTATATATATCTTCATCTACCAGAGATCCAAAGGGATGAGACTCGCCTACCTTACCTAGGCAGGCCAGGGGGGATCTTGGTAATACCGTACAGACGTAGGTAGGCAATAGGGGTGTTATACTACCTCACTACTAAGTACCTCAAGTGCTCAAGCATGATATCATGTCAACATTCACTGCTTGCAAGCAAATTTGCGGCCCAAATCTGTCTGAATACAGAGTATGCGAATTGGTTGATTTCAGGAACAAATCTCTCACGGCTGGAAGGGCAACACGGTGACAATGACACTTCCATGGTTCGGAATGACTCCCCTTAACGAGTGGGCATGAATAACGGCGATGTCGCAGAGAGTTCTTACACAATTGAGGGCTTGTCCTTTATTCTCTAGATCTAAAATGCTCGATCAATAAGATGGCGACCTCCCGTTGGCTTGTCCGCCTCATGTTTTACCCTTGTGTCCCTTATGTATTGTACTCCCCTGGGGCGAGATGAGGTGTAACCCCGTTGGTTGATCTAGCAGGTTTGGCATTGATACCGTGGTCCCTCGGATTTCGCGACGGCGGTTGTGGGACACGCCTTCGTGTTCGCGTCTACGTTGACGTGGTACTTCGTACAGTATGAACTTTGGTTGTTCCGTCCCCCTTATGGAAGTGTTGAAGAACGGCTGGAAACGAGTGTCAAAAAGCAGATACTCGCTGGGCCTCCTAAAACGGCTGATCCAACCCCCGGAGTAGAGTAGACTGAGAGAGTCGGGTCTAGATTCAGTGCCCATGTTCAAATAATGCTTGTATTATGGTAGTTATTAAGTAGTTTTCTCTATGTATCTGAAACTTGGTGCTCTGGTGCTTCATGAAGCAGACACACACAGACCCTGGACTGCCGTTTCACCTTGTCGTCCACCTCCGCGTAAAAACCGCTAGGAGAAGCAGCAACGGTCCGGAGCCGAATCAGATCGGCAGATGAGCGTATCCGGCGCGGGCACGACCCTCCCATCCCACAATAATAATAATAAGCGAAGCAGAGAACTTTTGACATCTCGATTCACCCAAACAGACCTCGTCAAAAGCGGATCTTCTTCAGCCTCATCGTCTAACCAAACTACAATGCCGATGTAGCCAAGTCTTGATTTGGGCATTGTTGGCAAGAAGACAGCGTTGCCCATCTGCACGGGGGCCGACAACAAATGCTGACACTGACAGGCCCGAGAGAACAAAAACAAAAGTCTCACGCTGATCTGCGGTTTCTTTCGTGCAACTACTCCGTGGTGCACAGAGGGTTTTCGCCCATGCCGAATTGACTCTGCTGCGCCAGTCTTGGGACTATCCACTGCGATAGTGTTGCGCAATACACGTATTTGCGGAACTCGAACTCGGCGCGGCGACAGGGTTCTCATCTGGAGTTTTGGAACATCCCGCTGAGGCTGTGCAGTCTCATTAATGTCCCGTATTCCCCAGCGGCCGTCGGGAAACGCGCGCACCCGAACGTCGCGTAACTAAAGGTAATGAGCTGAGCGGCGCACCTCAATCGTCGCCTCTATCAGCTCTCTCATAGGTAGTCGGGAAACCGTTCTCCCAGACTTCTCACATCGTGCCGTCAGGCAAGTTGGCAGTTCCACGGAGATCAGCTCTCATAAAAATCCAACATGCAGACCCAAATCGGCGGATAATCTTCCAGAACGCGGGGTTGCCGACTCGGGAGTCAAAGCGAACGGGAGCGCGCATTAAGCGCTGCCCCTGACTCTTGGGATCAGGGGAGGAGGGCGCGCCGGCCGGGTGCAACTTGGCGGTTACGGCTTCCTTTGTTCACCTGCCTCAACTTTGACAGAAAAGAATGCACGTTTTCCCGGCTATGGGGGAAGTATGTAATATGTAAGAAGTTGGCCTTGAAGTACTCCGTAGGCATCATAGAATATTTCGTGCAACTTGAACTCCAACCATCCTGATGATTGTCGCGCGCAAGTCCAGGAACTTGGCGAGAAGATGCAGATCTCAAAGTGGTGTTGGTCCAGCAAGGTAATGCACGGACCTCGCGTTAGTGGTATACATCTGATTACGGTGTGGCCGGCACCTGGTCTGCCGTCCTCTTCTAGCCCGCCGATCTCATCTCCCAGCCTGCATTAACAGAAATACTTGGCGGACTCGCAACGGTCACCCCCTGAAAGCCTCTTCAAAGAGTGTGTCCCTGTTTTTGTCGCTCATTACGACAGCGCTCCCCCAGTCACCAGACACGAGACGCAACTGAGGCGCCCTCCAATTCATCCATTCTTTCGCTCCTTTTTTCGAATTCATTGCCTTTCCCAACACCGCCGCCTGCGCTCGCCCCATGATTGCGAGGCTGGATCTTTCTCGATATCGTCGACGAGCACAGGTGGAATTAACAGCTGCGAACTGAGCGCGGCTTCGTTGTTGTCGGCAGACACTCTCGCTTCATTCCTCCTGCCGCAACCGATCCGAATTACGGATAGAGAGACGTCTAGTAACGACGATTTGGTTTCACTTCGACACGTATCACCAGCGCTCTCGTTCTTGCTGGTTTCTTTTTCCTCAGTGTCTCCGCATACAAACTACCGCCACAGCCTGGCCAACTGACGACGAGAAACACTCCCGACTTCGCCGTTTAACCGCCGAATGCAGGAGCCGCTTAGAGCGAATCGTTGCATATCGACTCTTTGATTTTGACCTGCAAGAGAGTTTCCTGGGCCTCAGCAAGATGCGGTGGTCATCATTGAGGCCACTCGCGGCGGTCGCGTCGGTCGCGGCGCTCGCCTCTCCTGCTCTCGCCGAGCCGATCCTCCAGTCTAACTCATTAAACGCCTGCCAGGAAAACTCGGGCTTCTCGGCCAGCTTGTTCAAGGTCACATTCACGCCAAATAACCAAACAGCAAATGTCGACATCGTTGCCGTCTCCTCCGTCCAGGGGAGCGTCATCTTTGATGTCCAGATCTTAGCCTACGGATTCGAAGTCATTAGAAAGCGGGTCAACCCCTGCGACGCCGGCCTCGCCGGTCTGTGCCCCATGACGGCCGGCAAGATCCCGCTTAACTTCAACCTAAACGTGGGCAAGGACGCGATATCGCAGATCCCAGGCATTGCGTACACGTTCCCCGATCTCGACGCCAAAGTGAAGGTCTTCATCAACATGACCGACGGGGACCAAGCCGGCAAGAGCGTCGCATGCGTCGAGGCCGACATTTCCAACGGCAAGACGGTAGATCTGGTCGGCGTCAAGTGGGCCACGGCCATTGTTGCTGGCTTGGCCTTGGTGTCTTCGGCGATTGTGTCCGGCCTCGGCCACCAGAACGCGGCAGCCCACATCGCCGCGAACTCTCTCTCGCTCTTCGGCTACTTCCAGGCGCAGGCCATGATCGGCCTGACCGGAGTGCCTTTGCCCCCCGTCGTCATGTCGTGGACCCAAGATTTCCAGTGGAGCATGGGCATCATCCGACTCTCGTTCATGCAGGACATCTTCACCTGGTACCAGCGGGCCACCGGCGGCACTCCGTCGACGATTTTCGACTCCCTGACCACGGTTTCCGTTCAGGTGGAGAAGCGTGCGCTTGACTTTGTCGAGGCGGCGGCGAGCAGCAGCCTGGCCAAGCGCTCGCTCGCCATGATGCCCAGGAGCATTGTTGGACCCATGTCAACAGTAGTCAAACGCGAGCTGGCCAAACGGGCTAACATTCAGACCAGCTCCGGCAGCTACATTGTATACGGCATTCAACGTGTAGCCTTCCGCGCCGGCATCGAGTCGACGAACCTGTTCATGACAGGCCTGGTCTTCTTCTGCCTCCTCGTCATATTCACGTGTGCTGGCGTGGCCGCCTTCAAGGGCTTCTGCGAGTTGGCCGTCAAGAAGAGGTGGATGCCTGGCGACAGGTTCCTCGAGTTCCGCAACGGCTGGCAGACCATCCTCAAGGGTATCCTCTTCCGGCTGACCTTGATCGGCTTCCCCCAGATGACCATCCTCTGTCTCTGGGAGTTCACGCAGAAGGACTCGGCTGCCGAGGTCGTCCTGGCCGTCTTCTTCCTGTTTGGCATGCTCGTCACCCTGGGATGGGCCGCGACCAAGGTTATCAGGATCGCACGTCGCTCTGTGACGATGCACCACAACCCGGCCTACATCCTGTTCTCCGATCCCCAGGCCCTCAACAAGTGGGGGTTTTTGTATGTCCAGTTCCGGGCCTCGGCATACTACTTCATCGTTCCCGTACTAGGCTACGCGCTGGTTAAAGCCATGTTCATTGCCTTCGCACAATCCAAGGGTACCGTGCAGGCGGTCGGCTTCATCATACTGGAAGCCGCCGCGCTTATCGCCGCCAGTGTCCTGCGTCCGTGGATGGACAAGAAGACGAACTCGTTCAACATCGCCATCTGCGCTATGAACTTCATCAACTCCATTTTCCTCATGATCTTCACCGAGGTCTTCAACCAGCCGCCGCTCGTCACGGGCATCGTTGGTCTCGTCCTCTGGATTTCCAACGCTGTCTTCGCCCTGATCCTGCTGCTCATGCTTATCGGAAGCACCGTATTTGTGTTCTTCCGGGAGAACCCTGATGGTCGATACCAGATCATGGCCGACGACAGAACCTCGTTCATGAAGTCGCAGACGCATCTCACCACGACCACGGAGCTCGACGCCCTTGCCGCTACAGCGCGTGGCGACAAATTTGGCTCCAAAGGTGGGCTAGACCTCGACGACGACGCCGAGTCGATAACGTCCGACTCGTTGCGCCGCCAGACCGAGTCTTCGCACCTTGGCGTGCCCTCGGCGAATGCTTCCGTGTCGACCGGGTTCTCCAACCGGCCGAGGAGTCCGGCGTCCCCTGCGATGCCGCTGTTCCCCGCCGACGGGCCGCAGAGCCCGCCGAGGTACACCGACCAGCGACCCGCCAGTCCCTTTAGCCAACCGAACCGACCCGCCAGCCCGTTCGGCGCACAGCAAAGACCAGCTAGTCCATTTGGCGCCTCGTTTCGGGCACAAAATAATGCGAGGTGAGAGATGCGAGACTTGAATGTGTACAGGACGACTTAGCTAACTGTTACAGCCCGTGGCAACGTGGCGCTGGCTATGAGCATTAAAAGGATGCGCCTGGATATGCCATAACTGGGTTTCCGGCTGCATCTGGTCATAATGATGCATGGACATGGAGTTTTGCCTTTTATACTTCGACATACGGCTGCACATTTTCGGGTCAGCAGCATAGGGACTATAGGGGATAGTTTTCTGCGACGGGAGGTCATCATCCGCAGCAAATACCCAGCTTTGCGTCTTCCCACCACAGAAAAGTCGCCGTGTTGGATACACGGCGGTTAACCAACCGCACGCACACACACACATACACAACGTTATTCCCTTCTCGTTCACAAGGGGAAGGCGACGGGGCAATGAAAAGGCGTCAGGGGTAAGAGACCATGGAACGAATGGGAGTTGAACTATTTTCGCTTCTTACGGATAGGACACCCTTCGGCGCGGAGGCGTGTCTTTACCTGCCCAATTGGGTACGTCATCTGTGCTTGAGTCGATCTAGAGGGAGGGTACTCAGAAAGAAATAGTACTCGGGTCACCCCTCGGTCGCGTGAACTTTTTCGAGTTGATTTTTTTTTCACTTTTGCTGCCAGAACATATCCACTGCTTCTGATGTGTATATAAGGGGGAGAGGGATGGCGGGTTTCGCAGGAAAGGCCCCCCACCTGCGGGAGATTTTCGAGACAGCTGGGCTGGGGAGATGATGGGCTTTGCTGATTTTTATAGGTCTGTCTGTGCGTGGCCCCCCTATGGAGCTGTGTGTATATGTGTGTGTGTGTGTGCTGGACTTCGATTTGATTCTTTTTTGTTTTTGTTGTTTTTTGGGGGGGGTTGAGGGGGGTGGTTTGGGACCATGGGTTACTTGGTAGGCTGGCTTGAGCAAATTTCAGTTTTCCAGTCGAATCGAGTTTGAAATAGTACTCTTGAATCTGCTGGTTGCCGGTTGGGCGGTGGCGGTGTTTCGCAAAGTACCTAGAATTGTGAAAGGGGGGTGCTCGTTGTCTGTCACCATTTCTTGACTATGTTTGCCACTCTTTTGACTCCGTCTGTCTCACTTCCGAGGGGGGCCGCCTGTGATGATGCTCGGGGGCGGTGACCTTGGCTTGGTTCGATGGGAGGGTTGAGGTTTGTTGGCGTCTGATATGCGACGAGGGTGCTGGGTCAAGTGTGTGTGTGCTGGGGGGTCTGAGGACGTGCGGAAGAGCTATATCATCCACGCACAAGTTTCTTGCTGGTAAGTAGGGGTCCCCGAGGCGATCTATGCTGTCAACATGGTTGAATGCTGGGGCGGCCTTGCTTCTGTATGAGGTTAGCTCCGGAGAGTGTTCAGATATACGAATGCAGACCTTGGATGCCGATATGCTTGTGTTTAAATGCGCACCGCACCAATTGTGGCTAGGCCATGATATGCAAGAATACAAGATATAGTATTGATGATCACAAGTCAGAAGTTGAAAGATATTTGAAAGTTCGTGGTATCATATCCCGTGTGGTATATCGCAGGTAAAAGGACCGATCGAGGTGGCTCAACAACACATGCCAAAGCCTCTCCGACTCATTATCGCCAATCCAAACGCTCTCAACGTCTAAACGCATCGCAAACCTGGTATCTCCTCCATGAAAGGCAACGTCATAGTTTCCCACCATCCCCATTAAATCCCCATTAGATCCATTACATTAGGAGCTCCTTTGGATCCCCTTTACCAAAACCTGCCCCTCCTCGCAGGCGCCCCATAATCGCTCTTCGCCGCAAGCCCCCGGCGACGGTGCAGCCTGGCGGAGCAGCAGGTGAAAAAGACCACGACGGCGCCAATGAGCGAGCAGATGGCCGAGACGAGGGTGGTCCACGCGCCGGCTCCGTAGTAGGCGCCGGTGCCGGTGGTGTGGCCGCGGTCGTTGACGTTGGACTTGACGATGCTGAAGAGCACAAAGTCGATGACGCAGGCGACGGCGGTCGTCAGGAAGGCCAGCAGCGCGACGAGCGAGGCCAGCAGCGAGCCGATCATGCCGGCGCCGAGGGCCAGCAGGAAGGCGATGAAGTTGATGCCGCACGCGATCGGGTGCAGGATCATGGCCTTGGTCAGCGACCGCGTCGTGTCCTCGGCGTAGTCGGAGAACTGCGTGCCGTCGATGGCCGCCATGAGCGCCGCGGGCGAGTAGCCGACGCGCGAGTCGGAGCATATGTCGCTATATTATTATAAAAACTCTTTGTCAGTTACGCCTCATTTAACCAAAGCGGGGGAAGTGAAAAGCCCTTACCGGCCATCGACATTGTTCTGGCAGTAACCAAATGTGCCAAACGATACGGTTGAGCGGTCGTTACCCCCGAGTTCGACCTTGAGAAGGGAGAGGTCGTTGACCACCGGCGCGGTGATGCATGTGATGACGAGGAGGACGGTCGCTGCGAAGAGTAGGAAGGTACCGATGTGGTGGAAGAAGCCTGTTGTTCCCGCCATGGTTCAAGATATTCACGGTTCCCGTGGACCAGTAGACAACACGGCCAAATCAGCTGCAGCGAGGGGCAGGAGGGGGTAATAGGTAAGGTAGCCTGTGGACACGAAGTGATCTCGAGGAGCACGGGAGAGATGAAGACACGGCTGTGGTACAGAACGAGAGTGGAGGGAGACTACGCGGCATATAAGGCTGTTCGGTTTTAGATATGGATTGGCATGACGGGCAGCCAAACAGGATGGCCGTCTTGAGACATGGCTGGCTGCCCAGCCTCCCGTCGTAATGCTGTCACAGCAGCAGAGCGAGCAACGTCATCGGGTCCTTCCACAGGAATCCGGGGTGTGTGATCAGCCCCGGCTAGGCTCTCTGCCTGTGATTCCACGACACGAAGCAAGACCACGGCTACAGCTTCAACAGGCCACGGCACGACGGCAACAACCTGCGTCGACCAATCATAGAGCTGGGTTTTAAACAAGCTTGATGTTGGGCAGCGTGGCAACCGGGGGGTAATGACGTAAGGTGCAGGTGTTGCGCCGAGGCTTGGCAAGCAGTGCCGAAGTTTGCAGGGATCTGAATGCGAGCTGAGCCGTGCCTTGTTTGAAGCTTTTCGGCTGTTCGGCGCTGCAGAATGTGACACCAAAGCCGGTGCAATCCTTCTGACGTCTGACGAGAAATCGATGTGGAAAAAGGAAAGAAGCCGTGCAGTTGCAGTCTCGACTCCGTGGGATATTCAGGGAACCCAGGTCAAGTAGTAGCTAATAGGTGTTTTCGAACCGCTGCGGATTACTGCGTTGAAGGGACCGTCCATGAGTGTGTTCAATGGGAAGGTACGTTACAGCAGCAGGTAGGCAGTGTTCTTCGGCACTGTAGCTCTTAAATTCGACTTCCCATCCGTCCGATCTGCGACAAGTCCGTGTCGCGTTGGCGGCCTCAACCGTGCGCTACGGGAATTGCCTGTTGCGCTGGAAGCCACTGGTTTCGGTCGTCGAACCTCACTCCATTCGTGCCTCTCTCCAGCGATTTGTCTCTCTCCGCGACTTCGCACGTCCATCAAGGGGCCCAACGACAGACACCGTGTGAAGCATTTGTAACGGACACGCGTCCCGCGGCGGTGCTGCGACCTCAGCACTTGTAGACCGCGAGCACAGCTACGATTGTCGCTGAGACGTACCCAATAGGGGAGAAGCCGGAGTCTGAGACGCGTATCGAGATCTCTAGTGTAGTCGGACCAGCGATTCTATGCCAGAATAAGAGTGCCCTTCGAATGAGCCGCGCCGAAGATCGGGTGGATGCGGGTGGGCTCTCAAGGCGCTGAACCAGGGCACATGTCGGGTCGCGCCGCGCCGACCACGCATGGCTGGTCACAGCTGTCGAGACGTATGATGACCCACGCCATCTCGGGATTCGACTCGACGTGGTAGAGTATGTCACCCCCAGAAGTCGAGAGACTGCGATACTCAAGCAGAATGATCCAACCTAAGCTCAGCTGGGCGCAGTATTTGTGTCCGAGCCGGATCTCAGTCGTGGACATCTTTCCCATGGTCACCCTCCTTCAGCCTCCCGCTCGCCGCATGCCTGGCATTGTAAGCCCCGACCAGACTCTCGAACTTGGACTCGTTCATCCGGCGTCTTCGGCGTGCGGCGATGTGATCCGCTTTAGAAGTGAGGGTCTCCTGGGCGTCGAGCTGGCCACACGTCGCCCAGTCCACGAGGCCCGCGTGAGCCATGCCCTGCGGGACCGCCTGGGACAGCGCAGCCTTGGTCATCGAATGCTCTAGGAGAAGGTTGTCGTTCGGTGCTGGCCAGCGACCGTAAATGGGGTTCTCTCTGATGTGCGTCCTATGTTGGTACAGCAATGTCTCCTTTATCTGAACATAGAACGTCTTCTGCGGATGACTCGGCCCGCTCGTTGGGCTGTTGGCAGTGCCCTTGCCGTCATGCTGCTGGTCGACGTAGTCGAATTCGAGGGGGCTTCGGGCAACGATGTCTGCGGCTTTTTCGGCGTGTGAGAACACGGAGATGAAGTGACCGGGATCCTGGAGTATAGGGGTTAATGGTTAGAAGCGGAGCAGGTGAGGAACTGACGACCGGGCAGAACAAACATGGAGCTTCTTGAAGACCTCGACCTCGCCGTGCCGCTTCAGCACTTGAAGGATGGCCCGTCGTTCCGTCAAAGTTACCGGCGCCGGCGAAACCTTGACAAGGAGAGTGCGAGCACTGACCCGCGACGCAGCGCGGACTGGTAGAGACATGATTGTCCGGCGCCGTTGCTTGGGGAAATAGCAAGCCAACTGATGCGGTTCACCTGGTAAAATGCTGCTGAAATGCCAAGCCGTGACGGATGTTCGGCTGCCAAGCGTACTGGTAATTTACACGTACATTACAGCACTGTAAGGAACTGTGGTGCGCGTCTTTGACCTCTCATTAAGCCGGGTATCGACATCTCCTCGTTCTACAACCCTTGTTCTTCTTGTCTCAAAACCGCAACAAGATTTCATCATGCCACTCACTCGATCCTCGGCCGCTTCTTCGTCTCCTCTGGCAGGGACTTCTCCCCGGCCAAGATACCAATAACTGCTTGCACATTCTCTGCGTTCCTGGCCTCGTACCATCGTTCTTTATCGATTTTGAAAACGTCTAGAGTGCAGAGACGAGGCCCAAGCGCTAGAGAGCTCGGCGTAAGTACCCATGCGAGAAGATCATTGATGGGGGGGCCCAGCTTACTAAATGAGCCTGCCGGTACAGTGGCTGTCGCTAGGGCCGGCGCAGTGACGGCGACAGTGGGGTGCCTTCGCCGAGCGCCACCTCAGTCGGCGGCCGCCTTCCATTGACGTCCGGTTCCGGTGACGGCGACACTCCGCCAATACTGACCGTACCGTTGCTGATTAGATCGGACGTGTCGGCACTGGAACCATCGGGTGAACCGCTCCTCCGCGGGCTCAGGAGTTCCGACGGCCAGCCACCAGGTGCTGACGTCCTGGGGCCATGACGAAAAACCTGGGACGGAGGTCTTGACCTCTCTCGAGAAGGCGTTGATGCTCGATGGGCCATGTCCGTGACGCTGGACAGGGCGACAAAGGAATCCGGATCTGCCGGCATTAGCAACACGAAGAAGTACTCCTCGCCTGCTTCCAGATCGTCTTCTAGTGTTCTCCTTCTGAATGGTCGCATTTATGGGGCCGGAAGGCGGGGATCTGGGAGTCGGGCAGCTCTTCGTTACAGAACCGTTGCTCGAGGTCGTTCCCATCCCGGGAAGTCATACACATCAACTTGTCGGCGCGGCTACAGCAGATGGGTTAGCGAGCACTGTAATCAGGAACGCGGGAGATAGTTTGGCAGGCTCTGTAAAACAAAACGCACCGTCCTCTGCGGTCAACAGCCTGTCCCGCAGGTGGAGGCATCGCGACGCGCTGTGACACTGGATCTCAACGCTAGTGCCGAAGTCTAGCCGGGGGTCAACCTTCCAGCTCAGGAGCAACTGGCCATTCGACCAAATTTCCTTGACGTCTAGGTTCTCCACCCGTAGATAGTTAAGCAGTCTCTGCTCCGCGCAGCTGACTTCCAGTTTTCTTCGCCACTCCGCCGTCCTAGAACCGTCTTCCACAAACACTTCGCACGGGAGCTGCTCCAGCGCGTCGGCAAAGAGCCGTTTCACGGTGTGGAAGACCGCGTCGACATCTAGCAAGTTGTCAGGGAGACCCAACTCCTCAATGGCACCGCCTATGGAGAGCCACCGCTCGTGGACCCGAAACAACCGCTCCGCTTCGGAATAGAACAGTTGGAGGTGGAGCTGACCGGCCTGGACAAACTGGATAGCTATTCCGTTTGTCTTGGAACAGGCATGCACGCAAGCGCGGAGAAGGCGGCGCACCGACTTGGCAAAGGCGGTCTCGAGTTCTGCGGCTGCAACGGGCGGTGCGGTTGTAAAGCGCCGGTGTTCCTCTTCCTCAGCGGTGCGAATCAGGTTGTGCCGGCGCAGGATGGCGCAGTACGAGTCCGCCAACTGGACACCTTCGCATCCGAGACCTTGGATGATGTGGTCAAGCCTCCGATTCTAAAAATCCCAACTCATTAGCAAAGAAGCGCCCGGCCTTGCTTGGTCGGTAAGGACAGTACCTTGTTCTTATCCTCGCTGCAATAGTACCACTTGCCTGCAAACTTGCTCCCCACGAGATACTATTTCAGCCGACGTGCCGTCTCAAATTTCATGAACCTCTTTGCCTCAGCGATATCCGCGTACTCGGGCTCTGTGGTGTTTAGCACGGCGCTCAGCTCCGAAACCAAGTCGGGCTTGGCCTCCAGCGCCTTACTCCAGATACCGAGAATGGCCCTGGCCTCTTCGTTCGCACTGGCAACCGATTGCCTCTCGCGATTGGTGTGCCCAAAAGCGAAGTTATAGCCGAACCTAAGTGGTCGGTTCGTGATGCTGGCCGACCGCGTGGGAACAGACTCGCGTAGACAAAGTCCCTTAAGATATGTGCCCACAGAGACGTGGGTCTGTAAGAAGATCGCCGTCGTCGGTCGAGACGATGGCTCCATCCCGCGCGTCTTGGAGGAACAAAGCGGCCTTCGTCCAGGCTTCGAAGTCTTTCTGCTTCACTGGGCTCCGTTTCACCTTGGCACCCCACTGATCTCGGCCCGCGTGTGTCTTCCCAATAACGAACTACACGTCGAGCTGTGGATTGCTCCCAAACGGGAGCAACGTCCTTTGGCTCAGCCGCCGGGACTGGTCTTCCGCCTATTGGATGGCCTTGGGAGACATACGGTGCAGGCGAGCAACCAGCCGACCGCGGGTGGTGAAGTTGAACTTCCAATTGAAGCCGCCGGAGCGGCATCTGAAGCCGTGATTCTGCATGCCGCGCATGAGGACTAGGAGAGCGAGCTTAAGACCCTCGCCATGGGGCCCGGCCTGTTGGTCGTCGTCGGCCTTACTCGTTCCACCGAGGTCAAGATGCCAAGGTTGCAGCGTTGCAGAGCGGTTCGTGATGTCGATGGTGCCCTCGCCGTTGCGGCCTTTGTAGCAGGATGTAGCCGAGCCATTCCTTCCTGTCGTCAGCGCCGAGGCGCGGTACTTTGTAGATTATTTCGGTGTCGCTGCCTGACGTCCTCTTTTCAGAGACGACGCAGAAGTCCCGTTCGGCGAGGCCAAAACCTTTGATGATGCCGTCTCGCCTGGATGCGCCCTGAAAGCTTAGCAAGACGGAGACAGATAAGTAGTGATAAAAGGGCCGGTTGGGAGAAATTAATGTACCAGTTCTGCACCAGCTCGCGGAAAGCTTCTCGCGGCGCCCATCTTGTGTAGTTGGCGTGGGTAGAGAAGTTGATTGTCTTGCTGTTATTGATGGAGTCGAGGGTTATCTCGGGGTCGTCGCCTTCCTCCTCCTCCTCCCCCCCCTCCCCCCCCCAAAGAGGCGGTCGTTAATGGGGATAGTTGCCATACCAGCGGGGGTAAGTTGGTTGATAGTGGTCACGTTCATTTGGGATAACTAGTCGACCACTTCACCTGGTTGAGGGGCAAACATGAATGATGCAAGAAGGAATAACTCGGCAAGGCTGTCAAGGAAAAATGTGGGGGTTGGTGATCAGGGACGGTTTAACTGCTTCTGCCAGTTAGTTACTAGGATAAGGTTGTTGCAGTGACGGGACCTGAACAGCCGAGAGCGTCGGTCCCAATGTCAAAACGGTTGCATATGCAGACATCGTTGGAGATCTGCCGGCCCAAAAAGTGAGCGTATCCAGGGGCCCGGCACTCTGCAGTCGTCACAGTGCCAACAGCATCACGCGTTTGCTAATCTCCAAGTTCGCGGACATTAGCCGAAAAGGGAATGGCTCTGCAGAGAAGCGCCGACGGTGCGACCTCACTGGATCATCCCCTGGCCCCCGATTCCCAAAGCAGCGGCGCCGGCACTTGTGGATACAGGCCCACCTCGAAGGAACGCAAATCCGACCGCTACAGAAATTCCCGCCGAACTTGCTTCCCAACAAGACAACCTCGTCATGGTTCCTACATAGGTCGCAGAAGAAAGGCTTCTTCTGCCCTTATTCAGTCAACTAAGTGGAGGTTAAACAGCGCTGGAAACCAACGCTAAATCAGCCCCCACCCTCACCTCACATTGTGTCTTCCTGTCGCGAAGAATGGAAGCTCGAGCTCGAGCTGTGGTCGCTCCGACAGGTTGGGTCGCCCAGGCTGAATCCCGTGGCTCAGGAGGGCTCCACATGCCCCGACATTGAAGGCAGCTGCTCCGAGCGCCTTCGCTGTGCAGCCAATCAGCGGCTCCGGAGGTTCGGATCTCCCGCTCATTCGACACCAAGCTCGGCCGTTCCCCGACACCTTAACCCCAGGACGGCCGCACAGTGGAGCGTACGAGGAGAGCACCAAGACGACACTTATCTCGACCGAGCCTAGGGCGTTTGGGGGGCCGCCCCTCCTGCCCGGGGCATGCTGAGGTGGTTGCTGCGTCTCTGCGATGCATCATCAGCAGGCACTGATGACAGCTGAACTTGTCTTGTCGCAATTCTGCCTTCAATCCACTCTGCCCGTCCGCACAGCTTGTTGTCAGCCTTTCCATCATTTCATGTGGCAGATGCAACCAACCAAGACAGCATCAAGCATCTAGTCAAACCGCCTTCACGTGTCGACAGTCGCACTATTGCACATGTTTCGGCCGGCTTCCCGACCTTGCCGTATTGTGCTTCATTAGACTAACCGCCAAGGCGCTGGTCTAATGTTCGTCCAACTGGTGTACTCGGTTCGACGGAGAGCATGCTACGATTGCCAAGTCACAGAGCGCACGAAGCACTGATGCCTTCATAGCCGTTGTGCTTCCCAACAATCACGACCGCCTTTTTGTACTAGGCTGTACGACTGCTACTGCATTTGCCGTCTCTCTGCGTCTGCCGGCCGCCGTTGGTCTCGGCCGGCTTTCGTCTGCCATGTATGCGCGCTTCGGCTCAGGGGCCCAGGCTGGCGCCGCAGAACGGGAATGCAGCAACACCAGTCAGGACTCTCTAGTTCCACCAAGGGGAAACGCAGACTCATCCCCAACTCCAGGAATGCAGTCTGGGGAGTACCAACGCCAACACGCTCGTGAAGGACACGATGTATTGCAAATACCAGACGCTCGGCCACCATCACCGACTAATAGGTCTCTACCCGAAACATCGAGCAGCATGTCTCCCGGGCAGACGGTGGAGAGATTGGCGTGCACGCTGAGCAAGCAATACCTGCAGCAGGGTCGTTCCACCGACGGCCAACTGCAGACGCAGCCAACACAAACACCGTCGTCACTGTGCTCGGTCGAAGGCCTGCAGAACCCCCGGTTACTCGGACTTTCAGATTGGGGCGACCGGAAAATCCGTGACCAATCGCTACAGCACTTACCAGGTGGTCGCCCTGATGACGGGCACACCATTCCTTGGCTACCGATTTCCGAGCAGGTTGTGGGTGAGCCGATCGAAGTTGACGAGGCGTACTGCGAGCCGGAGGACGACACATTATTATCGGATGCGAAGCGATCACGATGGCGACCAAGCAGCCAGCCTCGAGACAGCTCCAGCACACGACCCCTTAACCGTCGCCTGGAGGACATGATTTCAACCGGAACGCAGTGCAATGTGCGCGGCCAGCTCCGGCCAATACCAACACCGTCACGGCCAACCTCAAGATGGGTGTGCCCCCCTGAACCAGGACCGATCGAACCCGATCCGGATTGTGCCATGCCCGGGCCGGACCTAGAAGTTGACGACGCCGAGGGCGATGGGTTGTCCGCGGCCCCGGAGGACCTGTTGGCTATGATAGAAGGGGGTATTTCGCTGCGGGATGCGAGCGGCCCCGGAGGCATTAGGAAACACATGGTTGGGGGCATCGCGCTGCAGTACCGGCTGTCGGCCGATGCGGCATTACGCTGCCGGAATGTCGTGCGCAACCGACCGAGGATGCGCAAGAGACATAAGACGCGCCACGGAAGCTCGGCGGCGTCTTCGGCGGTGACATCAGCCCTGAATTCTCCGGTCATGTCATCAGCGGCCTCACCACCACTACCGTCGACACACCCTCACCCTCCGTAGCGGGGGTGTTATGCTACGACTGCACATTTACTATTTTATCTTTCCGCATTTTGTTTTGTTTTGTGGAGCGTCTTCCCTTTTATACCCAACTTCTTTCTAGCCCTGAGCATTTGCATTTGGGACTGTCGGTTTAGAAAATTATTCCCGGGAGTGCGAACCCGAAATCTGCATACAAGCCAGGTACCAGTCCGGGAATCAATGGCGCAGGGGGTTACTACATCTGTACTGCATATTTTTGGGAGTTAGGTCTGCGGTCTTGGTTTGTCAAGGTGAAGAAGAAGGGTCTTGCATGGGAAGTTACACGGGACCATAGAGCTGGGGCATCACAATGCCACAAAGTTCATGTTTTTCGCACTTCTTTTCTTTCTTACCATCTTTCTTTAACGATCTAAGATCGGAAGACAAGCAGAGGCTCTGCAACAAATGTACGGGCCAATCGCATATTAGAGTCCAAGCAACGACAATGCACCTCGTGGTTGACGACAGGGCACAGATCCCTGTGCGTCGCCCTTTTTTTGTGCGCTCTCATCAGTCCGCCGACACAGTTCGGGCCTGAATACAACAAGTGTCCAGTGTTTGTTTGTTACTAGGAACTTTCAAGGGATGAAGAAGATGTGGTGTGGCAGGGCAACCTCTGTTTTAGTATTACTGGTGAGTGGCTTAGCCTCACCTGATTTCTCTCTCTCTCCCTCTCCCTCGGTCCAGTTTTTGCCCTTCCACTTGAGCCATCCATCACATGATGGGCACAATATAGGATTAGCTCACGCGATCAAACAGTTTGGGCTTGTTTTCCTTTCGGATCATGTTTGTACACATCCCCCGTTCAAGCTAGGGAGAGAAGCAGACACAGCCAGTCAGGTTTGTGCCGGAGGAAGCCGGGGCCTCCGGGGGGTGGTTGCCACACACATTCCAGGCCCGAGAACGCCGCTCTTTGTGCACAAACAACAGTTGTCTACGGTACTCGGCCTTCACCCCTCCGCAGGGGTTCGAAGCATGACAAAGCATGCTCGGCGCTTCTTTGTCGGGTTTTGGTGTAGTTCAGCCAGGCCTGCCTGCCATCGCGTCACCGCCCGGTTCCCGGCTCACGATGGTCCGGTCGAGGGGAGGGGGGCGTGTGGGAAGACTTACACGGCGCAGGGCTAGTTACGATGAAAGTCTGGAATGAAGCAAGATCGTGTCGAAGCAACGCACCATTCCTCAACGGGCCCAAGGGTACCTGCATGAGCGAGACTTGTCTACAAATGTCTTGGATACCCCCTCTAACCCCCCCCTTCCTCTGCATTTCTTCTGTTGCTGTGGCAGGCTGAGTGGATTTGTTGACTTTCCCGCTTGGCCCCTTGACATTAGCCCGCGACTCCCCCAAGCGCACACCATCATGGCCCCTTGAAGCAACAAACACCAGCACACGTACACACATATTTTTGCCATTGCAACAGAGCTCGACGACAACACAAGCGCGGCCGCCGCATCCTACCATCACAACGACTTGTACGCCAGCAACAATGGCCGGCGTCCAGGGCACAGCTCTTACAGCTCCGCGTGGGATACCCCGCTCGGCGAACAAAGAAAAGGACAGCTTTTGCTGGCAGGACATGGCGAGCGAGGCGGGGGCGGCCGACTTCTTTGATCAGTATGTGCAGCTGGGCGACCACTCGGACGGCGAGTCTGCAGCGGGAATGGCGGACGGCGGCCTCGGCCAGTTCTGCGGTGCCTCTGATCCGACCACCTCGCCACACATGTCATTCGACGAGTTCCTGTCCGCCGGCGGAGCCCAGAGTCAGACAATGGGAGCTGTGCAGGAACATACTACCTCTACGAAACCCGGAGCGATGGCCATCAACGCCGCCAGCTCGACGACGACACCGGGAGGTCCTGACCCGCGACAGCATCAGCATCCGCATGGTCATCAGCTGCATTCTCAATACCGAGGCGCACTAAACATGAAGAACTTTACCAAGCCCGAGATCGAGGTCGACGAGGTACCCTATGGCGGCGTTACAGAAGCGCCGGGGGGAGGCTCCATTTCGGATTCGGAATTGCTGAAGCTCGAGGGCTTGACGATGCGCTCGCCGCGCATCCAGATCCCGCAGCTGTCGGCGTCGGAGCCCGCCTCTCCTCCGTCACAGTCCACCAGCCCCAGCAAGGCCAGCCGGCTGGGCGCCTTCTACGACAAGATCCGCAGCAAGGCGGCCACGCTGCACGCGAAGACGAAGCAGCGGTCGGAGATCAAACCGGATGCGGAGGCGTCGTCGCTCGCGGCTCCCATCATGTCGACGGCCCCTGGCCGGCCACGGCCCCAGAGCTTGCAGTTCTCCAAGGCTCAGCTGCCGTCTCCGCCCCTTACCAGTGGCATGCCCAATCCGGCGCAGCGACCGTTTGCCGGCAGCAGTGCTAGCGACGCGAGCTTCGTCAACGCCTTCCTGGACGACCCCTTCGTGGCAATCGGGCAGCTCAGCGGCCAGTTCGTGGCTCCGCTGCAGCTGAACGGCAGTATCATGCCCCATACGCCGCTGCGGACCCCCCTCCTGGATGGCTGGCAGCTGCCGACCGGCGCTTGCTTCCCCGGCGTCAACGGGGATGCGGCCAACATGTGGTGGCACCCGTCGGCCCCGGACGTGATGGACACCGACTTGGGGCCCCTATCCTACAACAACAACAACAACAACAACAACAACAACAACAACAACAACACCGCCAGTGCCCGCAGCGCGTCGCTCCATCTCGCCGCCGTCCAGCTGCAACAGCAGCACCAGCAGCAGAGCTTCGAGTATCCCGCGCCTCCCGACACCGAAGACGGCTTGAACTTTGCCACCAGCGGCCTGATGCTCCACATGCCGCAGCCCGGGGGCATCTCCGCGGCCGTGTTGCACCACAGCGACAACACCACCACTAACAACCACCGCCCGACGCGCGCCGACCACCACCAGCGCCATCGCCGTCCCAAACCGCGGGCTCCGTCGTCGGGCGCGCGGCACCACCAATACGCACCGGGCGTCTCCCCGCGCAAGGCACGCAGCGGCAGCACAAGCCGCATCGGGTCTGCCTCGCCGAGCCCCAAGATTGCCGGGGGTTCTTCTTCTACTCTTCTTCCCGCATCTTCTATTTCCGCATTATCCACTGGCGGGGGCGGCGGCGGCGGCGGTCGCTTGCTGCACCGGCGCAGCGCCTCCATGCAGACGCTGCACAGCCAGCCCATGCCGCCGTCGTCGTCGTCGTTGTTGCCCGTCGCGGACGGGGGCGCGGCAATCCGCAAGCGCCGCTCGTGGACCGGCCGGCGTACATCGTCGTCTTCGTCGTCGCTGCATCATCAGTATCACTCACTCGCCGTTGCGGCCGCAGCAGCAGCAGGTGGTGGCGGTGTGGTAAATTCCGCGTCGAACTCCCCTTCCTGTCGCCGCACTACTACTACCACTACCACCACTACTGGTAGTAGTAGTAGAGATGGTAACAAGGAAGGGAAACGCTCTTCCTCCTCCTCCCGCCGCACCTCCTCCTCAAACCTCGACCTCAACCCCTACGAAAAGGACAAAGAAAAAGAAAGCGACGACGGCTTCGTGAACTACACGCCGCAGGACCGCGCCCTGCTGATGACGGGCGTGGCGCCGTCGGGTTCGTCCAAGACCAAAGCGAGGCGCGAGCGCGAGGCGGCCGAGAGACAGCGCGAGTTCCGCGCGCGCCTGGCCAAGATGGTCGAGGCGGCCGGCGGGGATGTGAGGAAGCTCGAGCTGGTCGGATTGCAGCTTGGTGTTGACGTTGGGGGTTTCGCTGATGATGGGTTGCAAAGACGGCAAAATGGGGGGTTGGTGATGAATAATGGGTTGGATGGTACGACTAGTACTAGTAGTATTAATGGTCAAGGGGGAGGGGGGTCGTTGGATATGGGCGTGGGGATGGGGATGGAGATGGAGATGGAGATGGATTTGGATGATGAGAGGGAGACGGGGAGGGAGAGGGGTGGTGGTGGGAGGAGTGGGAGGAGTGGGAAGAGGAAGGAAGTCGCTGGCAGGAGGGACGGGAATGGGAATGGGAGGGGAAGGGGGGTTCGGTTGGGCGTGTAGGTCTTCTGCTTCTTCTTCTGCTTCTGTTTCTGGTTCTATTTCTGGGTAGGATGTTTGGTTTGGTTTCGTTTTCATTCCATTTTCTCCCTGGCGGTGCTGATAGGTGAGCAGCGCCCAGTGATGGTGTAAGGAGTTTTGGTGGTTTTGCCTTTTGACCGGGCCCGTTGTAATCTATCCTCTTGTACTGTCTTGTTTCTAGGGTAGGGAGCAACGCGGATGGTGTAATGACGTGAGATGAGATGATGAGAAGTGGGATAAGGGTAAGGACAAGGAGGATTTAGTGGTCGACCACGGAGCTGAGGGACTGGAGGAGAGTTCAGACGAGTCGATTACGCTCACTATAATATATTTCCGACGTGGGAGCTGTAACGGTAGTATTCTTGTTTGAGTCGTCGTCCGTGTTTAGGTTGTTGGTGTGGAGATGGGATCAAGGCAAGCATTCCTTCCCTGGCACCAGTGGACGAGTCCCCTGCGTGAAAGGCTTAACTCTTGACGTTGGGAAAGTACTCTGGTCCAAGCCCACGCCCAGTCTTTCATTGATAGGCACTGCCGGTGTCAATGTGTTGGTAGGAAAAGCAGTGCGTGTGTAATTGTATTCTTGTGCCTTATTAGTCACATTCGATCTCCGCAGACCCAATCGCTTGCAGTGACTTGCCCTCTCGTCCCCGCTGATTCCCTCCTCCAGCCTGAAAATCCAACCTGGATGCCTTGAGAAGTCCTACAATATTGGGACTTTCGAATCTGACTTGGTTAAACGTTGTTTGCACGCAAATGACATACAAAGTTCAATCATACTATAATGCGGCACTCGATCCTCTCGGAGCTCGGCCGGCGCAACCGGCACAATCTCGGCACGCTCCGGCGGGCCCCCGCCGCCGAGATCTCGGGCGCGCTCGGCGACCTGGGCACGCTGCTTCCGCTGATGATCGCGCTCGCGCTGCAGGGCTCGATCGACCTGCCGTCGACGCTGGTGTTTTCGGGGCTGTTTAATGTTGTCACGGGGGTTGTGTTTGGCATTCCGCTGCCAGTGCAGCCGATGAAGGTACGTCTTGGCCGTCTTAACCCGTCATCACAAGTCTCTTATATGTATATATCAATCTTTTTCCGTTCTTGTTCTTCTCTCCATTTTTGAATTGTTCCTTTTTTTTTCAAGAAAATAGAAAATGGAAATCACACAAAAAGCATCATACTAAGTCGACATCCCAGGCCATCGCCGCCTCGGCCCTCTCCACGCCCCTCTCCCTGCGCGAGACGACCGCCTCGGGCGCGCTAGTGTCTCTCGCCGTGCTCCTGCTCAGCGCGACCGGCCTACTTCGGCTGCTGACACGGCTCATCCCCGTGCCGGTCATCAAGGGCATCCAGCTGGGCGCGGGCCTTCGCCTGGTCGTCGCGGGCGCCACCCTCATCCTCCCACTCCCCTGGCTCCAAAACACTAACAGTAACAATCATAACCCGCTCGAAACCCGCCTCGCCGCCCTCCTTTTCTTCCTCGCCCTCCTCCTCACCCAACGCTTCCCTCGCTTCCCCTACGCCCTGCTGATCTTCCTCCTCGGCATCCTCTCTACTACTACTACCAGTAGTAGTAGTAGTACCCTCCTATCTGAATTTCGCCCCTCCCCAGGAACAGGAACAGGGACAGAAATAAAAAGAAGAATATGGACACCAACCTTCCTCCCCCGGAATTCCGCGCCCCCCCGGCATGGAGCACCGCCCTCTCGCAACTGCCACTCACAACCCTCAACTCGGTCATAGCCGTCTCGTCGCTCTCGGCCGACCTGCTGCTGCCGTCGTCTTTACTACCTGCCCCGGGTGTGACGGCCCTCGGCCTGTCGGTCGCCGCCATGAACCTGTGCGGGTGCTGGTTCGGCGCCATGCCCGTGTGCCACGGCGCGGGCGGGCTGGCGGCGCAGCACCGCTTTGGCGCGCGCAGCGGGGCTAGTGTGGTGTTGTTGGGGGTGGGGAAGATGGGGTTGGGTTTGTTTTTTTCTGGTGGTAGTGATTCTGATTCTGACTCTGGTGGGAATGGTGGTGTGGTGGTGGAGTTTCTGCGGCGATTCCCCGCGGCTGTGTTGGGGGTCATGGTTATCGCGGCTGGGCTGGAACTGGGGAAGGTCGGGGCTGGGTTGAATAATGCCGGCGCGGCGGATTTGTTGTGGGAGGATAGTGTTCGGGAAGAAGAAGAGAAGAAGAAGAAGAAGAAGGCGGGGCTGGTGGTGGTGGTAATGGAAGGAGGTACGGGGAGGTCGGTGTGCGGGAGCAGCAGGAGCGGTGGATGGTCATGATGATTACTGCGGCGGGGACGCTGGCGTTCAAGAGTGATGCCGTTGGCTTCGTGGCCGGGTGCTGCTGCCATGGCGCGTATCGCGTGGCCGATCGAGTCGAGAGGAGGTGGGCCGAGGCGGAGAGCGAGCGCAGGCCGTTGTTGTGGTCGTAAAATAAATAGGTATAGTAGTTTTCCAATTCCATCCGGGATAAGAAGAAGCTGATGCCTATAGTACCACTTCGAACTGTGTGAAGGATAATATCACGGTATACTATAATATGCTGGTGATCACCGCCCTCTCCTTGGCCTCTCCGTCTTCTACCACCCCTTTACACAAACTTCCGAGAGGCATCAACACGCCGCGTTTTGCGCCGTCTCCCAAACCGGGCAAAGAACCCTCCTCCTCCCATCTTCGTCCCCTTCTTCTTCTTCTCCTTCAGCCCCCACTTCTTCCGTTCCTTCCGTTCCCTCTTCTCCCTCTTCTTTCTTTCCTTCTCCTCCATCTTCTCCCTCTTCCTCCTCTCCTTCTCCTCCCTCTTACCCATCTTACCACCCACCCCACCACCACCCCATTTCTTCTTCTTCTTCTTCTTCTCCTCCTCCTCCTCCTCCTTCCCATCATACTCCCCCTGAGGAAGAGAACCACCACCACCACCACCCGCCGCCCTAACCTTCTTCAGCAACCAATAATTATACAGCAAAAACAGCACCATCGCGACCCCCAACACCCCGCCCTCAATGATCGCCACAACCGTCGCCTGCGCGCTCCACTCCCCGCCCTGCTGGGCATACACGGCCGCGAGCGTCGCCAACAGCCCCGCCGCCGCGTCCAGGATCAGCGGCATGTACAGCTTGTTGAGCAGCCACACGTGGTTGCGCCGCCAGCGTAGCGCGAGCCACGCGGCCCCGAAGCCGCCCGCCACGACGCACACGAAGCCGACCGCCAGCGCGGCCGTGTTGGCCGGCGTCAGCGCCAGCTTCTTTCCCCCCTGCACCGGTACCTGGACGCTTTGGGGGGTTTCGCCCTTGGAGGAGGAGCTGGTGAAGGAACCGGGCAGGACGACGAAGCCTACTAGCAGGAGCCACACGAATACGAGGACGAGGATGTTGTGCCGGCGCGGGATCTTGTCGAGCGAGAGGAGCATGTGCGTGTAGGGCATGGGTGGTGGGGGCGGCGCGCCGGCTTCGCCGCTGTAGTACGGATATTCGCCGCCGCCGGGGCCTTTCTCCAGGTCTGGGGTTTGGCCGCTCGCTGGTTTGGTGGTGGTGGAGGTGAGGCCCGTGTTCTGTCGCTGGAAGGGGTTCGGAGGGCGTGAAGAACTTGTGGCAGTGGCTGAGCTACCTGCTGTGTTCTTCAACATGTTGGAGTCTGTCGAGTTGGAATGGCCGTGGTTGGGCCCCGGATGGGTAAGTCCCCCGGGGGGGCTGGCAACCCGAGGAGGAAGCGCGTTCGAGGAGGAGCTCATCTGTCGTGACGGCTCACCATTCTTACCATTTGGCGGGCGGAAGGGCACAAAGGGTGCCGTATCTTGTTTCTGCGGCGGGGCGTGCGCCATACTAGGCCTGTACACGGATGCTCGGTAGCCGGACTGTTGGCCGGGCTGCTGCTCTGAAGGGTTTGGAGGCGATGACCGCAGGGGATTCATGTAGGTTGTGTTCCCCGGTGGTGAGAGAGTACTTGGCGGTGACAACTGCAGGGGGTGTGCGCCAGGAGGCACGCCCGTCTGTATCGGCCGTTTTGAGGGCGGCGATCGCAGCGGGTCTTTGCCGGCCGGCTTTGCAGACTGCAAGGAAGGGTTCGGCGGGGATGAGCGCAGCGGATTCATGTATGCCGTATTTGCTGGCTGCGAGGGAGCATTTGGTGGCGATGACTGTAATGGGTTCAGAGCGGGACGCAGTGAACTCGGGGTTTCTGTTGGCAGTGGCTTCGAGGGCAGGGAACCGGGGGGCACGCCCGTTTGTGTCGGCATTTTCGGGGGCACCGAGCCAGGAGGATTGCCCGTTTCGACCGGTGCTTTGGGAGGCAACAAGCCAGGAGGCACACCCGCTTCCATCGGCGCTTTCGGGGGTATCGTGCCAGGGAGTTCTCCCATCTGTGTTGGCACTTTCGGGGGTAACGAGCCAGGAGCTTTGCCTGTTTCTACCGGCGTCTTGGGAGGAAGCAAGCCGGGGGGTGCTGTGCCCGTCTCTGTCGGTGCTTTGGGAGGCTGCAACCCAGGCGGTTTGCCCGTTTCCACCGGCGCTCTGGGAGGAAGGGAGCCCGGGAGCTCTACCGGAGGTGGCGTTCCGAAGGGGTTCACTGGCTTCCGAGCAATCAGCCCGGAGCCGCCGTTCGGCTTCTGCGATTGCTGAGTCGCCCCAATACCGGATCGGTTGTGTTCGGCGGGCCCCGATGGAGGTAGAACGGTGGCCAGTCCGCCCTTCTGGTCCACCTTCGGCTCCGTAGAAGTCTGTGATGATGCACCTGGAGGAGGCGCGCCCGTCTTCTGTGGCCCTCTGGACGGCGAGTCATCGAACCGCAGAGGCACCAGGAACCCTCGATCCGTGTCTGGTCCCGTTGGTTTCTTCTGTGGCGGTACACCTGCAGCGCCACCCGCCTTCTGCGGAGTTTTGGGGGCCGGGTTCCCGAGCCGCAAGGGCGCCGGAAACCCCTGATCTGGTGGCAAGCTGTCGCCTGAGCCCTTCTTGAGGGGTGACTTTGGATCTGGCAGCGGGAACGATGGTGCAGGGCCCGGTCGCTCTGGTACCAAGCCCGCCCCTTTCCCCTGCGCTGCCTGCGCTGCCTGCCCTTGACGCTCTGCACCTGGGCGCGACGTAGCGGGGAGAGGCTGCCCGGCGCCGGAGGGAATGGGAAATGACGGACCTGAGCGGGCGGTACCTGATAGAGGCGGCATAGCACCCGCCGGCCCTGTGCGGGGCGGCTCCGGCATTGGCGGCTGCTTGGAAGAGGAGGCGGACGGGGTGTGGTCGGGTATAGCAGATACGGACCCCGATGGTCCTGCACCGAGTGGCTTGGGAGGTGGTGGTTCTGGATGGGTTGGCGAGTCTTTGTTGCGCTTGGCAAAAAGAGGTCTCGGAAGAGAGAAGCTTGGAACAGCTTGTCTTGGTTGAGATGTTGTTGTTGTCGTTGTTGTTGTTGCGATCGGAGGAGGCACCTTACCCGTGGGCTTGGTTTGTTTTGAATCTAGAGCTGCCGGCTCCAGAACGGGGATCTCGCCCTTTGACGGTTGCAGCGGTTGCTGTGCACGTCCCGGGGCATTCGGGCGGGCGTTTCCTGGCCCAGAAGGCAGTCCCTTCGATTTCGATGGTGGCTGCGCTTCAGTTCCCATCCCCGTCTGAGGTCCAGTCTTCTCTAACGAAGATGGTGCTTCTTCTGCTTGCTTGTCCTTCTTCCCAGCGAGCGGTGCTGTTTCCGTCGCCACGGGCTTTCGCGGTAATGGCCATGCTGATTCAGGGGAGGGCTGCGCGTTATCAGGCACCGGCGCCTTACTTCCGCCATTGCCACGCCTGGGACGTCCCCTTGAACGTTTGGGCGCGGAAGGCATGGTGCATGGACTTGTTGCTGCGGCAAACACGGCACCAGCAGATGGTAGTCACTTCGTCTCCTAGGCAGTGAGTAGACGCGGGAATATAGTCCCAACCAGTCGGTCCTGCGAGACGGTTAGGACATGAGAAGCGAACCAAGCCAAGAGAGGTTCCAGAAGCGAAGCACAAGGGGAAAGCGGCCCCCATGCCGCATATATTGCACACTGAGATGGATTTGGATCTTCGAATATCCCTGCGTCACCGAAACAGAACGCCGGCCCACGAGGGGGCTGTTCCGCTGTTTTATGCAGCCACATTCGAGACCCGGCCGGAAACATCTCCCCTCTGGTTACGAGGCATGTCATAGACGAGTATACACTGTTGAGCCACTCGGATTGTCACAGAAAGGTCGAGCCCGCATAGCCTCGGCAGACTAAGCAGGCTCGTAAAATAATACGCGAGATGGCTCGTGGTGGTGGTAGGTTGCGACAAGCGGCCAATGGGCGTTTTGTTGGGCCGGCCCCGAAACACCAGGGACCGTGTTTTCAAAGGCGGCACGGAGGAGCCGAGTCAGCGTTGAGGCCCGCTTTTAGGGCCGGGCCCGGGCCGGGGCTCGGTCAGCGCGGCCTGGCTTCGAAACATTGACTGCCAAGAACCGTAACAGGCCCGTTCAAGACTTCAGGTTTCGCTGCAGAGACCTCCGTAATATATGAGAAACCACGGCTCTTTGGGACTTTGCAGGAGATTGGAACGTCAATTTTAATGAGAGTGCGGTGCCGTGAAAGGAAAATGGATGTTACTAGAGTTGCATTGGTGAGACTACAGAAACCACGTTGCGGTTACTTACCGGGAGTGCCAAGTGGTCTTATGGCTCTGCCATTTTGTACGGTAGGTCCAAGTGTTATTGTTGGTTTGCCGTTTGGCGTAGTTGCAAGTGAGAACGAACTGATCCGGGTGCATGTTCGCCAGCGAGGAGCAGCAATCAGCTGCGCTCAATCGGTGGTCATTCCACTTGTGCGCCGCCAGAGGCTGTATGCGGATACACTCCCCCACCAACCGATCGCCGTATTCCTCGAGATATTCCCAGTCTGCCAGAGCAGGCACCCGGCTCTGCAGGTCCTGGATATCCGCAGGCACGTAGCCGTCGGTCGCCAATTCTTTCGCGATGGCATGCTGCAACCGAGTCTGCATGAAGACCGAGGGCGGCAAGAAGCACATCGCCTCCTTGCCCAAGATATTCTCGACGGCGGCAATTCGGCTGGCACACGCGTGCAACTACTGCAGAATGAACCATGCCTTGGTGTGCCTCAGCAGCACTTGCGCAGGGACTGTTTTTGAGGGGGCATCTCTGGGAGGATACCCAACGGCAAATTGCAGGCGTTGGAGCAATGCTGGCTGGAATATGAAGCACGTTGGTCTCAGGTGTTGATGTGTAGTCTACGGTACCTATGTAGTATGCCAGTGTAGTACGTACAGTACCTGAGAGTACAGTACATACCTATAGTACCAACCACTGCGCCAGTAAGATGGAGAGCCGCAACACATGCAATGATGAGCAGGCGAAGATCTCAAACTTGGGGAATGTGGAGACGCCGGAGCTATTGCAGCCAATGACGGAGCGTGGACTGACGGGCGGTCAAAATTTAGGCCCCATGCGCCAATCGTTTTGCCAGGCGCTCTAACTTATCTAGCACCCGAGACTCTCGCCTCGTCCGAAGGTCGAAAGACTCAAGCGTCCGTAACGCACGCACTGCGAGTCCTTGCTCGACTTGCCGCAGCTTGACGAAGGAGCTTGGCTTGCGCTACAAGCGATGACTTCGTCCGTGCTAGACGGCGCTGGCTGCGAGTCGCCGGCGCCGCCCGCGTTTTCTCCGCTCACGGACCCTGCACCGGACTTTACACCGAAAGCCAATCGCGCTGAGCCTCCAGTGCCTGTCAATGACAACATGACTCTTGACGATGCATCCGCTGCTGCTGCCAATCCAGCGCCTTCCGCTAATGCTGCCGAAACCCGCAAACCTAACGGAAACTCACAGACCGTTCCTTCCCCACCACAAGACACCCCAACCAAGACAGAACAGCCCGAGAGTCAGCAGAGTCAGCAGAGTCAACAGAGTCAACAGACTGCGAATCCCCTGGGTGACGCTATGGACCTTGACACGACTATGGGCGCCGCGATGGACTTTTCCGCGGCCCCTGGCTTCGACCTCTACTCGCAGCATCCCTCCCAGCTCCTCATGGCCCTTGCTCGCCTGTCCGCGGCGGCTCAGCCTCAGAACCTGATGCCGCTGCCTTCGTCGACAGTGCGCCCTTCCCAGGTTTCACTGTCCCATGGCATGCTCGACACCTCCGACGCTCTCCTACCAGCCGGACCCAACGGCGCCAACAGCACCCCTCCCGTCGACGCTCCGCTCGAGTCCTTCGCCAGGATTGAATTTGCCGACAGCGTCTTCCAGATGACCACATATGCCGTCATCATTGGACGTGACCAGCGGGCGTTGGATCAGGCCAGAAGGGACGAGCGACGGCTCGAGGAGTACCAGCGGAAAGTGCGGGAGAATGAGCAATTGGGCCTACCCGCCCCATCGCCCCCGACCCAAGATCGCGGCAAGTTCAGCAAGTCGTACGTCAGCGAGGAGGGCGGCATGCTCGGCCCCGAGTCGGATGGCGATGAGAATCCCCGTCCGACCAAGAGGAGGAAGACTAGCGGCGGCGCAGGGTCTGCTTCCGGGGATTCCCACCAACTAGAGGTCGCAGCGGGCGACCAGGTCGGCCAAGAGGACAAGAACCCGACCCTCAACCGGCAGTACGTCTCGCATACCCCAGGAGCGGCCGCTGTTAATCTCAGCGCTCTCCGACCCTCTCCGTACTACGTCCCCTTCATCGGCATCCACTCTCCCGGACCGAATATCGCCAGCAGAACAAAGGCTATCTCCAGAGAACATCTTAAGATCCAGTTCAACCAGAAGGAGGGCGTCTTCGAAGCGATCCCGCTGCACAAAAACGGCTTCTTTTGCGAGGATGTCCACTACAAAGACAGCAAGGTGGTGCTGCGGAGCGGCGATCGCCTGCAAATCAAGGACGTTGATTTTGTCTTCATCATCAACGGCGTCCCGCGCGGCAAGACCGGCGCCGAAGAGGGCATCGATGGAGATGGCGTGTCCAACAGACGGTACTCAGAAGGAGGCAAGGAGATGAGCTTTGACTTTGAGAGCGCGCACAATCCCGAGAGACGGAGTACGAGCCCTGAAGACCACGCAGTCGAAGCTGCAAAGGAGGACAGCGACAGTGAACTCTCGGAGCCAGCTGAGGATATCGCCGAGCCTGAGCCGGAAGAGACGCCGGAACAGGAGGTCATGGAGACGATCGAAAAGGATGCTGAAGCGCCCCGGCAGCCACCGATCAAAACAGAGATACCGCCCGAGCTGTTTGACTTGATCGGAGGCATACCACAGAGGAAGCGTGGCCCAGGCCGTCCGCCAAAGAATGGAATCATGTCCAAGAGGGAGGAGAGGCTGCTCAGGAAAGCTGCAATGGAGCGCCAAAAGAAGGACATGCCACAGCCACCGCCCGGCGAGCCGCCCGTCAAGAGGAAGGTTGGTCGACCACGCAAACACCCGCTCCCCGAAGACGGGGCAGACAGGCCTGAGAAGCGCAAGTACAAGCCGCGGAAGCCAAAGGATGGCGCAGAGGGCGAAGGCTCAGATGGCGAAAGGGCGATCAAAGAGAGGCGGCGCGAGAAACCAAAGACACCACCGCTGGAGCTAAACAGGGAAGATTACACGGAGGAACAGCTGCAGAAGCCGCTCAAGAACTATGGGATGCTGATTGACGAGGTCTTGTCTGCTGCGCCTGACGGTTTAACCTTAAAGCAGATTTACAAGCGGATCCAGATGAAGTATCCGTTCTTTTATTTCACCGTCGACACTAAGGGCTGGGAGAGTAGCGTTCGACATAACCTCATCGGCAACGACGCGTTCAAGAAGAACGAGGAGACACATCTGTGGAGCCGTGTCCCCGGTATCGACATCGACGCCGGGAAGAAGCGCAAGGCCGCGTCGCCAGATCGCTCCCCGTCTCTGCACACCTTTGGCCAGCCTTATTCTGCGTCCTCCGGTTCGAACACGCGCGTGTTTCAAGCAGAAGGGTCGCAGCCAGGCTACCGTCCCGCTTCTGGGCCCCAGCGTCCCGCATATCCGCCTGGCCAAGGTGCGCCTGGGCAGCATCCACAAGCGCATCCCGGCGCTCAACCCGTCGCTGCCTCCACCCCCCAGCCTCCTCGCCAAACCGGGGCCGCGCCGACGGCGGGATATGCGGACCCGACCGCAGCACGTACGCCGCAGGGAATCCCGCAGATCACGGCGTACTCCTCCCCTTACGCGTCGAGACCTCCTCCGGTCGCTGGCATGCAGCCTGGTGGTCCTCCTCGGGGTCCGGCGGGGCAAGGTGCCCCGCCCAACAACATGGCGAGCCCGGTGCATGGCGTACCCGCTGTCTCAGGCCCATCCGCGCCGGCGGCGACGCCGGGATCTGTCGGAGCGCGTCCGGCGCAGCCCGCTGTCAACGGCAACGCGCTCGCCCTGAAGCCAGCCGTCGCGCCGGAACTGGCCAAGCACGTAGTCAACTTCAAGACGACGGTCACGAAGGAGTTGTCAAAGCGAACGCCGGCCGCCGAAGCCATTGCCATGTCGGTCATCAACCGCGGTCTCGGGCTGGCAACGGAAAGCACGGTGCCGGAGCAAGAGACGCTCGAGAAGGTCGTGTTCAACGTGTTCAAGCAAAGCCGGGAGAAGTTGGGGGCTAATGACTCCCTGCACCCGGGCCTGTTGGAGGCTCTCGTGAAGTTCAAGAATAGTATGATTGAAACGCTAGAGCCGAGAATGGGCAGGCTGAATGCGGAGCGCTTGATCTTGTCGGCTGTGGACCGCGAGTTGGGTTTCGCGGACACGAGCACGATCCCGGGCTCCGAGTCGGATAGGAAGCAGTATGAAGAGGCGGAAACCGTGTTGATGAAGGCTATCAAGGGGGTCATCGTTAGCCATCAAAAAGCGCAGGCTGGCGCGCCGTCTATCTCGGCGCCTCAGCCCGCTCCTCGATCGGGTTCTGCAGCGCCTGCTCAGGCGGTTCCGGGCTCTGTGCCTATGTCTGCTAGGGGGCATGCGACTGTTCCTAGTCCTGCTGTGGCGGCCACACCTTCCGCAGTGGTGTCTTCGATTCCAGGGACCGTCCCGGCACAGCAAGCTCCTGCTTCTACTTCCCCTGCCACGCCCGCTCCGACGACCAAGCCGGTTGCAACGACTGCGCCGATGCAGCAGGTTAACCGTCCAGCTACGACTCCCACGCAGCTCGCTTCACAACCTTCAGCTGCCCCAGCATCCCAACCCCAACCCCAGGCTCCTGTTTTGGGCACGGTCCACACTACCGCGCAGCCTGCGGTCCTATCGCCCGGCTCGACCGCGCCGGTGATCCCGGCTAAAGTTGCAGCTCCGGCTCAGTCTTCGAGTCAAGTTCAGCCTGCGGCTGGAAGTCAACCGCTTCCTGGTCTTGCGCCTCAGGGTCATTCAGCTCCCACGGTTGCCGCTTCCGTGCCAGTTGTGCCAAAAGCGCGGGGTCCGGTCTCTAGTCTGGCCAAACCTCATTCTCAGAGTCAAGAAGTCGCACCCACCAAGCCGCAGGCACCGAGTCAAGGTTTCGCTCCGGCGTCATCCCAAGGGCCCAGCCAGCCACCTAATGTGGCATCTCCTTTGACCAAGACACTCGATCAGACTGCTGCTCCTATCTCAGTTCCGAGCACCGTTGCAACCCCGGCGTCGTCCCAGGGGCCCGGCCAGCCACCTGAGATCGCCTCTGTTCCGGCTGAGGGTCCCAAACATGCCTCTGCCTCCGTCCCGGCTCCGGGCACTGCAGCCCCTGGCGCAACCGCGCCACAACCACAGAGCGCTCCGCCGTCCTCCGTATCACCTCGGGTACCTGCTCAGAGTGCGGCCCAGGATGGTCCTGTCAAGCCTCCCGCGCCGACCGCTTCTACTTTCCAAGAGACAGCTTCATTCGCTACATCTCCTCCCTCTCAGGCGCCAGTCCAGACACCAGCTCGGAGTACTGTTCCGGCGGCGGCGCCGATTTCGAAACTCGCTCCATTGCAGACACAAGCTGATACAAACACTGTATCCCCTACGTCCCAACCGGCCGGCCAGATCCTATCTCAGCCTGCTGTTGCTTCAGCTGTAGCTTCTACTCAGACTGCGTCCCAGGCACAGAAACCCAACATTGCTTCCGTCGCGTCTGAGGGGTCAGGTCCTGTCGCACCGGTGGCCGACATGACAACCACTGTCATCACTACTACTACAGCTAGTACTGCTGCTACTACTACTGTGGCGCCGGCTACCGCTGCTTCTGGCGCGAACCCGGCCCCAGCCCCGTCTCCGGCGAAGGCGGCCACACTTGCTCAGTAACTCTAACTACCTATATGGTCATTTTGTGTGGAGATCCAACGGGATGTTGGCACTCCAACTGTGCGGGGGTTGCATTGCTAGGCAAAGGGAAGTTGGTATCTTATGGTGCCATGGTGCCACTTGTGGAATTGGAATCTCGAGGGTGCTTTTACGAAAATGATAAAGGCCCGCCCGCATCTGAGTTATTATAGGTAACGAGAGGGTAACAACAATATAGTATCAGTATATTGTGAAGTACTCAAGTATATGTGAAGTGTCTTGTCCATGGTTGTGGTGTTCTGTTTGATGTCTGTGTTTGCACTCCCTCGCTCTATGAGGCCGCGTCTTCCTCCTCTCAGCCTTGTCATCTCTGGTCATTTTCAACGGATACACGTGCCTGCCTTCCCTGTCACAGAATGCGATGCATGTCCAAAGTCCCGGGAATACGTACCATCCTACTCACACTACGGGCTGGATTATATACGGCTCGGTGAAGGAATCGGGGGTTCCATCCCGCCTACCCGCTCTTCGTAGGGTTGCAGGCCCCCCTGAATCGGCCGGCCGGCCAATCACGACCGGCCCCAGGCACATGTGCACGCGACAGCGGCAAGCCGCCAACACCGCTAACGATGTCTTGCAGCTGAGCACCTACCCTTATACAGGACATTCAGTATGGACTACACCATCAAGGCAGCTGGGCCATGGGCATCCACGTGCGACTTCGGGACGTGGGAAATGCGCAGTAGGATGGGATGTACTTGTATATGGATAAATATATATATATATATATATGGCGCAATGGGCTCTGTTTACGGCCCCGGTCCGGGTCCGGTCTCAGAGGTCTCCTTGAAGTTCATACCTAAGGTACGGTAGGTAAGTAGGTAGCAAGAATGGTGTCCCTCAAGCAGCTCGTGGCCCTGGGCATCTTCTCCAGCGCCACCCCCGCCGCCGCGGCCTCCTCCTCCAAGCAGCCGCCGGTGGCTTCCGTTTCATGCAATGGGCAGTCCTACACCTACCACGGCCTAGCAGGCTTCGGGTCTGTTCCGTCCGACGCGCGCGACCAGTACGGCGACACCATCTCCCTCGGATCGTCCATGACCATCAAGAACTGGGCGAGATTGAACCCCGGCAACAAGAGCAAGAACAAGAACGAGAAACACAAGGACAACACGTACACGTACACGGGCACGCTATACGGCCTGCCCGATCGAGGATGGAACACCAACGGCACGCAGAACACAATCCCCCGCCTGCACGTCTTCGATATCACTTTCACTGTGGCGGCCGATGATGGTGGTGGTCCCACGGTGGCCAACCCGTCCAAGCCGAACCTGCGGTTCGCTTACAACCGCACCATCCTCCTCTCCGGGCCCGACGGCAAGCCCATGACGGGGCTGGACCCGGATTTCACGGGCGGGTTGTCCTACGCCGGCACCGGCGGGTTTACGACCCTGCTGCCGGCCGCGGCCTATCCCGGGGATGGCTTCGGCGGTAGTGGTGGTTCCGGGGACAAGCGCATCGCGCTGGACGCTGAGGGTCTGGTGGTGTTGGACGACGGGTCATTTTTCATCAGCGACGAGTACGGGCCGTTTGTGTACAAGTTTGATAAGGACGGGCGGATGGTGGCCGCCGTGCAGCCGCCCGACGCGATCCTCCCCGTTCGTCGGGGCGAGATCAGTTTTAACTCGGACACGCCGCCCATCTACGACCCGGCGCAGGTCCCGGACCCGGCGGACCCGGAGCATGGACGGCAGAATAACCAGGGTTTTGAAGGGTTGACTATGAATGCGGATGGGAAGGCGCTGTGGGTCATGCTGCAGAGCGCCGCGCAGCAGGAGGGCGGGGCCGGGTCGGCCTCGAGGAGGAATGCCCGGCTTTTGAAGTACGCTGTTGACCCCAAGAAGAAGAAGAATTGGAACGGGAACGGGAACGGGAACGGGAACGGGAACGGGAACGGGATTATTATGGAGTACGAGGCCGAGTATGTCGTGCCGCTGCCGACGTACACCAACGCCAAGGGTAAGACGCGCGTGGCCGCGCAGTCCGAGATCCTCTACGTGTCCGACACCCAGTTCCTGGTGCTCCCGCGCGACTCGGGCGCCGGCAGGGGCCAGGACGATCCGCTGTCGCGGTATCGCCATGTGGATGTGGTGGATATCTCCGGGGCGACGGATATCAGGGGGGCTAGGTTTGATGATATCCGCGATGGGAATCTGACTGCTGGCGAGGAATCTGATGAGCTTGTGGAGGGCGTACGGCCGGCCACGCTGTGTCCCTTCCTCGACTACAACGTCAACGCGGAGCTGAATAAATTCACGACGGAGAACGGCGACGTCGTGCACAACGGGGCGCCCGTCGATCTGGGCCTGCTCAACGAGAAGTGGGAGGCGCTTGCCCTCGTGCCTGTCAACCCGGCCGGCCAGGGCAAGAAGAAGGATTGCAAGGATGAGTACTATTTGTTTACGCTCTCGGACAACGATTTTGTTACAAATAATGGTATGTGTCGAATTCCCTCCCCGCCTTGTGTCCTTGCTAGTTGGGGGTTAGACTGTTATTTAGAGTGTGGCTCGCTGACCTTAGAAAAATAACCTGTCTCGTTGTTGTAGGGTACATCAACTTTGGTAAGATCCAGTATGTGGACGACTCGGCGACCGTGCCCTTCTTGGATAGCCAGGCGCTGGTCTTCAAGGTCACGCTGCCCAAGGGGAGCAGACCGTTTGTTGGATGAGGGTGCGTCAGCGGTGGCTTTTCTCTGGTTGATGGCATCTGTTGCAGACAAGTAGAGGAGAGTGTGAGTACCAGTGTTAGTAGTACTAATATAGTGGCTTATTGTTCCAAGTTGTAATCAGTCTCACCAGCGAGGGGCCCCAGCCCCCTTACTTAACGCTGTGGACATCGTCGGAAGAAGAGTTCGTTTTCGCTGACTCCCATGTACTAGTATGTAATAGTAAGTTTTCCCAAGACTCAAGCCTCATCATGCACATAATAAGGGCCCTTCTGAGTCCCTCAACAACTACACCATGTCCCCCGCCGCGCTCCCTACCATCCTACTGTATACCACTGCCCTTATTACTCGCCCTACGCGGGAATCACCCTCACGCAATGTGCCACAAACCTTCACTCTCATCCATCATCACCCTCCCAAACTAGCAGGAATAATCTCCCCTCCGTGCGGCTGGCCGCGGCACAGATGAGAACACACAGTCTTTCCCCGCGGGCGCACCCATTGCGACCGTGCGTGGGATTGAGCGGTTCTAGGCAGAAGTGTGCGCGGCCGAAGGGGAGGGGTGGGAGATGACTCAGCTGAGGGGTTGTTAGAGGGGAGGAGGAGAAGGGCAGCAGGATGCCAGTGATTGATATGGGTGGTGGGGAATTCTCCTGCGGCGGGAAGGGCAGGAGATGGGAAGATGGGGGGAATTGCGAGATGCCCGGAGGTGGGAGACGGGAAATGCGGATGTAACGGAGCAGTTTTGCTAGTGTAGGACTGTAGTTTAGTACTAGTAGGTATACCGGCTTAATAATTAGTAAGAAGGGGGTATGGTGGGTGAAGCTTTGACCTACGGACCCGAGGGTTGAGCATCGAGATCGAGGGGAAGCCTTGGAGGAGGTGGTGCGCCCCGGGTTGGCACCAGCTAGTTAACGTCCGGGAGGGAGAGATATGCCACCTTGTCTTGTACACGGCCCTGAAGCTTCACACACAGCACATACACTACCCGCGATTGTGCAACGCTCTGTTTATTAGGTTCCTGTCCTTGGCACGGTGTCTACAGTATACGCTGGTAGTTGGTGTTGCGCGACGATCGTACAAGCTTTTGCAAATTACGTCGGCGGCTCTGCTCCAAGGAACATGGGCCTTGCGCCGGATCTGTGCCGCAAGATTCCACAAGATCTGCCCTTCCACGTTTTGGGAGTTGGGAGCACTGCCTCCCAGAGACCGGGACGGGCGGCTTGGTAACCGGATGCAGTATGCGACCCTACAGTAATAACCTACACGCGAAGACTGCGGGGTGTCTTCTGTCCTGTACTGTATCCGTGTACGGAATACGTAGGTACTCTCCACAGTGCGGAGTGAAAGCTGTTTTGTTAAGGAATCCCATCACCGAGTCTCGCGAGCACAGCAGAACTCAACATTGGTTGTGTTGTTGTACGCAATATCTATACACTAGTAGGCGCGCCAATTCTGCAACTCCAACGACCACAGGGCAGGTGCAATTGTAACCGTCTCAATAATAAACTCGGGGAGCCGGTCAGCTTTCCAATTTTGGCTCCCCACACCGTTGACAAGAATCCAAGCGTGGTTGGCCCGCATCTGCAGATGAAATGGCCCGGCCTGCATGAGCAAAGAAGCGAGCCGAGCCGGGAGTTCAACCCGAGGCGAATCCTTTGTTGACAAGCAAAAGGACATGGCAGTAGCCCTGGAAACACCTGCAACCGATCGAAACGAACCAAGTTTTGGTCTGGGTTATCTTTTTGAAGTTCAAGTTTGCCCTGCGGCAGCGGCTACACGTAAGCACTTGCAAGTCTATCAAACCTGGAAGCTTCCCGCTTGTCACTTGCCGACCTCGACAAAGTCGAAAACCCAGGCGCCCGTTGAGCCAAGTGAGGAGCCGTCCGTTGCCCTCGAAACCGCGCCAGGGCTAGTCAGTCATAAGGCCATATCTTCTTCGATGAATCGAGACAACCTGGAAATGCCCTCTTGAATTGTTGCACAATATGGCTACGGCAGGGTGCGAGGATATCCGTCATGTACTGTAAGCACTTGGCACATTCTTAGCGTACCGGTAGCCGTACGCCAAATCGTGGCTCTGATGATCCATTCAACCAATTCAAATCATTCACAGAAAGAGAAGTCGTCCATTTCCAACACGAATGGTGTACGAAGTACTACTGTGTATAAAAGTACCTAGGTACTGTACTTGTCACCGCGGAATTTTTAGAGTATGTAGCACCAGAGATTTGGGTTGAGACAACTTGGTGGGAGGATCCACCCCACAGTATGAAAACCGTTAAGCTTACATGATGCCCGTCGGAGACAGAACGGCCTGCCATTAGGTACCCCCCGGTATCCCCGGTTACGTCATCGCTGGAAGAAATCACACCCGCGCCGCATTGGCCAAGTCCTGAACAATCGCTTGGAGGGAATGGATGCAATGGCGATCTTTACATCTATGGTACTGTAGATCACGGATACCTGATTGCTCGCTCTATCTGATTTCTTCGTGATTTGCGTCCGCTCTGTCAAATTAATATATTATACTAAGAGAGAGAGCAGAAGTTGTTGATGTTTGCAGGGGTGCCAGGCGGGTGTGTACACTAATGCAACTGTCCGGGGCTCCGGTGGAAATGGAAAAGCGCCGGAAAAGGGCGCTTTTTGTCGAGTTGCACAGTGCGTGTGGGCGTTGCTGAACGGTGGGATAATGCGCTTAGCTTCGAATTAACATGATTGGTTCAGGTGCTGGATAGCAATTTGGTACACTACCTTGGTGTATGAAATCCGCCCATCAACACGGTATTGTTCAGCAGCGAATGGTTCATATATCCGGCAGCCGTGGGATGGGTTGCCCTTTTGCTTTTACATACTAGTAGTCTGTAAGACAGGATTTGCAGAGACCAATCCTCTTCATGTTAGAATCGACCCGAGCTGTCCCTCAACTGCACCCTGGTCGTGTGAGGAACAGCTTTTATAGCCGGAATAGCGCGCATGCATATCTGGTTCGATATTGGTAAAAGATTGAGGGCATCGCCAGCCATCATTGTCACTAAACGTAGCCGTCAAGGGATGCATGTACATAAAGAATCTGTTGATACTGATTTCGAGTGTCGGATGCAAGACCAAAGACTCATACTTCCTGCTGATGGTGGCCTGGTGGCCTCGTTGTGAGAGAACTTCCCCCTTTTCGGGAGCCGTTGCGGGACACGCATGCCCAGGAAATCTCGCACAGTACTGCGCACGGTGTGGACCCACAAGGTCCTTTCGAGGTGGTGATCAGGACAGGCGATTGGTGTAGGGAGAATGGAAACACGGCGTGCTTAGGCCTCTGGTGGTTTGTCGAGAGCATCTCGCGCTCTTGCGCTGGTACTCCGTGCAGGCTCAGGAGTCGAGTCGAGGCGAGACGATCTCAGGCGATATAACTACCGCGGAATGAGGAGCGAGTCTTCTGAAGATGACTTGCTTTGTAATTGGCGTCTGCCCTATGTACGCAGTACTAGTACCGTATGTACTGTACATCAACCCACAAACAACCCGATGGATCGAGCCTGGGCTGGCTGCTATTGACGCACGGACCAGGGTCCCACTGGGGCGACTCCATTACTTTTCATTCGACTTGCGCCATTCCCTTCCCAACGTCATACACTGACGTCGCTCCCCCGTTCTCGGTCTCGACTCTTCGCTTCTTCCACACCTTCCCACACAACGCATCCGGCCGCCTGCAAATTGCCGCCACACGTTAAGGTTGATCAGCGCAAACCGAAGCCTGCTATAACAGCAGTCCGGGCCTAATTTATGGGCGGTCGCTTCCCATTTTTTCCAATCCGTGACCTCATACTTCCCCATTCTCGTTTCCCGACTCGCCGCATCACAAGTGGTTGACGCAAGCTTTTCGTTGACATCATGGCGCCGCCCACGAGAGCCCGTGGTGGCGGAGAGTCCAAATCACCTGAACAATCGGGCAAGCCTTCCCCATCTAGCGAAGGTGAGCGCATCCACGTTTCTTTGGTCTGTTATGTTTTCAAGTTGCTGCATCCGATGTATAGAATATCGTTTCCAACCACGACTTTCTTGCAGATAAACAAGTGGATGGCAAGCGTGATGAGGCCTCAGTAAAAGCCGATGAAAAAACGACGACAGAACAGGCCAAACCGCTTGCTCCTCCTCCACGGCCAGGGCAGCAGCCAAATACAAACAGCCCTGACTATTTCAGCAACCCGGTTGGCGGCTCGCTCAGCCTGGAGCCCAATCCCTTTGAACAATCGTTCAGCGGTGCGCCCCCCGATACACCAGGAGGCGGCACCAAGCTGCCGTCCGTCGCGGCTCTTACGTCACCCTCAGCACTCCTCCCCGGTGGTGCCACGCCCTTCCCTTGGGGCTCCGACTCCCTGCGGACCGGCAACTTGAGCCCGGCCATGCTGGCCGGCCCCGCAGCTGACTATTTTGGGGATACGCAGCAACTCCGCGTCGGCTTCCCGACGCCGAATGAGTCGTCGTTGCGGACGGGGCTGACCCCCGGGGGCAGTGGGAGTATGTTCCCAGCCCCCAGCCCGAATGCGGGTCTCTTTGGAAGTGTCCCCGCCGCAACGCCGGGCACACTAGACTTCCATCGTACCGCCGTTTCGGCCGCCATCAAGCAGCGCGAGCAGTCGCAGGCTCTGCATCTCCCGCGCCCTGCGGCACCTACATCGCAGCCACAAGAGACAATTAGTGGCATAATACAACCGTCCAAGCCCGAATCGAAGTTCGATCCGCACGATAATGATGCGGCGAACGGTCTCTTCATGTTGGCACAAGGGCGGGGCGGCACTCAACCGCCGCCTCTTATTCACCCGCGGTATTCCGGGAATCCCAACAACCAAATCAACGGAGCTCCCTCACTCGCAGGTAGCTCGGTGAGGGCCGTAAGCGAGGCGAGCCCCGTTTCTGATGAGACTGAGCAGACGCGTCCCAATACGCGAGCCAGAGGGAAGCGTAGCTCGGGGAACGCAGCGACCACATCGCGGCGCAAAGCGGAGGATACGCAAACCAAAGCGCCAGCGGCCAAAAAATCGAAGACGAATAACGGGGCTGCGGGGGCGACAAATGGTCACGATAGTCACCATTCGGACGACAGCAACGATAACAACGGTGGCAAGGATGGTGCTTCCGGCAATGGGAAGTCTAAGATGACTGACGAAGAAAAACGAGCGAACTTCCTGGAGCGTAACAGGTACGTTTTGCCGGACAGGGCCTGTGCAACAATAATCACGCTGACATGTATTGTTACAGGGTCGCGGCGCTCAAGTGCCGGCAACGCAAGAAGCAGTGGCTCGCAAGCCTCCAGGCGAAGGTGGAGCAGTTTAGCCGCGAGAACGACGAGTTACATGGTACGGTCGCGGCGCTTCGCGAGGAGGTTGTTACTCTCAAAACGCTCCTAATGGCTCATAAAGACTGCCCGGTCACCCAACAGCAGGGGGCGTCACCAGCTTACATTCATCAGTTGGAGGCTGCGGCATTCAATGCGAACGCCATGAACGCTTTCGCCATTCAGGGCGGGCTGCAAAACCATCCTGTCATTCCCGGCCCGCCCATGGACCGGCGATTCTCTTAGAACGAGAATGGCCCTACATCGGCAGTGGCCACCGCTACCCAGCATTTGGAAGCGGCGCAGAACTTGCAGGCGGGTTTTGATCCCGCTATGGGCGGGAGTTACGCTACCTTGGCAGAGGCCACCGCCACCCAGGACTTTCAAGCGGCTTTTGATGCCGCTATCGAAGGACTAGGGAATGTGGGTGGTCAATACATGAGCCCACAGTAAGCCCGAAAAAGGCTGATGCAGCACTTGCTGCGTCCCCTCTCGGCATCATGGGCGTTCTCATGTTCTTTTTTTCCACTTTCAGTCATGTATCATCTTCGTTCGGTGGTTGCTGTTGAGGCTCGTTCCACCAGATTCGTTTTTGAAGGGAGGTTAAGGTTGTATAATAGTGCCGGGCCGGCCTCGGATCCAACATTCATCGGCGTCGAAGGCCACGGTTGGTCAGGGTTGGTGAGACGGTGCGTTCGGGTCGGCAGTTTTCCCTGCCGGCCCTTTCAGCATCCTTCCTCACCTTATATGTCTTCGGAACAAGGGAAGGCGGGGCACGACAAAATGGCGTATGGTGTGTTTCGGCCTTGTGCTTTTGGGTCGGCTTTGTTTTACGCTGCCTTTTCAAAGGGATGGATGACAGGAGGAAACCTGGAAAGGAGCAAGGACGGGCGTTGCGGAGGGAATTCTTTGAGTGAAGAGGTCGACGGGGAAATTCTTTGAGTGAGGAGGGTGGTTGATCAGTAGGTAGTAGCCATACTAGTACACGGAAATAATAGGCTACTGATCCCCTATGGAATTAACCTGCCATAGCACACCTTCACGATGCATGCCATCTGTGAGCTCTGCATAATCCATCACAATGTGCTAATAAGGGTCTTTAACATAATAGAAACTAGCGGAGATGATCAGTGAGTCGCATACTGTGATATAATGTTGAGCTGTAGCCTCGCAGCGAAGGTGGGGTCATCATAAGGTTTGGACGTGTGCCACTTGGTCCGAGCGTCTATGCTGCAACTGTTCTGCAAGTCGCGGATAAACAAACGGGGCGCAACTTCCCATCGCGGTTCCTGAGCCCGCTTCTCGGCACGTTCAGAAGACCAGGATCAATCGTCATCGCCAAAGCAGCATTACTTACGCGACACTTCTTCTTTTCCGGCCGAGTGCGCTTGGCGACTTACTCGAGCGGTAGATAACGCGAAGTATAATACGGCTGTTCGAACACGAATTGACGCGTCCACCGCTCGCCCATTCGGCCCACCGAAGGTCTCGCATTTGGCAATTCGAATTGCGGCGACGCGCAGGAGCAGTCTTTTGTATCGCTTCGCGCCCAGTCGCAGCAACGGAACTACCTCGGCGCCTGACCATTCGCTGCAAGACCTGACGCCCTACAAGCTGCCGCCACCGCATTCATGCGCCGACCGCCCCGCCGTCATCCATGACTACTCTCGTCCGGACTCGCCAGTCGCTACAAGTATTGAGCATGAGCAACCGGTCGGAACGACGCAGCAAACGCCTCGCGGGTACGTCGCTGCCCCTCCTACCGTCGCGAGCGTTACCGAGTAGCCAGGAACTGGACCCACAGCGGCAGCAGCAGCCAGCGGCGGGGACCAAGGGGAGAAAGCGGAAGGATGCTGATGCTGACTTGCCCTCCGCAGCCGCAGCAGTCTACGACGAGCAGGATGGTGACTTCTTGTTTACGCGGGGTTCAAAGAGGGCTAAGACCGTCCCAGCGGCCGGGGAGGAGCCAGAGATAGAGCCAGAGCCGACGCCAGCACCAGCCCCGGCAAAGAAGAGGGGGAGGCCGCCAAAGGCGGAAACAAGACGACGCGCCTCACCGCCAGCACCGGCGCCAGCATTACAACCACCACCTTCGCAATCCAGGCCAGCGGCAGCAACAGCAACAGCCACAACGAGGGGGAGGAGAGCGAAGAGGAAATCAAGTCTGGACCATGAGTCCGCGGCCCCACCACCACCACCACCACCACCACTAGAGGAAGAAGTAGCTGCGCCCAGATCCAAAGTGAGGCGAAAGGGACGCGAACCAACGGTCGAGAAGAGGACTCAGCCAAGGGGGGGTAGATCGGCGCAAGTGAATGGGGCGCATGAAGCGGAAGAGGAGGTAGGGGACGAAGACGATGGCGATCGACCAGAACTTCCGAGGCGCAAGGAAAGGACGCCACGGGCCGACCTACCTGTGCAATCTCAGTCCCAGGTCATCGCCTTACCTTTCAGCGATACGCCCATAATCAACCGCAACAAGGAATTCCGCAAGAAGGGCGGGGCAAGCGGCGGCCGGCGGAGCAGTTTGGGCATGCGCGGGCGGCGGGCTAGTTCGCTCATCGACAATGGGCATAACGCGCTCCCACACCGCGAGGTCGACCCGTCCGAGTTCTACAAGTACATCGCGGCGGATGGGCTAAGCGAACCGCGGCGGATGAAACAGCTGTTGATTTGGTGCGGGGAGAGGGCGCTTAGTGAAAAACCACCGCACGGAAAACCGGGGTCGAGTGCGGTTCTGGGGGGTAAGTTGACTGATGTGGTGGTGATTGCGAATGTTTGGGTGGAATGGAGACGGATGCTGACGGTTGTATTTCTGCAGCACGCGCTATTCAAGATCAGCTTCTCAGGGACTTTGGGGCGAGGTCAGAGTTCTCGGACTGGTTTGCGCGGGAAGATGCGCCCAAACCACCAGTGCCGGTAGTCCTACAACCCAATCCACGGAACGTCGACTACGACGCCAAGATCGCAGAGCTAGAGGCCAAGATTGAAAGGTATTCCTCACCTCCTGTCCCTCCTCTACTTTTACAGGTCGGTCATAATACGTTACTAAACTCCCCAATCTAGATTAAAAGCGCAAAAGAAGGCTTGGCAAGCCATCGCCGCCCCTCTCCCCACGCTAGAACCCCTATACCCAGATCCCTCCGACCCGCGCAAAGCACCCCTGCCAGATCCCGCCCTCCTCGACGAATCCGAAGCCAAGATCTTCTCCGCCCTCACCAGTCCAGACACGGCCTTCAGCTCCTTCAAGCGCCAGGTCCGCTCCCGTCTGCAGAACGTGCAGTCCGCGCTCGAGTTCAAGGTGGACCAGCTCGCCGACAGCGTGCACAAGCTCGACATGCGGGTCGTAACGGCGGGCCGGGAGGCGGACGCAGTGCTCAAACTCAGTGCCGCGAGGCTTAGGGAGCGCGAGGAGAGGGAGAAGGAGAAGGTCGGGACGAAGGAGGTACCGGTTATGGAGGTGCTGAGGAGTCTGGGCCGGATCCTACCGGAAGGGGGTTGAACTCTTATCTCTCTTTCAGGGGGATATATTCAAAACTGGGGGTTTGGCGCGTGCTTTCAATGAAAGAATGAATGGCATAATGATATCGCGGATTGCGTTGGTGTTCTCGGTTCTCGGGTTGCGGGGTTCGTTGCATATTGCTGCTGCTGATACTTTTGTTGCTGGGCATACCGCGGAGACTGGACTCCGTTTTTCTTTTACCCTCTTCGCTCTCGTAGGTATGGCGTGTGGCGTTTCGTTGAACGGCAAGGACGGGCGGAGGCGGCGGCGATGATGATGGTCAGGCTTCTGGTTCGGGCGGCATTCGAATAGGAAGATATCAAGGTCTCAACCACCTTCCCTAGGGGCATGGACAACGGACAGCATCATACCTATGTTTGATATTGATCGAGGTGTATCCCATCAAGTCGAGGGTCAAGCGCCCGGTTGCATGTTCCATGATGTGCTTTTCTCCTGGCCCATTTTCCATTTTGCCCTTTCCAAGCACCATACGGTACAGTCTTCTTGTGTTCCGTATACGTCCATCCACTCTAATGTACTAGTAGGTCATAGGTTTGCCCCGCCCCTGCTTTTACATACTACACATACCTCATCACGTACGATACAAACTCACAAATCATACATAACTTGCCCGGAACTCATACAACTCCCTTGAATAGCATACACCTTCAACCTTTCACATCTTATACTCCTCCAGCGGCGGCATGAACCCCATCCCACCATTCCCCTGCCCCCGCCTGCTCTCCACATGCGCCCTCAGCATCCGCAGTATCTCGCTGTCCCTCCACCGCGCCGGCACAGGCCGGTAGGCAGGCTTGAAGGTGCCCACCGTCTGCGCCCACTCGCCGGGGCGCGGGTGCGGTTGCGCGCCGGGGTCGTTTGATGACGTCGTCGTCGTCGTCCTCCCTTCGTCTTCCTCGTATCTTCCGGATGGCGATGGTTGTGTTTGTGATTTTCCTTCTGAGGTGGCAGCAGAAGAAGACGAAGACGAAGGGGGTTCGGCGTCCTGGGTGGCCCAGTAATAGATATCCCAATCGTTCTCGTCCAGGAAGAGGTCGTACTCGGCCAGCTGGGCTGGCGTCATGCGGGCGAGGTGGGCGGAGGCAAAGGTGGAGAGGAGCAGGTCGGATTCGAGCGTGCCGCGCTTGCGGGATTGGTCTGGATTTTTTTTTTATGGTTAACGGATTAGTTTGAGTGGAAGGGCGAGATAGAGGAAGGTAAAAGGGGACAAGTAGAAGGACGGGTGTTGGGGGTTTACGCACAGAGAAGCCGTGCGCGCATGGTGGAGGGGTCTTCGCCTACGCGGCGGAGGGGTTCGACCTTGAATTGGACGCCCTGTAACTCGCCTACTTCGAGGTCGTTTTGAGGTTTCGGTTGTGAGGACGAGCTTGACAAGCGCTGGGACACTAGCGGCAGGATGGCACGGAGGGGTTGGCGGGCGAGGGCGACGGCGGCGGCGCCGCGGGTCGCCGGGCGGAGGGCATTCATAATGGCTCGTTTGTTTGTTTGCTTTCCCGATGGATTGTGTTCTTCGGTTAGAGTCAAACAGAGCGTGATATGCGTTGCTGACAACGGTCGGGACTTGGGTTCTCAGCCAATTGCTGGTTGAAGCAGGTCAAAGATGGATTTGTAAACGGAGCCGATCTGCCGGCCGCCCCTTGGCAATGAATGTCGCTTGGCTGGGCCGAGGCCGAGACCGAAAAGCTGTGGATACCCCCGGCTGCCGGGTCTTGCCGGCCGGGGTTAATCGGGCCATGCCCGTTACGGATGCCCTTGACTGCGACAATCAGGAGCTCCCTACTAGTAGTAGAGAGCCAGGATCGATACAGGACAGTCTCAGAACCCATACATGTCCTGTTGAATTGCAAACCACAAATCTGGCCCCAGCACATCACTCATTCCTAAACAAACGTGGCTCGAGGTCCCAATACAGTGGATTTTCCTTCCGGCCACCTCCCCAAAAATACACCCAAGTACAGTACAGAGATCATAATTCCGTGCTTTCCCTGCGTAACAGCTCATGTAAAAACTCCTGCCCTTGTAAAGCCACAGTCTAGAACAAGTCGTCATCGTCTGCCCAGTCCCGGCTCCGTTAAATGAGATGCTTCGACCTGAAGTACGCCCGCAGGTACATGATCTGCCACGCCCACAGGGCGATCAGCAGGAACGTCGTGCCCAAACCGAACCACTTGACGCGTGTGTTGGTGCTCTCGTTGGTGTCGCGCAGCTTCTGCTCGCGGATGCGCAGGTAGTCCATCTCGTTGACGATCTCGGCCACCATCTCCTCGATGCGCCGCAGCTCCGTGTCGACCGGCTTCAGCTTCTCGGTCGCCTGGATAGCAGACCAGTCCTTGGCGTCGGCGCCAATGTCGATATCCAGCTCGATGTCCCGGAACGGGCGCTCGACGTAGCGGGCTGTCTATGTTAGTCTGGTAGACAGAATATTGGGGGAATACCCATGAGAGAAAACGCACAGCCCGTCAGGATATTCTCAAAGCACACGTCAAACGGGGCGTCGGCGTGCGAGGTGAAAACGGTGCGTTGCTCGCCGGCAATGTCCTTGGGCTTGCCGTACTCGTTCCCTGTGGCGTCCGTGATGTGCATGTTGAGCTGCATGCCGTCGCCCTTGTACCCGGAGACAATGGCCGTCACGACGACCAGCATGTCCTTGGAGACAAAGTTGCGGATGCATCGCCGCGAATGCTTGTCGTGGCCGCTGCCCGCCTGGATCTCGAACTTGAGCGCCTGTGAGCCGACTGCCAGCAGCAGGATCAGGCTGCAGACTTGCTGCAACAGCGATCGCGGACGCGCCATGGTCGCTGTGTCGCGTGTGGGAGGGTTTGGGTGCTAGTTACGGCGGAAAGCAGACGCTCCAGAAGCTGAGCTGCATGTCCTGGATTCCATCAAACGGCCAGCTGTCGCTTGCCCTGGCGGGTGTGGGGCAACTCTTCTCAAGCTCATCCAATCAATGAGACCCTTTTGTGCAGCTTTTGTGGGCCAGCCGCCAGCCTTGCCGCCCCACCCATCGCGTCCAATTCTCAGCCTCGGGAAACATGGCGTTCTTTTGTTCCTCGCCCATCTTCAAGCTCCTAGTCGAAAGAGAAACCTCTATCAAACCAACCATTTCCCATTGGACGCAACACCACATCGGCGCATCGCGATCCGTCGCGACAACAACACCATAAAGATGCCGAAGTGTAAGGCTTTCCCTTCACCCCGCCTGTTTCAAGGCTCCAAACGCGCTTGTCTAACCTCTGTCTCAGTCTTCTGCGACTACTGCGATGTCTACCTCACGCACGACTCCATGAGCGTGCGCAAGGCCCACAACAGCGGCCGCAACCACCTGCGCAACGTCGTGGATTACTACCAACGTATGTTGTCATCCCTCCATTCCTCACACACATCCGATCCATTCACTAACAAAAACATAATCCTCCCGCCACAGAAATCGGCCACGAAAAAGCCCAATCGGTAATCGACTCTATCACGGCGTCCTACACAGCCGAAGGCCAGGCCCACGCCAACCCGATGCTCCCGCACAACCAGCCCGGCGGCGGCAACTTCGGCCTCGGCCCAGGCGGCATGCCGCCGCCGCCCATGCCCGGCTTCCCCGGCGGGCCACCCCCTCCTTTCCCCGGCGGGATGCCGCCTCCCTTCCCGATCCCGGGCATGCCGGGCATGCCAGTCCCGCCACCATTCCCCGCTCCGCCAGGCGCCAGCCCCGTCGGTGCTGGTGGTGGGTTCCCGCCGCCGCCCTTCCCGCCCTCGGCCAGCCCCGCCGGGGCAGCAGGAGCGCCGCCTTTCCCGATCCCGCCCTTCCCGCCTGGTGGTCGCGGTGCTGGTAATGGGGCGCCGCTTCCGCCCTTTCCGGGTGCGTTCCCGCCGCCTGGTGCGCCCGGTGGCCTGCCTTTCCCGCCGCCTCCTGGTGGCGCCGGGTTCCCTCCGTTTCCGCCGCCGCCTGGGGGGTTTCCTGGTGGGCCTCCGGGGCAGGGCGACAAGCGATAGGCTCTTTGGGCGTTGATGGGGGTACGGAGTGCGAAGCTGGGTTGGGGGAGAGGGATGAGGGGGGATTCTTCTAAGTTCAAGGCTGTTGTTCTTAGTTTGGCTACGATGGGTAATCGGGGCCTCTTATCTGTCTTGTTCATTACGGGCGCAGGACGGCGTTCTGGTGGTCTTGTAATGGATTGTAAGAGCGGGGATCTATGACTTTGCTGCATTTTACGGCGCCGGAAAGAGGCGAAGTTCTCTGCCCTGTTGATACCGTGCCTCTCTTTCTTCGAGGTTTTGGAAGAAAAGATCCATACACGGAAAATAAAAAGGCATGTAGTGTTGATGAGCCAAGGATTGAGTTGCTACACTCCGCTTTTTGGACAGTTTATGAAAGATCCTGATGTTCCTCGCGGGTCCACTCATCATCAGTCTTTGGTGTAAACCGACCCCGAGAGAAACTAGACAACACGATACGGACGTCAGTAATGAGGACCACCAATATCTGTGTATACGTAGCCAAGCATATCTCCAGTGAACAAAATCACACATGTGTACCATCCTCTAGCTTTGTGGTATCTTCCTTCAGGTACCTATATAGAGAATACAGCGTTCTCAACCGTTCTACAAACGTACATACATTTCCAGTTTGTCATCACAAAAAGAAAAGAAACCGACATCTTCTCATATCCCATCATCGCCCCTCCCACCATTCCTGAGAAAGAAGTATACGAAACAGGATAGTGTCCTACAATCAGAAATCAGCTCGTAACACATCATATACCCCCCCCATAAACCCTTTCATGACCATGCCGCATATCTCATAAGACAACTTTTTGTGCCCTTCTCCGCTATACCCGGATAAAGTGTCAACCAGGGCTCGCTGAGCCGGCTGCGAGCATGGTCCTGCATGATCTCGTTATAGATATAAGAAGTGAAAAGGAGTCCTCAGAATCCGACATCCGTATAGACTTCCACGTTTCTGTCGTCTCCATAATAAACCCCTTCGAAATCGGGCGCCGTGAGAATGAGAATGTGGATCGCCGGACCGGGTGACGAGAATGGGCCACCAGCTCAACCCCGCCGCCGCTGTTCCTGCTGCTGCTGCTGCACATATAGTGCGTCCCGGTCGCGCGAGCTATTCCGCTTGATCACATCGCCCACGCCATCCCGGACCTCCTTTGGTCCACTGATCATCCTGCGCAGCTCCTGCGTGCGCTTCTCCCTCCGCCGCTCACTCAGCCGGCGGGGGAAATTGATCCGGTCGCCCAGGGTCGGCAGAAACCCGGTTCCTTGCTTGCCTGGTTCGGAGGGACCGGGAGCGGGGCCGGGACCGCGGCCCATCCTCGCCTTTAGGCTAAGAGATCGCCACAGCCGGGTATATGGCCGCTCGGTGTGGCCGCTCTGCTGTTCTTGCGCAAGCGAGGTGTACGGCCGTCCGTCCTCCAGCGGCAGCCGAGTCAGGGATTCCATGCTGCGCCGGAACTTCATCACCCGCAGGTTACCGCTGGGCGTGCGGCGGATGGTTCGCCGATCTGGCGAATCTTCCGCTGTTGCAGGGTAGTATTCGTCATAGCGGTCGTCTCGGAGCGGCAAGATGGCAAAGGTCCGCTTGATGCGAGCACTCAAGCTACGGTGGGGTGCAGATGGGCGGTTGTCGATAGGCGGATACCGATAGGTCCGCTCCTCTGGGTCCTCGTCTTCGTCATCATAACTGCCCTCGGAGCTCTCGTCGTCGTCCGCGTACGTGGGCCTCCACCAGGGGTGAAGTCGTGACTCGTCCGCGGGCACATCGTCTGCGGTGGAGGGCCTCTTCAGTCTGGGCCGCTCGTCATCTCGACTCCTGACATTCCTTGACAGAGAAAACGTCCGGGTGAGCAGCCCGACAGGCCGAGCAGGAGACGGCCCGTAATGCGACGTTGTCCGGCGAGTCAAGGCCTGCCTAAGAAGCGACAGGCTGCGTTTTGGCTTCCTCTCGGTCATCTCATAGTAATTACCCAGCTGCTTTTGTTTCTCGATTGCCGGCGTAAGACCTGACGGCGTAGCGGGAATGAAATTGATGGCCGGGGGTTGAGGAGGTTGTGGAGGCGCCCTTGGGTTCCTGAGCGGAGAGTCAACGTCATCCACGGAGAACTGCTGAGGGGGTGTGGCAGGAGCCCCGCCGTATACGCCGGTTGCTTTGACTACCGGAATGTCGGGAGTGGATGGCTTAGGCTGCTCCAGGGAAGCGCTCTCTGACGGCTTGGCGAGATTGTTGACGACGACGACGGATTTGCTCTGGTGCGGATAGATGTTGACGGCCATGGCCTCGGAGACCTCGGCATGTGACGTCCCAGCCGTTTCCACCGACGCAACCGAGAAAGGTGTGTTCTGCACGGACAGCCTCTTCCCGAAGAAGGGGTCCCCATCTCGATCGACCCCGAGGCCGCCTTGCTCCTCACGCTCACGGTCAGACGGCGCGGCTGGGTCACGCTCGCGTTCTGTGGCACGCCGTACCAGCACCGCAGGCTGCATTCCCTCAACTGCAACGGTTGTGGATGAGTGGTCTGCTCCACTTTGACCGTGCGACACGTCCGCGTCCGTAGGCGGCTGAGCGCGATTACAGAGTTTGTCGAGCTCTCGACTGGCCTTCTGCAAAGCTTGATGCGCTTGCTGCGCGTGCAGCATATTGTGGGCTCTCAAGCTCTCCGCCGTCAGTGAACCGGTCCTCGACGCGTTTCTGCTAGTAGGCGCCGATAGGGACGACGATCGAGCAGGGATCACCGGAGGAAAGTCCATCGTCCGCTCATCGCCACGTTGAGACCCGTCAGATTCGGAAAAGGCCCTGCTGCGACGCGTCGGCCTGTCGAAGTGAGGGACATGCTCCCTGCTCTTTGATGGCAGTGAGGCCGGAACGGAACTGAGACTCTGAGACCTTCGACTACTCGTTGACCGCAGCGACGGTGACTTACTAGACTTGACGGACGACCGGCGGTCAGGAATCACGACAACCGGCACCCCGCCATGCTTCCACACTTCGCGGCGGGCTTTGCGACTGGAGATCGAGTTGAACGTAGCAGTCGAAGCGTGGCTGTCGCGCGCGGTGTCACGCACAGCTTCACCCGCCTTCGCGACCGATGCTGAGTGACCTTCTCGCTGACCATCGACGGCTGGTGAGACGGACGTTACGGCAGAACTCGATGGGGATATTTCTGAACTTGAATCCCGCAGAGCGCTATGCTTCCTCACATGCCGCAACGTCTTCTGTCGATGGGGTGCTGTGTCCACGAGGACGGCTTCCACGACCGTCGAGGCAGTCGACCTTGTCGATATGACCGAGGACCGCTTGACGTCGATGCTGCTGGATGACTCAGAGTTCGAAGGCGCAGCCTGGGTCGCTAACTTCTCAGAAACGGCCCTGCGGGCAGGATGACGGACTGGGATCTCCGGTAGGGTCGTGGAACGGAGTGCTTTGGTGGCGTTGGTTGGTTCCACCGTTGTGTTGTCAATGATTTCTTCTCTGCGGAACCTCGTTGGGCGACCTGGTCGTTGTTTTCTGATGGTTACATTCCTCATGAGATCGTAGTTCCACTCCTCATCCAGCCCGTTGACTCCTGCCTCGCGTCTCCCCCATTCTCCGTCAAACTTATCGAACTCCGGTACTGTCCTCGTCGTCGCATGGTCCTTGGGGCTTGGATCTAGCCCTAGTCCTAAACCTAGACCTACAGGCAGAGATTTACCCCTTGCTTCTCCGTTGACTTGACGAACGGTACTCCGCAATGTGTTGGCCGACGGCAATGCCGGCCGCACCGTAGACCTCCCATCATCGTCATCGGATGAATAGGGGTTCTCCGGCGCGGTTCTGAACGACTCGGCCGCCGAATCTGTCGTGAGCTTCGACGAATTCCGGTCGGTTATCGGCGGGCGGCGCGGGACTTGGCTGGCGGCCGGGCCTGGAGGTGTCCTATCAGGCGTTAAATTTGGGGTTGGCGGAGTCTGCTGGTTGATAGGAGTAGTTGGAGGGCGCGATCCGACATTCTCCCCGCTGCGCGAAGGGCTGCCGGCGTGTACCGCGGCCACCGTGTCAGCAGGATGGCTTGCCGACGATGTCCGCGAATGCGCCGGCGGCGTCGGCGGCGGTTCGGGCCCTCTTGCCACTTGGCTCACCCGCTGACGACCGTGAGTGCTCGCACCGGCCGGGACTCCGTTTTGTGGCAACGGCCTGTCGCTCGCGGGGCCAGATCTCTCCGGGCCTGACCGTCGCAGGTCCTCCTTCCGAGGATGTGGGAGAACTTTATGCTTCTTGAACATGCGCGGCTGGCTTCCTAGGCCGTCCGCATCCAAGCCAAAACCGTGGTTCGCGCGGGGCGGCGAGCCCACGGTGGGTAGTGAGACCCTACGGTCGTCACGTACTGCCATTTTGAAGCGAACAAGGCCAATGAACGATCTCGAGGTAACGTCGCAAATAACCACTTCTCTTCTCCAACCGAAGATTAGTGATGCAGGGAAATCCCTCGCATATTGTTGGACGCGTAGCGGAGTCGCAATCAGCAAGTCGGCGGGCGCTGCGGCGACGACAACGCAAGCTTTGTTGATTGTGCTATTTGGAAACACCCCGCCGGGTCCCAACGTTGCGAAGAGCACCGAGTCGGGGCCGAGTCACATTCGAAGAATCACCGGCAGCCTATCTGAGACATGGACAAGTGGCAGTCAAATGCTGAGTGGCTGCGATGAGCTAGGTTGTGCTGCGGATCGGATCAACGCTGGCACAAGTGGCAGGAACGGCTGGTGTCGTGGATCGATCTGGCGCGAGAACGACCCTCGTCGATTCTCGAGTGGCTCCCGGCTGCGACTAATCACCGATCATGCCGTCACCAGGGTGTCGACAACTGGCTGCTAGTAGATTGCTGTCCCGCGAACAGCAAGCTTTTGGAGCATCATGAAGAGGCTGGCGCCTTTTTCGTGCGGTGGGCTGGGCACATGAGAAAAGATGGAAGGCGCGGGGTTGCAGAAGATGGCGCAGCCTCTAACAATGCGATTTTCTCGATGAAAGACGATGGAACCGGAGGAGGAGGGCAGCAAGCAGCCACTCGGCGAGGTCAATGGCCGGCCGAGGAAGCCTGGACTGACGCACCGAAGGGGACCCATCCCGGAGCTGCGGGCTGGGATTGGCCAGGCCCTGATGCACCGTAAAATAGCGGGCTGGGACTTCCCAGTGGGAAGGGGCTTGGGGGATTCCGTAATCACCTTCTGTGCAGAGTCGCACCTTCCCTCGCGCACAGCGGGTGGGGGACCGCAATGCAGTCCTGCAGATCGAGTCCGAGTCCTCTCACATTGTTCGTTCGTCTCCGAGTCCATCGCAGGAAGCTAAGCTTCCGCCATCGTCGTCACTTTCACCGACCCAGTTTCAGAAGACGTGTTGTTGCCTCGGAAGTCAGGTGCCTGCATAAGCTCGGTAAACCGTTAGCATGCACTCTTTCCTATCTCACTCGAGCTCATAGACGCCAGGTCTGTGGTGGCGTCGAGAGACTACTGACTTAGGTAGTTACCTACCGAGCAATTTCACGGCACATTCAGACCGGACTTCGCCAGCACAAGTCTAGGTGCATTTTCTGCGCGTTCAGCTGCGGACCGAATCAATTCAGGAGGCTGGTCTCGACACACTGCAAGCCTTGCATCACTCGGGCGAATCAGCCACAGACCGTTCAAGCATACTGGGTGATATTGCAGCGGCCGCACGGCGGCTCACTTTGGGGTCCTGGCTGGAGACGTGGCCTACTACGGAGGAGTTACACTACGCCGTGGCTATTCAGTTTGTTCCCTTGATCCGATGTTGCTGTGTCAGAAACACGTCTCTGACGCCGCAGACCTTGGTGACTTAGTCCTCATTCCCGCTTTTCTCCAATTCGCTTTACAGAGACCATTCACCCCCGGTTAATCGCTCAGTGAGCTAGTTAGATCTTCAGTATCTGGTTGATTGATTCGAAATGCATACCCTTGTCTGAAAGCCACGTGTCATGCTTGGTCGATTTGTCTTTTGTCCCGGTGAAGCACAATTCTCTCCCGGTGAAGCAACGGATCCCGGAGCCTGTGGGCCCCGATGATAGTCTCGGCCCGGGCCCGAAGTCGATCACCGAACAACACCCGGATTTTTGTTGATCGTTACATTCTAGGAGATCGACCTTTCCGCCGTCGGCACCGTTGGAACAGCTCGTTTCCCTATCATTAAGTTCATGTTTCATTATAGTTGTCGCCGGAAGATCAAGTGAGACGACCTGTACGACAAGCAATCAACCTGGAAACGTCCGAAACACTCTCTCTACGGTAGCTGGTTGGCCTGTAGTCACGGCGCCAAAATCCGTATACCAGGCTTGTCAAAGTTCCGCCTCATCACCCTCTTCTTAATATCCATAATACAGTGCTCTGCAGATAGTTAGAACTTCACTGATTGTCAGCATAGAGTCCCATTCTCAAGCGGATCTTACGGCCGTCGACCTCAAGATCCACTGCTTCAAGTTTCAGGGCCGCTGGTCTAGTGGTATGATTCTCGCTTAGGGTTCCAACCCGAGCATTTCTGCGAGAGGTCCCGGGTTCGATCCCCGGGTGGCCCCTGAAAAAGTATCTGCTTTTGCCCCGTGGTTTATTTTTACCGTCTGCGGAGCATGCCTGCACTCTGAAGAGAAGAGCCAAAAGTTGTTTAATGTTGTGGCCAGTGCCCAGCCTTTTTTTTGCCTTTACTACCCTAGGTGTGCATTGCAGCTTTAACAATACCTTTTATGCCGCGGGCGGAAGCTTGTGAAGGCGTACTGCTGCACTCGGGAGTGTCAAAGTTATCTAGGTATACGGAGATAGTTCCAAGGAAGAGCCTCCTTTTCTCTTTTTCCAGGCACATGTCTCTCCAGAACACAGTCGATTGATCTATTTCAGCTCAACAGCCGATATATTCTGTCTTCCACGAGAGGGTTCGAGAGGTTCAGTTCAATTGACTAACCATTACTGCAGGATTAGGGTCCTTCTAGTAATCAGGAAAGCCAAGAACGCTCAAAGTCCAGATGACGTCGTGTTCTATTTCGAGCTCTCCCCCCCGACGGAACTCGACGACATGCCCCTGTTGATGATCTTCGACGCTTGCATCGAGATTGACTTCCGACAGAGCATTATACACTCGGCAGTCCCAAGCGTGTGGCTCCTGCAAGGCACCCGCAACACCGCGGTGGTATGCAACGATGTTGAACGTGCCAAATCAGCTGTGGGGAGTTTCCCGTCGGGCCGTCATGCCTCATACCAACGACAACGAACGGGTCCGCGACAATAGTTACCGTGCACAAATAATCCATCCGATGGCCGATCACATGAAGTCAATTCTTGACTTCGCTACCACAATCAGCTACGGGTCTCGCAATACGTCACCAGACTTTTTGGGGGAGTTGCCTTCTTTGTCCCACGCGTGACTCCGAGTCGGCGGGCCGAATCCGAAAACGGCAAAATCACGGCAGAATACGAGCCATGTGCTTTGAGCTTCAATAGCTCCCACCTCAGCCACTTCCAACGTTACCATTGTTCTCTCTCGGACGCACCGCTTAGGAACCCAACTCTTGCCACCGCTGACGGAGTAACCGGTAACTTGTAAGTCCTCGTCTACAGAATAGTACTCGCTAACCGGTTCCTCGCCGGGAGTTCGTCTGGTATCTTGTGCAACACGAGATACGGTCCGCCGTGGTTCTGTGATGGCGTGCCGCCGACTCGATACCGTTTGCGGGGTTGAGCTACCTTTGTTGCGACGTTGACTATGACTTCAGAGCATGCAGATTCAGGCAGTAGCCGAGACAGCTCCCGAATATAAAACGATGCTTCCCTTCCGGATGTCCTAGATGGTTGGTGCCGCGCTTGTGTTTGCCATCGTCAGTCCACCGTGTGTTGTCGGGTCGCTCGTTCTATATAACACTCGCTTTCAACTTTAGCCTTTAACTACTAGTAGTATCACTCACTTGTTACCACGAAGCAACACTGCAAGCAGTCATCGATCGCCACGCACATCATGAAGACCACCTCTCTCTTCAGTGCCGTGTTGGCCACGGCCGCTGTCGCCAGCGCCCAGGCCTCGTACCAAGACGGCAAGTACGTCTGCGCGCAGGTGAACGCGGCCTACTGTGCCGGTGACTCGCTGGGCACCGACATCATCATCCGCTGCAACGGCACGGCGGGACAGCCGGGCCGCTGCAGCAACAATCTTGTGGGCGTTCCGCCCCTCGGCACCTCCGGCGGCGGCCGGTGCTGGCAGAGCTCGCCGACCGCGGGCGACGCCGCCTGCGAGAAGAACTGCGTCGTCTACGCGTCCAAGGGCACCTTCACCCTGCCCACCAGCGTCTGCAAGCCCACCTACACTGCGACTTCCACCGTGACTGCCACCTCAACCTCCACGTCCACCACCACCTCCCACTCGGCCTCGCACTCCTCATCCCCTTTAAGCACGTCCTCCGTGCCGCCAACCACGAATTCGACCACCACCACCACCAAAACAAGGACCGCCACACACACGGCCAGCCATTCCACTAGCAGCGTGACGAGCAAGCCGTGGAGCAACTCGACGACAACCCTCACGACCATCATCACCACCGTCACCACCGACTGCCCGACGACGGCGACGACCAACCCGCCCGTGACCCACCCGCCCAAGCCAACCATCACCACGACGCCGGTGCTGCCGCCCTACCCGCCTCATCATCACACCAACTCCACGCGGACGGTGACGCCGACGGGCACGGCTACCGGCACCGGTGGTGGCAACCCGCCTGTGGCGACCGGTGGTGCGGCGGCGAGCGGTGGTGGTGGTGGCGCTGCGGCAATGGTTGTTTTTGCTGGGTTTGCGGCTGTTTTGCTTTGATTTACCAGGTAGTAGTAGTAACTTAGGAAATGGGTTGGGGGTTTTCTGACAAGTTTTGGCGAGGCGTCTGGGACTCTGGAAAGGGGGGGTTGATTTGATTGGGGTTTTCAGGTTAGTGTTACGGGTATGAGGGCGGGTTACAATGTCTGTGATGCTGCACGGTGTTATTGTTAATGAAGGGATGGAGGACTCATGTGGGATGTATGGAGGATGGGAACTTATCGGGAGTCACTTGGGATCTTGATAGGGGCGCTTTAGGAACAGAGGCTCTACAACTACCTATGTTGATCAGATAGGGGTCAAAGTAGTAATACCTAATCCATTCACAACACCAGGGGTATCACCACCGCCAACTTACAGCCTACAGGAACAGGACATATATATCACCTCCCCCCTGCCCCCTCCACCCCACGCGACGAGAAAGCGAACCCAACCTCCTCCCTCCACCAACCCTGAAACACCCTCAACCTCTCACCCCTCACCCTCGCCAGCTCCCTGCCGACAGCCGTCTTCATCATGCCCTCCAACCGGACCAGCTTCTCGTCGACATGCTCCATGCTCCCGTCCATGCTGCGGCCCGTCGTCCTGGCCCCGCCAAACGTGAACATGCGGCCGATCCCCACCGCGCCGATGGCGTCCAGCCGGTCGGCGTCCTGCACGACGGCCAGCTCCGGGTGGGCGTGGATGAGCGAAGCCACGCGCGCCGGGTCTCGGATTTCGGCCGAGTAGCTCACGCCGAGGCAGATCGTCTGGATTTTGGTGGCCAGTGCTGCGGGGCAGGCGTGGGATTGTAAGACGGTTGAGATGAGGGTTGCGGAGTCTTCGTTTGGTTTTAGGTATCTGTGTGTGGTTTTTTATGAGTATTTTGAGTGTAATGAAATTTCTGTTTTATTTTTATTTACTTGTGATCGCCGACGTCGTGGAGCAGAGCGGCGAGGTAGATGGTGCGCAGGTCGAGCGTCGACCGGAAGGACGGGTCCGAGTGGGTGTAGATGTGGTGCGCCAGGGAGACGACGCGCTCGATGTGGTCCCAGCTGTGGGAGGCGTCGTAGTGGCTCATGTAATCTTTGACATAGGCCGTAATGGACTGCACTAGAGGGTCGTCTGCGAAGGCGTCCATGGCGGTGGGAGTCGGGTCGGACATGGTCGTGGCGCGTTTAGGCGAGTGAGGAGTTGCTCTCACTCATCAATCTTATTACAGCTGCTGTCGATGTCGATGTCGAAGACTTGAAGTTGAACGGGACCCACTATCTCCAAGTGGGTCTACGTTAAGGCAGCAGCGGGAGGTCAAGTTCTTCGAGGATAGATAATTCGCTTGGTTAATGAATTACATAGAATCCCTCGTTGATACCAACTGCGAGGGTGGAAGCAATGGTGTCCACTCTGTCCAATCTTTCTTCCCCCATACGGCGTTCTGGCCTCTGTGTCGAATAAGCCTCAGCTCCGGATTGAGATGACCCGGTATGGTTGTAGCTCTGCTGAGGAGAACTCATTCTATGCTAGTAGTATTTATGCTTAGAAGCTAAGATTCCTATAGAGGAGCATGGAGTCCTCCTCAGCACCTCTTGAAGAAGCAACCGCAGATCCTCGATACCGCACCGGCCAACGCCCCAGCAACCAGTCTCCATGAACCCTGCTATGCTCACGCAGCGTCTGTCGCGGGTCTACGAGGACGATTCTGGTTACCTCGTAACTGGACACGTGCTAGAGCAAGGGAAACGACATAATATGCCAGTTGGTCTAGTTAGGTAGCTGTCAGTCCAGACTCCTACTAGCATGTTCTGAGTGTCAAGATCCATGTCGTGGTTCAGGGGGTATAGGGCGTCGATGTTACTTTCGAATTGTGCTGGACGATCCGTTAAAGACTAGAACACTCTTCGGCAATCGACTCTCAGCAATCCAGTCCTGTCCCCCCTGGAAAGGTCGGCCGTGAAATAACGTCCATCCAGCCCTCGGGATCATTCCCGATATGTACGCTGTGGTCGTTGCTTTGCAGTATGAGGGAACTAAGTAGTACTCTCCTCAGGCAGGTCGTAAATCGGCAACAGGCACTTTGGAGGTCCACTCTTCGGCATCAGCTTGGACCGGAAATCTACCTGAGAAATCCACCTAAGGTAGTGTTTCTATGGACGTTCACCACTTGGCAACCTATCCCTTGTGAATTGCTAGTCCTGCTACCCAGGGTCGACATAACGTTTCGGAGAATTGGAGGAGACCGTTAGAGCTAAACCATCCAGCCCGTAATACCGGCGTAAGGAGTCTCAAGGATGTAGAGTGTACAGTACTACAGTCGAAGTGAGTGTTCGGATTGCGGCCGGGCTCGGATCGTCGGAATCGACGGAATAGCCACCGGCGTGCTCGTTCCGGCGACGTGTAGTAAGCCGATTGCGAACAAACAGCCGCGATTCGAAGGAATGTTGGCGAGCTTGGCTGGTCCTAAACGCGGAAGGTGGGAACTTACGGCGGCTATCGTGGGCACAGACATCAGAATGGTCGTGGTCTAGAGACAGATGGGCAGCCATTGAGGCGCAACAAGGTGAACGTTACTGCAGTGGGCATTCCGGTATCACGCAGCTGCATCTCGGACAGGGAACAGGCTGGCTCTCACCTTCCTCGACACCTCATTCCACCACAGGTAAAAGTTGTGATCACGTCGCCTCCTGACATACCCGCCGAAGCTAACTTAGTGGCATGCAATGCAGCAGGCTGACAAAGTCCGATGCGGCAATAACTCGATCAAGTAGGTAACGGAACGGCTGACAGCGCAAGTAGGCCAGCCTCGGGCGGGGCAGAAGAAGCGCGAGGTCTTGCTGATTCGGTCGAGCTGAAGTGGAGAAGTCTTGTGAGCGAACGTAGGGTGTCATGCATTCGGCGATCGAGTTGAATAGTACTCCCGAGGGGGTTGGCGAGAGTAACGGACAGCCTGCAATCATACCTACGTCGGTGCTCTTTACCTGGTAAGTTCCATGGCGCACCGTATGTACACTTGCGGCGTTCTTGCTATGAGAGCCCGGTATATCGACCACTAGAGCATATTCGTGTGATTGGCCTCTGACTGCTCGGTCCGGGCCGATGACGAAGTGCTCTTTTCAAGTCTTCCAGCGCTCCTACTGAGAGGGGCAGCAGCGCCATGCCCACCGTCCCGTTGACCGATTCACCGTAACGATAGTGGACGGAAAAGCAAGACCGGCACTATCGATACTCGACCCAATACGCGGCCATCCTGCCCACATGGGCCAATGCAGCTTGCAGCAGGGTGCATGAAGAGGGTCGTACGCTGATGCTGCAGGTCGACTTGCTCCGATGACAACCCCGCATAGGAAGAAGCCGCTCAGAAGAGGGAGGACCGTCCGGTGCAGGCACCAGCACAGTGAAGGTCCGCACGCATCGCTTCCAACGCCATGGATAGGTTGAGCTGGCGAAGACGACCTCATCTGCCTTTCAAGGTCGCTTCCTGTCGGGGGTACCTCGAGACCGGCCACCCATTGTGTCCCGTACCTCTCGTACGTGATGACGGTTGCCAAAGCTCAGCGGGAGCAAGCAGATCTATTATTGGCGGGCTGCTGCCGGCTGCATGCGAGGAGCATGATGAGGTCGATGGGCTGCGGTCACAAAAGTTACGAAGTCGCTGGCCTGCATGCGGTGATTGGCCAGTCATGGCAGCAATTTAGACGCCCAGCTAAGCCCAAAGCGGCTTAGCGGATGTGATCACCCAACCCCAGTCGGCACCGAGTGTGGGGCTATCTTCTCCCAGATCACTGCAGGTGTTCTCTCGACTCTCACAACTCATCAGGTCCGGCTCTCACTGCTTAGCCGCCCGCCTTGCAGTAGTGCTGCATGGCTGCACGGCTCACATTGCGAAAGCCAGGGCAGGCCCTGCCTGGGATTCCGGAATCGTTCTCGGTAGCATCCATCGACGCCGACGGGGCACAGTCTGCCTCCCGTCTTTCTGGAAGACAGCGTCCTCATTGGCCTCGTAGAGGAGCCGTAGAGGAGCCTCTCAACCGGCAGCCCGCATGTCCCTCACGGCCAATTCCATGCGGCCAGCTCGCCGTGTTACTCCAGCCGATTCGTCGAATGTGGCCGATGCTGGGTAACCTCCCGTCCCCGCTCTCTCCTCCCCAGTGATGGCCTCGCGATGTTATAAGGGCCGCTCCCCTCGGCCTCATTTCCTTTCCTTTCCCCTTTCCTTCTGCAGCAAGCACTCAACAACCAAACCAGTTTTTGTTGTTTTCCCTTTCACCCTTTCTTTCCCCCCCCCCCAACCTTCACAGAGCTGTGCTCTGCTAATCCAAACTAATACCCAAAATCCAAAATTTTGTAGCTTGCTGGTCTTGCTACTCAACCCCTTAATCCAATTCTACCAAGAAAACAACACTGGTTTACTTGCTCGTCACGCTCTTCAGCGCAAAAGATCATTCGTCTCAAGATCAACTTTTAATTCCCAGCATTCAGTCTCTCTAATAACGAAGTCAAAATGTCCGCCATCCAGCTTTCGTTCTCTCTCCGCGTCTCCTCTGGCGTCAAGACCGTCCACCTCCTCGGTTCCTGGGACAACTACAGCGGCCAGCTCCCGCTCTCCAAGGACAAGAGCTCGTCCAAGTCCGGCACCTGGAAGGGCACCTTCCGCTTCCAGCAGGCCACCCTCCAGCCCGGCCAGCGGTACTGGTACTACTACATCATCGATGGCTACCACGTCTCGCACAACCCCAGCGAGGACTCCACCGTCGAGCCCACCACCGGCCGCGCCCTGAACATCCTCGATGTGCCCAAGTCCAAGTCTTCGTCTTCGTCTTCGTCTTCTTCCTCCAAGTCGTCGTCCCGCAAGTCGACCTCGTCCTCCAAGAGCCGCAGCTCCGCGCACGGCGACATCCCCAAGGGCCGCCCCCTGTCGGTCTCCCAGATCAAGGCTCCCAAGCCCGTGTCGCCCAACGCCACGCGCCACATCCTCGACAAGGACTTTGACGAGGACGAGCTCTCCAGCCGCTTTGCCGCCACCGGCATCTACGACGACTACTACGACGAGGACGTCATCACCGACTTCGGCATGCCCGGCTCCCCGGTCTCGTCGGTGGGCTCGTCGCTGTCGTACCGCTCCGACAGCTCGGGCTCCTCGGGCTACAGCACCCCGGCCTCGGACTGCTCGTCGTGCACCTGCGAGCGCTACGGCATCACCCGCAAGGGCGAGCGCGTCCGCCTCGACTGTGGCGGCTCCCGCTGCTCGTACGACGACTCATGCTCGTCGTCCGAGGACGAGGCCGAGTACATCGAGCGCAGCTCCCGCCGCAACGGCATCGTCGTCCGCCACTAAGCTGCTGTCGGCCATGCCTCGGGTGAGGGAAAGCTGAAGGAAAGAGAAAGAAGATGTTCTTCAACTTCCAAAGGACTCGGGTTTTAATAAGAGGGCCAGAGGCGTGACGCTTTTTTCGTACTGCTCCGCCTCGAAGTCTTGTCCTCCGGTGATCTCTCCCACTCCCCCCGGGGAAATCGCCAAGTCCCAGTCCAGTCAAGAACCAGAACCGTCCGTATACGACGCTTCCAGGGCCGATCCGCGGGAAAGGAGATGGATGGCCGTCCATTCACTCTCAACACTTCGTTGTCTGAAAGAAAAAGGACACAGCAAGCCAGCAAGCAAGGCAGCGGTGAGCGGAGAAAAAGCTAGCCGGAGATCCGCTCCCACCCACTCACGGGGACCCCCGTTCCCGCGCACGCGGGCGAAAGGCGGACTCGACTGGTTCGAGCCTCCCTTCCCCGCTTCGTCGCGTCCGGTGAGGGATCTCCGGCCAGTCTAAACCGGCTTCACTACTACCACCACCTCCCGCACTTGCACTGTGTCCTCCCCCTTCGCTACCCACCAGTGGGAGCGAGGCGGTGTGTGTCGATGCTGCTGCCTAATCTTGAGATGTAATATTCTGTTGCGCCCCTTTCTTCCTTCCCTTTTTTTTTCGCCAATGTCGGAGTACTGGTTCTCCTCCTGGTGAGGTGAACCCAGTCCAGCTCCCTTCGTGCAACATATGCAACCATACTACACTCTCCCCCGTTTTGTGGGGATGTGTTTTGTTGTGTGTATGTGTTATCTGTCAAGGTTTCCCCCCCCCCCCCCCCCCCCCCCCGGGGCTTCGGGTGTTCTTACATTTTTCATACCAGCCTCTGCGGGGATGGGCTTTTTACGCCCACTAACTACAGAGGCTATGCACCTATGTACCTATGTATGTATGCACACCTGCCAGGAGGGGATAGGAAAAAAAGAAAAGAAAAAAGTACGTGGTCTTTGGGATCCTGGGCTGTTTTTGAGGAAGGGATCTGAAAGCTAGCCGCGCTGTTGGGACCTACTGTGGTAGGGTAGGGGGTGATTGGGGTTGAGGTGGTGTGGGTGTGTTGGGCAGACGACGGGGGGCGGTTCTCCGAAGCGAACGACCTAAAAGGAGGACCGCGGTTGATTGGTGGTTGTAGTTATTACCCTACTTCAAGTGTATATGATAACTACTTCGTCTGTCCCCTGCCCGGTTTAATACTGAGGATACGTGTGATGGGTGGGCTGACTTGAGTCTACCTATTCGTTGTGGACGTATATACTGATGCAAGTGAATTTTGTCAAGGGCTGGGAATCTAACACGATCCAGTCCAGTCGATAGTACTTCAGATCTGAGAACATCGGTTGAGGATCCGACTAGGACACTGTTTGCAGACGCGCTTGGAGTGTACCGACGAGGACCGCGGAGGGTGTAACCGTACCGTTATGTAGCAGTATGTGCGTCTGATATCTATCTACTAGCAATGCCTGTACCAGTTTTATACCCAGCCCATCTAGACCAAATCATGGTATCAATCTACGCAAGAAATCATCATGCCAACCGCTATATGCAAAAACCCACATAGCCAAAAACCAACAAAACCCCCCCAAAGGAAGACCGCAAACACGAACGGAATCATTGCTCAGGCAGCCTCTCCACCTTCCCATCCTTCATCACCCTCCTCCCAATCCTCAGATCCCTCCTCGACGTACAGCAGCAGCCCATGCCCGCATGCACGGCAAAGCCCCAGATACTGAACCCCGTGGCGATCCACATGAAGACAAACATCTTCGCGCCGACCTCGGCATGGATATTCAGCTCGCTCTGCGCCTCGGCGGCATACTTGAACGCGAAGCTGATGACGCTGCCCACGATGCTCGCCGCCAGGCAGAGCATCATCTCCAGGAAGCTCGCCACGGCCAGCGGCAGACTCCACCAGCGCGAGCGCACGGCCAGCGGCGCCGACAGCAGCGCCAGCACAAAGGCGAGCACGCAGGCCGTCAGGAAGAAGCCGAACATGAGCTGGCTCGTGACGCGCAGCACCGACAGGATGGTGATGACCTGCGTCGGCAGGGCGATGGTGGCGCCCGCCAGCAGCTCGTTCATCAGCACCTCGACCGGGTTGAACCAGTACAGCGTGCGCGGCGCGGAGCAGAAGGTGATGCCGCTGTTCTCGTAACCTTCGCAGAAGTTCCACAGTCCCACCTGGTAGAAGTCGTGCAGGCCGATCGACTGCGCGATGCTGTTGATCAGGCTGGCGTTGGGCACGCTCGTGGGGATGATGTCGGCCAGGTTGAGCTTGTAGAAGTAGATGGACGAGAGGACGGGGCCGGGGGAGGTGTTGCCGATCAGGACCTGTGATTTATTTTTATAATTAATACTACATGAAGGTGTGAATTGTGAGGGGTGACACCTCCAGGTAGGTGAAGGCCTTACCAGCACGAGGAAGATCCATGAGACCAGGTAGGCGAAGGACGCGCTGAGGGCGAACCAGCGCCGAAGTCTGGTGCCCCGCTTGATGCCTGCATCGTCGAGGCTTGCCGGCTGAGACGGCTGTTCCTTGTTGTTGTTGGTGGTGGTGGTGGTCGGACTCGACTCGGATGTGGAATACTGCTGTGGCCTGTCGTGATGTTCCGTGCTGGTCCGGAGCCGGGATCGGAGGGCGGCTGGTAATGCCATACTGAAAATGTGTGATCGGGCTTGGTGTGTTGGCTCTCTGGAAGTGACGCACGCAGAAGGCCTTGATGAAGCTGAAAAGCAGGCCTGCTGCGGCGGCGGTGGTGGTTGAACCCAAGATTTGCGAAGCTTATTCACAGTGAATGCCTATCTGTGAGAACAATAGGACCCGGTGCGGACGCCACAGGTTTAGGGAATCTACAATAAAACAAACAAGACAATGACAATGTAAAATGATCTCTAGTTCTATGAAGTATGTCAAGTGGGGAAGAAGAGAAAATGGAGAGCGACAGTAAGAAATGAATGATCAAAACAAGACCGCTTCTCATCTGCAATCGGCACTGATGATGTTCGATGTTCGTAATGTCCCGTGCACTGCCCGGAAGCGCAGCCCACTCAGTGCTGGAACTCCACTCTAAGTTTCGAAGTATCTTCTGGCAGTTTGACAACTGGCTCCCGACCCCTGAATCGTCGGAGCTCAGCGCTTGCGCGCTTCTTGACCGATTCTATCCAGAGGAACGGGCGCTTGTGATATGAATGTCCTTCCTAAACACACCGACTATAATAAGCCTATTGTTATACTGTGTATAGCGGGAGGTTCAATGCTCATCACATGAAGTCTGTTACTAAATTCTGATTCACAACGGACGAGAGGCCTCAGCGGCCACGCTAATTTCCATCCAGGGCCAGTGATAGGCCTTGGCAACCCCTTACGTCATAGTACATACCGTACAATGGTTGGCGAAGTCGGAGGTGAGCAGATCATCTCATCAGTCAGCGTTGAACAGCAGCACTGCAAGACGCGTACGTTCCAAGAGACATGAGAGGACATCAGGCTGTGGAAGCATTCGGGCGAAGAACGCCGAGCAAGCCGCCGTGTGACGACTGGACAAGAATTCACTGGCGCTGGTGAAGGGTCTTGAGCAATCCGCTGGTGACTGCAAGGGTGCGAAAGCGCGGTCGACCCACCGCTGCGGCAGTGCCTGTGCCGGCAGGGGAATGGGATCCATGTCGTATGGCAATCATCTTTTAAGTCAAGGTTGAGAAAGGTATTCAGAATTCGAGCCACGGAGAATACTCCGTACCTTAAACCTTACACTACCCGCCTCGCCGGGTCCTCGTTCGCTCTCTTCTATTACAGCCGGTTCGGTTTTCGGTTTCGATGGGTCCTTCGAGACTGTAACAATCCCCCCCCCATCTCACAAGATGGCGCCCCTGAAGCGCATGGCCGCCCTGCTCTGGGCGGTGTCCCTCAGCATTACTATTGCGCCGGTCCACTGCGAAAACGCCGAGAGCAGCAGAAGCAGCAGCAGCAGCAGCAGCGACGAAATCGTGGAATTGACAGGCACAAGAAAAGATGCCACCAAGCCAGGGACCGGCCCACCCACGGGGCCGTACCAGACCATCTCGTCCACCGTGACGCTCGCAACCACCACCATGCCCACCGACCTCGGCGTGCTCACGGCCAACTACACCGAAGCCGACGAGACGGCCACCGTCACCTACCTCACCGGCTCCGTGACCTCCTCCGCGATGACGGCCACCACGACTTCCATCAGCGGCGGCAACGCAACAACATCCTCCTCCTCCTCCACGTCCGCCGCCGCCCCGCCCAAGCCCACCAACACGCGGCCGTGCAACAACTACCCGGAGCTCTGCGCGCGCAAGTACAGCAACATCACGCAGGTGGGCTGCCACAACTCACCGTTCGTGCGCGCCGGCAGCGCGGCCGCCAACCAGCAGTTCCCCGTGGTCGACCAGCTCAACGACGGCGTGCGCTTCCTGCAGGCGCAGATCCAGTGGCCGACCAACGGCAGCGTCCCGCACTTCTGCCACACGTCGTGTGACCTGCTCGACGCGGGGCCCATCACCGACTGGCTGCGCACGGTGCGCGACTGGGTGGCGGCCCACCCGTACGACGTGGTGACCATCCTGCTGGGCAACGGCAACTACTCGACCCCGGACAAGTACGTGCCCTACCTGCAAGAGAGCGGCATCACCCAGTTCGCCTACACGCCCAGCCGCGTGCCGCTGGCCGCGGCCGACTGGCCCACGCTGGCGCAGCTGATCCTCTCGGGTCAGCGCGTCGTGCTGTTCCTGGACTACATGGCCAACCAGACGGCCTACCCCTGGCTGCTGGACGAGTTCAGCCACATGTGGGAGACGCCCTTCGACCCGGTCGACACGGCCTTCCCCTGCACGGTGGAGCGCCCTCCGGGTTTGAGCGCCGAGGACGCGAGGGAGAAGCGGCTGTACCTGATGAACCACAACCTGAACGCGGAGGTCAGCCTGCTGGGGCAGGCCATCCTGGTGCCCGCCGTCAGCCAGCTGAATGTCACCAACGGCGTCGAGGGCAATGGCAGTTTGGGCATGGCGGCCGGGAATTGCCGTGCGGAGTGGGGCCGGCCGCCCAATGTGCTCAATGTGGACTACTACAACTTTGGCAGCTACCCGGGCAGTGTGTTTGAGGTCGCCGCGCGCATGAATAATGTCACGTACGAGCGGAGGAGCTGCTGCGGGCCCGGGTCGAGTGCCGCGGTCAGGGTTGGGTCGCCGATGGCCTCGTTTGTGTGGATGGGGTTGGCGTGGGGGGTTTGGATGGTTGGTTTGATCTAAGGTAAGGTAGGCTGGTGGAGGTTGAGCTTGGGTTGGGGTTCCGTCTATATCATGGCATGGCGTGACGTTATGGGGCGCATGAGGTATGTCTGCAGTTATCACAGTCACGGCGTCAACTAACCTTTGTCGGCCACAGTAAGCCTGGGACTCAGACATCGAAGATGATGATGACGAGGACTTCATCGTTCTTCCTAGCAATGGGGAGACGATGAGGTCCTCGTCCTCTCCTAGAAGTAGGGAGACCGGGATGTTGTTATGTTTATTGTATGGTTATTTGTATGGATAGTTGTATGGATATTCCGGGGGGGGGGGGTTAGAGGTATGTCCCTGTTGACTGTCACTGTCATGGTGTCAACTAACCCGCTCTAGGCCTGTCACTTCCACCTATACCTATGCCGTCAAGGAGCTTAACCAGCTCAACGAGCGTGGCCATATCAATTTGCAGACCGAGGGGCGCCCTTGTCAATCCGCTCACGCAAAAGGAAGCCCGCTCTTCCTTGGAGACCCGGGAGGAAGAGAAGGCTAGCACCGACAACAGTCTCGACTGAACCTACAGGTCACCTAGGTCTCGCGAACCCCCCAACCGACGGGGGGTTCGGCAAACGGAGCCGGTTGATGGGCAAGGGTTGATGGGAGTCCTTGATCCGGGAGCCTCGTCAGAGACTCTGCGTCTCTGATGAGGACCGGATAAACGGAGGCTGTTGATGGGCTGGGGTTGATGGGCTGGGGTTATTTGTGATGGAGGGAATTTGGTGATGCGAGGGCTAGGTTACATGTAGGTCTCGACCGAACCTACCAACCGAAGGGAGGTTCAGCAACCTGAACGACAACTCTTTTGCACCCGCCCCAAAAAAACAGGCTCGCCGTCCATTAGAGCCAAAGGACCCTAACCAGTAACAGCCACGGCACCTAGGAAGGGACCGTTGACATAGATGGGCCGGGGTTGAATGGGCGCGGGTTGATGGGAGCGGGTTGATGGGCCGGGTCTATTTGTAATAGGGGGAATTATATGATGGGAGGTTGTACCGGGAGCCTCGTCGGAGACTCTGCCTCTCCGGTGAGGATCGGGCAAGCGGGACCGGTTGGCGGTTGATGTGTCTTAATATATGTATGTGCAAGGCAACCGTCGTCGAGCATTTCCTGGCACAGGCACTACAGGCACAATACCATGTGTTGGAACTATAGAATAGTGGTGATGTCGGAATCCAAGTGTCTATCTAGCCTCCGAGCCCCTGGCCTAGCGCCCTGACTATATGCCCGGCAGTTCCCTGAGCATCATAACAATACCCTGAGCATTATAACAATTCCCTTCCTTATTCGAGCGAAGCGAGGAGCCCCCCGCAGGGGCCTTACCGGAGGTGCCGCCGGAGGCAAAGACAATGGACCTCAAAGTTTGTTGGTGAGGTCTCCTTATAGTACTTGAGTGTACTTACAGTATGGAAGTTCTATACCTCCCTATACAATACTCCGTACTCGCATTGTTTTACCCTTCGCTGCACCTTACACATTTAGTACCTGGTAGTGCTTGTGTAAGGCATGGAGTCTACATGTAGGTATGGACACAATGAAAGCCGGGGTTAGGTGACGTCTGCGGGGTGCTGCCCGTACTGCCCCTGTTCCAGACTCTTGGCGGAAGCCTCCTCGGGCAGTCTCACCCGAGCCGAGGTTCACTCACGCACGATGCGGAGCCGAGCCGAACTCCCCGTCCGCCTTGCTACCTTGTACAATACAGCCACTCGGCGCTCGACAATTAACAATCGCGACTCACCCTCGCTTCATCAGAACGACGTGTTGTGTTTGTTATCCCCTGACTTTTGTTGTGCATACATATAATCTCTGCGAGCGCGATCTTTGTTATACGGCGGCTTGCTTCTGTCGTTTCGAGGCCTTTACTTGACAGCCCAGCCCATCCTCACCGTCACAATGTCCAAGCAAATCACTAAGGCCGAGGTCGCCGAGCACAAGGACGAGAAGAGCATGTACATCATTGTGGACGACGGCGTCTACGACGTTGCTGGTATGTTGGTTTCTCATCGTTTTCCATTTTCCACTCTTTTCTCTCTTTTCCTTTTCTCTCTCTCTCTTCCCCCCCTGGAATGGTGCTTGGTCGCAAGCGGCGCATACCTACTGTGTGGGCAACGAACGAGTGAGGGAGTGAGTTGAAAGCAGCCCCCGCTAACCAGACGACAAAAAAATAATAATAGGCTTCCTCGACGACCACCCCGGCGGCGCAAAGATCCTCAAGCGCATGGCGGGCAAGGACGCCACCAAGCAGTTCTGGAAGTACCACGGCAAGAGCGTGCTCGAGAAGTACGGGCCCAAGCTGAGGGTCGGCACGCTCAAGGAGGAGGCCAAGTTATAATAAAGGGGGCGGTGTGTGTCTTCCCGTCGTACTTGTAGGCGGAGCGGTGGGGGAGAGGGAGGTGTGTCAGCAGGGTGTGAAATGGTTGGTGTTTTGGGGGGTGTTCTGCTTACCTAGATACGGGTACTGAGTGTAGGCGACGGCGCAGCATGGCGGTGATACCACGAATCCAGCGTCTTTTTCTCCTTCATCATCATCTTCTTCTTATGCGGCCTTTTCTGTGAATTTCTCTCCGGTTCGAGGTTCTGCTTTCCAGACTGGCTGTTTAGACCTGGAGTCCGTGCGAGGACGAGTGCTGATGCTGATGCTTCTTTGACCCCCACTACCTTGTGTTCGGTCTCAGCAGCGGAAACCGCGGAAACCGCCATTGCATTGTACGTTACGGCTTATATGAACGGTGTAAGCCCAGCTCAGCATGCACTTACTGTCGTGATAAGGCTGCCAACCCCCCCTTTTCAGCAACGGTGACACAACATAGTGGTATGAGTCTTATACCGATGTCTGGTACCGAGATCCCCCACACGACAGACACCCCCGGACATATCATCCCGCCTATGGAATCAACCCTCTCCGGTCCCCTCCATCCTGGTACTTTGCCGCCGGAGCCCAGTCTTACTTTGGTAGCCACGATCCGAGACTCGGTGAAGAGGGCGGGATGAGGACATTGTATCCCCCGCGGGGAACCCAAGAGTCGCCCTCATGGCGTAAGACGTCGGGTTCCTGTTTCCAAACACGACGGCCTTGCACGGCAACAGTACCTAGATATCCGGCTCTCGGTTTACCTGACATGTCAGACGAGCAAGTTTGGCTGATGTCAATGATAAGCACATCGGTCCCGGTCGGACTCTTTGGCACTTGGCTGCTGTGCACCCTCCAGGGGAGAGCTTGGAGTCAGCATCAAGCTGATTTTCAAAGAGCATGCAATGCCTGGCTTGATGTGACAGAAGCCGAGGAGTAAGTAACCTGTACTGTTGAGATGAAATCCCGAGATTTGATAGGACAATCGGTAATAAGTGCCTGTTTACGCCAGTAGACAGGGCGGGAGCTTTGGTTCCAGAGGAAAAGGCGGCGTCCGGAGCTTATTTCATTTTGACCAAGCCAATGGCGGCATCAGACGACCCGAAGGCTGACCACAGAAGTTAAGGTACGTACGCACGCAGTTCTATGTAACGGACTGTGATCCGGGAGCTGAAATGTGACTGCCACAGCAGGGCTCGCTCAAGACGGACCTACTTCCTAACCAATCAACCGTCTGGCCAACACGAGATGAACCGTGATACAAGCTCCAACCGGAACCAAATCCCAGCCAACCAAAGTTGAACATACCTTATGTCGGAAACGATGTGATAAGCCCCAAAGACCCAGTCAACGAAACACACTGACGCGGATGAGAGACCAGAACCAGAATTCCCACTTCCGACAAGACACAGACACACTGGCACACACCGCATCCGATGTCATCCTTCTCCCTCCCAATGCCAGCCCCGCATACGGACGCGGCAATGCTGGCTTTTACAACGCACACATTCCTCTCTCGTCACAATATCCCCATTCCATTCCCCGCACCGCATGTGACAAGGACCAACACAAACTGGGCAGGATTAAGTACCTAGGTATTGGGTGGACAGTTCGTTCGAAATGTAAGGCAGATAGATAGATAAGCAAAGCAGTACATACTAGTAGACATAGATGCGATAACGCATAGCGACAAGCACCGAATGAAAGGATCTATAGGATCTAGGACAGTGCCTAGGCCAAGGGGGCTGTATCACCCAGAATGGCTACGAGCAGCAACTGCTAACTACCACCAGGGAACATGAGTATCGCTTGCCTGTGTCTTAAAGACAAACCAAGGCTAGGCAAAGAAGAGCAGAGCAGAGCAGAGCAGAGTGACACCAAGCCAGCTCAAGCGGTATAGAGAGCGCACCCAGTAAACACAGAAAAGCCCGGGGTTAGTGAGCCTCTCCCGTGGTTCACAAAATGTCCCTGTTTCTCTCTCTCTCTCCTCCACCCATGTCGCGAAGAAGAATACAAACCGCTCACACAGACAACTGCCCGACGGCATACCCTAGGCGGGGCCAGTCATAATAAACCACTAGAACAAACAACAAACAAACAGACAGACAGACAGACAGGCACACACAGATTGTGACTTTATGATAGGAAGGAAGTTGATTAAGATAACGACCCCAACCACCCACCCAGGGCCCTACCTAGTAGGACAGCAGACCAGTAAAACTCCCCAAAAACCAAAAACATAGAACCACAGACTTTTATGTAGCGCCCTTCCCTACTGCCTCCCTCCCTAATAAAAAAAAAAAAAAAAAGGAAACCTAGATAGCGCCGACCAACACCTTGACCCAACCCCAAGGCAGACGAGACAAGACATGATAAGACAAAGGAAACGGAGCACCTCCATGCGGATGATACTGAAGACGGATTCTTGCGGGTTTTGTGTGTTCGGACGGAGTGGGTGGCCGAAGAAATGAGATTAAGTCGATAACAACGGTTGAAGTTGTTCTGGGTTGAGGTCCGTTGTCAGTCGGTCGGTTGTGTATACAAGGTCGTGTGTTCCGGTTGAGGTCCCGCCAACGGTGAGAAGGGTAAAGAAGAAAATACAACGTCCGTTCCGCCCGGGAAGAATTAGGTAGGCAAGTTGAGGTAAGGCGAGGTGAGGTAAGGTGAGGTAGGTAGTAGATGACCGTAACGCCCGCCCATCCATTTGGAATGGTGAAAAAAGTTGACTTGATACAACAAGAGAAGCGGAAGAAAAGGGGGATCTCAACGACGCATCGTCATCGAGGCGGGCCAGTGGTCCCGGAAGCTGACCGGGCTCGGCGGCGGCGGGGCCGGGACGGAGTAGTCGTCCTCCTGGATGTGGTGGATGGGCGTCACCAGCTGGTCGGTCTTGGACGCCAGGGTCGCGTTGAGGCTGGCGAAGAGCTCCTGTGTCGTGACCAGGCCCAGGTTGTTCCGGCGCGGGGCCGGGATGGGGATCGGCGCGGCGAGCGGAGCGGCGACCTGCGAGGAAGGCATGGTGAAAATGGTGGTGATGGTGATGGTGACCGGGTTGAGGTCGCTTGTGGTGGAGTTGGGTTGTGAGACGTGGTTTTGTAAGTGAGTCCCGTGGTAGTCAGAAGGCTTTTAGACCTCGTACTAGTAGCAAAAGCTTGGTTAACACCAGGAGATGGGACCACGAGAGGATAAGAAAATGTAGGCAAACCTTTTTGAAGTGGCAATGGCAGGGGAAAAAAGCACGTGCTTGTTATTATGAGTTTTGGTCGGCAGAGTTGGCGAAGGGCAGGAGGGCAACCGAGGTTGATGTGTGTAGATATTAATACCCGAGCCGGGTAGCGGATTGCTATCGTACGCTATCACGGGCTGCTGCACTGTTTGCCCTCGGCTACTGTCCCCCACGACGGATAGGATCTGTGATCGGCTACGGCACACAAAGCGGAAAAGTCGGTCAAGAAAGTTGGTCGGGTAAGAAAAGAAACAAAAGGCAGAAGGGCACTTTTCCGAGACCGACCGTGTCTTTATGTGAGCAGGCCCGGCCAGGGAGACAAGCACGACCCGACCAGACAAGACCCGGCCGTTTGACAGGGAGCAGGGGGTCAGATTGGGATGTCCGGGTGCGGCCCAGTGGAATTCTGGGGAAGACCGACGGCTGAGTATGTACATAATGTACCTTGCATGTCACGGTATCCGTACACGGCCCAAAACATCCCTTTTTGATCCCTTCCGCCCGGGATTGTCCCGCGATTTGTGCTCGCAACGTAAGTGACATGTCGCGCTGTGGCGCGCGGGGTCCTGCAGAGACAGGCAAACACGAGGGATTGTCAGCCAGAAACTTCTGGGCTCTTGAGACGGAGGCTTGACCCCAGGAACTACCTGCGGTAATGCGGCATCGCGAGGAGGGTGAGATGTCCTCCAACGAACCTGGAGAGGCACTGCTCAGTCCCCAGGTTGTTCTGGCTGTCCACCAGGACAGAGGAAGTACGGAGTATGTACCCAACAAGTCAACGGGCTGGGCCGAATTTCAGGTAGGATCCCCCCTGTCTGGCTGGCAGGGCAAAACATATCCGTTGGTCTGGCATTCACGGTGTAAGCTTCCCCGAAGCAAACTGATGAACCTTGGTTGATAAATCGCCCGGTAATAAAGGAGCGTGTTGGCTCCGGCCTAGGGAGTTATTCCCCGCTTGACCGCATTCCAACCGGCGAACGCAATCCTGCCATAAAAGCAACAACCAGAGGAGCATGGTAAGGCCATACGTATCTCGCAGGCGGATTTTCGGAATAGCGAGCGTGGGTCGTCTCAAGCCCAACAAGCAAAAAGCCATACCGTAAGCTGCTTGCCCAGGGGTGTTGGGTAATATTGTCGGCGGAACAGGCGGTAAAGAGGAGCCATGTTCCGGCGTGTCCAGACCGGGAAACAAACACATTCCAGTGTTGTGACAGGGCAATCGCCGAAATGGGGTTTCCAGAAGGAAATTCTCCCCGTGGGGCATGCGCACGGGTGAAGCTCCCACCGATCCGCAGAATTTCCGTCTGGGGTCTGTGGGGTACTGCGTGGGAGCGCCACGGGATTGGCGCAAATTGGCCAGCTTCAACTTTACCCACGTTGACTCAGCTTCCGCCCCACTCCTCAGTGCTCAGGAATCATCATGGATCGTTGCCTGTTGCGCGGCACTGCTGTTTGACGTTTCGACTTGGTGGAGGCCATACGAGCCGTCTGCTGTTTTGGTGACACGTTCTCATCAACGCAGGACCGACAAGCGTCTTGGTGCGCCGGATAGGGCAGCATTCTGTGAATCGATTCGGTTGGATTGCTAAACATTCTTGCCGGCCATTCACGCCTCACTTCAGCCCTTCCGTTCCGGCATTGGTTCAGCTTGGACTCAACTGTCACGCCTCACAGCACCATGCCCCGGTCACCATGATCCCAATAAGTCGCATCGAGGTGTGCTCTCTGCGCCGACGACAACCTATTCCTGGAGGAGGCGCATGAATCATGCCCTGCCCAGCCGGCCGGCCTATTTGCCCTGGCACAACCTCAGTCTGCACGACTGGTGTGCCTCATATTCGTTCCGAGGGTGGCAAAGTGCAATCTCTGTCAGCCACGCCCAGTACCGCCAACCAGCCCATAGCAGTTCGTCTTCATTCTAGGGCCAGTATCTACACCTGAATCCGGCGCCGCCTTGGAATCGCTACCGCCCATTCTTCGACATGCCACATCAGCAGCCTCTCGGGAATCTCGGACATTCCGCTCTTCCACGATGCGCACTCGTTCATACGGCGACCCCAAGTAGCCGTGGTCTCGTCATCCCTCTTGCTATATGACGTGTCCTGCTATATCTTCTCCGCTCGATCCGCCCGAGCTGCCCATCGTGAGTGCTTCGTTCCGATTATGGCCATTTCAAGCAGTCTTCTGGAACCTTCAGCAATGGGCTGCTGCGCCGGACGGAGCCAACTCCCCCCTGCAACTGCCACACCCCCTTTTATCCAGCCCTTCCTGCTAGGTGTTGTATTGTACTGTACACTACATAAAAAGCTGGGCAGGGAGCGCGCGGAAACCGGATGCCAGCGCCCAACTCCGGCTAGCGAAATGCATCGGCGCTTTCTGAACAGATTACACTAGACTCACAGGAATTTTGACCGGCTGGAACCGCTCTGCAGCTTTTCCCCAGATTTTCCGGCCTCCCGGTGCAATGCCAAGCTGCCGGATCCATTTCCCGTTTACCCCTATTTAAGTGTTTACCCATGCCCTCGCAGAGCTGTTGGGTCATTTGACGTGGCGCCTTTCCGCGCTCGATACACTAGTATGGGAAACGGGACGTGGAAAAGTGCGGACGACGCATCCGTTTCGTTGCTTTATTACAAAGCCGTACTAGTAGTGTGAGGTGAGCCACGGGCAATTGCCAGTCTGGACCTGGAACGCCCGTAGCAGAAACACGCGATGTGTCGCACAGTGATTGCTCGGACATGACAGACTTGCTTTGTTCCCGCCTTGATTGCTCCCATGGCATTAAGTTACTATGATGCGAATTTCCACCATACCCATATCTGGATCGGCCAGGGATGGCCGGTTCGTACGAAAACAGACAAGTCACTACTATCTGCCTCTTCGTTTTCTTCGGCCTTCTCGCTCTCGGCCAGGTTGTCAATTATCACCGTATCTCAATCTGTAATAGCGGGCAAAACTTTGCCTGGCACTACTTTGATTTTCTCCCCCATGTTGATATGGAATGGAGTCCCGGATATGCGCGAAAAGCGGAAGCTACCGAAAAGGGGAAAGCACATCCACATGCGTCGTATCATGGTGAACCGAGAGGTTGCAACCAGATTGGCGATGAAACTCTCGGTGAGGCAGGCGGGATCGCCGATTTCCCAATGTTGCTTTGCTTTTCTCAGGCGCGACCGTTACACAAAGTGTTTCCTATGCAGCGGAGCACCATAGCATAGCGGATGATCTATTATTCGGCGTCATGCGTTGATGTCGCAGTGAAACAGGAACTGAGGTACGTAGGTAGGTACAGCAAAGACCTGCCCACGTGCTGGCCCGGCCGAGGCCGGGACCCGGAGGCGGCACATGGGTTGCAGCTCTTGGATCTACGCCGCAGGTGGATCTGTTGGATGTCCGGTCGCCGGGTCGGCCGGCCGGCCCGGCTTGATGTGTACATACTTATTTCTGTTCCTAACAAAATAATAACTGGTTTTGCGGGAATGGTTTCTTTATCCTACTAATAAAGCTCGCGGCCATGGGTCGGGCGATCGGGATCCGAGTGGGTCTAGTCCGGAGGTCGGCCGCGGTGGGCCTGGGACACGGCGATCCCCGAGCATGTCGGGTTGGCTCCTCTGACCACACAGCTGCGTCGTCGGCTAGGGAAGCAATTGCTTTCTTGGGGGCTTATTTCTGTCCTGGTATGAATGAGGAGATGGCACTTCTTCCGTGTTGCATATCAAACCTCCAACGGGACCAAGCAGATTTGTACTTGTACGTGTGAGTACCCACCAGATGCCTTAGTCGAGAGGGCTGATGGAGAATACATCGAAGTCATGTGCACGCAGACACCAGACTAGAAATCTCGAGGACATGACACAGGGCTCGGCCAGTCATTGATATAGAAGTTCTGCGTTGTCTGATCTCAACAACCACACCCCAGATGGGCTGAGCGGTCAATGGGGGTTCGTCTTGCTCCCGGGGCGGGGCAAACTGGGATCTCCCGGATGCTGAAAAGTTCGTTCTTATCCAGGGTGCAAGATTCTGTGAGTTGCGCCCCCGGGCCACCTTCGGGTGCCGGAGAGTAGGTCCCGTGAGGCCTGCGCGAATGCTCACAGCCGCGGTACAAGGAAGATCTGTATTCCGTACACGAAGCCCGTCCCCCGAACCAATCCCCTTGACCACTCTCCCGAGTGCATCGGCCAAGCGAAGTAAACCCTCTTGTGGGTTTCATAACTGGCTACCTCCATTCGTAGGTCGGGTTAGACTGTAAGCTTTCGTCACATTTTTCGTCCGGCTCCTGTTCTTCTCCCCATTCGCATTCCCACTCGCCGTACATAACATCCACATGATGGGCCAGGGCGAAGAGGGAATAATCCTTTTTTAAGATTCGATTTTGTAGGCCTCCTTCGCTGTCCCGCTCCAGAGCATCGCCTGGTCCTCCGTGCTCAGACCAGCCAGATCACACACCATGTCGACAATCTTGTGCCATTTCTTCCAGGCGTCGTCGCCAACTCCCACTGTGCAGACCGGCCAGTCACTGCCAAACATGATCCTGCTGGGGCCGAAGGCGGCGACCACGACCGCCAGCCACGGGAGGATGGCCGAGAAGATGTCATGAGCCGGCCGCTGCTTCAGCTGGTCGGGCAGCTCGGAGAAGCAGCCGCTGAGCTTCATGTAGGTGCGGCGGCACTTGCTCAATGTGAACATGGCCGTGCGCCTGGACGGTGTCAGTAATTTTATTTCTAGCTCGCCATCGGCAAACCCGCCAGCGGAGATCCCAGAAAAAATATACGTACCACGCGAGGTATGCCGGGTCAGTCTGGCTGACAATGGTCAAGTCCGGCTTGCAAAGATGGTCTGTCGCATCGTCAGCATCGGATGCGCAAACAACCCTTATCAAAGTGAGAGACCCGGGATAACATACTCAGAACAAACACCACCTTTTCCTCTTCCGCCACCCCGTCATGCGCACGATCAATCATCTCGACGGCCTCCTCCAACTGAATCCTCCCCCTCCGGTGCTGATCGACGCCAACCTCAAACACATACCCCTTCCTCCCGAGCAACTTCAGCCCCTCAATGAACTGGTCGCTCAAGCCGACCCCGTTCGGCTTGTCCTGCAGCAGATAGCGAAACCCCTTCACCTTGCTCCACGCCAGGGGGCCGGCCTCCTTCTCGGCCCGCTCGAGATACTCGCCCAGCCGCTCCGGCCCCAGGTTCACGGGAGCCCAGGGGACGAGCCCCAGGCACAGCCTGGCGTCCTCGGCGGAATGGCCCTCGCCCGGGTTGGACTCGCCGTTCGCCAGCCGGCGCATGAAGGCCACCTCCTGCAGCGGGCCCGTCCAGTCCTGCGCGCCATCGTTCTTGCGGTCTGCCTCGATGAAGATGAAGCCGGATAGCTGGGGTGGAGGGCGAGGGGCTTCGGAAGAGGCAGAGGCAGGGTTAGAGCCGGTGGCGGTGGCGGCGGCGCGGAACTCATCTACGGAGCACTGCTTGCCGAGCGGGTGGTCTGGGGTGCACCAGGCGAGGTTGGAGAGCTCGGAGGAGGGGTAGAGGTGGATGTGGCTGTCGATTATAGGGTGAGGAGATGACATGGTTGTGTACCTGTATGAATACCGGTCTGTGTAATGTTGATGTTGATGTTGATGTTGTGATCGGGTTGTCACAGCAAGTGCAGGGAGGGTTCCAAATTTTTGATAGAATGAAAGGGAGTTGATAGATATGGGCTTGTTCCTTTCGACTCCAAGGAGACACTTTGGAGTACGAAGAGGGACCTAGGTCTTTCAGCGTCGAATTGATCTCTCTTCTTTTCAAGTTGCTGCCTCACAAAACACAGTTGAGACCTAATAAAGCAGGACAAGACAGCTTCTCCCCGACCGAGCGGGGGAATTGATATCCTTCCCCACCAATAAGTGCAGCCCCTGCAGATTGCGCTGATCTTTTCATCACTTCTGGGACTAATATTCATCTGCCAAGGAGGCAGTGGGAGGCTGAGGAAGGGTGCATGCTGGGACAATGTGAGCTAACTGCTTGTATGTACGAACTATCGAGGAATGCAACAAAAGCAGACATACCGCGGAATGCCAGTGTCAGAACAGTAAAAGGGGAAAGTTCAATTGGAGGTTCTGGGGTTTGCTGTGCTTACACAGTATATACATCGCAGTCATTGTCACTTTGGCACTGTGCGTGCCAGGCTAGCAATTAAAGTCTTGCCCCACGACGCGTCTTCTCGCCTGCCCAACGCGACCCCTCCAAAGCCTTGGCCAGCTCGCACCACAACTGTCATACGATCGAAAACCGAAAAGACCTTGTTGGCATCGACGTTGGAGTTACCAGAGACCGCCCAACAGCAGTTACGCCAACATGGCCGAACAACAGATTACGCAAGGCGCGATAGAGTAAGTCGAGAAGCTGAACTGCGGGCCGATGCCAAAGAGTGCGTCTGACTTTCTCCGCCAGTGCCATTTTCAACGAGCCAGACCGCGCAGCCGCTCAGTTCCCCGTACCTGTGATGCAATGCCTGCAGCTCAAGACCCTCGAGGCGAAACAGGGAGCTCCGGGAGGGGGCGTTCAGAGATACCGCATCATCTTGAGCGACATCCGCAACTATGTGCAGTGCATGCTCGCCACGCAGGCCAACCACGTGGTGCACAGCGGCCAGCTGGATCGCGGTTCCATAGTGCGTCTGAAACAATATCAGGCCCAGTCCCTGAAGGGTAAAAAGTTGGTTGTGCCGTTACCATCCTTTTTAAGCCGCGGAGTAGCTTACAGGCTGTGTGTAGTGTCATGATCGTCCTGGACCTCGAGGTTATCCCGGAACTCGGCAACCCGGAAAAGATCGGTGATCCTAAGGGCTTGGAAATCAGGAACGAGCAGCCACAGAGTACAACTATCGGTGGTGCTGGCTTTTACGGGGTCAAGAATGAGCCGGTCCAGGAGTCGACATCGCAGGTCCAAAAGCAGTTGGCCTCTACCTCCAACCGAGGTGGCGGAGGAGGAGGGCCCAGCCAACACGGTGGCAGCACGATATACCCGATCGAGGCGCTTTCGCCGTTTGCGAACAAATGGACGATCAAGGTTCGGGTCACGAGCAAATCGGACATCAGGACATGGGCCAAGGCACACGGGAATGGCAAGCTGTTCAGCGTGAATCTCCTGGACGAGAGCGGCGAGATCAGGGCGACGGGCTTCAACGAACAGGTCGACCAATTCTACGACCTGTTCCAGGAAGGCAACGTCTACTACATCTCGACGCCGTGTAAAGTGGGGATGGCCAAGAAGCAGTTCAGCAACCTCTCCAATGACTATGAGCTAGTGCTCGAGCGCGACACCGTCATTGAGAAGGCCGAAGACCAGAGCTCGGTGCCGCAAGTGCGCTTCAACTTCTGCAGCATCCAAGAGCTCCAAGAGGTCGAGAAGGACGCCACGGTGGACGTCATCGGCGTTTTGAAGGAGGTGTCTGATGTGGACCAGATCATATCCAAGACGACACAGAAGGGGTATGATAAGCGTGAGCTGACGTTAGTCGACGACACGGGCTACTCGGTGCGTGTGACGGTCTGGGGCAAGACGGCAACCGAGTTCGATGCCAGCCCAGAGTCTATCGTCGCCTTCAAGGGCACGCGAGTCAGCGACTTTAACGGGCGCAGCCTGTCGCTCCTATCCTCGGGCACGATGGCGGTCGACCCCGACATCCCCGAGGCGCACAAGCTCAAGGGCTGGTACGACTCGAACGGCAGGAACCAGTCGTTCGCGACACACAGCAACATGTCAACGGTCGGGGCCGCGACGGGCCGCAAGGACGATTTGAAGACGATCGGACAAGTCAAGGCCGAGAACCTCGGAGTTGACGACACGACATACTTCAGCATAAAGGCCACCGTAGTGTACATCCGGCAGGAGAACTTTGCATACCCGGCTTGCCCCATCGAGGGCTGCGCTAAGAAGGTGACGGAGACGAGCGAGGGGTGGCGGTGCGAGAAGCACAACGTGGACCATGAAAGACCGCAGTATCGATACATCATGTCAATCAACGCCACCGACCACACGGGCAACCTCTCGCTCAGCTGCTTCGACGACTCGGCGCGCGTCATCATGGGCGGCAAGACGGCGGACGAGCTGATGGAGATGCAGGCGATAGGCGACAATGAAGCCGTCCACAAGGCGTTCGAGGCGGCCAACTGCAGGAAGTGGGCGTTCCGCTGCCGTGCGAAGATGGAAACGTATAGCGATCAGCCGAGGTATGAAAACGAGACGTATCATACTTGCTCGGAGTGATGCTAACAAGCTGCTGCAGGCTCCGCTACCAGGTCATGAGCGTCTCGCCGCTGGATTATCGGGCGGAAGGCCACAAGCTGGCCGAGATGATCAAGCAGATGAGCATGTAAGGTGGGATTACCGTGTGTTATGTTGAACTGTGCCCGGAACGGGAGTAGAAGCCTCAGCTCACCCCCGGGGTGGCGTTCGGAAACAGTCTGCAAGGACCAGTGGGGTACGATGGCCATCATGACGTGCATTCGGAAGCTGGAAGCTTTGTACCTTACGGAGTAACCCTTGCAAAAGATTTAGTCTGTAGACACACCGAGACACCGCTTTCCCGGTTGGAATGTAAGCTGGAAGCGTTGAGAAGCTCAACGATGAATCAGTTCAAACCGCCGTTCAAACGGAGGTGAGTGGGGCCGCCTAACGGCGCTTGCAGCCTTGTGGGTGCCGAGTGGGGCTTCTAGGCGCTAGGCCCCCAAATCGGAAATCGCGGGGTGAGAGAGCTCAAGCTTTACCAAGCAACTCACACCTCATCCATCAACAAAACTGCCAAAGCCCACGAAGTGCAGTCCTCTCCCAATTAACCGAACCGACGCGCCAATTTCAGATTAAGACCCCAACTTAACCGTAAACAGCTGGAGAGGTGCAGGACGGGCACAGCAGCAAGAGGCGTTGAACTGTAACATTTCCAGCTACGTTACCTATTCCGAACGTGTCACGGGGGCCACGACCTTATCGTCGATTTCTCGAGCTCAGGCTCTTCAGACAGAAAGACCCGGCTCTCAGATGGATCAAGCGGTCGCCGTGCTGTTAAACTTCCCGCCACCGGGTGGGTTCGCCGACGACGCGCAGTACCACTCGGCCGCTCAGTCGCACGTCCTAGAGGTGGAAAAGCTAACCGCGAAGGCCGACTTCAACAAAAGCTATGCTGCTCAGCTCCTCGATGTGGGTGCCTCATGTTGCCGGTTTCTAGGTCTATAACCACTGACACCGCGGCAGCATGTCAATCCAGCCCTCAATTCCATCTCGTACCTTAGCCTGCTCCTTGCCGTCCGGGGGGCCAACAGCCTACCGCAGGCCGATCTCTTGGCCAAATTCTCCGTCTTCCTCTGCACATTCGACGCCCGCCAAATACGTTACAGAAGCTCAGCCTTCTCGGTCGTTCTCGACTTGCTCGCTAGCGGGAGTCTGTTTCCGGTGAGGAGAAGTGGCTGTGCCATCCCCACGCATAGGCCGTGCTGATCCCACAAGTAGGCCTCGGTTGCTGTTGATCTTCTCACAACAGCCCTGCTCCGGCTTGATCCAACGGGGTCGGTGCTCACCCCCCACCATGTTGCTCTAGTCAAACTCGCATACACGACCGACGCCGTCGAACCAGCACTGCCTCTCCTCGAGAAGGACATCATCTTCTACCCCGGCGTGAAGGGCCTGTTGGAGACGCGGCCTCTGTCAGACCCGGACCTGCCACCCGCAGCGTACATGAACCGAGAGCCTGGAGTACAGAAGTCGCTCAGCCACAGCGACATTCTTGAATACGATCTCCTCCGTGCGCTGTGCTTCATTCAGCGGAGGGCATGGCGGCAGGCCTTTGACGCTCTGGAGCGTGTCCTCACATACCCCGCCAGAGACAGTCACTCATGCAGCAAGATCATGGTGGAGGCGCACAACAAGTGGATTCTCGTCGGGCTGTTACTCAACGGCAAGGTACCCACAATGCCGGCCACCATGGCGGCCGGAGCTCAGAAGTCTCTCGCCGCCCTGGGCAAGCCCTACCAGTCGATCGGCAAGGCGTTCGAGGAGAACACGGCCGAGTCGCTCAAGGCCGAATACGAGAGCCTGGGCGCGCAGTTCTTCAGCCAGGAGAACAACCTCAACCTCATGCGGCTGGTGATGCAACACTACCAGCGGTGGCAGATCCTCAATCTGCGCCAGGTGTACACCAAGATCTCGCTTGAGCAGATACGGGCGCGGACGCAGAGCGCCGAGACGGCCGCGCCGTTGGCAACGGAGGCCGAGATAGAGAAGCTGGTGCAGGAGATGATTGACGAGGGCATGTTGAGCGGCGTGATTGAGCGGCCGGATGGCGGGCTTGCTCACCTCATCTTCGTCTCGCCGAACGAGGAGCTCTCCGAGGCTGAGTTCGCGCAGAAGATGATGCGCACCGCGCAGCGCCTCAAAGAGCTGGAGCCTCTTGTCAAGGCGGCCAGCGAGCGCCTGGGCACGAGCCGCGACTACATCAAGTATTTGGCCGGACAGCAGAAGAAGGAGAAAGACGGGTGGCGCGACTACGACGCATCGTTCGTCAACACAGTCGAGGACGAGGACTTGATGACGGGTGTGGTTGCAGGCTACTAAGGAGCAGAAGTAGCTTCCACATCACCCCAGCGGGAATTAACTGGCTACGCTTGATTTTTATCTTGAGTGGTAGATAACACGTTGGGCGAACCTAGCTCTTGACTGCCCTTGCGGAACAGGGGCGACTCATCCAGAGTACGAAGAGACACTGGCTTATGAAAAGGAAACAAATCATGTATCAGGATGGCTGCGAACAGGCTGTGGCCAGGCGTTCGAGAGGACGGTGCATGGCTTAGGGATAACCATGCTTGCTGAGACAAGCATGTCTTGTTATGTTATGAATAAAGGGCATCAGAAGGAGGAATACAACGGCTGCTTCGTTGTCATTTGGAATGGACTGACGGGTCCTCGGCTCGGGCTATGTCCTGTCCAGATTACTAGGTAGAAAGAGCTACGTGCTGACTCTTATGTTTCCCTTCACATAATGCCCGAGGTGTCCCTTCTGCTGGCGCTCTGCTCTGATCCATCTTTTGTCTACCTATATCGGATGAGTCCTGGTTTGCGGTCCATCATGTGCGCCGGGACCAGGAGTACCTACTAGTAGTATACTCTATAGAAGTTCGACGTCCCCAACCGACCACTGCCGGACCTCAAGCCCGCTTGCAGAAGTGGCTGGCCCATATATTCGGCCAAGGGGTATTGGGGGAAGGCAGTAGTAGGCAGGTCCTCCCTGTCGGCAATGTGTACGCATTGAGAGGGGAGTTGGTTCGATTCCGGGGTAAAAATCCCAGCTTAGGGGTTTTTGGTAGCTGGCCCATGAACCCCTTCGATCTGGCGAAGGTCGGGTGATTTGGTTGGTGAGCTTTTTTGCGTGCGTTTTCCTGCTGCTGCTTCTCTCTCTCTGCTTCTTCCTTTCGTGGACTATCATTGATATCTCTTTTTTGGCACATGCCTCATCTAGTATACATGTCAAAGAAGCAAATAGAAAAACGAGCGATGCTCACAAACCCGTAATCCCAGCTGCTGTCTGCATATAGCCGGAACTGACACGGTCGGTCCCCTTAACAAGAGTATAGGAAGCAAAGCTTGAACCTATAGTTGTGCGGTAATAGCCAGCTCGGTCCATGCATCATATCGTCCCTCATCATTGTTCTGCCCCCGATCTCCTGGCCCATTTTCGGATTCGGTGTCCCATTTTTCCCGTCTAGTTAGATCGACAAAATGTCACCGGGAACTGCTCATATGAACCCTCTGCGCCCTCGCATTCTACTGCAATACGCCTAATGACCCGACCGACCGACCGACTTGATCCACAAAATCATATGGAGGTAACTCCACGTCCGAGACCTTACTCCCTTTCCCCCCTTCTTCCCTGCCCTAGCCCAGTGTCGGAGCCGCTGTGTCCATGTCCATGTACGCCATTCCTCCGTCCTAGAAGTGAGACATGGTGAACCGCAATTCCCCCTACTCCTTAACTGCCTGCCCTACATCAACCCTAATGTCCGAGTCCGCAAGGAGGAAAGAAAAGGGAAGGATAACACGTAGTAACCCCAACCAAAGTGCTAGCACTACTACTATCCCGCGGCATATCCATCTCACTTGTCACAGAACTTCCGCGAGAGCACACACCCTCTAATGACATTGCTCACTCAAGAAAGGAAGTAGGACAGAGACACACAGAGAGCTTAGAAGCTGGAAAGCAAAGGCGGAAGTAAATGGGAAATGGAAGGAAATGCAACGCAATGCAGCGCAATGCATAACGGCCCCTAAAGTAAACCTAGTCGTGATAAATACCCCCCCTCTACCCCCCTCACCCGCCCGATCCTCGAAAGACCCCATGTTCAAGACTCTAACCTAAGTAACACAGTCTATGTGGCACTCGCTGCCACAGCTGTGTTAAAGGGGGAACGGGAGGAAAGACAAGGCATGCTATGTAGTGAGTAGCAAAAAGGAAGATCTGAAAAAAAGGAAATAGAACAGAGGAAGAAAAAAAAACCCCGCTATCCATTGCCATCCATCCGTCCGTTTGTCCTGCCCCTCACCGTAAGGGAGTCCATAAACTAGTAGTAGGAAAAATTCGCAACGCTGAGCTCTAGAGAAAGCTGTAACGGAAAAGAAAACGAAAAGCGAACAGGACAGTGATAGGGGGAAAGATGGAACCTGCTGGGAGCAACGGGTGTTCTTTCTGACCTTCAGCAGACCGCGCACAGCGACGTCGGCTTCCCCTACCTAGGTACCAGGTAGTGCAGGCACCCCCCTTTTCGCCGAGGCCAACACTGACTGCTTAGTTATCGCCACCGCCCAGTCAGTTAATAGCTGAACTGAACTGACCCGACCTCTTCAGCAACGCCATCGCCATCGCCATCGCCATCGCCGTTGATGTTGTTGGACGTGTTGCCGGGGGGTGATTTCAAATGCACACCTCAGGGCCTCCCAGTCACATCGTTGCCGCCATTGGCCGCAGCTACGTCATCACCAGCGTCTTCCCCTTCCCCTCCCTCTTGGCGGTTGTTGTTGCTGCTGCGCGTAGGCGGCGCGATCGGCCCAAAGGGTGACGAGGACGACGTTGTGGTCGTCGGGTGGTGGAAGGCTGCGACGGTTGTGTGTGTGTTAGCAATTTGCGCATTGATGCTGGCTGATCCATGAGGTGGTGGTGGCGGTTTGTTAAGTCGAGCGGGAGGAGCTCCCTCCCCTCACTCGCTCGCCTGTGATGAGCGACTTTTTTCATGCATGCATACTTGCTTGAGACAGGTTGACTTTTTCTGCGCATTCCCGCGACGGAACCACAGCCCCATTGCCTCGTCAATCTGGCGGGCAGACAGACTTGTCGAAAACCCCGGGGTGTTGGGAATCCATCGTGCTGCACTCGTTCAAGAATGCCAAGACGGAAATAGGGGGTGATGTGAATGGAATGTAAACAAAACAAAAACAACAACCCGAAGGACAAAAAGAAAACCAAAAAGGAAATAAAAAAACAACGGTAAACTTACCAAACGTGCAGGCGGAATTAAACCCGGCAGCCTCAAATCCCAGTTGCCGCTGTGGTTGCTGCTGGGTCTGCGACGCGCGCCTCGCATGGTAGTGCAGGTGCTGCTGCTGCTGCTGCTGTTCCCACGGCCAGGCGGCACCCTGAGCCGCGGCACCACCAACAACACTGCTGGCGGTGCTGGGGAACATACCAAATCCTCCTCCACGCTGCTGGGGCGCAATTTCCGGCGTGGGATGATGATGATGATACTGCTGCTGCACAAGCCCCCGCGTAGGGCTAGCAACAGCAGCAGCAGCCGCCGCTGTGCCGTCATACCCTCCTCCTCCTCCTCCTCTTCTTCCTCCGTGCGGGAAGCCGTATCTCAGATCTTCGATGGCGCTGCTGGGTGGTGGTTCGGAGGACTGCGGTGCGGCTCGCCACGATGGTTGCGTCTCCGGCGGCGGAGCGGCGGTCGCGTTCCTGGTCCTGTTCCTGTCCCTTTCTGGGAGCTGTCCGTTATTCCCGCTGCCTCGATTTCCCATCGTCATGCCCCATCGCGAAGCAGCCAGGCCACCACCACCACCACCTCCACCTCCGCCTTCTCCGGCATTCCCATCACCATCCCGACTCACATCCCCACCAACAGGCGGCTTCTCGTCCACGGCAGCAGAGGTAGAAGGCGATGATGATGATGACAACAACAGATGAGTAGCAGTCGCAGTAGTCATAGCAGTCGCAGCAGCAGGAAGAGGAGGCCGCTCGGCCCGGGCCAGCTCGGCCTGGCGGCGCTTCCACCAGGCCGGGTAGCCCAGGAACAGGCCCAGCTGGTGCTGGGTCGCGCGGTCCGACGGCATCTCGTGCTTGTACTTGCAGCCTTGCTGGGTGAAGGCGCAGACGCCCTCGTGGACCCACTTGTCGCAGTAGATTTTGGCGCGTTTGGGTGCGGTGGCGGCGCTACCGGAAGATGTGGTTGTGTTTGTGGGGTAGTTTGCGGGAGTGGTGGTTGTGTTGTTGTTGGGTGAGGGCTGGGGGTTTGTGTTGTCAGTTGTATTTCTTCAAAAAGGGGTAAGGGGGTGGTGTGGAAAGGGAAAAGGAAAGGAGGCAAGGTTGGGCGTTGAGTTGTAGTAGGTTGCTTGCTTACCTGGCCATCACTCCGGACGCCGGGAGGGGAATTCTAAACAAAACATCAGCATCGTTAGCTTTTAGCACACCACACCACACCACCACTTCTTCGTTTCCTTTTCCACACTGCGAGAAATGACAAACTTGAACACCTACCCCCCCTTGATTGTAACAGCACACACAATATATCAACCTACCTTCCGCCCCTCAAAACCCAAAACAACAGAAATAAAAATAAAGAAAAAATAAAAAAGAAAGAAAAGAGAAGAAATACTCACAACAGCCCTCAAAACCCCGCCGAAATTACAACTTCTTCCATCCGGACCCATCCCCATCGGCACGGGCAGCACAACCAACCTGTCGCTCTGTCGATCGTCGGGCCTCTCCTGCACCGGAATACCCTGCAGCCGGAAGGGCAGCATGTCGACGGGCACGAGGCGCGTGCGGGCGCCGTTGGGGCGGACGAAGCAGTAGCCCAGCGTGTCCGGAGCGATGGTCAGCGGGAACGATGATGCTGTCGTCGTATTGGTATTGGTGTTGGTATTGCGGGTTGTGTTCATGTTCATGTTTGTGTTCATGTTTGTGGTCGAGGAAGAAGAGAAAGGGGAAGGGGAAGGAGAGGAAGAAAAAGAGGAAGAAGAAGGCTCGTTCCAGATGTTGTTGGTGGTGTTGGTGGTGATGGTGCCGCCGCGCAGATTCATCATGCTCAAGCCGCTGGAGAGCTGCTCTCTGCTGCCCAGTTGCTGCGGCGGACTGCTGGTGGTGATTTTGGTGGTGGTAGTAGTCGATGATGACGCGGGGTTGTTGCCATTGTTGGTATTATTATTGTTATTGTTATTGGTCATGTTGAGATGGCTTCCCGGTGACGTAGGCGAGTAATAGTAGTAGTGGTGGTGGAGGTTGCTGTGGCCGCCGCCGCCGCCGCCACCGCCATGACACGCCGGGTGGTGGTAGCCTGCCACGCTGCTGGAGCTGCTGGCCGAGGAAGGGTGGTGGCCGTGGCCGTAGAAGTTGCCGTTGCTGTGGTGGTTCGGAAATGCGGCCGAAGTCGGCGTCGACAGCGACACCGGCGTCGGCGGCGGGTTCGTGGGCAGGCCTGGCCCGGGCTGGCCAAAGAATCCGGCTATGTTGCTGTTGGCCGACGCGGGTAGGGGGCTGCGGACCGGCGTGGAGATGAAGAGAGAAGAGCGCGGCACTTGCTGGGGCGAGACGGCGTCTCCCGTCGTCATCAGCGCGCTCAGACGGGGCCTGGCCGGGTCGGCGCCGGCCTTGGCGCGCCAGTTGTCTGAGGCAAAAGGGCGCGATGCCTGGTCGAAGCGGGGGAAGTTGCGGAATGCTCCGAGCTGGCCGTGTCGGTAGGGGGCGGCAATGTCGCGGCAGTCGGTATTGGTATTGTCGGTGTTGTGGGTGCGAGGAGGGGAGGGGCTGGCCGACGAAATACTGGCATTTCTGTCATCACCACCATCGCTCTTGCCGGTACTACTAGTGGTGTGGTCGTTGTTGCCGTTGCCGTTGCGGTTGCCGTCGGCCTGCGCATTCTCGGTTGCCATCATGGCCTTCCACTTGGCGCAATAGTCGGTCAGATTTGCCGAATTTCGATGTTCGTCGTCAAACCCAGCCAGCCGAGGAGACGGCGAATCCGGGTCAAACGGCAGCTGCTGCGATGGCGATGACTGCGGCGTCGAAAGCAACGAGGGAGCCTTCATCGTGATGCCACTAGTAGGAGTAGTTGCGATGATATGAAGCGGCGAAGGATGCGGAGGGGGGGAAAGAGGGGCCGGCGATGAAGAGCACGAAGAAGTAACCGCGGCGGATGACGCTATATTTAAGCATGTGTTTCTCTCGGCCGGCGAAGAAGGAGTTTCTTCCGCGGCGTCCGTGGAGCACGCGGCAAGGCGGTCAAAGGCCAAATCAGACGCACTGCGATGCGTCTTGCCGGGCGGCTCGCTTTTGCCGAGTTCCCTGAGCATATCCATGGCCGTCTCAGCCAACTCTTAGAAAATAGAAAGGAAAGAAAGTCGGAGAGACTTCCGAGAAACAAGGCTGGGCTGGAGCCACGGAGCGAAGCGGTCACGCCGAGCAGCCAACACCCAACACTGTACACACCCACACACACGCAACGCGGGCAGCCAGACGAGATCGGACAGGAGGATGAAAAAGCGGGCCTGTGCTGGCGTGCAAACGGAGGAAGGAGAGAGACAGCGCCGGGCACCCGCTGGGTTGGGCTCGGCCTATACCGCCTGTCTCGTGGGTCGCGCGCGGAACTCGTCGTCGTCGTCGTTGTTGTTGTTGTGTTTTTTCTTTTCTAGACCGAGAGAGGGAAAAGAGGCAGAAACGGGCGGCAACGTTATACGCGGCGCGCTATGCAGCATGCGGTGCTCAACCGTCGCCGGCAACTGACTGGCACGACCGCTCGCAGGCCGTCACACGCGTGTCACGCCGGCAGGAGACAGTGCCGCGCGTAGAGGGGGGCGCAAGGGGAGACCGGCCAGGGAGAAACAGGGCTGACTTGGTGTATCTCGAGATGGCGTGAGGCAGCAACGAAGTGAAGTAAGTAAGGCAAGTATGAGTTGTTGGGCTGAGAGTGTACCGATAGTAGATATGGCCTTTGCGGATCGTAAGCATCGCCCACCCTTTCCAACCCTTCCTCCACCGAGCAAATCTGCTCCCCCTTTTATAACAGCCACTTACGTGTACACCACTTACACAACTCACCGGTTTGGCTCTCCTCGCAACTTTCCTCCCAGAGGATACCCACCGCTCCTCTGCAAGGAAACACGCACACACAATATCCAAACAACAAAAACAAAACAATGCCCCTTTCCACACACAACACACACACACACACACACACACACACACACAGAAAGGCCAAAGAAGAGCAGGCAAAGAGAGAGAAAGAGAGAACCAACCGGCAAAGAACAAGTAATTGCAAACGCCCGCCGCCCGCCAGAGGGGGCCCGGCCCCAGATAAGGTTCCCTGCATCGTAAAGCCCGGCTACCTGCATCCCACAACACAACACATCCACATATGTGTGTCACGGTTTTGTTTTGCTTCCTTCCTTCCTTACTTTCTTTCTTTGCTTTCAATTCTTTCTTTCTCGCGGCAAACAAGGCTGGCCGGAACCATCCGGATGTCTGACTGTGTATACTGTCCGAGTCATCCCATATACCTCCTCCATATGTGTATACCTTATTTAGGTGATACCTTATCCACCACCGAGGCCACGCAAGCACGCCCTATTTCTTTCATTATTGTTGTTATTGTTATTCGTTCTTTCTTTCTACACCGTGAACAAACAGTCTTGCTCCAACCCCACCCCCCTTTCCCCCCCAATGACTGACTGACTGACTGATTGTTTGTCATGCGAGCTCCCAAGAATGAAGAGTACCTATGTATCTATGTATGTATGGATGGTTTATGTATGACGTGCTCTTTGCTCTTCCCAACCACAACCAACAACCCCTTTCTCCAACCCCCTTGCAGCCCAGCCGGCTTAGGTAGCTACTATCTGCCCGGCTGTAAGGCACACATGCACGCCTCCGGCTTGCCACATAACTGTTACGAGTCGGTCTATCTGTAGTATCTTACCTTACAAAACCCAAACAAGACGGAAAGTTTGGGCAAGTAGGTAAGGTACGGTAAGTTAGGTAGCTCTTCCTTGAGTGGATTATCTCAGTAGTAAGCTGCAGCTTTGGAAGATAATATGCACTAGAGATCTAAGGTTCTTAGAACTTGCAAACAAACAAGGAAGGGAGATCCTCAAAACAACACCACACACACACACACAAAGATCACAAGCCTGTTCAGCGGAAGTTGGCGTGGAATTTTGTTGACTTGCTTTTATCAGAGGCAACCACTGGCACTGGCACTGGCATCCAACCCCTGACTACGTAGTAGTACCTAGGTAGGTACGGTAGATGGTTGCAGGCAATGCTAACTACGTTACCCGGGTAGCAAGTAAGTGGTAATAAGCTATTCACGCCCATATGCACCCATCCATCCATCGGCATACCCCCGGAGATAAGAGAGAAAAGCAGAAGAAAAAGAAGAAGAGAGATCCCAACCAAGCCGTCGCCATGCCTAAGGTAGGTACCAACCAAGCAGGACTCCACTCCCATCCGCACTCCGCCGCCAACCCAGAATGAAGCAAGGTATCGATCGCAGCAGCTATCTCGCCGGCGTTGGTATGTAGTAGTATACAAAGACACATGCACAATACATACATGTCCACCACCACGTCCTCCTCCGCATTACCTAAGGTATTTCCCCCCGCCCCTTCCTCTCCCCTGCCGTGGAATGGAATAAGGTTTTCATTCCCCCCTCACTACCCTATCCCCATCCCCATCCCGGTCCTACCATTAACAACACCACCATTAACACCACCACTCCCATTCCCATTAGAAAGCGAACTACTACCCCCCCTAACACGCCTCAACTTCTCCCCCAAAAACGCCCTCTGCGCCTCCACCGCCGCCGGCCCCAACCCTTCCGTGCCAACTCCCTGCCTCAGCCGGTCCAGCGCCAGCCGCAGCTTCACCTCGTTGCGCATCTCGGGACACTCCCACTGCGCCGGGTGCATGTACTCGCACACGCAACACAGCACGGTGGTGATCTCTACCCCGGGGTGGGTCTTTGGCTTCGTCTGTGCCGGGAGCTGCGGCTGCTGCGGGACTTTCATGTGGATCTGCTGGATTGCTTCTTCAAGGGTGATGGTGGTGGTGGTGGTGGTAGTGGTCACCACCTCCGGGGTAGTAGTAGGGGTGAAGACGGCGGATGAGGAAGGGAGCGGGATGATGAAGTTCGGGGTAGTAGTACTAGCAGCAGTAGTAACGTGAGTTGGAGTAGAGGAGGGGGGGATCACGGGGACGGGGATGGGCGTCGTCGAGATTATGCTGTTTCCGGTTCGAGAGAGGTTGAGGGCGACGACGCTGCCTGTTCCTCTTCCTGTTCCTCCGCCGTTACCGTTGAGCTGGTGGCTGGGCTGGTGGTGGCTTGTTCCAGCTCGAGCGGACGGAGCGGCAGCCCGGTCTTTTTGCTTCCGCGGCCGGCCTTTGTCGGGGTTCCGGGGGACGTCGTCTGAGTCGGGCGGCCGGAGGACCGCCGCTGTCGTGGCTGCCTCGGCTTCGCTGCCTTTGGCGTGGCGGGAGCCTTTCTTGCCCGCGGCTGCCCGGCCGTCGGGTTCGGAGTCTGCTGCCCCTTGCGTGAGCTGTTTGTTCGAGCACTTGCAGTTGCTTGCTTCCTTTTCGGCGTGGCGGGAGTGCGACTGGCACTCCGAGCACGGGCCTTTGAAGGGGTTTGCTTTTTTCTCGTACCTTGAGGAGTCTTGCCCTGCTTGTTAGATCCCGAAGGTGTTGTTGACTCACCGGTCGCCGTCGTGCGCCCGTCCTCGTCCTCGGTCTCGCTCTCTTCCGCCCCGCTACCGACGAACTCGCCATCGCCATCCCCGTGGTCACTGTCCACGGCCGCTCCACCCTGGCCATCGTTGAACTCGAATCGAGGACCTGTGTACATGGTAGCAGCCTGCAAAAAAGAAAAAGGGTTAGCGCTGCAGATCTTCTCGCACAAGCCGCTTGAAAACTCACCCCGCGACGACGACCTCCGCGGCCGAGCTTCTCCATGGTGCGCTCCGCCTCCCGCCTCGCCTCCTCCGCGCGCTCCTTCAAGATCTGGTCCCACACGCTCATGTTGATCGTCGGCTCTGCCTCTTGCAGGTCGTCGGCGAGCGCCCCCTTGTCGTTGGCCCACACGCGTGCCATAGCAAAGGCCGACTCGGCCGACTTATCGTCATTGGTCCTAGTTTCCTCCATCACAGACCGATCGAGGAGCTTATCTACCGCCGCCGAGTCGTACGTGATGGCATCCTTCTTCTTCCCTTCGCCAAAGAGCGCTGCGGCGCCGTGCTTGAGGACCGACTCGACGTCATTAGGGGACTCTTCGTCGTTGTCCATCGTCTCGATAAGGAGGTGGTCCAAGGCCATCTTCTTGCGGCCAATCTGCAGAATCTTCTCCTCGGCCGAGTCTACCGTCATTAGCTGGAAGCATAGCACCTTCTTGCGCTGCCCTATGCGGTGGGCACGCGACAGGGCCTGGATATCCTGGTGCGGGTTCCAATCGGGATCTAGGATAATGACTGTATCGGCCGTGGCCAGGTTAATGCCCACACCGCCTGCGCGGGTAGAGAGCAGCATGGCAAAGATGTCCGAGTCCGGCGCGTTGAATGCGTCGATCTTCTTCTGCTTCTCCATGCTTGACTGACTGCCGTCGAGCCGCTCATGCTTCATGCCCATGCCGGCCAGGAAGTCTTCAAGAATGGTCAGTTCGTCCAGGAACTGGCTGAACAGCAGGACTCGATGGCCCCGCTCCTTGAGCTTGGGGAGCATAATTTCCAGGAGCATGAGCTTCGAGGACGCCTCGACCAGGTTGCGCCGCGACACTTCCGGGGACACGGACCGATCCTCAATGGCTTGGCTATAGATGAACGGATGGCAGAGGCATTTCCTCAGCTGCATCAGGATATTGCTGAGCGAGCCTCGCTCGCTGGCCTTCATCTTGCCCTGTATGAAAATGGACCGGATAAGCTGAGGGTTGCGCTCCATGATGGACTTGCAGAGCCTCTCCTGCAGCACCGTCATGCTCACGGGAATGATGATCTGCGCCATCGGAGGGAGAAAGGTAAGGACCTCAGCCTTTGTCCGGCGAAGGAAATACGGACGAATCAGCTCATGTAAATCTCTCAAGTTATCGGCTGTGATTTGGGTGAACTGCTGGTCGAGCTCCTCCGCCTTCATCGCCGGGTTGACGAACTGTAGGAGGTTGAACAGTTCCCGCTTGTTGTTCTGAAGCGGCGTTCCTGTGAGCAGCAGCTTGAAGGGGATGCGCAAGGCGTTGAGTGCCTTGTACAGCGTATTCTCGTCGTTCTTGAGCGCCTGCGCCTCGTCCACGATTAGGCCGGCCCACTTGGTACTAGAGAACCGGCTGCGCGTCTCGCTGTCCTTGGCCGAGTCATAGGACATGATGACGACGTGCGCCTTGAGGTCTTTGGTCCCGTTCGGGAAAAGCTCATAGTTCAGAGCCAGCGTTTGCGACACCCTTCCGCCATAGTAGGCCACGACCCTCAAGTCGGGAGCCCACTTCTTGATCTCGCGGCGCCAGTTGGCGCATGTCGCGTTGGGCACAACGATTAAGAAGGGCCAGATCTTGGGATTATCCTGGATGAAGCTCGATAGCAGCGCCACCACCTGAACCGTCTTGCCGAGACCCATTTCATCGGCGAGCACGACGTTGCGCCCCTGGCGGAAGTTGAGGAGCATCCAATTCAGCCCATTAAGCTGATATCCCATCAACTTGCCGCGCCAGAGGCCCTTGGGTTGCTCATGAACTTCGATGTCGCGGACGAAGTCGAGCTCGCGGAATTCGTCGATCCGCCCTCTTATGGCCTTCCAAGGCTCGGATTGGAAGTGTCTGCCGTTGAGGTACTCGCGATAAGCCTCGCAAAAGGCATCGTAGAGAGTGCCGGCGTCGGGAGGCGGCGGGGTATCCCAGACAGCGTCGTCGTAGCCCAGGCCCTCGAACTTCACGTAAATCTTGATGACGTGGAAGATTCGGCTCAGGTCGTCCTCAAACTTGTCCTTTGCCGACTTAGCCCGGTACTTCTTCTCGTCCTCGCGTGATCTCGGGGCGTAGTGGACATCGAGGATGATGTCGGGTGTGATCCACGAATCGTGGATCGCCTCCTTCTCGGACCACCGCAGGAGCGAGTCGACGTGTCTACCCCCGTCGATCGCTTCATCGGATCCGTCTCCGAACGTTCGCTTGAGGAACGACAGACGCATAGTCGGCTTGACAACACCGAATACCCAGGCACCGGGCATCCACATACAATGGTTGTACGACTTGTTCTCCCATTTCAGGAGGTACTCCAGGTTGTCCTCGGTAAGGTCCGTGATCGATTGGCCTTCCTTGTATGTTTTAGGATCCAGGGGCCGCCATGCAACCATCTTGTCCACCTTCTCCTCCCAGGTGGCCTGGCACTCCTTGCACAGCCATTCGATTTGATACTCCTCGCGGCGGTGCTTGCGCAGATTGAGGGGATCGTCGATCGCGGGGTCTCGGGACTTGTTGGGGTGTGGAAGGTGTTCGTAGTGCCAGGCACGATGGCAACGGCCGCAGCGGAAGAGAACGTTGTCCGGATTATTGACGAGCTTCGGCTCAACAGGTGTGATAGGATCGACGCCGCCGTTCTCGTTACGCAGCGTCTCCTCCTGCTTTTGCGTCTTCCTCTCCGAGAAGGGAACACAGGAGGGACTCTTGGTATGACAGCCTTGACAGACGTCATGGCTCGGCGCCCGGTGGTCCTTCTTCTTGTAGGTGCCAATGCAAAAGCGGCATTGCATAACAAACGAATCGGCCGCCACCTTGGTGACCCTATGGTCGCGCGCGCTGCGGGTGCCGAGACATACTTTGTGGTATGAGTTCGAACACCCCTGGCACGGAACCAGGGGCCCCTTATTCCTGTCGTCGCCATAACCACAGCTGTCGCAAAGAGGTCGATGAGCTTCCTTAAAGTCATACGACGGCGACGGTTGGAAAATCTCGCGCACGCTCATGATCTTGGGCGCCGCGGGGGCTTTCTCGTCCTCGTAGTAATATATGTCTTCGTTGTCTAGATAAGTGTCCGTCATAACCTTCGAAGTCTTGTTGGCCCTGGACGATCGACGACGGGACTCAAACTCGATGTCTTCGCCGCGTAGAGACAGGCTAGACCGCCCCCTGGTTGGCAATGTCCTCAGCCGTCTCCTAGTCTTCTTGGTCTGGACAATGTCAGATTGGACGATGAATGTCTCGTCGTCAATGTCAGAGCCCTGGAGCTCATCCCGATCGTCATCCTGTGAGTATTGATACCGAGCCAAACTGGCTCTGGGCCGAAGACGCAACCGCCGTCCCGCCTCCCTGCGCTCGCCTTCGCTAGAGGCAAGAAGAGAGCTGGCGCGTGTGCTGGCACGTCTGCTACGGAGTCTGGGCAGGTCTTCATCCGAGTCCCCGTTAAGCTCATCATCACTAGAGTAGTCTTCATCCTGCCGCTTCCTCTTTGTGCCGTGCCGCTCAGCAAAATCGTCATCCTTCGAAGGGTGTCAGCACAAGCTCAAAAAAACGGAGCTGGCTCGAATGTAAAGAAGAGAACACAGTGCGTTCCAAGGTTGATAAACAATCATAGGCCAACCGCGAGCATCCGCCCGTCAGACAGACCAAGTGTAAGGGACTGATCGCTCATCTCCGTCGCCTATCACGGCCATTTGGCCCCCGCTTTCTTACCATTGTGAGTCGGTCGTGTCTTTCAAGGTCAGACTTAATCACCTAACCACGATCGCTGGCGTGGCAAGCGGATAATAGTGATGGAAAGGTGCACGGTTGGATTGTCTGAATGAAAAGAGGGTATTGGCAGAGAGAGGAAAGAAGGGAGTGTTATGGAAAAAGAGAATTGTTGAGAGAACTTGAATTATGGGGTTGCTTTTGAATCCGCAACGCGAGCGAGAGCAGAAGGTGCAGTTGTGTGGAAGAGTTTGAGGGGGGCCTGGGTTTTGCGAAGAGGAGAGAGGTGGGCACAAAGCGCTCCTAAGCACAACTAGGAGGTTTGGAGTCTGCGAACTTTCAAAGCTGCTTTTGCGACGGTCTCCGGAAACTGAGAAAGTTGCCCTGATATCCAACTTGTATCGACGTCTCTCAAGCGATAGGAGTGCGGCCACTCGGGAAGCCCTATCGCCTAGCCGTCTGCCAGCTTTCGGATGACCAAGCGTGGATGAGGTGATCTGGAGATCAGGTATGGAGAAACCGACAAACGGCTTGGGCCAGGCAGGCGCAGTCTCTGTTCATCTGCTTGTCGACATCCGAAACAAGGCAATTGGCTCTCACCACTTGGATACACCTTTCCCATCCCAGGAACAGCAAGCAATAAAGGGAGAGTAACTCACCCCTTTCCGTTTTCTTCTGGTTCTGTGATATTCATCTGGCCGGTAATCGTCCACCTCGACCTTCTGGTATCCTGCCCGGTCCGCTGGTGGCAGCCACGGCAAGTGGACCTCAACGACTGACCTAACGTTCTCAGGCTCATCAATGGGGGACTCCGCAAGCCCGTTCACCTGCCCGCCCTTCGTTACTTTCTGAGGCGTGGTCTCGGCCTGGTTCTGGTCCCAAAGCAAATCCAACTTCCCAGCCATGGCGGCAAGGGACGCACTCGCGATTTCATCGAGGGCCAGCGGATCTGGCGCATCATCGTCGCTCAGATCGGACTGGAAAGTAAATGGTTCGGGTTCTACGTCCGCCCCATTGACAAACAGCTCGCTGTCTGAGCTGATTAAGCCATTGAGGTCAGTCATGGTGGGGACCGGTGATCGTCGCGAGCTACGGGTTGCGCTCAGGTACTGCTCCGGGGACGGGCTTATAGAAGGTTTATGACCTCTTTAAATTAGGAACCTTGGGCGTCAGTCATATATAACTCTGTAGTCTCCGTCGCACACATACCCAGAGTTAGAACACTGGAGAAGCGCGCTTGTGCTAGCGTCGGGGGTCACATCAATGGCGAAAGTGAAAGAAATAGAAAAACGCCGTCGAAGCCAACACGGGAGACGCGACTTTGCTTAAGGAGCACGCGTTTATCATGCGCAGCCTAACGGTTACAATATCGAGCTGCTTGCTCAACTCGCACTGTGCCCACATTGGAGACGGGTCTTCAGCTCGGCTCCCATTGGCTGAAAGGAGCGCAGTGTGGGCCCCTATCGCAGGAGTCTGGATTGCTCTGAAGCTCCGAAACTTCAATTGGCAGCTTTAGGTTCACGATGAAAAAGTGACGTGGGTGTAAATCATCTAGGCCTCATGTACAAAAGGGATACTAACCTACTAAGACAGATTCGGGGCTTATAGTTCTACAAGCAACATTGGTGTTGCTACATCAGATCATAGCTTGGATAAGCCTTCATTCAGTACTCAGACCGTTTGTTGAGGAACCTCAGATGCAAATTGTGAAACAACTCACTGCGAAATCAGATATTGCGCCGAGGAGGCGAGGCAGCAGAGTTGCTGTCAACTCATCCCTCCGGTCTCATGCGTAAGGCCCGCGCAGCACCAGGTTCTAGTCCGAATCAGAATAGGCTTGCAACATGGCCTTGGCTTTGGTCCTCAGAACGGCAAGGCCGTTGCCGGTGGCGGCTCCAGCATTAAATGCCACTCTCACCGCTCCCACAAGAAGGCACGCCTCGCTCGTATCCTCCCTCGCGGCCATTCACAAAGGCTTGGCTCGGTCTGAGAGAGCACGGCCACAGGGTGCCCGGACAGACAAGGATCGCCCAGAGGAAAGCACAAACAACAAGGCCAGCAATCATCCAGAAGGCGCAACGCGCATGACTTACGCCGAGAGACAGAAGGCAAGAGAAGAACTGTCCAAGCAGAGGCCGGCTTTCAAAATCCGCAAGGGCAAGAAGGACATCACCGAGTACCCGGACAAGGCCAAGAAGAAATCCCGCCAGGCCCGGTTCTACGACCCCAATTCGCCGTTTGGCAAGAAGAGCTTGGTTTACCAGCTCAAGACGGGCAAGCTTGGGGCGGAGCTCAAGGGGTTATTGAGCCAGGACGGCGACAATGCCTCAGAACCCTCCTCGGCCTTTGAACGCACGGGACCACGACCGGACCTGAAGGACAGGCCGCGTCGGGTTGCTGCCTCGGCATCAAGGCACCGGAACACAACTAACGACATGGACGTGGTTGCCGAGTTGTCGCGGACGACGGGGGATTCCAGCTGGTCTTCGCGGTCGGAAGAACAACTAAGCACTGGCCGGGCGAGAAGAGGAAGGGTCAGGAGAGATTCTCCGATGGACGCGCACCGGTTACGTGAAACACGGCCCGTGTCCGACAGGGTACCGAAAGCTGCGAAAGTCCGCGATCCCGTCTCGATCCCCTACACTACCGCGGCCTCACAGTTCCTCTACGGCAAATCCGTGGTTGAGGCCGCTCTCCGATCCTCCCGCCGCAAGCTCTACAAACTGTACATCTACGGCGGCGCCAACCGCCAAAACCCGCACGAGGACCACCTCATGCAGAGCCTCGCCAAACGCAAGGACGTTCCGGTCACCGTCCTAGACGAGGGTGGCCTGCGCCTGATGGACAAGATGGCCCAGTCCCGACCGCACAACGGCTACGTGCTCGAAGCCTCGCCGCTGCCACAGCCGCCGCTCAAAGCGCTGGGCCCGCTTCCGGACGACTACGCCAGCAACCCGCGCTGCCCCGTCGAGCTCGCCCACCAGTCCGCCGAAGAAGCCGTCATCAACGGCCACCCGACCTCGGTCCCGTGCCCCTCGGCAACGCACAAGCCGCTGGTGGTGGTGCTGGACCGGATCATCGACCCGCAGAACCTCGGCGCCATCCTCCGCACCGTGTCCTTCCTGGGCGCCACCGCCGTGGCGATCACGCGGCCCGGCTCGGCGCCGCTCGGCAACGTGGCGGTCAAGGCGTCCGCGGGCGCCAGCGAGACCGCCAACCTCTTCGCCGTCGACTCGCTGCCGCAGTTCCTCAACGACTCGCGCGCCAACGGCTGGGCCGTGTATGCGGCCGTGGCCCAGGGCCCGAGCCCGACGGGCACGAAGCAGCGGCGGCACGTGAGCCTCATCGACGTCGCGGAGACGGATCCGCTCAAGCGGGAGCCGTGCGTGCTGCTGGTGGGGAACGAAGGGCAAGGGCTGGACAGGCTGGTGGTGAAGAAGGCGGATTACCAGGTGAATATTCCGAATCTGTCCTCGTCGAGCACGGTGGATAGTTTGAATGTGAGCGTGGCGACCGGGTTGCTGTGCTCGGCTTTCCTGACCGGGGTGGTGAAGGAGCGGGAGCAGGCGGAGGCTGAGGGAAGGGGGCCGGCGCTGTTTTGAAGCTGGAAGGTGTTCGATTGTGTAATATGTAACTTTGGCATTGTGGGGGACATAGGTTGGAATGGCTAGAAGTTGGATAGACCGTTGGTTTGCATGGCTTGTATCATAGGATAGATACCCTTTTATAGGACTGTCAGACATGCAGGGGGTAAACTATAAACAATCAACAGTCGCAACCGCACCCGTGTGCCACGGGTGGCTGCACGGGGATTCTGATATGCAGGGTCCGACAGGGGTTGATCGGTGCTTGATCCACAGTGATGCTTCACGAGCAGTGGCCTAATGTTGGAGCTGGCTTGTAAAGCTCTCAGTGTTTTACATGTTCCAATTGAAGAGCCACGAAGCATGCTCTTACAGTCTACCATCTGCCTTCTGCTGCTGGAAATAAATCGTTTATTACGTTGAAGTGGTCTCTCCCTCACATCAACTCATCCCGCCTCACCTCGTCCTCAGCCCCCTGTCAATGACCGCGGTGAGTGGTTTAGTTTAGCTTGGCGATTGTGCCTTGTGCAACCCAAACCGACCGAATGTCAACAACTGAACCTCAGCTTCCTCATCTGACAACTTTTTGAACTCGGACCCTGAGTGTCGACTTTGAACCGATCGACGCACTCATCCTCCCGTCTCTTAAAAGATGAACACTTCCAAGCAGTAGTAGTCTACCATCCTGCCGCGTTTTACAGACTCCTGCTCCGACTTGCGAACGCAACGCAGCCCAAACACTGGGCGGCGCATATACGACCCGCAGCATGCGCCCACTACCATCCTCGCTATGGCTCCTCATCGCAGCACAGATCGAAGCCCGCGTGCAAGCGCAAGCTGAGTCGCACTCCCCGTTGCAACAGCATCGCCTAGTACCCACAGCGATCCGCAAGATGCCGCCCGACCAAGGCGCCAAGTTCCACCACGAATACTGTGCCTTCCCGGAGCACGAGCAGCACGCCGCCTTCGCTCCGGCATCATCATCCCACAAACCCGCCGCAGCAATAGCGGCGCGCAGCGCCCTCGACTCAGAAGACGCCCTCCGTCTAGCGGGGAACGCATCCGCAGAGCTACCCCTGCGCCCGCCGTTCGCAGTGCTCTCGGGTCTGGAGGAGTTCGAGTTCGAGGACGAGGACGAGGACCGGAGGATAGCACCCCCGCCACCCCCTGCAGCATGGGACTGCCTGTTCCGCCGCGCAGCGTCAGCCCTCGCATTTCTCGAGAAGCGCCAGTGGTCCTGCCCCAGCGGGACAAGCAGCTGCGCGTCGATCGGGTACCCCAACAGCTGCTGCGGGCAGGGCGAGACGTGTGTGGAGGTGCCCGACACGGGACTGGGGCCGGTGGGCTGCTGTCTGGAGGGGGCTGCTTGCGGGGGCGGCATCTCGGGGTGTCCCGGTGGCAGCACGACCTGCGGGAGCGAGGTCGGAGGCGGGTGCTGCATCCCGGGGTTTGTCTGCGCCGGCGTGGGGTGTGAGTTCCATTTTCCTTCCACTTCCCACTCCTTTTCGCCGGTAATAGTTTACTAACCTCAACCCTCCCATGGACCAACAGGCGTCCGCTCCTCCTCCTCCTCCCCCTCTTCACCTTCCCGAACCCAACAACCCTCCCTAACAACCCTCACAACAACCTCAACAAGCATCATCCCCCTCCCAACCCCATCCACAGTCCTGGTGACAGTAACAGTCACCCTCACCCCGTCCTCCGCCTCCATCACGTCCGCCATAACCTCCACCATCACCCAAACCGTCTCCCCATCCCCATCCTCAGGCTCCGGCCCTGGAGCCCCTTTCCGCCCAACCTCGTCCTCCTCCTCAGCAACCCAAACAAACACAAACACCTTCTGCCCAACAGGCTTCTATCCCTGCCTGGCGACCGCGGGGGCCGGGTGCTGCCAGACGGGGCGGGACTGTGCCGTGTCGTCGTGCCCCTTGCCGGGGGGCATGACGGCAGTGCAGAGCAACGGGGTGACTGTTCTTGTGCCGGCTGGTTCTACAGGGACTGGGATTGGGAGTGGTAATGATGGGAGTGGGAGTGGGAGTTGTGCGAGTGGGTGGTTTTTGTGTGATAGTAGCCATGAGGAGGAGGGGGGGGAGGGGTGCTGTCCGAGCGGGTATTCCTGTGGCACGGCGAGCTGTTTCGCTACTGCTACTACTACGCAGTCCGGTGTGACGGGGCCGGCGGCGAGTGTGGCAAAGGCGTTGCCTGGGGCGAATGCGGGTGCTAATGGGAGGTTAATAAAAGGAGGAGGGTGCGGGGGGTGGTGGTGGTTAGCGGGGATGGCTGTGGGATGGGTAGGTTGGGGCGGCATGAGAATATGAGTGAGGACGGAAGGGAGCATGACATGAGCATGACATGAGCATGAAGCGGGGTGTTTTATGATTCTAGTGGCATGCATTTTGTTGTTTAAGTTGGGAGGAGGGTTGCTGTTGTATTGCATATCTATTGTGGTGATACCTGGACGACCCATAGACATAAGGTACCCAGAGAGACATACACCCTTCAGGGGCTGTATCATTAAGATCATGGAGGGTATGGTACCCCAAGAACCTGCAGTACCCGACCTAGACGTTAAACATTGGCCTCTACCCCGCGCTCCTCGCAGAACTTGCGCACCTCCTTGCGCAACATCTCCCTCTGCCGGCCGACCAGATCCACGATGGCCTCCACGTCGTCGCCCAGCTTCCCTCCCTTCGCCCCCGCCGCCTCATACACCCGCATGATCTCGTCCATGACCGCGCCGAGCTGGTTTGGCAGCCAGGTGACAATGGGACTGCCGCCCGTGGCGGTGGGATGGCTCGTCCGCTTGAGGATGTACTCCCTTGCAAAGCACCAGTGCCGCCACCGGAAATCTCGCACCTGGTCCAGCACTTTGATCCACAGCGCCCGGGTCTGTCTCACCTCCTCCGCCTCCTCCTCATTATCATGATCACGATGATCCAAAGCAAGAGCCCACCCCTTCAATCCCCCTTCCTCGCTCGCCACCTTGACCCACTCCAGAAACTCCCTATGCTGCCCCGGCCGATAGCTCCTGAAGTCTTTGAGAATCTCAGTCAGCGGCGTCTGCGGCATGGGAATCGCCAGCAGGTTGTCGACTAGCGGGATCATAGAGTCGTTGGCGCCGCTCTCCCCCCTGAAGTCCACCGGTTTCCCGCCCAGCTCGGGCACGCCTTCGTACACGACACCCTTGGGGAACATGCTCTGCGAAGTGATCCCGAAGATGAACGTCCGAAAGGAGGTGTACTGCGTCGGGCGGCTGCGGGCCCACATTGTTTCCATGGTCGAGTTGACCTTTTGTAAGGAGGCCAGGACCTGGGTTAGCCCCGCGTTGAGGGTCTGTCGAGACGGGGAGGGGGAGGAGGAGGAGGAGAGGGAGGAGAGGCAGGCGACGGCGCCGGCGACCAGCGGGCCGGAGTGCTTCACCATTTCGATGTGCACCAGCACGAAGCCGGCCTCGGACGAGGACGGGTCGAGGCCGTGCTCGAAGGCGCGGATCAGGCGCAGGTTGGACGAGGCCAGGCCCTGGGAGGGGTCGGCGAGGCGGTAGTTGAAGAGTGCATAGGAGCCGGCGTATTCCATGAATGGTTTGAAGCCGCAGCTGGGTGGGAAGGTTAGACTTGACAGAAAAAGAAAGGAAGGAAGGAAGGAAGGAAGAAAGGAAGGAAGAAAGGAAAGGAAAGGACAAAAGAAAAGGAGAGAGAAGAGAAGGAGACGAAAAAAGGAGAAAAGAAGAATGAAAAAAAGAGAAAAGAAAAATATACTCACAGAGCAGCACACTTAGCAATCGGCCTCGCAACATTCGCCGGCAACACGTCCCTCGCAAGACCATACCCCTCCCCCTTCACAAACCGCTCATGGCAGGGCTCGAGGAGGTAGGCCGAGGCCAAGAACGAGTAGTCGCGGTACAGGGCGTTCATCAGCGGCAGGTTGTCCCTGTACTTATCGACGGCGTCGGTCAGGTCGGGCAGCTCCGCGGCCACCGTCGCGCCCAGCTGGCCGCGCGCGAGCAGGCCCGGCTCGCCCGACAGCGTCTTGACGGGCATGCGCTGGAGGATGGACTCGAGCGCGTCGAACTCGGCGGGCAGCGTCGCGATCGGGTCCATGCGCGGGAGGAAGCCCCGCGTGGTCGACACCATGAAGGCCGGGCGGGTCATGTCGTCCGGACAGGTGTCGTCCAGGACGGGGAAAGGGGGGATGGTGGTTCCGAGGGAGCCCATGGCGGCGAGGGTGATGGATGAGTATGATGCTTGAATTTGGGGGGGGAGGGGGGGGGAAGGGGGGAGGACACTTTTTGCAGAGATGGAAGTTTGACTGTTGATTGCTGACTGCTGACTGCTGACTGCTGACTGCTGACTGCTGAGCAGAGATCGATTCTTGGGCTGACGACTCGGGCGCCTATATAGACCATGGCCGGAATCTATTCCGGCCTCTGACCCTGTCGGGTTGGGCTATCGGCCAGTTGATTGCCATGGCGAGCGGTTTCTCTTTGTCATGGGATGAGCGGGCGAGGCACATGGCCCCTGACCCGAACCTCAGTGCCGAGATGTCGCTGTGCCAAACATGGCGACAAACGGAATGAGGTCTCGTTCAGTCTATCTCGAAACTGGCAGCGGTGTCAGCATCGGTATGATCGTGTACATGTGCTGTGTACATACTACGCAGATTTGGATCAACTTCGTTCAGTCCAGTCATGGATTATTTGAACCCAAGTCTGATGATGCTGATGCGATGGCCTCGCTGTCTTTAAGTCCTCGGCGCGCATCACCATGAGTTCCTTATTTCACCTTACCATCCTCTATCTCGTCCGACGCAGGCGGTTGCATGGGGTGTGTCATGGAATCAGGGGCTCCATTCTTCTCCGGCCTTAGCCGGCCTCAGCCGGCCATTAAGCAATCGGCGGGAGTGGATGCGGAGTCGAGATTATCAAAACGGCCGGACCAATTCCGGCCGTTAACTCGGGGGCTGTCGGGGCAAAACGGCGACCGTTCCGTGACAGTCCACAGCAATTTTGCAGGGAGCTTCGCAGCCGTTTCCCAAGACGGAGCAGAACGCTATACCAGTATTTGCCAAGAGCTCCGTAAAGGATCACTTACACGGCTGTCACGGCTCACCTTCCGTTATCGGGTTGATACCCCTCAAGCTAGTACACTTCCTCCGCCGGTGAGAGAAGAGTCATAATAAGCCCGCAAGACAGCATGTCCGCCAAGCAGTGGGGTGTTTGGATATAATGTGGATGTTCCAAAGCCTTTCATACTGCTGAAACACTTTCATGCCACACCCTTTCTAGCCCTTGAACTACGCCCCGTTTTCATATTCCGTCATCACCGGTCGGCACCGACGCCGGAGCGAACCCCGACCCGGACTGAGTCCACGAAGTGTGTCCCGATCCGAGTTCCGTCCCCGGTAACCCGGCATCCCCCCGGCCCTCCGAGCCCGGAGCCGCAACCTAAAAAAGAAAAGATGGCCGACCCGTCCACGGCCCCGCCGCTGACCCGCGCCTCGGTGCAGGCCGCACACAAGCTGATCGAGCCGTACATCCACAAGACGCCCGTGCTGACCAACGCGACGCTCAACCGGCTGGCCTCCACCCCGCGGACCGAGGCCGAGCTGGCGGGCACCGAATGGGCCGGGCGCACGCCGGCCAAGCCCGTCATCCGCTTCTGGTTCAAGTGCGAGAACTTCCAGAAGGTCGGCGCCTTCAAGGCCCGCGGCGCCTTCCACGCCATCGAGCGGCTGAAGCAGGACCCTTCGTTTGACCGGGCGAAGGGCGTCATCACGCACAGTTCTGGTGAGTTTTAGGGGGTTCGCCATAGTTGTAGAATTGTCGAAGAAAATGATCCAAGCTTTCCTAAACAAAACATAAAAAAAACAGGCAACCACGCGCAAGCGCTCTCCCTCGCGGCCGCCATCTCCTCCATCCCCTGCACCATCATCATGCCGACCATCTCGACGCCCGCCAAAATCGCTGCCACCCGGTCCTACGGCTCACGCATCATCTTCTCCGGCCCGACCTCGCCCGAGCGCGAAGCGGCCGTGGCCGCCGCGCAGGCCGAGACCGGCGCCCGCCTGGTGCCGCCCTACGACCACCCGGACATCATCCTCGGCCAAGGCACCGCGGCGCTGGAACTCCAATCCCAGCTTTCCCTCCTCCTTCCCGAGAAGACCACCACCCTCCACGCAGTGATAACCCCCTGCTCCGGCGGCGGGTTACTCTCCGGCACAGCCCTCGCGTGCGAGGGGACCGGCATCCGCGTGTTCGGCGCCGAGCCGTCCTTCCAGGGCGCCGACGATGGCCGGCGCGGGTTCGCGGCCGGGGAGCGGGTGACGAGCGTCAAGTCGCTGACCATCGCGGACGGGCTGCGCACGCCCGTGGGCAAGATCCCGTGGGGGGTGATCTACGAGCGGAGGCTGGTGGCGGGCATGTACAGCGTGGGCGAGGACGAGATCAGGAGGGCCATGCGGCTGGTGTACGAGCGCATGAAGCTGGTGGTGGAGCCGAGCGCGGTGGTCGGGCTGGCCGTGGCCTTGTACAACGAGGACTTCCGGGCCATGGTGGAGCGGGAGGGCGGGCAGGAAGGGTGGGATCTCGGGGTGGTGTTTAGTGGCGGCAATGTGAGTCTTGATAAGCTGGGGGAGTTGCTCGCGTGAGATAGAAGAGAGTTAAGACAAGAAGAGGAAGGGGATGATGCGCTCAGAAAACAAGTCAAATACCACCAAACCATCATCAGCTAGAACCATATATATGTACAGTTTCTACAAGCTGAAGCCCAAGATTAAAGAAATGTGCCGTGAAAAGAAATCAAGGCAGGCTTTTTTTGATTCCCCGTTGCCCTAGAGGTATCTCAATCCCGAAGCGGGGCGACAGCCCACCCGTCCCATAAGCCAGAGTATCAACCTGTTCCCGAGCAAAGAAACACGCCAGCCCACAACGCCACCACTTTACTTCTGGTTCTCGGGCCGCAGAGAACTGGGAGGGATGCGTTAGCTGATGTCCGAATCATTGAGGAATAGGGTAAATTAAATGGGTGCTTACCGAACGGCCTTGCCCGCCCGCCAGATCTCCAGGTTGCGGATCTCCTCCATCTCGGCCTCGTACCTCTCACGGTAGTCGGGCTGCGAGTTGTACTCGAGCGAGCGCTTGGTCTCCTCGCCGTTCTTGACCGAGTCGTACAGCTGGTTGAAGACGGGCTTGAGCGCGTCCTTGAACCGCGGCGTCCAGTCGATGGCGCCGCGCCGCGCCGTCGTCGAGCACGCCTCGTACATCCAGTCCATGCCGTTGGCGCCAATGAGCGGGTACAGCGACTGCGTCGCCTCCTCGACCGTCTCATTGAACGCCTCGCTGGGGCTGTGGCCGCGCTCACGGAGCACCTCGTACTGCGCCAAGAACATGCCGTGGATGCCACCCATCAGGCAGCCGCGCTCGCCGTACAGGTCCGAGTAGACCTCCTTCTCGAACGTCGTCTCGTACAGGTAGCCCGAGCCGATGGCGACACCCATGGCGATGGCCTTCTCCTTGGCCTTGCCCGTCACGTCCTGGTACACCGCGAAAGACGAGTTGATGCCACGGCCCTCACGGAAGAGCGACCGGACAGTGCGGCCGGAGCCCTTGGGAGCGCAGAGGATGACATCGACGTCCGCCGGAACATCGACCTTGGTGAGGTCCTTGAACACGGGCGAGAAGCCGTGGGAGAAGTAGAGAGTCTAACAAACAAACATCATCCCCTGTTAGCATCGCGCATCTTCTATCAAGCACCGCCCGGCTCGCTCCGTGTGGAGCATGCGTACCTTGCCCTTGGTGATCTGGGGCTTGATGGCGGGCCAGGTCTCGCTCTGCGCGGCGTCGCTGAGCAGGTTCATGATGATGGTGCCCTTGGAGATGGCCTCGTCGACCTCGAAGAGGTTCTTGCCGGGGACCCAGCCGTCCTGGATGGCATCCTGCCACGACTTGCCATTCTTGCGCACGCCGATGATGACGTTGAGGCCGTTGTCACGGAGGTTGAGGCCCTGGCCGTGGCCCTGCGAGCCGTAGCCGATGAGGGCGAGGGTGTCGTTCTTGAAGTACTCCTGCCGCCAGATTATCAGCATGCTTGTCCTCACACCCATCAGGATCATATGACCGGGCCGTGACTCACCAAGAGCTTCTCATTAGGCCAGTCGGCACGCTCTGAAAGACAACCACACACACATCATCAGCAAATCCGTTTCCAACACACCACAAGCACTGTCATTGAAAATGCTCAAACTCACCATAGACCTCCTCCTTTGAGCCAGCAAAGTCGATGGTCTTGACACCACGCACCTGCTGCCGGGCAGGAGCGGCAGCCTGCGAGGCAGCGACGGCCGAAGCACGCACCAGGCCTGCGGCGGCGACGAACGTGCGCCTCTGGACGGCGGGCGACGCCAATTGGCGCGCCATTGGGGAGCGCAGAGCCCGGGAGAAGCTGCGGGAGGCCATTGTGATGTGAATTGAGTGGGGATTGGGGGGGGGAAAATGGGAGGGAAGGTGGTGTTGTTGGACGAACGGGTCACAATTGCCTTATATGGGGGGACACTTCACAAGTTCACCGTCTCCGTTTCGCTGCACTATCGGAGCTTTCGAGTCAGATTTTTAAGTTTTTGCTGTGTTTCCCAGGCGAGCTGTCACCGACTTCGGGGCCCTGACGGCTGGGCTGTGGGTCGGTCAAGTGGAGGCTGCTCAATTGTGCGGCTTCCTATTGGCTGGCAGGTTTTGAATCCGGGGCGGCAGCTGGTGCGACGCATCGCCCAAGTCTTGCGGGGTGTGAGTGAGCCTCACCAATGGAGTCCAGGTCGGGACCCATTCACTCCAGATCGTTCTTGGCATGGGCTTATTTGGGTGTTGTTGCTAGACCCTCCCGAGGATGCTCGTCCGGAGTTAACATGGACGCAGTCAAATGCTTGCTCTATACCGAGCTAGACTGCGGGAGTGGAGGGTTCCTGAACTACCGGCCATGAGTCACTCAGGGCACCTCGGGGTTCTTCGGTGTCCGCTAGGCCGTCTTGCAAACTGATCGTAGTCGAGGCGACCTAATAAGCACGTAAACAAGTGTTGCCAGGCAGGGCTGAATTGTTTATTACCCCAAGGCAATAGAACACGCACGCAGGGCGAGGCGAGCATGGTACCATATTCTAGCCGAAAACAACGGCATAAAGGTTCAATATACACCCAAAGAGTTGAAATTCAAATTCGTTCGTAGCCGTGACCATCAACGCCGCATTCGCTCATATCTAGGTTAGCCATAGCCATGCCACTCACAACAACCCGGCCCCCGGCCGCTCCGACATGGCAGCAGGTATCATTTACTCCTCCGCCGCTCTTGTTGACTCGCTTTCCCTCGCCTTTAGGATCAGCCCTTGAACGAGACGCTAGTCACCGCCTCTTCTAGATCAGCACTCTCTGATACGTCTCCCCGCGCACCGTCCCCCCGGCCATAGCCTGCCTCACGTTCCGCTTGAACCCCTCCCTGTTGTTACGCAAATCCTCCGCCGCCTCCTTGTTGAGCGGGTCGCTGGCGTTCGGCTCCAGGAACAGGAACTGCAACCCCACGATAACCGCGTTCAGGTTCAGTACCGGCTTCCAGTCCTCCCTCAGGATGTTCAGGCACACCTTGCCCTCTAGGTCGATGTTGGGATGGTAGATCTTCTCGCGGCACTGCACCTTAGGCGGCTCGTGCGGGAAGGACGGCGTGACGTTGAACGTGAAGCTGAACCGGCCGCCCTTGTACATGCCCTCGTCGGGCTCGATGTAGAGGAGGAAGGACAGGATGTTGTCGGGGTCGGGGAATTCGGTTGACATGGTGCTGCCGAGGGAAAGCTCGGAGAGGTCTGATCAAGAGGAGGGGGAAGAGTTCCGGTTAGTGAGAGGCATGGGAAGAAAGAAAAGGCAGTTCGGGAGACAACGACTTGCCCTTCTGCACTCGTAATTGCGCCGCCGTCACCTTCTTCTTCTTGGGCGCGGCTGCTGTCGTCCCCTCCGCGGCATTCTCAGCCTTTTGCTGCTCCTTCTTCTGCCCTGACTGTCAGCGACCTCCCCGCCCCCCTGCAACCCCCAGGTCACGGACACCGTACCATCGACCATATTTTCAGCATTTTGGCGTTCTTGGACCGTCGCCGGTGATCTACTTCTGCTCCTCCCGTCTCGAAACAACTCCGTCAGGACGAAAGCCGCAAAATCGTGGGCACTCGGACTACAGCACGAGGCAGGACTGGCGTGGGAAACGATTTCGGAGGTGATGGCGACGAGGAAGAGGCAGGGCTATTTAGGTAGAAGACTGCTTGCCCGGAGAGATAGATGAAGGGGCAAAAGGAAAAGCTCTAGGTATGAATCGGTAGTCGCTTCAAAATGGGCGTTGAAAGCTGCAAGCCCAACTGCCTCGGAGGTTTATCAGCACTGGTAAGAGGGAGGGGCTGGTCTGATAGGCAGGCAAGGCAGAGGGAGCCCCGCCGTCCATAAGTGGGGCCGTATCCGGCATGCTCACGAACTTAGCGCAGCTGGAAGGTTCGGTCCGGCGTTGTAACTGCTGACCCGAAGGCCGTACTGGGCCTCTTGTTAATACTAGTGTATGGGGGGAACGTGGGAAAGAGTGATGAAGACCTCAAAGCCGTGACATACGATGTCCGATACAGTCTGGGACAATCGGACAATGTAGGTAGTGGATTTGTTCTCCGTCCATCACTTTCACAAAGAAAACCCCCGTCTCCGAATGTCCGGGAGCAGTTCGTGTCGTTGCAGATCACGCACTCCGCTTCAGTGATTAGGAACTCTCATTACTACGAGGTAACCCCCAGGTCATCAGCTGCCTACCAAGCAACACCTTTATCCTACCATCAGAGCCAACGGCAAGCGAGCTTAAGATCAACGCCTCCAATATATGCCCATTTTTTTTATGTCCTCACATACACTTCCCAACAACAGAAACCAAAATCAAAGCACAAAAACCAGCCTAGCCGTACGAGGGCCGTCCATGAGAGATAGATATCCGTAAGATTGCCCGTCTTGCTCTGCAGCCGAGATCTGAAATCCACCCGAACGCACTGTTCCCCGAAAGACTTCACATAGGCCAAGGAGCGTTGGAAAGCGTGCAAGCCCGAAAGGCGGTTGCTCTGATATACAAGGCATCTGCGTAAGCCAAACTACTTCCCGCTCGGAAGCGACACGCTTAGCGCCGGGCAAAGCAGCACATGATGCCAGTCCTGCCGAGGAACCACAGGAAGCCGATGAAGCGGACGACCGAGAGACCGGCGGTGGCGAACAGCAGGAACTTGAAGAACCAAGCCGTCCTTGTAGTCGCGGATTGCTAGAAAGGGAGGGCGTTAGCTATCAAAATAGAGAAGCTAATTTGGGATCGGGAGAAATGCTTACGCCAATGCCAACGCCGTTGAAGTTGTCACTGGTAATGACAACAGCAAGCAAGCAGTTGGAGAACAACCACGTCACCACCAGCATGGTTCTGAAGGACTTATACGAATCCTCGAGGTCCTTGGGCTCGGGCTTCTCCTCCTCCTTGAACGGTGCGAGAGCTCTGCGGACCGTCTGCTCGAACATCTGATCGATATCCTCCTGCGGCTTCTCGATTTCCTCCACCACCACCTCGTCCTTCTCGCCCTTGGTGACCGTGGCCGACGGCAGAGCGTCGTTCTTGTCCGAGCCCTTGGTACCCCACGACACGTCGTGCCAGTTGTTGAAGGCGTACACCATGAGGATGTTGATGTAGGTCGACATGAGCAGCATGTAGTGCGGGTACGAGTGGAACATGTGCCAAGGGTCGAGGTACATGAACGACGCCAGGAAGTAGAGGCCGTAGATGGTGATCAGAGCTACCAAGATGACGCCTGCTGCGCCATCGCCGCCGAACAGGGACTGGAGCACAGTTTGGGCCGATTCCGTGTTGATCTGACTGGCGAGCGGCGTCTTGAAAGCCTGGGCGACTAGGTAGACCGAAAGAACGATGATGTAGGCCTGGATGATGGCGAAGACGATGAACGAGGTGATGTACGTCCACTTGGAACCCTTCGGCCGGTTACCCAGGGCCAAGATGAACTGCAGAATGACGAAAGCCAGGTAGATATACTGGAGAACCGCGTTGAAGAAGGGAGTTACCGAGTCACCGAAGGGCCAGGCGTGGTGCTCAGCAGAGTTCTGCGAGGCCGGAATCGGAGTGCCGACGAGGTCCATGATGACGCTTGTTGTCAACCAGTACGACGACAGAGAGAACCATGTGAAGATGACGTTGAGGATGTTGTAGATCAGTTGGACGTGGAAGAAGAACATGCGCAAGATGTTGTGGCCGCTCTTGTACATGCGCCCGAAGTGCATGAGCGAGTACAAACTGGCAGCGAACGAACCGTTCAGCCAACGACGACGCTGGCTGATGAACTCGGGCGCACCTTCTGGCACATCCGTCTCGCCCTTGGCCGCCTTGATGTAGCTGAGATGCCACTTCTGGCCCGCCTTGGCGACAAGCTCGAAACAGAGAATACGGTCCTCGGCCAAGAACATGTTCTTCTTGAAAATGTTCATGCCCTCGATACCCTTCTTGCCCAGCAGCTTGGACAGGGTGTGGTCACCGTGGAAATACTGCTCTAGCGGCCGGCCCATAATGGCTCTGAAACGGTACGCCGAGAAAGCTCCGGGCAAGACACTAACGTAGCCGAAAGCACTTTCGAGCGGCTTGTCCAGGATGTTGGAGATTTTGTACTCGAAGTTCTGGACCGCTACCAGCGGGTTGAGCAGCTTCTTTCCTCCGGCACCGAGCATAGCATGAATCTCACCGCAAGCACCACCAAGGTCCTTGTCGTTGTAGAACCCCTCCCAGAGAGCCAGAAGGGACTTGGGCCCCGGCTTGGTGCCGGCATCGAGCAGAATGCAGACCTCGGGGTTCAGGATGCGGCCGAAAGCATTGAACAGCCAACGATGTGAATTGATCTTCTTGCTGTTCTTCTGCTTCAGGCAGAAGATCATCTGCACCGGAGGCAGCGTCGCCGGCCCGTCATCCACGGGACGGATGAGCTGCTGATTCGGCGTGACGGACAGCTGCGTCGTGTACTCGAAGATGTGGGCAACTGTCTCGTTTCCATCGACATCCTTCTTGACAACACCGTCCTGGTACACACCAATGGTAGCCAGCACGTCGAGCACGTTCTTGTCCGCCTTTTCGATACCGTCGAACACCAAGCAAACGACGATCTTCTGCCAGGCTGGCCCACCGCGATTCCAGAATGACGACTTCTTGAGGTTCACGATTTCCCTGATATTCTGCATGACACCGTGCAGTGTTCTCGCCAACAGGACCTTGTCTTCGTTGTAATATGTGATGGCGATGAGGAGCTCCGTATGTCTGTTATACATGCGGGGACGCAGATCGTAGCCGTTCTTCAGGGTGAAGTCGTTGGGGTCGCAGGTAGCGGCTGTGTAGCGCATCTTCAAGAACTCCTCGTTGTTGCCTTCCTCGTCGCGGTACCGTGGTTGCACAGCGTTCCTGATGGCACTGGGAACCGGGTAGTCAATACTCAGGACGGAACCCTGAACGAGCTTGACCTTCCTCGTCGCGTAGCGCTTGAGGCCACCGCTGGGCGCGGCGTTGGGCTGCTGTCGCCGAAGCCAGCTGTCATCCGTGTCGACTGAGGACATCCTGTAAGACGGATCGGCCGAGAACTGCGGCGGCTGGTAGTAGCCGGGAGCCCCATATTCGCCGTTCCCGGGAGGAGGCGGGGTCGCGCTGACACCGATACCTGCCCGTGTTGTTTGGGCACCCGGAGCGTACGACTCGGTCAAACTGTAAGCGGAAACAGGGCGGACTGGAGGAGTGTGGGCGCCGAGGCGGTCCTGGTCATACGCCGCGTTCTGGTTCAGGAGTGCGGCCTGCGCATCATCGTCATTCTTCAGAATATCCAAGTCAGCGTTTGGTTCGCTCCTGGCAAGGACACAAGTTCAAAACCCACCTGGCCATTATGCGCGTTGAGATCCTGCATCGGATGGCCCTCATAGCCGTCTCCCCGGCCGTGGTAAGCCATGGTTGCAAGCGGCTCGCTTCAGCCCGAGCTACGTCAACAGCAAAACCGATACTGCAACCGTAATGATGGAATGACTCGCAACACCGCCGCAGATCGTCTGGCACAGGTCAAAACTGTGTCTGTGAGCGTTGCTGCCGGATGGACCTGGAAAGGGAAGCACAAGCTTGGTAAAGTCGGAGGCGTGAACACACGACAAAAGTCGGGTCAGCTGCCCGAGCTAGTGTCGATGTTTTTCTCGTTGCTGGGTACCCAATTCCTGGCCAACAAGTGTCAGGTGGCACAGGAAGAGCGGCGTGGAAGCGGCGAGAGGAGCAAATCCCGACCCCCAATGTTCTGAGGGGAATCGCCAACCCTCACTGATGATACTGCTCGAAGTTGATGAAAGCAGAAAAAATGGTCCCAAAAACTTGGTTTCAAATGCTCAGGAGATGGCCCTGCCGTTATTATGAGGTTTGGCGTGCGGACTCGTGGCTGAGCAACAGGGATCCAAACGAAAGGCTCCACCCCGCTGCCTGCGACCTGAGTTATCCCAGGGATGGCCGCGACTGCGAGTGGCTCGGACTTGCCAGCCCACCAAAGTCAAGCCCCATGGATCAATCCCGGCCAAAGCCTGCTCATCCCGATGTCTCTGACCGCCAAGCGCCTCCACCCGATCCGGCCTTCATTTCTCCCTTTCAGGAGTGTGTTTTATGGTTTCAGTTTGGTCCTTGCTCAAGTGACCCAAAATGCCGTGTTGCCACGGCTATAAACTCTCAGGTTCTCATCGCTCTTTGTCCATTGTATGGCCGCCTCGTTCTGTTGCTTCTTCCACGCTTTGTGTGCAGCCCGGGTGGCTCCGAATTTGTCTCTCCATGTTACCAAAGGGGCGGTGTCTCCCCTTTTACACGCACATGGATGCAGTCATCCCCAGCCAACGGACACTGTGTGTGCTAGGGCGTTAACAGATCGCCTTCGACATTTCAGTCTCAATCTTCCACCGGCCGACCGCCTTTCTGACGTTCTGTTGCCCCAAGTTTGCCAGACTCTCAATCCACGTATGGTTGGCATCGAAGGACTCAAAGTTTCTGACATGCGTTATTTCCCATCAACCTGGAACATACACTATTATGTAGGCATGCTGAGGCCTGAAACAACACCCACCGGGCAGTCCTCTGTCCATGCTTTCCCCTCGACAATGGACCGTCATGGAGTCCCAAAGGCATGTTGGTGCCAGGGACCACCCGTCTCCAGGCCCTTCGAGCCGGGAGGGTTTCCTATGAATCTGTGATAGTAGGCTTCGAAGTCCACAAACCCAGGTCTTGACTTTGAGCCTTTGAGGTTGCTACACTGCATGCGTCGGTATGAGCTGCTACCACACAACCATGGTCCATGATATGCTATGATCGTCCACAAAGCACGCGTCTCGCCAGTCGCCACAGCATGAAAATTTCTTTAAATACAATACGGGGTACATACGTGGAAGTGCTTTGTTGTGCAGCGTGAGCAATGCGATTTCCGCTTATACGAGCCTATAAGGTCTCACCCGGGCTACCCAAAAATAGAATAGGGCCGCCCCAACTTCCAAGACAGTGTCGCTTTCTTTGTCAGGCGGGTCTTCGTGCGAGGCTTGCACACAATCCGTTAGCACGGTCGACTGTTGATGCGTGTTGGACACTGTTGGTGCCATTGTGAGGTGAGGCTGAGCTGGAACAAGCGCTTGCCTCTTGTCCACACTCGCGGCGAGACGAGAGCGAACACTTTTGCGCTTAATAACGGCTGCCTCCTCATGGTTGTTGTCAACTGAGCTAACACTGTGCGTGCTGTACTCCACGCTCAAGCTCGCCAGCGCGTCAAAGGATCCCCAGAGGATCATACAGCCATGCTCACCCTCTCCCGGCTTGCAGCTGCGGTTGTTCTGTCCACTTGTGAGAAGGGCCCAACACAGAGGATGTTGGCCGCCATTGGCTTGTCTGGCGGTAAGGCTTAGCAAGAACCCAGTTCTGCTTGTCCCCGATTTGCTGTTAGGAGTCCGAGCAGGATCTTCTGTGCAGCAAAGCGTTACAACCCATTGACGAGGTCGAATGGCATTCTGTCTCGATTGTCATAAGACGAACCTGAAGTCGTCCATGATGAACCAAGGAAAGGGTGTCGAGCGTCTCTTCGAGGGCGACTGTGCTTCGAATGCTTCCCGAAGTAAGTATTGTATTGTACATAGATACTCGGTGCCAGCTGATGTAGCATGCTCTGGCATGCCCGGTAGACAACAATGCTGCCACATGTGCGAAGTATCTAAGGATTTGACGACACCACCCCAGCGTTTGCTCTTCACGGTGGTTAGGGCGTCAGCGCCATCTTGAAGGGGTAGCACATATCATGGATGACAACCAACGATGACATAACCAGAGCGCCGACCTGTTAAGGCTCAACTCCTCACCACTGGTCCACGGTTCGGTCAATGCGGGAAGGGAGCGTCCATTCTTAGGCTAAAGCTATACCTCATGTCGGCAGCATGATATTGAGCAAATTAACCCTCTCGTACCTTGTTCTGCCTTGTCTCTCCCTTATGGGCAATACTACGCTGTGACGGCATCAAGAGAAGCTGTGTGATAGTCCTTGCCATCAGTTGAGCAAGAGGTTCTCTGTGAACTTGGATCCAACCCTTGTTGGGCTGTTGACGCCATCAGCTGAGACCTTGAGATATAGGGTGCCATCTGACACGAAATCGTGCGGCTTAGAGGTTGTGGCTGAGATCGGGGGTTCTGCCCGACATCTCACGAAGTTTCTTTATTGAGCGCCCCTGGGAAATATGTGTCTCACGTACACCAGCCTCTCGGTTCAAGCCCCATCCACCCGAGCTCTATTATACAGGCCGGAAGATGATTTCAACGGTTCTAGAGCTTCCTGAGCGTTGCCGCATTATTACGCCCGTCCCAGAGGCAGATGTCAGATCGCCAAGCAGGCACAGGCGGCGTCAGGGTCTTGGTGCTCTTGGATCAGCCCTGCACATTGGAACATTAGACGACGGGACGAACCCAACGCAGGAGCAACGAAAAGGCTTTCAATCAGCGACCAGCACATGACGGAAGCCCGTCCTGAACTCGAATCGAATGTCGTCGTGTCCCTCCAGAGGTGGCTCCTCAGTCGCCTGATGGGGCAAGCTCGTGGCAGCCGGAAGCTTGCAGGGCTGTTCAGCGGCGTTGTTGGCTCACTTGCGGCGCGCTCTTCCCGCATAGCAATGCCGAGATTAGATTCGTAACTACGGTAGTAATCTGCAATCCGTCCATGCAGTAACGTCAACATACAATCCACAAGGCGGTCATTCTCAGAAACCCGTTAATGGTAACAATGCTCACTGCAACATCAGGCGACCCTGTCGGCATCATGAATGGTCATTGGCAGACGAGGCAGAGTGCGCGCTGGAATTCTGACCAAGAAGGGAAATTCGATAGCCGTGCCATGAAGGGAAATACAGGGGCCGCCAGGCTTCGATGATCGAGCGAATGAGAGCCGTGGTTGGCTCTCCAAGACGTTTCGCTAGGACAGCTGTGGGGCGGCATCCAGAGTGGCTCAACCCTCGTCAGGTTGGCCCCTTCCGCAAATTGAACCTGAGCGGATCCCCAGGGCCAGAACGCGGCCATTCTCTCAAAGTTCACGAAAGCCCGCTGCACGTTCGTCTTCCCCTGTTCCCGCAGCAAAGCCTCACCTCAGGTATCGCCGTCCACGCCGGCCTCGAATTCGACCTCGGACAATCGCCGCCAAGGTGCATTTTTGGAAAGAACAATCCGATGTGGTGCCGGTGATATCCCTCTTTTTGCTCTGAAATTCATCCCCCTACCTTTTCATTCTTTCGAGCTAGCCTCAGTCACTCATTTCCTTGGTCACGGATTGATTGAACCCCTCCCGGACGCCCCGGGCATCCCTCCTCCGCCTTCGCCCTTCGGATCGTTCGTGTATCCTTCTTTCTTTTTGCACTTTACAGACGCCATCGACTTCCAATTCGCGGTTCACCTTACGATCGAGTACCTACCTGGCCTTTTCTTGGGTTTCTGCCGTTCTCAGTGGCCCGCATTGCATTGCGTCGGCTGGCAGTGATCGACACGGGTGGATGGTCCAAGCTTACCCCGTCGCCTTCGTCGCCTCTGTTGCCGATCAGCACGACATCCATTCAAACACGATCGTCATATCCGTTCCGGAGGCCTTGAGGGGCATCACGTCGCTATGTCTTCCACATTACGGCCTGCGGCTTGTGAGCTTTGTACCCGGTTGCGGTGATGTTGAGTGCCAGAACTAACACAGCGGCAGTGGCCCTCAATCTGTTAAAGCGGGAGGAAAGTTGCGTGGTCTGCGACACTTCCAAGCAGCTCATATGCCCGAGTTGCGAGGCGGGTTTCGCATGCCAGTTCATTGTTCCAACGAGTTGCCATGAGTGCAAAAGGGCGACATGCGTCCCCATCGCCGACACAGCCTCGACATCGACCAGTCAAAGTAAACCAACGAACGTCGGTGCTATTGCTGGGGGGGTTGTCGGAGGTCTCGCCGTCATTGCAATCATCTCGTACCTGGTCTGGAGGTTTTGTGTCAGGACGCGGAGGCAAATACCGGTTATCCAGGAGCCGTGGGACGATGGGCAGGATCAGGGCTTGGATGGTGAGAAGACGTTCGCGCAACGACGCGATTACCGCGCCTCCACTCATACCGTCCACTCGATTGCTTCAACGGTCCTCACTCGGGCTTCCAACATCATCCAAATCGCCTATATCCCTGGTGTCACCAACCGCGCGACAGCATCCCCGACGGTGCTCGTGCCTCCAGTTCCTCCTATCCCAATCGCCCACTCGCAGGCCGGCACTCCCGCAAGTTCCGAAGACCAGCATTTCTTCGTTCCCGGCGACCTACGCGATTCGACCTACTCCGGCCTGTCCTCCTTCTCCGACCGCACATCATACGCTAGGACCTCGTATGCGCCGCGGTCCAGCGTGGCGTCTACCATCTATGGCAAGAGCGCTGTTGTCATTGCCCCT